AGAGGCTGGTCAACCTTGTGGTAGCCCATAAATGAGAGCTTTTATATCGGTCATAATACCTTCAAACCGAACTCTTGCGGACCGCTCGGACATGAATGACTGGACCCATCTTATAAGAAAGCCTGGCCAGCCCTGTTCTCTCATGCGAACCACCAGCTGTCCCTTTAGGGCAGCATCAAAGGCCCCTTTCACATCTGACGTGACTACTGTTGCAACCAGGCCTTGGTCAAGGGCCTGCTCAATATCGTGTATGAGTGCAGCTACCAGGTCAGTGGCAGAGCGCTTTGGTAGAGCTCCAAAATGTTGTGGAGCTAGAATCCCAAGTTTGACAACAAACCAGGTAATTCTTTTCGCGATGAGTCATTCTAGGCCTTTGCTAAGACATGACAGTAGCGATATTGGTCTGTAGGCTCTGGGATTGGAGTAGTCTTTCTTTCCTGGTTTTGGGATCATCACCACCTCAGCTGCTTTGAATGATTTAGGGTGGTGTCCAATCTGTAGACAGGTCTGGAAAAGGGCTCTGATATGTTCACCAATGACTGGCCAGCAAGCTTTCAGAATCCGTACTGTGAGGGTGTCTATTCCCGGGGAGTTGCTCTTGGTTCCTAGAGTGCACCCTTCAGCCTCTTCCAGTCCGACATGGTATTCAAGGGGGATGTATGGCTTAGGTTGTATGATCTGCGCAGACCAGGGGTCGATGATATCGTTGTCTGAGGTACTTCGTTCAAGCATGGCTGAGCGTAGTGCATTTGCCTTGCTCTCTTGTGATTCGAATATTTGGTCTCCTATGATGATTAGAGGGGAACGCAGTCCTGCTGATAACTTGTGCCAAGAGACGATTCTGTATAGAACCTTTGGCTCAGTTGCTGAATTGATTAGAGTCTGCCAGTACTCTCTCCTAGCTTTCCGAACCACGCCGCGAAATTCCCGTCGGGCTGAATTCCGTCCTTCTTGGCTTGTAGTCTGTTTGGAAAGGGCCCTGTATGTCTGAACAGCTGCTTTGCAGTCATCATTCCACCAAGCAGTGGGCCTAGATTGACGGGGCCTCTTGCCCACTGTCCTGATACAGCCTTGGATCATGTTGATCAGGCTTTGTGTAAAGGTGTCCACCTGGCCAGGGGATACACCCAGCCGGGGGAGTTCATGAATCCTGGTTTGGACATTATCTGCCAGCTCCTGTAGTTTATCGTCCGGTACTATCCAATGATTGGCCTTGGGTACTCGGTCCAGATCTCCCTGGATTGGAATGACTATTCGTAATGTCTCATGATCTGAGGTGCACTGAAGTGCATCATTGACTGAGGCTTCAGCCATGGGGACATCAGAGAACACCAGATCTAGTACATTTCCGTCATCATGTGTCGGGACATCTGGTTCAGAAATCAGATCCAGTCCGTGGTCTGCCATAGTTTGTGCAAGTATAGTACCACCATGATATCCTGGATTGCTTGAGTCCCAGGATGTGTCGCCAGCATTGAAATCTCCAGCTATAACGCAGCCAAAAGGTGGAGTCCATACTTCCAGAATGTCATCCACTTCCTGTGGGTTGTCACATGGCCGGTAGACACTGGCAAATGTAATGCCTTGTACCTTGACCCAGGTGATGTCTCGTGTAGCATAGGGCCGAAGTTGATCCGCTTGAAGGTATTTTCTCACATAGATGAGAGATCTGGGCCGTGTACTGTCGCTGTCCCAGGAATCCACTGGGGAGTATATATCGTAATTGGGGTGTGTCTTTACTCCCATTCTCCTGCCTGGTGGTATGCCAACCCAGGGCTCTTGCATCAGAATGATGTCTGCTTGTTCTCCTTTATAGTCAGCCAGGTTGATGGCTAACTCTGTAGGGCCTGCACTCTTTTGTCCCCCTGCTGTATTCACAGAATGGATGACTAGATGCCCGTGTCGATGTGTTTCGTTTGATGTACCTAACATTGACTGACAACAATGGTATCGGCATCTCTGGGATGAGTTGTATCTGTTGTGTCGATTTGCATTGTGGTGTCTTTGTTATTATTGCTAGGTGTTGACCCAGCTTGGTTTCTGCCTGCTTCGTTGAAGGCCTTGGATCTGGCTCTTTCTCCGGCTAGCCTTATTTCCTGGATTTGCTCCCATGTGTGCTTATGGATGGTACCTTTCACAACCTTGGGGCGGGCAGGGCATTTGTCGAAGTTGGCAGCATGAGGTCCTTTGCAGTTGACACACTTTGGGATTGGTTTTTCGCACTCTCCCTGGTGTACTGTGTTGGCGCAGTGTGCACATACTTGTTTTTCGCATCGGTAATTCCTACCATGGTATCTGAAGCAGCTTGCACACTGGTGAACCTTGGGGGTGTGTTGAATATGCCTTGAGGTCATTGAGTGGGCAAAAAGCGTAAATGGTTTCCTTGCTGCACTGGGCAGAGAGATTATCCATGTAGTTTCTGGATCAGAATCAATCGTGTTCTTTGAGAGTATGCACCTCAGAGGTCTGTCGCCTGTTTGGGCTTCAACTTCATCGGCAACAACAGTGTCAGTAATATCGATTGTGAACCCTTCTGCACTGATGACCTTTCTTGGGCATCCATTGACCTTGTAATGATGCCAGACTGTGTGGGTCTCAATCTTTTGTGCCTTGAGAATGTCGGCAATTTCTTCTTGGAAAGCCAGAAGCTTAGCCTGAGTTGGCTTGTCCCTTGGGTGTAAGGTAAAACCAGAAGGACACCGTGTCACTTCTCTAAGCTCTTAAGGGTGGAGCTTAAGTCTTCTGTTTAGTGTAGACTTGATTCCATAAGGCTCAAGGTAGCTATTATCCATGCGGACAAAGACCTGGAGATCATCCTGCTTCCTCTTCAATTGGTTGATAGTGATGAGGGCACTAGGCTGTGTTTTCTTCATGGTAGTGTTGACTGTCCATGGATGCTGTCGTTGGCCAGAGGAGACAGCTTGGGCGAAGGTCATGGTGGGCTTCCCTATTTCTATCCCCTCAGAAGTGGCCTTTCTTGTGGTCAGATCTCGGGTTTCCAACCACTCATTCAGACATTTGGTGAAGAAAGCGCTGAACTCCTTGGCATGAGAGTATAATTTGGTTCCAGCTTTCTCAAGTGTCTTATCGACTGCTGCAGCACACTCCTGAAACATTGTTATCCTGGCTTCATAGAGATGCTTGTCTTTAGCCAGTATTTTGGCAACTTGGTCCTGGCACTCTAAAGAGGAGATTTTGTTCCTTGTATCACCTCCAATGACTTGGTCTGTAAGGATTTCGCTTGACTGAGGTGATTCCGTATCAATGGTGCTGCTATTATTGATATTTCGGGATTTTCCTTTCAGAGGGGAAACAGTGGTGAAGTCAGCCTCAGAGACCTGTGACAGGCTGCTGTTGATGTTGTCAAGCAGTGCCTGGCGGAGCCTGCTTGGGGTTGCCGGGTCATGTGTTCTTTTAGGGACTGGGGATTTGAACACGCCGCCAATAGTCGTCTTTGGGACGGCCACTGGCGTGTTTGAGGGCCTGTCGTGGAAGGGTGCCATCCAGCTTGTAAGAAAAAATTTCTGCGCCTTGGCAAGGATAGTCAGGTACTGAAACAAATGTCTGTTTTAGTGCAGATATAGAGGTTGCGCCCTAACAGCGGGGCGCCAAGAAAAATAGTTGTTTTTGGTAAGAGTGTGTGAGAGGATCCCCTTAAAGGGGCAACCTCCCGCTGTACCTATCTCTCTCTTTCTTCCTTTCCTCTCTAGTCTTGATATTCTCGTCAATAGAGTAATAGCTGCTTGCTGCAGGCTAGGTCCCAGCTCTCCAGTATGCTCGCCGTGACACTGACTAGTCACATGACACGTGGTGGTTGCCATGACTAGCACCCTGACTCGTACGCTGACTCGGAAAAGGATGGTCTGGAGCATCGACTCCAGTATGAACAGATGTGTTCAAATAGCTGTAGCTGCCAACCAATGTGGCAGACCTGAATATGACAGCAACGATTGCAGCTACCGCTCAACACCACCGGCTTGTCAACCTTCGATAATCTGACATGTTTATATTATTGAAACTTTATTTTTAAAATTTTACTCGCATTAAAAGATCAATTCCTTAAATATTAATATGGGGATTTAAAATACGGAAAAAATCTAATTATGTGAGAATTCGTCGTGCGGAATATTCAGTTCATACGTGCGTATTTGATGGTTGTTCTAAGTCTACCTGATACGGACGGATTCACACTTAAATACTGTTGCAGCGCGTCTATGCGTGGTGGTAACGGAGCTGTGTGGTAACCATCCCACTCACAGCGCACAGATCACCCAGGGACACACCATGAGCCACCACCACATCCGACAAATTATTAAAAAAAAAAAAAAATTTTATGGAAACCTTTTATTATTTTGTACTTTTTTTAATTACGAAGTTATTTATTGTTAAAAGTAGAGATTTTATATGTAAATCTATGTTTCAGGGTTTCTAACTGTTTTAAGGTTTTGTCCCCCACTTTGCGCAGCAAAGTGAACAGCGCTCGCTGTCACAGCGAGCGTACTGAGGAGCTGGGACAGGGCCGGCAGCAAGCAGCTATTACTCTATTGACGAGAATATCAAGAGTAGAGAGGAAAGGAAGAAAGAGAGAGATAGGTACAGTGGGAGGTTGCCCCTTTACGGGGATCCTCTGGTCAGATCCTTCCCCTATTGGGAAGTATCCGCTTGTCATGTGGGGAGGTCTGTGCAGGCCGTCACACTCGCGGTGGATACCCTTGAGCCCACAGATAGCTAATCCTCATTCCTCAATCGTGGTTGCCCCGCGTGTCGGATGGACCCGCCCATCACCCACTCCGCAGAAGATCTTTCATCGCAGGGCTTCGAAGCTGCCCCTCCACCCCTCCCCCACCTTCGAATTTCGAAAGCAAAGCTGGAGAACTTGGGACGCGCCCACACAACACCACCCTCAATTGCCTCGCCGGCATCGCACTTCGCACTTCGCACACATATCAGTCACACGCCAGAGTTGCCTCTCCATCTGCATCTGTGCTTACATCGCGAACATGCCTGCCACCATCATCCTGGGCTCCCAATGGGGGTGAGTCAGCTGCCCCTTGCTTTGTTGCATCAGCTTTGCCCACCAACATGCATGCTAACCAACCGCCGTGAAACAGAGACGAGGGCAAAGGTGTGCCGACCACTTCACTTCCATCCGAACAACATGCTACTCGTGCCTATGCATCGAAGCGCCCGTCCGACGCGTTACACGAGACCAATTGCTAAGAAGAGACGCAGGGAAGCTTACCGACATCCTCGGTACCCCCAAGACGCCTGGATCTGGACCCAAGCTAGTTGCTCGCGCGGCAGGAGGACATGTACGCACAGCCCCTTTCCACGGCCTGGAAGTACGATGCTGACACAGAGAAGAACGCCGGACATTCAGGTCTCTAGATATATCCATTGGCTCGTGCTGTCATGTCTGGAACTAACCTCCCGGCAGTGAGTTCAGCTACATGCGCCAGAGCGCCGACTGGATCTCCTGGACAGAAAGGTTACTGATATTGACCGAAACCATTCACTAGATTGGTATGCCCCGGGTCCTCTTCGAATCCACGCGAGTAGTTATACGACTGACACGTATCACCACAGTTGCCAATGGCGTATCCTACGACTTCCACCTCCTACCTGTACGTTCTTCGCAACTCCATCCCCACCCGGTTCCCGGCGGTATTGGACACCGCACCTGCCGTCTTTCCGACTCAATACCGGACATGGATTGCATTGATGCTGGATTGATATCAAGCTACTCACCAGTCGAAATAGTCAGGCCTCGTCAACCCGTCTTGTGTGAACCTGATAGGTTCTGGAGTCGTCTTCCACGGTTGGTCTTCACCTCGAACCCCCACCTGGCTGGAAGGAATTAATCTCTAATCACGGATATTGAAGTCCCGAGTTTCTGGAAAGAGCTCGACGCATTGGAGGCCAAGGGCTTATCCGGGGTTCGAGAGCGCATTCTTGTGTCGGATCGGTGCCAAGTAAATCTGGATCTGTAAGCGCACCATGTCTCTCCGGGGTACAGAACCCACCTTTTGCGGCGGCACACCGGGTTCATGAGGCGACTTGGGCCCCCTTTGTCGTCCTTACATCGTGAACTGATGACTGACGAATGATGTAGCCATGCCGCCGTCGACGGACTCGAAGAGGTTGAGGTTAGTAACCCTGTGTTTCTTTTCTGCAAAGAGGGGGCAAGTCGACGAGGTTTCCGTTGCTACAAATTGGTCATAAGCAAAGACTGACCGATAATCAGCTTGGCGAACGAAAGATTGGCACAACTGGAAGAGGCATAGGACCATCATACTCGACCAAAGCTGCGAGAAGTGGTATCCGAATCCACGAAGTCTTTGACCAGGAAAACTTCGAGCGAAAGCTTCGCCAGATGGCGTCGGGGTACAAGAAGAGGTTTGGAGATCTCCTCAAATACGGTCAGTACTTTTACGTCGAGTGATACCTTCAGTTTATTGTATGGTGAGGTTGTGGTTGCAGCCGACCGGAGAGCGTACACCTCTCAGTCATTCATGGTATTTGATTTCGCTGACCTATTTCATAACAGATGTCGAGAATGAGATAAACAGATTCCGAGAAGTACGTCATCGGCCTAGCCTCGACCTCTTTCCAACCCGTGAATACTGATTGTCTTCGCAGTATCGCCCAAAGCTCGCCGAATATGTCGTTGACGCTGTACACTACATGAAGAATGCCCAGGACCGGGACTGGAAGATCCTGATCGAGGGTGCGGTACGTCAATTCAGGACACGCCTGACTTCACTTTTAACCCTGATGAGCCAATCTCAAAGTCCACACTCGAGCTTCTTGCTCCCGAGATTTTCACACTACTCCTTCGTTCAATGTTCACTCCAGGTCACTACTGACTCATTTCTTTACAGAATGCTTTGATGCTCGACATCGACTACGGCACCTACCCGTATGTCACCAGCAGCAACACGGGATTGGGTGGCATCTTCACCGGTCTCGCTCTGCACCCAAAGAAGATTGAGTGAGTCATTTCCCAGACACCAGTGGTTTCCTCGTGGCTCATGGCCTGTGTCTCACGCCATTGAATGCGAAATCGACCACCAAATTGACAATGCTAACTCCTCTGCTCATAGGCAGATCATCGGTGTCGCAAAGGCTTATGTACGTCTCGACCTGCCCCTTTTCATTTCCCTCATGCCACTTCATCGTTACCTATGGTGTCTAGCCATGAGATAGATCCAAACTACTCGGGAGCTAGTTTTTCAATGCTGACTATTTTATCCCCTTAGACTACAAGAGTCGGTGGTGGACCGTTCAAGACCGAAGACCTCGGCGAGGACGGCACGAAGCTGCAGGAAATTGGTCCGTCTTCTCATTCCGTCCACAAACTGAAAAAATGTGCTAACCTCAACTAGGCCGTGAATGGGGTGTGTCCACAGGTCGTAAACGTCGATGTGTACGTCTTTCAGACCTCATCTCAACCTTCAGCAATGTCTCCACCTCGATGTTCAATCCTCGGCCTACGATTAACGACTTTTCACGAGTCTAAGCTCCAGATTAGTTTACAGACTTCTAGCATGATCAATGTTAGCTAACAGTTCATCTTCGATAGGGCTGGCTCGACCTCGTCGTTCTCCAGTACTCCAACTCCATCAACCAGTACACCTGCTGGAACTTGACCAAGGTGGGCTGACTCGGAACGGTCTAAGACGGCGAGAAGCTAATCATCCCATAGCTCGACTGCCTGGATACCTTCAAGACGATCAAGGTATGTGTCCGTGCTCCTCGATGACTAGCTCCTCAGACTGACCATTCAGGTTGCCACCGCTTATAAGCACCCCAAATCTGGTGAAGAGATTGGCTTCCCTGCGGATCTTGTCCTGCTCGAGCGTTGGTACGTAGGATATCCTCCCGCCCCGAAGTCGCTTCCTGAATCATTCCTATGCAATGAACTGAAAATAGGGGTACTAACAAACATGTAGTGAGGTTGTGTACCAAGAACTGGAAGGTTGGCAGCAGCCGACAACGCACACCAAGACCTTTGTAAGACACTCACGCTACGGCTCTTCCACTCTTCGCTCCTTGCGACGGAACTCAGCTGACACGTGGAATTAGGAGGGGCTTCCGCAACGAGCACGCGAGTATGTCGAGCTCATTGAGAAACACACTGGAGGTGAGACCCCATGCCATTATATCCCTTGCCGTCACCTGCTACCTCCCCAAATAATCCTCGTCGTGAAGTGCAACTGCTAAATTTTTGACTAGTCCCTGTCGCTTTCATAGGAACGGGTCCTGACCGAGAGGATATGATTACTCGTCCTCTGCCTGCCGCTTGAGCCCAAGCTGTTGGGCATCAGTCTTGGTCGAAGGAAAGCAGTCGGGGCGTATGATGAAGCTCGTGGCGTCTTCAGGCTGACACATTGGCCTCTCCACATATCGTCATCAGTTTTTGGCATGGCTTGCTTTGCCTCACTAGACCCAGGTCTCGGAAAATAGATAAAATAGACTTCTCGCGAATCATGGTGCTCTTTTGATTCTAATCCCAAGATTTGTGGCCGTGAACATTAATTCTCATTGACGGTACGAAGCTGTCTTCGTTTCTCAAAATGTTTAGGATTGTAATAGCTCATCAAAGTCAATGCTCTACTATGTTTTGTTTGTTTTGTATTTAACGTGGGGGATTGCTCCTCAGTAGTGCAAACCACGCCTCCCAGAGCCTCTGCATCGCAGGGTTGTGGAGGTATCAAGATAATAAGTACAGTCAGTCCCGCTCACGAGCCCATCCCCGTTATTGCGGCGGTATGACCTTGGGTCATCCATCTGGTCCTTCAAGAACAGCTATCTATCAGGGGCAGATTAATGAAAAGAATTTGCTCTTCTCTTTGAATTTTGCCCATTCTGTGCTCCTCTCCCCCAAGTATTGTAAACAAGCTGTCCTAGGCAAATACCTGGGCAGTAGCCGATGTTTTCCCAGCCTCTTACAAAAGAAAATGTGTTGTGGTATTTTCTTCTCACCACAGCTGTAGTGATCATTTGAGTCTGTATGCCCAAAGCATTCGTGGTATCTGGCAAAGTCGCCATGTCGAGATCTGGCTGCTAGAAGTCTGTGTAAAGTACTCCTTTTAAAAGATATAAGGTCTCTTTTAGTTACTACATGTGAGTATACTTCTTGATACCTAGGTTCTGATTGGTCTTTCTATTATTGATTGAATTCTTTCTTGTCCTTTTTTTTGAGATCTCTCTTGACCCACAAGATTGTGGGAAGGTTTGTTGTGTCTGATTCTAGCATGGCACCCTCTTTTATTAGTGTGTTAGCAGCTTTGTTGCCATCAATATCTCTGTGTCCAGGAATCCACTTGACGGTCACTCCAGAAGTGTGTGCTGTGGCAAGTTCTTGAAATCGTAGAAAAATATTCTGTGATGTCTCGGGTGGAGTCCCATTGAGCCCATCAACCACTGACGTGTTGTCCAGGCAGACATATAGCTATTTTCCGTGTCCAATTGCCCTGGCTGCTACAAGACCTTGGAGAGCACCATAGACTTCAGCATCTACTACTTCTGCTTGCAGAAGTCTACCCTTTCCCCGGTATACTTCTTGAGTAGTGTTGCCTTTCCTGATGGTGTAACCCCATCCAGTGCGGGTTGTACCTTGGTCAACCAATTGTGATCCATCTGAGTAGATGACGAGGTCAGTGTTCACATTTCTCTCCTGTAGCCATTGCTTGAAGAGCTCTGTTTCTTTGTCTTTGTCTTTACGGACTGGGGGCTTCTTCCATGAAGGCCTGGTAAGTGTTGGTCTCTGGAAGTCAGGGACTAGCTGGAAGCTCCTTTGTAGCCTTGTTGGATCCTTGCGGGCTTGTATTTGGAGCCTGCCAACAAGAGGGTGTCTCTGGTCTATTCGTCCTAGTCGAAGGCCGTGACGTCGTCGTATTGACTCTGCAAGAACTCCAGCTGGGGGAATCTGTGATTCAAAGTATAGGATATGTCCAGGATATGTTTTCCAGACCGGCAGGATAGCCCTGATGGCTGTTCGTAATACAGCGTCTATCGTTCCAAGAAGCCCCTTAATACGATATGCTGATGTCCCACCTGAGTTCCTGATTTTTTTGCTTCCTGGGTACCAGGCCTTCAAGCCGTATGTAAGAATAGGAATAACACAAGCTTTCACAGCCCTCCTGGTCGACTTTACTGGGAATCCTTTGACTGTGTTGCATAGTCCTCACAGGTGATTTGTTACCTTATTAGCTTTCTTGGCCCAGTGAGAAACATGATCTTTAAAGTTTAGTTTCTATCCAAAAAGACACCTAGCCATCGCATGGAAACCTTGGCTGTTTTGTTCATTGTCCTGTGGCAGACTGGAGGGTTGTCTGAGTTTTTTTTTCTTAAGAAGTGCATAATTTCAGTTTTGTTAGGGTCAAATTCAATAGCATTGTTATGTCCCTATTGGTTGAGCAAGTGAAGATTTATAGAAGCCTCTATAGCTGTTTCCTTAAGGTTCTTTCCAATGCAGAGAGTCGCTAGGTTATCTACATATCCAAAGCGTCTCTTTTTTATACAAAGTCGGGCACAGATTGGCTCTGTATATAGCATGTAAAGGATTGGAGAGGCTGGTGAGCCTTGTGGTAGCCCACAAGTGAGAGCTTTAATATCAGGCACAATACCTTTAAACCGAACCCTTGCGGACCGCTCGGACATGAATGACTGGACCCATCTTATGAGAAAGCCCGGCCAGCCCTGTTCTCTCATACGAACCACCAGCCGTGTCACGGCGAGCATACTGGGGAGCTGGGACATGGCCCGCAGCAAGCAGCTATTACTCTATTGACGAGAATATCAAGGCTAGAGAAGAAACGAAGAGAGAGAGAGAGAGAAATAGGTACTTGATTGATTGATTGATTGTATTTATCGTGGGTGCAGTCCCTCCCTAGGGCAAACCACGCCTCCCAGGGCCATTGTATCGCAAGGTTGTAGAGGTGTCAGTCTAGATACATTTAGATCCGCGCACGAGCCTATCCTCGCTGTAGCGGTACCAACCTGGAGTGACCAGATGGTTTTAGTCAATACCCAAACACGATTCTGTCAGAAAAACCTCCTGTCCAGTGACAAAGCGACCCAGTGAACCTCAGTCCTCTGGTGTACACATCGTTCCAGTAGCCATTCGATATATGTCGCATTAGTGGGTGAAATAGGTGTTTGTTATCTGCTGGCGAGGGAAACCACAAAGGGAAAAACCTCGCAGGAGTGGGTGTTGTGGAGACAAGCTGCTTGGCTATCAGGCTCTGCGATAAGGGGCCTCTCCACTGTCGTGTGCTGGTTGTCGACTCGCACAAGCCGGGTCAGAAGGGGGCCATAACAGGATTCGAACCCACTTGTTCTCGTCGCCCACCGCACAAACAAGAACACAACCAGGCACATTTGACCATTGCGCCATACGGCCAGTTATTGAAAGAAGTGCCTGCTTTGTGCCTTTTGGTAGCTTTCCCAGATGCTGATAAATCACAAGTCTAGTTGTAATCTGTCAGTGGTCTGGGTGGTGCTTGATTAACAGGTCGGATGGAAAGGATTCCATCTGAGATGTATCTAAATACCTAAATTACAGTGGTGAGGTACCTGGGGCAACAAAGGGTTGCCAGGCAGCCTTCATCAGGTAACCTCCAACATATCTGGTGGGGTTACCAGAATACTCCATATGGGTCCATGCACTGGATCCACAGCTTTAGCGCAGATATCGAGGTTGCGCCCTAACAGCGGGGTGCCAAAAAAAATAGTTGTTTTTGGCAAGTGTGTGGAGGTACTCAATATCATTGAGATCCTCTACAATCTAGTCACAGGCCTCAGCAAGTACACCGTCCTCCGCCAGATCGAGACGATTTTCTGTCAGCATCGCCGCGAAAACATCGCCTACAGAGGTCTTTGGACTCTCATTTGGGCCAACTCGATGTTTTATTTCGCCCTATCCTTTGCTTTCAATTTTGCATGCGTCCCAAGAGAAAAGATATGGCATTCGACAGTACCGGGCCGATGCACTGATACCAATGCGAGCATCATAACCGCCGGCGCACTCAACGTCGTATCGGACGTAACTATCTTCCTTCTTCCCATGGCTGTCCTTTGGGGCATACAGCTACCGACGAGGGCCAAGCTCGGGGCATTTGCAGTCTTTGCAGTTGAAATATTGTCAGTCCTGGCGATTCTCCTCCACTCCAGGAAGGTTCAATGAAGCGGATGCTGACAGACTCCAAGGGCCAATATCGCGGGCATACTGCGGCTCTACTACTTGTGAGATTTCAAAGTGTTCTATTAAGGAGAGGAATTCCAGCTACTCTGGAGCGGCCAGAATGGCCCTATATATATCCAAGATACTAAAGGAAAGGATACGTGGCCTTATATTGGCCACGTATGTGACTGAGTCACAAATGGGGATGGTGATCCTGAAGGATGACTATGGACGGGCTAACGTAGCCCAGAGTCCAACACTACTGTGTTGAGCTTTCGCGCAGCGAGGACATATCGTTTGCCCTCGAGCCCGTTTCTTACACCGGGTATATGAAATCCCTCCCAGAACAGGCCACGGAGCATTGCTGACCGTACTGGATCTTGTAGGCATGCGGAGTTCCCCAGCGTTTTCCTCGTTGCCTCCTTGCCATTATTCCACTCTTGTTCAGAAGCATTTGCGGGAGAGACAGGCAGAAATCCTACGCCTTGTCGGATGGTAGCACCTTTAGAAGGTCGCATAAATCCAGGAACAATCCGGGCGACGAACAAGGCATGGATAGGAGTGAACATGAGAGTGTAGCCAATTTGAGACCACGCGGAGTCAGCGATGCGGTGGGAGGCAACGAGATTGTTGTGTCGAGCGAGATCCTAGTGTCAGATGAGGTGAATAATGGGAGTGAGGCATATGACTATACGCGTAGTTGGGAAGGCGGCCAAAAGGTTCGAAAAACGCCGTTTCTCAAATAAGCTCTTCAAGTCAAAACTTATGCTATCGAAAAAGCTTTAACATCCGGCCTTATGTCTCTTTCGAAAGCTTCATTATCATTCTATCCGTTCGTGAAGTGAACGTAATACTTGAAACGCTCGCCGCAACAATGTTCAACATTATAGTCTCTGGGATTTTTTTTGCGCAGCCTTTACGGCCTTGACATGATAATTACAGATTCAAATTCGACAGGAGCAATATGATTGTCTGCATGTGGCACGTCATACAGGATGGACTACACAGCTCTGTCACGAAGACTCCTCAATCGTCATCGCATCTACAGCAATATAGAAGAGCTCTCATTTTAATCACCATTTTGTTCTAAAGAGGAGCTTGAGTTGGTGTTTTAAGCCTTTGAATCTGGGAGGTTCCGACCACCTCGACCTTAATCTCACGAAACGAACCAGCTTCTATATGGCCAATGAATTCAATTGCTATGCCTTCGTGTTTTCGCTACGGTATGTATGCGCTGGCAACAGCCGCCTCCTACCCTCAGACCAAAGAGCCACAACTTTCATGATCACCTCAACGACCGTAAGAGGGCGCCCTTCCGCTCTCGGCCCCCCTGGGATCTGCAACCTCATCCTACTCCCCAAGTATTGTCTTCTTCCATTCCTCCCGCGATTTCGCAGCATGCTTGCGAACATGGTCCCGCACCTGATCAGCAAATCCTTCTTCGTCATAAGGATAACCAAGTGCTGTCATCGTTCTGATTCGTTTGATGTGGTCAGGTTAACGCAGCAAACCAAAGAAGACGTACTTGGTACTCGTATGGATGGTTGTTATCTGGTGGAAATACACGGCACACGTGACCGCGCATGTGGCTTCTAGAAGTCGTATTTAGCCCCGCTGCAGCTTATACAGCCATACACACACAGCCTGCCATTTATGATAATAGCAAATTACTGCGGATTAGGTGTTTTGGATCGTCCTCTGTTAAGATGCAGCTAGGCATGCCCTTATGCGGAGATATAACGAGAGATAGGGGGTAGGGGGTAATAAAGCTGCAATCTATATTCTAGCGTGGTAATTTCACATTTCCATGCGTCCTAGAAGTTAATGCCAATCTTTAATCTGTTAGAGACTTCACTGACACGGATGTATTCCTTTATTAGCTGTCCTTTCACTTCACTACGTCGGTGTGCTGGTTTGTGTCGGCTATTTATGTCTGTCAACAGCCGAGCAGATCTACTTTCCATTTGCTGTGTTCTTCCTTGCAAACCCCCTCTTCAATCGTTGACCGCATTTTTAAGCATTGCTAAATCTCTAACAGCAGCATGCACAATGCATGGTATTGAAGTGCCCAGGTAAATACCTATGTATACAGTGCGACACGGATTAACAACGAGAGCAATCTTGTCGAGGGATCATCAGTGCTGGAATATCGCATGGCCATGACCCATTGCCCAAAGATGGTTTCTTAGGGGCGGACTGGGCATCTGTCGATCGAGCCTACATTTGCTAAATGCCATGTGCTGATGGGCATTGCATCTTGAGACATCGTTGACTGTTGTCTCAGAGTTCTACTCTGTATCGCCAAGGATTTGGCAGAGCTGAGAGACCACAACGTCGATACATCTTTGAGCATATACTGAAAAAGGAGTGAGAAAAAACTGATTTCCCATTGTCTCTGCCGTTGTTCCAGAATTCTACCCAGTCTTGACTCTACCCAACTTCCAAGCAACGTTTTCCGCTTATACGAATCAATCAGTCTGACCGCCATCGACATAATTCAAGGCTTTCCAAGACGCTCATCGACAACATTTCCAGCCCGCTTTACCACCGTCTTCTTTGTTGCCATCTGCCAAAACGTCTCGACGAATCCTCTGGAAACAACGGTCTTAGTCCGGAACGCCTCGTTCTCGCCCATCAGAGCCGTGTGCGCTTCAGGGAGCTGATGAAACGGGACTTGAGCATGGAGATGGTGGACCGCATGGTAACCGTCATTATGAGGGTGCACTGAGAAATTTTGCCATCAGCGCACAGTCCTCAATGCATGAGATGGGGGACTTACTGAACCACAGATGCGAGAGCCCAAGGTTGGAGCGCGAGTTCCCAAACTTGCCGTTCATGTCCATGCCACAGTGCTCGGCTGCCTCAGCCCAGTAGCGGAGAACAGGCAGGACGACGAAGAACGGGACGGCCCAGTACAGACCCACGAGCAGGGCAGACTTCTCGCTGAAGTACACGCCAGCCAGCACCGCAGCCCAGTAGATCGCCTTGCCGGGGTACGCAGCCCGCGAGGTCCAGAAGTCGACGAACGAGGTACTCAGGTACTCCCAATGGACGTATCCGGAGAAAGGTAGCGTGAACAGGTAATACACCGGGTCTTCGGGGATCTTATCAAGGCCCAGTTCGAAGATTCGTATAAGATCCGGGTCCTTGGTTGGATCGCCGAGGTGCTGGTGGTGGATGAGATGGGCCCGGCGGTAGTCCTCCAGGACCTTAAGGACGGGGAAGGCATAGAGAAACTGGAGGTTGTAGTGCGTGGACGGGGTCTTGAACATGTTAAAGTGGGATGCTTCGTGGACGAGGCATTCAAAAGCGCGCAGTCGGGACGCGATGATCAGGCAGGCGGCGGTGTAGATGGTCCATTTTACGGCGTTGGGATACTGGTTGGTCCAGTCTTTCTCTGAGAGGAATATGCAGGATCCGATGACGGCGTAGTTGACGAAGATGGCGAGGAGGCCTTTTCCGGTGTCTCGAGAACGGAAGGTGTTGGCCACTTTCATTGCGTGTTGTAAGTATTGGGCCTCGACGACGGGTTCTGGTTTAAGGGGGACAACATCGAGCCGCCCGACCTCGATTGTCTTCACGGGCTGGGTTTTTGTCCGGATCATGATATCTGGAGATGTAAAGAACTAGTGCTTGAGAAGCTATAGAAGGGTTCGAAGGGCTGGTGTTTCTGTCTACACGATAGCCAAGGAGAGGGGGTTTAGGGTCGTATTTATCACCATCTTGCACAAGAAGTCAATAGTCCCCAAACAACCGTCCAGGAGACGAACCTCACGAAAAACTTGACGCTCCCCTTGTATCCGATTCCGGCTGAGGCTCGTAAGTCTTACGACCGTTCGGGTGCCATGTCTCGCAAAGCCTCGCGAGGGATTTCTCTTCCGCTGCACCAATGCGAAATATGCGCCTTCTGCTACATTGCGGGGAAAGGCGGAGATGACTCTTCGCACAATAAGCTTACCCTTCAGCGGTCGAGATCGGTCGAACGAAGCAAATTTTCATCACCGTGTCATCCCGAGGCGTGATTGCACTTCCCCCCCCCAGCATCATGTCATTTTTGTGACTAAAGAATGTCAGAGTGGCAACTGGTAAGCGGGAACCTGCCATTGATGAGGCGTGAAGGAATCATTCCAGACCCTCTTGATATTATCATCATCGGTCGTGCGACCGCAAGGTGCCACAGTACGTGGCGCATAGGATGCAAGCTTTTATGGATTATTGATTATTTAAACTGTGAGGCTTACTCCGCGGAAAGGATGCTCACGGTACCGGATGTGAGACTGTGGCGTAGGTGCTGAAGAATTCGAATAGCCTCGGCTCCAATATGCAAGGCACTTGTGGTATCATGGTATTTGCTTTTCAGGCAGACGGGTGGCAGTAGATGAGCCGCAATGGCCAGCGTTGGGGTGATGGCGAATGCCACGAATCAGTGTACACGCCAGGCGACGTGGCACCCCCTGTCAGCTACGCCAGAAACATACTTCTACTTACAACTCGTGAAAAGATTGCCCTGATAGTACGAGCTTTCTTTAGGTCGAGCACGTGGCTATAGTCGGGTATATCTACCCGGTACTTATAGGTAGTATAACAAGGTTAAAGTAAGGTTGGCTCGTTAAAAGAGGGCTAATCTTTAAAAGCTAACGGGCCGACTAGTAATTTGAAATTTAAACATTTAGATTTTTAAAACGTAAACCTTTTTTATTTTATTTATTAAATATGATAATAGCCTTAAAATGTACCTTAACGTAGTTTATACGTACGTCATAAAATTTAAATAAATTTTAAATTTTAAATAATATATAATAATTAAGTATTATATAATAGTCAAATAAATATTTCATAAACAACGGTTAGTTACGGTTTTAAGATATGTATTTAAATAAAAAGTCTTGTTTTTAAAGTATTAACTTAATATAAATAAAAAACTATATCGAAAATTACAATTTTTTTTCTTTATAACTTTTAACAAAATGATATTCTTAATATCGATTTAATAAGAACTTAATATATATAAATATAATACTTAATTAACGATATAACGTATTTTTAAAAGTAGCTTTCAGTAACAAAGCGTCGATTGTACTTATAAACGTAAGTTTAATAACGTCATTATTTTTAAACGCGTAAGTAACGTGCCATCTTAAAAGACTTTAAAGCTTAAAAACTAAATAAGACGATCATAAAAGATTAACGTGTCCAAAAATATCACGCGTTTAATAATAAGAGTAAACCGTTTTACAATAAAGTTAATAACGTTTTTAAGATAAAATAAAGGAAGTTAGCGATAAACTTATTTAAAAAAGCCATTAATTGTCTTTTTTTAATTTCGGCTACGATCTTACGATAATATGCCTTAAATGTAACTTACCACTGGCTTATTATATGTTTCTTTTATGTTTTTAATAAGTGTATTACGAGATTTATAACGGTTGTTAATCGATTATTAATTAAACTAATTTAAGGCTAAATATTTCCACGTTAGTCGGAGCGTTAATGCGACGCTAACGCTGATTATAATGGCTCGATTTATCCGATATATCGCTTTATACCGACGAGGATTTTTCTTTCGATTTCAACGTTAAATCGTCGATATAAATTTAAATTATAAGCCGATCTTTTTATCTTCTACGTTAATAATTTGGTTTATAAACTAATTCTGTTTGTTATTATCTCTTTTAATAGCTAGTAATTTTTATAAATTACGTAACGCAATAGTGTACTCTTTACTACCGTTATATAATTTATCAGCCTAGATTTTTCCTTATTTTCTTACTGTACGCTAAATGAATTTCCTTCTAGTTTTTGGTATAATAAATATAATTTGGGTTTTCCGTGATATTTACCGATATTTTTTTCGTAAATATTTACTCGCTTTTTACTTCTGATAACATTAATAAATAAATAATATTAGTCGGTATATTAAAATATTAGGACGTATTGATAACATATCATTTAAATAAATACGGGCTATTTATTTTACACTAAGATTCAAATATCGCTTAAACGTTTTATAAAATAAAGTAATAAATGACATAATTGTAATAAGTCTGAATAGTAGTTATAAAAGAAAGGAAAAGAAACGGCCGTTTTATACGCGATGAATGGCTTTTGTCATGATGCCTACGACGTTGTGGTGGAATCTGGTGTTGTATTCCCAAAATAACAAGGTGAGGAAGGAAAGGAATCCAAGTGTGCGTGCACTCGAATGGCTATAGCACACATAGTGGTTTCCTTTCTTATCTAATCTACACGTGACCTGATGACTAAGCATCAGTCCATCTAGGTGGATACGGTTGTACACCGTCACAGCTTTTTTATTACGATCGGTTAAGTTTAAAGTTTAAAATTTTCTTCCGAATACTTTCAATAAGTTTTGTATCGGTTTTAAAGTTTATAAATCTTCAACGTAATACGACTTGAATAATTTTTCTAACTATCTATTTTTTTCCTACTTTTTTCGCGCCGTTAATAGTAATCTGTGACGAGCCGTCTAACCTATAAGGCTAAAGGGTTCTATAGGGTTTATGTTCTGAGATAAGTCAACACAAAGGACGATAGAGGCTTCTGTCAACTAGAAGACACTCAGATGCTGGGGCTTGGTCTGAACTGGGTTCACTGTGTAGTCGAGTCGTAAGGAGATTTCTCCCACCTTAGGGTTGGCTAAGATGCTTAGATTGATCACTGAGGTAGAGACTGTCTATCTATCTTGTTGGGAAATGTCTGTCTTTATATATCCAATCTCTCCCTCACTGATTAGATGGCTCACCCTGGATCACCACGGTGATCCAGTGATCCAAATTCTTAGTCACGTGACCCAGGTTCTGCTGGTCACGTGATCTGTGTACCGTTGCTCCGTTGCTCCGATCTCTCCACTGATCAGCACCCCACTCTCTGGTCAACCTGTTTCTAATCGTCCCCTCTGTGCCTGCTATCAGGCCGCACTGTTCGTTGGTTCGTAACATAATCATTATAAACTATAAATGTATTAAAGGTTATTTTATACGTTTATTTACGTCTTAAAATATTGTGTATTAAATAAAACGATAAGTGAACCTTTTAAACCGTTTTTATAAGAGCTTCAATAGCATATATAAACAGTGCCGAAAAGAATTTTCTTTTTTAACGATGATCCGTATTTTTTTAATTTTAATAAAAAATACAAGAAGATATCTCTAATATCGCTTCCAAAAAAATAACTTTAAAACCGGCTTTACGTTAACGTCTATTAATTAAGTAAAAATCGACGGCCTAATTATCGCCGTTATTATAAAAGCTTTAACGCGTTTTATTTTTAAAAAATAAAAATGGCAACGAAATAATATTAGAATATTAAGGTATATACGTTGCGCGCGGTAAAAAGCAAAAGGTTTTATTATAAAAAGATTTTATACAATACCGATATAAAAATAATTACTTAATTTATGACGTTATAACTTTTGTTTGCTTAATTCAACATAATACTAACGTAAATATGTTTATATTTCTAACTTAATACTGTATTATATTTTACGGTAACCTTTAAAGCAAGGCCAAAAAGAAAAAGAAAAAAATAAAGAAAAAATAACGCTTTTCTTCGTATAATGAGTAATAACATAATAGTTTACGCTTTTTAGAACCATTTTATTAAAAAATTTAATAACTATATTAAAAGTAATATTAAAGATAAAATTAAAAAAAGGACGAAAATCTGTAAGACTTAGGTAATTAAAACCCAGATTTTAATCATTTATCAACGTTATGATAAAAAAGCCTACTTTAAAATAAAAAAAATTAAGCTTTTGTAAAGTGATAACTAAAATAAAAGCGACGTGAAATAAGATCGATTTTATAAGGGAAAAGTAAACCTAAGTCTGTTTTATTAAATACGAGGCAGTACCTTTCAAACGGTTTAAAAGATTTACGTATTAATTTTAATTAAAACGTCGAAGTTTTTAAAATTAAACGATAATATAAAACTGTTAATAGTATAATAAAAGGTTCTAAATAACGAAGTACGTATAAAAGCTTTAAATCGACGGGGTATATATAAAGGTCTTTTTTAAAACCACGATAAAAACTTTCGTATAAAAAAAGCATGTAAAAAGCGTTTTTACAACGAAAAGTACGATAAAAAGCACGTAAAAGCACGATACAAAAGGTTTTTTGAGTAAAAAAACGTAAAAAAAGATACCTTTAATTTAATTAAAGGGGTAACGATAACAACATATTACTATGAAAGATAACCTACTACTTATTTATTTAAGTAATAATAATATCAATAGATTTTAATTCTTACTCGTTTTTAAGCTATTCATAGCTTTATTAGTTTGTTTAACATTATATACTTCGTTAAAACACGTGTTCAATTCAACAATAGTTTTAATATATAATCTAGCGTGGTTCGTATGTATGTAAAGATAAGTAGGTTTTATATAATAATTAAGTAACTACTTATTTAAATAACTGTTAATTACGGACTTAAGTTACTTATTTAAGTAAGGATTCGTTTTTATAACTATCAACTTAATACGAATGAAAAGCTACCTCGATCTTAATTTATCCTTTATTTTAACCTTTTATAACTTCTTATATTATTTAATATGATAAATGTTCTTAGCTTACTTTTACTTTAAAGAAATAAGCTTTATGTTTTATTCATGTAGATAATTAAAATAATCACCAATACATTACTTCATCAAACGTTAATTTACGCTTTTAACCTGGTTCTAAGTTCGAATGATAATATAAATACTTAAAAAAAGAAATTCGAAATATTTTAAATTATTCGTTATGAGTAGGAATAATAAAGGCTGGTTTAGTTAAAAAGATTATAATAGTACGGCTATAGCGAGCTTAGATAAGTAAATATAATATTGTAAAAAAGTTAAGGTATTTAATTGATTATAAATTTATAATAGTATTGAATAATTAAACCATTATATGTATATATTACTTAATAATAGCGTTATATTTATTATATATAACAAGTTTTAACCTCTTCTATACAATATTTAAATTTTGAATTATTTGAATAAGGTTTTTATATTTTTCTTATCTAGTTAATCAGCTGTATATTGCTTAGTTATTAATATATTACGCGCGTTTTTTACGGATTTTTTTAATATTTAATATATTACGTCTTTAACTCTTATTATAACTTTTAAATAACTTAATTACTTTTAAGAATCGAAGGGTTAAGTTCAAAGTTACAACGGGCCGACTACATAAGCAACGGGGTAATTTAAAACAGCGCTTATAAGAGGGCCAGCCCGGTAACACAGCGTCTCTTTAGAATGACCCCCGTGCGTAGATAGACCAATAGAATCGAGAGCCTCAATGCATGTCAGATTTGGGTGAATCCTCGTCTCACATTGACAATCCCGACAGCATCTTCTCATCCTTCGTACCTAAGTCAGGTCCCTGTCCAATCTTCCCAAGAAAGCAACGATCCCTCCACTACCAACCTTCCGTACGGCAACTCAGCAACAGGCGGAAACATGTCCAAATTCCTCATCTCCAGCGAAGTGGCGGAGCTGCTTCCGCGCATGCAGGTGGTCGTCGTCAGCGTCAAGGGTCTCGACAACAGCGGTGGGAAGCCCAACGTAGCTGCACACGTCCAGGTACGCTGAAACAAACCATGCACCCATCTTCTGTTAGCCTTGCTCACAATACGTGCCCTCTCGCGCAGCACGTGGTCGACAAGACAGTCGAGCACTTCGCCTCCCGCAAGTACGCCAACGCGCAGTCACATCCGCGCATCGCCCTGTACCGCAACACGCTCAAGGATGTCGCCAATGTCTCCACCAAGAAGTACCCCCAGTCCAACGAGAGCCTGGTCAAGCGCGTGCTGAAGGAAAAGGCGGCGCCTCGACCCATCTCCCCCGCTGTGGACTTCTACAACGCCGTCAGCATCGAGCATGCCGTGACCGCAGGCGCCTTCGACCTAGACGAGCTCAAGGCCAAGCCGGAGCCTCTGGAACTACGGGTGTCCAAGGTCGAGCAGGACACCTTCGTCCCTCTTGATGCTCCCCGGGCAGAACCTGGCAAGGTTGATGTGAAGGAGATCCTGTATGCGCAGGGATCTACGGTGCTGACGCGGCATATGGCCTGGAGGCAGAGTGCCCAGGCTCTGGTCACGCGCGAGAGCAATAACATCATGTTCATGAGTGAGGTATTCAACGAGGGTGCGGTTGGGGGCGAGCCGTCGGAGCTAGCCGTGTCTGTTGCCACCAGCTTGCAGAAAGGCTTGAAGGAGCTGCTCGGCGTGGACAGCACTGTGGAGTTTCTGGGCCTGAGCCTTGGTAAACTCGAGATCGAGCTGTAGACAGTCTGATGACGCCTTCAGTTGAGGCTATCCACTTCCGTGCAGCGCGAAACCCAGAAATTGACCCGAAGCCACTCATCTGTGAGTCAAGTAGCCAGAATGTACACTTCCTGGAGATGTTGCTTTAATAGGAAGTCAGCCGCGAAAATTCTTCGCTACGCTCTGCCACATGTAGACTTCAGCTCCATCTGGCACGTCTGTGCCTCGCATGGAATTCCTTCTATGCACCCGTAGGAATGTTTATTACGTACAATTTTCAGCCGTTGCCGCTTACTGGTCGGTCGAGGCGCTGACAGGGTTGCAAGGGCTGACGCCTGCTCCTCGGGTCCTCCCATCAGCCCATACATATGCGTGTTCATCCCTGCATCATCACACGCTTTGCCTTAATCTGAGCTCCTTACATCTGGAACATGTCTTATGATAAATTCTCCCGTTAGGTCGATACGTGAGACGCGCATATGCCAATCAGACGCAGTTCCGAGGGCATCCCTAGTGGCGACATCTCTTCCAACCATCACCGGATCTTAGGGACGGCCTTAACTACAAGGTCTACGTTTCAACCCTATTTCCTTGCCTGGTCGTATGTCAACTACTCCTGAGCGGCCCGCCCTATTCTCTTGCTTGCACGATCGCGACTTGGATACAGGATTGACACCAGGCGACCCCTTTTCCTTTTCCTTCTACTCCACCCCGGAACCACGATACTGTGCGCGCATACGTCGAAGACGCCTTTGCGCGTTTCAATTGTCCCACGATGTCTGCGAATGGAGCATGGAAGCGCCTGCAGCGCGGCATGCCGGCCATTATGCTAGGCACGCTGTTTAACGTTCTGGATGCAGTCTCGACAGGCCTGCTCGTCTTCCCAAGCGACGGCAGAGCCTTCGCAGGACTGCAGAACAAGTCAATGTCTACATACATCATGAGGTGAGAGATTAACACCCGTGTTCTATGAACGGCATCCTGACTGCATCTCCAGCTCAATCCTTAGCCAAGTAGCAATGACACTCGGAGGCTCCCTCTTCCCCGGTGCACTCGGCGCCATGCTGATCGAGGTGCTCCCTTTCATGCGAGGCGTGGCGTCAGATATACGGAATGCACTGGGCGACGACAACCCGGCGGTCGTGCCTACAGTGATGGTCGCCTACGCCATGTCCAGTTTCCTAATCGGGATTGTCTTCTTGCTGCTCGGTGCTCTTGGTTTCGGTCGACTGGTAAGTGGAGGAAACTCCAGCGTTACCTCAGATGACGACGTACTGACATGTGAGATTACCGCAACAGATATCATACTTCCCCCAGACGGTTTTGACAGGGGCCATCGGCGGTATCGGCGTCTCGCTCTTCATCCTGGGTCTCGAGCTGCCTCTGCCCAGTGACCAGCATCTGTCGCTCTCCAACGCAGGCACCGTACTGTTCAGCAAGCAGCATGTTCCGCTCCTACTGGCTTCCCTTCTTCCAATCTTTTTCATGTGCTACTCAGTGCGATCCGAGACGCTCAACAAGCTGACGAGAGGGGCCGTACAACACCCTTACTACGTTCCCCTGTATTTCCTAGCCATTGCAGCTCTGTTCTGGATCATTGTCGGGGGCTTGGGCGTCGAAAGACTTGGCGGTCTGCATGGCCTCGCTGCCAGTGGCTGGCTCTTCAGCACTGGAGAATCCCTCGGTGGTGGGAAGACGAACCTGGCTGATGCGCTGAACTACTGGAGCTTGTTCGACTTTCGTTTGGTTGAGATCTCTGCTCTCGGCCACGCCGTCACGAACTTCGTTCTACTGGTGGTTATTGGAGTGTTGAATCTCCCCGTCTATGTTCCAGCTCTGGCCCTGGCTCTCGACGTACCCTACAGCATGTGAGTCGCTTACTGTCCTGTTCAGGTTCTGTCATATTTTGCTCCCTCTTCGTACCTCTTGATGTAACTGACGTCGGTAACCAGGAACCATGAGTTGATAGGGCAGGGTGCTGCTAACATTCTAGCTGGGGCGGTCGGATCGCTGCCCAACATTCTAGTAAGTGTTTCAAAGTGGTCCCATTGCTCTTACTTCCCTCGACCCGCTTCCCCTTTCAAAGACGCTGACCAGGGTGCCAGCAACTTTCCTACTCTGTTTTCTTCACCCGAGCAGGGGGCCGAAGAATTGAAGCAGGCGTCGTCATCCTGTTGACTCTCGTCTTGTTCTTCGTTTCATCCTATCTGCTACTATACATCCCCACTATCTTGGCCTCAGGCCTTGTGCTCTTCCTCGGCATCGAGCTCACCCTGGAGGCGGTGTGGGAGTCGGCTAAAGACCTAATATGGACGGAGTGGCTCGTTGTCATGGCCACTCTGCTTGCTTGCGCATTCGTTGGGTTTGCTCCTGGGGTTGGGGTGGGCATCGCTGCCGCAGTAGTGGTATATACTGGCTGGGGATGCTGGGATTTGGTGAGCCGTTATATCTGGTGCCCAGGTTCAACATAATATGGCTGACATGCTTTTTGCAAGAGAGCGAGACCTGGTTACGTGGAGCGCAACTTGACCATCTTGGACCAGCACTCCAAGCATCTGCATCACCACTCGCATCGCCTACGAGCCAATGCTGGTTACTCGCGTCTTCCGGACACGGCCCCCGAGGAGTCAGGGGTCAGTGATTTGGAAGAGAAGCTACATCCACAGATCCGGCTTGTCCACCTCAATGGCTACGTTTGTGAGTGCACCCAGTTATGCACGCGATGAAACGGGTTTTCGCTGACCATATGCCAGTCTTCGGCGTCATTCCCTCGGTGGAGGCCCAGCTCATTGCTCGAGTAAAGTCCAAAGGTGCTAGTATAGACCCCGGCGCGCCGCATGAGTATGTAGTTGTTGACCTGCAATCCGTCAACCGCGTGGAAACCGCAGCTGCCAGGGTCATCCGCACAAAAGCCAGAGATACCTCCGGAGTTACTCTCGTCCTGTGCGGCCTTTCAGAAGGGTCTGGCACGGCAGCCGACCTGGTCAGGTCTGGCCTAGACCTGACTTTTGCGCCCGCGGATGGCGCATTCCCTTCAGAGAAGGAAGGCTCTATCCGGGCTTTCGATGGCTGCGACTCAGCCTTGGGGTGGTGCAAAGCTGATGTTGCTCGCCGGGAGATAGGCACGCTGAGTGAGCCGGTTGTAAAAGGTAGGCTTTGATATTGCTTTTCTAAGTCTAGGGGATTCCAGACTAACACGATGCGACAGGACACGCTCGCCAAAGGTTCCTTGAATTGTTTCCACCAAGGTCGAGTTCCATGAGTGGCTTGTCACTCGATGAACATGACGATTCAATCGAAGCCGAAGCGATGGAGCCAAGTATTAATGGCTTTGAAGTGAAGCTGTACAAGGCCGAGTCGAACACCATCCCTCGACCAACAACGGAGGCCAGCGTCCATTTCACCTTCGTCAGCTCCGGTAGCCTGGACATCCCCTCTTGCACCACTCAAACTACTACATCCGCGGCTGCGCCTCGAGTGAGGTATAACCGGGCCTCGCTGCGTGCCACCGTCATAAACGTCTTTCGTCAGAGTTTGGACATTGTCATGCGAAGACCGAGGAGTGATGAGGCGCTGCAGAAACCTTCATCAGACAACGAGGGTGCCTCTGACAGCGAGGCGACCGATGTTCCTACACCCAATAAGAGGCAAGCCTACCCTGGCCATACTACTTACGTCCCTCCACAGGTCTCCCAGGGACTTTCCTCGGTTCAAGAACCACCGTACTCGGGATCTGACAAGGCTGCGGACGAGATATGTACCGCCATTTGAAACGCGGGGTCTCAAGTAAATATGTGGCCGGCGGATTGCCTGGAAGCTGTGGAGTTGAACGATATTGGCGGTTCATGCTGGCTTGTAGAGGTGCCTTTCCTGTGTCGGATGCCGCGCTGTCTTGGTCCTCCATAGAGCAGCTTCTGGGGCAAGCCATTCGTCGGGTCGCATTGGAGATGAGCGCTGAGACATGAGCTGGGGAAGACGTAGATGCCATATAAAATACTAGATATGTAAAGCAATACAATAACGAGATATTATATATCTATCTATTTATGCCAGGTGTGTGCTACGTAGAAAACGGGTAGGTGATCCCGGCTTTCAGTGTAGACAGATTATAAACCATGCTATGGTTAGACATGAAGTCTGCCTCAAGACAATTCTATTAATAAAATTCGTGCCAGCCACAACCCCTGGCTTGGCTTGCCATGCTCTCCGCCATTTTCCGTCATTGTTGACTGTAAAGTCGGTATCTGCCCTTAGACCTCACCCCCTTGGTTCTTGCGTGCATTGTTCTGTTCATTTGTCACATTTCTAAGTATGCCTAGCCTTCAAAGGCCCCCTTTACTGTTGAATGGCGCACAAGCCACCGTGGCGTTCAGGGAGGTGGCAATGCACCAACAAGGCCAATAGGGCATTTTTAGGCCACCTAGCCCACAAAAGGATTTTCACAGAGACACAACACTCAAATCAGAATCACCAGAATACACGTTATCAACCAGATCAACCATAATACACGCTGTTTAACATTTACGCCCCCATGCCCCTTTCACAGTTGAAGTGAAATAATGTCATTGTTTCTTTGGCATAGACGTCGGCACTTTGTTGCCTTGACCAAGACAATAGTGAGAGATTCTTCTCTTGCATAAAAAGCCGTCTACTCCCGGTGTGACATGAGCCAGGCATCGGAGACCACAACAAGTCAACTCCAGATTCCTGTCGACTAAGCAAGGTAGGTGATAATATCAAGACTGCAGAGCAGTCTTTCTTTTCTTCACATCTGCCTATATGTACTTCAGGTCTAAGGTAAGTAAGTCCAACATGTCGAACTCATCCGAGCATTGGGGTTCGCCTCTGCCCTTGCGGTCGAAGAGCTTGACAACGGAAACAGACCAGGAGAAGTTCGAGGCACCTCAGCCGGGTCATGAGGACGCTATTGAGCATTTCTTCGATCTGGAGGGCGCCTCCCTGCCGCTGGCCGGTAAGGACGCATCCAACACTATCCCCGGGTTCGTGCCGATCGAGGGGCACAAGGTCGACCAGCACGTAGCTTCGTTGAATGAAGCCCTCCAGCACGAAAACGAGTCCGGAGGGAACGGTCCGTGGGTCTATCCCTGGAGTGAGAATTGCTGGATGGGCACTGTTCGTGCGACGTTGCCAGACCAGAAGATTGGGACGCCGAAGGTTGCGCTGCCGGCGGCCAAGGTCGACTGTAAATGTCAGCTTCTGGACTTTGGATCTGGGGAGAAGGAAAATTTGATACGATCGCCCGTTAAGGTTAATTGGTAGCTTGAATGTAAGTCAAAATCTGGAAATGGTGTGGAGAAATGCAGTACGCGGATTCCTTGCAAGTGAATCCTTGTGGATTCAGTGCATGGACCCATATGGAGTATTCTGGAACCCCACCAGATATGTTGGAGGTTACCTGATGAAGGCTGCCTGGCAACCCTTTGTTGCCCCAGGTACCTCACCACTGTAATATAGGTATTTAGATACATCTCGGATGGAATCCTTTCCATCCGACCTTTTAATCAAGCACCACCCAGACCACTGATAAATTACAACAAGACTTGTGATTTGTCAGCATCTGGGAAAGCTACCAAAAGGCACATCCTTACAGATCTCGTGACCATTAAGTGATTCCGGTATGCGCATTGGTTGATGGTGAGTTCATGCAGTGGCAGGCTGTCTGCAGCTGCGCCCCATCCCCTCCCCGACTCCTCATTCGAACCTCCAAGCTGCTCACATGCACGATACGTGAGACCAGAACACTTACTCAGACCACATTCCATCCATATCCCCAGGCCACAGTGTCCGTCTCGGACTCCAGTGCACCCGCCATGGCCGCAATGACCACCGCCCTAGCAGGCGCATTCCGCTCCGCGCGCCTCACATACCGCGCAATCGAAGACATCGAAGCTGACAAGGCCTTCGTCTTCCGGGCCCTAAACAGCGACCCCGCCGCCCTCGGCATGGCCTCCTTCGCCATCCACCAGCCGTGCACGCGGCAAAAGAGCGACAAAAACATCGATACAGCCCTCAAGGCCTCGCTGCTCAGCGTCTTCATCTGCCTGCCCAACAACGAGAACAATGAGAAGGTCAAAGACCCACGCCGATCGGCATGCTCTTCCTGAGCGACTCGGGCCTCGCGTCGCTGGCGTATTTCCGGCGCACGAGCTTGGGGGTTCAGATCGCGGACGCGCATCAGGGGAAGGGGTATGGATCCGAGGCGATTAATTGGGCGGTTGACTGGGCATTTAGGTGGGTGGGCGTGCATAGCGTGGGTTTGGTGACAGCTTCTTATAATGAGAGGGCTCTGGCGCTGTATAAGAAGCTGGGGTTCAAGGTCGAGGGTGTTACTCGCGAGGCGATTTATATGGATAGGAAGTGGTATGAGATGGTCCAGCTTGGGATGCTGGAGCAGGAGTGGGAGGCGCTGAGAGGGGGTGGTCCTAAGCCGGCTGGGCGGGTAGTGGATACACCCCACGGAAGAAGGGTACTGCCGAATCCAATGGGACGTGGACAGCGATGAGTTGCTTCCAAATATGTTACCAGATTATCGAGTCATTCAGGATGGAGCTGTGTTGTCTACATCAGACAGTGAGGCATGATGTATTGGACAGAAGCAGTATCGACATGGACGAATATCCTTTCGTGTGAGCTTTACTACCACGCAGTATTGATGCATCTATACTCTTTAAATATCGACAACCGACACGACGAACGACTTCAGCATCTGCCATGCTCGAGACTATTTCAGACCGGCGCATGAAAACAGGACAGGGATGGCGACTCGTTGACAGCAGACATACCCTACACAAGGGCAGGAAGTTTGTGAATCACCCAGGCTTGTACAGTCATCACGACGTACTAAACTCAGCCCTATAAGTCTCAGTACGCGCCATGTCGATGATATTCCAGAACACCCGTTGGAATCCTTGAAATACTGGAATAAGCATACTGGAATAAGCAGACTAGAATAAGCAGCTTTGATTTGATTCGCCATTTTTAATGCTTATTCCATTGTGCTTGTGCCGATTTTATGAATATCCCGTGGTTTGATAGAAGGGTGGTGTATGGAGACTTATGAGGGTTCAGTGTATCAACCACGCCTCAAGAATCCCTCCGATACCTACACCTTTTCTCCCCACAAAGACACTTCTTATCCAACCCCCTCCAGTACTTATCCGAGTAGTCGACCGTGATCTCCGCCCCGGCCTCAATGCCCTTACTAACCAGCACCACCCTCTGCGTGTCGAGCCACGCGAAGCGCTGGTACTGCGCGTTGGCATTGCAGCTATGGTTCACGAAGCGCGTGAAGTTGCCCTGCCGCCCCTGCCAGATCTGGTACGTCGTCGATCCGGCCGCATTGGCGCCCTCCATGACGTCAACGTCTTGCAGCCCGCGCGTAACGACGCCGACGAACTCGCCGACCGCGGCGCCGCGCTCGAAGGCGCACAGCGCCAGCAGGCCGTTGCTGCGCCCGTTGAGCGTGCGGAACACCTGTACTGGGCTGCGGTGAGGGCTGGCGCTCCCGAAGAGCGAGGGGAAGCAGTAGCAGTTGTTCTGCTTGAGGTCGTCGGACTGTTCTTGGCTGCAGGTGGCGCAGATGGGGAGGGGTGAGATTCTGGTCAGAGCGGCGTCTGTTGGCGGGGACCAGCGCGGGTCGTCGCCGCCCCAGGCTCGCTCGTCGATTATGCACTCCTCTATGTGTCTGAAGTTGAAGTATGGATCCCACTGCAGGTACATCGTGTGTAGCGGCGCCGGGGGTGTACCATCCGGGAAGACCACCCAGTCGTGTGGGTGGCCGTGGTAGACCCGCTCAGGGGATTCACCGATGATGGAGAGCAGCTGTCGCCAATTCGGGTGCGTCGTATCCGCCGCCACCTTGAGTGCTGGACGCAGACTGGCGAGACGCTGCATGCTTTCCTTGTCGAACCCAATACGATACTTGCAGAATCGGTAAATACCCATTCCAGCAAACACCAGCGACGCCCAGCCGCCGGCATCTTTGATCTCCTTGTAGCCTCGCCAGATGGCCATCTTGTTCCGTAGTTCCTTGTCCGACCACCCAAAGTCACTGCATGCTTCCACGAGCGCTGCCTTGCGATGCTTCGTGTCCGAAGTCGACGGGTTGGCTGTCTTGAGATGCTCGACGTAGGCGTCAAAGTACTCAACCCAGCGTGCCTGTACGATAACCTCGACCGACCTGCACGTCCGGCTGGCTTGAGTGACTTTCCTGCAGAACAGGTTCGTGTCGTTGAAAGGCCTTCCATTTTGGAATAGACTTGCGCCTGGGGGTTGAGTGAGGCCCGAAGAATGCATCCCTACTTGAGAGCCCTGCGCGCCCTGGAGCAGCGGCCCCGCCATGAACTGATCCATGAGCCCTTGCGGATCTATACTGATGCCGCCATGGATCTGTTCCCATATCCCGACGATCAGCTTGTCCAAGGTAGACGGCTTCAAAGCATAGCCGACGGACTCAGCTTTGCGTCGCTTGGGGAAATTGCCATCAGCAATCTGCATCTGTCTTTGCGTGTTGTTCTCGACAAGAGGCACATCTCCGCGACTTGGCCGCAAGCCACTGATGGCTTTCCTTGAGATGTTGGTATGATCCTCGTCCTCGGCGTCTGATGCTTCCTCAGAATTCGATTCCTGTGCCGGCCCTGATCTGGGTTGCACTCTTGACCTTAAGGCATCGGAATTCGCCACGTGTGAGCCCCGAGGCAGGGAAGGCAGTATCGTGCCAGCAGATGGTGCAACATCGTCTACTGCTCTGGTTGTTATATCCTCTGGTGGCTCGAATGGAGTACCAGACTTTGGTGTAACCACTCCTGTCAGGTCAACGACATGCTCAGAGAGGTCAGTCAAACCACAAGATGAAGGGTGGACGGCACGCATACCGTCACAGTTAGACCAGCCGCTGTTTGAGTGCTTTCTTCCCTCGAACGGTCTCGAAATTTGGCTTCGATACATACGACCGGATCGACCAGCTGTTCGACCGAGCTCCAGTCGATGTCGGCGCGGGACAGCTGGTCGGCGACGGCACGCGCGACCTGCTCGCGGATCGCCTCGAACTGGTCTGCGGAAGCCATGGCTTAGTCGGGCCTGTGCCGGTACTCAACTGGCGTCTGAACGTGCCACCGTCGGGGCATTCTTGTAGCATGAGGTGGCATTCAGTATCAAGACGGCCAAGTCAGAGTGACGAAAGCTAGCGTTGGGGTTGGCGGTCGGCCCATGAATCATGATGCTTTCCAGGAGCTGGAGAAGGGAGGATGCCGGTAAAAGAAATACTTAGCGCCGTCCCGGGGTCCGCTGCCGGGCACCGACATCGGGAAGTGCTGTATGCATGCTGCTTGTCACGATCCCTGCAACACCCACCAGAACCCACCCCGGATCTCAGGCGCGCGACTGGCGACATCCGCGAAGCTGCGCCGCTCGATCATCCATCGGTCTTCTGCCCAGGCAGGACGCCCACGGCCGAGCGATAGAAGTTTGTCGTCCATTTCACGCCTTCGACTTGACTCTCTGGCTGTCCAACAGCACAATGCCTCTCGAGCTGCCAGTCCTCACCCTCGCTGACGCCCACTGTCTGGTCAAGCTGGCTACCCGGGAATGTCGCCACGTCGAGAGGACTCTGGCTGACCCTGGCACGTGACCTAATCAAAGAACGCGTCGCGAGTCCAACGTCGCTGACGTACGCTCAACCGAGTCACCCCTGCACAGGCGATATGCGGCAGCCCTAGTGATGATCACTTCGATACTTCGATGCTTATCCCGATAGGGGGGATTGATGTCATCTACTGTGGTCTGTATCAGAGGACTGCCCTGATTTAAAGAACGAGTGGAATGAGAAACCAGACTTGATCAGAGGAACGTATAAGCTGCTGCGCAATGGCCTCTGCTACTGGAAATCTGGATCGCCATATAGATAGAGTGCGGCCGTGGCGTCTACCGGTACTGTGATGACTCCTGAACGTCATCCACTCAGACTGCGGACGGCTGACCTGAGGGCCCCTTGAGCGCCAACAAATTAGGACAGCCCCCCTGCAACAGTATTATCGCACCAAGCATGTGTAATATTGTCTTGGCAGACGGGCCACTTCGTCTGAGCACATATATGAAGACCTAGGCCATGCTCGAACGAACCAGCAGTCTACTGGCGAAGCTGTACAAATGTGAAATCCCTACCCCAACGTCTTTCTTCCCCCTCCTCCGTTCTCAGTAAGAGCTACCATGAATCCCAGTGGCTCTGAAGAGTCCCAGTTGACTCAAGAGAAGAGCAACAAGTCCTACACCTACGATGGTGTCAAGGGATGGCGTGGCTACAGGATACTCCGGCCTTGTCGGGGCATGTATCACTATATTCGATGCCGACTGCCATACTACGCCACTGACATTACTGATGCATTCACCTATCGTACGGTTGCCAGCATCATCTGGATGTACTTCGTTAAGTCACTCGCCAACACCAGACCCCTGATGTCCATTACATACACTAACATCTTCAGCTTACTCCCCGCCCTGGCCTACACCCTCGACATGACCAGACGAACCGGCTACTTCTACGGCGTCAACGAGGCGCTCTTCGTCTCCGCCCTGGCTGCCATGGTCTTCAGCCTCCTATCCGCGCAGCCCCTGACCATCGTGGGCATCACGGGGCTGATCTCGCTGTTTAACTACACCATCTACGACATCATCAGCGTGTACGACATCGCACTGTACCCGCGGTTCATGGCCTGGACGGGCATCTGGGCAGCCATATTCCACTGGCTAGTGGCCGGCTTTAATGCTTGCGATAACATGCGCTATGTGACGGATTTCTCGAGTGAGAGTTTTGGGCTGTATGTTGGGATTATCTATATGAGTACCTACCCCTATCCGAGAGATTTCAACCTGATGTGTTATTGACCGGACTCAGTCAAGGGAGTGGAAGAGCTCGTCAACGAGTTCACCGACTCCGGGAACTCCCCAGGGCTACCTGAGCTGCTTGATCGCAATCCTCTACTTCGGCTCGGTGTACGGTCTAGAGAAACTCGGAGCCAGCATTCTGTGGAAGCCATGGTTCCGTGGCATCCTGTCAGATTATGCCTACGTCGTAAGTCGCTTCTTTACCTCCCTAGTAACCACGTCATCTCTTCTAGCCACGCTTCTTACCGAATGCTAATTGAATAGCTCACTACCTTGTTCTGGGTGGGCTTCTCCCATATCCCTGGCAATCTGCAGAATACGGACATTTCCCAAATCCCGACGGGCGCCCCTTTTCACCCAACCCAACCGCGGAGCTGGTTGCTGGACTTCTGGAATCTTGAAATCAAATGGGTATTCGTGGCCTTGCCATTTGGGTTCCTGGTGATGCTGTTATTCTACTATGATCATGTACGTCTCTGCCATGTTTACCAGCTGTATGTGTGCCTCCAGTGGGCTGACCAATACCAATGCAGAACGTCAGCAGTATCACAGCACAAGCTCGCCAATTCCCTCTCAGGAAGCCAGGAGGTTTCCACTGGGACTTCTTCCTCCTTGGCTGCCCGACATTTGTCTCCGGTATCCTCGGTCTTCCCCTGCCCAACGGGCTAGTCCCGCAGGCACCGGTCCATACTGATTCGTTGACGGTCTATGAAACTCGAGTGAAGATCATCCCAACGGTCGAAGGGGAACAGACAGAGATTCGACGTCCTGTCACCGGAGCGACTGCAGTTGTGGAGCAGAGGGTAGCCCACTTCGTCATGGGCTTGGCTCTCATCGGTACCATGACAGGGCCGCATACTTACAGTCCTGCATACAATGCCCGCAGCCGTGTTCGCCGGGGTCTTCTTCGTCGTCGGTGTAAGTCACCACCACTCCCCTGAGTCCATCTATTAACGAAGACCAATCTGCACGGTGGGGATCAATAGAATCCAACGGCATAGTCCAAAAGCTGATCTACCTCAGCATCGAAAAGCGCTTCATCCAGCGCGACGACCCGCTGCTAAGCGGCAGCCGCCTCAAGACCATCGCCTACATCAGCCTGCAGCTCTTCGGCGTCGCCATCACGGTCGCTATCTTCCAGAGCATCGCCGCCATTGGCTTCCCGGTGCTGATTATCCTGCTTATCCCGCTGCGGGCGGTGCTCATGCCGAAGTGGGACACGCTGCATGAGTTGCAGGTCTTGGATGATCTGACTGCTAGTAATGAGGTTGTGCTTGCTAGTCTGGGAGGCGCGCCGGTGATGGCGGAGCATACGCGGAGGGGGATTGGGGGTTGGAGAGGAGGCGGAGCGAGGAGAGGCATGGGGTGCATAGACAGAGAGTTGGAAGCATTGCTCGTTGAGCAGCAGGCGTTGGAGGCGTGGCTTTGATCCCTGGAGCCTTGGCAGGATTATGGCAGATTCAGAGGTGACGGTCCACTCATCAACAGGGTGGAATGCCCGCCTTGTGGTCCCTTTGTTCTTGACATCGTGCACTGCTCGGAAAGCAGACAAGAGGCAACTTGAGGCGAACCTTTCACTTTGAAGGGCACCGAGCGAAAGAAACGGCTAGATTAGGTACTTGAACAATGTTTGATATGCAGTCATACAACAGAGATGCAGCTCGATGCGAAAGAACCATGATTTTGGATGCCTGGACAAAAGTCAAGGTGGCTCTCAAAGAAGAGAAAAGCCCAAATTTCATCAACTACCCCTGAAGAAGCTTGCTAGTCGCCCCGGGGCATGCCTTTCCATAAATACTTGTATGAAGCTTGAGATTCCATTTCGAAACAAATCCCTACCACTTTATCAAGCCCCGAGATCTTATACCTACACACATACATCCCAACTACACTATTTCCACACCTCCAATCACACCTCACACCATGGACAGCCTCACCCAGGATGTATGGGCCAAAGTCACGGGTGCGGCGTCCAAAATGGCGCAGTGGTCAGACTGGCTCCATGAATACATCAAGGCCCACGGTCTCTTCAAGCCGATCATGATATTCATGTTCGTAGGCCAGCTGGTCCAGGTCCTCGGGTGGTGTTTCGCCCTCATCTGGTGCCACCAACAAAGTCGAGCGCAGGCCACCGCTCCGACCAGAGTCCCAAACAGAGGCCTCACCATTTCCCCCCGAGCGAAAGCCGCCCCAGTCACCGCCCACTCCAAGCCCCTGCCCGCCACCACCTCTCAACCGGACCACAAGACAGCAGCCATCCCACCCGCCAACAACAGCAAGCCGCATCCCCTTTCCCAGACCACCACTATTACTTACCACGACGCCCCCGACGCCCCCTCCATCACGACCAACGATGCAGACATCACCCCCTCCACCACCCCCGAGTATCCTACTCCCCATCAGCCCCTGATCAAAAAATGCCGCTATCGCACCCGCACCCGCCCCCTCTCCCGCTTCCGCCTCGACGCCGACGGCACCCTGTCGCGCTACTGCAAGCTGTGTCCGGACTTCGACCGCGTGCCGCAGCAGCCGCTGCCGGGCGAGCACCCCACCCCGTTCCACACGCGTGTCCTTCGAGGCTGTCCCCCGGGGCTCGGGTGGGATCCGCCGGCGGGTTCGGTGCCGTTGTTTTGTCGGGCGGAGGGGTCGGATGAGGAGGATGGTGTGGAGGGTGATGAGGGGATGAAGGATGAGGAGATGATGAACGGGGAGTGGTGGGAACAGGGGTGATGGGAGAAAGGAAAGGGGAGACGAAATGATGGAGGTGATGGAGGCAAGGAAGGGATGGGACGGGGTGGACTGACTCGACGTGCGAGGCTCGTGGTTTGAGGTTGCTGTTGCGAGGGAACCGGGAGGCGAGGTTCACAGGAGGACCACCTCCACGGGGGTGAATCTCACAAAGTTTACTTGCTCGGGGGATACTCCCTCAGAACTTAACTCTTCGGGATCGCCATCTCAGGGGCTGTTGTACACCGGGTCTGAGACGACTAGCTCCATTTATGCACTGCAATTGGGTCAGTCTTCTCGTCGACCGTATGCATAATCTGGATTGGCTGTTCCTTTGATCTCACCTGCAGGAGTGGTCTCTGTACCTGTGCAAAGGCACTGCGGTGTCTGATGCTAAGGGCACGGAGATTCGACCGAACACTGTTGTCTACCTAGGTAGTATCACCCTAGTGATCGTAATTCGTCAATACTTATCTGGTTGTTCCATTTGCATACGCGGGGCGTTTCGTTAAGATCTGTCTTATTATTAAGCGCAGAGATATAAGTCAGCGTATCCCCGTTGAGTGAAGCTAAGCTAGTCTTCCCGATATGACTCCTATTTCTGTGAATATCTGCCTGTCCAGATAATGGGCTGAGCACGACCATTAACCCGATAGACATCAAATCCTCCGCCGGCCATCCTAGTTGCCCCGTTCCATCTCGATCATACGCTCCGTTAAAAGAGCGCTCGTCAAGATCGCGCGTCTCGTCTTCTGGTCGAAAGGCTCTCGATATTGTGCGCAGATTTAAAGGTCCATTGTCGAGACTTGATGGGATGGGAACTCCGTGCATCTTCGTATGCGTACTCGAGAGCCAGCCGCCCTTGGAAGATTTGTACCGATCGGGCAGCGCAATGAGCATTTCCAGCGCTGCTTCCGAATCAGCATATTGATCACACTGTTAGTTTTTGTACGCCACGTTGGTGGAAGCCCTAAACTTACGAATAATTGGTTCTACGTCAAGTCGTTGTCCTGGTCCGTGTTCGACACGAGGCGTCCTATCTTCCAGAAGTCCAGACGTACTCGATCTCACCGGATGCTGGCGATAAGCAGGTCCATGCCTCACATCGGAAGTTGGAGGTCTTGTAAGGCGTGGGCGTATGTCCTTGAAAAGGTCGAAATGTGGGTCATAGTCCACGTACGAGCCATCGTGATCACCATCACAGGTCATCGACCACCCCCCACGGCTTCCGAACTTGGGCTCGATGGCCTCGCAGAATGCCTCGTATTCCTCCCAGAGGGCTTTTGAGATACCGGACGCTTGTCTTTCGGCTCGCATGTCTGCCTCTTTGGCCTCATTTTCCGCTTGGGCTGCATTCCGACGTTGTACTAGGGCCTCCAATTCAGTCTCGATGCTTCGCTTCATGTCCTCTAGTTTATGGGTCCGCGACGTGTCAATTTCCAGGGCTTTGGTCAGCGGGTACATTCGCTTTTCGTTGGCGCTCTTTTGCAGTGTGCGGAATAACTTGCTCCCGGGGAAGGACCCGTTTCACCGAGGATTTGGGAGCTGGCTGCTGCAGTACGATTCGGCGAGCTGGTTATTTCCATGGGATCATATCGTGAGCCAGTATCGGGGTTGCCATGCGCGGAATCATCAGACATCTTGCTGTCTGTGGGTAGCGCATCGCGGTTCTTTCCTCGCATCGTTTCGCGACTGTCCAATTCTCCAAGGGGTCTTCCCTTTTCGCTGTCAGATTCGTCGCCGGATGAGTAGTTGTCCTGAACATCGTGATCCTCGTCGATGGAATCCTGCGACGTATCCATCATGCCGATGTCGCTCTCTGCATCGTCCATGTTATTGTCGCTCTCTGCATCGTCGTTGCCATTGCCACTCGGGCACGAACTGGATGGAGTGGTAGCAGCAGATCCAGTCAACTGTGAGACATCATTGTCGGCCTCGCTGGCGGGCAGGTTGCGCAATGCCTCGGCGGCTCCGGTGGTCGCCCAGAAGTCGCCAAGCGGATGTGGAAGACGGTAAGCCTTCGGTCTCGGCATTTTGGCAGTCGGTGCAGTAGGTATGGTGATTTATGTCAAGTTCAACCCATGCATGATTTGCAGTCGAAAGGGGCAATCACGCCGTGGCCAGTCCAGTCAATAATGCTTGGAGCCGTACCAGATGACTGAACAATGCAGATGACGGCAACGTGTGTTTAGGCAAAATGAGTTGAGGCGCAGGCGATGAACTATTGTGCTGTGAGATTGATATCGAGTTAGCCTAGGGGTTCCATGAATGGTGGTTGGGATGCTGCCAGGTGTAGAAGAGCAGTGGCGAGAGGTGCAGGTGTCCACCAGCGGCCGAATGAGTGAGGACCTCAAAATGCCTGAGGTGAGTAATGAGAAGTCACTGCCTCCGTCAACATCCACATGTACTACCTCCTTATCTACCAACCTTAGTTGCTTCCCAAGATGCCGTCTGTCTGCATCAACCGCAGTCGGCCAAGATATCTCTTTAAGCACTCAATCGTCCACTTTCCCTTCAAGCCAGGAGATGCAAGCATCTACCCCGTTCTCACGAAGGCAGAATGAGGCACCGTAGTCAGTCAGATGCCTGTATCAGAAAGGTGCAGGGTCGAAAGGATCACTCTTCCGCCTTTCCATGTCCCCCTGGCGAAAGTAAGACATCGACACTGATTGAGCAAATAGAATAGGGTGACGGCACCGCACGGGGTATCATCGAGTGTCATGCATCTATCCAGACATTATCAGTACAGACCACTCCCAAATTGCATGTCCATCATGACAACAAGACGGCAAACGACCAGCTCATATCCGCAGCATGCGACTTCTTCAAGCCCGTCTTCATCCAGCATGAGTGCTCGGATCCCGTATCGCCCTCAAGGTACCCCCACCCGCAGCCGGTACAGTCGGATGTGCCTGCGCAGTTCGTCATACAGTCCAGCATGCTCTGCGTCGGTACATTTCGTATATCCGTCGCCTCGTCTGAGCTGTAATCGATGCCGCAGATGCGCATAAATGACTTCTCCGAGCCGGGCACCTGGTATGCGGTCCCGTTTGCTGCTGGGCAGTCGATCTGCGCGCCGCCTGTGGGTTCTGCTGTGGATGCCGTCGTTGTTATTGTCACGGTCGGGGAACCGGATTCTGTGGCTGAGGACGACCCGCCTGTTGTCGATGCGCCGAAGGGTGTCGTTGATGATGATGGGCTGTTGATGCGTTAGCGATGCAAGTGCCTTCAGCAATCGAAACCAAGTTCAAAGACTAACTGGGATGCTGCAACGTCCTTGGAACCACCATTGTTCTGGCTGCTCACGCCAACCCCAGCACCCACGCCAATCGCCACGATGAGAACGACTATTATAAGTGCGAGTAGCGTCCAGAACCAAGGCCTCCGCAGTCCCAATATCCTCTTGTCTGACCCAGTCCTCCGGTCGCTCGGCGGCGGCTCAAACGCCCCTCCGACGGCTAGTGGCCGTTCAGATCGTATTGTCGGACTTGGAGGAGGCGTCTCGTCGCCGAGCCACGCAGTAGGATTGCCATGGTTGCCATGGTTGCCATGATTGCCATGATTTCCTGCGGCTGGCGCGAAATACGCGTTCGACGCTTGCTTCAGTTCATTGAAGTCTCGCTGGGCGAAGTAGTCGAAACCGCGAAACTCGATAGGGGCTTCCTTTTCTGGCGCAATGTCCTGCGTATGCAGTGTTGGCGGTGATGGATGCTGCTGCTGTTGCGGGCGGCCTAGACCCGGCTGGTCGGTCGCCATGGGTTGCTTCTTCTTGTCGGTCGGCACGTCGCTATCATTGCCGTCGGCTCATTCTCTGTCGTCCGAATTGCTGCGTCTTCCTCGACTATGCTTTCGGGCAGCTGCCAAGTCAAAGGAGTGAGAGAAGAGAAGGTGAAATGATCGGACGGCGGCACAAAGAGCACACCAACTGCTGCAGTCGCTCGCTTGCTGTTGCAAATGCTGACGATGCAGTGCAACAGGAGTGCAGCCGCAGAGCAACGCGAAATGGAGCACACGAAGGATTCGGGAAGAATCCTACGCAAAGCCACCCAACGCCCAGGGGGCCAGGATGCGTCATTCGTTGCACTGTGCCACCCCGTTCGCGCCAATGACGTTCCTGTCGACCCCCGGCTCGCAGTCCGAATGCAATCTCGCGAAATCGCAACCAACCTTCCTCCTTGGGATCCCTGCTTCACGTGGCGCATCCTGCGATCCTTGTACCTGATGCTTGATCTGGCAGTCTGGGTGGCGGTCACCGCCGGCCAGACAACGTGGTCGGCCGACCGTATCCATTGGCCTGGGTCCTGGGACGTGTTCGAGATCAACTCGGTGGTTGTCATGATGGGTTTTCATTGCCGACGACGACGAGGCCCTGGAGTGTAAGCCATGGTGGTGCTACGACATGCTCTGTATCTGACCGAGAAGAGATCCACGAAAAGCGTCGCGGCAGCACTTTCAGCGGTGTCAATTGAGAGCCTGCGATGAGCCTGCGATGGCGCTCATGAAATCCGGCCAACCGGCCGACAATAGTGCGTACATGGAGCTTCCCGGGTGACGATGCCCGATCGTGTCGATGACTGGCGCATCACGATATGGGGATGGCGAGCAGATGATGCTGAAGCATCAGAGCACGGTAATGAGATGACACAATTGAGGACATGGGCCTCAGGTCGGATGGCATACCAAACGGCTTTTGAGATGCGCGTCCGGCAGCATACTACAGGCGCGCGGATAACGACATCGCCACTACGAAGGTGTTATCGGGGAGCAACCAGCATTGCTTCACGACGGGAATTGGAAACATTGAAGCGTAATGGAGGCGGCGAGGTTCGAGGACCTATAACGCCATTCTGGTAACGGACATATGGGCGGAGCGTTCCCAGTGGTAGGATGGGGCAAGTGCCGAGCGACTCCTCGAATCTCATATGGATATTATACTCGAGTACGACGTGTCGTCATCTTCAACCGGCAACACGATCTTATATAGGGACTTCCGAAGGACGGAGAGCCTGACTCCTGATTTCTCCTGGAGATCGCTCCCAACTTGGAACCATTTGAGACAGGTTGAGCAACAAGCCGAGCCAACATGCCCACCACCATGCTTCCCACGATCATTGTCCTGGGCCTCTTCGCCTGCCCAGGCGCAGCCCAATGCACGCGAGCCCTGCTCACCGCAGCAACAGACAGCCTCCTCGCAGCCCAAACCGACGGTGCCCCCGACACCCTCGGCACCGCAGCCGGGCTGACCTACCTCGAACAATTCAAGCCCGCCGATTTCACGACAGGCATCCTATCGATAGCGGTACACGTCGACTTCAACCGCAGCCTGCACGACACGATGCAGTGCGCAACCTACACCGAGATAATCGCCGCGAGGAACACCACGCACCCCTACGTCATCGGCGCGCAGATGCACATCGGCGCCGACGACGGCCAGATCGCCAACATCAGCACCCTGGTCACGGACGCCGGCGACTGGCTGTTCAATGCCACGGGCACGTTGTACTGGGCCTCGCGCGAGAAGTGGGAGCCCATCCCCGAAGACCGGCGGGATAGTCGCGCAGTGATACAGGCGGCAGCGGACGCTTATGCGGATTTGTTTGATGATAAGACGGTTGTGGTGCCGTGGGGCTCACCTTGCGCGAGGCTGGAGGGGGGCTCTTATACGGGGTCTGGGGCGGCGAGTGATCGGTGTGATGTTGGGATTCCTGACGGTATATTCTGATTCCTGAATTTCTAGCATTGTAGTTTGGGTACTGACTTTCGTTAAGGGTTGTGCTGACGAACTGCCGCTATGTGATTGATGAGGATTTCGGATGTCTTTATTGATTTTGTTACCTTGCCTGATAGCCACGAGTTCCGTGTTGAGAAGGGTGAGGTTCGCTTTGTTCATACCTTGATTGTGATGGATGAGTGAGGGCTTGGTCAGTGAGGTATGGGGTATAAGGGGGTATACTGTACGTATGGTACACTGAACACTAAATCTGGTAACAGCGCAGCTCTTGCGCCATCCCCTATACTTATTCACCCATATTTATTTCAAGAGAGAAATATAAATACTCATGTGGGAACAGGCTTGAACGATCAATCATAATACTCGAGTATGGGGTCAAGGTTATGATGTTGCTGATGGTTGGATTGAGAGGAATCTAGCTGGACTCGAAGGTCTGGCCAAGTGCCCTCTCAATCCACTATCTTATCTTATCTAATCATACATGTGGGTTCTGGTACAGATGGTTTGCAGTCTGGAATCGCATGGATCCAACAACTCAAGTAATTTGCTATGAAGAGAGCTACTAACTTTGCTAAAGAAACACAATAAACATGCTATAAATAGAGCTCCTAACTTTCCTATAAAAACACAACCAAGCTAAAAATAATAAAAAACCCGATCTCATCTCTGAACCTACCTGGTTGGAAACCATGAAGTCTAAGAGAAACCTACCGTAGCAGAGAAGCGGTGAAAATCGAAGCGGCTACTGTGACGGCCTGCACAGACCTTCCCACATGACAAGTGGATACTTCCCAATAGGGGAAGGATCTGACCAGAGGATCCCCTTAAAGGGGCAACCTCCCACTGTACCTATCTCTCTCTCTCTTCCTTTCCTCTCTAGTTTTGATATTCTCGTCAATAGAGTAATAGCTGCTTGCTGCAGGCCATTTCCCAGCTCCTCAGTATGCTCGCCGTGACAGCTACTGCAACGCCAATCATAGCAGATATTGACATATTAACACCGCGTTGGCGCTTTTGGGCGTCGGCGATGTCCTGTTGAACTATAGCGAGTTTTTGTTGAATGTTAGCTAGTTCCATTTCAGAGGCATTCTGTGCGGTTTGAGCTAACGCTTCCTTCTCAATACGGTCGAGTTGCTCCTTTTGGAGAGCGTCCCGTTTGGAGCGAAGTTCATCCGCATGCTGATTATGGCTTGCCTGAAGAGTGTCCAGCCTCTTTTGGAGAGCGGCATCTCTTTTTTCGCTGGCCGCCTCGAGTTTCTGGAGAGCTGCTCCGCCTTCTAGTTGCTTGGCTTCGTACTCTCTCATCTGCGCCTTTAGTATATCTATACTTTTATTAGTTTTGTTCCGGGACCTAATCAGCTCGTCCAAAGCGTCTTGGACCTCCTCTTTTTCCTCTTCCCACACAGCCATGTGCCTGTCGAGATCCTTGGCCTCACCATCTAGGCGCATCTCTATCTCCTTACTCACTTCCTGTAAAGAGTCGACGTCTTTCTTGTCCTGGGAAACAAATTTCTTAGGGTCTTTGTAATATTTCAAACCTGCAAAGAGCACCGGGTCGAGAGACTCGCAAGTTTGGAGGATATAGTCGTTTGTATCCTTCCAGGCGGGTCCGTGGCCTCCACCGTTTTCCTCTTCGTACAGGTCTATCGTGTCATCATGTTCCGGGTCCATGTACAGCAGAAAGAAAGCGTGGATCATCTCATGAATCAGTGTATTCAGGCTGTAGAGGCGACTGGTAATATATAGCTTGCGTGGTTTGCCGGTGCGACTTAGTGTCCCATAAATAGTGATCGACGCGCGTGGCGGGTTGAACGACTTATTCTGCGTGATAGCTAGATCCCTTTGGTGTTCTTTGTGGTAGTATGGGTTGAATTACAGGTCGATCAAAAGTCCGTTTGATGACTCGGTGAGATACCCGGAGAAGAATGCATTATCGACGCCTTAAAGAAAGGGCCACATGTCGGAGATACCCGGGTTCTCGGCAGGAGACTGCTGAAACTCTTTGATGAGCTTTGACATGCCTTTGACGCGGAGTTCCGACCCATGCAACACGAAATCCAATAGCTCAACAGGCCCATGAGACTTCAACTTAACGTGGTGGCTTCTGTTACATCCTGACTTTTGTCGCCAAGAAAGTTAGTAAGGTAGCAAATCGCCTTTGAGGACTATGCAACACAGTCAAAGGACTCCCAGTAAAGTCAACCAAGAGGGCTGTGAAAGCTTGTGTTATTCCTATTCTTACACACGGCCTGGAGGCCTGGTACCCGGGAATCAAAAAAATTAGGAGCTTAGGTGGGACATCAGCATGTCGCATTAAGGGGCTTCTTGAAACAATAGATACTGCATTATGAACGGCGATCAGGATTATCTTGCCAGTCTGGAAAACACACCCTGGACATATCCTACACTTTGAATCACAGATTCCCCTAGCAAGAGTTCTTGCAGAGTCAATAAGACGACGTCATAGCCTCTGACTCGGACGAATAGATCAGAGACACCCTCTTGTTGGCAGGCTCTAAATACAAGCTCGCAAAGAACCAACAAGGCTATAAAGGAGTTTCCAGCTAGTCCCTGACTTCCAGAGACCAACACTCACCAAGCCATCATAGAAGAAGTTGTTACGGTACAAGTACATTGTACCTCCATATGTACCTATATATATGGGAGGCCCACCTCCCACCTGAAGCGGCCTTCCTTCTTCCTTCTTCCTTCTTCATAGATCGTTGAATCTAGCTTTATCTATCCATCAGTCCTGACCAGTTGTACTGCAGGCCTGATCGTCACAGAAGTCCCCAATCTAAAAGGACAAAGACAAAGAGATAGAGCTCTTCAAGGAATGATTACAAGAGAGAAATATGAATACTGACCTAGTCATCTACTCAGATGGATCACAATTGGACGACAAAGGCACAACCCGCACTGGATGGGGCTACACCATCAGGAAAGGCAATATTACACAAGAAGTATACCAAAGAAAGGGCAGACTTTTTAAACAGAAGTAATAGATGTTGAAGTCTATAGCGCTCTCTAAGGGCTTGCAATAACCAGGGCAATTGGACACAGAAAATAACTATATGTCTGCCTGGACAACACAGCAGTGGAAGATAGGCTCAATGGGACTCCACCCGAGAAATCACAGAACATTTTTCTATGATTCCAAGAACTTGCCACGGCACACACTCCTGGAGTGACCGTCAAGTGGATTCCTAGACACAGAGATATTAATGGCAACAAAGCTACCAATATACTAGTAAAAAAGGGTGCCATGCTAGAATAAGACACAACAAACCTTCCTATAATCTCATGGGTTAAAAAAGATCTCAAAAAAAAGGACAAAAAAGAATTCAATCAATAACAAAAAGACCCATCAGAATTTAGGTATCAAGAAGTATACTTACATATAGTAACTAAAAAAGACCTTATATCTTTTAAGAGGAGTACTTTATATAGACTTCTAGCGGCCAGATCTGGACATGGCGACTTTGCCAGATACCACGAACGCTTTGGGCATACAGACTCGAATGATCATTATAGCTATGGAGAGAAAAAAATACCACAACACGTTTTCTTTTGTAAGAGGCTGGGGAAAAATCGGCTGCTGCCCAGGTACTCGCCTAGGACAGCTCGTTTATAATACTTAGGGGAAAGGAGCACAGAATGGACAAAATTCGTGGAGAAGAGCAAATTCTTTTCATCAATCTGCCCTCAATAGATAGCTGTTCTTAAAGGACCAGATGGATGACCCAAGGTCATACCGCCGCAACAACGGGAATGGGCTCGTGAGCGGGACTGACTGTACTTATTATCTTGATACCTCCACAACCCTGCGATGCAGAGGCTCTGGGAGGCGTGGTTTGCACTACTGAGGAGCTACTCCCCACGTTAAATACAATCAATCAATCAATCATAGAATGGCAATATCATCAGCACAGAAATAGGGGACAATAACCATTTGTTGAAGCTTTTGCCTCCGTGAGACCAGCTAGCTGGGCAGCTGTGTATATTTGTATAGTATGAGACCTAGCCTAGCCTAGCTCGCCCGATAGTGAAGGAAGTCGAGCCCTATGGTGCATGCTCTAGATGACTGACAGCCATAAGACGTGACTAGCAGTGGGGACCTGGAGACACAGCCAGAGGCCTTTCTCTCCTCTTCCCTAATCTGTGTCTCAGGCACTTTATGCCGCTGTCTTGGTCGTACTAAGACTTGATATGTTACTGAAGCTATGTGCTCTCCACGGCAAACCATTCTAGATATGTGGCAATAACAACGACTTCTAAAGTCCGGCTAGGGTCTAAATCCGGAACACGCAATAGCACGGATGTCGAAGCAGGCCTAAAAGACCGCTATAGTGGGAGACTCGAGCAGATTATGGAGTACTGTAACCACAAAGGCAAATGTCAATTTGTGGACGTGGTATCCAAGTCCTGCGGAGCTTCAAAGTTGAGGCTCTTCGATAGAGTATAAAAGCCCGGCATGAGACCACAGATCGAGCAGTATAACTTGTCCAGGATATCCCAAGACGTTGTTGGTATAAGTCAAGTTGGCGCCGAATTTGATGGACAGGGTTCGTGGATTTGTCTCCTCCGTTGTGGTGGAAGAGGTTTTAACTCTATAGTCGAATTGTGAAATAGTGGTTCTTAGGCGAGGAAGAAATCTGTCAAACAGTGCGTGCGGGCTTTCAGATGGGTGAAAACGTATATTCTGGTGTAATCCGTGATGTTGTTGGGTCTGTGTGAAAATCCTGCTGTGGGCTAAGTGGCCTAAAAATGCCTTATTGGCCTTGTTGGTGCACTGCCACCTCCCTGAACGCCACGGTGGCTTGCGCACCATTCAACAAAATCATCGCATTCATCATGCTAGGCATCCACCCCGCATGAAACGATGATGGTGCTGATAGCAGCACTTTTGGACCTGTGCATAGCGTACGTGGATTTCGTAAGAATTCAATTCCTACAAAACCTTTCCGAGCTATATGTGCAAAACGAGTGAAGGGTGTCCGCTCTGAGCGGTGTGTACAAAGAAGAGAAGAGTAAAAGGGCCCCATGAGCCATATGTACAAGAAAATGATGAGCACAACACGAGCTCTCACCAGAGCAACTACTTCTCCTCATCCGCCAATGCACCATCAGTCCAGTCCACTTGCATTTTCATTCCACGAGCGGTGTCCGGCTGGGATAAATTAACAGGTGAAGCCACAGTCCATGTCGAGAGTTTCTTTGTCAGAGAAGGTGTTGGCGATGTCCCATTGGCCGACCTTGCAGTGGGCGTTCGACGACTTGGCCTCGCCACTCCCGAAGGTCGTGTCTCCATAGACGAAGCTCGCCTGGCGCAATAAAGTATTAGTTTGGATCCTTCCGAAGAAGGGAGAGAAAGAGAAAAAGGGGGAGAGAAGAAAAGAAACCCCGACATGATGGCGCTTACCTCGTCCTTTTTGTTGTCAGAGCCAAAGTTGATGCTGACGTCGAGCTCCTTGGGGAGGTTCTGGCTCTTGAAGATGATGACCTTGCCGTCGCTGTTGGACTGCTCGTCGGTGTACATCTGGAACTGGTTGGCGTCGTAGATGGTGATCGTGGCCTTGTGGCCGGTGTTGTAGTGCGCGACCTCGCGGATATGCAGGGTGCACCAGCCGCCGGCGAACCGCTTCTCGACAGCTGCGGCGGCGTTGCTGCTGCTGTCGGTGACTGGCGCGGCGACAGAGAGCCCGGCCAGGACGAGGAAGGAGGCGACGGCGGTTGAGGCGTACATGGTCAATGTATGTAGTTGGAGGAAGATGTGATGATGGTGTTGTTGAAGGTAGTGGTGTTTGTAGTAAATCAAGTTGATCTGAGAGTCTGGACTGTTGTGCTGTGTTGTGCTGTGAGCTGTTTTACTGACTGACCTTCTCGAGGTCCTCCTCTACTCTTATATAGACATCTACTGTCCCAGACATCCACATGATGCCTCTTTCTCAACGCAGGGAGTGCCCTTCACGTGGAGTGTCCCAGGCCATCACTGGACAGTTCGTCTAGTTTGGGACTTGATACCTGGAGTTTTCTATAATTGGTGATCGTGATCAAAGAGATGTACTACTAACCGTGGGCTCATTGGAGGGACCCTTGAGCTCACCTCCCTCGAGCCCACGATCATGTCCAAGAATGACCTCATTTTCGAAGCTGTCTCGGAGTACAGGGCTGTGTAAAGCAGAAGCTAAGGGTCCAGCTCTTCACCCGCAATTTCAGGTGAGGCTGATTCCCAAACGCCGGTCGAGGCCCAGGTTCAGATGACAGAGCCTGGACCACCACAAGCGTCGGAAGTAGTTCGACACATCGGGGGTCGGGGCTAGGTTGCCCGCGAATGCCCATCGGCGCGGGACGTCAGCTCGACGAAGGCTTCGCCCCCATCGGATGATTATGAGTAAAGCCATGGTCCGTGAAGCTGGCACTAGAGAGGTAGTGCAAGAATAGGGAAGGGAGTAGGCCGTGCTCCCAAGCGGCGTCGGTGTTTGTTTCTTGGAACCTCCGATCCTCCGGCCCGGCCCCTGAATGAAATGTCGCGGCACAACCACGGCCGGTACGTGCGCCAGAGGCCGGCGGTCAACTAGTAACTGGCTTGTTTCACCAAATGCAGTATTCCGCAGGGTATTCATGCGTTGAGTTCTATATCACTTATGGTAACGAAAATGATATCAAGATGAAGAATGAAGCATCTGTAACAATAAGAGTGTAGATCAGCTGTTCTAGACACGATCGACTTGCAATCCCTACTGGCAGATCATACGTCGGGGTGATCATCAATTTCGCTCCGTGATGTGTCCCTGCGCCCTCCGTGCTCGTACCAGACCATCAACCACTCAGCGCCTTCTCCCAAGCCAAGTACAGCGGAATGATGTCGTCCAAGGTAGCCATGATGCTCACCTCCCGCGGCTTCCACCCCAGCTTCGTCAGCCTGCTGGGCCGAATGCGCATGTTGACGCCCATCCCGACGGCCATGTGGATCTGCCAGCTATCCAGGGGCGGCAGCTTCATGTCGGGGTTGAACTCCTGCGTGCCTGCCAGGCAGACGCGCGCGGCGTCCTTGCTGCTCACGCTCACGACGTCGATGCTCCCGATGACGCCCGCCTTGTGCATCGGCGGCACGAGCCCTGCTATGAAGTCGCGGAATGCGACGTGCTCCAACACTGCGTAGTAGTACGCCTCGCGGCCCCAGAGCGGGAAGCCGGCCGGCTCTGCGGGAGGCTGGTTGCTATTGAGTGAGTCCAGGGCGTTGTCCACGAGCAGGAGGAAGGCTCGCGCGAGGTCGACACAGTGCACCCAGCCGAACTGGTTCTCGCCGGTGTTGATCTGGAAGGAGGCTTGGTGAGCACGTCCACACAACTTTCAGGGGATGAGAAGGGTGGGTGTTTCTTACCTTGAAGCCGGAGTTGAAGGCCCTCGCGGTGGTGACGAAGGCCCCGGTGGTCAGGGGCACCGGGTGCTCGATGGAAGGGCTGATGCCGCCAATACCGGGAGGGACTATGTTGGCCACGTACACATGCTCACTCGCGTCTCTCAAGATGCGATTGGCCTTTCTCATGCGTCAGGTTTGGATCGAAGTTCATGATCTCCTTGATATCGTCCATGTCGTCCCAGACACGCGCGTCGGGAGACCCCGTGGGCTCGTCGTACAGGTCGCTCGTGCCCGTGGTCTGGACGAAGAAGCCCTTCTGCTTGCGCCCCGGCTCGCTCATGCTGTCGAGCGCTGCTTTGATGGCCGGCTCGTGCGTAATGTCGGGCGCACAGTTGAGCACAATGTCGGCCCGGCGGGACTCGGACGTGACGACATCCCCGGTGGAAAGGTCCCCCAGCACCGTCTGGGCCCGGGGATATTTGGCGCGCAGCCGCGTTGCTTTGGGCTCGTCTCGCACAAGGACCGTGACGGGGAGGTCGGGGTGTTCCGTCTGCAGCTGGTCGAGGACTGCTCCTCCGACGTGGCCTGTACCGCCAATGCTGGGAAAAGTTAGCTCGGCCGCGTCCTAGTCAGAAGATCTTCTCATTCAGGACAGACTCTAGAGTCCAGAATCCAGAGTGCCATGATCCATTAGGGGCGAGTGGTGGGTCGATTGCTCACAGGAAAACGGATGGCATCTTGGCAAGAAGGTGAAGCTTAGAACTCAGGGGCGCGCTTCGTACACAGGATATACTCAAGTAAGGCCTCTATACGCTGAACAAGACGAAGCATTAATCTATTGACGAGAATATCAAGACTAGAGAGGAAAGGAAGAGAGAGAGAGAGATAGGTACAGTGGGAGGTTGCCCTTTTAAGGGGATCTTCTGGTCGGATCCTTCCCCTATTGGGAAGTATCCGCTTGTCATGTGGGAAGGTCTGTGCAGGCCGTCACACAACCTCCTACTGTACCTATCTCTCTCTCTCTCTTCCTTTCCTCTCTAGTCTTGATATTCTTATAAATAGAGTAATAGCTGCTTGCTGCCGGCCATGTCCCAGCTCCCCAGTATGCTCGCCGTGACAGTAGGATCTTCTGGATGATGTACCTCACATTGGCGTGAGTAGGGGCATGGCCGGCCTTTTCTTGGTACAGAATCCATAAAATCACCTTCTTTTCTTGAACAGGGCTTATTTTCTGCCTGTGAGTATGTCCTTCACGCTGGGTGCCAGTTGTAGGCATCGTGAATTCTTTAACTTTACGAGAAAGGGTGGTTTCTGGTACTCACTCCATAGCGCTGGACAGCCTTCTGGAGGGACAGATCGTCACCGTTCACAGCGGTTATCGCCTTAGCAAGGTCTTTTTCGGTGTATAAAGCCGCCATTTCGACGTACTGAAACTTATGATGCTTACAGAAAAAAAGGAAAAAAAGAACCACAGAACTTCTGCCTGGTTGGAAGGGATAGGGGGCACGGGTCCCATTACCCCTCAGATTAGGGCCGGACGTGCTAACTTCCGACCCCTGCCACGGAACATCCCGCTGTAGGACACCTAATAAATTCCACATTGGAAGAAACACCAAGAAAAGATAATTCAGACGATATATTTATGATATCTACAGCTTCAATCCTGATAGAGATGTGGGTGGGTGCAAATGTTGTGTTTTGGTGGGGGAACTGTCCCATCTGGGGGGCTGTCCCATCTGCATGCCCCCGCCGTTACGCCAGACATACCAAGGTGAACACTCGAAGGACATCGGGCAAACTGGTGTACACGTAACTACATCTTGGAAGTCACTCGCTCTGGCTAACAATCCCATCTCGTGTTCACATACTGGACATAGACTATATCTCGCCCCTCGCCTTCGCAGTAATACTCGCCGGATGGTTGACCCTGGCGCGAAGCAGCCGCTCGCGCTGCCAATCGCCCGCCTTGACGTCCTCGTACTTGGACGTCTCGCCCTCCGCCACAAATGTCGGCACAGTCCTGAGCATGACGTCCTGACTCGACGCGAAGAAGTACGCCAGGTTGTAGCACCCGCGCCCGCTGATGTTGCGCACCCGGTGCATCGTGCTCACGAACCTGTCGTCGAAGTAGTCCTCGGGCAGATCCAGGCCGAGTGCGATGAGCCGGAGCAGCACCGCTGAGCAGGCCTGCACGGCGGCGCGGTGCTCGTAGATGGTGCGATGAAAGTCTGCCGGCTGGGGCCACTGGTCCAACGGACGGGGAGGATGCGTCGATGCGTCGAGGTCGGACGCTGCGTGCTGTTACGGCTCGTAGGGGTCGTCGGCCATGTTGAAGGCCTCCTTCAGATCTCCACGCGTACGGTCATCGAGACGTGTCTCCATGAGAGCCTCGTACCCCTCCTTGATCGCGGGTGACTTGTTGATATGGATTTCCAAGCATGCCTATCCCGAAGGTTCGGTTGCTCTTCACTATCAACTCCGTAGTCCTGCCTCCGATTGTCATCGGACAGTTTGGTAAACGAATCCAACTAACCCTCGAGTTCCATGTTAGAATACCGGACAGAAGCATCGTGTCTTCATCAAGATATCCCAGGCCCCTTTCCGCCCGTTTTCTTCAAATCAGACTACTGACTACCTTAAGTATGGAGTCTTCTGCATGCTACAAGCTCGCAACTCCGGCGAAGCGGCCCGGCACGTTCTCACAGACAGGAACGCTCAAACGCGTGGGCCATGCTGGGCGGGATCAACTCCGTTATAACTTATGGGCAAGATGAGCACCAGCATCGTGAACCATCCGGACCTAGCGCGCTACGACCGCACGCAGACGGCGCCAACATGGTCGCAGCTCATCGCGCTGCCCATCGGCAACACGCTGTGCGCGACGCTCGGCATCTTCGGTACGAGCACGATCTGCGGCGCGCCGGCGACGCCGTCGTGGCCCTGGGCTTCGTCTTCTTCATCCTCGGCAGCGACCTCGGCGCCAACGTGATCCTCTGGGGCGCCGCCACCGCGGTGCTGTTCCCGCGCTACTTCAACATACGCCGCGGCATGTACATCTCGTACGTGCTGGGCATCCTCGTGTTCCCCTGGCGCATCCTCAAGAACGCCTCCAGCTTCCTGCAGTTCCTGGGCGGCTACAGCAGATATCTTCCCGGGCCCCTTCGTCGGCATCTTCCTCACGGACTACCTGGTGTGCCGCCGGGGCAATGTGCATGTGGCCGACTTGTATACGCTCGGGGGCCGGTATTTGTACCGGCACGAGGCCCACTGGCGCGCGGCCGTGGCCTACGTCGTCGCCCGTGGTCCTTCCTATCCCCGGGTTCGCGCGGACGTTCGGCGAGCCTATGCCCCTAGCCTGGTTGCGGATATACCAGGTCAGTTGGCTGCTCACGTGTACGCTTAGTAGTGTCGTCTATTGGCTGCTGTGCTTCGTAGGGGTGTCGTCGTGGACGAAAAGCAGATGGCAGTCGAGGCGATCGCGTGGGAGCAGTTGGAACCGTACATCGACCCGGAAAATAGAGCGAATACAGGGCCAGGAGCCACCCTATAGTCGAAGCTGTGGGCGTGAGCAACGGCCCGAAAGTGTAGCACATCACATGAGCAGCATATACAAAGAGCCCCAGATGTTGAAGCCTCAGACCTGCCTCTGGTCCGCAATTGGGGGCTCCCCTAGCCTCTAGGGAGCGATTGTAGCCACACATGTCTCCCCCCGGGATTTTCCCTACGAAGAATCATAATTGAAGGATCTAGGAGTCGGCCACTCCGCAACTGCAGAGCGTGTAGTCTGTACACTCAGCCCTCATAGGTCTCCGTACGCTCGCTTATGTTGCTAAGATTCCATGATGCCCATGGGATATTTCTAAATACCGAATAAGCATATAGGAATAAGCAGCTTTGGAACCATACGCCACTCTAATTGCTTTTTCCAGTGTGCTTATAGCGATCTTGTGAATGTATCTTTATCTGCTGGAAGGGTGGCGTACGGAGACTTATACGGGTTCAGTGTACTATGCGTTGGGCTTGAATCAAACTTCAAATCACTTCAGACAATACACACTGCCTAGAGCGATCAGTACCGTCTTTGACTCTACTCTCTACAGCGTGTCGGGTCTGACCGAGTGCTTGTAGCCAAGTAGTGAAAAAGACATACCGTACAGGAAGGCGTGACTGGACCCATCTGACAGACAGTGGACAACATCCCTGGCGCTACTCCGCAGGATGAAGGCCGGCAAAATGCATGGTAGCTTCATATTGACCCCTGTGGGGATATGGGATCTTGCCCACGCCACGGTGATGCCATTGCATACGATATGCAGGCTCGATGGAGATATCCGAGAACGGGAGCATGCGTGGCCGGCTCCAGTCGGGTTCTCGGCGAGATACTTGTCGTGGGAACCTGGCAAGGGGTGAGTGAATGGCGAGCAAAAAGCGCCGAGGGTGGCTATTATTCCGGAAGACAAGCTGTTATTATAGAGACATCTGTGTTTATCTTAACTTTTCGTTTTGGTTTTCTTTAGGTAGTTAGAACGGTGGAACACAAACCGTGCTGCCCAAATTCAGGCCGAATGTTGAGCAGCATGGCAAGCGGTACTGTGTCCGATGGTAAGGAGCTTATGTTATTTTCGGAGAGGCGGTTCTCGATGCAGCTGCGTATAAGAAGACCGGTGTCAGTTTCGCTCATAGCAGCCATAATATAAGGAAGTCAAAGGTCAAAGTGTCCTTATAGAAGCTGGTCGGAGGAGGCGAAGTGTTGGTTACCATCCCCCACCCCCTAACGGGACACACCCCCCACCGGGACAGCCAAACCCCACAACCACCACCAAAAGTCCCCTACCTCACTTACACGGATTACAGCCCCCTTTGAGGCTATCTATACGCTCTTTAGATGGTTAGATAGCCCTTTTTTTGGTGTTTAGTCGGATATAGATTAGTGAAGTTTCAGCCATCGGTATCAGTGATTAGGAGCCTCTATGCCCCGCCCCTAAATACAAATTTGCTGTAGAATTCTCTCTCTGAGCCCCTGACCCTTATGCCACCACAGCATCGTGAAGCCAGCCACGATGCCTCCACCCACGTACACTGAAGATAATATGGCGAATGCCTGGCTAGATGTGACAGATAACGGCATGTCTGTGAGAAAAGCCGCCCAAAAACACGGCATCCCTAAGCAAACGCTATCAGCACGCATCAACGGCAGAGTCACCCGAGCCGAGGCCCAGGTTAGTAAGCAGAGACTCTCCCCTCAACAAGAGAGTAAGGTGGCTCAATGGATATTGCGCCAGGAGTCCCTAGGGCTTGCCCCTTTTCACACAGCCGTGCGGGAGATTATTGTACAACTGCTGAAAAAGGGGGGGGATTTCGCACCACTGGGCCCGAATTATATAGAGGGCTATACATGCCGTAACCCTACCATCCAGACTAAAATCGGTAAGCGGATGGAATCCGCTCGGTTTAAGGGGTTCACCCCTAAGTCTGTCAACTGGTTCTTTGACATATTGGGGGATTATCAATGGGTAAAGCCAGAAAATACATACAATGTCGATAAGGGCGGCATCATGTCGGGTTTTGGTTAGTCTTTTAACCCCTTATTCACCCCTATCCTGTTAGTTAATTAGCTAACCCCTATAGGCATCAATTCCCTAGTCTTAGGAAGTTCTGAGACTACGAAAGCCTTCCTAAAGAGTCCCTAGGGGCGTGGCTGGACCTCTTTTATCGAAGCCATCTCAGCCACAGGAAAAGTTCTCAAACCAGGCATAATTTTCAAAGGAAAAGATCTCCAGGCCCAATGATCGAAGAATTCCGCAAAATCGCGGGTTGGTACTACATAACGTCAGATAACGGCTGGACCAGTAACGAGATTGCGTGCCTATGGTTAGACCACGTTTTCCTACCCCAGGTGGATGCTGTACGAGGGGAAGACCAGGCAGAGCCGATCCTTTTGATACTAGATGGCCATGGTAGCCATATTTCCGTACGTTATTTATTTTTCAGGGGTTGTTTAATCAGTCAACTAACTGTATAACTAACAGGACAAGTTCATGTTGCGGTGTTATTTTGCCAATATCTTGCTTTGTTTTTTCCCAGCCCATACCAGCCACGGCATACAACCACTAGATAACGGACCATATAACGCGCTCAAAGCCTACTACCAGAGATTTCTTTTGTAGTTAAATTCTCTCATAGATGCCTCGCCCGTGGATAAGATCAACTTCATCCGCTGTTATTCTCAGGCTAGGGACAAGGCTTTTTCTAAGCCGAACATCCTCTCGGACTTCCGAGTGACGGGGTGCTACCCAGTTAGCCGCAAGAAGTATTTGAAACACCCGGAAATCCAGGAGGATAAAAGAAAGACCCCGGAGCCAGAGGAAATTGAAGACTCGGAGCCAGAAGACCAGCGGACCCCTACCACAAGCCGACAGATCATAGATTTTATAAAAAACCGCTCCCCAGCCACTCGGCTGAAATTCAGGAAGATCTCCCACGCCTTCAAGAACCAGGAGACGGAGCTGGCCCTAAAAGATCATAAGATCAAGACCCTGGAGGCTGAATTAGAGCGGCTACGGCCCAAGAAGAAGAAGAAGGTCCCAAATCCGAACCGGAAGTTCATAAATATGACCGAGATATTGGCCCAGGGGAGTGACCCGTTAAGAGCCGTGGTTATAGAGTCTTTAGAGTCAGAAGCAGAGCCAGAGATTATTAAAGATAAGGGTAAAAAGAAGGAAGAGATTGAGGAGGCTGAGGAGGGTGAAGAAGCCCCTGTTACAGAGCCCAAGGTGACGAGAAGCGGTCGGTCAATTAGGGCGCCAGCTAGATACTTGGATTGAGGAGCCTCAACACCACAGAATGATAATTTTGTTGATTTCTTTGGGCATCTACAGCCTCAATTGCGTGTAAGTGAGTAAGGGGGTATTTTGGTGGTGATGGTGGGGTTTGGCTGTCCCGGTGGGGGGTGTGTCCCGTTAGGGGGTGGGGCATGGTAGAAGTCATAATCTTCTGGTATCTTATGCCAGCAGCAAGGACCCTATGCCGGAGCTCGACAATACAATGGCAAGGTTGTCAGATCATCATACAGATCGACAGTTGTTCCACAGGTAGCCGCTCACACAGTAGCGGTTCGGGGCGCACCCCCGGAGCTGCACGCTCGCAAGTGCCGCGGCCGCGGTCCCACATTGCCGAACTCAGCATACCGACCTCCAGCTGGCATGCAAGTGATTGAGCTTGCGCCCTCTCGGCCAATCATTGCTATCGAACACTCGGAGTCGGGTGCGCCTGCGCCAATGAAATGCACGGAGGCCGCTCCGGCTTGGAGAGCATGTTATCTGGGACCCGGTTATCTGGCTGTCTGGCTAGAGTCCTAGACGCGGCTGCGCGGGCGGACACCGTTAACCGGAGCATATTTGCAACGCCCAGACGGTAGACCCGAAGCCCGACCGGGTTTGCCACAGTAATTGCGAAGATCGCCCGGTGCAATCTTGAATAAAAAGGAAGCTTCCTAGACCCGTCTGCCATCTGCTATCTGCCCTCTGCCATGTTCTCAACGACGAATGGTACGAGACACTCACCGGGCCACCAGCTCTAGAACAATCTTGACCAGCAATCTGATCGCGCAGTGCATCGACAACAACATCGACCACAACCCCGTCGCACACATGGACATGCGCCAGTCCCTCAGCGTTGTACCCAGTGACATCATGTCCTCAAGAAATAGCTTGCGCAGGTGTTCCGGCGAGGAATGGCTGTCCTACACGATGGCCGACAGCTGGAAGGGCATGTTCAACATGCCCAAAGACAACAAGGTACTTCCTGACAACGCCATGCGCGACGACGTCGCGTCCCCCACGAACACAACACCTGGGAGCATGCTGTTTGATAGCCTGCCCTCCATGTCAGAAAGTGGACAAATCAACTCGTGTGTACATATACAGGGCCAGCGCGACTGATCAGTTTTATAGCCTCCTTGCAGAACAACAAATGCTTTTACCCCCCCATATGGTTGGCCTTCTGACAGTTTGATACCTTAGCCTGCCCTCTAGCAGCACAAATGTGCACACCACACCCGACGAGAACAGCCCAAGCAGCTTCTCGCCAGGCAAAGACCACAATACACCCAACAGCACCGACGTCGAGTCTATGGCTAGCTATACCCTCATGGCCGACCCCGTCTTCCCCCACGACGAATGCCCCCCAGCCACAACCGGATTCAGCTTCTTCGCCGACGACTTGATCTCCCCTATCACTATCACATCGATGGCGAGCGACCTATTGTATTTCCGATCGGAGCCGCTCGTGGACTGGACCAACCTAACAATGGCCGCTGGAGTCCCGAATGAGGCTGTCGAGAGTCACTTTTACCAAGTCAGTCCCTCTGCAGTTCAATTCTTGCCGAAGCTCAACTGACACCACACCAGTATCCCCTATCCATCCACGACGGAGCTTCCATCGGCGCAACCGAACTCGGGAGCTCTGAACCACCGCAAGCCGCATACCAAAACCCCTACCAGCAATCAGTCCATCGGATGGGTTTACCTGCACAAAGCGAGCAGCAGACAGTCTCCCAGCATGTGGCCGGCGACGGCGGCACTAGCCTCGAGTCATCCGATCCGTCGCTGGACTCCATGAACAACAATGACCCCATTCAGACTGTGGACTACGGGACCAGCCAGCCCTCCCAGACGTTGAAGACAGGCCCGCGACCGGCGGAAAAATCGGCCGCGAGGAGAAAACACAGGCAGCAGAGCACTTCGTCGGCGAGCACCACTAGCGCTCACCATCTGCAACTGGTTCTGAGCGTCCTTCGTGCAACTAAGCTGCCATGACGCTCTGGCCTCCGTCTGTGGTAACCCGATGTCTCACGATGACATGCGTAACATGATGCGCTAGTCGCTTATGGGTCGTCTTCATCACACCCCCCTCAATCTTCTTCTCCAAGTCGACAACAGCACTTGGCGCAAACACCAACGCCTCCCCGGTCCCGAGCTTAACAATACGCGCAAAGAGCTCGAGAATCGGATCTTGCGAGGAGATTATCACGCCGCGCAAGCCGCTAGCGCCATTCCGCTCGTTCACTGCCTCAGTGTCTCCATGTTCCTTATCGTCGAGCATTCTGGCAATCCGGGCTCCGGTGGAGATTCCAGCCAGATGCTGACTCAGGACCCTGAGCCAGTCTGGAGAGGTGAACCGGTGCACAATGGTGATGCTGCACAAGTCAAGCAGCTTCGGTGATATCGTGGGCTCTTGTGTCGAGATGAAGACTCGCGCGCCGAGATGACGTTGCAGGCGGATGACCGAGAGGAGATTGTTCGTGAGCCCTTCGCATTCAGCCGTTTCACCCATATACTTGTGCGCCTCGTCTAGGGCGACGACGCGACCTAGTAGTGTTTTCTGCTCAAGGAATATTGAGAGGCAGATGTTGAACAGCGAACAGGCCATGGCCGCCGTAACGCACGGGCACGACAGGTCCACAATGATCAGCTCCCCGGCCTATACAAGAGATAGTCAGCATTACTACAATGGAGTTACTTCGAAGTGAAAACAATAGGAGTCCAATCAGTACCGGTTGTGTTGCTGGTGCAAGCTTCGAGCCTACCTTGTCTTGGAGCAATAAAGCTCTCCAACGTGTCCAGCCGCTGGTTGAGGGGTCGCATCTGATCAGGCGCCAAGGCCTCTCGCTTGATTTTTTGGACAAAATCATCGTACTTGAAAGTCGATCTGGTTTTTTGCTGTGCGATACGCATGTCTCTCAGGATTCTCAGGATTACCTGCAGGTACAGTGGTTGGTTTTTATCGCCAAATGCCATGAGATCAAGCATGCGCTTTGTGTTCAGATCCGATTCGTTCAATCTCAACTCTTCAACCTTCACGTTGTCGAATGTACTGTAAGTATCTTGCGATATGTCAGATGATATCAAGGACAAGCGTAATTGTATACGTTACCTTTGTGACGGCAACGTTGGTGGGCGGGCATAGAACCCGGACCTTCACACGAGGGTCAGTAGCGAGATAGGCTGCCTCGCATGGGGCACCGCCAGAACCAGATATGAACGTATCGTAATGGAAAACGATCCCGGTCAGGGGCTTTGGGAGGTAGCCGAGCTTCTTTGAGGGGATCAGACAACTCTCAAGCATGGAAGAGAGGATATGACTCTTTCCGGAGCCCTGACTGCCACAGATGAAGGTACTGGAAGGCACTGCAACATTATAGAAGACTCGCGGGTCACCAGGCGGCGTCTAACCGAGGCCCTCTACGTCTCCGGCGAAAAGCGCGTATTGGGGGGAACCTCTGGAGCTTCCAGATGAGAGGTTTTGGGCGTGCTTCAAGACCGGGTACGTGAACAACGGGGCCGATAGGATCTCGTCAAGTTCGTTCTTCTCGGGATGACGCTCGGGAAGGTCGAGGTGATGCTTTAGCATCTCAATCTCCATCGCTGACTCGAGGTCTTCTTGTTGCATCAAGGTCTCCTCTTGAGATTTGGGGCCTTCGACGGCTCCTGAATCGGGGCTGTTGACGGAACGGGACGACGAAACGGCTGTTCTGGGGTGGGTTGCCAACATGGTCGACTCTGCAGGGCATGCGCTTTTAGCGAGATTTCCGGGTGGATTGAATGATAGGTAATCCGAAGGATCGTCTGCAAGCCCAATAAGAATTCTCTGTCTATTTTCCAGATTCGGCGCTTGAGAGCTTCCTATTGGCTTACCCATTTTTGTGATGAGCAATGGTGTTCGTTTGTTGTGCGTGGCTGTGACGATGTGGTCCTCTCTTGGGTGCGAGGACTATGAAGCTTTGATGGCAGAATATATAGTCCAGTTATTATATAAATAGGCTCTCTATATTTAAGAATAAAACAGCGGATAACAAAGTGTATTAAAGAGATTACACATTTAATGTTAAGCGTTATGTTCTCCTTTATAACCTGCGTTAGACAACAGAAACTCTTGGCAGCTCAGGTAGCTTCTAAACGAATTAAAACAATGAATATTAGTCTAAAATAAGGGAATATCAGGTCGCAAAGCTAAAAATGAATGATAGAAGGAGCTTTCCTACCAAAAGAGAGAACGATGCTGCGTCTTGTTTATGTAGTCAAATAGGCCCCTTCACCCCGGCTGCTGTTGCATATAGGCCAGGCATAGTCTGATCTGGACTGATGTAGATAGCAGCCTGGTTGCTGATGATTCTTTCTATTCATCCGTGGTGTTATCGGCAGTCCCTTGATTACCCCCTTGCGGCAGATCCATGGGTCACTCTTTTCTGAGGTGCCAGTCGTCATCCATTAGACGCTCCCCACCCGCAGCGTCGCTTGGTTTCAGGAGCTTGTTCCTGCTGTTGGCCACGTAACGGATGCTTGTGGTTTGAGGGCTCGCTGGTGTTACGGTATTACATAATACCTCCACATATTTATGTCGAGGAAAAAGAACTCAGACAACCCTCCAGTCCGCCACGGGACAATAAACAAAACAGGAAAGGACTCCATGCAATGGCTGGGTGTCTTCCTGGATAGAAAACTAAACTTCAAAGATCACATTTCCTACTGGGCCAAGAAAGCTAATAGGGTAGCAAATCACCTTTGACGACTATGCAACACAGTCAAAGGACTTCCAGTAAAGTCAACCAAGAGGGCTGTGAAAGCTTGTGTTATTCCTATTCTTACACACGGCCTGGAGGCCTGGTACCCGGGAATCAAAAAAATTAGGAGCTTAGGTGGGACATCAGCATGTCGCATTAAGGGGCTTCTTGAAACAATAGATGCCGTACTACGAACGGCGATCAGGGCTATCTTGCCAGTCTGGAAAACACACCCTGGACATATCCTACACTTTGAATCGCAGATTCCCCCAGCAGGAGTTCTTGCAGAGTCAATAAGACGACGTCACGGCCTACGACTAGGATAAATAGACCAGAGATACCCTCTTATTGGCAGGCTCCAAATACAAGCTTCGCAAGAATCCAACAAGGCTATAAAGGAGCTTCCAGCTAGTCCCTGACTTCCAGAGACCAACACTTACCAGGCCATTATGAAAGAAGCCCCTAAGCCACAAAAACAAAGACAAAAAAACAGAGCTCTTTAAGCAATGGCTATAAGAGAGAAACGTGAACACTGACCTTGTTATCTATTCAGATGGATCATAGTTGGACGACCAAGACACAACCCGCACTGGATGGGGTTATACCATCAGGAAAGGCGGCACTACACAAGAAGTATACCGGGGAAAGGGCAGACTTCTTTAAGCAGAAGTAATAGATGCTGAAGTCCATGGTGCTCTCCAAGGTCTTGTAACAGCCAGGGCAATTGGACACAGAAAACAGCTATATGTCTGCCTGGACAACACGTCAGTGGTAGATGGGCTCAATGGGACTCCACCCGAGACATCACAGAATATTGTTCTATAATTTCAAGAACTTGCCACAGCACACACTCCTGGAGTGACCGTCAAGTGGATTCTTGGACACAGAGATATTGATGGTAACAAAGCTGCCAACATACTAGCAAAAAAGGGTGCCATGCTAGAAACAAACATAACAAATCTTTCTACAATCTCTTGGGTCAAGAGAGATCTCAAAAGAAAGGGCAAGAAAGAGTTCAACCAATAATAAAAAGACCAATCAGAACCTAGATATCAAGAAGTATACTTATATATAATAACTAAAAGAGACCTTATATCTTTTAAGAGGAGTACTTTACACAGATTTTTAGCAGCCAGATCTGGACATGGCGACTTTGCCAGATACTACGAACGCTTTGGGCATACAGACTCGAATGATCATTACAGCTGTGGTGAGAAGAAAATACCACAATACGTTTTCTTTTGTAAGAGGCTGGGAAAAAACTGGCTGCTGCCCAGGTACTCGCCTAGGGCAGCTTGTTTACAATACTTAGGGGAAAGGAGCACAGAATGGGCAAAATTTGTGGAGAAGAGCAAATTCTTTTCATTAATCTGCCCTCGATAAATAGCTGTTCTTGAAGGACCAGATGGATGACCCAAGGTCATACCGCCGCAATAACGGGAATGGGCTCGTGAGCGGGACTGACTGTACTTATTTTCTTGATACCTCCACAACCCTGCGATGCAGAGGCTCTGGGAGGCGTGGTCTGCACTACTGAGGAGCTACCCCCCACGTTAAATACAAAACAAACACAACATTTTGGAGCTGGATGGGACTGTACATATCTTCTAACACATCCACAACCATGTGATACACCGGCTCTGGGAGGCGTGGCTTGCAGTGCTGTCCTAGAGAGAGAAACTGAGAAGTTCGAGTCCATGGTGCATGCATTTTGAACGTTCAGAAAAGGTCAATAGTAGGTCCACACAGTAGCCTGTCAAGATCATCCATGTCTAACGCCAACGCAGTTTTTGGATCTGTCGCACGCAAACCAACTGTCACCCGCCCTTTTAGCCTAAGTGGGATCCGATTGTGACCAGGAAGCTGGTTATCGACTGGCCCGATTCCTGAATCTCTCGCGATAGACTTGCCAAACCTTTCCTGCATGACTACATAATGGAGACCTCTTGTCAACTCATACTGCAGTTGCCGAATTATGAATTATTGCAAGCATACCAACAATCTACGCCTAACCCAACGCCACCGCCATCTAACACTGGTCGCGTCCAAACAAAATGTACAATTAATTGTTCTACGGGCTCGAAGGCTAAAATGGCTAGTATATACATGATAAGTTGCGTAACTCAGAGACTTTCAACCATTCTCGATCGAATCGTAGAAATCCAGAATCTATTCGATTCATGTTCCAATGCAACAGCATGGGCAGGTGATGCCTGTGACACAGATTAAGGGAAGAGGAGAGAAAGGTCTCTGGCCGTGTTACCTGGTCCCCACTGCTAGTAACGTCTTTTGGATATCAGTCATCTAGAGCATGCACCACAGGGCTCGACTTACTTGACGTATCATGCTCCAGAGAACTGCCGTTCCGAAGAACCAATCCGGCCAATATCCGCTCTTCAGACATGAGAGGATTGCAAAGGCAACCGTGAGCGACGTGCTCAGTGCCGCCGTTGAAGCTACAGCAACTGTGTATGAGCGCCTGTACAGGACCCTCACCGGGAATGGCGGCTGGTGAGATACTTGACTTAGTAGCCTGATGGTGGCAATCAAGCTCGGAATTGTAATCGGGCTCTCAATAGCAAGTACCGTGTAGATTGCCGAGATTTGAAGGATAGTAGGACTTTCCATAATGTGTCAACTTATAAAAAACTGGCGCCTCATTTCACAGTACAACAATGACAGCAAGGAGGTTAGGACCCTTGATAAGTACTTATAGATAGGCACGAGAAAACTGTAACATTACATCATTAGGGAGAATCGGGATCGGGTAAATCTGCCTCCGATAAATAGCTAAAGCATTGTGGGAGGCGCATTGTCGGCTTAATCCAGGTCCATTCTATCATGTTCAATCTGACTTCGAAGTGTGGTGACTTGTTCGCTGATGCTCGGATCATTTTTCGCCTTGGACTGTTCTTCCAAGACAGCTAACCTGGCTTTAGCATCCTGTAGTTCGGCTGCTTTTGCAGCTGCTGTGCTCACCATGCGTCTAGTCCTCGGGCGCCTGCCTTTGTCTACCGCTCTAGTTTTCTTTACTCTATAGTGTGCCTAGTTATTTAATTGTTTGCGACCGACATCGATGTTGATGCCATCTTTCCAGCCTCGCCAGTAAGGACCAAGGTTTCTTGGGATCGAGCACTGCCGCGACAGGCACTGGATAGAAAATATAAGTATATGTCATTTTTATGCTGAGGTTTCTCTTACTTACTTTGTGTGCCGGCTGATTAGACATGGTGCCTCCATATCTTGCGTGATTACGGACTTCCTTTGCCAAGCAATCGACAAACATCTCATTCTCCTGCTTGAGCTGTCGTGCCCGAATTGCGATTCTTTTCTGATATAGTCTGAGGCTGCCCAGTTGTCGGCTGGCAAATGACCCTGCCGCCCTCCTCTCGAAAAGAGTCAGCCTTTTGGTAGCGTGTGTGTTGGCCCCTTTGCACGCTATGCTTATCCGAGACTCTTGACTTGTTGGCGAATGCGTCCTTGTCCGATCTTGTCTAGCTTGGTGTGTTGCATAGTATGATTCTTGCCGGTCTCTTAGTTCACAGATACTGCGGGTTAAATTCCAACCATATTCTTCCAAGTTGCGTCCAATTTTTATAAGCTCCACAAGTTCTCCATGACGTTGGCAATGTTGTCGTGTCTGGCTTGCCAGATTTGTCATTAGAGAGACCTCGTTCCTCATCCGCTCTGCTAACGAACACAGCCCATGCGCAACCCCTAGGCAGTAGCTGCACCTGTCGGAAGCTCGACAGCTCCTGGCTGCCAAAGCCAGCGTTATATTATAGGTGATTTCAAACGCTACCGCCGCGTTGGTGGTGGCTTCGGCTGTGCCGTGGAACTTCCATTCCAAGCAGGACGGAGTCGATGCCATGAAGCTGACGCAGCCGAAAAGGTGTGACATCGTTTTCGCAAGACAGCCGGTGAAGGCCATGTTCACGGCCTTGGTGGACGTGTCCGCCGTAATAGAGACAACGCTCTCCTGTGTACCAGGTGACTTATTTGTGAGACCAGGAGGAGACACTGGCAACTTATGCCTTTCGACCAACTTACAGCACGTTTGAAGTGCCATCTGGGCTTCTTGGATAGATACAGAAGGATAACAGGATTTTTCAACACATTTCAGGATAAGTCTAATTGTACGTATGTCCAGGTTTGTTTGACTCGACATTCCATGAATTTTTACCGGCGTTGGAATGGGCAAAATTCGTGGAGAAGAGCAAGTTCTTTTCAACAATCTGCCCCCGATAGATAGCTTTTTCTGAAGGACCAGATGGATGACCCCAAGGTCATACCGCCGCAACAACGGGGATGGGCCCGTGAGCGGGACTGACTGTACTTATTATCTTGAGACCTCCACAACCCTGCGATACAGAGGCTCTGGGAGGCGTGGTTTGCACTACTGAGGAGCTACCCCCCACGTTAAATACAATCAATCAATCAATCAATCAATCATTTTACGGGCGCTGTTGCGAGATGAGTCACCCGCGCACGCTGCTTTGGTGGTATATGGGCGGGCGGCATCTTCGAAGTTGCGAATGCTGTATTGGAAGAAGTGTTCGGGATTTCTCTCGAATTCCTTCTCTCTAGAAGTCTTCAAGGCTTGAGCTACCGCTAATGGTCGAAAACAGATAAATAATGTAGCCAAAGATGGCTGTTGGTCACATGGCCCCAGCCTTATTTTGTGCTTCTATCCTATTCGCGGGAAACTGCCGAGTCCGCCTATTTGCCTCCACCTCGCGCAATGATTGTCGAAAGAGCCATCTTTGGCCACGGGTCTTTCTCAGATAGGCTCTCGCAGTAGATGACAAATGTCTTTCTGGATGCCTCTGAGGGCTGATTTCGGCCATGCTTGAGATGCAGTGCTGTCTCGTACCCCTATGTCTACAGACGGTTGAACTGGCCGCGTCCATACCTGGATCTCGAGTATCGCGTTTGCAACCTCCAAGTCGCTATAACCACATGCGGCTGCTTCGTTCACTTTGTGTCAGGAGCTTGTTCCTGCTGTTGGCCCCGTAACGGATGCTGGTGTTTTGGTGGCTCGCTGGGAAGATAATTCTGTCACCGGGAATCGCCATATACGACTTTCAATAAGAACACTCAAAGATCGCCGGAACCCCAAGAAATACACAAAATGTCTACCCTCACCATGACTTCTTCTCACCATCACCATCTTGTCGTCCACAAGGCGACCAATCATCAACACGAAGACGAAGCCGACTAGGTCGCTGTGGATGGAGGGTTATGGCGACAAGATGGTTGGCATCAGCCAGATGTTGAAATAGAAGAGGACCAATTCTCCGAAGTCATCAAGGCAGGTACCAAATACATGTATAATAATAGGCCCTGTGGGCTCGATGTAAACTTAAACACCGTCATTAAACCATCAGCCTTGCAAATGTCACTCATATGCCGCTCGTCAGTATTATCTAAGCTCTTCAGATAAGCGCGGTGATCTCAGGTTTAGTGTTTTCAGGGAAGTCCGTCTCGGTAATTGTCGCGGGCCCTACGGCATTTCGACCAGATTCTGCACCCTGGATGCTCACTTGGGGATGATCGTAGCGAGTCCGGTTTATCTAGCGGGCTGTCGTCGGTTCTGACGTTGAGCGATACTGTGTTGCTGACAGACACAGGGGTCATGAGCTGCACTCCATTCTCCGGCTGAAGGAGATACTCCATTACCAGCGCATTAGTATGCTTTTGCTCATGCAGCTCGAGGTATGCCACATCTAGGGGGAGCAAATGGCGCGAGTCCACTGTACCGGAGAAGCCAGTGGTCAGTCGCTCTCGCACCTTGCCGATGTCCCGCAAACCCCCAAGTCCCGCGACCGGTTCCGCGCTCTTTCCCTTTCATCCTGATCCCATGCCCGAAGGTCGTCCGTAGGCTGCGCTCGCACCTCAAGCCCCGTGGGACGCTGCGCCGCAAGTGACGAAGACGCCGGCGCGAGTGAAGGCGGAAGCCCTTACTCGTCTTCTAAGCCCACCGATCCGTCCCCTAGCCCCATTGTCCTTTTGTTCGCCCTCTCCCTTTCCCGCTCATCCTCTTCCCATGCCCGATGGTCGTCCGTGACCCTAGAGCGCTTCTTCGGGTTCGGGCCCGTGTAGCGCATGCTGGCGTAATGCTTCCGGGATATACGCCGGAACTTGCTGCATTGCAGCGTGACCGGGACGTCAGCGCTGAGGCTATCGTGGAGGTCGCGAAGCGTAAGGTTGACATGAGCGTCGGTGGCAGTGGCGGTGGAGATGACAGGATGGATTTACACGTCGCGCATGAAGTGGTCAACAGGGCCAAGAGAGCCGTGCTGTGTCACGTCGTGTCGGAGGGCGTTAAGAGTGATTTGGGGAAGTGTAGGTGTCGTCGGCTGGTCCTTGGGCCAGACGTATTTAGCGTTGACGAGGAGGACGGCCCGGACTAGGCCATTGCCGTGGCGTATGTACTCTGACAGCGATGGGTTAATACCTGTAATCAGCAGCATGATGAAAGGAATATGTACGTGTGAATAAGCAAGGAGGGCGTCGGAGAACTTCAAGACTGCTTATTTGAGGGTGCTTATTCCAGACGGATCGCTTGCCTATTGCCATCCTGGGAGCCATGTTGACGGAGACTGATGGCTTGACTGTAGATGGGAACTGGTGAACGATACGGAGACTTACTTGCAGCTTGATCGAGCGGTGTATGATGCGACCAGCCGACCTCGACGATCAGGCCCGGGTACAGGTCTCTGACCTCCTCAGCTTCTCCTTGCGCACTGCCACTCCCACTGTCCGGTCCAGACCCATCATCACTCCCCGTAGATGTACTGCCCTCCTCACTACTGGCATCCTCGTCCTCCCACCACACGTTGCATCTGGCTCAAACTGAGTGCTTCGGGTGAGCGTCAACTTGTACCCGCCAGTCCTGCACACACCGCTGAGCAAGGCTCGTTGGAATTGCTTTATTATGTGTTCGCTAATGTCGTTCGTCGTATCGAAGTGGATCTCGGTAGGCATGCGGAGGACGAGGGACGACCCATCGAAGTCCCAGCGGACGCGCTCGAGAAACCAGCCGCCGAAGCCGTCGGAGCGCAGTCGCCGGGGCCACGAGTAGGGGAGGTGAGCGTCTTCGGGGGATAAAAAGGACGACGGGCTGCCGATACAGGCTTCGATGGTTCGGAGCAGACAGTCGAAGTCGGTCGTGGAGAATGAGATCGGGGCGGGCTGTTCGGGGTGCTCAACGTATACCTCGTAGAGCTTCTCCAAGGCCGTCAGGACGGTGGGAGGAATAGTTGGCGGATTACCGATAGGAACTCCGAGGACTACCTTCCTGGCGGTTCGCGGGCCCTGGACTTTGGGCGCGTCCTTGCTGTGCTGCTGCTCGTGGTGGCTGGACCTTGACGAGGCCCTGTCGCTAGCCGAGTCTGCAAGGTCGCCACCAGCAGAAGCAGAGGTAACAGAGGAGGAGAACGACTCGTCGATTGGAATTGCGTGGAATGCGCGATGCTTGAGACCTGTCGCTGGACGGGGCGCCGAGCGAGATGGCCGTGCTGTTGCGGTGGTCGAGGTGGTGAAGAGAGATGGGTGGATGCGGAACTGGGAATGCATCTAGAGACTGGAAGGGGAGACAGGACAGAATCTGGGGTCGACCCCACCATCAGAGGCAGAAACGCGCTGTCACATGACCTGCAGAAACCCATTCAAGCGACATGCACTTTGCGGATATCTTTAAAAGTAGTACTATCCAAGTGTAGAGGCAAGAATAGGGGTCAATGCCGGAGGAGCAAACCACGAGCACGACGTGGAATCAAAATGCGTACAATCTAAAACACTACGTTTTGCATCGTGTCTATTCTACTCCTAAACTTTAGGTCCATCTTGGACCGGACGAATTGCCATGCAGCAAGTCAAGGCGATTGGAAAGCTCGCCGAACGTGGAGTTTCCTGATAATAGCAGGCAATGAATTAATGGTTCATTCCGGATTAGCACAAGGACGACTCACATTCTTCGTCTGAAAATGAGGGTTACGATATGATTGCAGATGATGATGCATGGCTGATGCGCGGCTGATGTGTGGGTGATGCAGCATTCTCAACCAGCTGTCAAGGCTGAGACGAACGAAGATTGGCCGGTGAGTAGATCGACACTGATATTGCTATCATATGCACTAGTGGTATAGTACAAGACGAGAGACGAAGAGAAAAAGAGAAAACAAACAAAGAGAGGTTTCACAAGCCAATTAGGTACCCGCTACCGTCGGATACTGTTGGGGTATGGGGCATTGCGTAGAGTCCTGGGCTCGTTCTGCTGAGAGGTGTGAGCATGGTCGGTCCCGGGCCTGAAGGGAGCTGCGAAGAAGGCGATGCGGACTAGAGTATTGTCTGTTAGCCTCGTCGTACCACACGTTATGATACTACATCCAAGACGAGACATGAGCTGCAAGATTGGAAAATCACTCGATCGCAAGGTGCGAGAAAGAGAAAGAAAAGATGGCCAGGACGGGGACTTTCACGTAATTCGGATATAATCTTCTTGAGCGCCCCAGCCAGTATTTTCTAAGGAAACACCTTGACGTGCTTCTTGATATTGCGCGGCTTCGGATCCGGAAATGCCATGATGATCTTGAAGAACTCTTCGCTGTCTGCCTTAGCCTTGCTCACCGTCAGGGGCCGGAATTCCTCCAGGTTGCGCCGTATCCGGTTCTTCTTTTCTACCGTGAACCTCGCGGGAGACGCCACGAGCTGCTCTAACAGCGAGATGGTGTCGACACTGGTCACATAACACTCGTTCTTCTCTGCCCAGTATATGCAGCTGATGCAGATGCTGTTCGGTGGCCTTTCACTGATGGTGACAGGTTTGAAACTTGTTGACAGTATTAAGCCCTGCTGCTACTTGTTGAACATGACTATGCCCCTTCAGTTCTCCCACTCCTCCTGTGTCCAGTTGCTTGCTATCGCCTCCAGGTCGCTGTCGATCTTGAGGTTCGCCTTGGCCGAGTGCATGGCATACGGGTTCATCTGCGCGGGACTGAAAGATCCGGACGTCTGTATCGTGCTGGTCCGGATCAGCTGCGGTGCGCTCGACGTTGGCATGGGCAGAGTCGTGATGCTCGGGTGAGTTACCATCGCGTGATGAATGGCAGTGGGACTATGAGGCGTTATGGACGATCTGTAGGGACTCCATGTCGGAGCTTCAAGCAGTGGTGGTTGCGGGTAGTCGGCCGCGTACGACGAGCGGTGGCAGGGGCCGATCATGCTATTGTTTTTGTTATAACCTGTTTCATAACTTGAAGTGACAGCCGGATAGGCCGCCGGAGGGTAGCCGTAGCTAATGGTAGCAGCGTCGTGAGCTGGTCGGGCTCTGGTCTGGGTGGGCTCGGTCTTTGCTCAGGTTTTTTTGACTCCTTACGCGTGACAACCTCATGCGGACTCTCTGCCGCATTATCTTGCTCTGCTTAATATTGATACTGAGACCTCGATGAATCAAATGCTGGAGATCGCGGGGTAGTCAGTTGCAATTCGACCAAGTGGCGACCAATACCACCCAATCCGATCATAATTCCGATTTCGAAATAGTGGCGTTGAGAAGAATATCAACTGGGAAAAAAACACTCACCATGCATCTGGGGCAGTTGCGGCTTTGGGTATGCCGACATAGACAGGAGACCAGGTGGGAAATATCCCCACGAAGGTCTCCGTGTGACAATCAGGCCTGCAGCTGCGCTGGTCAGGGCTGATGGGATGAAATATCTAGATTCAACGATATCTAAGGAAGAAGAGACAAGGTAAGAAAAAGAAAGGGAAAGATAGGGTATATATGTACAAAGATATGTGGAGGTATTACGTAATACCGTAACACTCCGCCGTTCGCTCTCGCCGCAGCCTCTTCTACGTATCAGAGGGTCACCGTCTCCGGTGAGTCAAGCGCGTCAGCGTCGACGATGATGCGCCTCTGAGGATAGTAATGAGGCTGTCATCCCTCGTCAATAGGCTTTCTGAAAAGGTAGTCGAGATTATATGGAATATTCGCAGCTGTGTCAGCCTGAAGAATTATTTTCAGGAAATATATAAGCCTCATTGTGGCAAGGCCAATCCTTTACGCCCGAGGTCTTCACATTTTGGCAACATAGAATCTGACGATCTGGATGACTCGCAAACAGACCACAGGCCAGGGTAGGCTTTATACCAATAAGCTACCATTATTAACAAAATCATTCTTAGGGGCCATCACCTTCTCTTACATGCTTTGGTTCTTGCAGGCGAACCGTAAGGAAACTCAAATTATGACTAAGAATGATTGGCCATCAATATGACAGGGTGTTTCCCATGTATGTGTATTACGCCACGTCACTGCCCCCTGACCTATCCTTCATAGCCTCTCTAGAGCATCGATAACGTGCCATCGGACGAGGCATCGATGGCCGCTTTGGAAATCTGCGAGGGCGCTTTCAGGATGACTCATGGACATTCAGGAAACCCGCAGAGACTGCCGACCTATGGATGCAGGCGGCTGAGAATGACTGGTCATGAGTGCCTATGAATCCAGAAGTCCAAGTAGGAACACGACGGAGACGCATGCATCTTCCAGCTGTCACACATGCCGCTGCTTCTCCACACTCCACAATTGGGGTTCTTCTGTCCTGCCTAACAATATCCACAAGCTAGTATCGAAACAAGTCACCAGCACTGCCTCGGCGGCCGACACGACCAGGCTAGACGATCAGCTATCCGGCTGAAGTCAAGGTCAAGAGACGTCACCCTGTGTGAGAGCCGAAGACTGAGGAGATCCTCTCCGGCGGCGAGATGAGTCAGATCGACGCGTTCAACGCCTCGTTCCCCGCCGACTCCGCGCTGCTCTCTATCGGCGGCAACGACCTCTGCTTCTTCGACGTGATGAACGCCTGCATCTTCCGCTTCTACGACTTCTACTCCGGGACCTGCGAGACGGCGCTCGAGAAGTCACGCCACAGCATCGAGAGCGAGGAGTTCGAGAACCGCGTGCAGATTCTCATCATGGAGATCCTCGACAAGGTCCGCTGGGAGAAGAAGCCGTGGTTCTTCGTCGTGATGACGGGGTATGGTAGGTTCTTCAACGAGATGACGGACGGGTGTGACGAGATGAGCTTCGGCGTCTGGTGGAACGGGCCGAAGCTGAAGAAGGGACTGAGACTCCAGATGAATGCGCTGGTGCTTGCCGTCAATGCCAAGCTGAGGAAAATGGTTGATATGGTGAACTCGCGGTTTAACAGGGACAAGGTCCTCTTCGTTGACTATGATGAAAAGTTTGATGGCCATCGCTTCTGCAAAGCGAATGTTACGGAGCCGGATTACAGCCGCAATGAGACGTGGTTCTTCCTCGTCGGCGGGCCAGATAATGCGCGAAACGACACACGAGCGAATCATACGTCGGACGTCGAAACGTTGTCACCAGCATCGACCTTGGTTGACCCGTCGTCCTGCCTCGAGCCGGCTCGAACGTCTGGCGACTGGGGCGAGCTCGCCTTGTGCTATATGGTTATGGCGAAGCAACGCGACCCGATGCTCAAACCTACCCGTGGTGGTCTTTATGCCCAGAGTAACGGGATGTGGTACGTCCCGACATACTACGGCAAGACCTTTCATCCTAGAACGCTCGGGCATGAGAGGGTGAGAAACGCCATTTACAAGGCGTGGCACGAACTTGAGTCACGATAATATGTGTGATACATACGTGAATATATAGTTGGCAGGTTCCTTCGTTCAGAGAGTACTCATCCATTTTCGTGTGATTCATGTGCTCATGCACACACTAGACTGTGTCATGCAAGCTGGGATTACAACCACGTTCGATGATGTATGAATATGAACACCTATAGCATTGCAGGCTTTTTACTCGCTGCCCTACGCACTGTCCCAACTAGGCGTCGCATATTATAATGTGAGAATATGTAACTATGTCAATTTAACCTCTAATCAAGGCCCGCGTAAGAGAAAAAGGGGGTTACTAGATGCCCCTACCCCCAGGCAACCACGAAGTCAAATCCCCGACAATCTCAAAGCGAATAGCACCAGCGCGCTCATCCCCAAGCACGACCCTCAGCTGATCCATAACCCGGCGCGCCGCCGCCTGCTTTTGATGCACGCCGACGAGCCTCCACCCGTCCTGCTTCTCCAGTCCCGCACTCGTGAGGTACCGGCCGAACAAGATGCGCAGCCCGTTCTTCTTGCAGAAGCTCGGCAGATGCGGCAGGCTGCGCCCGCAGGGGGCGTACGGGCTGTGCAGGCCGTGCACAAGGAAGACGGTATGCAGGGACATCGCCTGCCGGAGGGCCGCGAGGTCGGCGGCCGAGATGCACGCGAAGTCCGTGGCTACGGACAGGAAGAGGTAGCGCGTGTGCTGGATTGGCAGAGGTACGGCTGCGGTGAGGGATCCATCCTGCGGAGGATTCTGGGCCTGATCCTGTCCTGAAGAACCGAAGTCATCTGCCGGCCGGCGGTACAATGACAGAGCAGATAACCAGTCCGTCGTCCCGTCATTAGTGACGCGGATCGTCTCCAGGCTCAGAGGCTCACGGACGGCATCCCACCACGCGAAGTCCACATCATCCGTAATGTTGACCGCGGGCAGCGGCAGGCGCTGGAACCCGCTGAAGACGGCGTCGTTGAGCTCCTTGAACGGCGACATCCGCAGCCGGGCATCGTGCCGGACGCCCCGGACGCGCCGGTCGGGGTACCGCGCGTAGTACCGGTTCTCTGCTGGGTCGCGCCCGTCGGGCCAGCGGCGGAAGTGGTGGATGCGCGGGAGCTCTTTGGCGGCCCAGTAGAAGCGCCATATAATGCAGCGCAGCTCTGGCGGCAGCTGCGGGAATAGGTGAAATTGGGGTTGGGTACGGGTGGTGCCCTTCTTCTTTCTGCCGAAGTATTGTAGCTGCGACTGCGTGAGGGTGGTCCGCTTCTTCTTCCTGCTGCCGAAGTACTGGAGCTGTGTGCCTGCCATGGTGTGTTCCTTATCGTGTCCACGATATTCACTATACTGCCCGAACTTTAGAGTCCAAAGGTATTGCTGAAGGCCGAATTGCGGCCCTGTTTGACTGTTTACCGACGAATATTATGTGGTATAAGTTGGTAAAGTTGGAAACTGCAGGTGAGGGTCGAGGGGCGTAATAATTGTGGCGAACTGACTTACAGGCGGGAGGAGGCGATGCAGGTGGTTGCCTGGAAGGATCTGCCGATCATGACCGCCAAGCCGAGGGCTACTGCCACTTGCAACCGAAGTGTTGTTGCCTCGCCTTAAATCGCTCCAGCCTTGGAACTTTTTGACTTGGTTATACCACGTCGGACTAGAAGAGGCCGAAGGGTGCACTGTGGGGACCAAGAGCAACTCCCCGGGAGTAGACGCCCTCACGGTACGGATTCTGAAAGCTTGCTGGCCAGTTATCGGGGAACATGTCAGAGCCCTTTTCCAGACCTGTCTACAAATCGGACACCACCCTCAACCATTTAAAGTAGCTGAGGTGGTAATGATCCCAAAACCAGGCAAGAAAGACAACTACGAATCAACCTCTGCTGGTGCCTAATACTTGCGACCTCTGAGAGTTGGGCACGGATCATAGTCACGTGCCTACTTTGTGGGCCGCACTTTGTGGGCCGCACTTTGTGGACCGCACATGCAGCCCAGCTAGCGGGTATAACCCTCATGCGATAATTGCTGAGTGGGAAGTTGTCGGCGGTTTGACTCAACATCACGTTTGTCTAGATGACTAGGAGAACGCGGCTCATCAAGTGATTACATCATCTTTACTGTCATGACTGTTCCATCCTCTGACAACACCCGTGCAATATCTAATCCCTTTGCAGAGAAGACATCGCCACGACACACTTGACAACACGTGGGCAGAGGCGCAGGCACGTCTGCCCCTTCCATCTCAATCTTTGATTGGAAGACTGGAGGCAGGCAAGCAGGCTGCAGTCTGCAGTCTGTAGGACAGGTTGCGACGCATTGCGACGATCATCGGGATTGACGTCTGAGCACAGTCGCGACATTGCGACGGCCAACCACCCCTCGGCAAGGCAACAATCTTGTTTGCGTCAGCAACTCCCACCAGCTCGGGGGCCCTATGGTTGAACGAGGTTCGAATGGATGTTCCTGGGAACGAATGATCGGTCCAGTAAGACCTTGCGGTTAGGTACGGTAACCTTGAAGTGTGACGATCAGGCCTGCAGTACAACTGGTCAGGACTGATGGATAGATAAAGCTAGATTCAACGATCTATGAAGAAGGAAGAAGGAAGAAGGCAGGCCGCTTCAGGTGAGAGGTGGGCCTCCCATATATATAGGTACATGTGGAGGTACAATGTACTTGTACCGTAACATGAAGTAGGCATGTGCGTCTGACCGTCGAAACTCCTCGCGGCCAGTTATGACGGTGCTAATATCTGCACGTGACCTGAAATGGGTTGACCTTCACGAGGAGTTTGTAAACAGGATTCCCTGGCGAAGTTTTGGGTCTCTGCAGGTCCGTTACTGTACGAACTTCAACATTATGTAGGCAGGTATGATGATGATGATGATGATTGTATTTAACGTGGAGGCTCGCTCCTCAGTAGTGCAAACCACGCCTCCCAGAGCCTCTGCATCGCAGGGTTGTGGAGGTATCAAGATAATAAATACAGTCAGTCCCGCTCACGAGCCCATTCCCGTTGTTGCGGCGGTATGACTTTGGGGTCATCCATCTGGTCCTTCAAGAATAGCTATTTATCGGGGACAGATTGATGAGAAGAGCTTGCTCCTCTCCCCCAAGTACTGTAAACAGGCTGCCCTAGGCGAGTACCTGGGCAGCAGTCGGTTTTTCCCAAGCCTCTTGCAAAAGAAAATGTGTTGTGGTGTTTTCTTCTCACCACAGCTGCAGTGATCATTCAAGTCTGTATGCCCGAAACGTTCGTGGTATCCAGCAAAGTCGCCATGTCCAGACCTGGCCGCTAGAGGTCTGTGTAAAGTGCTCCTTTCAAAAGATATGAGGCTCCTCTTGGTTACTGTATATGAGTATATTTCTTGGTATTTAGGTTCTGATTGACCTTCCCACCATTGATCGAACTCTCTGTTGCCCATCTTCTTGAGATCTCTCTTTACCCAAGAGATTGTGGGAAGGTTCGTCGCTTCCGTTTCTAGCATGGCACCGTCTTTTGCTAGTACGTTAGCAGCTTCATTACCGTTGATATCTCTGTGTCCAGGGATCCACTTGACGGTCACCCTAGGAGTATGTACTGTAGCGAGTTCTTGAAATCGTAGAAAAATGTTCTGTGATGTCTCGGGTGGAATCCCATTGAGTCCATCTACCACTGATGTATTGTCCAGGCAGACATATAACTGTTTTCTGTGTCCAATTGTCCTGGCTGCTGCAAGCCCTTGGAGAGCGCCATAGACTTCAGCATCTATTACTTCTGTTTAGAAAAGTCTGCCCTTTCCCCGGTATACTTCTTGTATAGTGTTGTCTTTTCTGATGGTATAGCCCTATTTAGTGCGGGTTGTGCCTTTATCGTCCAATTGTGATCCATCTGAGTAGATGAAAAGGTCAGTGTTCATATTTCTCTCTTGTAACCATTTCTTGAAGAGCTTTATTTTTTTGTCTTTATCTTTGCGGATTAGGGATTTCTTTTATAATGGTTTGGTAAGTATTGGTCTCTAGAAGTCAGGGATTAACTGAAAGCTCCTTTAAAGCCTTATTGGTTCCTTGCGAGCTTGTATTTAGAGCCTGCCAACAAGAGGGTGTCTTTGGTCTATTTATCCGAGTCGTAGGCCGTGACATCGTCTTATTGACTCTGCAAGAACTCCTGCTGGAGGAATCTGTGATTCAAAGTATAGGATATGTCCAGGATATGTTTTCCAGACCGGCAGGATAGCCCCGATGGTTGTTCATAATACAGCGTCTATCGTTCCAAGAAGCCCCTTAATACGATATGCTGATGTCCCACCTGAGTTCCTGATTATTTTGGTTCCTGGGTACCAGGCCTCCAAGCCGTATGTAAGAATAGGAATAACACAAGCTTTCACAGCCCTCTTGGTCGACTTAACTGGGAGTCCTTTGACTGTGTTGCATAGTCTTCAGAGGTTATTTGCTACCTTATTAGCTTTCTTGGCCTAGTAGGAAACATGATCTTTGAAGTTTAGTTTCTATCCAAAAAGATACCTAGCCATCGCATGGAAACCTTGGCTGTTTTGTTCATTGTTCCGTGGCAGACTGGAGGGTTGTCTGAGTTTTTTTTTTTTTTATGAAGTGCATAATTTCAGTTTTGTTAGGGTCAAATTCAATAGCATTGTTATGTCCCTATTGATTGAGCAAGTGAAGATTTCCAGAAGCCTCTGTAGCTCTTTCCTTAAGGTTCTTTCCAATGCAGAGAGTTGCTAGGTTGTCTACATATCCAAAGCGTCTCTTTTTTCTATCAAGTCGGGCACAGATTGGCTCTGTATACAGCATATAAAGGATTGGAGAGGCTGGTGAGCCTTGTGGTAGCCTACAAGTGAGAGCTTTAATATCAGTCACAATACCTTCAAATCGAACCCTTGCAGACCGCTCGAACATGAATGACTGGACCCATCTTATAAGGAAGCCTGGCCAGCTGTCAGATTTGAGCCAATCGTGAGGTTGAAGTGTGTGTGTGTATTCTGTGTGTCTGGAGTGTCCTTGTGCGATCGTGGCAGTTTTGTGCCAGAGGGGGCTGGATCGGGACGGAACAACTAGGGTCTGGTGTCTACCTATCAAGGTGACCTCTGTGCTCACCTTTAATCCAACACACGCCCTCAGCCAGGCAGGCAACGGCTCTGGCTGAACTAGTCTATAGAGTAAACTACCTCAGGGTCTTGACTCAGAATCTCTTCTCTCTTCCCAATGGCTCCCTTCTGTGACCTTAAATCAAGCTGCCTCGCCTGAATGTCTACCAATCCCAACTGATCCAGAAATCCTGCCCACCGTTGAGCCGGCAAGGCCTTGGTCAACCCATCCGCTTTCATCTGTGCTGAAGACGTATATTCGATGCTGACGGTTCCTTATTCCACTTCTTGTCGAAGCCAATGGTTGTGTATGTCTACATGCCGCAACTTGGTTTTTAAAAGGGCGATTTTGGCTGTCACTAGCTTAATTGTCTGTGTATTGTCACATTCCACTTTGATCTTCTCGCGTTTGAGTTGAACACTAAGTTCCGTAACCAGCCGGCTGATGTACAAAGTCTTTTTGACTGCCTGAGCCAGTGCGAGTAGTTCCGCTTCTGTAGTAGATGTAGTGACCGTGTCTTGCTTATTGGCCTTCCAGCCGATCAATCCTCCGAAAAGAGTCATGGCGAAAGCCTGAGAGCTCTTTCTGTCGAGAGAATTGTCGGCAAAGGAAGCATCATTAGCCACCACTAAATCGTCTCCTCCTCCAAACTGGAGAGAGTGGTGTCTTGTTCTGTATAGATATTGGATGACTCGGTCAGCGGCATTCTGATAGATCTGACTTGGGTTTGTCAGGAATCTTGCGAGGCGTGATGTTGCGAAGGCTATGTCTGGTCGTGTGGAAACGGAGGCATATAGAATGGAACCAATCTTGTGTGTGTATTCTGTGTGTCTGGAGTGTCCTTGTGCGACCGTGGCAGTTTTGTGCCAGAGGGGGCTGGATCGGGACGGAACAACTAGGTTTTGGTGTCTACCTATCAAGGTGCCCTCTGTGCTCACCTTTAATCCAACACCAGCCCTGTTCTCTCATGCGAACCACCAGCCGTCCCATTAGGGCAGCGTAAAAGGCCCCTTTCACATCTGACGTGACTACTGTTGTAACGAGGCCTTGGTCGAGGCCCTGCTCAATATCGTGTATGAGTGCAGCTACCAAGTCAGTGGCAGAGCGCTTTGGTAGAGCTCTAAAATATTGTGGAGCTAGAATTCCAAGTTTAATAACAAAACAGGTAATTCTTTTTTTAATGAGTCATTTAAGGCCTTTGCCAAGACATGATAACAGTGATATTGGTCTTTAGGCCCTGGGATTGGAGTAGTCTTTCTTGCCTGGTTTTGGGATCATCACTACCTCAGCTACTTTGAATGGTTTAGGGTGGTGTCCAATCTGTAGACAGGTCTGGAAAAGGGCTCTGATATATTCCCCAATGAATGGCCAGCAAGCTTTCAGAATCCGTATTGTGAGGGTATCTATTCCCGGGAGTTGCTCTTGGTCCCTAAAGTGCACCCTTCAGCCTCTTCCAGTCCAACATGGTATTCAAGGGGGATATATGGCTTGGGTTGTGTGATCTGAGCGGACCAGGGGTCGATGATATCGTTGTCTGAAGTACTTCGTTCAAGCGTGGCTGAGCGTAATGCATTTGCCTTGCTCTCTTGTGACTCGAATATTTGGTCTCCTATGATGATTGGAGGGGAACGCAATCCTGCTGATAACTTGTGCCAAGAGACGATTCTGTATAGGTCCTTTGGCTCAGTTGCTGAATTAATTAAAGTCTGCCAGTACTCTCTCCTAGCTTTCTGAACCACGCGGCAAAATTCCCGTCAGGCTGAATTCCGCCCTTCTTGGCTTGTAGTCTGTTTAGAAAGGGCCCTATATGTCTGAATAGCTGCTTTGTAGTCATCATTCCACCAAGCAGTGGGCCGAGATTAATGGGGCTTCTTGCCCACTGTCTTGATACAGCCGGCCGTATGGCGCAATGGTCAAATGCGCCTGGTTGTGTTCTCGTTTGTGCGGTGGGCGACGAGAACAAGTGGGTTCGAATCCTGCTATGGCCCCCTTTCTGACCCGGCTTGTGCGAGTCGATAACCAGCACACGACAGTGGAGAGGCCCCATTTTATCGCAGAGCCCGATAGCCAAGCAGCTTGTCTCCACAATACCCACTCCTGCGAGGTTTTCCCCCTTGTGGTTTCCCTCGCCAGCAGATAACAAACACCTACTCCACCCACCAATGCGACATATATCGAACGGCTACTGGAACGATATGTACACCAGAGAACTGAGGTTCACTGGGTCGCTTTGTCACTAGATAGGAGGTTTTTCTGACGGAATCGTGCTTGGGTATTGACTAAAACCATCTGAACACTCCAGATTGGTACCGCTACAGCGAGGATAGGCTCGTGCGCGGATCTGAATGTATCTAATTTGACACCTCTACAACCTTGCGATGCAATGGCTCTGGGAGGCGTGGTTTGCACTACTGAGGAGCTACCCCCCACGTTAAATACAAAACAAACAAACAAACAACAAACGTCTTGATACAGCCTTGGATCATGTTGATCAAGCTTTGTGTAAAGGCATCTACCTGGCCAGGGGATACACCCAGCCGGGGGAGTTCATGGATCCTGGTTTGGACATTATCTGCCAGCACTTGTAGTTTATCGTCCGGTACTATCCAATAGTTAGCCTTAGGGACTCGGTCTAGATCTCCCTGAATTGGGACAACTATTTGTAATATCTCATGATCTGAAGTGCACTGGAGTGCATCATTCACTGAGGCTTCGGCCATGGGGACATCTGAGAACACCAGATCTAGTACATTTCCGTCATCATGTGTTGGGACATCTGGTTCAGAAATCAGATCCAGTCCGTGGTCTGTCATAGTCTGTGCAAGTATGACACCACCATGATATCCTGGATTGCTCGAGTCCCAGGATGTGTCGTCAGCATTGAAATCTCCAGCTATAACGCAGCCAAAAGGTGGAGTCCATACTTCCAGAATATCATCCACTTCCTGTGGGTTGTCACATGGCCGATAGACACTGGCAAATGTAATGCCTTATACCTTGACACAGGTGATGTCTCGTGTAACATAGAGCCAAAATTAATCCGCTTAAAAGGGTTTTCTCACATAGATGAGAGATCTGGGCTGTGTACTATCGCTGTCCCAGGAATCTACTGAGGAGTATATATCGTAATTGGGGTGTGTCTTTACTCCTATTCTCTTGCCTGGTGGTATGCCAACCCAGGGCTCTTACATCAGAATGATGTCTGCTTGTTCTCTTTTGTAATCAGTCAGGTTGATGGCTAACTCTGTAGGGCCTGCACTCTTTTGTCCTCTTGCTGCATTTATAGAATGGATGACTAGATGCCCGTGTCGATATGTTTTGTTTAATGTACCTAGCATTGACTGATAACAATGATGTCGGCATCTTTGGGATGAGCTGTATCTGTTGTGTCGATTTGTATTGTGGTGTTGTTGGAACAGGCTTGAACGATCAATCATAATACTCGAGTATGGGGTCAAGGTCATGATGTTGCTGATGGTTGGATTGAGAGGAATCTAGCTGGACTCGAAGGTCTGGCCAAGTGCCCTCTCAATCCACTATCTTATCTTATCTAATCATACATATGGGTCCTGGTATAGATGGTTTGCAGTCTGGAATCGCATGGATCCAACAGGTGTCTTTATTATTATTGTTAGGTATTGACCCAGCTTGGTTTCTGCCTGTTTTATTGAAGGCCCTGGATCTGACTCTTTCTCCAACCAGCCTTATTTCCTGGATTTGCTCCCATGTGTGCTTATGGATGATGTCTTTCACGACCTTGGGGCGTGCAGGGTATTTGTCGAAGTTGGCAACATGAGGTCCTTTGCAGTTGACACACTTTGGGATTGGTTTTTTGCACTCCCCCTGGTGTACTGCGCTGGCGCAACGTGTACATACTTGCTTTTCATATCGGTAGTTCTTACCATGGTATCTGAAGCAGCTCGCACATTGGTGAACCTTGGGAAGTATTGAATGTGCCTTGAAGTCATTAAGTGAGCAAAAAGTGTGAATAGTTCCTTTGCTGCACGGGGCAGAGAGATCACCCATGTGGTTTCCGGATCAGAATCAACTGTGTTCTTTGAGAATATGCACTTTAAAGGTCTGTCATTCATTTGGGCTTCAACTTCATCAGTAACAACAATGTCAGTAATATCGATTGTCAACCCTTCTGCACTGATGACCTTTCTTAGGCATCCATTGAACTTGTAGTGATGCCAGACCGTGTGGGTCTCAATCTTTTCTGCCTTAAGAATGTCAGTGATTTCTTCTTAGAAGGCCAGGAGCTTAGCCTGAGTTGGCTTGTCCCTTGGGTGTAAGGTAAATCCAGAGGGGCACCCGGTCACTTCTCTAAGCTCTTGAGGGTGGAGCTTAAGTCTTATATTCAGTATAGACTTTATCCCATAAGGCTCTAAGTGGCTATTATCCATACAGATAAAGACCCAGAGATCCTCCTGTTTTTTCTTTAATTGGTTGGCAGCGATGAGGGCCCAGGTTGTGTTTTCTTCATAGTAGTGTTGACCATCTGTGGATGTTGTTGTTGGCTAAAGGAGACAGCTTGGGCAAAGGTCATGGTAGACTTCATTATCCCTATCCTCCTAGGAATGGTCTTCCTTATGGGTAAATCTCGGGTTTCCAGCCACTCGCTCAGGCATTTAGAGAAGAAAGCGCTGAACTCCTTGGCATGAAAGTATAGTTCGGTTCCAGCTTTCTTGAGTGTTTTGTCAACTACTGCAGCATACTTCTGAAACGTTGTCATCCTGGCTTCATAAAGGTGCTTGTCTTTAGCCAGTATCTTAGCAACTTGGTCCTGGCACTCTGAAGAGGAGGCTTTGCTCCCTACATCACATCCAATGGCTTGGTCTGCAGAGATTTCGTTCAATTGAGGTTGTTTCATTCCAGTGGTGCTGCCGTCATTGACATTTCGGGATTTTCCTTTCAGAGGGGAAACAACGGTGAAGTCAGCCTCAGAGACCTGTGACGGGCTGCTGCTGATGTCGTCAAGCAGCGCTTGGCAGAGCCTGCTCGGAGTTGCCGGGCCATATGTCTTTCTAGGGGCCGGGGATTTGAGCATGCCGCCAGTGGTCATCTTTGGGACGGCCACGGGCGTGTTTGGGGGCCCGTTGTGGAAGGGTGCCATCCGGCTTGTGGAAAAAAAATTCTTATGTCTTGGCAAAGATAGTCAGTTATTGAAAGAAGTGCCTGCTTTAGCGCAGGAATCGAGGTTGCGCCCTAACAGCGGGGCGCCAAGAAAAATAGTTATTTTTGGCAAGTGTGTGTGCTTGACATCTGAACGATCCGAACTCCCATTCCATTGTGTTGACTCCTTCACTTGTGGCGGTCGTGGACGTTCGGCAGAGGTCGTACAGAAGTGTCTGGCGAAAAAGTCGGAGAGTGTGTCGACGTTGACTAACGTTGCCGGGCCGGATACTACAAGGACTCGCGAGCGCTGATCCATTGGCTGCGGGGCGGATCGGATACGGTTCAATCTTCCCGTCGGCACGTAGCCATTGACAATGAACGTTCTTCGCTGAATCTGGTCGAGTAGTTTATCGACCCCTTCTCAATGGAAGAAAACCAGCTTCGCGGCGCAAGTCTGGTGACCAAGGTTCACCTCTGGGGTGTTCACGAAGGTCGCGTAGATCTTCGCGGTGCCTCGGAAGCTTCCTAGCAACATGCCCACCGTGCAGTCAGGCGGCAAACCGGTTAGGAACAGAGAGGTGTTTACCTCGTCACTGACATTCGCAGAGTGGTTGGCGGGCAGTTGGAGGTTGCCGCGATAGTTGGCCCCCGGTTGCTTCGGTGTGACAGACATTGGAGCAGGCGCCGATTCGGGTGTCGATACTGGGGTTGGGGCCGGTGCGCGCTGTGTCATGTGGCCTCGCATGAATGAGCGTCTCGAAACGTTCTTCAATCCCGGGGGATGGAAGGACTCTGGGTCCTGGGGAGCCCAAAGGTCCGGGTGAAGTACGAGATTTATGCTCATCGTGGCTGTTGGCTGGATTGGAATGGGGTGAGCGAAGGTTCAGGAACAGAGATACAGTGTGCCGAGGGGACGGAAAAACTTACTCTCGAAGGTCGAGACGTGGTGGGTTGGTTAGTGGCGTTGGGAGATGTTGCGGACGTGTTCACAGAATCCTTTCCGCCTTGTACAGCGATGCGCAAAGCTATGGGATAGCGAAGCTTTGCAGAGGGGATGGCGAAGCTTTGCAGAGGGGACGGCAAAGCTTTGTAGATGGGATGGCGAATCTTTGGGGCGTTGTGAATTGAACCAAGAAGGGTTGAAAAGTTTTGACTGCGATCTTGAAGTTGGGATGAAATCCGAGAAGGAGGGATCCCGAACTGGAATGGAGGATGTGCCTTAAATACTTTAACCCAGTTAACCCGGCGGCAAATTTTGTGTGCCTCAGGCATTAACTAATGCACTAAAATTACAGCTCGGAGCTGTGGATTCTGCGGATAGCTGTATCGAGAGAAGGTGAGCTAAACTTACAGGCAATATTTCATAACCTGAATCAAAATGTGAGCAGTATAATGAACATGACTATGCGCTTACATACCTGACAGAGGCCGTAACACCTGTCACTGAATGTATTTGAGTATGTTATATAACCCATTCTTGGCGCCTCAATAACTCTAAGGCTGTATCATCTGAGTTGGCTGAGGTGTCGAGCTGGACGCTGATTCAGGTTACTTGCTTGGTATACCAAAGAATGGGACTACTATCAAGGTATGAAACCCGATGTAAACCCAAGCAGGAAACTCTTCATATAGGACTCCGGACATATAGTAGCCCCTGTGCAGTGTGCACATCTACATTAGTTGTACGTCTCTGCTAGAAGACTGATTAAATATCCTCGATAAGAATGCAGAACTTGGATAGGAAGTAAGGAAAATTGGGGATGTTTTTATAAGGCCTTCACGACACCAAAGTAGGGTTACGAAAAATTGGCTAGCGTGAAGCACCGGTGACTCACCAGTAATACATTCATGTTGATTGCATCGTGAGAAACCCTTGGCGACCTAGCCCTAACAACATTGGATTGTGCCGGAGTCACGAAGCTTGGGGTAGATCATAGCGCATAAACCTCCATAGTGACCTGGCGAGCCTTTAGACATATCGTGCACACATTCTTCGTGGCTAGAGCTTCCAGGTACACAAAGCCAAGCTACCAGCTTACTTGCATCTCTCATGCTGAAGATACTATGGGACTGACCTTGCGCTTTTGGATCCAGCTGATTCCAGCTTTCGGGTGTCTTGTCGGTTGGGTCGGATTGTTGCCCAAGGGACAAGGTACCTTTGTACTGTATCTAGTACTTGAGTGACCTTCTCTATGGGCAAAGCTCCCATCCTTCTAGACAGCAAGCAGAACATCCAGAATACAGACCAACACTATTATCGTGACGTGGTTTGGGCCCCTGCCAGAAGGCACACGCTTGGTGCACGGCTTGATTTGCTCTAGTGAAGTACTCTCCCGTCTAGAAACAGATGGACAAACAACAGAAGGCCAAGTCCAGATGGCAAACCGACCAAGTGGTTATAAAAGGAATGAGTCTTCCCTTCCACTCTAATTCGGAATTTGCACAGTTATGGTAACATTGTCACCTTGTGATCCGGTATCTCGGCCAAGCTTTGAAGCTGCGCCCCCCACCCGACCAGCCGGTGTCTGTGGAGGTCGGATTTAGTGGGCCCGGCCCCGATCCCCGTCACCCCGAGCTCTTTCCCACGTCATTGACTTTCGCTGCCGTCTTCCTTCCTGCCTTCCTCCTGACTACCAACTCGGTAAGATAACATACCACGACCAACTAGATCATACATCAGGAAGCCAATGCAATTCGCTCTCGCTACCGGGGTCTCCAGGCAGCCAAACTTGACCATAACTCCAAGTCTCCAATTCCGCCGTGTTCGGGTGATGAGATCAGCAATCCGACCATTCTTCCGGCCCGGTCCGTTGCTCGGCATATCCATCGGCGGAGCCATCCTAGCCACCACCGTACTCCCAATCTCCAGACCACAACACAGCATGTCAGCGCGCCAACGAAAAACGGCGTGGCCGGTGAAGAAGTACTCGCCACGCCACGCGACCTGGCCGTACAGCGACGCCGACTTTGCGCGCCAGGACATAGGCGTGGACTCGGACTTCTACTCGGCCCCGCGGTTCGTGGCCCACATCGACGACGCCGCAATCGCGTCGCTGAAGGAGTACTACGATGTCGTTCTGCCGCGCAAGGGCCGCATCCTCGACGTCTGCAGCTCGTGGATCAGCCATTACCCCTATGCCGTCGAAATCGCTGCCGCGAAGGGCGAGCTGAAGATCGCGGGTGTGGGGATGAACCGTGCCGAGCTTGCAGCGAATAAGGTGCTGAACTCCGGCGACATAATCATGGACCTCAACTACGAGCCAGACGTCTTTGAAGTACTAGTCAAGGAGCATGTTGTCGGCGAATCGGAGGAGGAGATGTTGGATGCGAGTACAAACGTCGTGTCGATCGACTACCTGACCCGTCCTGTCGACGTACTACAGAGCCTGAGGACTGCGACGAAGGTAGGAGGAACCGTGCATCTCGTCATCAGTAATCGGTGTTTCCCCACCAAGGCCGTCGACAGATGGCTAAACATCAACGAGGACGAGCGGTTACTCATGGTGGGCGATTACCTGCATTTCGCAGGCTGGAAGGACATCGAGATCGTCGAGCTGAGCGATGGAAAGCCGCCAGAAGGGCCCACGCAGGCTGGACTGGGCAACTTCTTGTCCGGGATCATCGGTATGGGTGGTCGCGATCCGTTGTGGGTTGTTCGGGCTAATAAAGTGTAAGCTCCTATCACGCTGGAGAGATGCAATCGATTCGAGAAGGTAGCATCAGTGTACTCATTTCCATATCGCCTGTACATAAGGGCAGATCGCTTCAAAGCGGGCTCTTGCTTTTCTTTTATTCTCGTTATCGGCATCTCATATGGCGCTGCAAGGTCCTGGGTCCTGGACTACGGAACGGTAAAACCTGAAGTCCTGGAGGCATTACATAGCTTTTGTCATTCATGCACGATTATGTACGATCACGCAGTCAGATAGACATTATACCACTCTGCCAACATATTCTCATGGGCTTTGCATCGTGAAGGGCAGCTTGTATTCAATTATATCCCTGTAAGGTCTTGGATGAGTGGTCGCAGCGCCCTGACCCCTTCTAATGAAAGGCGCGATAAACGGTCAAGGCCCCCACTGCATTGGGTGCAATCCCATGAGTCTACTGATCTTCAACGCATGCAGGGCCCTCAAACATGTTTGTGTTCATCCGCCGCAATGGAAACGTTAGTCATTAGTGGAAACGATGATGCAGTAAAACGACACATCCATCATTTCTTCTGTCACATCCCCTTTCGGCCAAGTATACTGCCCCATGTGGTCTCCTCTGGGGTACCCTAGACATCACGGAGACGGGAGAAAGGTTACAATGCGGGCTTCACATCCTGCGATTGCCTGCGTCGTTCTTACCCTGCCAGCCCCAAGCCTGGCTCATATACAGGTTGTCTAATCAGGGCTAACAGGCTGGTATTCTACTTCTCAACTCCATGGCAGTCACCGTATTCAATTGAGTAGAAGCATTGGCCATTATATATAAGTTCTAGGCAGCCATAAGCGTCTGTTGTATGTGGCGTGTAGCAGCACACCGGGGTAAGCTTCAAGCAATCACTATTTGAGCCCATCATCAAAGCCAATATATACAGGCAAATACTGAGACAACAAAGGTGACAGGTGGTGAACTCATGTGTCTCAGCCAGAGGCAACGTGAAAGGCTGCTTCCAGAAGATCTACTCCAGTAATCTACGTCGGTTAACACCCTATTCTTGTCACACGTCGGCCCCCAAAGCCACCTGTGTCCCACCAGACGTAATGGGAGGGTGTTCTTTTGGTCATCAACCGGCCCATGCGGCGACCGACGACCACATGAGCATGGGCCAGTTCAACGACAGCTCGTTCTTTGACCTAGCCCTTACAGGGCCTTCTTGCTGGCTTGTATGCGAACTTACCGCCCCGTAATTCAGCCCCGTACCACTGACTGACACCGCCAGCCAAGGTGTCGATGGCTTCAAGTTGAGCCCCGCTTAGGGCACAATGAGGTGACCATTCCTTGGGTAGGGCTAGCTAGTGCTCCGCTGTTTCTTTTGGAGTCGAGCAATTTAGTAAATTGAAACCAGTAAATTCCTCCCCCATCCTCCCCCATCCTCCCCCCGTATCTTCTTCCTCATCACACCCCTCCTATATACCACAAACTCGGTACTTACCTACTGTACCACCACAACACTTTCTCACGATCTGTAAGTTTCCCTCTTTTGAATAGTTGCGCACTGCAGTAGGTTCACCGCGTAACTTGGCTTCGTCGATTATTGTATCTTGAATGTCGCTAACGACCTCTTTCCAACCATAACAGACTTCTTTAAACCATGTCCCCCCTTTTTCGGTGCCGTCGGCGACCATAGGGGCAATCTGCCTACCAAACCTGCCTGGTCTTGCTATCAGGGTGACGAAACCCAACAGATGAACGTCCCGAGACTGGTTCTGACCGCGCCCTCAGTGGCTTTGTCGTCCGAAGCTGACGCTGAGGGCGACGGCGACGAAGATGAAGAGATGCATCACTCCGACGGAGATGAATAGATGCTCGACTCAGACGCCGACGCTGACCACCGATCGAGCAACTGGCAACAGTCGCAACCACACAACCGCATTCCTGCTTCGTATGTTCTCTCTGAAAGCCTCCAGAATACGCGGGCACATCTGAGCTGACGCAAAGTAAGGACCACAGGAATGCCTGCCGGTACGAAGATGGAATGCCATCGACAACGGCCGTCAAGCCGCTGACCAGGATTCAGGCTGCTTGATGGGTCAGCGACACCGATCCCAGCGAGAGGCGTCGGTCAAGAAACGAGGTATGCTATTGTCAGTTCATATCCTACCCTCATCCTCATCCACCGGTCCGCCCCCTCTAACGTCGATATAGCTGTGGCCTCAATTACAAGAACCTACATCATCCAACAAGTCGGGACGACGCCGGCGCGATGCAACTCGGCCATGGGACCACATGGATCAATCGTCATCAAGGATGGGTATGTCCGGCGTTATCTGCCGCGGTCCTAGAAGCACCCAGAGGCTTTCAAAGATGGACCGCGTAAAGGTAAGAAAACCGGCCTGCAATTTCGATTCCTCTGTGGCAATGAGTCACGTCTGGCGCTACGGTGGTTAACCCATGGTCTTTTCCAATAAAGGAAGGGGGATTCGAGCAACACGGGTAATGTTTCGAGTCATGCCAGCCGCACGAGGAAAAAGACCGCAACTTCGATTACGCTCAGTGTTCGTGGGCTTACCGAGTACTTGACTTCGACAGCTGCTTGTGACAAGAAAATTCACTTGATTCAGGCCTTCAACATTTTCCTCAACCACTATTCCAAGCCTGCTGGTAACCTCGCCAGCATTAGGTCTAGCAAACCATTTTCGCTTGCCAATGACTCCAAAACCTGCTGGCTGCCATTCACGGCTTCTTCTCCAGCGTCCGTGTCGCCGCCAACCGCGTACTGGTCAATGTCAAGGTCAGCCACGGCGCTTTCTACGACGCTGGAGCCTATCGCTATGCGATCAAGTCCGCGGACCCTGACGCCGCCGGCAAAAAGCGAACTCAGATCGTCCGACCCCTTCTTGAGACCCGGAGTGTTCAAAAGACTACTTGGGCTTTCTTCAAAGCCTGGGACGAGGAGAACCTGCGGCCGAAACGGCCACCCAGCGACCTAGATAGGTCGTACCCTCAGCAGGCACCCGACTTGCTCAAAGACGGCGATGCTTTGATTGTCATCCGTTTCCCTAATGGCGAGAATTATATCGACTGCGATGGCAACGAGGTAAGTGAATCGCAATCTCCAACTTTTCTTCACTGCGCAAACCAGTGCCACGGTCTCACCGAGCCCCTGAGAATGTCGCTTGTTATCTGACACATACTTCACAAGACCAGCCACCCAGATCCGGATGATGGGCCCGAGGTGCAAGGACATTGTCACTGACTTTAACTTTAGGTCAACCCTATTCTCGCGCACGAGTTTCCCGGCGACGAGGTGGTTATCGCTGTCACCTACCGCTCTGAGGGCGAGGATGGGCCCGCCCTGCTCCATCATCGCAGTTATCTCGCCGGTCGTCCTAACGGAACCCTGGCAAGGTGACAGCTTCACACGGCCGGTGCGTGGCTCTACCAGGTGGCCGCTTGCACCACGAGGGACGTTGCCAAGCCGGATGGCAGGGAGCCAACTATAAGTTCGGCGTCGTCGTCGCCACATCAAGGCCCCGGCAACGAAAGCTACGAGAACAGAGCAGCCGATAACGATAGCGCCCGAGATGAACGAGTCGATGTAGATCAGATATTCCAAGAACTCAGAACTGAAGACATCCAGTGGATTTGACGAAGCGCCCGCGCCGGTCATGAAAGCCCTCGAGCGTCTGTTCGTTCGAGGCCGAGATGTTCCGCCACCCCGCCTATACCTCACGATCGTCTAGTCATACTCATTTGTGCCAGTCAGAGACAAGCTAGGCTAACGCACAGGCAGGTGGGCTTGGGGAGGGACGAAGATTGGAACCACGATTCCATACTCGCCCAGTAGATGTTGGCAAGGGTAGGTCAATTCCAAGCCTACATAGCGCCGCGGCTAAGATCTGAAGCAGGTCTATCCTTTTGGCCATCGGCCCATGGCAGAGCAAGGCTGGAAACCTGACCATGGCCTTCGACCCGACGGCGTGAACAAGCCCGCGACGCGATAACAGTTCGCGAAAGTGGAAAACAGGGGGGGAGTCGTCACTAGAGCCCCTACCTGACAAGATGGCTTTCAAGTCCGCCACCGCGCTCGCCCTTCTGGGTGCATCCTCCGTCGATGCCTTAATCCGCAAGGATTGCCGCGGCTCAACTGGCCTCGCCCGAATGGACCCCATCATGGATGCTGGCACCGTTAGTAGCCACGTGTACACCATGCATATTAATTAGGAGTGTCTTTTGTGTCATAATCTTTCGCACCCTGGAATGAGCATCTTGATTGGAAAGAAAAGGGTACTTCGAATGCTTTTCGACAGTGATGATTTCAGCAGCACACATTCAGTACATGGGACTCATCTAGGTGCGCCACGCAGGTACATTTCCACGCTGAATCCATCACCAGAGACGAGATAGGAGACGCTGGGCCTTCTGTTCTCCGGCGGCTTGCTATTCCTCGATTCTGTCAGATTCAAGCGAGTTCAGTGATTGGAGGGTGATTATTGGTGTCTTGCATCGTGTGTTCTATCTGTTCTGTCTGTTCAGGTGCCCCTGATTGATTCCCAGTTTTTGGTGTTGGTCATTTCCGCCGTACCGTGGTTTTTCCGGTCGGACTCGGCTCATCTTCATTACCCCTGTTATCCAACAGATTCACAGGTGCTTCCGCCAGTCATCGAGGAAGCGATTATGTAAGTCACCCCACTTCACTAAGTAACCTTGGTCCAACCCCTGTTCCCATGATGGTCTCATCAAGTTACAAACCAGGATTAGTGAGCAATACTAAACTCACTGGATATTTCTTCTACTAGATAGACCACAAACACCCCCGTAGCGAAAAAAACGTGCCACGACCGACAGGTGACCAATATATCACCCCTGCTATGCGTGGACCACTGGCGAGCTCCAAAATGGGACGGTGACGGAAGTTGATCTTGAGGACTGCTTAATATGCTACGAACTGTTGTGTTCAGACAATGTCAATGTCTTGATACAAGGTGCTTGTCATATCCTGGGCTTTCAACTACTCTGATAATTGCGTACGGAGGGAAGAGTGTGCCAATCATCCATGTAGCAACTGGAAGCAGACACAATGCCCAGTCAACAGCAAACCAATCATAAAGGTTGCCTTAACTATCCTATTCTGTCAATGACCACGTTGGCGATGGACAGTCTGGAATAATGAGTTCTATAAGCTGCGATGGTTGAGTCCACCCTTCTTGGAATATTCCCCGGGATGCTTTGTGAAGTTTTTCACAAGAAACAGCAGCGTAGGCACAGAACTTTCCATTATCAAAGCTAGATCTTCTATAAGCATATTGATTTCAGTTTAAGTAGTCTGGTATGGATAACGCCATGTTAATCGACGACTTCCCTTTCAAACCAGACATGGCACCTTACCTAGGTGAAGGTTATAAAAATCATATATAAGCACATACAAGTATAGACCGCAATGTATTACCTTGTTCTTGTCATGCTTCTAGGAAGTGTCTACCAATAAAGCCCGCAATGTAGAGGTTGGATAGTGACAAGCCGCATGAGCCGCATCCATCAAACCTCGTCTCCTACATCACAGCCCCGTGTCGTGGCCCAGGGTCTGGCTTACCAGTTCTAGTCGCCGTCCATAGCCCTACTTGGTCGACGATGGCTTCAGAATTTAGGGCTAGCAAGAGCACACGTTTCTGAAACATTGGGCTCTGTATATTATATAATATTCGCATCTGCACACAAGAAATTTCTCCCACCTCTTCCACTACCTGCCCGAAATTTGACCTCCCACCACCTGATTACCACCACCTTTAGCTTAAAGCCGCTCTCTTCCACCATGAACGACAACCTACAGTGGCTCGGGGAGTGGCCCAAGGCCGATGATAGCAAATACTTGCTAGGACCTGGAGAACTCTTCTGTCGTACGAAGGCCAAGGGCCGTCTTTGCGCCACCGAGGTATGCCTTCCACTTCAACTGTCATACGCATACCGATTCTCTCCCGCTAACCTTCATAGCCCTCCAACCAGGAGTACAAGGCCTTGGGGAGCCGCCCGAACTGGCTGGGCGAGTAGCCCAAGGAAGCTGATGGAGAGTACCTGATCGACCCGGGCGAGACGTTCTGTCGCGCGGTGATCTAGGGCCGACTTTGCGGTACCGAGATATGTCTTTCAGTAGAATTGTCATACGCGTGCTGATTCTCTCCCGCTAACCTTCGTACATAGAAAGCTTTCTCGTGCATGAAGGCGTTGAAACTTCATGCCGGCCGCCACGACATGGTCAAGTTCAAGCCCCCCGGACAAGGTGACACGAGTATCCGTTCCGCGGACGATGTTGCTGGTAAGCTGATGAGCAGGCGCCCTACTACCTGATCAACCGGGTCACAGTATGCTATGCAATCTCAACCTTCAGCACCATATTCCGCATGCTTCCTTCCCCACCCTCTTCCTCCTTCAAGATGATCCAGTACAGCAATAACCCTCGTACTTGTTATTTTGGAGTGAAGCCGCCCTCCCTCCCTACCAGCCCTACTTCATCTGTCCAAGACCGCCGACGGGACCGAACTGGTCAATTACTAGAGAGTGGTAAACTCCACTACAGCCTGGGAGAGCTTGGAAAAGCCGCGGCGTGCTTCGAGCGTGTAAGTTCATCATGGTTTCCCTTCTGCCTGTACACAAAGACCCAGTAACTCATCCCATCATCATCATCAATATCCCATAACTATCAGGCATTCCTGAACTGCCACGCTGTGGGAGAGCACGCCACTCTCCCATCTATTACAGCCGCTCGTTTCGATAGAAAACGGGCCACTTAAGTCTGACCATGTACAGGCTACCCACCGCGCCGACGGCTGCGGACAGCCTATGCATAAATGGTCGTGCTTTGAACGAAAAGGCCATTGGGCTCACACCCTCATCCAGCGGGGTACTGGACCGCGCTGCTGAGATCCCGACGCCGTTCCCCCCAAGCAAGAACCGAACCCGCCCAGGAGACTGGACCTGCCATTCGCTTGTCTTCCATGCCCTGATCGACCTTAGCCTACCTCCCCCACATCGCGGAGGTTCGCTTTTGCATACAGTCTTGCTGACGTTTTGAGCTGGATACGGCGGCATCCACGCGCAGAGCTCGGTAGTCGAGCGTCTTGCTAGCACAATGGCTTCACGACACCGAGCGGAGTACGCACTTGCACGCGAAGTCAACGATTTAACTAAACATAACCAACGTCTTGGAATGTAGGAAAACAGCGAAAGATCATAGCGTCAAGCTATCGAGGAAGCTATCGCCTCTTCAGTAAGCCAAGCTTGCACTCATTTCTCTATAACGTTGCCGAACTATAATGACTAATACTTAAAAAAAGACAGTCTTCAGTCAGCTAAAGGTCATTAATAAATCCGACTACTCCCAGGAAAACGTTCTAAGTCAGTGGCTAGCTACCATGTCGCCGTTTCTACCGTCGACGGTGGTTCTGCAGTGCGCGAGGAAACGCAAGTTCGACGCATATCGTCAATCATCTCGTCCGTCCATGCCCAAGATGCTGCCCATCTCCCGGCAGGTTCTTAAGTTCGGAGAACAGCTGGACCGAGAGCTTACCTATGCAGGTATTGACGGAAGCAAAGACAAAGGCCAGAACGAAAGCAGCGACGGAGGCGTCGCAAGAGGACAAGACCAAGATCTGACCCGACTTGCCCCTGACCTCTCATGATGGGGTCTACTGCCGAAATGATCCCTTTGCCCTCCCCCCATGAGAAAGCGTACTGCTGCGCGTGGCGCCATGAACAACGAGGACGGTGGAGCTGATGGCGGCGGTCCGGAGCGCGGCTCAGAGCACCGGGCCCGAGAACGTTACTGTTCTGGCTACTGTTCTGGCACTATCGCAACACTTGCACTAGTGATCACTGACCCTGTCACGGGAATATACTTCACTGTACTTGTCTCGAGCATCAGGGAAACTGGCTGAGTTCCTGGAGCACCGAGCGGCCACCTCGAGACGAGCCCAACAAGCGCCGCCATCGCCTCCATCAAAGTCAACCCAAGCGCGCTCGCAGGGCTAAGGCGCGAGCCTAGGTTCGGTACGGCCTCCTCATCCACTAACGCTCATCCGCTCATGGAATAGATGTCAGAAGGGAACGAGCCGGGCTTCTCCGGTGGAGACCGTCAAGCCTGTCAAGCAGACCAAGCCTATCGACACCGCCGCTCAGAAGACCACCAAGGCAAATTGTGGTCGTATCACCAGCCGAGTCCGCATCACCAACGAGGCCGGTGAACCTATCGACTTCACTCGTAGTCTGTCTCCGCAACCAGCCCAATGCTCGTAACAACCATCTCTTCTTTAACAAGAAAGGACGAAGCTCCGAGGCTGTAGACGAGGTGAGTAACATTCAGCTCTCGTCCTTCTCCTATTTGCTTCCTCCTTGTAGTTTGGTCTCTGGTCCAAAGGACTTCTAGTTCCAGAGACTGTCTCTCGAACTACTGGGCATTTCAAACCATCCAGAAAGAATAAATGCTGAACATGAAATCTGAGTGCGAACAGGCGATAACCGACACCCGGGCGCCAGGGCGACGGCAATACCCACAGTCAGTCTCGCTTCCGAGACTCCTTCATCTACACCAGGCCTGCTGAACGTCTAACCGATTCTTCGCCTTGCGGCGCCCTCAATCGACTGTGTACAAACTCCATAAGCCAGAAGTGCCGGTTGGTGCCGGTGAAGAACGAGGACGGCGAGGGCGTCAAAAGACCACTCAATCCAAGCGAAGCCGGGGCGACTCAGACTGCTGAGCAATTGATCGACGTGAAGCCAGAGGACCAGCAGACCATCAAGTTTGCCGAAGTCAAGACTGCGCTTTCCAAGGTCAAAACCCGAAGATCCCTCGAAACGTCTCGGTGTTCTCTGCCTCGGAGCCGGAACGAAGAGGTCGCCCTCGCAAGTCGGAGCCAAATGACCCTTGTATTCCCCTTGACGAAGCCTTGTTCGTGAATCAGTCAGCATCGGCGACTTGTAGACTGCCAGGGCAGCGTTCCCGCAGCAAGATCCTGCTTGGATTCCATGCCTACCGTCCGATCCTCACGCGCCTACTCTCACGCATAGCAACGGCCATGATACCCCGATGGGTATATCTGCTGTCAAGGATGATCGCGACATCGTAATAACCGATGACGAAGATATTGGCTCGACGCCCACAATTTCTGAACGAAAGCGGAAGCGGGAAGATGAGATGGCAGGATCCCGTAGTCTCATACCGACAGAGGTACCCTCGCTCAAGCGCCTGAAGGAGGAGGATGGTGACGTTTTAAGCCCGCCTCCTCTTCCGCCTCTTCCACCACCGCCTGAGGGTGAGACTACGATAAACCTCGGCTTGGACGCAAAGCCAGAGCGTCTCCGACTGGCGTGCGAGGGGTTCGTCAAGACACGCGAAAAGGGGCCTAGCTGTCTTTGAGATCGAAGAGGATATGCCTTCCCCAAAAAGGAAGGGGTGAAGCGGAAAAAACCAGCAGGACCAAGCCATGGGACACGAAGACAGTGCTCCAAGAAAACACCACGTTCGCAGCTCCAAAGGCCCGAGGGACGGACCTTAAATACCTCGCGAACTTCAAAATCTCGAGCTTGTGAGTATTTCCTCCAGCGCAAAGTTTTTCCTTTCCGATTTGTCTTGCGGCCCATATCATCGCAACGCCTTGACGCCTACGCCACGTATTGCATAGGGTGGTGGTGCCAAGGGAGGTGGTTACCAGCAAGCAAACATGGAGAAGCGAGGCCCAGGGGGCAACGGGTTTGCAAAAACTTGATGATATTTGCTTGTTTGGACCTCCTCGCCAGCCAGCTGCTCCATGTACGGCATGCAGAGAGGATGGTCTCCCAGGTACCAGCCATGGTTCTTCTAGACCCTATCGCAGTAGTCGCTCCCCAGCGACGAAGATGATGGCTGAGAGCTTAGAGTCCCGCAAATTCGACCGCAACCCGATGCTCGATGTTGCCCTACCTGTTCGAGTGAAGACCCGCGAGATCCCTACGAGTACGGAACCTGAAGAAAAGAAGGCCGAGGGGACTGCGAACACCATGGCGTTCTCCCTTCTGACGTTCAGGAAACCAACGAGGTCGTTGATAGGTTTGCCCATCTGACACATGGTAGGCGGTTCAGCGCCTCAGTCACGCAGCTCCTCCACCTCAAGCTGACCATCGGACCAACGACTGGGACGGGCGAGTGAAGGAGCGGATCGTCAGACGACTCGCGATGTACGCTGTTGTTGTAGTTTTTAGGATAGGGAGATCGGCGCCGGAACCGAGGAGATTCTCTTGACGCGGCACTCGCCTGGCAAGGAAGGCATGCTACCGGAGCAGCAGTGAAAGCCGCAAGTCGTGATCCGATCGCTTATGACTATGTTGGCCCGTGGCCGTAATGAGCCCCGGGTCAAGAAGGAGGACTCGGCCATCCCGCACCGAAGCTGGCGGTGGTCGGCTCGATCTCTACTCTGGCGGTGTTCGGCTTGACCACTACTCCAGCGCTCCTCTCGTGCCCGCCAGGGAAACCCAACTTCCCCTACGCGCGACGGAACAAGAGCAGCGCGCCCAGCACGGGCAAGGTAATCGCCAACATGCCGCAGACCGCCGGCTGCACCACGTCATCACTATGGATAGACGTGCACGCCTCGCAGATATAGGGGCTTCATCAACGTCCCCGTCGACAACCTATCTCGGTCGAAGTTGTCGGCCGTGTCGGTGTCGCCGGTCGTGTCGCCGGTTGCGTCGGTGAATCCAGTCAGGACCAGGTCGTCGACACGGGTCATGATGCCGTTGTCGTCAAGCTCGCTGTCGCCGGTATCCGAAGCAGGCTTTCTCCTCGTCCCTTCGAGGCCCAGCACGCCCAAAGCTCAGAGCCAAACCTCAGGCACCTTACATTCTCCTCACCCGGCCCCTCTGCCTGCCTCTTGCAGCACCGACTCCGGCCTGGAGGAATCTCCAGATTCCAAGCAGCCCAAAACTCACGACGAGCCCAGCGTCCTGCACTGGATGACCGAGAACCTGCCCATGCTCCAAGGGTGTTGGCCCTGTCAACGACGTCCACCTTGTCTGCCAACGGTTCAACACCACCGGGAATATGATATCATGGTCATGACTAAAGCCTCCACCTTCCGATTTGCCCATTCCATCAGCTTCTAGGTGATGGTGGCCTGGTCGCACTTCCTGAGCTCCTCGAAGAAAATGGTACCTAAGTCCCATCCGCAGCTTCACCACCCAGCTCCCCGACCATCGCTGCTCTCGTTGGTAACAACAAGTCGGGTGTGAGGGCTATCTCGGCGGGCGCATGTGATAAAAGCACGCGCTCGCCGGCCCAGGCAGAGGAAAGCGCTCAGAACAAGCGTCCTGTGCCCTCTACAGTGTCTTAATCCCGCCGATGGGGTCAGCGAAGCCGTGCGAGACGCTGAAGAGGCATCCGTTCTCACCAAGGATGAAGCTTAACACGCTGAATCTTTCACCGCTTTAGGAGCCCGCCATCTGCGTAATCGGGACATCAACATGCAGGGCTGTATAGTAGATACCTATAGAGCGGGAGCGCGAGCAGCTCGAGGACATCCGGAAGCAGGCACGGCTCTTCCGCAACTTCGGTGGCGTCGTCTGTACCCAAATCAAAGCCTTTTATAGAACCCTGAGCACTTCTGCGCGCAGAAGACGACTTCGCGCACCGCAAAATGCACTAAGTGTACCTAGAAGCATGTAGGCGTGCATTTTACTAACTGCCTTAAAGTAAGTTCTTATTACAAATCTGGCTTGCAAACGCCCTGCTAACGACTTGCAGCTCTAAACTCGCGCCTTTAAAGATAAGTACGATGCGTAACACTTCGCGCGCGACGCTTACCGCAAAAGCCGTTCCAACCAGAACTTGCTTGCCTTCAACCACGCGGGTAGTAAGTTCCCATCATATTTACGAGTCTCCCGCGATCCGCTAACAATACCATCCCCCCCTACATCTCGGACACCCCCACATCTCGTACAGCGAAACCCCACCACCACCACCTAAACCCTATATGTTCACTTATACGCTTTCAGCCCGATATTGAAGCTATTCAGAATGTATTTAGTGCTCTAGGTAGCCCTGATTTTAAGGTTTAATCCAATATAGAATTTACCCCGCGCGGCCTATGTGATTGGCTGTCTATTACCCCGCGTTTCTTATCCCGAATAGAGAATTTTGTGTGCTGGAGCCTCGTCTGAAGCCTTGTTCTGTATGCACCGCAGCATTGTATAGCCGCCTAAAATGCCTCCCAAACTATATACAGAGGATCAGATGGCGAATGCAATCTTAGATATCACGGATAAGGGCCTCTCGTTACAAAAAAGCGCTCAAAAATATGGCGTCCCTGTTATAATATTCTCTAACCAACTTATGGTAAGCCCTCAAAAGGCGAAAGCCATATACACCAATAGAGACTCTTTCCTGCTCAAGAAAGCACTATAATCAACTGGATTTTGTGTCAAGAGAAGCTAGGACTAGTCCCTTTGCACTCCCTGGTGCGTGAGATCATCGTAAAGGTGTTGAAAAAGAACGGAGATTCAGGCCCCCTTGAAGACTATTTCATAACCGGCTTCAAGCGCCGCAACCCCTAAATAAAGACCAAAATTAGCAAAAGGGTAGAATCAGCGCGTTTTAAGGCTTCACGCCAAAGGCAGTTAACTGGTTCTTTGAAATCCTAGAGGATTACGGCTGGGTCAAGCCAGAAAACACGTATAATATTGATAAAGGTGGCATCATAGCGGGTTTTAGTAACTATAACTAACCCTTTAAATCTATAGAAATTTTAATTAGTTTTATAGGCATTGATTCTTTGGTTTTAGATAATTCTGTTATTAAAAAGGCCTTCTTAAAAAGCCCTTAAAGCCGTAACTGGACCTCCTTTATTGAGGCCATCTTTGCAACTAAAAAAATCCTCAAACCAGGTATTATCTTCAAGGGAAAGGACCTCCAGGCCTAGTGGTTAATTAAGGAGTTTCAAAAGACCGCCAATTGGCATTACATGTGCTCAGAAAACGGCTGGACTTTGAATAACATAGCCTGCCGGTGGCTAGAAGATATCTTTATCCCGAAGGTAGACGAGATACAAGGAGAAGATCAGGCTGAGCCTGTTCTTTTGATACTAAATGGCCATGATAGCCACCCTCCGTATGTATATGATTTTTTCTTATTTTATATAGACTTCCTTTATTTTTTCCTGATTTAATAAGGGTTAACGCATATTATAAGGACAAATTCATAACTATCTGTTATTTCACCAATATATTGTTCTGTTTCTTTCCTACACATACTAGTCATGGCATGCAACCCCTAAATAACGGGCCCTATAATGCCCTGAAGGCTCACTACCAGAAATTCCTTTCTGAACTAAATTCTCTGACGGATGCCTCGCCTGTTGACAAGATCAACTTCATTCGGTGCGATAGCCAGGCCAGAACTGCTGCTTTTACTAAGGCAAATATCCTCTCTGGCTTCAGAACGACTGGATGTTATCCTATCAGCCACAAGAAGTGCTTAGTTCACCCAGAAATCCAGGAAGAAAAGCAGAAGACCCTTGAGCCTGAGACCCCTGAAAGCTCTGAATCAGAGGACTAACGGACCCCTATTACGAGCCGCCAGATCATGAATTTCGGCAAAAATAAGTCCCCTAGTACCCCTGGCTGAAGTACAGGAAGATAGCCACTGAGTTTGAGGCTAAAAAGATTGACCTTATTATTAAGGACAGGAAGATCAAGGCCCTGGAGGCTGAACTGGAGTGGCTACGGCCCAAGAAACGGCAGAAGATCCCTAATCCTAACAGGAAGTTCAGAATAGTCACAGAGGTACTGAATACAGTTGGTACTATCACCCTTAATGCCTTTGCGGATATACTAGAAATTGTGGTTAATAATGACGAGAAAAAAGAAGCAGAAGACAAAGACTCGGCTGAAGAGGCTGCTTTGGAGGCCATACAGGAGCCTAGGCAGACCCGTTCGGGGCGCTTCATTCGGGCGCCCACTAGATATTATAAATGATCAACCTCAGCGCTGTTGAATGATAATTTTGCTGGATTTCTCTGACCTGAATGACTTCTTTTACATGTGGGTGAATAAGGGGGTGTTTTGGTGGTGGTGGTGGGGTTTTGCTGTACGAGATGTGGGGGCGGGGGGATGGTACCTAATAGCGACGCAAACCGCGATGGCCCGGGCTGCTCAGGTTGCTGCGACTGAGGTACGCAGACCATGGCGCCCCTGAGTTTGCAATCTCAAGTCTCTGTGACGCTGATCGTCGACGCTATCAGCGGGCCGAGGCTAAGGCCGACCACAGCTGGTGTGACGGCCTGCACAGACCTTCCCACATGACAAGCGGATACTTCCCAATAGGGGAAGGATCTAACCAAAGGATCCCCATAAAGGGGCAACCTCCCACTGTACCTATCTCTCTCTCTCTCTCTTCCTTTCCTCTCTAGTCTTGATATTCTCGTTAATAGAGTAATAGCTGCTTGCTGCCGGCCATGTCCCAGCTCCTCAGTACGCTCGCCGTGACAGCTGGTGAGGAGCCGTTCCACGACGCCGCAGATTGGGTCCCTGGCTGTGTTGATAGAGTGTAGAATCTAAACTTCGAAGAAGACCTGCATGAACCTCGAGATGATGGGACATGCCACTGTCTTCGGAGAGCAAGAGGTAGGTGGCTTTGCTCGAGGAGAATGAGAGACGCACCGTGTGGAAGATGAAGCAGAGCGGCAGGGGCTCCGTGAGGAGGAAGCTGCTTTGGAAAGGGGAAAACGGAATCAACGCCCTGGATGTTTCTTCTATAATGAAAACCTCGTGCCCAACCCCAACGTGACTAGACCAAGCCTCAATGTGACAGAAGACCATACCTTCAACCGATAAGTAGAATCTGCAACGCTGCGAAAAGAAACACCAAAATGAGCGGCCAGACTTGGTCCGGCATCATGTGAGTTACTACATCATGGTACTACGCAGTTCACGTTCTTTTCCGACAATTTGCAGCCAGCATCAAACCGCCACTGATGGAACCAGTCTCACCAAATCGTGTGCGCGTGGTGGGTAAAATGATTACCGTCCCGTGTGTTGCGAATGTTGGCAATAGGGTTCGACACGAGTATATCAAAAATCATGCCTAGCCACGAATAGAATAGTAGCTCGTACCCTGCTGTAAAGTGACTGACCCTGCATTCTTCGGTGTTGAGCTTGCTACCGGATTACCTATAGCTACCAGGTACAACAAGGTCGAAACCGCCGACGTTCGATGGGTCTCCACGACCCAAGGACGAAGTGCTGCACCATGGTACTCGTCCTCTTCATTACAGGTAATCGCTGGTCTCAAAGGCTCCTCGGTGCTGCCATCGGTCAGGCGGACATGTCTGTACACGTACTTCGTAGATTGCAAGAACCCGAACACAAGTCGACAACCCCATTCAAGCTCAACACCAAATACAAACACAATGAGACGATATCGTCGGCATGCGGACTCGGCAGCGAACCCTGCCTAGTCAGATAACCACCCACGTACCATAGACATCTGATATGGCGACCGCAAGTCATCCAGCGGATATGCGGGAACAGAATGCGCATGCCTTGTAACGAGTCAACATCATCGTCCTCTCGGTACAACGTCTTGGGTGGCAGAAATGCCTACTGACGGCCCCGGGCATGTAATTCCAAAATGTCCCCTAAAGCAGTGATGTTGGGGTGATGTACTCGAGAAGTGGAGTGCTACAGCACCCGATCTTCGCTGCTTAATGCCTCGTATGAGAACACCACCCGCTCAAAGTGATCGGTCCCGGCATCGGGATATGTACGATATGCTGCCAGTTAGCATGGATATATATTTCGACCCATCTTAGGTATCGAGCACTGGGTCAGTGGTCCAACGGTGGTAGAACGGCTAATAGCGTAGGCGAGCCTCCATTCCTCCAGGCACGACAGTCACAAGCACGAGATGGTAAACCTTTTCCATCTGGTAGAGCATAACCGCACGAGACGTGCATGGGCTTATGCGGAAATGCGTGCCAGGCAGCGGAGGGAGGACGAGGCTGTATCGACGGGTCGCGAATGCACGATGGATGTGTCCGATCTGCTGTTCCATCCCTTCTTTCTGTACGCACCAAGGACTAGACACCGAGGATGAGACCGGCACGCATGGAGTGGTGACTGTTCGATGTATCTTCAGTTGGCTTCGGTTCGGACTTGCGAGTTGCTGCTATTTGCTGGAGCGAAAGGCTGGTTAAACACCAGTCGTCAGATCTTGACCCCTGGGCAATTCGGGAGACGAGCAGAGACGAGGGAACAGTTGCGCAGTCGGGGTTTCGACCTGCGGGTTAGTAAACATCAAGCTGGACCTAGAATCTGTGGCGCGAGTAAGCTTCACCTGGCAAATATCACATCCTCACAGAACACGAATGGATGTCTTGATTTGGTTCGTTTTCATTCGGTGCCTAGCGGCGAATTGACTGAACACAGGACCGGAGCCGGTGACCTATCCCCAAGCCTACGACCCCTTTGCCTTCCCTCGAATCGCGCGGTACGCAAAGGCAATTGTGATGCTCGTGACTCCCTAACCCACACGCCGGAATCTAGTTACCCGTTGTGGATGGTTGTTGTTGTTTTGGTGGTGTATCGGAAAATGCGGAAAGACAAATTAGTAGCCGAAACCCGCGAGGGTCTTGGCCGTCTTGTTGTCGACCTTGGCGTTCTTCTTGGCCTCCGATAGTTGTCTCGTCGCCAGCTTCTTGCGCTCGTAGTAGGCAGCACCCTTTGCCTTGCGGCGCTCCTCCAGACTGTAATTTGAATGTTAGTATACTGATGGCTGGAATCGTCATGACTGTCACCGGTCGAACCAAGGTTTCCGGTCGCTGGGTGTCGGGAAAGAACGTACCGAGCTACAACATCCTGGTACTTCCAGCCATTCTCGTGGCTCAGTCTGCCGACAGTGCAGAACTTTCGGCCGGGCTGCAGTCTCAGGACACGGAGGGCCTGGGGAACAACCATCTTCTTCTGCTTGTCGTAGGGAGGGGGAACACCCTCAAAGACCTTCAGTCGCTCCAACGCGGCAGCACCTCGGGCAGTCTTGTGGGGGATCATGCCACGGACGGCCTTGTAGAAGATTCTCGACGGGGCGCGGAAGTGGAAGGGACCTGGAAAGCGTCAGACGAAGCCATATTTTAACCGTGGTGCGCGATGGGATCGCAGTCGCGGTTCGGGGGGTTTCAACGTACCACCTCGAGTCGGGTTGTATCGAGTCATCTTTCGCAGGTAGGCGGCGTACTTCACTGTAGTCCGAATCAGATCCTATTCTCCAAGTTTCGGTGCAGCACACGCAGTTCCATGTTCTTTCGGTTCTAATGTGACCGATCGTTCCACCGGGGACGGATGGCGAAGGTTAACGGGAACCACGTACGCTTGGAGCGGAAGAATTCGCCAGAGATGTTCAGGTCCTCGCAGCGGACGATGACAATCTTCTGGCCGCTGAGGAGCTGCTTGGCGACGATACTGGCCAGACGGCCGAGGAGGTGGCCCTTGCCATCAATGACGACCTGGAATAGAGACTCGTGTTAGTGTCCGTCAAGATGCAGATGGTGGACGCCGGCTTCGGGGTTTCGCTGGCCGCCGCTGCAGCAACGCAACAGTTCCTCGAATGCAGCGCCGCGCCACCAGTTTCTCCTCGCATGCCTTTAAATACGAGAGCCGGAAGCTGGGTATTACTCACAACAGTCTCGAAGGACGACATCTTTCCGAATTGTCACCGCGGTGTTTGGGAGCTGGACAGAGTCGAAGGGGGATGGAGGTCAGGAGGAAGTAATAGCTCAGAAGCGCAATGGGCGATGCGTCTGAAGAGCTATTCTCGATATTCCACCTGTGGTCGTTAGTAAGGCCGGATGGGTTGTTGATGATGGTCGCAAAAGCCGCGAGTTGTTCACCACAATTGAGAAAATATCGGGCACGCACAGAATCAGAATCAGCCCCAGTGTGGACGGTGGCAAAGGGCGGCTATTCCTGATTGGGGATGGTGGGGGTTTGCGCTGAAGCGAGAGGCTTTGTTCGTCTAGTGCTGCTAGGGCTAAGCAGACCTACCTTAGTCAGCAGTTGGCTGCAGGCAGCAGCTGCCACCAGATGCAGATTGTCGCAGATTGTCCTATCTTCGTCAAATGGGAGGCAAGCATCGTCATTCAGTGGGTCCGTTCACCGCGACCCGCTACTGCGTAATTGTCACATGCGTACATAACCTCGACCAATGCATGGGTCCATCGTTCCGGTACATAAAACGTTGGATGCAAGACAGTCACTGAGTTTTACCATGCCACCATTCCTGGCCACGCATAGAGTCACGGCACCAGACAGTATCCATTTTGTTGTCATGATATAGTTATGCCTTGCAGGGTCGGCTATGCCCAATTATCATCTGACACTGTGGTTGGTGTCTTGTCTTGACGCCCTCAACGCCAGTGCTATGAGACCGTTCTCACCCTCATCGTGACGACTCGACGTATTCCTTGGTCATTACGGAGCAGTGGACAGACAGTCGTTCCATAGAATCCCAGTTTCCCCTAGTATAAGACGTGGTGACCAAGTCTCGTCAACTACCAGTACCCGTGTGCCAATCCAATAACCCTCCCCATTCTCCATGCGAGGATCCCAAAGTCAGTTGTGAGCGATGACATTACCGTATGCGGCTCGGCTGGGATATAACACTGAAGCCGCGAATGTCGCACGCGGATGGTAGATTACCGGTTGATCTTGGTACCAGCGGGCATAAGCTCGTCAAGTTCCTTGAGAATATCCTGGACATAGTTGACCAGGTCCTTCCTTCGCGATCTGATATCCGGATCGCCGCCCGTCTCGACTTCGTCCAGCTTCAACAGCACGTGCTGCATCACGGTCTCGGTCAGCTTCCGATGCTCGTCCTCGCGCTTCTTGGCATCTTTCGGTGGGTCGGCCGTAAATTGTCGACATATGGGGAGAAGCTCTGCGTCGAAGTGGGATCGGATGGCCTCTAGCTTCCCTATCGGACCCGAAGGTACAGCGGGAGACGGTACGCGAGAAGGTTGTCGGGAGGGGGAGGGGCTTGCTCGTCGGCTGTCTCCTTCAGTCTGTCCCGGCACCCCGAGGCTGGCAGTACTGTCGTGAGGAGTGCCACGGTCCTTGTTGGGCTTCTTCTTCCGGTCCTTACTGTTCTTCTTCTTCTTCGGCTTGCCCTCACCCATGACAACAACTTCCTCGGCGCTGCTGCTGCTATCCTCGTCGTCGGATATCTTGCCCTCGGGAACCACTACCAACAACTCGCTGTTGTTCTTGACGCCGTAGTCGCGGATGGGAATGTCTTGCTCCTTGAGCTGACGGCCCTTGTAGAGCATCTTGACACGGCGAGCGCGGCGCGCACTGAGATCCATGACCAATCCGGCACGATCGCGCACATCCTGGACGAGTAGCTTGCCATCGCCGATGGAGTAGGCAGGGAAGTGGACGGGATATGTGACGTTCTTGTTCTTGATCAATAGTATGTCGTCCTCGACGCCGGCGGCGGTCGGGGCTCGGCGGCCCTGTGGGTCATATGACGGGACGGGAGGCTGCAGCGAACCCTCGAGGTCTTCGGAAGTAATGTAGCTAAAGTCATCGTCGGTGACATGTGGCATCTCCTGGCTGTTGGCCTGGGAGGCGAAGGGGGACAGGCCCTCGCGGTTCGCGGTCCAGCCGTATCGCGACATGATGAGCGATAGAGCAACGGCAGCGGCACCGGCCAGGGTCGAGTAGAGGACGGTGGGCGAGGCTCCTCTTGCAGTTAGGTACTCGTTGGGCCCGGCGAATGCGTCGGAGACGTGGCCGAGGGTGGCAGCCACGTAGTTCTGCAGTGCAGATGGGAGCAGTGCGGTGATGTTCTGGAAGGCACCAGAAGATGCCAGTACTGCCTGATCCGAAGCCACCTTGACGAGGATTGGGTAGCCCTGGAAGACCAGGACACCCAGCTTAAGTATTTTATTGTGGGATCACAGGAACCTGAATGCAGCAGGAATGCAGGTGGCAGTTGGGCGACAAGGCGAGCGGCTGGCGGGCAGGAAGTAGTCACTGGAGCTTGGAGTTGGCAATGGCGACCAGGACCAGTCAGTCAGTCAGTCAGTGGAGACGGCGATGCGTTGGTTATTGCAGGACGGGCGTCGGTTCAGCCAACGTCACGCGTCGAGTCGTTTTAAGGTAGGTAGGTAGGCACAGTGGTACAGTGGTACTGTAGGACAGGAGCGCCTCGAGTTGTGTTTGGTCTGTTGGTGTGACTATTTTCGGTGCGATTGGGCTGGCATGGCGGATGCCGTGGGGCAGAAGTTTTGGAGATGGGCGACCAAAGTGTCAGAGTGTCTTGATAACGGAATGGAAATCTGTCACAGTCTGTTTCCCGGTCACGCTTTGACACTTTTAGGTTTCATGTAGCTGGTACCAGGTACAGTAACCTAAACGGACCCCCCACTGACGTCTTGGCTGCCGCTGCACCCTGTAATCCATACGTGAGAAACGACAATAAAACAGCGTCAAGATACCTAATATGAATGGCAAAACAATGTCAATAGGCAAGGCCAGGAATTATTGCTACATTACTGAGGGTGAGGATGATGTATTGTCACTGCGAGGCGTTCGAGTCAGCTGCTGCTGCGGTGCTGCAGGCCATGCTTTGTCCTCAATGGCTCCCCTCAGAGGCAGCATGCTTCTCAAGAAGTATTTACAGTAATGATTTCCACCCCATTGAAGGAATCTTTATCGATTTCATACTTGCTGCAGTGAGATCTATACCACTTCTTCGAAAGCCGAGACCCAAGACATCCACCGAAAATGCACATAGGGATTATGTGAAGCTAGAGGCCTCGATACTGTCCGATGGAACTTCCAGTGGCTCTCAACTGCAGCGGCCTGAAGAATTTACTTCAACGTTCGTCGTATTCTTGTCGGGTCGATTCTCTAGACCAACTGTTTGCAGTACGGAGTATCGGCGTGTGATGATGATTGCGTCATTTTGCACCTCGGTTGATCTGCGCTGGAGGTTCCGCCTCGTCGGGCCTCCTCGTGCCTCTCTAACAGCGAACCGTTACAGCTGTTAGGCCGAGTGCTAGTGCTAGCGAACAAACAAAGGCCCTGGAAGCTTCCGATTGCGCCTTCTGCCGTCATCCATGTCTGGCAGATGTTGAAAGTTGAAACACAAGATATTGAAGATTCCAGTGTCCACCGCCACCTCTGACAAATACCCGTACCTGCCATACCTTTCAATCATACAAATACCCCACCATCCCTTCCCGCATCCCGATCTTTTGCGCCAAACCACCGCACCATCAACATCTAATGAACCTTGTCCGCCGATTCTTCGCCAGTGCAACATCACCACAAGCCATGTCGGACGCAAAGAACAAGGCCCAGAGCATCATCGACGAGAACGCCGTCGGTACGTAAACCACCTTACTCCTCATTTTTGCTCTGCGTTATGGTTTCCTCCCTTGGCGCATTCGTCTTCGACCCCGCCATGCAGGACGGATCCTCGCTAACCACGCTCCTCCTCGCAGCCGTGTTCTCCAAGTCGTACTGCCCCTACTGCTCCGCCTCTAAGAAGCTCCTCGACAGCGCAGGCGCCAAGTACAAGCTCATCGAGCTTGACCAGGTCGGCGATGGCTCCGCCATCCAGGCCGCGCTGAAGGAGATCTCGGGCCAGTCCACCGTTCCCAACATCTTCATCAACCAGAAGCACATTGGCGGCAACTCGGACCTGCAGGCCAAGTCAGGCCAACTCAAGAGCTTGCTGGCCGAGGCTGGAGCTGCCGAGTTGTGACTGGGCCCCTCGAGATCTTCGAAGCTTTAGTCGGGGAAGGAACGGGGTAGGTCGGGACTTGATGAGGGATAACGGGAGGCTTCTGGATACGAGAGAGCGCGGTGGCCGTATCGGAAGGCATGTTGGAAAGCGGTGCCGGAGATAGTGGCAGTTCTGGCCGTTCTCTCAGTTCCTACGGAACAGTACCTAGACGAGGTCAAGGCGAGCACCCGACAGATAGCTCGTACCTAGCACTTCTTCCAGTCCGCGAGGTACCTAGAAATAGAGATTATTCGAGAGCAAGAATACGTTGCTCCAATAAGCCATCCGATCAAGGTACACTTCCCTCTTCCAAAGGGGCGCATGACAGTCAAGGGGAGCAGCTATCTCACAGACAGATATCTCAAGCTACACATCATCTAGCTCGTGTAGCTGAGAATTGAGGCACTGACGCGTTCCTGCTGAGAACATGGCAGCATTCAATCTCCGAAACTCATATAGAGTCATGTTTCCATTGTGACTGTCATCACCACCCAACAATAGAACTTCTATAAAGTTCCCTGTCCACGACACAAACACCAGACATCTCCCGAACAATCTATCTATCTATCACCGAGCCCCCGCTACCTACCCTACCCTAAGCCACCCAACATAGACAAAGCCAGCATAACAGGAGCAATCAGCGCCCCTCTGAGGTTCGTCGCCAAGCCGTTCGTTCCATGTTGGCCTTCAACACCACGCAACAAGGCCAGAGGAACTACCACCAAAGGACCAGAGAGCGATAACATAATTACAGTGCCCAGTCACGTACTCCGCCCTCAACGTTTCTCGAGGCTTTCTAGGATATCTGAAGAGGCGCCGATATACGGCGGCAACTATGTCCAGAGAGCAGATTAAGACTCGTTTTGTTTTTTTTTGATGACGTCGGGGGTGTACTGAATGGTAATGGTAGATGTGGTTATCGCTGAGTAGTTGAGGGCAGGGGTAAATTGTCTCCTCCGTAGCTATCGCAACCGGCACGCGAGCTTGATCACGACCTTGCTGAAAGGGCAGATTTGGACTGCGACACCTAGAGGCGAATTAAATACCTGGCGAGTGTATATAGACCAGCGATGATGGTAGAATCTCCTTCTGCCTCGTCCAGCTACTCTGCACCTCAAGTTATTAAAACCCCCATAGCAATGGCCAGTATCAAGTTGTTGATTCTGAGCGCCAAGAACATACCCCTGAACCAGTGAATGCCTCGAGACGGCGACAACTCAAACGCGATCGAACCGATCCATCCGCACCCCTAATCCAAATCCGAGCCCTTCGTCTCCAGCACCGTGTCCCCAGGCATCTCAAACACCTCCACCGACTCGGCTTCCCGGCGGTCATCCATTTCATGAGCGACATCCGGCTGTTCCATCTCGTGACTCAAATTCCCACCAGGCATCTCCTGTCTAGCCTTCGGCTCGTCCCCCAGCTCGTGAGCATCGGTCGGGTGGTCAGATCCATCTGATGTCTTCTTTGCGCGTATCTGTTGGCCCAGGGCGTAGCTGGCTGTGGTTAATGCGAAAAATGCGACTATTGAACCGGCGATCATACCGGCGATTATACCGGCTTTGGTTGGACCGGGTAGGTCACCGCCTGTTGATGCGCCCTTGGGTTCCGATGCTGCTGGCGTGGAAGGAGATGGCGACGTGTTGTTATCAGCTCCAGCATCTGCATTCGACGCTTTGAGCGAGATGGCAGGTTCCCATATTCCGTCGCCGGTAGCATCGAGTCCGGACATGTGGACCTGGACAAGTCCGTTACCGCTCATGTAGTAAATCCAGATCAAGTCGTGTGTGGAGTCGGATGCCAGGCCGAATTCTGGGTTTGGCATATCTGCATACGGCCAAACGTCTTCCTTTTGCGGCGGCATCTGCTGCCACTGACGGTCTACTTCGCTGACGAGGTGTAAGTTGTGATCCGTGCCAATATAAAAGATACTCCGACTCTCAGTGCTTGCGTAGGTCACGCCTATATTGCCGACCTCCCCATTCCATGCTTCAAGCGTGAAATGCTCGAGCAAAGGCCCTGCAATATTTATTTCTTCGTCCTTTGTTGCATTTGTGACTGGAGAGCCATCATCCCCCGTCCCCAGTCTATTTGGAAACGCACCTGCAATCTATAAGTCATGGCCATCTGGAGGATCGAGGACCACACTTACTGATCTGTCAATACTCTTTGGAGGCGGCTAACGTAGACACTACTATATTGTGAACTTCTTCTGGCGTGACAACTGTCACGTTGTGGCTGCTACTGTAGCTCGCCCCTATTGCCAAGTTCCCCTTGACTCTGAACCGTGTCACGAAGCCTTCAGGAGCCCAGTACCCACCATCGGCCGCAGACGCACTCTGCAACGTTAAATTTGTATCGAAGTAGTACATTTGCCAGCCATCTTGGCCATGCTCCCTGGGCGCAATGCCTGAGCGGTCATGGTTGAATGGTGCATATGAAGTCGGTGTCGTCATCCCGCCTTCTTCCTGATCAATGGGCTCCAGGTAGCCAGACGCGTCGCACGATGTTTGCAAACGTCTGATCTCACTGTTCCAACTGGCATGGTACCAGAAAAGTATCTACACCTTGTTCAGTAAGTTTAGAGTAGTGCGAAGCAGTTGCTTCGACCGGGAGATTGTCATACCCTATATGTCCCATTGTCGAGATAGCCAGATACTGCAAGCTCCGACCCGTTTAGCGGCGGTTCGGACGTGTTCAGGGTCCTCCAATTCTCCGCCGTAGAGCTGTATTGACTGCTGTTGCAGGGAGTGTAGAGTATTTGGCCTGTCGTGTTGTCTTGCATGGCAACCTGCGGCAGACCCTGCCCGCCATACCAGGCGGCGATTGCACCGCAGCGACCGAGCTCGATAAAGAGGCCGAACTATCGAACAGATGAAGAGGAATGATCGAGACATTGTCGGATCAAATTGCTGGACAAGAAAGCGTAACCTCCGCCAGGACGGTCCCCTCCCAAGTCGAGCCTCGCAGGTCGGAATGAGAAGAAAGTGCGTCTGGAGAAGCAAGTGTGTTTTCTCTGCATTGAGTTTGTTCGCAACTGGTACGAGTCACAAAAATGACCACCCTCCCAGCCCGCATGGACAGAGACACCATTGGAGCCGACTACGCGGATATCCGCACCGTCACCACCCGTATCTTCTCATAATATGCAAGCTCCCGCTGCCGGCAGTTCCTCGTAAGCCAATGGAGTCCCGGATCTGAGTAAACGAGACCTTCGGAGGCCTTTGGACTTCATTTCCACGTTCGCTAATGGAAGTTTGCCTTCCATTTGCCTTGTGTTGTGTCCCAACAAGCCGACCTCGTAAGCCCCAGACTAGTTGCACACGTACTACGATGCGCGGAATCATCGCCACGATGGCCCATTTCGCAGTGCTGCTTCGTTTCCTGGGACCACCAGATAACCTAGGCAAGACCTTGGCATCTGCAATTTCGTCTGTCTTTAGCGACAGCCGAGTTCGTCTCCAGTGTTTAGCTATCGCCATCGCCCGACCCTCTCCTTCTCATGCGCCTCCTCGGAGTAGGCCTCCCACGATCTCGAGCTACCGGGCGGTCCTCCATCGTCAGAGATCTGGTAGCCTCTGAACTTGACGTCCTTTCCCAGGAACGACCCCTGGAACAGTCCGTGGAAGACGTTCCAGTTGCCGTCTTCGAAGTCGATGTACCCTTGCTGGCTCCGATTACGGTCCAGCTGGATCTCGCCCTCGCCGGTCTCGCTGGCCGCGCCATAGGAAGTAGAGGCGTCGAGGGTGGTGTCGTCTTCCCGATCAGTCTCCGTCTTTTTGCGCGGAGCTGCAGATTCGCTGGAACTTGGAGGAGTGGGCTCGCTTACGCGTGTTGGGACTGGATCCGGAATCATTCGAATCAAGCATATCTTCGACTGCTTTCTTCACACTGTTGAAGTCGTCTTGCGTCAACATAGCGTCGGTCAGGAATTCCAGCTTCTTCTCTGTAGAGGCCAGCCGGCCCTGCAAGGTCGAGACTTGGCTTCGTAGCTCATTCACCTCATCCTCGAGCGAATCCTCATCATCGAAATCCTCATCATCGACCTCATCCGCTTCATCCTCTTCGGGGTCTGTTATGAGGAAGTTGTGCGGAAGCGCATCAAGATTTCTGGCGAAATGCATCACGCCCTCGAGAACGTCCCAGTCGAACGACCCCTCGGCCTTCGAACCCATGCCCATGCAGTTCATGGGCAGGCGTAGATCTTCTCCAATGTCGTCTCCTTTGATCAGCCAATGCCCTTGCAGATGATACTTGAGAAGTACATCCTCGTCCCTCCCTCGACGTTTGGCGACGAAGTCCTCATGCTGCTTGAACCTGTCTTCCCAGCTCACGCGTTCAAAGCCGGCGAAGTGGTGGTGAACCTGATGAATCCCGGCATTGTAGCTGATATTAGGTCCGTGCAAGAGGTGGTGGTGATGGTGGCGGTGGTGGTTGTAGTCGTGGAGGAGAGACTTGTCGAGCCTGGATTGAGACGAAGAAGTGCTGTGCACAGTTCAATGTATGTGCGCTTGTGAAACAGGTGTGGCTTGTTGGGGCAGAACTTTAGTGGTGAATGCATGTGTTGCCCATGGCACCGTGGTGTGGATTGTGGCTCACCACGCACTGTCCACTTCATGTGGTGCCTTCCGTTCTGTTAAGTACCTCGTTAGGAGTCTAGTTGTCCATAGTGTCACATGTTGCAGCGATTATCAGGCCAGGCTCGTGGATTGAATCGAGGTCTTTTGGTTTCCATTCAGGTTCCAATACTTGGAAATATTGATGGCTTCGTACAAGCATCGATCCATCCTGCGTAAATCCCGCCCTGGGCCTATCGCCTTGCATAACCGCTAGGCACTCGAACCCATCAAGATCCGAGCCTCCCATTGATCCAATACATCACGGTCTCCCCACTGGCACATTTCCACTTGCCGGAAACGATGCCACTGCAGGTAAAATGATGCTTGCATCGCTGTGGTGTATGTTGGGTGGGTTCTTCGGAAACTCGAGCGGCTTGCACTGCTTTACCTATCGACTACGCGACAAGCCATCATGTATGCCCCAGAGCCTAACTCATCTTGGCCTAATGCCGACTCCAGCCTGTTCGCTGCCGTTGATAGTTGGCGTTTTGGGTGAATTATGTAGGGCAGTCATATCGCTGACCGAAGATCTGCTCGCGGATGTCGAACACCTCATCAATTTTGGGCTGGGTTTTGGTGAAGAACATGTTGAGACACCAGCGGGGGCTCGATTGGGCTGCTATAATCGACCAGCTACGGAATATCTAGACTCGAGAGTCGAGAGAAAGACTGAGCCTGCTTATCTGGTTTACACTTGAGGAGAACAGGTCGCTTGATGATGAGGTAGTTGAATTGGTGAGTGTTGTGGCAGGCGTGATGATGGGCTTTGAGAGGAGACGGTGGTAAATGCCAGAGACGTTTGGATGAGAATGGAGGATCTGCGTCATGGTATTTATGTGTTCAACAAACGGAATTGTAGTATAACCTTCCGGGTGACGACCGTATCTGCAGCACTCAAACGAAGACCCCGTCTCAACCGCATGTCTGCTCAAACCCGTCGCCAGTGAAGGGGGAGCATGCTACCGAGCAGTCGATGCACATAAACCCAGCCCTGATAAGTCTCCGTTCGCGACGTGTTGAGAGAGTCTAGATCACACATAGAAACTTGGAAATGATGGTATAAGCAGCTCTAGTTTGATACGTTACTTTTCATGTTTGTTTCATTGTGCTTATTCCGATTTTTGGTACAAACACCGTTGGCTGCTATGTAGATGGGTGGTGTACGGAGACTTATGAGGGTTCAGTGTAGCTCCCATTCCAAGCATTACGTCCACGCCATCCTCGCCCGCCTTGTCAAAACCCCTGGGCGCGCACTTCTTGAGTGAGTAGCAGCGGCCTTGTCCCTCCATCTTCGTGGTCTGTGCATCCCCATTACGAACGAATTCCTTTTGGTCGAGTAAGATCATGGTCATCTCGAGAAGCTTCTGGAGAGCAGTCTCAACAGAGGCGACGGGGTCGCTTTCGAGCATCACAAAGTGACGGTGTTTAGTTGCAACCTCGTAGAGGACGAATGCTATGAAGGTGGTGGTTCCGCGGACAGCGACGTGCATGGCCGGTGGAGGATGGGTAGATGTCATCATAAGCGGATAAGTATGCGCGAGTTGGCTATCAAGATGTGTCAGCGAAGTCAACGAGTGTCGATACTAAGCGACTCACTGGCGATCTGCTGGCGGATATCGTATAATTCGAATGCAAAATTCGGAGGACGCTCAACCTCTGTGCTGCTCTCCGAAGTGGTGACGGGCTTCTCGCTGGCCTGTTCGATGGACTTCTTGATGGAGGAGACGATCTGCTCGCCGATGATCTCGAAGTCGATGGTCACCTTGGAACCCATTGCGATGACTGACGGATTGGTAATTGTGGGGGGAAGGTTATCTTGCGTCAGTGTATACCGCTAAAGATGATAGACGCATGGCCTACTGTATCTGGTCCTGAGCCTGTAGTGAGCGAAGGTGCGCTGCGAAAGCTGAGTGCTTCGTAGAATCGTGCGTTGAAGAAATTCTGCATTGTGCGAAGAAGAGTTGGCTTCGAAGAACAGGACGACTTTATGTTCCCAACCGGCAGATTAAGAGACAATATAAATATTGGAATCAATTTAGGTTCTGCCGCAACCTTGAGTAAATTAACGAAGGAGGGAAATTTAGTGGCTCATGGCTAAACTCTATCAATCCTTTCCTTCGACTTTAACGCCAATATGGCTCCAGCGAAACCTTCGTCTTTTTCTGATGAGTTACAAGAGCCCTATATAAAGACAAATCCTCGCACGGAGATCTTACCATAAATCTCTTTACGAACCACACACTATCATACAAATCGAATCGCTCCTACGGAATGCTGCAGACTGCACGTCACATCCGCGCAATCTGCCTTCTTGCTCGTGGACCTTTCGCCGCTGGTGTTCGGTGCAAGTCTGTCATGTGCCAGATCTCTTCCGAGCAGATCAAGACCCAAATCCGCCATCACGCGCCATCGCCAGCCCCTGCCTCAAAATCTCGATCCCATACATTGCCTTCTTAAACCCAACCCATATTTGCTCTTCCAGGCATGTCACAGATTGCATCCATAACAGCCTGGAACCGGCCTAATCACGTAGGCATCACCGCTCTCTCATGCCATCTGTTTCGCCCTGACTACACTGCTGAAGCAATGTGAATGCACACTTCACCCTTCGGCAGCAGTTCACCCCTCTCTTGACCTCCAGGGATTATTCGAGTGCTTGCCCCGGTACGTACTTCTATATGGTGACTGGGTCATGAAGCTGAGTCGATCGGCCGAGCATTTGCAGCCTGTTCCGTATCACTTCCATGACAGGCCAGGTACGTAACTGTTTCAGGTTGCTTCTTGACTGTAATTATACCTTTTATCGGGATAAAAACCTTGGCAGCTGTGGCCTCATTCTCGTCTTCGCTTGCGGTGCGAAGACCGCCAAGCCCCCCTTTTCCTCGTCACGAGGTGACTACAGGTCTAGTCACTGGGCATCACAACTACCACCGACACCGTGATGAAGGCGAGTTAGGCGGATACCTACCTTTCAATACCAGTGACATTACACTCGTTGCATTTGTAATTACATGGAATCAAATGCTGCTACATGTAGCTCTATTATTGCCCTATTGCCAGCAGGTATGTATTCTACCCAACGCATCATTGTAAGTTGCAGTACAAAAACACTGACTTCAGGCTCACCTCCTGGCCCTCGGAAGCGGTACAAGAGCCCTCTCTCAATATAATCTTGCTACGAATGAAATGATACATATTATCACGATCGCAGCGAGCCACATTACCCAGCCCAACAGAGTGTGTCAACCCCGAAGAGTCTAACCTCAGCCGTGGCCCGAATCTCCATTCCAGAACCCATCGCCCAACCAAGTCCATCCATCCATCCCCTATTTATCATCCTGTCCAAACCTTCAACTTCCCCCCACTGCTCACCTCACAAACAGGCTTCATTCAAGCCGCCTAAGGCCTTTGCCCGAGATCAATCCATCAGACTGCTGCAAAAGCCACAGCCTCCCTCGACTGAGCCCATGATGGATCCTGAAGACAACAGCGCTCGAAACCAGTGGCGAGCTCCCTTCCCTCCCCTTCGCAAGTGATTCAACGTTGCAAAAGCGTCGACGATGCCGTCAACCGAGGCGCCCGTTGCCCTATCTGCAAGAGCATCAGCACCCATGGTGAAATGCGGTAATTGATCTACCGACCAAAAAATTTCCGGATAGCCTGACGACAAACCCGACTTGACTATAGGCATGCCTAGTGGTCGACGGAAGAGAGGTCGGCCAGTTGTAACCGTACCACTCTGCCCAGCTGATCTTTTCAACCTACGCACTCTTCCAGTGGCCTCATTCAACTCCCAACTCGACAGGTCTTGAATGGGAGACAGCGTAGAAACAAACGCCAGCAGAGGCGTGACGAGCAGACCCGAGGACATCATCAAGGCTTCACACTCACATCACAACTAGTCTCGCAGCGCTTTTCTCAGCAAAGTAGCGTAACATTTATGCAACAAAGAGCAATATGTATTCCCTGATTACTGCGGCTGGGATGCAAAACCCAATTAAATAACTCGGTTGTCTTCCAGCACGACTCTATGGTATCTTTTTACAGGCTCCCCGAACTTCAACGACGGAACCACAAACTTCCATCGTCTTCGTGTTCCTCTTGGCCTCAACTTAATACCTGGCCCGTTGTCGGCTCTCCTGGCATTGGCTTCACAGTCGGCTCCCGAGGGCCAGGCATCCTCGAGCAACATTGGGCTCGCCATGCAGACGACCAATTCCAATACGCGAAGGTGCGCGCCTGAGGCGGACGATACGAGCATAGCTCATTGTGAACGCAAGAAACATCTCGCAGTCAAACGTATGTAAATGACTCGCAAATGCCGGATTGTGACGCTCATGAACAAAGAGTATATCAAAAGCCTGCGAGCAAACGAGGTCTCGACTTGCTTGATCAACGCTAGGGTATCATCGCGGGGCCTGTGTCAGTCGAAGCCCCACCAATATGCAGCAAGTGTGAAGACGGCAGAGAGTCCGCTCTGTCCAGGAGCCCTGCGGCGATCCGGCTATAATCCTGAGTAATGGAGGCGCCATATCAAAGCTCAATACGGATGTTATTGGGTCAACGAGGCAGGCTTCGATGCCAATCAACGCCAGGTCTGAGGGTAGTAATCATACTACGGATCGCGTGTCTCATCATCTTGGTCGATATGCGCTTGCATCGAAGCCGTGCTGGGACCGGGCGCCGATCCTTGGCGGCCAAACAAGCTCGACCCTGCAGTACTGGGACCTGGCATGGGAACTGCGATTTGATCCAGACTCGAGGGTGCATTGTTCTGCGGCTGATTGGACCATGAGTTCCACTGACCATTCAACGTGCCGAAAGGGTGATCCGTCGTGTTGGATTGGCTTTCGAAAACCGGTGGTGTTGCGATTGGGTGAGCGTGGGAGAATGTGGTTGCCATAGAATGATGAGGCGGCGGTGGAGGAATCGTGGCTATATCGACGAGCTCGTCTCCGCCAGGGTTTCCATTGTCGAGCGCGATCTCACTACCTTCACCCATGTCGTCATCCTCGGGAGTGTCGATTTCCTCAAAACCATCGATGTCTGGTATAGGTCCAGGGGCAATACCGCCTGTTGGAGTTGGAGGGGGCAAAGCTCTGCGTCTTTCATGTCTGCGACCCTCGTGATACTCGGCGAATTCTTCCCTTGTATTGAGATACCGCCTCAAACCAGCCACGCCCGCACCCGAAAACACGCAGAATACGGCTCGTTGGTGATCAGTAAAGTCTGTCGAAGAAAGTGAGCATGACTTGAGCACAGAGTTAACAATGATGGGAGGATGGCATACCAACAGGCGCCTCGCGGCAGAAGGCCTCAAGATCGTCTCGTAGGAATGCAGGTACTCCGGTTAAACTTAGGTGGGTGAGTTTGGGGCAGCAGTTTAGCAGTTTGATAATACTCTGTAGATGTGGTCAATATGTGTCTCCTCGATCTGCCCCGTCAAAACATACCGGCAGGGTCAAATTGGTGCAATAGCTCAAATGCACGCGCTCCAAACTGCTTGAGCGATACTCGTGTCCAGGGATGATGTTATTGGACGCATCGCGACGGCTGTGCGTTCGGTAATTAGCTTTGGCCAATGCGTACATACTCTCGTCTGTGATGCTAGCGCACTTCACAAGGCCAATTCTCTTGAGCTTGGGAAGCGTTGCCAGGCGCGTGACTGAGTCATCGGTCAAATGCGTGCAGCAGCCCAGGTCGATATACCGGATACGGTTGCAGCATTGCACCAGACGCTTCACAGCCTCGTCCGTGATGTTACGGCAGTGTCCCAGGTGTACGTAGTGAAGATTCTTGCCTAGACGCGAGATGGCAAAGACGGCGGCATCTGTAATGTTGTTGCACTTGGCGAGCACCAAGTTTCGCAGCCGAGGTGCCACGTCGATGATCTTCTCGACGGCACGATCTGTCAAACGCGAGCACGAGGTCAGGTCGAGGATCCGAAGGTGTTCATACGTCTTTGACGAAGGCAGCGTCAGAAAGGCAGCATCGTCAATCAGTTCGCAACTGGATAGACGCAGCTCTCGAAGGGACTGTCCCCTAGCGAGGAGGGCCGTCACTGGGTCGTTACCGATTTTGTCGCACTGGTGTAGATCAATCTCGAGGATGTTCGGGCAATTGTGGGCAAACGCAAGAATGGCATTGTCGTTCAGTTGCACGCAGTCATTGAGCTTGAGCTATATCCGGAACAGACTCGTCAGTAAAATAGTCATAGAAAAAGCAGAAACAGACAAATCAGGCCTAAATACGAAGATGGAAAGGACGGGATAGCCATACCCGCTTGATGTACTTGCAGTTCTCGGCGAGCTGGACCATGCTTTCATTTGAGATCTGCTTGCAGTTTGAGATGTTGAGACCCTGAAGTCTCCGACAATTCTTGGCAATGGCCATGATGGAGGCTTCCGTGATGTTGATGTCCCCTGATATATCCAGCGCCAGGAGGAATTGACTGCTTCCGACCAAAGGTATCAAACCAGAGTCGGTCAGACCTTTGCAGTTCGTCAGTGTCAGACGTTCAACCCTGGAGCAGGCAGAAAGGGGCAGGACACTGCCATCGTTGACCTCGGGGGCGAGGGCCGCGAGATTCAGACGTTTGATGAAGTCGGAGTAGGTGAAGAAGGGCTTCTCCAGCCCAAGCGTATTGCAGATGAAGGCATGCTTCTCCCAACTGGTGCAGGTGGGCCGGTGCCAGAGGATTTCGACCGCATTCCGAGCCCATCTCTTGCATGTCAGCATGCAGTTCAACAGTTCTGTCGAATTGCTAATGCGAGAGAAGATGCTGATGAGGATTTCGCTAGGCAGAGCGGCAACGGTGGGGAGGCATTCTGGATCGGTGACCTGCATGTCCTGCATGTTTGGTACGACTCCTAGTGATGACTGCGAGTCATTGGCGCCGAGGAAAAAATCCGATTCTTCGTTATCGGCAGGGGCGGGGGAGTTGGTCGAAGAAGAAGATCGCGAATCTCTCGGTTCATCCGCTTCGGTCATGACCATGGTGGGCGGGTTTGGGCCGGAAGCAGAGGCTGAGGCTATTGAGGGGCCAGAAGTAGCAGCTGCAGCTGCGGCCGAGTTGCGGGCAGCGATGACATCGAGTGAGGGAGCGGGAGGGCGCATCTTGCTCCAGTCGGCCTATACCTCGACGAGGAAGCAGACGGGCACAGCCTTGGCAAGTAGTATTGAGAGATCCTGGGTCTGGCGATGGATGGAGATGGAGATGGAGATGGATCTGTTCGCTTCGGTCGAGAGGTGGTCGAGATCGCAAAGGAGGGGCATGTACAGCAATGGTTGTTTACGTTATCGAGGCTGTGACGATGAGTAAACACAGACGATGGACGTGAGCCCAAAGCCTTACCGGATGGATAGCTGAGGGAATCGTTGGGCGGATAACGAGCAGGCCGGAGGAGCCAGCGGCAACGAGCGCGGGGGTCAAGATGCTCCGCTCTATTGTGACGAAAGCCGATGTTGCGATGGGCGACACGGGGCCTGACGGAGGCGCGGAGGCGCGGAGACGGACGGATGTTCGAGCGATCGGGCTGCGATGGAGTTGGAGTTGGAGTTGGAGTGATGAAGCTGGACTGCCGGTCAGGATGGGCCCTGCCAACCTTGAAGCTGGGATGTGCGTGTTTGTTGTGGTCGTGGTGTGCTGGCTTGACAATTTGAAAGTCTGATTCAACCAGGGGAAGGGCGTCGGAAGGGTATCAGAGGAGCGTCGAGGTAATGGTGTATGCCGGGTGACGATGCCAGGTGATGAGGATTGGGTTGGGTGCCCGGCTGCCAGTTCCGCAAGGTTGTTCTGGTGATACAATTAAAGGTCAGGGTGTAGCTAGCTACCTGCTCATCGGATGCCACCTGGCCCAAGATACCACAGATGGCGAGCCCGGTCGTTCCAGCTGCCTTGGCCTCACCTTGCTGCATCGGCCATCTGGCTGCCACCTGCCCTCTCTCCTTTGCCGTGAAGTACCTACGTACCTAAGTGTGATGCCTTTAACGGCTATGTCATCTAAGGCATAAAAAGTGCGGGGTATGCACCTACTCGTAACTCATCCACCACCGCAGATTTCTCATGATCTGATCTCAATCGTCTCTCCCCATCTGCAATCTGATTTTTACATGATCTGTCTGCCATGCATGTCTCACACAAGAACACCTTTATTCAATGCACCCAGCCGCTGAGAGACACTAGCATTTTCCAATTCATTTCTGACGACTCAGAAACCCAAACCCGCCAAAGTTCAAACTGTCTCTATTGGACGACTGAAGAAGCGCCGTCAAACGGTGAAAATGATAACTTGCACAAGCGTCTGACAGAAACTGTTATTTCGGGGGCAATTGACTGCAATAATCAACAGACCTCTGCTTTACCTACCTACTGCAAATCAACCGCTTAGGCTGTCTCATTCACCTCTAACGCGAGATGGCCTGATGTTTGGAGCTGTTGGGTTTTGAGTTCAGCCTCATGGGGGACTGCCCTCCACCTATCGAAGTCTACCTACGTCTGCACACACATCAGTACACACACCAGCTGGATCTGCCACTATCACAGGGTACATTTCTCCTCCTAAGCATCCTGGCATTTACTTGGTTTCACTCAGCTCACTCAGCTCACTCTGTGTACTCCTCGGAGGCCCACAAGTTTATCTACTTGGGCTCGTGATTCCTCGTGAGCCGTTAGGCACAGGAGTGAACAAAGAGAATGCCTCGAAGTCGCCCTTAGCTGAATCCATCTTCCATCAGGAGGTCTACCACTTGACGTGTCTATTCCTTGATACGGTGCTTCCCAGGCTCCCATGTCAGGCCGAAATGTCTGCCATGTTTCTCTTTGCAAAAGAGAAAGACGGAATCTCGGGGGGAATCCACTCCACCTAGGTGGCTGGTGGTGATACCAATCCACAATGCCTCGTCGTTCTACCTATGCCAACCGGCGCCCAGTTTGATATGATCCAGGGTAAAAAGGGCTGGCAGCAACCTTGAAGGGACTGATCGGTGGAAGCATCTGTACACTTCTCATATGTTTCCGAGCCATAATCGGCTTGGGCCGGCGCAATGTTAACACTCAAGTGCGACACAAGATCATGACCCTTGGACTAGTGTCTACAGATCTCTGTCACACCGTTTTCCGCTCAATATCAACATTTACCAGCGAGACCAGTGGACATTTTCTTAAGGGCGTGGTCTCGACTTCTGCCGCCGGTGTATATGTCGCAGCCTCAAAATGTGTTACTATCCTCGAACACGTGGTGGCGAATCATCCACCTAGCGTACGATGCAGAAGAACATCTTTGATTGCCGTGCTTACGAGCACCCCATGTCCTGGTACTTCGTCCGATGTGTTCATGCATGTTGCCCTGTCAAATGGCAACTGCAATTGGGCGTTACGGTTCTCAGCCCGCAGCTGGGACGGAGTCCTACTGACGCCTCCTGCCTTAGGTACTCCTTGCATGTAAGAGGTAAAGCCTCGCCTATGATGAAACGGCACAACACGCACTTCTCTCATTCCTGCCGCTTCTCACATCGCAGACATTCGATATGGCGGGCACGATCATCATCACTGGCGCCAACGGTTCTCTAGCAGGAAACACCGTGCAGCATCTACTCACGAATACGCCCGATAATACCTTGGTCCTCACCGTCCGCAACACCTCGGACGAGGACCCCAACACCAAGAAGCTACGTGCCACCATTGCCAAGTTCCCGAACGCAAAGGTGTCTATCCGCCAGCTCGACCTTGCCAACCTCACCGCTGTGCACGAATTTGCCGACACCGTCGCTGCAGAGGCAGCCGACAAGAAGCTGCCCTCCCTCGCGGCCATCGTGTGCAATGCCTATTATTGGAACATGGTGCGCGATCCTGAGCTCTCCGACGAAGGCTACGAAAAGTCGATTCATATAAACCATATCTCGCATGCGGCTTTAGTGTTGCGACTTCTGGGTAGCTTTGGTCCTGAGGGTGGGCGGGTGGTTCTCTTCACTAGCGACGCACACGAGGATGGCAAGAATGGTCTTCAGAAGTATCCACCTGCTCTGCCTGATGGCCTTGACGCCCTCTTGAAGGCCGTGCCGGAGAGCGATAAGCAGGGACGCGGCTTTCTGAACTATGCCAACTCGAAGCTGGCTATTCTCATGTGGACGTATGCGCTGAACCGTTATCTCGAGAAGGTAGGCCTACGAACCATGACTGCCCACAAGTCTTCTCTTCTTTCTACATTGATCTTATCCTTAGGGGAACAGTGGACCAAGTGACCTGCTAATTAGCTGTTCAGGACGAGGCACTGAGTAAGATCACAGCAATCGCAATAGACCCAGGCAGTCTAGTCGACTCTCGCGCTCTGCGCACCAACACACCTCCGCTGGTGCAATGGGTCCAGAAGCTGGTGCTTCAGCCCTTCAGGCCAGTGCTGCGCTTTGTGGACCCGTACATACGTACAGCAGCCGATGCAGGCGTTGATGTAGCAGAACTTGCCCTCAACCAAGCACTTCCGGGCGAGCGTGGATATTTGAAATTGCTCAAGAGGGAGAGCAGCTCCAAGGACAGCCTGGACGAGGTCAAGCAGGAGAAGCTGTGGGCGAAGACTCTGGAATGGGCGAAGATCACGAAAGAGAACACGCTGCTCGAGAGCGGCGTCTAGGGTGACAGGAACACATTTGTAGTCGGTTCTATTCAAGAGTATGCGCCCCGTATTGATACGCGACGTGATAACCAATAACCATCTTCCCACCGCGAAAGCTACGTAAGGTAGCGGTTCCAACAATGGCATATACCCAGAACAAGTTATGCCGTCTTTGCGCGGTCCGCAAATCGCCTTTGGAATATCGACATCTCCATCTTGCGGCAAGCTGACTCCCAATCCGTCGTCCACTTCCTGTAAAACGGCTGATAACCCAGCAGCCCGCCTATCCATCTTCCAACCACGATACCCAGCGCTCGCGATATTGTCCGTCCGAGTGGCACCCACCATGGTAACGAGAGGTATGATCCGCCGGCATCGAACATCTGGGGCACAAGACAATTAGCAATGAACGAGACCGATGGAGGGGGGGGCGAAGGACTTGAAAAACGCGCAAGACTCACACTCAGGACCTGCACCAGATCGACCTTCTCCCCCTGCACCACGATCTGGTCCTGGTACGCATACCAGTTCTCGAAGAAGACGGTATCCAGCCTGAACGCCGCATCCGTATACTGGCCCGACAGCAAGAAAACCGTCTTCTCGCTCCCAGTCCCAGTTCCAGTCCCACTATCTACATCTCCCTCCTTCTCCGCCACAGTAGGCGCATAAAGCCGATGATTCGACCACGGCCTAAGGCAGAACTCGCCGTCGTCGGGCCCCAGCACGGACTCGACCCCCTCGACCTCGACGGCCAGCCGGCCCTCGACGATTTGGAGGTACTCCTCCTGGTACGGGTGGAAGTGCAGCGGCGGCTTCTGGGTCGCGACCTGCACGACGCGCGGGTGCTGCAGGAGGAAGGTGACTTCGTAGGCGAAGACGCGGGAGGGGTGCTTCGGGTGCGTGATTATGCGTGTGGTTATGCCGCCTTCGAAGCTGTTGGGTTGCACGAAGGGGGTTGTTAGTTGCGCTGTGCTGAGGAAGGGCAGGTCTGTCTACGTGCGTAGGTATAGTCGGATGGGATGGAAATGAAAGCAGCAACATACGCGGTAATGGTGAGGCCGACATATGGATCAGCGGTCGTCATGGCAGCCTCACTCTTCGTCGCCATCGTCATGGACATTCTCGCTCCTCTGGTGGGTTTCTTTCTGCTGGTGGTGTTGCAGCGCGAAGCTCTATGTTACACATCACATCACATCTCACAAGCGGCGTGAGGCTCTCCTGCCATTAAGAAGCACTGCACTTACCTAGGCTGCACCTCACAGCCGCCGCGGGAGGAACAACTGCTAGGTCCTTGTTGCCCATGTCCAGGACTTACAGGGTTATGGTTCGGTGAGGCTGTTTCGGTGAATGCCTCTCCCTCGACAACGACGTCCCGTATACGAAGGACTAGGCAGTGAGCCCCCTCCCACAGACTTCGTACGTATCGATGAATTTCTTCTTCCACATATTATTAGAGGATCGGGGAGAAGGGGGGGGGACTGACCCTCGTCGCTAGCGCTACTATACAGCCCCCTCTAGTCGGTCGTCTGTCGTTCATCACCATCCTTGTCCTGCGCCGCTGTCCTGCGAGTAAGGTATGCAGCCGCCGGCTGGCGGGCGATCTGGCTTCGGTCAACCCCTCCCGATCCCTGAGTTCGATTCAGCCCTTTCAACCCACAGTCATCTCTATGATCGCCCAATTGGCGTATGCCAGACAGTAGGGCACCCCCGAGTGGAGCTAAAGGCGCAGAGGCGGTAAGAAGTGGGATCAGACAGCAAGTGGATGATCCATCCCGGCGTCTGTTAGTGGACGGCTTACGGGAACTAGGACTATAGTTCAGCCCCCAACACCTCGACACCCACCGAGAAGGTCAGGCGCCGTGATCTATCATATCAGGTACCTGATGCTCCCTTGAAAGGGCATTTCACGCGGCAGGGTACGTGGTACAGGATGACTCAGAAGTCAGCCAATGGCGACACAAGGTCGACTCGAGCAGTCAAAGTCATCCCTACCGAAGGAATGGGGCGCAAATCGCACTCCGGTGGCCTATAGGCGTATCGCGATTTTTTACGATGGCTTGGGCAGCCCGCCGCCACTATTGGCTGGACTGGACTAGGGCCGTGTGGTGGACGGCATGCATGCATGTGAGACGCCGCATCTCTGCTGCCGGGTCAAACAATGCCGAGGATACGGGATGAGGCCCGTCTGAGGCGCGGACATAGGCTTGGAATCGATCTCACTGCTGACCATAGGGCTTGACAGTGCGACGCTACTGCATGTGATAGACCTCCCTGGTCCATTCCGCCGATTGGCCATCGTTTGAGGGGCACACGACGACGTGCCTTCATGGTGGTTGACTGGAACAGCTGCGGACGGATTGCGCCATTCGGGATGTTCGTCCGTCTTACTATACATCATCGTGGCTAGTCTAAAGTCCTACATTTCATGAGGGTGTGCAACCCACGAGGCAGCCTCGACGAAGCAGCACATCATGTTGACAGCATCTGGTGGTGGTTCGGTGATCGAGATTGATACAGGATGCTGGATTATCATACAGGGGTGCATTACATAGGGTGAATACAGTAGCGCTGACGCTTAATAGGACTATACCGGTATCTTGAACCCTCCAGGCACCAACTTCTGGAAGACCAGGTCCGGGTCGTGCACCCGCTGAACATCCCTGAGCTTAGCCAGGTTCTCGGGTCCATAGTGCTCGATGACAGGCTGCTCCACGGACGCATCGTTCATGAAGATGTAATCGACGTAGTTGCCCGTGCCCTGCGAGGCCGCCTCGATCTTGTCGATCATGCTCAGCGTGGCGCCATTGGCCGTGTCGTCGTCCCCCTCGTCCCACCAACCAACATCGATGACGAGCCAGGTCTGGTTGGCGCAGTCCAGCCCCAGGGCGTTGCCTCCGCGCGCATTGCCCGCTTCGATAGCGCTGGTGGAGATGGGCTGCCAGCCTATGGCGATGCTGCCGGCGGTCAGGTTCTGGATCTCGCTCAGCTCTGGTGCTGACGTCAGAGTCTCTGCCACTGTCTTGTAGAGTCCTGCGTCTGGCTTGAAGCTCGTCGCGAACCAGTCGAGCCGCGGCAGCGACGGAGCCTGCTGGCTCGCTAGGAAGCTGGTCAGTGACTGTATCTGTGTCGTGTCGGCTATTGTCTCGATGTCGTAGAACGCCTCGAATGCTGATGGGGACTCTTCTGGCTTCATGTAAACCATGTTTAGCACCACTCCCAAGGTGGCGTTGAGCGGAAATGCCTGGAGCATGAGGTTGGCGTAGGGGTCCTTCTCGGCCACGCTTTGATACTCGAGCATTGCGTCGAAGAGGGCTGGCAGGGCATCGAGTGTGTAGGCCTTGACGCCGCCCCAGATATTGCCAATGGGATACGTCGTGAGAGTGAATCTTGTCACTATGCCTATCGACGCGTCAATAACCATCGTTTGATCGAAATAAGGAGCCTGAACTCACCAAAGTTATTTGCGCCACCTTTGAGTGACCACCAGAGATCCGAGTTCGATCCTGCATTTGCGTTGACGATGGAGCCATCAGCGAGCACGACCTACACATGGTTTTTAGTCAGGCTTGCATTGTGTCACCTGAAACCTGATGACTATACCTCAAAGTTGACGACATTGTCACACGCCAAGCCATACAGGTCGCTCAGGTATGACAATCCACCTACAATTATTGTTAGCCATCTCACCGCCACCCAAGACGTACATGGGAGGGTACTCACTTCCAAGGATAAGGCCACCAACGCCGACATCTAATATCCTGCCTCCCACAACTGTGACATTGTACGGGTCAAGCTGAGTGTAAACCTCGCCCCATCGGAGACCGGAGCCAACAACAGCCACGCTGCTATTGGCGTGGTACTCAACCGTGTTGAAGTTGGACATGTCGATCAAAACACCACCCTCGTCGATGTTGGCCCCCAATGGTACAGGCGAGTGACCACCCGAGCGGACTGCGAAGTGCACATCTTCGGCGACCAGGTGCTTGACCGCCTCTGACAGATCCTCCGCGGTGATGGGCTGGATGATGCATGTCGGTAGTGCCCAGGCCGTCTGCACCCTATGAACGTGTAAGTGACTGGGCTTCTATATGGGATCGCTGACGCATGGTTTGGCGAAGGGAGGGGGTATAGCTACCAGTTGGCTTCAGTTAGGTTCCGGTACCGACCGTCAGTGGGAAGAACAGTTCCGTTTCCAATGCTGGAGTCAAGAAACTGACAAGCAGCTGCTGCTGCGTCCAGTTTCTGTGCGACTATCGGAGAGGCAAGGCACAGGAGGCCTAGCATGGCCTGTAGCGAGACAGTCATTGTGCCAAAGATGGGTTGAATGTGTGGAATGTCTGGTAACCTTCACACATACACATCTCTTCTGATTGCTTCGCATCTTGAGTTTAAATAAGAATCAAACCTTAGGACGGCATCTCGTAACTCCCACGAGCTCAGTCCTACCCGGGCGCTCCTACTAACATCATGGCCCGAGGCGTCGGTCGACGGTTCCTCTTTCCATACCCTCTGAAACGCCCAACAGGACTCATGACTGCCAATCCCACGAAAAACAACATCATGAGAGTTCGGTCAGCTGGCGTTTACCCGGGATGAAGCCTACAAGACGTCCAGGCAGCCCTGAGAAGGGTTGAAGTTGACCCGCGCACTTCCGGGCAGCTAGGGGGCGTCATGATCCACACAAGCCCACGTTGCGCGCCAGGGACTGGCTGAGCCTAGCTTGCCAATAGAGACAAGGGTTCTAGCGCCATCATGCTGACATCTACGGCCTGCGAAAATCACAGTGCCGACTACCAGGTTCTGGGACTATTGCCTCTGCCGTCGCTGCCGAGAGGATCCATTGGTTCGGTCAGTCAGCCCTACGCCTCAGGGGTTCAGATCCGTCAATGGTTTATCAGAGGCAGCCCATGATGAGACAACCTAGCTCAGCCACTTGAAGTAGAAATAGTCCAAGTGGGGTCGAGAATATTATCATGGCCCATGTGATGCGTCACCATACGGCAGAAGTCTGAGTCATGGAGTATTGTTCTTATACTGGTGAGTCAGGCAGGGTAACCATCCAGCGCCCTCGATTCGGATAAGCCAAGGCTTGTACAGTGACGGATAATAACGTCTATTGGTTGTTAATATTGACTGTCAATCTCACTTGGCCATACTAGCGCAAAGCACAAGGTATACGCAAGACGTATCAGATGATTGAGACTGAGCCGGAAGACTGAGTCTGCCGCATGACGTATCGTGAACCCCTTGAACCCCTTGCGCGGCTCGTTATCCGGCGAGTCAGGTACCGACACCACGTATCAATGCAAATATCGGCATATTAGCACAGGTTCCTTCGTTATAGTCTTGGGTCTTGGGACATGACAGTCTGGTAACGGCGCTCCAGTCTGCTATTGGCCGCATTCGTAAAGTGACAACTCACGACTGAATCAAGAGCCAACATTCGTTTTGAATTATGGTCTGTCACCAACAGCATGATATCAGCATGACCGTCTATACCCAGTGCCAGTAAGAACGTATTAGCGCATGGGTTTACCAGGCTCCCATAGGCACCTCGTTGGGCGTGATCCGAGATGCATGGCTACGTGACGCAGTGGCCTACAGAGGAATCACTGGTGTGCAATATTTGCATCGTACTTGGGAGGAGGCGCCGTGGCGGACTCATGGCGCCGGAACATTCCCCTTTCTTCGGTGAGTATAGGACTCGGTGACTCAAGGCCTCCGCCTCCCGCTGCAGTGACATCCTAAGCTTTACTCCCACTTGGGGCCATCATATAAAATGTAACGCCACCACCAATCTTGCCCACGGATAGCTCCGTGTAATACCACCCTTACTACCCTACTACCCTACTACCCCTTTTCTCCTCGTCCGTCTCTGAAGCAAACTGCCTCCAATCCGGCCATGGACAACAAGCTTCCCAACAACGAGCAACCGCTTCCTGAAAAGGACTTCCAGAACAATGCCCTGGCGCAACAGTACGGCGGCGGCCACGCCGGCGGCTGGGTCGGCCGTCTGCCAGCCTCCTGGGTCCCCTACGTCCAACTAGCCCGCCTAAGCCCTCCCGCCGGTCTCTTCCTGATCTACTTCCCGCACTTCTTCGGCATCATGCTCGCGGCCGTGATCCAACGCTCGCCCATCGAGGAGGTGCTCAGGGCATGCCTTGTCCTGTTCGGCGCGAGCTTCTTCTTCTCGAATGCGGCGCACGGCTGGAACGACCTCATCGACGCCCCCATCGACAAGGCGATCGCGAGAACGAGCAAACGACCCATCCCGCGAGGCGCCATCTCCCCTCGAGCCGCTTTTGTGTTCACCGCGTCGCAGGGTGTCGGTGCGGCTTTGTTTTTGCTTCTGATGCCGAGTGGGAGTGCGTACATAGCACTCGTTAATATCGTCTCTACCACGTACTGTATGTATATTTTCGAGTTTTTTATCTCCTCATATAGCCATGTCCGAGGCGCGAATTTCCTCTTCTAGCCTGTGTCATGCTCCCGAGACATGCATTACGACTCCATTTTACTCCACAAAACATCTAAAATAAGTAATTGCTGACTCTAATTTGCTTGACGACCCAAGCGCGAAACGACACACCAACTTTGCCCAGGTCGTGCTTGGGTGGTGCTTGGCCTGGGGCATAATGATGGGATCCTGTGCCATGGGTTTCGAGCCTTTCACCGGCGGTCCTTTTGGGGATGAAGAGGAGATTACAGTGCAACCGTCCATCGCTTGCCTCTTCTTTGCCTGCATCCTGTGGACCGTCATCTACGACTCCATCTACGCCCACCAAGACCTCAAAGACGATCTCGAGGTCGGGCTAAAGAGCCTTGCAGTCCTGTTCAGGGACCGGACAAAGATCATGCTATATTCCGCCCTCGGTTGCATGATCTGTCTCCTGGCTTCGGTTGGATACTTGGAGCAGATGGGGTTCCAGTACTACCTCATTGCTTGCGGGGGGTCGGCCCTCTCGTTGGGAGCCATGGTCACTTATGTCGAACTGAAGGATTCTACGAGCTGTTGGTGGTGGTTCAGGTATGGGTTTTGGCTTGCTGGCGGGTCGATTGCCGTCGGATTACTTTCGGAATATCTCCTCATGGGGTTGGACACGTGGAGACTTGCCGCCCTTGGCATCTAATCAGCCTGGAAGGGGGAGGTAATACACACATGCATCGAGTGTCTTGATGTCGTATCTCGCAGCAGGTCTGTGATCATACATGTCTACGAACACTTGTAGCTTTCCTAGAGTTGACAGCGAAATGGCAAATCGACATTTCATCACACTGAATCAAAATCTGATGAGGTGGTGACTTGAGATGCTCTCATAATATCCTGATCCACTTGTCATAATTACCCCAGGGTAGGAGAGTGATCAAGCGAGGGTGATAGTAGCCATGTGTCTCCGTAAGGTATGAAGCGTTTGTGAGATGACAACCCCAGGAGTCGTCCATCTACGCAGCCGGCCAGTTGTTATTCACACAAACCGAAGCCCCATTCGACGCCCGCGCCATGGAGTCGTCAGAGAAGAACAGGCAGTATTTCGCAACATCAGCCACGGGCACGCCGGTCTTACCGGGCACATACCCGGGGTTGACGGCTCCCATCAACATCATCCCCACCTGATTGAAACCCCGCGCAAAGGCATCGACGATGTTGGTCTCGTCCATACCGCCCAGCAGCAGCGCGATGCACGAGATTCCCTTCGCGCCGTAGTAGCCCGCTGTGTTCTTTGTCAGACCGAGCAGGGCGTGCTTGGCTGCCGTCTACAAGTCGTAAGTAAGTGACCGCTCTTTGCAGGCAAGGTAGCGAAAAACAAGGGATCAAGATTCGTGGCTCAGAAGCAAAAGCCCAGAGAAGGCCCATGGGGGAACCTTATTCTCAGACCATGACTAGGTAGTTGGGGAGATGAGTGAGTTCGCGATTGACTTACGTAGGCCGCGCCTGCCATTACGCCTCTGTAGCTCGCGATGGACCCGATGTTGATCACGGTGCCGCTCGGTTCAGGCTTGGATTCGAAGGCGTTGACGGCGGCCTTCAGGCAGAGAAATGCACCCGTGACATTGATGCTGATGACTCGGTCCCACGTCTCCTTCGAGGCGGTGCCGACTCCGTCTTGAAAATGAATTAGCACCTGAGATTAATCCCGAATTTCATTCTCAAGCCAGAATGGTAATAAAAGACAGCTGAATGCGCACCGAAATTGTCCATGATTCCCGCGTTGTTGACGAGCATGTCGAGACCGCCAAACCTGGACACCACAGCGTCGAAGAACCCCTTCACCGCCTCCTCATTGGTGATATCTGTCTTCCAGACGAGCGTCTTGTCGCTCTGTGATTTCCATTCGGACTGTATTTGATCGAGTCGCTCCTGGTTGATGTTGCATATCGCTACATTGCCGCCGGCTTTCAGGAAGGCCGCGGCGATTGCCTTGCCAAGACCTCCAGCTGCGCCCGTCACGACTATCGTCTTTCCTTGCGCTAAGTTTGACGCCATTTTGAAATATCCAGGTCACGAGTTGCGAAGGAGATGAATGAAGACTGGGTCATACGCAGGTTTTATGCACCACAGGTTGGTCGATTCAGCTTTGACATGCACCAACGATCTTCTCCACAATCTCGCATTCGGTATCGCGTCAGGGTTCAGGATCTTCACCCGAATACGAGTTGTAAGAGAAACAGAGAAGTTCTGGCCAGGCGAATTTTGGTTGACTGAGATGATTTGTGGCGTTTTATTTTGATAGACTTAGCATACAGCACGGGGGCTCTGCTTTTTGTTGTCTTTTAAGGTGTTTGGGTTGGCTCCTTTCTTCTGGTCGGAGAGTTTAAAAATTAAAATAAAAGTTATATTGATTGTACGGTATGCGTGGTTAATACGGCTGCTCATACAGTTTGAAAATGTGAGATTATTAAGTATTTTCTATTAAAAGAAAGAAGAAGTGGCTTTTTAAGCTAAGGGTAAAGCTTTTTTTAAGTAGTTAAGTAATCTTCTAAATTGACTAGATTATTATAATAAATACGTATTACTTACACTAATTAAAAGCTAGTGTTTATAAAGTTATAATGGTATTATAAATGTTTCAAAGCTAACGTTTTGATATATTTAGCTTTTAAAGTTACTTTAAACCTTATTTAAGCTTTTAATAATTTTATTAATATTATAATATTCAACATGTCTTTTGAACGTAAAGGTATTATTATTAATTAGTTACTTTATAACTTTATAATATTATAGCACTTTTAGTCATTTTATTCGATTCTAAAGATTCTTAAAAGCTTTAAAAAGTATCAAATCGCGCTTATAACGAAAGTAAATAAATAGTGAAATATCAATTTAACGCTTTTTAACGCTGTTAACGTGATAAGATATTGTAATATTATAATAAGAAGAGAAATATAAGCTATTTAAATTTATTAATAAATATGTAGCATATTTAAGGCGTCTATAACGAATGTTTAATTTTTTATATTTTATAAGCATTAAAAAAGGGTTTTAACCGTAATAAGTTATACGGTTTTAAAGCGATAAAGTATTACGAAAATATCTTTATAAAGTAAAATATATCAAAGCGTATACAAAATCTAAGAAAACTTTTAAATTTAATCAAAGATTAATACTTATTGTGATGGTTCTACCATCCATCAAGTCTAGCAATGGTCCCCATGGTCCCCGGGTCACGTGACTGAGCACGTGACTAATCGGACGATAGGTTGATCCATGCCCTGGTAGGTCTGGTGGGGGACGACTGCCCACATCTAGCTGCCAACCAATTCGGGTGCATCTCCAGATCTTTCTTTTCCTTTAATCAGAGTTTGCTATACGTCAATAGTTAATAAGGGTCCCTGCATTCTTGCAATACATTTATGAAATTGTGACACTTATAATTAACTTTTAAAATATTATCGTTTAAAATTTTATATTATATTATTATATTAAATCTAGGAACATGTTTGAACGATCAATCATAATACTCGGGTATTGAGTTAAGGTCATGGTGTTGCTGATGGTTGGATTGGGAGAGTTAGCTGGACTCACAGATCTGGCTAAGTGACCTCACAATCCGGTACGTAATTTCTTATCTAATCATACATGTGGGTTTGGTATGGATGGTTTGAATGTGGATTTGTTGAATACACGGATGTTGACTGATGCTATTAATTGTTCTGCTCTGCGTGCAGAGATTGATTATCTGTCTTCTTGATGGGTCAGATGCCCTGTGCGTCTCTGCCCCACTCGAGATCTTCTGGTGTCTATCTCCGGCTCCCATTCAACAGGAATCGCATAGATTTAAGATTAAATATATAAAGCGAAATAAGTTCATTTAAGCGCTTTATATAAGCTTTAATAATAGGTTTTACCGTAAAAAAATGTTTTTTTTGAAAAAGCTATAAAGAGCGATTCTTGCAATTTTTAACAATTTCAATAGTAAAAAAGTGTTATACAGGTTTTGGATTTTTTATTTTACAGGGTTTGAAGACTTTTTTATTAATTAACTTTGAAAAGTTTTACTTTTAAAATTAAGAAATCATTTACGTAATTAATCTTAAAAATATCGCGCTTTATAAAACAATAAACGGTATTGTTAAAAATTAAAGGTTCAAAACCGTGCTTATAAAGCGCCTTTTAATAGTATGATTTCTTATAAATAAAGGCTTTATTTAAGGCTATATAAAGGCTTTTTGAACTTGAAGATTCTTGTTATTTGCTAATTAATAATATAGTTATTTTAAGAATGACAACAACATTTGCAGCGACCGCTCACACCCGCAAGGCTTGTGACCCTTCTAGAATCTCACAGTAATTGAATTATTCAATAAGGTTTTAAAAGGTTTATTCAAAGTTATTAATATTTATTAAGCGCTTTTATGGCTTTTATAACCGTTTTTCCGCCGTTTATTATGGTTATTATTAATAAACAATTAAATAATGCATAATTAATAAATAAAAGGCTAATGAAAATAATTATAACGTGCTTCTTAAACTTTATTAATTAACATTTTTGAAAGTTAATATATAAACGTTTTAAAAATAAAATAAAATTTTGTTATAATTTTATAAACTTTTATAATAATAATAATAATTAGCAGTATAAATAGTTATTTAAAAATATTAGATTTAGATTAAAGCGTAATAAATGATATTTCAAAGTTAGATACCATTTATTAATAGTAGGTATTTAATTACGAAATTTGTACTATAACATTTATATCAAAAAGCAGATAAAGCTTTCCAAACCGTATCGATTCAATCGATTATAATACTTAGATTAGTATGACAAAACGTAATTTAAAATGAACCTAGGTTATTCATGATAGCGATTTATAAGCTACCGTCTTATTCAATATTTTAAATAATCGAGAGGTATATAACTGGTTTTTACAAGTTTATAAACGATTTATTAAAGGTTTTTTTGTAGCGTTAATATTAGTTAATGTGACGGCCTGCACAGACCTTCCCACATGACAAGTGGATACTTCCTAATAGGGGAAGGATCTGACCAGAGGATCCCCTTAAAGGGGCAACCTCCCACTGTACCTATCTCTCTCTCTCTTCCTTCCCTCTCTAGTCTTGATATTCTCGTCAATAGAGTAATAGCTGCTTGCTGCAGGCCATGTCCCAGCTCCCCAGTATGCTCGCCGTGACAGTTAAAGTAAAGAAGGACATTTTTAATTTTTAAAGGTTACTGTTATTCTAAGAAGATATGCCTTTGAAACTATTAGCATCGATAGTTAAAGTATTAAGTTGATATAAATTTTCGTTGTTTTTAATAATTGCTTTTTAAACAAAATGCTAGAAAGTAACTATTTTAAATAGTTGCTTTATATGTTATATTTAAGGTTTTTATTTAAATTTACTAGTTAGTATTTAATAACCTTGAAACCTAATAATAGCATTAAAAATGTAGTATTAGTTAATTTAAATACGATTTTAGCAAGTAATATAACATATGAATAAATAAATAAATAATTTATAAAGTTTTTATATGAAGAAATAAATACATATTAAAAATAGTTGAAATAGCCACGTGAGAATAATTAAGCTTTATAAAGCTATAACAAGATATATTTATTTAAAGTAATGAGTCGGGGACAGTAACAACATTTACAATGTGGCTGCTTGTATAATGGATATAAGAAAGGGGAGGGAGAGCCATTGGCAAAGCCACGCAGTGAATTTGAAGGGTGTGTCACATAGTGATAACACGACGTGTGTCTGAACTGATCGCTCAATTATATGTGTTATTGAAAGAGGAGTAGCTGTATAAGAAGACAAAAGAGAGCAACAAAAGATGCCGGTGGCCTTTATATGTCACAGACCTGGCTGTACATGACATCAACCCTGCCGCAAAACAGTAATATAAATAAATGGCATTGAATAGTAGTAAAAGGTTTATAAAAAGTTTAAAGATTATAAGTAAGATGTTATTATATAAAATTATTAAGTATTTTATATTATATATAAAAAGCTAAGAGTAAAGCACTTTTTAAGTAGTTAAGTGATTTTTTAAAGTAAATAAATAGTTTGATACGCGTCATCAGGGGGAGTAGTCAGTGTGGCTGGCACAGCCACAGTCATTAACACAGCCACTGGTATGTGTGTGGGTTACACATTGTGTGTGCGGACCTGGATAGCTAAGGCTAGACTAGTTAGATAAGGGTTGCACTAAGATAGGGATTGCAGTTACCTTAAGTAGCTGCAATCTTTCCCATCTTAGTCCTTGCAACCTAACCCCGCCTCACACATCAATTGACACCCATTGCACAACGCAATATAGTTATAATAAGTACGTTTTATTTGGACCAATTAAAAGCTAGTCTTTATAAGGCTGTAAGAGTGTTATAAATGCCCTGATATCCAACAGAAAACCCATGAAGGCGCGGGTCTCCGCGACACTGAGTACTATATGTTGAATACACGGATGTTGATTACCAGAATGACCAAGGTTGAAGAAAAGGAACAGGTGTGCGTACAGCCGAGGCTGTAGCACATATGGTCCTGGTCTCCTTATCTAATCTACACGTGACCTGATAACTGGGCATCTAACCAGGTGGATACAGCTGTACACCGTCACACGTGACATCACGTGCTAGTATCTAACACTATATGAATTTGCTTCCACAAACCGATAAATTGATTGCTATGATGGTTAAGCCAGTCTGACATGTTGATACGGGAACCACGTTGTAAGCCCAACAACCCCTCCGAGCTAGCTAGACGTCAGAGCTAATGACAAGACCCTAATAAGCAGTACTCGACTTAGTAATCCGACAGTGTTCCACGGTAGTCGATTCCTCCAGGATATTCTAATCCTTCATGATACTGGGCGTTTTCTACCAAACGCCTGTATTCCTGGCCGAGATACTGAATGTCGGTGTCAAGCCTATCCATCTTGCCCTGCAAGTGGTCTATCTTCTCCTCAAACTTGTCCAACTTCTTCTGCAGGACCTCTTCGAACCTTGCCTGAGCATCGGCCGCTTGTTGCTTACTTGCGTCCAATATTTTGCGAAGATCTTCGATTTCGCGCCCCAGCTTGTCGATCTCTTGCGATTCTGGCTTGGGCGTCTCTGGGGCAGGCTCAATGCGCTGTTTCTTGGAGCTGGATGATTTCTGGGAGCGACTGGTGTGGCTGGACTTGTCAGACGAGGGAGATCTCCGGCGCTTGCAGCTTTTTCCGTTCTTCCTGGGTGTTTTTGTGGCCGACGCGGACGATTTGTGGGAAGCCATTGCGAAGCTGAAGAAGGTTCTGGTAATGATGTGATCGGGTTTCCTGACTTCCCATCCAGCTATCAGTGCCCCCAATGCTTTTATATTAAGTGCAGTGACTCTTCGATGAAGTCCCATGATGTGACTAACCTGGGAATCGTGGTATTCCAAAACACTGATGTCTGTCACCCTAAGAGTCATAAATGAACTGACTGTTCCATAAGGTCTTCAGAGAGGGCGTATGTCGAACGGGCACTAAACCCTGTTTCAATAAGTCTTAGCCTGAGGATAAAACATCATCTACTTTGAAGGCAAAAATTAGGTTTTCTAAGAGGGTTGAGAAAGGATCAGCCACATAATCTGACATTGGGCGTCTAGTTGGAATTTCTCCTGAGGATACAGGGTTTCATGGACGGAAGATTTCCAAGAGACGCAAGAGGACGGTACAGTCTCGCAGTCAACACGGTCAAACGAAGGCACGAAATTATGGATCATCACTATGAGTAGTCCAAACTAGAAGACCCGAAATTCGTGCCAAAGCTCGGATGAACTCTGCAAGTGTTCTGTTTGCGTGGCGGCTGTGATACATGCGTGGTATGTAAGGGTCGTCAGCCGAGCCCAGTCATTCGGTTACATCTTCAATCTCAACTACTGCGTATTTACTGCAGATAGAAGGGGACGACAGATCACAGTACATCAATCGGCTTCCAGGTCACGAACCGAGGTAGAAGCACTTGAAATCTGTTCGAAATAGTCATGTTCATGTTCTACGGTCTACCTGCCCCTCCTGACTATGGCGATATGCACCCGTTTGATGTTGTGATGGTGATCCCGAGCAGGGAAGCTTCCGAAAAGGGGGTGGGCAATAAGCATGCTCAGGAGCGAATTTCCTCCACTCCTTCCCGGATCTGCTCCTCCCCTTCCCTTTGAGGAGCTGTCAAGTACTTCTGGCGCAGTTTCTCCTTCGTCTTTTTCAGCTCCTTCAAGATCTCGCCATTCTTGTCCATGGTTTTGTTCCGGTTTCGCACAGCTTTTCTGGCTATGTGCTTGTGGGTTCGGCACTCAACCGTGAGGTTGTCCACCTGGGCCTGGAGTCGTTGGATAGTGGTTCTTGCCAGGCTTTCCTGGGAGGCGGTGGAGGAGGCAGTGGAAGAGGCGGTGCTGAGGTCGGTCTTGATGCGGCGTCTCTTCGGTTCTGTAAGGGGTGGTTCGTCCGATGAGGTTGTTGAGCGACGCTGGTTCGAAGAGCTGGCACCAGGATCTTGGTGCTTAGCCCGCCGTTTGGTGCCTTGTGTGGAAGGAATGGAGTAACCAGCATCCTGCTTGGTTTCCTTAGAAGCTGGCATGTTGAAGGCTGAGTGATGGTAGTGGAGAACGCCTGGAGTTGGGCGTCTCGAAGATTGACTGTGAGCTCTGAATATCCACGATGGAAGTCGAGAGAATTTCCCCTTCTTATACTGTCAGATGCAATATCTCCCGAGACTCTTGTCGCCCAGTTGAATGGCCTTAGCTGATACCCCTATTGACTAGGCCATAGAAACAGCCAAAAGAAACTACTAGCTCTTGAATACAGGAGACATGTCATGTCTTCAGGGTCAAGATACAAAGACGCACGGATCGTCCCACTCGGACGAGTATGACACGTCGATATTCTCCTCAATAACTTCACGACCATCACACCGTTAACCACACCACCCACGGACCACTTGGCATGGGCGAACCAATCTCATCGTTGACATAATCAGTGTTGTTGTCGGGAGAGCTGCCGGTGATAGGTGACATGTCATATTTCATACCCTGAAATCGCCCCTGTTGAACTCTAGTCTTTCAGAACTATGTCAGCCACCCAAGCAAAGCTTCATGAAACCTGTCAGGACCTTGAATCTGGGGCGCATCTATTGAAAGAACGAGTCAGTAATCACTTCACGCTCACGTCCGGCCAGAAGCAGGATGACTGATGAATACATACGCCCCAGATCAGGGAATTCGATCAGTGTCGCATCCGGCATCGCCGCCGCAGCCCGCTTCCCCAGAACATCGTAGTGACCGAGCCTGACCTGAACCTCAGGCGGGCTCCACTGCTTGCCCAGCGCCGTATTGTCCCTGTCGCCAATAACCAGCAGAGTGCGCGGCCGAAGCAGGCCGAACTCGTAGACCACCGGGCCGCTGAGCGCCATATCGGTAGTCAGCGCCATATCGAAAGCGAATGTCGCTGCTTCACTTCCCTCGTAGATATCGACCAGCATGTTGACCCAGACGTCGTACGAGTCGTCCCACTGTCCGACGTAGTACGTCGATTGCTCATAGGCTCGGACGGAGGTGTAGTTGCTCGCGGATTCGGATGTGTAGAGCGCCTCTATGCTGCGGTATGGCACGCCCAACGCCTTCCAGTCTTCAAGACCTAGCGGATTGACCAGCACCATCTCGTCTATGCTCTCGGGGTACATCAGGCCATAGCGGATGCCCGTCATTCCGCCCAAAGAGTGGCCAATCACGGTGACATTCCCGATGCCCAGGGCCTGCAGCAGGTTGTACGTGTTGTACGAGAGTTGCTGCAGCGTGTACTGGTAAGACGTGGGCTTCGTAGATTTGCAGAAGCCGACTTGATCGGGCAATATGACCCTGTATCCCTCGGCGGCCAGGGCTCTGGCGGTCGCTTCCCAGGTCGGTCCGCAGAAGTTCTTGCCGTGTAGGCAGACAGCTACCTTGCCGGTGGCCTCCTCGCTCGTTGTTGGTGCGACGTCCATGAATGCCATCTCGAGGTCCTGCATCTGTGACATGAACTTGTAGAGCTTGACGGGCCAGGGTTAGGTGAAATTTGAGCCATTGAGCTCTCCGTCTGAAGGCGCATCCACGATAGTTCCTCCTTGCGCGAGCGCTAGGGTCGAAAACGAGAGCAGGATAGCGACAGGCGCCAATAGCGTGCGGAAATTCATTGTGTCCCTCGTTCAGGCACGTCTACTGGCAAGCACGCTGAGCTTAACAGCGCATTCACTTGGTAGCGTCTTGTCTATGGCGTGGGCATTGAAGAAGGAAGAAGGCGAATATGTTCGTCAGTCATCTATTCCGCAGTCTTTACTGACCCCTCACGACAGAAGCTCGGCTCCGGCAAAATCCACGGCTAGAACCCGTCCAAAGCCGAAATCCTCCGTCTGTGCGACTCATCTGCGCTTATACTCGTCATCTACATTGTAGCACTATGAGGAGGGGACTCTTGGATGATATGAAGGCCGGGAGCAGCACACGATGGCGAAATCTATCACGTGTGTCATAACATCCTTTTATACACAAGAATATTGCTAGAAATCCGAGAACTCGGTGTCTATTCCTATCAATGCCTTCGCCCTATTGGATTGTAACGACAGTCTATTTCCACCAACGCCTCTAAGTCGCGAAAATCCAAGCCATACCTATGACAACACGGAAACGAAAATGAACGAGGGCCCTTGTATGCCACTGACGGGATGGACATCAACCCGGCCCCGAAACAATGAAATGACCTACTTCTAGGCAGGGTCACCACCCCCTTACAAGCCTTGTTAACCTCCTATGCCTTGCCTTGCGCTGCGGTGACTCGCGAGAGGTCGTGCTCGCATTTGCCCCGACGCGTCATTTTCCTAAGAGTCCCTCCATTATTACAATAATTCCCACAATATGCATTTCTTTGTTCACGATCATCCCAAACCTCTTTGCAATCATTATCCTCTTTACAATAGAATGTCCCGCATGTTGATAAGTCACCGCTAAGTAAAGACCGTGGATTGAGACTCTGTGACGACTGTAAGGGGTGAGTGCTTTGTTCCATGGTGCTTTGGGAATCAACTCACTTCGTCGATAGGGGAGCTTCCAGCTGACACTGCCGCCGATGACGCCAAGGTGGCGAGGGCTAGGAGAGCGGCGAGGGTGATCTTCATAGTGGAAGCAGGAATTGTCTTGTTATTGAGTTTTCAACGGCCAGGGAAGAGGATGTGAAGAGAAACGATTCCTGGTCAACTTGGAGCGCGATTTGGTTGAGCTTGTGTGTTTGCTTATGTCTTTACGCATGCGACATGTACGACTTTTCATATAGGAGGACCGCCTGGCCACACACGTATATGCATACCTACTAGGTAGTAGATCGACCCATCTATGAGGCGCGTCGGTCAACTCTCGGTAGGGATAATCCTAAGAATAAATAGGGAAGAGGGCACAGCAGCTTCTAAGTCTCGACAAGCTTCGCGGCGGCAACGCCGTTCATCCTTCTCTACGGCGTCCGTCCATCCTTCTCTGCGGCGTCTGGAAGAAGTGGACAGGTAGGGAGGGTTGTTGGCTTGACCACGAGGCATAATGCCTCATTCCGAGTGCAGTCTCGAGCTACCTTCTGCACCCTCACGCGTCAGCGCTACCCTTTTTGATGTCACTGCGGCGCTGCCATCGCCACGCAGGAAGTCGAACTAGCTGTGCCTCAGTTGGGTGGTATCATTGGCACCTGCACCGTAAGTTAAGGAGGGCTACTAGGCTTTCCGCGATCCTTGGCAGCACGGCACGGAGGAAAGATTCGATCAGCTCAGCAGCGAGGCATGTTCGGTCGCTAGCTAGGCCCCGGTGAACAACAAATTCCTTGCTCTACGATGCATGGCGAGCCCAGGAAGTTCAAAGTGGACGGACGTCATCAAGGTTGACACTTGGAAGGTGGGTACTAGGTACTTGGCAAAGGGGGACAAGTGGCCAGAGCTCTCAATTTGAAGAGACAGGGGCTCATTAATGATCAGCTGCTGGCGGCTGGCAGTCCTGAGTCCTGACCCGCCTCTCCCCACCTGCATCCCATCATCCCGTGGTCCCGTCATACAATGGATCATGGAGAGCTTCCGGCCTCAAGCAGTCAAGCTTGCAGGTGGCCACAGCAAATTCAGCTTGCAATCGCTGCAGACGGAAGCCGCCCCGACTTCAATCACAACCGATTACAAGTGACCGATGGCTTGTAGTCTGGTCTGCTAATCTTTTATCTGCAAAATGAAGGGACCACGCTCAGTGCCGACGGCGCCTCTCTTGCGCTCTCTCACATCACGACCATGCCCTCGGTACGCACCCAACGGTGTAAAGGCTATGCGCCCGACACCATCGCAGTACCGAACTTTTCTGCGCCCGGAGCGACCGACGCATCGAGCAGTCGAGGGCCTGAATCTCAATCGCATGAAACACGAGTCCTACGACTACCACATCCGACGACGCAATTTCCTCCTATGTGGCGCCATCTCCGGTATCATTGCCATCTGCTACACATCCTACCTGATCTCGGTCCAGCTTCGCAAACCGAAGAAGTTCGACTCCGGTCTCCCCGACAAGCTCGACCCGTTCAACACCGAGGCCGGCTCGAAGCGCAAGACCGTCGTCCACGATGCCCAGGGCCGCGAAGTCGTACCGACGGGGAACAGCACCGTTCCCACCTTTCCACGTACCCTAGATCTCGCCATCGGCGCCGATGAGGGTCAGGAGAAGGTCAGTGGTGTCGAGTACACGCTCGTCGGCTTGGGCGTGCGAACCGTGAGCTTCCTCGGTATCCAAGTCTACATGGTCGGCTACTACATCGCTACACCCGACATTGCGGCGATACAGTCGCGACTCAACAAAGAAATCAACCCGGTCGCGACCACATTGGTGCCAAGTGAGAAGGACGAACTGCGCAAGGCGCTTCTGGACCCCGAGAGAGGCGAGAAGCTCTGGAACAGCATCCTGCAAGAGACAAAACCTCGCTCAGTCTTCAGGATCGTGCCTGTCAGGAATACCGACTTCCCTCACCTTAGAGATGGACTGGTGCGCGCCATCACGGCCAGGTCACAAGGCAACAATGCGAAGTACGGTGACGAGGGGTTCGGTATGGCCATGAAGGAATTCAAGGCCATGTTCACAAAGGGCAGTTTACCCACGCATAGTGAAATGCTCATGTGCCGGGATGCGGCTGGAGCTCTGACTATCACGTATGACGATGGCAAATCGGGCATGGCCACGGTTGGACGAGTGGAGGAGGAGAGACTATCCCGGCTGCTCTGGCTCAACTACCTCGCTGGCAGCAAGGTGGCATCTGAGCAAGCACGCAAAAACATCGTCGAGGGACTCATGGAGTTTGTCGAAAGACCCGTTGGCACAGTGGCTACGCAGGTTATATGATAAGTGGCAGGATGTCCCAAAAAAATGTCGAGAGCTTAGTGGGAACGCAGGGCGTGTGTATTTTATGTATAATTACCACACAAGATTTTCTGTCAGTCATGCCACGAACATTTTTGCCCCAATTTACCACTGTAAAACACCACCACTAAAATATTCTCGCTTTAAAAAGGACAGCAGTTGCGTTGGTCGCGCATACACGTTCAACACTCGTGAGATGTGACGATGCCACAAGCATCTCGTAGTTGAGCTGGCGAGAAATCGATACAGGGAAGAGTCGCACGGAGCTTTTCACTGGTCAGCATATGCCGTAGGCTTCATAAGTTGGACTGATGACATGTCAGAGATGAAGCCTCGGTCTGTGCGTAAAGATACCGTTGATCTTGGAAATTTCGGCCCTTGAAGGACATTAGCCAGTCGAATACGAATAGCTAGCATGCGAGGTAGATAGATGTTGGACCGCTTGTCACATCCCATCGCCCCTGGGCCCGAGGCGGATGCTGCGACGTTAAACACTGCAACCAACCAACTAACCAACCAAAGAATTATGTCTATTACTTCTGTGTACTGGAATCATCCCAGTCATACATTATCTCCGAGTGTAGGATAATCGGCGGGTCTGATATGACCATGGCCGATTGACTCGGGCAACCGGACTCAGGCACGCTGAGATTCGTCGTGTCGGACGAATCGCGGTCGGGTGTAGCCCACGTTTTCGGTCCCGAGGCCAACTCCGCCCTCCTCCCCTATTCTACAACTACCTACCTAACCGAGCAACTTTCACTGTTTGTTGGTGCATCCGCCAGTCGAACTTCGACAGCTGAAGAGAGGATGGAACACACAGGCTGATCAGTATTTTAGGAGTCATAATGATCAGACTTCGTTGGCCTTGTTTGTATTTTAGCCTCGCGAGCTTACCGCATGAGAACCTCTTCTACAATTAGGTACTCATCAACCACTTCTTGCCATTGAAAGTATGCAATACCAGCACTTTCTTAACTTCTAACTACTAAGTGTATCATTTTAAGTCGGTCCATCCACGTTGCTACCCATCCAACACCAATGGCAGTGCCCAAAATCGCCATCATCGGCGCCGGGCCAGCAGGCCTGACACTAGCCAGTATTCTACACCACAACGACATCCCAAGCACAATATTCGAGCGAGATAGCAGCTCCACAGCTCGGTCACAAGGTGGAACACTAGACCTCCACGCCAATTCTGGCCAGAAAGCCCTCGCAGCCGCCGGACTCCTGGACAAGTTCCGCGCCATCGTCCGACCTGAAGGGGAGGCTTTCCGGCTGCTCAAGAAAGACGGGACTGTATTGCTAGATACGGATGGGGATGACGAGGAAGCGCACAGAGAAGAGCCTAATGCTAACGGGCAAGATCGAAAGCTAGAGACAGGAAAGGGAAAGGGAAAGGGCCTGATACAAGGCCGTCCCGAGATCGACCGCAAGGACCTGAAGAACATGCTGATCGCGAGTCTCCCCGCCGATGCAATTCGCTGGAACAAGGGCATCTCTTCCATTGCCCCCGCCAACGACCAGCAGTGGACCATCAACTTCCTCGACGGCACGTCCTTCTCCTCACCCTACGACCTCATCGTCGGCGCCGACGGCGCCTGGTCGCGCGTCCGGAAACAGCTCACGGACGCCACGCCCTTCTTCTCCGGCGTCTCGGCGCTCGACGTCTGGATCGAAGATGTTGATGCCGTCGCGCCGGACGTGGCTAAATTTGTTGGGATGGGTAGTTGTTTCCTGTTCGCCGCGGAGCGCGCGCTGCTGTTCCAGCGGAACGGAGGGGGGAGGGCGCGTGTTTATGCGTGTGTGCGGACGCCCGTCACGCCACATAACGTTATCACCGGTACAGAACAAGAACAAGAACCGCCGAGCGCTCGCGATCTCCTCGGTAGCGGTTTAGACGGCAGCGGCAAAGAAGAAGTCGACTGGACGGACCCAACAACACGCGAGCGCTTCATCGAGCGGAATTTCGGCGAATGGTTCGAAGGGGCTAAAAAGGCTGTTCTGGCTATGACGGAAGGGCCGACGTTGAGGCACTTGTACATGCTGCCCGTGGGCCTGACGTGGGAGGCGCGGCCGGGGGTGACGCTGGTGGGCGATTCGGCGCATTTGATGACGCCGTTTGCGGGCGTGGGGGTTAATGTTGCTATGGTGGATGCGCTGGAGCTGGCGGAGGGGATCGTGGCGGCGGGCGTTCGGGATGGGGATGGGGATAGGGAGGGAGAGGGGGAAGGGGATGGGGAGGGAAAAGGGGGGGCCTGGGGTGAGAGGTTGGCGGAGGTGGTGAGGCGTTATGAGAGGACTATGTTTAAGCGCTCGGGGCGGGAGGCGGCTAAGACGGCGCAGGCTATGGAGATCCAGTTCCGTGAGGATGGGGGCGAGAGGATGATGGAGATCATCAGCGGAGGCCACCCGGATTAGATGGTGTTTGAGTGAGAGTGAGGGTGAGACTTCGAGGACACTTGGTTTCGGATGAAGTTGCGACCTTAGGGTCTAGGTAGTAACTTAGGTAACTAGTCTGGGTATGGCTCTACTCCGATCAGATAAGTATTCTTGATATAAACATGCTACTGTATACTAGGCTCATTTATTGTCTATCCTTGTATTTGTCCCGTGTATTCCAATATGGTCCGACGAGGCGACTTCCTCAACAGCCCTATTGAAGCACACCAGTTCTAGGCTAAAAAGCCGTGGCAGCTGGTGTCGGGCTTGTGAGCGAACAAGTACTATGGGACCTACGTACGAAGTTTCCCACCACATTTCTTGACCTGCCTTTGTTCCTCGTGGTCATCTTCCACAATTGTAGCTTTAATCTTTGACCTTGTCAAAAAGAACAAAGAGCACGTCTGCAACCAGGTGAAGTCTTCGGGAACCATCCGTTTTCGGAACACCGGTTCTCGTTTGAATATTGGTTCTTATACTTTAACCAGTCTTGTCCGTGGTTCAGGCATTGGTCCGTAGATAACGTCGGCCATTCAACAGAAGCTGCTTCCCCGTAGTCAGTTGTCAGTTACATACACCATGTCGAAGAATATTGATTTATCGCTATTCAATAAATTCAAGAGCCGATTAATCACGAAGCCACCGTTGAAGGATGTCGGGCAGGGTGACTATGCCACTTCTAAGAAACCGGAGCCATTCAAAGTATTGCTCTACTCCCCAACGCTCGTGCCTGACGGCCGAACACTTGAGCAGTCGGTCCAAGCGTCCTTGGACGATGTGAAGAGCAAGGGCTTGAAATTTCCGGTAATTGGGGCCGACTATTCCAACTGCAGAGGCTACACAGTAAGCCTGATTGACAGGAGGGCCGAGAATTGCATTCCAATCAGAGGGAATCCCCAGGCAAAATCGCTTCTGGATGAATTCGACGAAACAGTCGAGTTGGGTAGGGGCATACAGACAATCCGCGACAAATTGAGCACGTAAGCGACACCTCGAGCTGTTTTCGGCCCCTTCCGTCACGCCTTGGCAGCTCGACTCCCCCAAGAACTGCCAGCCCACTCCCAAATACTCGCCAATTCAATTTGAAAAGACCTACACTGACTAAAGATTTCGCAGTGCCTTTGGGACTGATATGGTAAGGGGCAAGGACCCAGAAGACCTCCTCGACTCTGTTATATACATGGCGAAGGAGTACATGAAAGTGCGTTACAGAGTGTTCTACCAGGCAATGAAGAACGAGCCACTACTCGACTTCACAGATTGGCAGAAACAAGATCCCAGAAACGAAAGGGTCAACCGCTTGGTCCATGAATCCTCATTAGAGGCTGATTTGACCTGGGTGTTGACGCAGAGTATGGAAAAAATGCTGGACAATCTGGATAGGAGGTTTTTCTGACGGAATCGTGCTTGGGTATCATCTGAACACTCCAGATTGGTACCGCTACAGCGAGGATAGGCTCGTGCGCGGATCTGAATGTATCTAATTTGACACCTCTACAACCTTGCGATGCAATGGCTCTGGGAGGCGTGGTTTGCACTACTGAGGAGCTACCCCCCACGTTAAATACAAAACAAACAAACAAACAAACAAATCTGGGTGGGCGAACTCTCAAGGAGACCAGACCGACATGCTCTGCTCGCTATACAGGATGATATGGCAGCAAGCCGCTGAACTAGGTACGTGAATGTACTCCCCCAGTCCCCAATGTAAAAGTACGGTCTCTGACTTCACGTCTCAGTCAAACTGGCAAAACATCCATTTCGACCGGCATATTGTCGGATGTTCGGTATTGTTGTTCATACCATAAACCTGTACTTGAACTGGAGAACGGAATTGATGATAGCTATGTATGACATCCTGCCCGCTGGAAAGGCCGCTTCTCTAGAAGAAGTGTTCACGAGATTTCAGGACTTCTGATTTGGCATATCCTGGTCTGCCAGGTGCCAGAGGCGGTAAAAACGCGGCATGGATGGAGCTAGTATGGCAGAATGAGGGCGGCAAAGCTTGCGACGACATGTTCGAGAAGACGTTTCTAGCCCTGGTTTTTGCGAAGATTCGGAAGCACCAGCAGGCTTCAAGGAAAATGGGGACAATCCGACGGCTTTGATGCTGTCGGATGAGAATGAGCTCACCAACGCGGCGGTCGCATTGATCAACACTGTGCGTGTTTGTCGAATAGGCTCGACAAAGCTTTCGACGATGAGGGTACATTTGCCATTAAACACGGCTCAAAAGGAACTTTTCGATTCCAGCCTAATGTGACGGTTATAGAGCCGCCGGCCATCGACCTCGCCTGGCTTCCACAGGGCTCGCAACACATGATCCCGGAGAACCGTCAGCCACAGCGTCGGGCCTGGCCGGGAAGCGCCCTATAACGCGATAAAGCTAACTATAACGTTGTATACCCTGCGTGATGGCTGACATCGGGGACGATTGAAGCAATGAACGCCAGGCTGGTGAATAGGGGATCTTATACGCCGCTACGCGCGGCGGGCTTTACATGGAGGATAGCAATGCTCAGTTAATGTTAGCTCACTTGGAGCTATTATACATAATACAATGGACACTATTGTATTTCTTATGATACCTTCGCGCTAAGTCATAGACTAGAAACCACTTTTGGGACGATGTTCATACAATCGATCAGAGCGACACTCAAGGCCTCTCAATCAACATAGCAGATAGTGACAACCCACTTGAGGGGGGCCGTCTTTCAAACGGGTACAATTTGCTTCCGCTACTAACATGCCTGATGACATTGGCACTGTCAACAATGCTTACTGCATTAGGTCGAAGAGTCCTGCACGTGAGGAGAGTCCTGAACAACCCCGGCGATTTTGATTTGGACGCAATTGTTGAACGACGAAACATGTGAGCTTCGCAGTGACGATGCGCCGTGACAACTACCTGCATGACGGCGTCTGTTCGCTGGGAGAAAACCCGCACAACGGTCTTTCCCGGCCACGGATTCTGGGCCGGGGTAATAATCAGGCATTCGAGAAAACGTACAGGTACGTACGGCATTCATGCGTACAAGGGGTTAATGACAGGCATCTCGCAACTACTGCAACGTGGATATCCTACCCACCGGCACCTTCGTTCCTATTCAATCGCATTCGTCATTTCAGCTTGATAGTCTCCTCTTTCCGACCATCGACAATGCTCCGAAATGCCCGCTGCCGACACTCATCACACTCCACGTACGGCTTCGACTGCCCAGCCACCCAGGTGTGACCTTCTTTCGCACCCCGATGCTGGACGTTGCTCTTCCAGCGAACAAAGTAATTCTCAGGACGAAGCTCCAGACTCCCCACCCGAGTGGCCCCGTCCTGGCCCTCGAGGACGACCAGGACACAGCAGATAACTTGGTCGTGGTAATAGGGCTTCTCGACCATCCCCTCCTTCCTCTGACGAAGGAGGATGCCTTTCAGAGAGATGGAGCCTGTGTCCATGATCCTTTGTTCCACCCCGGCATCCACCAAGCTGACCTCAGTCAATACGTCGCAGTCGGCCTCTTGGAATATCGCGCAAAACTTCATAGTCTCTGGGTCCGCTGCGTGTGCAGCTGTTCCCGATGCCCAGGAAGCCAGTTTGGACCTTGGGTCTCGACAGACTGTTAGGGGAACCGTTGGAGCCTGTAGGTATAGCTCATGTGGCAGGAGACTGATGTCTTCGTACAGGTCCCAGTCTTTGGCACGGCACATGGCCTCCCAGTCGAGCAAACCTTCGGCCACTCGGACTGATAGTTTGAAACCAACAGCGCTCTGGAATGACAGCCCGAGATGCAATAATCCATGGCTGGGTGCTGCGTAGACTGCTCTCCACCCGGCCCATGACCAGGAAGGGAACTCTGGTCTACGAGGTCCGGGGCCCTCAGATTTCCAGAACATACTCACCAAGAATGCTTCGGTCAACGTCCAAGTTCGACTCGGGTCCCGTCCTATAGCTTTTCGGTGATTAATCAAAGGTCCCAGGACTGGAACTCCGAGATAGTGGTTGATGGGATACGGGCCGACTCCGCATCGTTTCACCAGACCCAACATGCCTTTGATGCTGTCCGATTGATAGGTCAGGTCCCGAGCTGTGTACCTCATAAGTTGCCTGTGAATATCCCCTGCATTGTTCCAGACGTTGTCGAACATGGCCAGCAATGGGCAGTTAACGGCGGCACCAAGCCCCCCTTGGGGAAACATCTCGCACGAGACCTTCCACCACCTCTCTTGGTTGGCCAACTCTCTGTTCGACCGTTGGAAGAAGACCTGCTCGTCGGTGAAGGCGATCCAGTTCGCCGAGAAGACACCTTCCTGGTACGTCCAGGCTCGGGTCATCCACTTAGTCTCACGCACGACCTTGCGAGGATCTGTCATGGATGACCACAGAGTGTAGGCCCCAATTCTGATCCGAGGCTGTCTGGCTCTAGCCCTGATGCTCACCCCAGGCAGCCCGTAGTCGGCGCTATCGCCGGCCGCTGCGATGATGGTCGCCAAAGCATGCCTGTAGATGTCGGCCATCTGGTTCAGTTGCGCTTGGAACTCGGCCGTGTCGCTCTGGTCCAAGCAGTATCTATCCACCCACAGATAGCGGTAGCCCAGTTGCTTGACCACTGTCATGGCATCCTCGACCGTAGCGGGCAGATGCTCAGGAAGCGATTTTCCAGGAGGCGCGGGGTCTTGCGCCGCCACCGACGCCGGGCCCCAGACGTAACTCAACGCGAAGTAGTCGAGGGGTTCCTGTACGGATACGATCTCGTGCTCGTGACAATCGATGACGCGGACCGGCAGCACATCCGGCCCCCCGCTCTTCAGTTGCTGTAGTTCGTCCATCGGATAGTCTCGGAAGCGCTCAATAGCCTCACACCAGCCTCTCAGCGGGCCATAGTCAACTCTTTCGTGGTTCAAAAGCACAGGCTGGCTTGGCGCCTTGCTATAGTTCACGAGCGGCAACTCCTGAATACTAGAGGGCGGCTCCTCAGCACCACGGTGGACAACCAGTGCTGTCCGTGGCACCATTTTTGCTGCAGTTCCATTTGTCGAGCCGTTGCGTGTCGCTAGGCTGAATCTGGACAGACGCACCGCCCCCGTTTCTGTTCTTTCGTTGTCTACGACCATGGACTGGAAGAATTCGCAGAGAGGACATCCTTTCGAAGCGCAGTCGAGGACGAGAGGTGGCCCGGGATCAGCAAGGCCATCCATGTCCTGGAACACGGCGTCCAGGTCGAGACTTCGACATCTTGGACACAAATCTTCCTGTATATCATTAGATACCATATTACGATTTCTGCCAATAGATGGTTCATATGGTGGTTATTCGTGTATTCGGCGCTGATTGTGTTGTTCTGAAGGTCTGTGAAGTGTGGCCTTGGTGCCCAAGATGCGCTAATAGCCCCTGTTCGGTGCACTGCCACCTCCCTGGCGCCACGGTGGCTTGCGTGCCATTCGACACTTCCAGTGGGCGGCCGCCTCAGACGAATGTGATTATTCCGTTCATCAGTGTAAGGGTCTGCCCTCCACAAGACGCGCACCGGTGCGAATGCTTTCTTCGCCATATCATTATGTTGTCCAGCTACCAGAGTCTGTTACCGCCCCCGTATTGGCATAGTGGTTTCCACCAATGTGTTAGTAGGGGCTGACTCTTGTACAAATGTCCAGGATGGTAGTGGTTAGCGGTTCCACGTATATCTAATAATATTAATAGGTAGAACTTTACGCGACGGGAACTTTCTCATAGGATTCGTTCCATAGGAACTTTCATAGGAACTTTCTTATAAGAACGTCGGTATTAGGTATATATATCTAGCATGGTAGTTACACGTGGAACCGCTAACCATTACCATCCTGGACACCTGTAGGTATGATTCTCCCCACCAAAGAGTACCACTCTTCTTGGCAACTAGAGATGGTGGTTCTTCTTCTGCTTCTTCTGAGAAACCGTAACAAGATCTTCCTGAATATGCTGCCGCTGGAGCGCCGTACAGTCTTGATGTAGCGTCCCCCAGATACACTCAACTCATGTGAAACGTCGAGTATTCGTCACGGTAATAGCTCTGTCGAGAACCGACATGTCGTCGCGAACGACGCTCAGGTCCTTTTTGAAACTTAGTTCGTCATCGGCGCATCTGCGTAACATTGTGATATGCATCTCCTAAGCGTAACCCTGGCAGTCGCCTGTTCACGTTCTCGAATTTGGTATTGCGACCAGCTTGTCGCTTGGAGGCGAGGTCTCGCATTGACTATGCCGTTATTGCGGGCAACATTACTGTGCATAGACCTGCGCAATCGCATCCTCACTGGTCATCAAGCAATGAGAAGTGGATTCGATATCGACGTCCATCGACGGCTGTGGATCGACGCACCCGGCGTTGATCTTACCTCGGCAGGATTTCTGGTAGGCAGCTAACACCATGGGGATAGAATTCGGAGGTTGGTCCGCCTGAAGTGGACGGCGCGCACTGAGAGGAGGCTGCAGGCAGACGAGTCAGACGCGGCCCACTCGCGTTTCTTCAAGGAGCTCATCATCGAACGCAAGACACCACACTCAAGCGTTAGCTTATGGCCCCTTCTTGCTAGACCATCAATCCTCAATATGAATTCAGTACTTATGTAAAAGACTTTGAAGCGTTACCTGGGCCGGATTGGAGTAACAGCACTCACGAGTCACACGTTCGCGATGGGCCACAGCGATGGTTATCTCCAACCTAGCTACCTGCTGGCTTACCGTCCCAGCGCATGTGGAGAAGCCGAGTCGTAGAAAGCCAAGGACAATACTGAGTGTGGCAATGGGTCGCAGACGTGGTCGCGAACCAAGTGCTCGGGAACGCAGCTGGGCGGTGGGTACTATCATGTATGGTGCATCACCTTGTAAGTTGTCGGGCCCAAACCGACATGGCGAACGACATTACTGAGACTACAGAAAGCCTAGAATAGATCTGCTACTGCTAGATCTTCTTCCGCCACTGAAGCCGCCCTCACCCGCGTGGGGAGAATCAACGTGACATGCGCTATCGAGCACTAGAAAGCAGCCGTTGGAACCGGTTTCACTTTGCGAGACTCACAGATCATATGGGCGTCTTGGCGATGGAGCACACGATGGAAGCCGAGTGGTGACTCGTGAGAGCCAGTGAGGGGAAGCCTGGAGGGGGATGGACCGATCGACTACGCCACCTACGACAGGTTACATGGTGCGCTGAGGCGTAATAATACTAACGGCTGCTTGCCTAGGTATATTGGCGCCTAGAAGCACACACGAGATTGATTCTGGCAGCGCTCACCGAGCATGCCCTGTTCATCAGGCTCGCGACGCTTCACATAGCTCATCATGAAGCTGCCCAACCAGTATCCATAATTCATTCTGCCTTGCATGCATTTATTATGTAACGGAAAGATGTGTCCCATGCAAACTGGCTGGCTGGTAATCTCAGCCCCATCGCACGAGTCAAGGGGTCGCGTCGAGTGTTTGCGTGCCGCTTTATGATAGGGTCACGTGTCAAGATATTCCCAGTTCCTTCGCGGTGGCCAGACTGAATAAAGTGGGGAACGCTAGTAGGAAATGCTGGGGATTGTCGTGGCTGTCCAGTTTTTCCCCCTGGGGAATTTGTGGAAGGGCTCCAATGAATAGCGTTGGCCAGCTGGGGCTGCGGGGGGGCCAGTGTTGCCCATGGCCTTGGCAGCGGGGACGTCGCTTCGTAATCTTGACCGAGCTGACGAACGAGATTAGACAGGCAGTCGAGATGCTGTCAGGCTGTTTGCGACGGGAAGGTACTTACGAAGGACTCGAGACTTGACTCATCAATTACCTGCCCAGACCTTAGGTTGTCGGCCGAGTGTCTCCATCATCAATTGGCCTCCCACCTCCCACCTCCAACCACCAGCTCGGTAGATCTTCCCCGCCATCGAACACCCTCTATCTACATCATGATAGGTATGTTTCCGAGTCGAATGTACACAAATACTGTGCAGGCTGGCAGGGCAGTGGTACAGAAGTACAGACAGCCAGGGACAGCAGCATTGGCAAAGAAGCTGCATGATCTGATCCCACGGGTTCCTCCATGTCGTATTCTCATCTTCTATTCGCCGGCCGCGTCTTCGATCCATGGCCCATGGTGCCCCGGCCGCACCACCACCAATGGCAGAGTGTCGATCAACTCCAAGGACTCTGAAGGATTGCGCACATGCAGTGCCATGCAGAGCCGCAGCTAGTTTGGCTAGTTCGATGCTACACAACGGCCACAACGGCTTAATCGGCTCAAGCGCCACAGCCGGGTACTAGCAAAATCTTAGTTGGCCCGATGACATTCCTGGCGGTTGACATGGTCACCCACTTACCACTCGGGAGCCTCGAAGCGGTGAGATTCGGACAGGCCGACGCATGCGACTGAAGTGAGCACTCGGCTGATGTGCTTCGTGAGTTCTTCGCCAGTGAGAATGCGTCATCTACTCCTGACAGATGCTGCGGATAGCCGCTCTCGTGACAAGCCTGCAAGCGAGACACTGTCAACAGTGGTCCTGGTCCTGGTCTTGGTCCTAGTTCTGTTCCTTCTCCGCACTTGTCTCAAGTCAAGGCAAAGGACCCCGGAACCAGCAGGGCAGGGATCAACTTGGCGAGCCCGCCCATTGCCCAGGCGTTGCCATGCCCGGTCGACATTGGTCGGGACTGGTAACTGGTCACCTCTACAGCAAGCCAGTCCATATCTGGACACCGCGCAGACAGCATACTAGTATACCGCGTGGGTTTTCCCTGCACAGTGGTGGGCACACCCGCCTCTCCAGTCCATCCGATGCTATCCAGGCAGCCAGTCATCATCCATAATCCATCGCTGCTCGGTATCCATGAACGGTTCAACCCCGTCCATCCCTAGGATGGTGTGGGGTGGACCCTTGTGTGCCTATTGCGCCTTTTGTGCCATGGGGAAATGGGGGAATGGATGGGGGAATGAATGGGCGAAAATGGGGACAATGGAAGACAATGGGGAATTGGGCAGGATTGGGGTTGGGGTCCGGGTTTGCTCGAGCTTCCACGGGGATCTTCAGTGTGACCACTGACCACTGACCACTCACCAGGCTGCTGACAGCCGTTCCGTCCCATTGTATAAGTCTCAGACATTGCCCGCACTCAACTCCTGGTGCTCGCGGTTCCTACTTCTCGTACTCCTCGCACTACTCTCGAGTCAAGCTTCCGTCGCAAAGCTCTGCCCAACTGCCTGCGTCGGCGCCTCCCATCAGCGACCTCTTACCTCGCCTCTACTGAATTGACTCGCAAGCAGCGCAAATCGCCGTCTGTCTGCCAAGAGCCGCAATCATGTCTGACATCGACAAGGCCCACCAGTAAGCAGTGAATCGCAAAGTTGTCGCAATATAGCAGGAATGCTGACCACACATAGCCCCGACCCTGTGGCCGTGGGTGTTGAAGGTGAGAAGCTCGAGCACGGCCTCAACCACACCGAACATGTCGACCTGAACGAGAACCTCGAGGCCAAGTCAGTTGCCTATCTATTCTATATGGTTGTGTGTCCAAATGGGGTGCAAGGATCGGCTCGACACAACGTTACCTCATGTGTTAAGGGCGCACACCCCTCCTCCGTAAAGTGGCTGCTGACACAGATCGGCTCGTAGGATCAAGAACCCTCTCAAGGGAATTTCCCGCGCCCAGCTCATGCAGGACGTCGAGGCTTTCGCGCACGAGAAGGGCCTCGTCGAGCACATCCCCCTCCTGCGCAAGGGTGCTCTCGTTGCCCAGAGCCCGGCCGACTATGACGAGATCGACGGCCCAGAGGCTCTCACCGAGCACGAGAAGGTCATCCTATCAGACGAGGTCATGCACAAATGGCGCTTGCCTTGGCAGCTATACCTGACCATCGCGACATGTTCCATCGGTGCCGCCGTCCAGGGTTGGGACCAGACGGGAAGCAATGGCGCCTCCATCTTCTTTCCCGAAGTCTACGGCATCGGCTCCGACAGCAGGCAAGACGCTCTTGTAAGTGCTCTAAATAACACCGACCTTGTGCCGGACATGGGCTGATTTTTCAAAAGCTGGTCGGTACAGTGAACGCTGGCCCTTACATTGGCTGTGCTCTTCTCGGTTGCTGGCTGTCGGATCCCTGCAACAACTACCTCGGTCGTCGAGGTAAGCATGCTGTGGACTGCGAGACACCACTCGGACGCTAATCGAGTCTTAGGCACCATTTTCCTCTCTGCGAACTTCTGTCTCTGGCCCGTCATCGGTTCTGCCTTCTGCAACACGTGGTGGGAACAGTTGATTTGTCGATTGCTGATGGGTGTCGGAATGGGCATCAAGGCTTCTACTGGTTCGTGACGATATCTTCTGCAACATCTCTATCCTCCATCTAACATTCTATAGTACCTATCTACGCTGCTGAGAATGCTCCTGCCTCTGTTAGAGGCGCTCTCGTCATGTCCTGGCAGATGTGGACTGCCTTTGGTATCTTCCTCGGTACAGCTGTCAATCTTGCCGTCTTCTACCACGCCAACAACTGGAGACTGATGTTGGGCGCCCCTTTCATCCCGGCCGTCCCTCTGCTCTGCCTGATCTACCTGTGCCCCGAATCGCCACGATGGCTGATGAAGAAGAACAAGTACGCGGCGGCTTGGAAATCGATGGTGGTGCTCCGAAACGACCCTATCCAGGCCGCTCGGGATATCTACTACATCCACGCACAGCTTTCCATTGAGATGGAGATGATGCGCAAGAGCAACTACGTCACCCGCTTCACCCAGCTGTTCACCATCCCCCGTGTCCGACGAGCCAGTGTTGCCGCTTTCACCGTCATGATTGCCCAGCAGATGTGCGGCATCAACATCATCGCCTTTTACTCAACGACACTGTTCGTGAACTCCGGCTTCTCACAATTCAACGCGACCCTGTGCTCTTTCGGTTTCGGAGCTGTCAACTGGCTGTTTGCTTTCCCTGCTTTCTGGACCATTGACACGTTCGGCCGAAGGTCCCTTCTCCTGTTCACGTTCCCCAACATGATGTGGACGCTGCTTGCCGCCGGGTTGTGCAATCTGCTGCCCGAGGGCTCAATTCAGAAGACCGCAACTGTCGCTCTCTTCGTCTTCCTGTTCGCCGCCTTTTACTCTCCTGGTGAAGGTCCCGTGCCGTTCACTTACTCGGCTGAGGTTTTCCCTCTGTCCCACCGTGAAGTTGGCATGGGGTTCGCTGTCGCCACCTGTCTCGGTTTTGCGGCCGTCCTCGGTATCACATTCCCCCTCATCCTCAAAAGTCTCGGCACAGTCGGCGCTTTCTGTCTGTACGCCGGGTTCAATGGCGTGGCCTTTGTCATGATCTTCTTCCTGGTACCCGAGACCAAGCAGCGCACCCTGGAAGAGCTCGACTACGTCTTTGCTGTCCCCAACCGAAAGTTCGCAAGCTACCAGGTCAACAAGGTCCTCCCCTGGTGGTTCAACCGATGGATTCTCTTCAAGAAGAATGCCTATCTCGAGCCTCTTTACCAGCAAGAGGATGTCGACAACTTCCACCGCGTGGCCCGCCACCACAGCAACGACTTTTCCTCCGACCCCGACAAGAAGGCTGCCCTGTGAGGTGGAAAAAAAGCCCCTGGAACGCCATTTATACAATGCGTCGCCGTGCAGGGAGCAAAATCAGGACATGTCTAAGGCATGGATCTGAAGCATGGATTTGACGGCGACGTTCCCTTCTTTGAAGTGCATTTCGCGAATACCCCGTTTATCTTAGATTGCTAGAGATGCTAGATATAGTACCTCCTACTGAAGCAATGTTACATACCAATCAACCAACTACTTTGAAGTGCCCGTATTAAAACAATGTGACGTGAATGTTTGACCACAGTCACACTACCGAAAACCCCGTCATACGGGCGGCACAGTTTCACAACACTTCCATTCGGGTCCGAATTTGGCGCACGGGGCCGAAACCAGTGAGACACGGGATGAACGAGAAAGACCGTCCAACAACAACCTCCCAAGCCACGCCTTCCTTCGCATCGATAAAATTTTCCATTTCCCAACACCAATCACTTCTCCGCAACCGACACAACATTATTCCGAATCGGCCATGGTCATGGCCAAAAAAACAATCCTCATCACAGGCTGCAGCAGCGCAGCCGGCGCCGGCGCCGCACTAGCCAGGGAATTCCACCAACGTGGCCACCGCGTCTACGCCACGGCCCGCGGCGACAATGCAAAGGCAAAGCTGCGCTTCCTGACGGACCTCGGTATCGGGGTTTTGGAGTTGGACGTCACGTCGCCGGATTCGATTGCGGCTGCTGTGGGTGTTGTGCGGGAGGCTACTTGCTGTGGTGGTGAAAGTAAAAGTGACGGCCACCTCGATATCCTCATCAACAACGCCTCCCTCTTCACCCTGTCACCCCTCTCCGACGTGCAGCTCGCGTCCGCGCGCGAGGTTTTTGATACCAATGTCGTTGGTGTTTTGGCTGTCACGCAGGCTTTTCTGCCGCTGCTGATGCCCAACCATTACCACCGCACCCCCAGCACCAAGAATACCGGCACCCCAAACTCCAGAGGACAACAAGAACTTTACGGCGGCGGCCTGGTGGTCAATATCGCCAGCATAGCTGCCTTCATGTGTCCACCTTGGCACGGCGTCTATGCCGCTAGCAAGGCGGCGCTCGTCGCGCTGGGGCATACTATGAGGCTGGAGTTCGCGCCGCTGGGGGTTCGGGTTGTTACTGTTGTTGCGGGCGGGGTGGGGGTTGCTGAGGGGACGACGACGACACATCCAGAGACTACAACAACACAGTCACCCAGTCGTGGCCTTACCGCCATATTACCAACAGATAGCTACTACCAGTCCCTAACCCGCGAGACCGACGGCAACACACCACCACTATCAAATAAACAAAACTACGCGCCGATGCCAGTGGATTTGTTCGCAAAGCAAGTAGCAGACGATATACTGAAAGCCAGCACCGGTATCAAAGCGCCACGGCCGCTGGTCTGGAGGGGCGCGTTTGCGTGGTGGGCTTGGGTGTGCACTTGGTTCGGGTGGGTGGGTATGCTGGATGGGGGGACAGATCCGGAGGAGTGGGTTGGATAGGATGGCGCGGCCTGATGGGGGTTGGAAGGTTGAGTAAGGGTTTTTGTGAGTTCGCTTCGAGTCTTTGACTTGGCGTTCTTACCCTCGAGAGACGGCGTCTCGTAGTGGGGATGAACCCCGTGTAGGATATGGGGAGACCATGTCGCTTGTCGGCTGGATGCTCGTGTGATATTACAACTACACTCCGGATAGGCTTGCCCGGGACAGGGGCTGTGTACTAGTTGTATAGGGAGGGAAATGAAAGCCTTCACTCCACGGCTAAAGGAACATTTGTGCTTAGTGAACGAACAAAAAGACCAAGAGTTCCTACGTGAGAGACGGCGTCTCTCAAATAGGCACGAACCCTTACACTGTCAGTCTGCTATAGGCTTCCTTTCCAAAATGACCACAAACTCTTAAGCTCGGCTGTATTGAAGGTACTTGTTACGAACCAACAATACCATCGCCCCCCCTACATCTCGGACACCCCCACATCTCGTACAGCAAAACCCCACCACCACCACCTAAACCCTATATGTTCACTTATACACTTTCAGCCCAATATTGAAACTGTTCAGAATGTATTTCGTGCCCTAGATAGCCCTGATCTTAAGGTTTAATCCAATGTAGAATTTATCCGCGCAGCATACGTAATTGGCTGTCTATTACCCCGCGTTTCCTACCCCGAATAGAGATTTTCGGGTGCTGGAGCCTCGTCTGAAGCCTTGTTCTGTATGCACCGCAGCATCGTATAGCCGCCTAGAATACCTCCCAAACCGTATACAGAGGATCAGATGGCGAATGCCATCTTAGATATCACAGATGAGAGCCTCTTGCTGCAAAAAAGCGCTCAAAAACATGACGTCCCTGTTATAACATTCTCTAACCAACTTAATGGCAAGCCCTCAAAATGCGAAAACCATATACACCAATAGAGACTCTTTCCTGCTCAAGAAAGCACTATAATCAACTGGATTTTGTGTCAAGAAAAGCTAGGACTAGCCCCTTCGCACTCTCTGGTACGTGAGATCATTGTAAAGGTGTTAAAAAAGAACGGAGATTCAGGCCCCCCTTGAAGACCACTTCATAACCGGCTTCAAGCGCCGCAACCCCTAAATAAAGACCAAAATTAGCAAAAGGGTAGAATCAGCGCGTTTTAAGGGCTTCATGCCGAAGGCAGTTAATTGGTTCTTTGAAATTCTAGAGGATTACGGCTGGGTCAAGCCAGAAAACACGTATAATATTGATAAGGGGGGCATCATGGCGGGTTTTGGTAACTATAACTAACTGTTGGATGGAGTGGTGCAGGTGGTGTGGCTGCAGGTGGTCCGCGCACGGACCAGGTGGATTGGGGTGGTCCGAGCGCCCTAGGAACGGTCGACTAGTGACGTTGCCCTACAGCTCTAGCGCTACGGCAGGCAGGCGCGTTATACCTGTATTTAGGTGTGTATTCGTCCGTACCAAAGTAGATACACAACCACGAACAAATGAACCAATATTTCCGCATACAAATTCTAACACTAATCCTTTAAATCTATAGAAATTCTAATTAGCTTTATAGGCATCGATTCTTTGGTTTTAGATAATTCTGTTATTAAGAAGGCCTTCTTAAAAAGCCCTTAAAGTCGTAACTGGACCTCCTTTATCGATGCCATCTCTGCAACTGAAAAAATCCTCAAACCAGGTATTATCTTCAAGGGAAAGGACCTCCAGGCCCAGTGGTTCATTAAGGAGTTTCAAAAGACCGCTAATTGGCATTACATGTGCTCAGAAAATGGCTGGACTTTGAATAACATAGCCTGCCGGTGGCTAGAAGATATCTTTATCCCGAAGGTAGACGAGATACAAAGAGAAGATCAGGCTGAGCCTGTTCTTTTGATACTAGATGGCCATAATAGCCACCCTCCGTATGTATATGATTTTTTCTTATTTTATATAGACTTCCTTTATTTTTTCCTGATTTAATAAGGGTTAACGCATGTTATAAGGACAAATTCATAACTATCTGTTATTTCACCAATATATTGCTCTGTTTCTTCCTTACACATACTAGTCATAGCATGCAACCCCTGGATAACGGGCCCTATAATGCCCTGAAGGCTCACTACTAGAAATTCCTTTCTTAGCTAAATTCTCTGACGGATGCCTCGCCTGTTAACAAGATCAACTTCATTCGGTGCTATAGCCAGGCCAGAACTGCTGCTTTTACTAAGGCAAATATCCTCTCTGGCTTCAGAACGACTGGATGTTATCCTATCAGCCATAGGAAGTGCTTAGTGCACCCAGAAATCCAGGAAGAGAAGCAGAAGACCCTTGAGCCTGAGACCCCTGAAAGCTCTGAATCAGAGGACCAACGGACCCCTACTACTGTCACGGCGAGCGTACTGAGGAGCTGGGACATGGCCTGCAGCAAGCAGCTATTACTCTATTGACGAGAATATCAAGACTAGAGAGGAAAGGAAGAGAGAGAGAGAGATAGGTACAGTGGAAGGTTGCCCCTTTAAGGGGATCCTCTGGTCAGATCCTTCCTCTATTGGGAAGTATCCGCTTGTCATGTGGGAAGGTCTGTGCAGGCCGTCACAACTACAAGCCGCCAGATCATAAATTTTGGCAAAAATAAGTCCCCTGGTACCCCCGGCTGAAATACAGGAAGATAGCCACTGCGTTTGAGGCTAAAAAGATTGACCTTATTATTAAAGACAGGAAGATCAAGGCCCTGGAGGCTGAACTAGAGCAGCTACAACCAAAGAAACGGCAGAAGATCCCTAATCCTAACAGGAAGTTCAGAATAGTCACAGAGGTACTAAGTACGGGTGGTACTATCACCCTTAGTGCTTTTGCGGATATATTAAAAGTTGTGGTTAATAATGACGAGAAAGAAGAAGCAGAAGACAAAGACTCGGCTAAAGAGGCCGCTTTGGAGGCCATACAGGAGCCTAGGCAGACCCGTTCGGGGCGATCCAGTCGGGCGCCCACTAGATATTACAAATGAGCAGCTTCTGCGCTCTCGAATGATAATTTTGCTGAATTTCTCTGACCTGAATAACTTCTTTTACATGTGGGTGAATAAGGGGGTGTTTTGGTGGTGTTGGTGGGGTTTGGCTGTACGAGATGTGGGGGTGTACGAGATGTGGGGGGGGGGATGGTACCACAGGCCCGTTGGCAGGCCCGAAGGGAAAAAGATGACCTATGAGGGAACCCAATTAGAACGGGGACACAATACAGAGCAGCGCAGGGCATCCAGACACGTGATCCAGGAAGTCAGGATCACGTGACTAGAGTTGCTCACGTCTGCTCATGCGAGCAATAGTGAGCAAAGGAAGGTTGCTCACTTCTGATCACACGAGCAACAGTGAGCAAACCTCATCAGTGAGAGAGAGATTAGATATATAAGGATGGATATTTCTTAGCTAGACAGATAGACAGTCTCTATCTTAGTGATCAACCTAAGCATCTTAGCCAACCCTAAGGTGGGAGAAATCTTCTGATGACTCGACTATTCAGTGATCCCCCGGATCAGACCAAGCCCCAGTATCTGAGTGTCTTCTAGTTGACAGAAGCCTCTATCGTCCTTTGTGTTGACTTACCTCAGAACATAAACCCTATAGAACCCTTTAGCCTTATAGGTTAGACGGCTCGTCACAGTACTTTAGAGTCAGTCCTTGATCTCGTTTCCAATCCCTGAATACTGGTACGAGACACCACTGCAGCACCCAATGCCAACAAGGCCGGCCACATTCGCACAGGCACCTTGTAAGCAGTTATACTAAAAACCAGTAGTCCAAATGAACAGACAACGTAGGACTCCATTATTCGCAGTTCATATCACAGATGGCCTTTCCCTACTCCTTTTTGTCATCGCCTGCTTTCCTGACATGTTCTTCCGGTAGGTCATATATGTCGCTATTGACTGTCGATGCTAGAGGCTGTTTTGTTAAATAGGAGCGTAGCCGTAGCGCTACCCAATCCACCTTTGCCGCGTTCAACATGTTTCAGTCTTGAGGATATAAACTTCCCAATCGCCTTGGAGTAAAAACGTTGAGCAAGTTGCCAACCCCAGAGAAAGCCTCAGTGCTATCTGCATACGTCAAGCACACACAATTTCTCTATCCGAGACCACCATGACTGGCTCTGTCTATCTTAGACCCCAAAACCGTGTTCGTTACTCGTCCTCAAGTTCTGGCTGGGATATATCCACGATCATTCAATACCTGACTCTGACTCTAAGATGTGCTATGGCACACTCTGAGAGATTGATGGTGTTGCCAGCACGCCAGATAACTTACGCCTGATCTGGCACTCACGCCCCACAGACAGCAGACCAAGCCATTATAGGCAATACACCGAAAGCCGAGGCCAATCTCTGAACCAATCATGTCTGATAATAATCGGAGCAATCGATCAGAGTTCCCACATTTGAACTCCGATCAAACGAACGAGTCGGACTTCATGCTGACCAAGTTCATAGACAACATGAAACTATGTACATCCTGTCAACTGGTGTCACGCAACAGTCCCAAGACCTCTCTCCGGAATTGAATGTCGTAATATCTAGCTTACCCAGCCATCGTATTACCGTTGCGTTTCATCGCCAAGTTCCAAATCCGACACGTCGTGATACTCCGATCCCTCAAACATCCCCCTGATTGACAGACACCTACCGACAATGAACCCGCGCGCAGGAGGTCAGATCATCGACTTACAGACCACCCCGCCAGATGAGGTACTGAACAAGACCTACCGCCGAAACGGCAGGATACAGTCCTGCGAGCCGTGCCGGAAAAGTAAACTCAAATGCGACCACGTGCTGCCGGCATGTAAGAGATGCGTCAAGAGAGGGTGCGCCGATCGGTGTGTCTACCATCCGAGTCCGCTCGCGAAAGTGAGTACCCAACTCAACACATCCAAGTGCACTCTATAAAGTAATGAGACGGTTTCTGTTCTCCTGGGTAGGATTCAGAAGGGTCTAACATCTCAGAGACGTTGGCACATTGGCCATCGGGACTGATCAGCATTTGGCTTCGAGCTGGGCTGACCACCCATTTGATAGAGCCGCCAGACGCGCACAGCAGCTCCCCCAACACCATCAACGTCTACCAACGACGAGAGTCTCTCGGATGTGTTCGTCTCAGTCGATACTCCGCTCCCAGGCTCACCTCTCACATCCAGCCCGGAGAAGCCGCCGCCCCCGCGAGCGGCCGAAGACGCCGCACACGCCCATCGCGCCGCCTCGGCACCGCCGCTGCAAACCCATCAACAGGCCTACGTCCGCGTTAACCCGGGGTTCCTGGGCGCGACGAGCTTCACTTCCATCTTTACAGAAAACCTGGGCAAATTCGGCGTCCAGCAGATGGAGACGTCCTACCTCCAGCGCATCCCCATCTCAGACGACCGCATCGCCCGAGGATGCCAGGTGCTGTCCTTCCTGAAGAACAGGGTCTTGGTGAACCAGTTCGTCGCTCGCTATTTCGAGATCTGCGAGGGCGCGGGCATCATCTGCCCAGAACCCATCATGAAGAAGTGGCTGATGAAACTGCAACTCCACCACGGTGACACCCTGCGCGACCAGGACCCGGAGAAGATCCGTCGTCTGTGCGAGCTGCTCTGGAGAAATACCCAGAGCCCGCTGGTGTTCAATGAGGGCACTTCTGCCATGCAGTGGGCGCGCTCGGCGACCGGCCCCAACATCAGATGGGAAGTGATCGGGCTCATCGCTGCCATAATAGGACAGTGCGCCAACACCCTCCGCCCATCTGATCGCTTCCTCAAAGAGCACAATGTCGTCAGGCCCAAGTTCCCCCGACAGATGAACGACGTCGCTAATACTTGTATGGCCTTCTGTCGCGACTGCGAGGCGCTCGATGACTTATTTCTCTGGCTGGCTATGGAGAACGCAGTGCTGACAAGCACCATGTTGGGAGACGGAAGCTATGCCTCGTACCGCGAGTCTGGCGAGGTGGTCAATGCAGTCATCGCGATGGGTTTGCACCAAGACGTAAGAGTAGGCAAAAATTTGCCCTTCTTCCTCGAGCAGCTACGCAAGAGAGTTCTCGTGCAGACATACTCGTGCGATATCAGCATAGCTTCCTTCTTGGGCCGGCCGCCACGAATGTCGTACCGCTACTGCAACCTCACACCCCCGCTGGACGTACCGGACTCCCAATTGTTCCAAGAAGATGTCGACAAGGCTCAGATCTTGGCCTCGTTGGATAGCAATGGTTTTAATACAGCCGGAAGAGTAACACGTACAACCTGGATGAAAACGTGGCTGGGATGGGCTCCTCGGAGAGAAGATGTCCTGGACCTGGCTTTGGGACATTACACGAGTGAAGAAGTCCTGCGCCATGCAGAAGAGATTCGAAAAAAGGGTGAGGAGTACTGGGCCGGTCTTCCCGCATACATCAGAAGATTCAGTGATGGTGAGGTCACTCCTGCTCCGAACAATCCCTTCGAGTCAATGCTCCAAGACGGCATCAAGCAAGGGTTTCGCGGCAATGACTTGCTTCTGCAGCGAACTTTGATTCGCAAGACAGGTGCAACCTCGGAGAAGCTGGTACGTACAGCTCGTCTGATCTTGGATGATATTTTGCGCATCAGCCGCCGCCACGACATAGCATCGGTTTTCCAGAGTGACATGGCGTCCCGCCTCGCCGTGCAAGGCCTGCGAAGTGCTGCAGTCATCGCAGTTGAACTTCTGAAACAGGAGCAACTCCCCAGCCAGTCGAAGAACCATTTGCTACCTAGAAGCCGAACGATCCAGGACTTGTCGGTCTTTGCAGCTCGACTGGGTGACATTGACCCTGCGGATGGCGCATTTTCTGTGTGCGACATGGGTTCTAAAGTCATCACTCGCATCCTCGACAAGATCCTGAGCCCTCCCAACGAACCTGGGCAGGTCGGTGCACCGCATCTGCAGCACGATCAGCGACAGGGGCTGGGACAAGTCGACATGCATCTCTTCGCGAACGAGACTGGGCCGAATGATGGATGGCCTGTGCCGGGCATGGATTGTCCCATGGGAGGAGACCTGAATATGGAGATAGATGTCCCATTTCTCAGCCATGACAACGATTTCATGCAGTGGCTTGAGAGCACGGTAGTTGACTGGGAGAAGCCCATCGGATGAGAAGGCTGGTACGACGGTGACCATATCGGTCGCCAGAGAGTGTTTCGAATGAGGTGTACCCAATGTCCGACAACATCAACAGCAATTGGCCAAGGATGATGAATCCGCATCGCTCGCGCTGGGAATCGCACCCGTTTGCCAAAGCTTCTGTCGCTATCGAGACGCTTTGCGCCTGGGATGTTCAGTCAATCCAGACAGGAGTTGAGTGAAAAGAGCTGGGACGGCTCACGAAGCCTATTCCCGACCGAGATCGAAGAGCTTGCTATCAATCATAGCACCATCCGCCAGGGCAGTTCAATTCGGCGTCTTGTAGAGCACAGTATTCTCCATTGAGGTTGAAGTTGACGTTCAGCTTGCCTGCAGAGTCCATACTGCAGAACTGGTTTTGCCCGTCCATTGGTAGACTGGCTTGACGTCTTGCTGGCCCGTCCCAGCTGCTCAACACCTGCCACCTGACATCATCGTCAGTATCGCGCGCGCGCTCTCGGGAATTCTGTTGGTGGAACTGGGAGTATTGGTCTAGGCCTCCGCGGCGCAGGTAAGACGGTCGTGGTCGGTATCATCATCTGCGCAGATCATCATTCGATACCATTTGGGCGTTGACAACATGCCACTGTACCCATGAGCCGTGGTGTATACGAGCCTCGAGGTCGTTTCTCCAAGTCTTTGACCTGTGTCGTCGTTGGCTCCCGAATAATACTTATTACTGGTATGCATTTCTCAGCCCCCCCGGGCAGAAGCCGGGTATTAGGCTCGGTGGAGTGTCTAGCCAATAAAAGTCCGTTACCGAGCACTGCCTCCCCGTGGAAAACCGGACATGGCACATCGCATGAAGCTTTCGGTAGATCTTATTACGTGTCGCGGCCATCGGATCGAGGAGTTGTTTGCCAGCTCACGATTGCTCTTGCTAGCTTCCAGACCGAAACCCAGTTCTTTACGCCCCCGGAGCTTCTGCCAGGTTTCCCACCTGCACCTTCGTGTATCATTACATCATGATTGACATGTTGAAACTCACCTGCATTAGTTTCCGTCTAGACCAAACCCCGCATCGCCGTCATTGTTATTAAGGTAGGTATATAAATAGAGGTTCACGAGATCGCCTTTCTTGGCAACTTGGCATTCCACCGTTCAGGAACACAATTCCAAGTCCATACCTACTAAATACTCATTCATGATGGTTCACCAACACGGCGACGAGCATGACATCCCTGAGGAGCACCACGTGCAGAGGTAAGGAGTCCCCTTACTGCGGTACCCTCGCTCAGAAACTCACACCTCACAGGCGCGGTGCCTGGCTCCCGGCCGACCACCGCGTGCAGCACGACTGGATGCAGAAGCAGATCGACCATGTCGACAAGCATGGCAGCAAGGAACTGATCCCCGTTCTCCAGGAGTTCAAGGAGCTCATTGAGGGGAACACTCGGTTGTACATGTTGTTCAACCAGATGTGGGAGGAGATCCCCATGAAGAAGCCCTACTACCAGGACCCCACGGGAAGCAAGAAGCAGATCCGTGATTACAGACACATGCTCGCCATGCTCAACCACATCTTCACCCAGGCACCCCAGTGGAGCGACGCTGCGTTTGGTGTGGGTATGGTCGGTGTGCCCATGGTGTCGATATTCGACTACGCCATGGCGACGCCCAGGTGAGCCTCGGTGTTTGTGAGCAGCTAAGTGCCATGATACTGACGACGATACTCCAGCGGTCATGCGGCATTCCTAGACCCCGACGTCAACAAGATTTTGAAGAAGGTCCTGAACGAATGGGGAAAGTTCTTGAAGGTAAGCCCTCATGTCGGTCGATACTCACAAACTTCGCTGGCTGACCCCTATCTAAGTCACCGAAATCCGCCGAAGTGCTTGCCAACCACAAGCAAGGCTGGTTCTCCGAGCACGGCAAGAAGGACTTGATGGAGGTGGCCAACGCGCCGCTCAAGACATCGCATAACTTTGAGGACATGTATATCTGTGACCCCAATGCCAAGCACTACGGCTACACTTCCTGGGACGGTGAGTGTCTTCTCTTCCATCGTCCAAAAGCCAACAGCTGACTCCACAGACTTCTTCACGCGCCCACTCCGCGAAGGCGTGCGTCCGGTCGCCTCCCCCGAGGACGACAACGTCATCGCCAACGCCTGCGAGTCCAAGCCGTACAACGTGGCGCGCCACGCCAAGCTACGTGACAAGTTCTGGATCAAGGGCCAGCCGTACTCCATTCTGGACATGCTAGGCCACGACTCGCTGGCTGCCCAGTTCGACGGCGCAACCATATACCAGGCCTTCCTGTCCGCTCTGTCATACCACCGCTGGCACGCCCCCGTGAGCGGCAAGATCGTCAAGTCCTTCGTCCGCGACGGCACCTACTTCAGCGAGCCCCTATTCGAGGGTCTGGGCGACCCGAACACAAAGGAGATTGACGTCAAGGGCATCAGCGTGGCGCAGGGCTACCTCACCGCCCTCGCCACCCGGGCCGTCATCTTCATCCAGGCCGACAATCCCGCCATCGGGCTGATGGCCTTCATCGGCGTGGGCATGGACGAGGTCAGCACGTGCGATATCACGGTCCAGCAGGGCCAGTACGTCAAGAAGGGCGATCAGCTGGGCATGTTCCACTTCGGTGGCTCGTCCCATTGCCTGTTGTTCCGCGACGGCGTCAAGGTCGATGGGTTCCCCAAGCTGGACTCGGCTACTAATGTGCCCGTTCGGAGCAAGGTGGCTGAGGTCAAGAAGTGAAAGTGGTACTCTTGAAAAAACAAAAACGGGATGCATGATTCATGGGTGGGAGGTAATGATAAAACTAAATCGCGATGAGAATGAACGAATACATGCAACGACGAATTGGACGCATGCTTCTGCGACTCACTCAGCCTGCGTTGTTGATTTGCTTCTTCATTGCATGCGTAGACCCGAGTGCGGCGGATGAAGGGACGATGATACATACATGTACATACATGTACATCCTCAGTATTCGCAACTATCTACATCTGGCATCCTACCGTTGTCTCCACGCAGTCACCCGACTCGTATCGCTCGCACCAGCTGTAGGTCAGGCTGATTGACAGAGACCTTAGTTGCCTACCAGGCCCCAACGTCACTTGCAATGTAACGATACACTCAGCCCTCATAAGTCTCCGTGCCCACCATATCGAAAAGAATCCAGACCACACGTATAGTATTAAAATGCTGGTATAGCAGACAGGAATAAACAGCTCTGGTTTGATATGCATTTTGAATGCTTATTCTATCATGCTTATTCGGATTCGATACCTATACCCTTGTTTCCTGGACGGGTGGTGTACGGAGACTTATGAGGACTGAGTGTAACGATGGCGCCGACAGGCAACAGGTCATATTGCATGTACCCCGGCCACCCGCCAATGGCCGGGATACGTTACTTGCCCAGACGCATCGGAAGCAAGCCTCCAACCCGTAAGTGTATATGAAGCCGTGAGTGTCACAACGAAGGTCTGGATGATTGTAATAGGCCTTTCAGCAGCCAGCCGGTGAACAGGAAAGCACTATAAATAGGAACAAACGACATCCAATGTAAACCAGTCTACACAGCTCTCTCACGGTAATAAAAAGGCCGGAATGGTGCAATTTGTTGTATTTACTGTTGGTGTTACGAAAAGAAGGTTGCTGCTGCGTTGGTGCTACAGATGAGGGTGGGTAGAATACGCCCATGATTTAGGAATATAGACCACCACCACCACACCACACCTGCCAACAAAGTATGTACATCAGAAACGAAGAATCGGTTGTCCTTGCAGGCGAATACTGCTTAATTGGTGTGTGTGGAAGGAAACCGGATCGTCCAAAACCGTGGTGTTTCTCACCCGCTCAGCCGCCAACCCCTCCATCCTTTCGAATGCGGGTGTCCATGTGCTCCGTCGCGAATGAGGCCATCGTGACGGCTAGGGTTCTTCAGACATCTCTGATGCCGATGGGCGGGAAAGCCCCGAGGTAAGTGATGGGACTTGGTATTATTCTGATGGCGGGCTGGGCTCAAATTAGGGTGTTGAGCAGGAAAGCCCCGAGCCTAATGATAGGCCCGAGGCTAGTGATAGGGGTCGGCATTGTTCTGATGACGGGCTCGCCCCAATCCGGGGTGTTTGTTGAAGGTGAAGGAGCGAGCCTCTTTTCCAGGATTGATCTTGCTCAAGGTTGGCGTACAGGATCATCTGCTTCTGGAAATTCTCCCACGTGAGAGCTCCCGTTTCGAAGTCACGCTCGAGGTTGGAGTTCCAGAGAGGCTGGCGGTGCTTGATTGCACGCATCATAAGCAGTAGCTTGGCCTTGGGAGGAATGGGGAGATCGAGCGCTGCCAGGCGGTTGGCGACGGTGTTGAAGCGTGAGTTGAAGGCACGGAGAGTAACCCCGTCCTCAAGGGTGGCGTCCATGAGTTCGTAGAACAGTTGGGGTGCCGATTGCTCATGAATGTTAGGTATGGTAGTGAAGGTAGCGATCACGAGATCCCAAAGGACCTTCGGATCTTGCTCGTTTTCGGAGTCCCAGCCGGCGGCTTCAAGCTGTTCTTCAACGGCGGTTATGGTCGACGTAATAGGAGCCATCGCGTGAACACGGTCTTGCTCCCATTTTCGTTGGTTTGGAAGTTCGGGCCTCATGGAATGGGTGTCAATGAACTTGATCAGGTCGTAGTAGACAGCGTGCTGGCGAATGGAGCGTTTCCATTGCTTCAGATTCTGTTCGCCCAGCAGCTGCGGGATGGGAGGAAGTTGGTTGAATGGCGATGCCATCGTAACGGGTTGAGAAGGTGCCTGGCTCGAATGCGGCGTGTTGACGTGAAAGATGTGGGTGAAAGTCGTGGTCGGGGCAAAGACCGGGGCAAAGACGTACGTCGGGGCAAAGTCGTACCGGTACATATGGCGCGCAGAGACGACGAGGTAGTACAGCTCGGATACGGGTGCAAACTGTTGCGACTTGAGGAAATAAACGCTTTCTCAGTGCGTGGACGCATTTTGGTGTAAAACCGAGTGTATGGTGTCGAAAGGTTGGCTTGATGTTTGTGACGAATTAGCAGAATTCGCTGGATGACGAAGAGTGCTGAAGACCTGCTGGTAGCACCTTCCTGGCAAATCGTGCTTTGAGATCAACCAAAACATTGTGAATGGGATTGAAGGAAGGAAAGAGGGTTCATGACCTAGTGAGTATGGCAGCAACGATCTCCCACCAGTCGCCTCCATGGGCAGATTTGCCGCCGCGGCTCTTCCATATATACGCCAGAATTACCAGCAGGCAGAGAGGTTCGCAGGTCAACCGTGGAAACAACGGTATATTCATCAAATCAGAAATTCGGAATAAGCACACCGGAACAAGCATTGATGGTGGCATATTAAACCAGAGCTGCTTATTCCTGCCTGCTTATGCCGTTATTTCCAAATCTCTACGTGTGATCTGGAAACCTTCCAGCATGGTGCATACGGAGACTTACGAGGGCTGAGTGTATGTCAAGACCCTTTCCCCATAGGCTCTGTCAACTTATGGAAAGATCAGGAGCCAGTGTGGCGGTACGGGCTGGACTGGATCGACTTTGTGCTGTACTGGATTCATCTGTGTCTCGTCAAATGACTACTACAGGTAAAGTATTCCCTCGGAGTAATCATCCGAAGGAGCCCTGAGTATGTGGACCAATGTCAACAGGCCAATGCCTTCCCGGTAGAGTTGGCACCCCAACAACGTCTGCTGCCACCACGACGTCCAAGCAGACAACCGCCACGTCAACATCCAGGACCACGGCAGCAACGACTAAAATGACTGCAAGTGACTTTGCTGGAAGGGTCGTGCGTGTACGGAGACTTATGAGGGTTCAGTGTACCATTGTGCGGCACACCTTTGACGCTCCTCGACTAAGCCATCAAAGGGGGCAGCCAGAGCTACCGAGCCCAAGTAGCGACAAGGAATCTCTTTGCAGACACATTCAAGTTCTGTAGACTCGGATGAAGACGATCGTTGATGGGTGCCAGATAAAACCCATCATCAGAGACACAGCTTTGATGACCTTTGTATGGAAACCAAATCTCCTGTCGTCTCTCGATAACGGCGGGAAGACGGGAGCGAACCGCGTAGGTCTTCATCATCAGATCTGTGTATGTGATCCACAAGGCAAGGCGATGATGGCCCCGGTGGTTCCCCAGTCGTGGTCTGAGCATAGCAAATACTGTCAAGACTGCGGAACCACGACTGGCTGTTCCGATGAATCATCATGGCTCTGGCAGTGGTGGGGGCAGGTCCGTTTTCCACCAAGGCGCTCAGAGCTGTGAGAAGACCAACTCGGGGACGACCATTGCGGTCGGAGAAAAGAGGGGTACTCGGTGAGCGCGAACGCCTCGTCGTTGTGAATGGGAAAGCCCGCCAACCATGAATCAGGACAGCCGCCTCTGTTGTTCGCGAGGCTCGACTTTTTGGCACGTGGTCTAGCCCGCTTCGGGGCCATTCCCGGAGCCATGTCCATGGTAACCACATAATAGGGGGTCATTGTGGTGTTGGCCCTGGGCAAATCCAATGTTGACAGAGCAGATATCAGATGCCGTTCTACCCCCAAACCAGCACCTCTTGGTCATGGCAATGATCTCGGGGATGAAATGAGGTGGCCAAGATGCAAGTGACAACCCCATGTGGGCAAGCAGTACTAGCTGTTGATATGAGAATGGACGAAGCCGTACGGGAGCATATAACACCCCTCAGCTAGAGCGGCATTAGAGGCTTCATCGTAGTCTTTTGGAAACAGTCGCAGACCGACAAAGGTGAGATGAATAAGACCCGCAGAGAGCCCGTCTCGCGAAATGAGAGCTTGTTGTCCGGAGTCTCTTATACAAACTGTCGGGGAGTGACGTGTGCAGGCTGCGGAACTGACAAGGCGAAGCTATCACCAGCTTGGCTTCACCCAGACTCCAGCACAGCAGACTCGGAGTGGACTACTCCAATCATCGGCAATGTATGCTGAGAGACAATGGTACTCGAGTGGGTACATACCTATGTATAGAGTTCGCCATCTGCACGAAAGCCCACTGCCGGGCATCTTAATGATGACAAAAAGGCCGAATTATGAGAAGATATCGCCTGCTTCGTGCCGTCAAGCTTCAAATGTCGAGGAATATTCTTGGGGTTGTACACAGTAAGTTGGCTGTGGCTGAGGCGAGCGCACGTGGCTTGGCCCCCGCAGCTCGTGCTCCACATGCAGTCCCGGGCTGCCCCTGATGGGATTATCTGTGGTGCGCCGTCCAGTTGCCCTCCAATCTTGAGGGTGAACGCAACCCCAACAGCGCAGCAACTCGACAATCCCATCCACGTTGACACAGGGTTCGCTTCCAGGCCGGCAAGATGCTCTCCGGCATTCTGATTTTCAATCAGAAGGGCGAGAACCTCATCTTCCGTGCCTTCCGAAACGACTGCCGCCCCCGCCTCGCCGACGTCTTCCGCATCCAGGTCATCTCCAACCCCCAGGTCCGCTCGCCCATCCTCACGCTCGGCAGCACCACCTTCAGCCATGTCAAGCACGAGAACATCTACCTGGTGGCCATCACCAAGAGCAATGCCAATGCCGCGCTCGTCTTCGAGTTCCTCTACCGCCTGATCCAGCTCGGCCGGGGCTACTTTGGCAAGTTCGACGAGGAAGCTGTCAAGAACAATTTCGTGCTGGTTTACGAGCTTCTGGATGGTAAGTCTGGGCGTCAGACAACACAGCTTCAATATGTGTGCTTACCTGGTGCTGTACTAGAAATCATCGACTTTGGATACCCTCAGAATACCGAAACCGACACCCTCAAGATGTACATCACCACCGAAGGCGTCAAGTCCGAGCGCGCGGCCGAAGACTCTGCGAAGATCACAATGCAGGCTACCGGCGCGCTGTCTTGGAGGAAGGCCGATGTCCGATACCGAAAGAACGAGGCGTTCGTCGATGTCATCGAGGATGTCAACCTGCTGATGTCTGCCACGGGGACTGTGCTTCGTGCCGACGTTACCGGCCAGATCATAATGCGCGCATATCTCTCGGGCACGCCAGAATGCAAGTTCGGACTCAATGATCGTCTCTTGCTGGACCAGGACGGGCTTCAGTCGCTGCCGAGCGGAAACCGGCTAGGAACTAAAGCTACGAAAGCGGCTGCTGGAAGTGTCACGCTGGAGGACTGTCAGTTCCACCAGTGTGTCAAGCTGGGGAAATTCGACTCGGACCGCATCATCTCCTTCGTTCCGCCCGACGGCGAGTTCGAGCTCATGCGGTACAGGGCGACCGAAAACGTCAACCTGCCATTCAAGGTACACGCCATCGTTAATGAAGTTGGCAAGACCAAAGTGGAATTCAGCATTGGCGTCAAGGCCAACTTTGGAAGCAAGCTTTTTGCGACGAATGTGGTGGTTCGCATACCAACGCCGCTGAACACGGCTCGCATTACGGAGCGCACCACACAAGGAAAGGCCAAGTACGAACCGAGCGAAAACCATATTGTGTGGAAGATTGGTCGCTTCACCGGCCAGAGCGAGTTTGTTCTCAGTGCCGAAGCCGAACTCACGAGCATGACAAACCAGAAGGCCTGGTCACGGCCACCGCTAAACTTGAGCTTCAGTCTACTCATGTTTACCAGCTCCGGCCTACTAGTGCGATATTTGAAGGTGTTTGAGAAAAGCAACTATTCAAGTGTGAAATGGGTGCGATATATGACAAGAGCAGGATCTTACGAGATTCGGTAAGGATCTCTCCCGACACTACGAGGTTTCAACCGCGTATACTGATGTGTTCATGCAGATTTTGAAGAACAAGATTCGAGCAGAGGGCGCCGAACATCAGGTACATGCTGGAGGGCCCGCGATCAAAACGCCGCGACGAGTTCCTCCCTCACTGCAAGCTGCGTGCCAGCTGCATATGAGGTGACAATAAGTGCGCGACGCTTGATCTCGGTGACTGTTCCGGGAATCCCCGCATATCCCGACCGTGTCAGATCCCGGCCTGGCAGTGGGTGGTCTATTCCTCTGAGACTGGCCAAAACTGTATGGCAATTGCCTCAAGTATGTCGGCGGTACAACATCTGATGCTACGACATAAGTCTATGGCTATGCATCTAGTGCGACAGCAGACGTTGCGAGACAACGTCGAGCCCCAGGCGCCTTGTGGATATATGAATCATCGATATTCCGACCCCGGCTACGTGGATAATGAAGATGCAATCAATTGTGATGACAATAGCAGTGCAAGACTACATGGGCAAGGGGACATCAAATGCAGCGGAGACGACGGAGAAGCAGATTATCTTCGGCTTTTGAATCAGCTCTACGACATGCGGACGACCTGCGGTTCTCGACCGTGGAGCAAGGGCCTGACTAATACATGTCATTAGTAACGATAGTTCAAGTTTACATGAACATGTCGTCATCCAATGTGCACTGTGATGAACATATAACATTGAATGAAAAGCATCTGAAGCTCCAGCTTTACAGTCGAAACGCCTTGTCTATACCAACAAACCTGTGTGTGAAACTCAAGTCATCTTTTCGATCAGCCATCATGTCTTCCACCCCGGCAGCTTCGGCAGACGACATCGCCAAACACGGATGGAGCGCGGTGCCACGTGATGCCAACGCCATCCTCAAGGGCAAACCCTACCTCCATAAGCCATCCGCTCTGAAGCTGGCTGATATGCCCTTCCCCGACGATGACCCCGTCGTCGCTAAGGTGCAACGTTACGCCAAGAAGCATCTGCTCGAGCAGACATACAACCACTCGATGCGTGTATACTACTGGGGTCTGTCGCCGTGACAAAGGCAAGCAAGCCATCAATGATTGACCACAGGCTAAAAAATATCAGGTCACTCCATCATCAAGGCCCAGTTCCCAGAGCACGCGAGCAAGCTCTCCATGTCGACGTGGGCGCTGGCCTGCCTACTCCACGACATCGGCACCACGCACTCCAACCTGCGCGCCACGCTCCTGTCATTCGAATTCTACGGCGGCATCTTGGCGTTGAACGTCACGAAGGACAGCGGCGCACCACAAGTCCAGGCCGAAGCCGTCGCGGAGGCTATCATCCGCCACCAGGACCTGGGCACGGTCGGTACGATCACGTTCCTTGGGCAGGTGATTCAGCTCGCTACTGTGTATGATAATATGGGGTTCCATCCGGAGCTGGTTGATGAACAGACGAGGTTGGAGGTCAATAAGGGATACCCAAGGAAGGGGTGGAGTGGCTGCTTTTCCAAGACGATAATGGAGGAGAATGGGCTGAAGCCTTGGGCGCATACGACGCATTTGGGCGAGGAGGACTTTCCGGAGGGGGTTAGGGGGAATGAGCTAATGAAGGATGTGGATGGTTGGGGGTTGTAGGTGGTGTTGGGTCTTGTGGAGTTTGATGTCGATAGGCCTTGAGGTGTTAGTAAAGGGAATGGAATGGGGCCAGTTGGATCTCATGGCGAGTAGCGCACAAGTGACGTTTTATTTACTTTCAGTTACCGTTGCAGGCTATGAAGCTCTGTGAGCGAAGTGGTTGAGGATACTCATTCTGCGGGCTCACATTTCCATGCATCCTGATTCCTCTTAGAGTTCAGGGGCAGTAGGTGGTAAGGTATGGGGTGACCGGCGGACCGGGACCGTGACCGGACCTAGCCATGCGGCTTGATTGGTTCATAGCTAAGTTATTAAATGGATCTAGTGTAACGACCCCGCATTGCAGCTCCCGAATGCGCTCCAACGCACAGACCATATCTAGGTAAACGAATTTAACGAACAACACCACGTTGGGACGGGACCACACCCAAACATTCACCACATCTAACACATTGATCCGCAGCACCTCCGTCTGGTCAGTTCTCAAGACGGTTTTGATGCCTACCTACCTACTATGCCACTTCGTTGAGTTCGCCTAAGACATTGATGTTCTGTGTTCGTCACAGCCGGGCGTGCAAATACCTTCGCGGAAGAGGACAAAAACAGGTAGGTTGCAACCAGGCCAGCTACACATGTCTCATGTCTCGAGAGCCTGCATGTTTCCGTTTTCGTCTCAGCAACAATGGCCTCATCCGAAGCCTACCGCTTGTGTGTTCACATGCCACTTTGTCATATATGGCTTTTGCTGTCAATCCCCGTTTCGTGAAAGGTAGCAGTCCTGGCAACGCGGACGTCGACTACTATTACGAATGGAGTTCCTCTTCTCGAGGCCTCCCAAAAACACCCTATGACAACAAAGTTCCCAGCGCTGGACGCGCCAACGAGTCGTTTCCGCACGAACCCAGATCAGGACGAGTGGGGAATCTATTCAAACCATAAAACAATCGACCACAGCACGCTGTTGTATTTGAAGCACCTCGGCAAAGATGAGCCAACCCCAGAACAGCTTCAGGAAGAAGCTCGCAAGGCCATCCCCATCGGATTCGATTGGTCACTTTGCAATTTTGTTAATGACCAGCGAGTCCCAATAAGGGGAACGAGGGTGGGAAAGAGCTCTTGGAGGAACTTGATCAGGCAATTGTCTCGATGAGACAGGTGAAGGAGAGACTCGGCTTACCCCTGGGCGCTCCATACGCGGGGAAAGATCTAGGAAACCTCGTAGACAGTAAGTAGCGAGACGGTGGCTTCTTAGCCGTTCTGCCGTGGGTTGGGTACAACAACCAGCACCAATTATGAAGGGCTACTACACCATTTGAGAACGCATTGCTGACTTTGGCGATGCAGTGTACATATCCATGGCCAAAGAGCATATGAAGGTCCGTTACCGGACTCTTAACTTGGGCGTGTTTTACAGTCCTATCCTATACTTCCGGAATAACGGACTCTTTGGCTCCCAAGGCGTAAGGGACCGTATAAGCGAAAGGATACACAATGCCGATCTAGCCAGGGACCTGATATGGGTTCTCCACAGCGAAATCGGGCCTGAAGAGTTCGAGAATTCCAGGAACTCCACCGTCAGTTATTTCACAGAGCTCTCCTCAATGACCCCTGCGGAAGCGGCAGTGATTGGTTGAGATTGATTATATTTATCGTGGGTGCAGTCCCTCCATAGGGCAAACCACGCCTCCCAGAGCCATTGCATCGCAAGGTTGTAGAGGTGTCAGTCTAGATACATTCAGATCCGCGTACGAGCCTATCCTCGCTATAGCGGTACCAATCTGGAGTGACCAGATGGTTTTAGTCAATACCCAAACACGATTCTGTCAGAAAAACCTCCTGTCTAGTGACTAAGCGACCCAGTGAACCTCAGTCCTCTGGTGCACACATCGTTCCAGGAGCCGTTCGATATATGTCGCATTGGTGGGTGAAGTAGGTGTTTGTTATCTGCTGGCGAGGGAAACCATAAGGGGAAAAACCTCGCAGGAGTGGGTGTTATGGAGACAAGCTGTTTGGTTATCGGGTTCTGCGATAAGAGGCCTCTCCACTGTCGTGTGCTGGTTGTCGACTCGCATAAGCCGGGTCAGAAGGGGGCCATAGCAGGATTCGAACCCACTTGTTCTCGTCGCCCACCGCACAAACGAGAACACAACCAGGCGCATTTGACCATTGCGCCATACAGCCCGGAAGCAGCAGTGCTTGGTAAGGTCCGATTCAGCATTCATTCATCGAACGCTGGCTGACTGGTGTTCCTAGTGCGTATGGCCAAGCAGGCACCCACCGAGGATGTTCGGTGATTATTCGTCTACATCATCGCGCTCATCAATAGCTTCTTGACAACCAAAATGGATGTCCACGAGATTATATTCAAGAACGTATTTTATCCTTATCCTAATGGAGATCGCCCCAACGATGACATTCGATACAGAGCTAAGCTGTGGTTGAATGGGGGAGGCAAGCTATGGGATGACAAGTTCGAATTCATGATGACGGGGGTTTTCTATCTTGCGTGGGTAGAGCAGACGCCAGATCAGGAGATCGATGAGAGACTTTTCAACCGTTTCATGGGTGCTGCAAATGCTTTGATAGCAGCAGTGAAAGACCCCACATTTCCCCACTATCCGATTCCCCGGCAAGTCGGCGGCGGTTTTTTCAATTTAAGGCAGAGATTCGTCGGCGCCATCGGACCAAGTACAATAATTTTCCTGGCATTGGCGGGGTGTTTAATCCTGCCCCCAACAGATCCCACAACTCGGAGCCTGAGATCGACTTGGCCTGGCTCCCAGAGCCCGAGCTAATTGTTCCCCAACCCCGCAGAAAGCTGGCCCGCGATAATAGAGTCGTCGTGACGGGTCTCGTCGGTGCTGCTGCCCTGAGTCGAGTGAGATATCCTTAGTAGCGGGCAGACCTGGTAACCGGTGGGTAGAACCCTGTTCTGGAGCACCATTGTCCTGTTCGGACAACCTGCCCCTCTTGGATACAAAAAGGAGCACGGTGAAGGTTGCCCAATGGGTCGGACTTGTAACCTATCCTTTTCGATCAAGACTCGGATCAGTCTGTGGTTGGGCTGGGCCAAACTTGGAGAACAACATGGTTGGATCTATGGCTTTTGTTATAATCAACAATCTTGAAACTGCACGGCAGCCGGAGTTGAGGTACACATTATGTATAGCCACACGTATACATTAGTATTGCTATACTCAAGTCAAATTTAACCTGCTGGCAGCTCGGAAGACTCAAGCAGATGGGAAACACATGCGATGGCTGATGCCGGCTTGGGCTCGCTGGTAGGTACATGTGACTAGATGGCCTTGTATCAAGCAGCAAAGAAAAACCGGTACGATGTTAGGCGTACACTAAGTACATCCCACCTCTCCACGTTGAAGGGTCGAGGCGACGACTTGGCTGACATACCGATATCACTCGAGTTTGTGACAACAGAAACTAAGGAGTCGCTACCTATCCCCCAACAAGTTATTACTGTCTTCCGTCTGGCTGCTGTCCATCCCAGAGATGTCTTGATATGGTGAAGCCGGGCTGTCGTCGCCATGACGTGTGGATCAGATGCCATCTCCACAAATGATTTGCTCCGTTGTCCTGCTAGAATAAAAATAGAACACGATGCTGGATGAAAAGTCTTCCCCTACCGCCCAGCCGCCTTGTGGCCAAGCTCGAAACAGGGGAAGCAAACGGCATTATCACCAAGTCGGTAGATGCCCCTATCTACATACCTATATATCCCAGCCTCGGTCACTCGAAACGAAAACTCGCCCTTTGGAACCAGCCATGCCAGCAGACTTTGAGAAGCAGAGCTACTGGCGCTCACGCTTCGCCTCGGAGACGTCGTTCGAGTGGCTGACGTCTTCAGCAACCTTCATGTCCATCCTAGAGCCCTACCTATCCAGCTCTCCCCGACCCGCGCGGATCCTCCAGCTGGGCTCCGGCACGTCGGACCTGCACACCCGGTTCCGCGCGCGCGGCTATCTGGACGTGACAAACGTCGACTACGAGCCCCTAGCCCTCGAGCGCGGGCGCGCGCTGGAAGCGCGGGTTTTTGGCGATGTTCGGCTCGAGTATGCCGTTGCCGACGCGACGCGTCTCGACCGTGACCTGTTGCCCAAGTCACAGCCCCAGTCACAGTCACGTCATGGCTTTGATGTTGTGGTGGACAAGAGCACGGCCGATGCCGTCTCGTGTGGGGGAGCAGAGGCGGTGTTAAGAATGGCGGAGGGTGTCAGACGGTGTCTTGCTGATGGGGGCGTATGGATATCGCTTAGCTACTCGGGTGAGAGATATGAGGTTGATGGGCTGCCTTTTGACGTGGAGATTGTGGCTAAGATACCGACGCCTAAAGTTAAGGCGGGTAATCCGGAGGTTTGGCATTGGTGTTACGTCCTTCGTCCCTTGGAGGATGAGATGTGTAGGCGTGACAGTGACGACAGGTCGGACTAATCATTCTTTGACATGTCCCAGCTGGAGAGCACGACTATCACAGTTCGGAGAGAACATGTATACGGTAGTAGGTTCGAATCTACCAGCGCTTGCTTTTGCACCTATAGCTTTCGTTCGTTGTATCTGTTCGTCCAATTTTGTCCTCCTATGTCGAAGGTTGGCCGAGTGGCAGAGAGGGCCAGATTGGGACATGGTACAGAAGGTGGGAGTCCATCAATGGCTACCACCTAGGTTAATAAGAGGATCAACAGGAGTATACTCTGAGCATAGTCATGGACTCGCTACGAATGGGAAAGCAAAGTTAACCACCTTGCCATGGTAGCAAAGAAGATAATGATGGATGATCGGAGCTAAGACGGCTAAGACTCCGATCACGTTCAGGGTTGTCAATAAGCACCCCCTAAGCTAAGCCACCCTAGCGCTTACTTTAAGTAAGTCAAGAGCCTATAACCCTTGCTGATAAAGGGCTTCGCTCACTTAAACTTAAGCTAAAAAACCTACTAATTACCCTCTTTAGCAAAATTTTAAGAAAAAGCCAGCAGTTTATAAATATCCCTTTTTATCCCTTTCGTCCCCTTTTATCCCTTTCGCCTTTAAATAATATAGATACATATTATACGCTCGATAGTTGTTATTATAAAGAAACTATCAATTTAAATATAAATCGCAAATATTAATACTTAATACATTAAGTATTAAGAAGCTTTTGATATATTTTTTATCTTATTTTTTATATAAAGTATAATTAATTTATGCTAAAACACACCCTTTCATATTCTATTATCATTATAAAAATCAAAAAGATATTTATAGCTATTTATAATAACCGTAAAAACTTTTTTATAAACTTTTTATTAGTAAATAGCTTTCTTAATATCTCGTTTTTTAATAAAAGTTATATTAAATATCTAATAACCTTATCTTTAATAACCGCTTGTGACGGTGTACAGCCGTATCTACCTAGATGGATGGATGCTTAGTCATCTGGCCACGTGTACATTAGATAAAGAAGGAACGGGACCACCACTTAAGGTGTGTATTGCGCACACCACCTTGCTGGCTTCCTTTTTCTTTCTTATCTTGTTATTTTTGTAATCAATCACATATTGCAACACAACGCCGCAGACATCGTGACACCGCTTTTTATATATATAGCTTTATAAGTCGTAAAAAGGCCGTAAAGATAGTTTCTAAAAAGGATAAATAACGTTAGGAATAAAAGTTTACCTCACATTTAACCTAATTATTATAAAAAAGTAATGAATTATTAATTTCTTACTGAAATAATTAACTTTTTAAGCGTTTATATATTAATAAACTTAATACGATAGTTCAAAAAAAAGTAATAACTTAATAAATAAACAACTTATTAACAATTTAGGCCTAAAATCTACTCGTTCAAAAAAGCGATTTATTTGCCTAATAAATATAATAAACGATCAAAACGCAAAACAAGTAAGATAAGCGTTAAATTCGTTGATAGAATTTTTTTTATAATACTTAAAATGCTTAATGATTACCTTTAAAATAGTTATAATCTTGTAAATTAAAATAATAATACTCTAAAAATATCAAGTAAGCTTATAAAAAAGCTTTAATATCACGGAATATTTTTAAAAGCACTTAATCTTTTAAAGTTGGCATATTAAGTTTGAATATTTACCACTTTATTTTTTATCTTTTTATAGATAAATAATAAATATTTTAATAATAGTTTTTTTTTAGCTCATTATATTACTAAAAACTTAACTTTTAATATATATCGTTATTAAGAACAAATATAAAGTTGGCAAAGTTGTACTAATTAACATATTATCGATTTTTTTACGTAAAGTTTAAATCCTTATAAAAGTTTTTACATATTTTAAAAAAACTTTATTACAGTAAAAGGTTTTTTGATTTAATGAATTAGGTTATACAGCTTATTAATAAAACTTTACTTTTATTGTTTATAAAACTCGGCTTTTTTAGCCTTAACAGCCGTTTAAATTCGGCTTTAATTAGAATATTAAAGTTTATTTAATGAACTTCGATCTCGTTTATTTTCGTACTACCCTTTTTTTCTTTACAGTAACAATTAAATTAAAAATATAACCTTAACATTGTTGGATCCATGCGATTCCAGACTGCAAACCATCTATACCAGGACCCATATGTATGATTAGATAAGATAAGATAGTGGATTGAGAGGGCACTTGGCCAGACCTTCGAGTCCAGCTAGATTCCTCTCAATCTAACCATCAGCAACATCATGACCTTGACCCCATACTCGAGTATTATGATTGATCGTTCAAGCCTGTTCCAACAAATATCCTATTCTTTGAATATTATAAAGCTTTTCTTAAACTTATTTCTATATTAAAGCAAGGCTTTTATCTTATTTAATCCAGCTTGTTAACTATATATACCCTGGTTTTTAAACTACTACGCACTTCTTCTAAATAAACCTTTATAACACTTAATATACACCTTTTTAAAACTTATTACAGCTTTTAAGTAACTAGATCAAATGTTTCTTTTTACACCCGTACGTTAAAAGTTATTTATATAGGCTGGATGTCTTTTTAGCTGTAAACAAGTGTTAGTTATATTGTCACTTTACTTAAGTTTATTATTTAAAAATAGCTTGACAAGTCCTAAGAGTTTATTAATAACTATATCGTTATTATTTACATTGTCGATATATACCATTTGGATTAAGATTTAATCTCGAAATTATAAAGAGTTTCTTAAATAATAACCACTTAATTGTTGTTATTATATACTTTAAAACATTTTATATAAGGATTAATTAATTCTAAATACTATATTAGAAGTCGACATAGTAGATAACATTTAGAATAATAGTAACAAGGTTGAGTAAAGTTTGAAGTTTAGAAATTAAATATATCTTAAAAATAAACTTATATAGTTATTTTTTATTTCCGGTCTGTTATTACTTTAAAAAGCTTTATTAACTTAATATGAATCATATTTTAAAGCTTAAAAAACACTTTACCGGAAATAGTTACTAATAACTGCTTAAATAAAGAAGTTTTCTGTAATAGCTATAAAAATGGTATTATAAAATTAATTTACTTTACTTTTTGTAATAATCAAAAGTTCCCAAAGATATGATAAAAAATGGTTAATAATATAAAATTATATAAAGGTTATTCTTTATTTCTTTCTCCTCTTTTTCCCGCTTGCTTTTACGTACATATTATAATCTTTTAAATAACTAAAAGCCTTATTTACATTTAAAGAAGTAATCTAATCATAATTAATTCACCTTTTATTATAAATATACCAATATTAAGTCGGCTTAAAAATACTATTTAATATAGTTTTATTTAAAGTACAGCCGTAATTATATATATTAAAAGGTTTTTCTTTTAATAATTACGTTTCGATTATCTATTAGTTATGAAAGTAATTGATATAAAATAAGTTAAATAGTATATCTTTAAAAATTTCATCTAAAGCCGTAATTTACACGATTTAAAAAGCAATTGATTCGTCGTTTTAAGTTTTAAGAAGAAAATTAATAACGCGAAAAACGATAACGTTTTTAAATGCTTAAAATAGCAGGAAGGCTTAAAAGAAACATATTTAATAATGATTAATATAAATCTAACGTTAATAAAAATAAAAGGCTTTAAAAAGCTTAAAACCTTATTTTTTATAATAAAAACCAGTTAGTAATAATCGCATAATATATTATCAACCGCGTTACAATTAAATAATTTGTATATTAATATGTATATATTGGATGTGGTGGTGGCTCAGAGTGTGTCCCAAGGTGGTCTGTGCGCTCTCAGTGAGATGGTTGCCACACAGCTCCGTTACCACCGCGGATAGATGTGCTACACCCGTATTTAGGTTTGAATCTATCTGTATCAGGTAGACTCAAAACAACCAACAAACACGCACGTATGAACTGAATATTTTGCACGACGAATTCTCACAATATATATAAATAATGATAAAAGTAAATTTCAATATCTTTATAATTCAATTGTTATAACATTTAACTTTTAATTTGAAAATGCTAAGTTTAAATCTTATTAAAAATATTAAAATGATATATACGAAGTAATCGTATATAATATCTTTATCCAAAATATATATATAAGTCTTTTTAACTTTAATATAGTTATTTGCACTTATAATTTTTTTAGCTTTCTACTTGATTAAGATAAGTCAAGGGGGCTAGTCGCTTACTTTGTTTAACTCGGATTAACTTGACTAACGCTTGGTCTAGGGGGTCCTTATCGACCATCTTGATCACGATGTTGGCGTAGTCGGGTGGGGGTACGGGACACGGCACACGGCACACGGCACACGGCACACCGCTCGGCGAACGGCACGTTTAGAGGGGGGTTTGCCAGCCTGCCACAGGCGGTATAGCACTGGCTGCGGGCTGAATGGCAGGTGGCTGCAGGCGGTATAGCGCCCCTAGCTGCGTCAGCTAGCACCCCACAGACCCCCGCAACTGCCAGGTCGGCAGCAGATTTCAAGGTAAGGTTGTTTCATCGCCTCGGATGACCTCATCCTGCCTGCCATTCAGCCATTGTCAGCCTGGCTGTCCTGGGCGAACCCGGCGAACCAACGTTAGACTGTTCCTTGCATTACCTGCATTGATCGAGGGGTAGGGCAGTCACAGTGAAGCTCTCACTGATTGACTGATTGATTGGCTGCGGGCATCGCACGATACAGGTTTCCTCCCAGCTCTTGTGTCACTGCTCGAGGTGATGGCATGAGACCTAACTGCGCCAACCGTGCCAATATTCGTCTTTTTACAGCTGCTCTACAACTACAACTTTTGTCCTGGCACACCCCAAGACCAGCTTTTGTTGTTTTCTCTGCAAGATATACCTTGCCGTGTCGCTCGTTTCTGATCCAGTGCCAAACAAACATACAGCTGATTTAGCTGATCGAGTCCTCCTACAATACCAACCTGTTCAGTATTGACGCGCAAACATGCCGGTCCAGGACGACTTCGAGGACGATGTCAACCGGAGGAGAGAGTATGGCAATCCACACAGCGGGAAGCATCCAATCCCAACCATTCAGGGCTACAGGGAGCATAGGAAAGAGATGGGCGGCCAGGTACAGGATGAGGAGCAAGCCCAGAGAGGACCCGAAGACGAGTCGACCACCAAGCGAGCCTTCCATTCCGCCAAAGCCATCATTCAAGGCAAAGATGACACGGCAGACTCGAAACACAACCCATACCCAGCCACGAACCACAACTACGCCGAGCGCCCACCACACAACACGTCAGCCACTAACATGGCCCGGGTGGACGAACCCGGACGAGAGGCGCAAGAGGCCGATACGGGTGAGCAAGACATTCCGGACCGATACCAGCAGGAAGATGAAAAGGAGTCGACGAACGGGAAGCAGGAGGGAAAAGGTCAGGACAAGACTGCGACAGAGGCTGTGGTGGGCGCAGTCGACCCCAAGGAGAAGCGCAAGGCAATGAAGAAGACGAAGAGACATGGTGGAGGAAGAGAAGTCACCGATCCCATCACCCATCTACCAATTACCATACACGACCAGACCGACAAAGACCTCAAGTCAGCACCCGAGAATGAGCCGGACCCAGGAACCCAGCACTACAGCGCCACTGGTCCCCAAGCGGCCGCCAAGTCAGATGAAGAGCTGGAGACGGAGAGAGAAAAGATCCAACGAGGCCACAATGGCATGCAGAAGGTTTTCCCTCCTCCGGACTTCGAATACACACGAAGCAAGCTAGCGGAAGTCCACCAGAAAGCTATCTACGCTGGGCTGGGGGGGATTGTTCTTCTGGCTGCCATCTTATTCGTGCTTCCAATGCCATTCGCCAGCCGGTCGTCGTCAAAATTGTCCGAGAACAGAAGCAGCTGGCTACCGCAGGTTTCTACCATGCTGACCGTCCCGTTGTTTTTCGGCCTGGCCATTGTGACCGTCATCGGCATGGGACAATGGGTCAACAAAAGGACCAACGAAATTTTCGATGACGAGACTTGGGACGCTGCACGCCGTGAGGAACAGGCTGTTTTGAGCAATGACGAAGAGCTACCAGAGTCAACCCAGTGGCTCAACAGCCTCATCTCGGCCATCTGGCCATTGATCAACCCAGACCTGTTCGCTTCCCTCGTCGACCAGATCGAAGATGTCATGCAGGCCTCTTTGCCCAAGGTCATTAAAATGGTCGCTGTGGATGACATGGGTCAAGGCAGCGAAGCTCTTCGCATCCTTGGAGTGCGGTGGTTGCCCACCGGTGCGGCAAGTGAATCTGTGGATTCCGGTGGAAAACTTCACAAAGGCGACGAGGCCTCGCAAAATGACCGTACTGATCCTCAGAACGCACAAGAAGGTGCTGGTGATCAGGACGGCGATGGTGGCAAAGCCTCCCAGTCGAACGGAGAGGATGATGGAGACTCGAAGCAGCAGGAGCAAGAACAGATCGAAGTGCGCGAGGGCATGGAAGCTGAGGAGGGCGACTTCGTCAACGTTGAGCTTGCCCTTGCGTATCGAAGCCGGTCGTCGGGAAAGTCGGTCAAGTCAAAGGCGAAAAATGCCCATCTACTACTGAAGTTCTACCTCCCCAGCGGTGTCGCCATTCCTGTCTGGGTCGAGCTTCGGGGTCTGATCATGACACTGAGAATGCGGCTGCAGCTAACGCCTGATCCGCCGTTCATTTCCCTCTGTACCCTGACCTTCCTCGGACAGCCGAAAGCGAGCATCTCCTGCGTCCCGCTTTCGAAGCACGCACTCAGCTTGACGGATGTTCCTCTCATTTCATCTTTTGTCAACTCGGCAGTCGATGCTGCATTAGCTGAGTACGTTGCGCCGAAGAGCCTTACCCTCAACCTGAAGGACATGCTTGTCGGCGACGATTTCAAGAAGGATACAACCAGCATTGGTGTCGTCTGGATCTATATCAAGCGCGCCAGAGACTTCAAACAAGGCGACGGTGGCGTTGGTCCGATGAAAGGCTCGAGCGACGCCTACGTGACAGTTTCTTGGGGTAAGTTCGGCAAGCCAGTTGCCTCAACAAGAGTCGTCGAGGGCCAGAACGATCCAGGCTGGCACGAGTATGCCAGTATCCTAGTGACACCCGAAGAGGTGAATGCCGGCGAGAAGTTGCGTTTACAACTGTGGGATTCGGATAAATGGAGTGCCGACGACGACCTGGGACGTGTTGAATTGGACTTGAAGACTCTGATGAAAGGCTCAGAAACCTGCAACAAGATTCAAGACCGCGAAGACCGCTTTACCGGTCAGGATGAGGACGAAATGATGCCTGGCTCTCTGTTCTGGTCCGTCGGGTATTTTGCAAAGACGAGGATCACCCAAAAACAACTTGAACACCAGAGCGTGAATGACGATATCCGAACTAAGGATCAACTTAAGGAGCATGTCTCGGGTACGGCCGAGTATAAGCTCCGGGAGGCTGGCAAGTCACCCCACGATGAGGAGATCAAGCAACAGAAGGCCCAGGACTATAAGGAAACGGAGGATTCCATGATTATTTCGGCGCCGCCAAGCGACGAGTTCTTCTCAGGCATTCTTAGTGTACAGGTTCACAACATCACCGGCCTCGAGGTCCAGAAGCTGCAGAGACAAGACAAGGGCGATGGCGGCGACAGCGAGGATGAAGCCGAGCAAACCGACGACATGCCTGACAGCTACTGCACCATTATCATGAATCACAAGAAGATCTTTAGGACTCGGACGAAGCCTAAGAATGCGAAGCCCTTCTTCAATGCTGGCACCGAGCGGTTCGTCAGGGATTGGCGTAACACAGAGATTATCGTCAGTGTTCGGGACGCCCGCGAAAGAGAAGACGACCCCTTGATCGGATTGGTCTATCTTCCCCTCGCAAAGGTTTTTGCAGAAAAGTCTCAGGTTATGGAGAACTACCCGCTTGTTGGTGGCATCGGCTATGGAAGAGCTCGTATCAGTATGGTGTGGCGAGGCGTGGAGGCCAAACTCCCTCCGAACCTACGAGGCTGGGAATATGGCACCCTTGAGATCCGAGGTTCCATCAAGGCCAAGGAAGGTCTACCCAAAAGCCTCACAGAGCACCGGATTAAAGTGCGGACCAACATGGGACGTGCCAAGATGTATCCTGAAGACGGCCAGTGGAGTGCAAAGGGAAAGAAAGGCCCAGAAGACGTATTCCTGCCCGTCCGCAAACGGTACTCGTCCGCCATGGTGATCGAATTTCGCGAGTCGACACTCGGGCCCGATAGGACTCCGGCGTTCGCTGTGCTTTGGTTTCACCATCTGGTCGATGAGCAGGACGACACGAAGGTTCTCCAGGTTTGGAAGGGCAGTAAGGAAGGACTACGCAGAGCTGAGATGTGCGCGGATTACAACGGCATGGAGGAGAACGAGCAGACTCTAGGGGAAATCGAGGTAGGGCTCAAGTTCTGGCGGGGTCTCTCTGGATATCATAAGGGATATGCCGCCAAAGCCAAGAACGGAGATTTGCGACAAGTGATGGAATGCTTGGACACCATCGCAGACGAACAACTTGATGAGGACGGATCCGAGGGCGAAGGAGAGGATTATGACGACGACGCCAACGATGAGGCGATACGAAAGAAGAAGCTCGAGATGCACACCAATGACGACTCGACACCGTCCAATTCTGATGACGAAGACGACAATGGCCCGTCTGGGTCGTCCAACTCGTCGAAGCTGTCGCTCTCCAAAGTGAAGGATATCTTCCGAAGTCCCGTCGACGGAGGAACCACGGCAGCCACGTCAATCCTGGCGCCTGGGCACAATAACCCCGATGACGGTTCCAGAGGCATCAGGAGCGAGATGCGCGACTACAAGGATCATCACAAGCAGATGCATCGCAAGCACCGTGGCGTTATGCAATGGAGAGCTGCTCGGGAGGCCGATCACCTCGGGGGCAAGCTGACCAGACTGAAGGGCAACATCAGTGACATCTTCCACCACAGCGAAAAGGAAACTGGGGTCGAGACTGAGATCTGAGACCTTTCTGTTGTAAGTTGACGATGGAAAGTTGCGATGGGCAACAAACACCCCAAGCTGCTGCCCCCTCATAATAGCATCGTGTAACTTAACGAGCTGTGGTTCTGGGGTTCTGCGACAGCGGTCGGGGCAATCGGATTAGGTAGCCTTGTATGAAGTATGAAGAATGAATGAATAGCTCACGATGTATGTGCCTACCAAAATCCGCACTGTCATCTCTGCCATATGTGGCTTGATGGTTCTTGTGCACGGTTGCACTGATGTGCATCGACCGACCTTCAGGTCATGTGAAGGCTCGCTGCCTCCGGGACGTCGTTGGGCCATCTCTGTCTTCGGCCACGTCCACCGTGAGATGTCGTGGTTTGCACTTCTAACAGCGATGCTGGTTGGTTGGTTGGGCAGTTCACCCGTACGCACATGTACGTACATGTATACAAGTGGCTTCTGGAGCCAATTCAAGTCTCCATCAGGGCGAGGGTACCGGGCCACGCGTTCACTCCTTTTAGAACGTCGTGTCTGCTATTTGGGGGCTCCGAAGAGCTGTCACGAAACTTCCAACCTCACATCCGCCCCTTCCATCGACGTATATTCGGCGTCGGGACTCTCTCGTATCGTGGTTCGGGGCTGTCGACGTCACGTCGCTAAAGAACGACGCGCGCCGGGATCCTCGTCGTCAGGCGCTGCGGTGACGAGCGGGATTCTGCCTCATATGATAGAGGTCATTATGGTGTTTCGAAACTCAGGCGGCGGGCGGCGCACATCAATCGGCTGGAGTATCTTCTGATATAGCCATAGCCGCCTTCGGCGTTCGTGCAACCTCGCTCGATCCGGCAGTCGTCCACGTACCTTGTCAGTCGGCGCCTTTGCCTGCCGGCGGCTTCGTCCTTCGGCAATTCCTTGTGTAACCCCCTACCTAAAGTCCCTTGCAGGTCTCTGGCAGCCTGCTCGCCTGAAAAGTGTTTCTGTGCGACTGTTTCACTGCACTGGATGCCAGGTACAGGTCACGAAAAGTTCCATGAAGCCGTAGGAGCCCTGAGGCTGGGCTGGGCTGAGCTTTGGCCGGTTCCTCCTCCCTCCTTCTGCTTCCCTCCTCTCAGCCTTACCTTGGGATGTTTGGTTGCAGCATTGCATGGATTCGGTGGGATGGCGAGTGTGACATGAGCCCCTCGTCTGATAAGGGGCGCGATGACATTGGATGGTTGTACGACAGGTTCGTGGTATAATGTGCGAGCAGCCTTCGGTATGGCTTCCCCGACTTGGGTGGTATTTAAAGTTACCTATGCTGCTATTTGCGGCCCGTTGGTTGGGGTAAGGTATGGACTATGTCGTTCTATTGATGTGCCGGAGATGGCGCACCAGCTACATATACCATGGTTGTCTGGGGTGTCTGGGGGCCACGTGCCAAACTAATAATAAGACCCGACAGGCCGAATTCAGCTGAAGGAGTGTGACATAACTATTAACCAGCCGAGAAGACGTTGGAAGTTGACTGCTTGAGATGAGGTCAAACAACAGCAAGAGTAGCCTTGATAAGGTGAAAGCATATAACGGACGACTGGAACAATTCAACCCTAACTGACGTAGGTCAAAAATAGGTAGCGACTGAGTTCACGCAAGATCATCTGGCTCCTGGGCCCTGGCTAATCGACTATGCAAGTGCGCCTTGCCGGAGCCTAACGGGAAACCCTTGATCATCGGCAGATACCTTTTAAGTTTTCAGCTTCGCCATCGAGCAACGGTTCTGACCGGGGTCATGGCATTCTGCCGGAGCCGTTGCATAATGTAAGTCGCCTACTCCGTCTTCGCATGGATCATATAAGAGGAGCCCGCTGCTGATTCGCCAGAATACTATACAGGCCGCTGAGATTAGGGATAAGCACCCGAGAGGATTCAATTCCCAACCTGTGCCGCACCGCTGCATGACAGCGAGTGACATTACAGTTCTCGCGTAGTTTCCGTACAGTCGTCGTCCTATCCTCGCGCCTTTTCGTGCCCGCTAGGAAATGATAGAAACATGTAGGGCTTAGCTCGTCTGCTTCCTCGCATGATAGCGAGTCTTACGAGCAGCTCTGCTGTGAGGGCGCCCTTAGAATGACCGCGGTCGACGATCAATGGACGAGGAGGGAGGGCCTCACCGCTTACAGTTATGAAGGAGGGCTGCCATCACCACTTATGTATCGCAGCCGTGGCCCAGCTGACGAGGTGCAAAACCCATCTTCGCCACCCGAGTCAGCCGCGCTCATCGCTTGCACTTCAGATATCCTCTCGTCCCAAAATAAACCTTAGAGCCTGTGGGACAAACCCTGTCTTCAGCCTTCAGCGCGCTTATTGGACTCGACACTCTACACGCAAGCTGATCTCATCGTCTGTATAGCATAAGATATTGGTCACCCCTCGGATGGTACTAGCCGATCAGCTCGCTCATCGTTTACTATCGAATGCCTCGTTGTCGCCACTCACTTCTGTCAGCAGTAGCGCAGACCGATTGGATGAGAAAGACCCGGTCCCGACATCAGCAGCAGCGCAGAGACCTCGTGGCATAGAATACGAGAAAGGGGAAATAATATGGCTCCTCGCTCTCGACCAGAAGCGCACCTCTCGCCGCCCGTGGTGGGGACTTCGCAGAGGGGAAGTCCTAGCGATCGCAGCGACAGGTCGGATCGCAGTGCTGATTCGTCCGAGAGGAGCTACACCAACAGCCTGCGCAGCACCGATTCCAGGCCGGCTCGGAAGAGAGCGAGCAAGCCAAAGGTCCGAACAGGTAAGCAGCCGTCGTGTTGGGCACGTTGGAACCTCGCTCAAGCTGACCATGGACAGGATGTATCAACTGTAAGAGAAGACATGTATGTGTGTCCCGGGCCAAACATAGCCCCATTTTTGCCTCATCAGCTCATGTTGAGGAGTACGGAGTCTCTCTGCCAACATACATCACGGAGTTTCAATGCGCTGAAACTGGAAGATGGCTATCATCAAGCATCATTGATGTGGATGGCTAACGTTCGCGTTACAGGTGAAATGCGACGAAGGCGAACCTTCATGTGCTCAATGTGAGCGACTCGGCATCCCCTGTGAGGGCTACGCTCCGCCAAAAGTCAAGCGGTCCATGGTCCGTTCTGAGCGTCCGCTGCTGCCGAAGCTAGCATCGTCGTCACAGCCGCCAACGAGGACGCATACACGTTCTCTTCAGCCCGCCAGCTCTAACACGTCAATTCTGCCCATGCCAAGCTTCGGGTTCGAACTCGTCGATGAGGATGGATGGTATTTCGCTCTATTCCGAGACCAGGTGGCACACGAGCTGTCGCCGTACTCCCCGTCCAACTTCTGGTCTCAGACGTCTCTGCGGGATAGCATGGTGAACAAGTGCATCCACCACTCGATCCTCAGCATAGGTGCCTACGCCCGCGCCGTGGTCGAGCTGAAGGAGGAATACCCGTGGAATCCCAACATGTCTCGTCCGTGGTGGCCGCCCTCTGTGCTGAACCGACACCACCAAGCCGCGCTCGTACACCACGCCAAAGCACTGTCGTTCCTCCGATCCGACATTGAGATGTACGGAATCGACGGGCGCACGACCATGGCGGCGACCCTTCTGTTCATCGTCTTCGAGAACATGCAGGGCAACTACCACAGCTCGGGCAATCTCATCCGGAGCGGGATCAAGGTCCTCACCAACATACGCGGCACCAGCAGCGGGCCGGAGTCGACGCTGCGGCACCAGCGGAACCGCTACCTGGTCACGGCCCCGGACGAGGTGGACGAAATGGCCGACATGTTCGCGCGGCACAGCATCAGCAGCGCGTACATGCCCTTCGCGCATGGCAAATGTGCATACCACCTCCTCTTCACCGAGGACGACGAGTTTGATGGTGATGACGACGACGAGGACGACGACCTGCCGGAGCCGTTCGCCTTCAACGTCCCGCAGAATTGGGAGGAGGCGCGCCGCAACTGGGACTACCTGCTCCCGCTGCTGGCCAACTTCCACACCAGGTCGGCCTGGCACCACATGAACCCGGACTACGACTTCGACGAGGCGGCCGCGCGCCGCCAGCAGGCCATGTACCTGGCACAATTACAAGACTTCGGCGAGGCGCTGGACTCGCAGGCCCTCCATTTTTCGTCAACAAGCACAAACACATGCGACTGGGGGCGCGAAACCGAGATCGAGACAACCCGACAATGCCAGGGCCTCGAGCTGCTGCGCCTGCACCACCTCTTGGCCGTCGTCTTCATCTCGTGCTGCCTCGACGCGACCGAGGTTGCTTATGATGACTTCCTGCCGCAGTTCGACGACGCCATCGATCGCAGCCGCCGCATCATCAATGCACGATTATCGTCATCGTCTTCGTCATCATCATCAACATCATCAACCGGTGGTGGGCGCTGCTCGTCGTCCTCGCGCCCGGCGACTACGACGACGACGACGGGTTTTACCAACGAGGTCGGACTGCTGCTGCTCCTCGCCTTCGTGGGCGCCAAGTGCCGCGCGCGCCGCGTGCGCGCCGAGGCGCTGGACCTGATCAGCCGCGTCGACTGGCGCGAGGGCGCGTGGGACGGCACGAGTCTGGGGAGTGCGCTGGCGGGGCTGGTGCGGCTTGAGGGACAGGGACAGGGACAACAGATTCATCATGCTGATGTTGTTGATTGTCGGCAGCAGGAGGCGGCGCGTCAACTGGGTATTATGGATGTGAACGTGGTGGACGTGCCCCCGGAGGCCCGGTTCACGCTGACGAATATGTTTTGGGACTTTGATAAGCGGTGCATGAGCGTCGAGTACACGAAGTGTCTGCCGAACGACGGCACGGGGGAGTTTGAGAGGGTGTCTTGTGTGATGGCTGCTTGAACCTACCTGGTTTTTGATCGAGGGTTAGGGTTGGGGGCAAGGTCAGGGGTCAGGGGTGTGTCTTCTTCTGGGTTTTTCGTGTTGGGCGCTTGTGGTGTTTGAGGTGTTGTATGTAGTATTTGGGACTTTGCGGTTGGGATGAGAATGAGATAGTGTAGGTAGGTACGGCGGGAAGGTTAGGTAGAATGGGAGGGAAATGTGTCATGGTAGGTAGAGCCTTGTGGAAGAAAAGCCCGCAATGCGGAACTATCTTCGATACGCTCTGCCATCAATATCCTTCTGGTTCGGTCCGGACCAGGCACGGGATCACATATAGTGGCCAAAAACTGTCAACAGGCGGTTGAGCACAGTCATTGCCGTTGAGCATTGAGCAGGGTAGTCCATTTCTGCATGCGGTACTTATCAGACATAGTGAGGTAGTCGCGCGAGAATGTAACTGTCTTCATTCAAGGCCAGTTTTTCACCTCCGAGGCTAACATTGTTGGCGGGTATGATTGATTACTTTGACTACTAAAACCCATTGACTTTCATGGACAGTTCAGTACCTTTCTCAACACCTATGTTGAAACCGTATACACACGTCGTCCATGTGGCAATCTCCGTATGAGAATTTACCACTGTTGAGATGGAATACCTAGTAAGCTCACCGCTTCACGCACAACTAAGTGATCGTAACGGCTACTCCTATGATGCTCGTTGTTCAGGTGTAGCTCAATTTACCAACTTCCAACTTGATAACCCGGATTTGCTGGACGAGACAAGCTTCCACGACCATAGAGCAAAAGTCGATGCCCTCCGGTCGGACAATAGCAGAGACAGGTATCAACCAGTCAAAAAGGGGGCGTAGGTAGTGGATCAATCACTTTGCCCACATGATCACACAACGTGTACACAAAGAACAAAACATACAACACCGGGGATTCGCTGGTCGTTCCCGACCCAACTACTATTCCGGCGGTATCAGGCTTGCGGACGGGATGCCAAGTTCTCCTGATCCTATGGTCGTATGTGACACTTTATGGTATTGAGGGCGTTTATGTCAGTCTTGGACAGAGCCCGATGGGTTCACCCGTAATTTTGACTGTAGAGGTAGGACGCCAAGGCTTGGAATATAGATGGGGGAGGGGGAGGGGGAGGAATGCTCGTTTGGACCTGAGGCGACTCAGACCAAGCGCAACACACGCCCCCGTAGCTAGAAGATGACGCAGGCTATGAGGAGTAGCTGGGCCGGAGAGTCTTCCTCGGCCTCCTCAGGGGGGTATTTTATCATGCCTGGATCAAGCACAGATGATACCAAGTATAGTTCACAATAGCGTCAAGTTTTATACGGTACCGTTCTTCTCCAGCCTAGTACCTCAGGGGCGTACACACCTTGATGAGATCCTTGGTAGCATCAACAACACATTGCACGCGTTTCCACGACGAAAAGTGGTAAAGTGGTCCCAGACCAGCATATGAATTGATTTTCGCGTAAGAGCTTGAGGAAATACACATGACAAGGAACAACAGAGATACGAAACGGAACTCGAATAGAGAAACGAATCGAACCTTGCGCAAACTCACTCCACCCCTAAGGTTCTCCGCCCCTATCTACCTACCGACCTAAGTTACCGACCTCTCCTTTCATCCGCATCCAATCGATCATCACCAAAGCCCAAAAAGACCGCGACTCCCACCATTATCATCATCATCCTTCTTCGGCGCCGGGTCCTGGTCCTGGTCCTGGTCCGGGTTCGGGTTCTTCTTAGGGCGCAGCTTCTTCGGCCTGCCGTCAGGATAAAAGGCCTGCGGGGGCGGGGGCGGGTCCCTGCTGCTTCTTCCGAAGCACCTTGGGCTTGCCACTTGGATGATACAGCGCGGGCGAGTTCAGCGGGTGCGCCGACGGCCTAGGCGAGACGACCTCGGCGCCCCACTGCACCGTTTTGACGCGCTTCGTCGAGGTGGGCTTGCCCTTGCCGTTGTTGGCGAGTTCCGAGTCGATGGACTGGTCCGGGGCGGGCCTCTTGGTTCCCCCGGTCGACCCTGGCGAGGTGCTTCGCGAGGTGTCTGGCGAGCTGCTTTCGGAACTGTCTAGGGAGGTGCTGATATCGAAGGGGTTCTTGGCTTTCGTAGAGGGGGCGGCAGCGGCAGTGGTGGTGGTGGTGGTGGGAGTAGTAGTCGTACTGCTGACGAACATGCCTGCATCTCCGCTGGGAGGTGGAAGCTTTGTTGCATTTAGCGCAGACCACCCCGCCCAGCCGCTTGCAGCGGGTTTGGGGTTGGTGGCCGCGGTATCGGGGTTGGACGTAGGAGTCTGGGGATCGGCCGTGGTGTTGGATGAGTCGGCGGTGGTGGTGGTGGGAGTAGTCGTACTGCTGACGGATATGCCTCCATCCGGGAGGGCGGTTGGAGGCTTTGCTGCATCTTTCGAAGACCACCCCGCCCAGCCGGTTCCAGAGGGTTTGAAGTTGGTGTCCCACCAGCTAGGCGTTTTCGTCGAGGCCGGCAATTCGGGGTTGGACGTAGCGGTATTGGGATCGGCCGTGGTGCCAGACAGGATCGATGTAACTGTCGGGGCAGGCTGCGTGCCGGACAAGCTACCTGACGAAGGGTTCGAGGCAGGCGTAGTGCCAGGAAAGATCGATGTGGTTGTCGGGGGAGGCTTCGTACCGAACAAGTCAGGCGCAGGGTTGGTAGTAGGCGTCGTGGTCGACGGTGCGGATCCTGGCTGCGGCTGCGGGCTAGGCGGCACGGGCGGCTTAGCAAATGGGCCAAGAGTTTTGGGACCGGAGGAAGGCGTCGTGCTTGCGGCACCCGTGGTCTTCGAGCCAGGCAGCAGAGGCGGCTTAGCAAATGGGTTAGGCTTGGTTGCCGGAACCGAGGAAGCAGGCGTCGTGTTCGGGACACCCGTCGGCGTCGAGCCGGTAGCGGCAGCAGCAGCAGCAGCAGGATCAGGACCGGTTGTGTTGACACCGGAATTCGCACCGTTGGCATCTGGTGCTGCGGTGTTCGGGTTAAGAGAGACCCCAGCCGCCTCAAGGATCCCCTTGACGTTCGACTTCACGGTAGTCATACCCGTTCCAGCATTCGCAGGAGTCCCCGCCGGCTTCGTTGGAACACCGGCCGCGGCCCGTGCGGCAGCGGCGGCTTTATCGGCCTCGTTGTTCCTGATCATTTTCTGATGGAGAGCCTTCGCCTGCGCCATCTGCTCGGCTCCCGAGAGCGTGGTGTCAATGGCCGGCTTGGGCGCGAGCGGGATGGTGACCTTGCCATTGTTCTTCTGTTCCTCTGCGATCTTGTCGTTCATGGCCTCGAGGACTTGGGCGGCGGTCTTGCCTTGGGCGTTGACTCCGGGCTTGCGATTCGAAGGCGGGAGCGTTTTGAAGGCTGGGTCTTGTGCGGCTGGCGGAGGTGTGGTCGCTCGTGCCACGCCGTTGTCGATTTCGGCTTCCAACTCAAAAGTGTACTTCGATTTAGATGTCGCCTGTGCCACGGTCGTGTCGATTTGAGCTTGCAAATCGGCATCGGGCATTGATGTAGGTGCCGGAGTCGATGTCTTATCTTCCGGAGTCGATTTGTCTTCCGGAGTCGGTTTATCTGCTGGAGTCGATGCACCGGTAGCTCGAGCCAGGGCATTGTCGATTTCCTTTTGCAAGAAAGCAGCGGGCAAAGAATAGACCGCCTCCGTTTTTGCCAGGGTCCTGTCGATTTGATCTTGCAACTTGGCAAACGTCATCGAGTTCGGCGTGTACAACGTCTCAGTATCCGTCTCCTGCGGCGGCGGCGTGGGATTGACTACTATCGGGATCACCGGGGAAGTAGGATTCACATAGACGCGTATGACCCCACGAACACCGCGCTGTACGGCTCTCTTCTTCCGAAAACGCGGTATCCGTCGCGGTACCGGGCCCTCTGGCACAGAAGGGCTCTTGAGGTCGACCGTCCGTTGGCGGGAGTACATCCATCGTCTGTCCCACGCGATCTGCTGGCCGTATTTAGCCCGAAACCCCTGGGCTATCATCGTGGCGGATGAGACTCAGTTGAATGTAGAGCAAAGAGGGTGAGTGTCGAATGATGAGTGAAGATGAGATGCTGCAACAATGCAGGCTCGAAAAGCTGGGGTTGGTTGCTAGTATACGAGACGTGCCATTGTTTGAAAGGAGACTTATAAGCAAACTTATTACAGTGGTGTGGCCTTGCGAGGCACGCGAGGCACTGGCCGAATGCGGATTGTCGTCTTTGTTTTCAGCGACACGGTGGTGAAGGCCCCAGTCAACCTTCATTGTCTCACTTGAGAACGGCTGCCCCCAATCTCGGACGGCCATGACATCTCCGTCTTTGACTTGCATTGTCGAAACTTCAGCTCGGCCTGGGGAGAAGTCGCGAGAGCCTCGAAGAAGCCGGTTGCCCGTAGTCTACCTAGCAATGGGCTCGAACATTGAACACGGGAAATGATAACTAGGGTAACGACCAGGCAATAGGTATCGGGGGAGTGTTTGAGAGCTTGGTACGACTTTCACGTGACAACAGTGCTGGAATGTGAAGTCCTCAGAGCCCCAGGCCGACCGGAAGCAGATGCGACAGGTGCCGCCAACATGTCCGCCATGGAATGTTTGGGCGTAGCGGATCTGAAGATCTAGATTAATTGCACTACATTCATGAGAGGTTCCTCCAAGTGATATTGAAGGGGGTATATTTCGCAAGCGGATATGGTGAAAAGGACTAATTTCGAGATGGTGCTGACATTGCAACCATTTTGCAGTATGCAAGAGTTTTGCCTCGCGTTCAGACCTTCGAAAGGCCTACGCGGTTTTCTTCTTCTTCTTCTTCTTCTCCTTCACCGTCGCGGTGATTGGGTCGTGACGCCATGGCGAGACCACATCTAAACCAGTTGGGCGGGATGCTTCTCGTGCTCGCTACCTCCCCTCGAGGAACCAGATCGGGCGGGCATGACGTGCGAGGGGAGAACATCGGTAGTGTGGCGCTGCAACTCAACATAGTCGTAAGCGAACTCGCCGAGTTGGCCGTCGTCGATTCCGGTATCCTCATCGCCAGCGTCAACACGGAGGCTGAGTCCGGGGATGAGGTTCATTAGAAAAAGGATAACGCAAGTGAGGACGAATGAGTAGGAGAAGCCGGCAACCGAGTCAGCAAGCTGGTATCCAAGCTGGACATAGTTATGATTGATCCAGCCACCTGGGATCACGGTTGAGCCGTCAAGCGCTGCTATGTAGTCACTGAATTTGGTTGTTAGCACGATATGCGTCAAATGGTCGCCGAGTTCAACCTACGCAGCAAATATACCGGTCAGAACGTTGCCGATGACACCTCCGACAGCGTGAACAGCGAAGATGTCGAGAGCCTCGTCGACGCCCATGATGAACTTGAGCTTAGTCGCAAAGTTGCAGCCGATTGAACCAACAACACCGTAGATGACAGCAGCCCACGGGGTGACGAAACCAGAGGCGGGCGTGATGGCGACCAGACCAGCGATAGCACCGGAGCAGAACCCAACAACCGACCACTTCTTCTCAAGACGGTAATCGAGCAGAACCCAGGTGATTGCACCGACGGACGCGGCGGTGTGCGTGACGATGCAGGCCATAACGGCACGCAGGTTGGCAGCCAATGCCGATCCGCCGTTGAAACCGAACCATCCAACCCACAGGAAAACTGTGCCGAGCACAATGTGCGTAACATTGTGAGGTCGGTACGGAAGACCAGCTGTCTTGGCGTAGCCGGTTCGGTGGCCAAGCATGATGGAAAAGGCGAGCGCGGCGGCGCCGGATGAGATGTGGACGGGTGTACCACCGGCGAAATCGAGGCCACCCATTTTGTAGGCCCAACCGTTGGGGTTCCAGGTCCAGTAGGCGATCGGGTCGTAGACAATAGTGGACCAGACGAAGATGAAGACGATGCAGGGCAGAATGCGAGCCCGGTCGACAGCAGCACCAATGGCAAGAGCAGGTCTGGTCATTGGGTCAGCTACATACGTCAAGCCATTCGTAGTGATGTTCTTATATATACTCACGTGATGGCGGCGAACATGCCCTGGAACAAGCAGAAGAGGAGATCCGGGACCTTGGTGCCTCCGACGGACGGCTGTGCGAGGGTCTTCATGAGACCAAAGTTGCCAAGGTCACCGATGTAGGCGCTTCCAGTGTGGGAGAAGGCCAAACTGTAGCCCCAGAAGAACCATTGGAATTGGACGACGGCCACCGACAGCATTGCCAGCAAGATGAGGGAGAGCGCCGACTTGCGACGGGCGAGACCCGAGTAGAAGAAACCCACGCCGGGGATCATGAGCAGAACGAGGGCGGACGAGGTCAAGATCCAGGCGAAGTCACCACCCTAGATAAGAGTGAAGATTAGCGACCCTGTATCTGTATGCGCCTATAGGTATGTGTCGTGGCTTCCTACCTCGTAGTAGACATTGGGGTTGGTCTGGTCAGGGGAGTACCCCGAGTCGTCCACGCCCGAGACGCCGGTGTAGTTGGCGACTTGCACGCTGCCCGACATGTTGGCAGTGAGCGGGCCGACCTCTGTGGTGAGATGCGACGCGCCTTGCGATTGGGAGACGAGTAACCGGTAACCGGGGGGGTCTTATAGTAAGACACTCGTCCACGAGTTAGGTGGGATGACGAACTTGAAGTGAAACAAAAGAACAAAAGAGAGGAAAACGTGGATTGGAAGTGACGGCCGGGGTTGCGAATGCCTAAATACAATATGCTATCGGTCGGGTGCACATTAGGGAAGGCGCCCAGGTGGAATGGATGGATGTACCACAGCCCGGACATGGGCAGGCAACTGGGTACATAGCGAGAGAGGTATTCCATCGTGCCCGTGTACAAGCTGGCTGCCCCTGTTCTGCACGATCCTCCAAGTACTACCCTAGGTAATCTACTGACACGACAGCAACCCACTTGGGTACATGAGAGCTAGGCTTGTGGTACATCTGGAGGTGAGGTGTCTTCTACATTACCTACCTTATCATGCCACTCACATGATAGTTATCGGTATCGCGAGGTAGATGCCCACGGACGACAAGATGGAGCGACGACGGGAAGCCCATCGACACCGGACCATTGGACCATTGGCGTTAGCTGGCGGCGTTGCTGATAAGGATTCGCACTAAGTTAGAAGATCGGGAACTCGCAGCGGAAGCGCAGCGTGCACTCTGCCCAGGATCAGACGGATTATAATTCCCTTTCTGTGTACTAGATCCGTCAGCCCTCTTGGCATGGCACACTTCATCACTGACGGCCTGGTCAGACCTCAACTTGTCAGAGAGGGCGATGGAGACGACGATGAAGACCGGGCGCGAGAGGAGCAACACTGTGTGTGTTATATCAGTATGGGTAGGTATCGTGGTTGTGGTCGTGATGCGATCAGAACTGGACAAGATTAATGTATCAGACGTTCCAATCTTGTAATGAGGCGCTGAGAGCTGATGCTAGTGATGCGCGCTTGGGGCAGGTTACAACCACTCGCATCGCTATTTGAATGGACGGGCTTTCATCGGTTCATATTGACTCGCCGGTGAAGCATCGGAGGTGAATAGTGATGTTACCTCCGAGTAGTCAGAAGGCAAGACATCCGAAAACTCCAACCTCTGAGACCTGGATTCCCAACGTTGAAGAATTACAAGGTTGGGAGGTCTCAGATAAGACGGTTGACGTGCATCGTTGGCGGTTCTGGGAGCCATGTGATTCCCGACTGTACGTCACCGGAAAGTTGAGATAATCGCCGCCGTTATGATAAACAATTCTTTTTGCCACTGAAGGTTCCCATCCATTGGTTGCGATCATCGAAGGACGAATCTCTGGTGTTGTTACCAGGTCCGCAGCCAGGGGACACCAGACGCATATACACTGGCTCGTAACACGGCGGCTTTCCCTCGAGCTTCCCTCATCATCAAATGGAATGTTTTAGTCTTGGTCCGTTTCACACTCATGCCGGCCGGCTGCAAACATGCGTGCAATGAACCTTCCGATCTATCGCCGATTTCAACTGCCAGAGTGTCGGCTCTTGATTTTCCAATCGAGGCCAGTCTGCAAGGAATAACAATTTTAGAAACTCCCCATTTCCTGCTCGCCAGGTATCCCAGTCAGCTCCGCTGCTCCGGTCCCAGTCCACCCCACGTCGGACCCGGGGGTGTGCCGCATTCTCACGATCCTCCAGAACGTCTGTGTGACCCGAACCAGACAATTCCTCGATGATCGTCCTCTGCTACCGTTGTGGGGGATGACTGATGACGCCTGCTTGTTTCACATCAGGATCTTACATGCGCGCGACTCGTTGTTCAGACTTGTTCTTCATCGTTTGCAGCCATCGATCGTCAACCATGCAGTCATGTCAGCGTCTGAGCGTATATCGAGGCTTGGCTTTCCATGTGGGACGATCATCTCAACGTCTGACTCGAAGTGCTCCTGTCCGGTCTCTTGGTTACACATCCTTACGTCCTGTATACTCATGGCTGATGAATCAATGAAATTCATATCACATCAGACACCTCCTCGGCATCAGGCCGAGCGGCCGAGTGGTTCAATGTCGAGGGCGCCTCCAGTGGCCGGCCGGGCCCTAGTCGACGCCAAGCCGAAGCCTGCCAGGCCCAGAGATAAGAAGAAAGCCTGGCCAATCACGATCTGAAGCTCTGAACGGCTACTGGGACCCTGGCAATCCTAGCCTCTGGTCGCCGGGGTCCTGGACCCTGCTCACCACTTGGAAAGTGGGGCAGTGGCGCAAGTCTGACCTAAATGACAGGCCCCATAATCTGTGTGTGCGTGCGAGAATGTCCAAGCACTCCAAACTGCAGCAACGTCGCTCGACGTTTCGAAACACAACCTTACCGGATGAACGCTTCCCAGACGGGCAAACTGAGTCCTCTCTGCACGCTCTCGTGACCTTGGACGGCCCGAAGTCAACGACGCCGGGCGGCGGGCGCTCGGGCTGGCGGCGCTCAACATCGAACAGACAAGACGTCAGCTTGTCAGCTTCAGGCAGGAACGGGGCGAAGTTGCGGCGCCACGAGATAACCATTCTCGACCACACTCGAGAGTCGCCGCGCCAGTCGCTGACAAGAAGAAGAAGAAGAAGAAGAAGCCGAGGATTATGCGGACAGCATTGTCATCATCTCCCTGGAACGTCTTTTCTGGCAATAGACTACGCCCCGGGCGTCCTACTCAGTAAGCCGAAGAACCAATGGTCTGGGCATGGTGGTCATGAAGCCGTGACGACCGAAGCCACGAGACTATTGTCACTGGAAGTTTGACTTCCTCTCACTTTTCCAAAAGTATGCGGTAGACATCCAGAAACCCTCTTGACACAGAGTCATTGCGTAAGACTAACGAGCAATCTTTAAGATTCCCGTATCTTCAATCGTTCTTCATAGTCCCGATCGGGTGTTCCAAGAACCATGGCTCTGGGAACGGCCGAGGTCCAAACTAGTGTTTGCTATCTCTTTTAGGTTCATGTGATAGACGACTCCAGACTATTATAGGTACTAGTAGCCACCCAGCTAGAGACTCTATCTAAGGTAGCCTTACGGACGTCGAAGATAACCTCGTCCGCTCGGAACCGACGAACCATCAACGCCAATAACCAAGGCGGTCAAACAACATCGCCGAATACAGCCACCGACCGTGACCGGAGAGGCGGATGTATATGCGCTCGAGCAATGATTGGCCACGTCTCGCCTCCAACTCAAGTCTCAGGGGTCAGAGCCGGCCGTGATGTGATTTGAGAATCGAGATAGGGGAACACAGCGCATGATTGGCACGCGCGCCAACCAACAGCGCCGCCGCCGTGGTAAGGTGGTTGGTTTGTTGGTACGACCATATGGCGCACTGCAGGATCGCTAGTTCTAGAAGCTTGCTTGTTCTGGATGTCCCGTCGTTCTCCTCGTGTGTCTGTCTGACTTGACATACCTTACTGGATCGGCTCGCATTGCCTTTCGGAGGCCGAGTCTGAGTAGCTGGCTCCAGTGAGGCTCGCCTGGCTGGCAAGTAATCTGCAACCTACTGTCCTGGGCGTGCACTCCTGAAGTTGCGATCACCGGTATTCCAGCAGCTGATTCCCGAGTCCAGCACCCTCCCCCTCCTCCAACGGCACGGCGCTCGCTGACGAACGCTGACCCCTGAGTATAAGGCTTACCTGCATGAACCCGTCAGCTCCTCGATGCTGCTCATTGCTCACGCAGCTTCTTCGGGGGGTTCCCGCCACGAGATTGATTGAGCTGACTGTATCTGCTGATCGAACTTCTTGTTCTCAATGTGACGGAACAACAACGCCGATGAAATTTGATCGAGGGAAAATGTCATGTTCCCATTTACAATAGCTGCTGCTAACCGCCGCCACTGGACGGGAGGAGGCATGATTGAGTACTATCTCGCTCCACGAACAAACCCCTGCTGATTCGAAGAGGTAACTTATCCTACGATGGGAGGCAGAGGCACGCAGCATGGCTGTTCCGACTAGGTACCAATCAATGGGCCCTGACTCCAACTCTCAGGGCACACTCGAGGGCCGAGAACCCGACAAAAATCCGCCCGTCACACACGTGCGGCACGAACGATTCCAGTCCCGTAGCCGAGCTGACTGACTGGTTGGTTGATCATCACTACCCGGACGAAGGGCAGCTGAAATGGTTGAAGAACTCTGCAAACCGTACAGCAAGCAACCCAACTTGGCTCTCTCCAATAAGTTACCAGGTTTTGGTTCGTTCAATGCAGTGCAGGTTCTCACCAAAGTCAAAGCCAATGCCACTCCTCTCCAACGCCAACGCCAATGCCCATGCCAATGCCAATTCGATCCGAAGCAACGCAGCGCCAATGCCCAGTCCCCCTATCCATCAAGGCCCTTAAGAGACAAGCCAAGCCCCTGCCTGTACTCAGCCAAGCCATAGACGCCCTTGTTCGGAGCTGCCCTATTCGGCCACGCCTTGCGTCCCCCAAACCGGGCCAAGCAAACTTCTTCGCTCTCGGTGCGAACGGACCGATAATCTGGACGCCTCTCCTCTCCTCTCCCATATATATCCACAGGGCATAGATAGTCGCAAGCAAACAAAGTATACCTCAGCCCTTGATCTCCGCCTTGACGCGGAAGGGAAGGAGGATTCTTCTCCCTTCTTTTGGCTCTGCGTTGCGATTGGGGCTGGGGAGAGAGGGAGAAGAAGAGGCGACGCCGAGCGTTCATGTGTACCTACCTAGGGCAAGGCAAGGAGGCAGTTAGGTAGACAGGTATGCAGTCAGGTAAGTAGGGCTATTTGGAAGCGGCGTGTAAAACTCGCCTCATGCACCAACCGTCATCACCATCGAATAAATACACGCGCCTTGCATATCTACCTGAATAACCATTCTTGGCGGTGGTGACATGGCGCTGGCTGGACTTGGCTGGGCGGAAGTCGCAGCTCATTCACCAATGCCACACATACTACTCCAACGACAGGTTCCTGTCTGTGACACAGAGCTCTTGGCTCTTGGGGTAGGTATGTAGGTGCGTGCGTATGTACATATGTAGTGGGCATGCCGACAGGTATGTACAGGAGGTTAGGTAGGTACTAGGAGGTAGGTTGGCAGGGAAGGAAAGGTACCAGTACCATAAGGTAGTCAAGATTGGTGTACGATACCGGTGCAATGCCTACCTAGGCTACCCGGTGCAGGTGTAACAGGAACAATACAGAGAAGACCGTTTGATACTCCAAGTCGGCCGGGCCGTGGATGCGCTCCAGTACAATAGAACACATGATCTGAAACCCGTCCAAAGGAAAGACTCGTAGTCATCGTAGGGTTAAAAGCGATCTTGTAGTCAGCCCGGTTCCAGCTCAAGGTTCTTGATCTTGTGTTCCATACAGAGACACAGTACGGTCTTGTCAGAACCTTAGCAAGGCGGGAAATATTATTCTATAACAGCGGTGTGCGCTACTCTGCTTGCACATCAAGCCACCTATACGTAAGGTATCATGTACAAAAGGCTTCGACCAACACGGTTTCCAGCAGAGAAACCCACAGCTCGGCCTACCCTCCTTCCGCTGACTTTCGAATGGACGTCCTGCCGTCTTCCAATGTGTCTGTTGCCGACTGTACCACCTCGGATGCCGGAATCATGCCCCATCCCAGCGCAAGAAAACCTCCACAACACCTCTCATCTTGTCCTCGGTGGCCTTCTTCTCCTTGGCACTACTCGGCACGGAAGTTCGACAGATGGCTACGCCGAAGACCTCGGCGACCCTTCTCTCCCAGGCAAGTCGTCTCTGGATGTTCCCCTCGTCGATTGTCGACCCGTTGTTGCGGCGAAGACTCAGGCTCCGCTTGCCCGACGTTCCCGGCTTGCGCGTCCTCAAGGCTTCGATCTCCTCTTTCTTGAGCGGCATGAGCTCGTTCGCCACTCGTGCCAGCGTCGATGTGAGGAAGACAAACGATATGTTGTAGTATGGTGATGCGGACAGTATGTCGAGAATCGCCGTCTTGGCCTCTTCGATTTCCGTGGGGGCTTTTGGGCTCGCCACATTGGGGAGAGCTTGCTCGATCTTTGCCCACAGAGGCGCCGTGATGATTCCGTCGGTCATGCTGCGAAGGAATAATAGTAATACCTCGCTGACGACCTCTAGACGTTTGATTGACGGCACGTCGGCCTTGAGTGTTTCCACAACGGACTTGTCCTCTTCCAAGGCTTCGATGATAGCAGCTCGCAGGTCCGGGCGATCCTCGTCCTCACTTGTCTGCCACGAATGCTCATCGAATGGCCAGCCAGGCTTCTCCCGGGGTACCTTGCATTCTTCCAACATGTTCTCATCGGCTATCACTCGCTCGGTGAGAGTCTCGACAGCCTCTGTAAGTTTGAAGAGCTCGGTTGGTGACGAATGATGCACATCGAGAGAGTGTGGTACCGACCCTCCTTTTTGCCTTTCCTTCGTCAACTCCCTTATACCACCGCGTGGGATGCGTATTAGTTCTTCGAGAGATCTGCCGAAACATGAAGGTTGCCATGTCGCCCTGACCGGCACGAAGTGGTCTCTGCCTTCGGCCACGCGAAGAACCAGGACATCTTCCAGGGGCGATGAATCCTCGTTGAGCATCCTCACGTGAGCGAGATCGTGAACTTGGACCTGTATGACTGCGTTGATGGTTTCCCCAGGTTCGAGTGTGACCTCTTTGTCTTTGCCTAGCTGACCCAGCTTCTCGTCGTCGTCATGGCCCTCGCCCACAGAGCGCACAAAACTGAACTCTAACCACTCAATCTTCCTCACTTCGTCTCCCTCGGTATTAGGCTTCTCTATGAAGCTGAAACTTGCCGAAACACGGCTCGTATTTGCAATGGTGAGGGATCGAGCCTTCTTGCGGAGAAACCCAATCTCGCCAAAATCAATACCTGCGCTCCCGTCCGTAGTATTCTTGTGTGCGCCGGTCGAATCTCGCCCATCTACAACGATGGTGATGCCTGGACGCCCTTCGTTTTCTGCTCGGTCAAGCTCCCTTGCACATTCGGCATGAACCTTGGCTTTCAGCTCGGGCACTATGGCATCGTAGTTCAACGTAAACATGGCTACCAACGGCTTGTGGTCTGAAGACATAATTCGTTGATGACTCGTGTAGAGGTCTAATTTGATTTGGTCAGTGAAGCCTTCTTTGGTCGTGACCTGCTCCGCGTCGTCTTCCCCTTCGTCATATTCATCGTAATCGTAAGTCGAGTCGCCCGCGGCCAACTGATCAGTGCTTGAATCCGCAGCAGGGTCGTAGTCAAATAGAACGCTCTCATCATCGGCGGCCTGGTCGATGCCCCGGCTCTTCATATCTTCGTCTTTCTTCTTCGATTCGATCTCGTCCTTGAACTTCTTCTCGTGATCCTCGAGGTCTTTGCGCGTGCGATACAAAATCCGATCGCACCAACTAGGTGCTCGCTTCTTCTCCGAAGAGTCGAAGAGGCCTACAGTGCCAATATCGTACTTGTATGTGGGAAGAAATGTGATAGATCCTTCCCTCCACCCCTCGTGGAAGGCCTTGCGTTCTTTCATCATTCGTTGGAGCTGGTCATGTGGTAACAGGGAATCGAGAGTCGCTTGCAAAGATGCCGGATCATCATGTGGATCTGGCGCGAAGTCGTCAGGGTCTGTCAGCTTCGAAATATCGTCATTGTTGTCCCTATCGAAGGAAGCTTCCCTCGACACCATCTTTGGTGTCTTTGAACTATCCGAGTCGTCATCGCTATCTTCATTATTGCGTAGTATGATCACACCATCATCACCTAGCCGTTCCTGGGTGTCTTTCTTGCTGACATCGTATTCGCCGCGCGTGTGTAGCATGAGTAGGCGCCGTATATCGTCCCCAGGTAAACCGTCGAGTCGGAAGTTGAGATCACCGAAACAGAAGGTGAAATCCTCCTCCCCTATCTTCTCTCCTTCTTCTTCCGAGACGCCGAAGTGGCTTACGGGTGCGAACTTGGTCTGGGAGATAATCTTGCTGTAGTCCCAACACCTTCGATCAAGACTGGCCTGGTCGTGCCCTGAAGCAAGGTGGCAGTTGGAGAAGACCAGGCGGGTTGTTTCGCCTAGAAGTATCCGGGAAGTGATGGCTCCTTTATTCCCCATGTAACCCAAGAGGCCTGTACCAACTGCAACGGTAGACTCATTCGATACAGTCGCAGCTACTTCAGGAGACGCATATACGAGTAAGAGAAGCCCGATGAGCTGCTGGCTTGAGATGAGCGTGTAGTCCTTGGGTAAAGCGGCTTCGAGGGCGTCTTGCCACTTCGCAATGGAGCTAGGATCGGAGTAGAAGGACTGATGGACCATGTTAAGACTGACAATCTCTTGCAGCCCAAGAACGTAGAGCCCTATCTTGTCACCTCCCACCAGTCTGACTGTAGTCTCATCCTCGCTGTCATCTGGTTTGCTCTTGCCATCTGCCGAAGGCTGGTCATCCTGGCCGCCTTTGGATGATCCATGCTCCGTCCTTGAGGCTCCCTTCTGATGTGAGTGTTCCTCGTCCACGGCATTGTTTTCGGATAGGTTCAACCTCGCGACGTTGGCATCGAAGCCTGGCTCGACTCCCTCGCCATCAACAAACCAGCTGGCTAGATCCTTGTCTGTGCCTGGACAGCCAGCAACATTCCACGAGCCAACCTTGATTCGTATACTGTGAGGCCTAACATATTCCGACTTTCTAGCATTGACGGCACGCGACAGGGAATAGTGGGTGGTTGATGGTGGGTCCTCGTGGTCGGAGGCCGAGGCTACAGAGGGATCGCGCTCTGTGGAAGGCATGGTGGATGGTTGCTTAGGGTAATGCGCTGCCGGAAAGAAGGCCCAGCACCACGGTCAAGCTTAGTGGGAGGCGTTTATCGTGGTTGGTGGCTATGCGCGCTCGCTGTCGCATCGGCTGGACATTATGGATGGTGAATCTGAATGCTGCGCGTGACGTACGTAATCGCGGGGCAGAGCTGGCTGCAGGTGGGCAGGGCGGGTGTATCAAAGTACCGGTAAACAAGGCCCATGGAGGGGCAGACAGAAAGAAGAGGAGAGGCCTGAACAGCTGTCAGTAGTCTATACAAGAGTATGTTCTTGCAAGGTGTCAGGGCGTGAATACGCAGACAGACAGATCCGTCTTGGTCAGGGATGTGTGTTGATCGATTAGGTTTCGCAAGCACTGGACTTGGTGATCGCAGGGCATACCTGAGAAGATCGGGTATGGCACTTGGATAGCGCCCCATTCCGCTGGAATCCATGCAGTACATGTGAGCGCGATAAGGATTCTTATCGCGAAGGCTTGAAGCCAATTGAAGAGAGACGCTAGCCGAATGTGTAGCTAGCGTCTTCAGTCGCAGGTTGCAATCAGGCAATCCAACACCTAGAGCTCGGGTCGGTGGTCATCCATTTCTCCCTCCGATATTTCATCATCACGATTGTTGTCGCAAACTCCATCTTCCTCACATTCCACATCTGCGCATCAACTTGACGATCGCATCACAACGCCGAGACAGCAATTGAGTCATTTCTGCAAGTCTCCGCTATTTCCTGCAATCATGTCTCGGCAGACCCCGCGTAAAAGCCAGACCCGAGGCAACCAAAGCCAGCCCTCCATCTCCCAATCCACCTCACACTCTGGCAGCCAAGGTCAACAAGTGCAACAAGACCAACAGCAATACCAACAGCAGGATCAGGTGCAAGGTCATGCTCGGAGCAGATCCCACCAGCTACTAGCACAACGTCGAGCAGAACAAGAAAGAGTTGCCTCACTGCAGCTACAGCTCCAACTAGCCCAAGCAGCCCAAACAGCCCAAGCAGCCCAAGCAGCCACCTCCGACTACGAATCCGAAACCGCCCACTACATGGCTTCCAACCCCACCGCAGTGCCGGCCTTGGCCACCGCCCTGGCTTCGCGCACCAACACCGACCTCAACCTGCGCGTCCTCAAGCGCTACCTTCCGAGCATCACCAGCATCCTCTCCATTGCCGCCAACGCTGTCGTCTACTCCCTCGACGAGAACGCCACGTGGATCAAGTCCAACATGGAGGGTACCATGTTCATCTGCTCCCAGGGCGGAGAGGATGGTGTCGTGGGCGAGAACGGCTGCCTCTTCATGCTCAATCGCAAGGGCCTGCAGAACTTCGTCGTCGACCTCAACAAAGTTAAGGAATTCGAGCTCAACGACCCGTACTTCATGTTCAAGTTCAAGGAAGAGGATGCGCCCAAGGTCTACATGGAGAACGGAGAGGCTGTCACGACTGTCACCGTTGGCGTATGGACCTTTGCTGAGGAGGAGGCCGAGCGAGTCACGAATGCGGCCCTGATTTACGAGATGTGGACCAAGGTGTGCGAGGCACGAGAGAAGAGAGCTGCTGCTGGCGTCTCTGAGAAGACTGCGGAGGCGGGCCCGGCTGCGCAGGCCATGGACCAAGGCCGCAAGCTGAGTGTCAGCGATCTCTTCAAGGCTGGACCGAGCAACGCTGGACCGAGCAATGGAACACGATAAGGGTGACAGGATGGAGCAACACTGAGTTTCAAGGACTTCTGGGATTCAGCTTGAAGCTGAATGAAGGTTTAGATGGTCAACGTTGGCATTCAGGAGCATTCGGCTTGAAGGTTCATGGACTGGCGTTTGAGATACCCCTACCAGCATTGCCTGGTAAATAGACAACTATGGAATTCCTCACCCATCTTCCGCCCCTGTGATATTATGTGACAACGTGACATTTCTCTTGATCACTATCCCTACCTAGCTTTCGTCGCGAACACCAGTGGCGAGTGAAGTCTGAACAGCAATAAAAACAAACGTGGAAAGCCCAATAACAATAGTGAAAACCAAGGCAAGCTACAACAAGAAAAACATGGTCAGCTTCTGCAGGCTCTTCACACGAACACTGTACTAGTAAGTGACTTACCAGAGCGTTCGAATCCCAAAACCCATCCTCAGGCTGCTTCTTCGGGCCCCAGGCAGCAGCCGTCCACACCAGCACCGTGATCCCCGCAATCAAGCAGACCACAGCGCCCACCAGGAACGCCAGACTGGCCTGCCACGCATAGACCTGCATCTTCCGCGGCCGGACGCGTACCCTGCCTCCATCCCCGTCCGGAGCCGTGTTGTCACCGTCTTGCGCAGCAGTCATGATAGACCGAATCAGCTCGAGCCCGTCTCGGTGGCCTGACAAACGGTGCAGCCGCAGGCCCTGCTGGGCGGCTGTCAGGACGGCGAAGACGGCGAATATTATGCCGCTGTACCAGAAGGCTTTTACGGACCACGGCTTGTCTTGGCCGTTGGCCATTACGTTGGGCCAGGCGCCGGTGGAGGTTAGGCAGCCGGAGAGGAGACCGCCCTGTTTGGGTGGTGTTTAGCAGCTGTGCTTGTTTGTAGGTAGATATCCATGGATGCATATTTCTCATCCAAATGGAGAGTAGTAGTAATCTGATGGTCGAGGCTAGGCTCAAGACAAGAAAGCAGGAGACTAGTTATAAGATGAGAACATACCACCACACCCACAAAGTTCAGCTCCTCCAGCTTGTGGTTCCGCCAGGTGCGCGTCAGCTCGTCGCGCTCCTCGGGGTCCTCCGTGTTGAGGATGATCTCCATGGAGTCGTAGGTGGTGGCGCTGGGTGCCACCAGCCCTCCGGTCAGGATGTTCAGGAAGAGGAATGCACTGCTTCGCTGCTGTGAATCTTGTTAGTCTAACTGGATACTGGATGAGGAAAGACAGTATGTGTGGAAGAGTGGTTTCGCACATTTGAGGAATCCTTCTTCCGTTGCGAGCTGTGGCCTGAGTTGTGGCCTAGCAGTGGTTGGGACGACATCTTGGATATGTTGCTTGTTGTGGACTTCTCTACTTGGTGTTGAATTGGTAGACTGGTGTAATTGAGATACGAAATTTGGAACTTAACCACTGGAGATGAGGCCAGAGGTTGAGTCGTAATGTAGGATCGATGGAAGTTCTGTGCTGGTGATCCCACGCGTGTATAATGACGTTTCACGGATGCGGATGCGGGGGGTTGGGGGATCCGACACATGGGATGGAGCTGATCCTGGGGTAGCCGATCCACTGGATCCATCCACGAAGCAAACTAAAGTAGGTACAGTACTTATTATAGCACGTGAGGCATCTAACAGTATGTTGAAGAAGGGAATCATTTCGATCTATTGGCATGGGCAGCAGCTGACTTTTGTCTTCAACAAAACCATGGAGAAGTGGGTTACAGCCCATGAAGAAGATAGCCTCCTCACAGGTTACAACGGCCTTCTGTGAGCTAGCAGCATCATGTAAGTTCCTGCGGGTTTGAAGTAATAAATTGCATGGGAATATGGCATAAGAAGTTACGATATGTGAAGTTGACTCCAATAACTACGCGATCGCTGCTTCTTCCAAAGTAAATGAGGGTTTAACAGCTGGCCCCTGGACAGGCCGGTATAATAGCTAGAGAGGAGGCTCGCACGAGGTGGGAACTACACAATAGCGCCCCCAATGGGCATCGCATGTCACTGCATTGAAACGTGCTATTTCCGTAGCCTGTGATGGTATACTGGCAGCTCAATTTCGTAAATAGCCATGAGACAGTAGAGCCTAGGAAGGTGACGAGAGCCTTCAATGGCCAGCTGAACAAATATCTGCTCTACCAGGTCCGGCTCTTTGAAGGACGGTCTAGAGGAATGGCAGAGCCACGACTGCTTAGCCAAAGGACACTGCCTTTTAGTGAGATGGCAACTTACAGGAAGGATTAAAGTACAGGCTCATTTAGGTTACTTGAGAGTTGAATGGGAAGCATAGCCACCGGGGCATTTTGGAAAGGGCTGTTTGCAGCCTGTAAATATGCCCACACTGTTGCGAGGGATGAGGGCTGCCTGAGCAGCAAGCGGAGGGAAATTGAGCAGTCGAAACCGAGGTTTGTGGCCCTTCGAAAGGCGGCATCTCTCTGGCAGGAAGACTCAGTCGAAAGACTCTAAACTGATCATAGGCACGTCTTCTCCGTGTCCTTCCATTGTATTTGGCGAACAGGTTGCTTAATGTCATGTACCTCTCGGCTTGACCCGACCTTGAATTTGTACCATGCAGCATTCTGACTTAACTATGTCTGAGGTGCCTACTTGGGCCAAGGCGCTGCGTACTCAGGGGCAAATTCTTGAGGGCCGAGAGATACATGCAGCCCCTAGGCAATAGTCTGAGCGAGAACAGGCAAGACTTTCTCGCTCTGAGGCTTCGATTCTTCTTTGTAGGATATACTCGTTGCATCAGAGAACAACAAGTTTTCTCCGAGATACATGAACAAGACCAGAAGAGGGATGGAGCTTATATGCTCTTGTTGCCTCAGCCTACTTAGTTCCCGGGGGGGTCATATTCAAAACATTAAACTAAGGGAAGGATTTCGAGGCCGCAAATAGTTAATCGGAAGCAGACGTGCACTGCATCAGGCGTCTAGCATTACCTCAGCCCAAGCAAGGTATCAAAGACGAGTATCTTTACCTCCAGCGGAGTCTCGGCTATGGGTTGCTCAGGGACAAGAGCCCATCAGTCGATGCCTAAGGCACGACCTGTTGGCCGAGAGATGCAAGTAATTAAGGCGGTTGCCCCAACTACCGATTTGCACCCAGGAGATAATACGTGTTGTGTACCATCCCCCACCCCCTAACGGGACACACCCCCCACCGGGACAGCCAAACCCCACAACCACCACCAAAAGTCCCCTACCTCACTTACACGGATTACAGCCCCCTTTGAGGCTATCTATACGCTCTTTAGATGGTTAGATAGCCCTTTTTTTGGTGTTTAGCCGGATATAAATTAGTGAAGTTTCAGCCATCGGCATCAGTGATTAGGAGCCTCCGTGCCCCGCCCCTAAATGCAAATTTGCTGTAGAATTCTCTCTCTGGGCCCCTGACCCTTATGCCACCACAGCATTGTGAAGCCAGCCACGATGCCTCCACCCACGTACATTAAAGATAATGTGGCGGATGCCTGGCTAGATGTGACAGATAACGGCATGTCTGTGAGAAAAGCCGCCCAAAAACACGGCATCCCTAAGCAAACGCTGTCAGCACGCATCAACAGCAGAGTCACCCGAGCCGAGGCCCAGGTTAGCAAGCAGAGACTCTCCCCTCAACAAGAGAGTAAGGTGGCTCAATGGATATTGCGCCAGGAGTCCCTAGGGCTTGCCCCTTCTTACACAGCCGTGCGGGAGATTATTATACAACTGCTGAAAAAGGGGGGGGATTTCGCACCACTGGGCCCGAATTATATAGAGGGCTATAAACGCTGTAACCCTATCATCCAGACTAAAATCAGTAAGCGGATGGAATCCGCTCGGTTTAAGGGGTTCACCCCTAAGTCTGTCAACTGGTTCTTTGACATATTGGGGGATTATCAATGGGTGAAGCCAGAAAATACGTACAATGTCGATAAGGGCGGCATCATGTCGGGTTTTGGTTAGTCTTTTAACCCCCTATTCACCCCTATCCTGTCAGTTAACTAGCTAACCCCTATAGGCATCGATTCCCTAGTCTTAGGAAGTTCTGAGACTACGAAAGCCTTCCTAAAGAGTCCCCAGGCGCGTGGCTAGACCTCCTTTATCGAAGCCATCTCAGCCACGGGAAAAGTTCTCAAACCAGGCATATTTTTCAAAGGAAAAGATCTCCAGGCCTAATGGTTCATCAAAGAATTCCGCAAAATCGCGGGCTGGTACTACATAACGTCAGATAACGGCTGGACCAGTAACGAGATTGCGTGCCTATGGTTAGACCACGTTTTCCTACCCCAGGTGGATGCTGTACGAGGGGAAGACCAGGCAGAGCCGATCCTTTTGATACCAGATGGCCATGGTAGCCATACTTCCGTACGTTATTTATTTTTTAGGGGTTGTTTAATCAGTTAACTAATTGTATAATTAACAGGACGAGTTCATGTTGCGGTGTTATTTTGCCAATATCTTGCTTTGTTTTTTCCCAGCCCATACCAGCCACGGCATGCAACTACTAGATAACGGACCATATAACGCGCTCAAAGCCTATTACCATAGATTTCTTTCGCAGTTGAATTCTCTCATAGATGCCTCGCCCGTGGATAAGATCAACTTCATCCGCTGTTATTCTCAGGCTAGGGACAAGACTTTTTCTAAGCCGAATATCCTCTCGGGCTTCCGAGTGACGGGGTGCTACCCAGTTAGCCGCAGGAAATGTTTGAAATACCCGGAAATCCAGGAGGATAAAAGAAAGACCCCGGAGCCAGAGGAAGTTGAAGACTCGGAGCCAGAAGACCAGCGGACCCCTACCACAAGCCGACAGATCATAGATTTCGCAAAGAACCGCTCCCATGCCACTCGGCTGAAATTCAGGAAGATCTCTCACGCCTTCGAGAACCAGGAGACAGAGCTGGCCCTAAAAGATGATAAGATCAAGGCCCTGGAGACTGAAATAGAGCGGCTACGGCCCAAGAAGAGGAAGAAGGTCCCAAATCCGAACTGGAAGTTCATGAATATGACCGAGATATTGGCCCAGGGGGGTGACCCGTTAAGGGCCGTGGTTATAGAGTCTTCAGAGTCAGAAGCAGAGCCAGAGGTTGTTAAAGATAAGGGTGAGGAGGAGGAAGAGGTTAAGGAGGCTGAGGAGGGTAAAGAAGCCCCTATTGCAGAGCCCCAGGTGACGAGAAGCGGTCGGTCAATTAGGGCGCCAGCTAGATACGTGGATTGAGGAGCCTCAATACCACAGAATGATAATTTTGTTGATTTCTTTGGGCATCTACAGCCTCAATTTCGTGTAAGTGAGTAAGGGGGTATTTTGGTGGTGATGGTGGGGTTTGGCTGTCCCGGTGGGGGGTGTGTCCCGTTAGGGGGTGGGGCATGGTAGTCACTGAAGTCGACGCGTACGTACCACCTTGACCAACACTGGTTGCTTTTTGACTTCGTCTCTTGCTCGTAGAAGCCGATCAACGACACGACAAGGTCATCATGGATCGACAGAATCTCCAGCAACAGGGTCAGCAGAACCAGCAGAACCAGCAGAACCAGCAGGACCAGCAGAACCGCCGACAGGAGCAAAGTCATGGCCAACAGCAGCTACAACTTCGTCCGGCCGTAGACCAGCTTCGCGGGCAGCGTGGACGCGTTCGCCAACAGCGCTTAGATCGCCTGTTCCAGCAGGAAATAGAGCGTTACGAGCGTCGGCAGCAGCAGCAGGTGCAGCAAGAGAACGATAAGAAGGAGCAGGAGAAGAAGGAGCAGGAGAAGAAAGAGCAGGCCAAGAAGAAGCAGGAGAAGAACGAACAGGAGAAGATGGAGCAGGAAACATGACGAAGACAAGAAGAAGCAGGTGAAGCAGAAGCGCATTGCGCAGTACCGAGGAATGCTCGAAAAAGCGAAGGGCTTCGACAGCGAGGATGACGACACCTTTTCCCCTGCTGGAAGCAAGGGCCCTACCAAAAAGTAGACAAAGACCTGCTTTCCTCGCTTCTGGTGTATTTGGGTTGGGAACTTGAATGGCCAACTTTGGGGGTACTTGGACTACTGAATAGGGTCAAGGCAAGAGGGGTTATTGTGTGGACTTGATACCTGGTAAGACCTGCTTGCCTCAACTCTGTCTCTATATGCGACGCTCTTCCAGCATGCATCCGCCTAGGATACTGTTTCTCGCCTAGGGCTTGCATCGGATTGGCCGGGATGGCTCAGGATGGCTCGGGATGGGCAAGGAGAATCAAGTCGTGTGTAGTCTTTTCGTATAGACCAGATACGATCCTGTTGGACTACGCAGTTAGTGATGATGAATTTTCTTTACCATGAGAACTTGCTCCGCGCGGTGTGCCAGAAGGGTATAATGAATGTAAATGATTACACTTATTATGTTGTTACAAGACCCAGATAAGAGCATCTACGTACGTATGACTAAAGGGGGGTTGGTTGACATCCACCATAGGTACTGAGAGGAGTGGGTAATACCAATCCTCTTCCGCACCTATAGCTTCCCTTCCGCCTTCAGTTTCTCCACGAACGACCTTGGAGGCTTGGCATCAATCATCAACTCCAGGTCCGGATCCGCCTTCGCCCGGGCCCTCTTGTACCCATCCCTCTGCGCCACCTTCTGCAAGTACGCCAAGATACCCTCGTACCCGGTCAAATCAAACGCATAGAACGATCGCATGGTTGTGAGCGTGAAGACGGTCATGATATCGGCGGCTGTGAACTCGTCACCAGCAAGCCACGTATTACTCCTGAGCCGGGCGTCCATCCGCGCCAGCATTTTGTTAAAGCGTTCCCCCAGAGTCGCCGCGTAGGCCCCCGCCGTGCCGACGCGGGACATCTGCAGCATCATGAGGACGTGCGGCTGCAGGGTGCCGTTGGCGAAGTGGAACCAGTACAGATAGTCGGAGTACCTGGGGTGGTCTTTGATCACTACCAGCTGACCATTCCCGTGTTTGTGGATGATGTATTCCTGCCAGAATCAGTCATAGTCCTATCTTTCAACCGCTCACGAAACGTTCTACGGAATTCTCAAGGGAACGCGGGTTTTGGGCGAGACTCACGACACAGGCAGCGGACTCAAAGAGCGTCAGGCTGCCATCCTGGATAATGGGAGCCTGGCCGATCTCAGAAAGCTTTTTGATGGACGGTGGTGAGAAGAGGGGGTCTCTTTGATGCAGCACGAGCTCGTAGTCGATGCCCAGCTCCTCGGCCAGCCAGACGATTCGCTCGGATTGCGATACTTGAAGGTGGTGTATTCTCAATGCCATCTTCGCGTACTTGTGGAATGATGGGCTTGTGTTACTAATACACGGAAGGGGTCATATGAGACTTGAATCGTGCAAGTGAAGTAGTCTGGCTACTATGTGTTGATGAAGCTACAAAATGAAGGGAAAAGTAGTCTGGGGGATCGAAAGATAAACGTCTTTTGATGTGGATCCCACCCAACTGGAGATATCCACAGATCAAAGCAAGGTTCAGTGGAACCAACAGCTTGGTCTTTCGAGGACGAGCTGGCAGTGCTGGATGTGACGAGTGGTATGCATGTGAGCTCGTAGCAGCTGTGCCGCAGCCAAGCTGATGTTGGCCATCAACTCGTACAGCCTCACCCAGCCATTCACGGCGGGACTTGGGCGTCAAGTCATTCGTTAACTACGGGTCACGAGGAGAACTTACGGCGCGTACATAGGTAAGTCACCAAGCATAACTGGCTTTTGAGCATCCGTGTGTTCCGCTCGTTACTCACTTTCAACTATATTTAGGTTCCGGATCGACCGCGGTCCGCAACATAGTGAGTCATCCGTCACCTGCTTTGCGGAACAACGTTCTGGTACTGATGATTGGGGCTCGGTACCGATTAAAGTTTGATCTACGGTCCAGCAAGTACCATCCGACCCCCCGAACCGGCACACCCCCCCGACCGGCACAGCCAAACCCCACAATCACCACCAAAAGTCCCCTACCTCACTTACACGGATTACAGCCCTTTTTGAGGGTATCTAGACTTTCTTTAGATGATTAGATAGCCCTTTTCTTGGTATTTAGCGGAATATAGATTATTTAATTGCTGGGCCATCGGTATCGGCATTTAGCAGCCTCTGTGCCCCGCCCTTAAATGCAAATTTGCTATAGAATTCTCTCTGTGAGCCCCTGTCCCTCATGCACCACAGCATCCTGAAGCCAGCCACGATGCCTCCGCCCACGTATACAGAGGATGATGTGGTGGATGCCTACCTAGACGTCACAGATAATGGCATGTCCGTGAGAAAATCCAGCCAAAAATACGGCGTCCCGGCCAGCACGCTGTCAGCACGCATAAGGGGGAGAGGGACTAAAACGGAGGCTCACACCACCAAGCAGAGAATTTCTCCCGAGCAAGAAAGCAAGGTAACAGCCTGGATATTGCGCCAAGAGACTTTGGGGCTTGCCCCTTCTCACTCAGCCGTCAGGGAAATTGTGGTAGAACTCCTAAAAAGAAAGGGGGATTTCGCACCACTTGGGAACCACTATATGGACAGTTTTAAATGACGCAATCCTACCATTCAGACTAAAATCGGCAAGCGAATGGAATCCGCTCGGTTTAAGGGGTTTATCCTTAAGTCTGTGAACTGGTTCTTCAACATCTTAGAGGACTACGGCTGGGTGAAGCCAGAAAATACGTACAATGTCGATAAGGGCGGCATCATGTCGGGTTTTGGTAACTCTTTCGAGCCCCCTATCCTCACAGTCAACTAACTACCCTTATAGGCATCGATTCCCTAGTTCTGGGAAGTTCTGAGACGAGGAAAGTTTTCCTAAAGAGCCCCCAGGGCCGCTCGTGGACATCTTTCATCGAGACCATTTCAGCTACCGGTAGAGTACTCAAACCAGGCTTGATTTTCAAGGGAAAAGATCTTCAAGCGCAGTGGTTCCTCGAGGAATTCCAGAAGATAGCCAACTGGTACTATATAACATCGGAAAACGGCTGGACCAGTAACGATATCGCCTGCCAGTGGCTTGAGCACGTTTTCATACCACAAGTAGATGAAATTCGTGGCCAGGAGCAGTGGGAACCAGTCCTTTTGATCCTAGATGGCCATGGTAGCCATACCTCCGTACGTACACCAATTTTTTCTATTTTATTTACTGGTTATTTAATTTATTCCGATTTAAACAGCAACTGACTATAGAAAGGACGAATTTATGATGCGGTGTTATTTTGTCAACATCTTGCTATGCTTTTTCCCAGCACATACCAGCCATGGAATGCAACCACTGGATAACGGCCCCTATAACGCCCTCAAGTCCTACTACCAGAGATTCCTCACCCAGTTAAATTCTCTGACTGATTCCTCTCCTGTTAACAAGATCAATTTATCCGCTGTTATAGCAAGGCAAGGGACATGGCGTTTACGCCAAAAAACATCCGCTCGGGCTTCCGAGTAACGGGGTGCTACCCAATTAGCCGCAAAAAGTGTCTAGACTATCCAGAAATCCAAGAAGACAAGCAGAAGACCCCTGAGCCGGAAGAACAGGAAGACTCGGAGCCGGAGGACCAACAGACCCCTACCACGAGCCGGCAAATCCGGGATTTCGGGAAGAACTGATCCCCAGCCACTCGGCTGAAGTTCCGGAAGATCTCCCATGCCTTTGAGAACCAGGAGACGGAGCTGGCCATAAAAGACCAGAAGATCAGGGCCCTGGAGGCTGAACTGGAGCGGCTACGACCCAAGAAGAGGAAGAAGATACTAAATCCCAACAAAAAGTTCATGACAATGGTAGAAATACTAGCCCAGGGTGGTAATCCATTAGTTCCGGTTGCTGTAGAGTCTTCTTCTTCTTCTTCAGAGTCGGAGGTTATTGAAGACGGGGTGGAGGAGGACGAGGAGGTTGCGGACGCTGAGGAGGCTGTAGAAGCCCCTATTGCAGAAGCCCAGATGACTAGATCTGGGCGGTCAATCCGGGCGCCGGCTAGATACGTCGATTGAGCAGCCAAAACACCACAGAATGATGATTTTGCTGATTTTTTCGACCCTATACAGCCTCAAATGCGTGTAAGTGAGTAGGGGGGTCTTTTGGTGGTGGTGGCGGGGTTTGGCTGTGCCGGTAGTGGGGGTGTGCCGGTTCGGGGGGTCGGATGGTATGTAAAACAACAATGATGGGAGATATCGGACTTCATGGTGATGGTGATGGTGATGGCATTATCGGTTCTTTCCCCCGTCATCGTCTCCGCAATGGTCCGGTCCCTCAATGTGCGGGCCGGGAGCCCACCCCCAAGTCCGGCGGTAAAGACAAGAGCAGTAACTTTAAACGGATACTTATTCATAACTATGTATCCAATGTTAAGCGAGTTACAGGACTTGAGATTATGCAGGTTCATAAACGTATGTGTCCCAGCTGATTTAACAACTTGATCCACATGATCACTGGGAGCAGCTTCCCATGGGTATAAGTATCGAGACAACGAGGTATTTCCAAATGTGGAGTTTCGTAGAAATGGTCCTAGACAAATATCGAGGTGTGGCCTGCCGAATGACCTCGATTATATCCTTGCATAGGTCCGACGCATGTTAGCTGCCGGGAAAAGGGGGTTCTTGGGTACTGCGGAGGTTTCATGACAGACTAAGTTACTAAAATCGCAGACAATCTAAGTACCTACCTAGAGTGGGGTTGAACTCGCCATGGATGTCTTGGACTCGCCATGTCTATCAACTCCCACAGGACATAACGGCGGGGGCATGCAGATGGGACAGCCCCCCAGATGGGACAGTTCCCCCACCAAAACACAACATTTGCGCCCACCCACATCTCTATCGGGATTGAAGCTGTAGATATCATAAATATATCGTCTGAATTGTCTTTTCTTGGTGTTTCTTCCAATGTGGAATTTATTAGGTGTCCTACAGCGGGATGTCCCGTGGCGGGGGTCGGAAGTTAGCACGTCCGGCCCTAATCTGAGGGGTAATGGGACCCGTGCCCCCTATCCCTTCCAACCAGGCAGAAGTTCTGTGGTTCTTTTTTTCCTTTTTTTCTGTAAGCATCATAAGTTTCAGTACGTCGAAATGGCGCCTTTATACACCGAAGAAGACCTTGCTAAGGCGATAGCCGCCGTGAACGGTGACGATCTGTCCCTCCAGAAGGCTGTCCAGCGCTATGGAGTGAATACCAGAAACCACCCTTTCTCGCAAAGTTAAAGAATTCACGATGCCTACAACTGGCACCCAGCATGAAAGAGATGCTCACGGGAAGAAAATAAGCCCTGCTCAAGAAAAGAAGGTAATTTCATGGATTCTGTACCAAGAAAAGGCCGGCCATGCCCCTACTCACGCCAATGTGAGGTACATCATCCAGAAGATCCTACTGTCACGGTGAGCATACTGGGGAGCTGGGACATGGCCTGCAGCAAGCAGCTATTACTCTATTAACAAGAATATCAAGACTAGAGAGGAAAGGAAAAGAGAGAGAGAGATAGGTACAGTGGGAGGTTGTGTGACGGCCTGTACAGACCTTCCCACATGACAAGCGGATACTTCCTAATAAGGGAAGGATCCGACCAGAGGATCCCCTTAAAGGGGCAACCTCCCACTGTACCTATCTCTCTCTCTCTCTTCCTTTCCTCTCTAGTCTTGATGTTCTCGTCAGTAGAGTAATAGCTGCTTGCTGCCGGCCATGTCCCAGCTCCTCAGTACGCTCGCCGTGACAACCAGCGGGCAGAGAGATGACGACTTTTGCGCGAAGTGCAGAACCTGGAGACCAAAGAATCAGAGGAATCGCCTTCTGAGGACTCCCTCTCCTCTGATTCAACAGATTTAGACGATCTAGACGAAGGGATGGTTGTTGAGAAAGAGGGCGAGGGAGTGTCTGACGAGCCAGATGATGAAGAGGAAGAGCCCATTATGATGCGATCTCGGCGCCGAGAAATCCGCCAACCCACGCGCTACCGCTAAAAGCACTGGTATTGCTAAAAAATACCAAGAAAAGGCGATTCTTTTGATATATATACATTATCTATAGCCTCAATACCAATGGGGTTATATGTGGGTGCAAATGTTGTGTTTTGGTGGGGGAACTGTCCCATCTGGGGGGCTGTCCCATCTGCACGCCCCCGCCGTTACATGAAACTGCAGTTCCCATCCATGCCGATCATAGAAGGCTCTATTAATCCAAGCTCTAGGAGGCCGGTACAGCGTGCAGGCCTTCCGAGGTAGTCCTATGATGTAGACGTACTTACTTCCCCACGGAGTCCTCAAAGATTCTCTTCGGCATCACACTAGCCTCCGAACACAAGTTGATCATATTCTTTCCGGCCTGCAACACGACGTTAGACTTGCCGAATGGACAAGAGTAGTTGAGGATTGCTTCTTACCAGAACCATTTCCTTTGCATTCCCTGCCTCCCGCACCCGACAGCTCCTCCTACTTCACTCGTATCTTGATCTTCTTCTTCTGCTTCACCGTCTTGGGTGCCTGACGCGTCGTCGTCGTCGTCGGGGCCGGCTCATGTATGTGCGAAGCCGACGGCACATCCTGGCCCGGCGTCGTGAATGGCGTTTTGAGTGGCACTTGAAAAGAAGCCTCCTCCGGGCTCATCGATGGCAGTTCCCGATCAATAACACGCGCGATACGCTCGAGATACGCAGGGATCTGGTCCCAACGTGTCGGCGGCGCAGCATTAGCAGAATCGTCATCAGGATCAAACGCCGTCATCGCCCGGGCTTGGAGGAGTTGGTCTCGGTAGGTGTCGAGTCGGGGCAGCATGTCCCGCAGGAGACTGTTCCTCATTACTTCGCAGGCCATGCGCAGGGTCTCGTCCATCGGTTTTATGCTCTTCTCGTACGTGTTGAATGCCGAGATGGTGATGTCGAGGCGCTCGCTCAGCTTCAGGCCGGCATGGATGCACCGGGTTGGGAAAAGTCTGGGGATCGGTGGTTCGCTGCCTGCGACGCGGTCGGGTGTGCTTTCGTGATCTTGAGGCTGCATGATGGCGGTTGGTGCTCTTTGGCGATGTTGAGGCTGCATGGCGGTGGTTGGTGCAGGTGATGCCAAAGGTGAGGAGTGGAAGGTGGTAGGCCTGGGCCAACGTGATGCACATTCTAGTAGTATACGTTATCTCTTGGTGGGCGTGCAATTGGGAAGAAGTGAGATCTGCCTAAGGTTGCCATGGTCACGTCGCGCTGTTGCCTCTGCGACTAGGGATCAGTGGCAGAACGCAATCCACCCTGCTCATGGGACAAGCTTTTCAAGCGATGCCATGCCACTGGAGCATGACTTATCCCAGGGTTTTCGTTTCACCCAGTAAATGCCTGAAATTGCAGTTCGAAACATGTGGTGCTCGCCTGGAAAGCCTGTACACAAGCAAAGAACGCGGTATCAACAGCCTCGATCGATGGATTCCTTTGCCACACTCAGAAATCGAAGCTCCATCCTTAGAGGAAAGATTCCTGTCGATAGGACCTTATGATCCCATTGGAAACTTAGTGGATATGCCTTCGCTTCTGATCGCTCAATATATAGGGGTACCGCCAATCTGTCGCCTCAGCTGCGCATTGAGGTACAACTGAGCATGACTACGGCACCTGCACATCCATTTGTTCCAGAACATACCTGATCTAGAATTCCACATACTTTGTCCACCTGACAAATCCTGACGGAAAGGGATCTTATTGATATCCACCTGTACTACCCAGCTATTCATCACTTCACCTAGAGGTATCTCGAGACCAGCTTGTAATACGCACGCCCCCCGGAGCGATACTCAACACCTATATTCGTATTAAGCTGCACCACCTACTCATTCATCATGACGGCATTCCCAACCCTTGACCCGTTAATAGTAGCGGTAGGATCATCCGTCAAGAAAAGCTCGTGGTCCCAAGCCAAGGTCGGCAACATGGTATGAACCATCACGTATACAGCTTTTGGCTCGCCAACGGAAGTGGCGGCCGATTGGCCCGTTGAGGTACCTGCCACTGAGAGAATAATTTCGCTTGGGTTGACGGTCGTACAAATGAAGATCTCAGAATCGTGGGCAGATGCCTGTGCTGTTGTCGTGGGTTTCGATTAGTACTTTCTCCTTCAAGATTAGAAACCTGAGAACGGAGAAGAGCCACTGCATAGCTGCCACTCACCTGCACTGAGGCGGTCTGCTGAGAGGCTCGTGCTCTTTTGGCAGTTGAAGTACTGGCCTGGCTGCCAGTTGCTCGCAGCCGCAGCAGCACCAAGCAGCGCACTGATGATAAGGATAGCCATGTTGTCTTGTGCCGACCTTGCTTTGAAGTGGATCTGGCTGTTGAGGTAGTTTTTATTCGCGAGATTTTTCTGTTTTCTTTATTGATGGTGCTCATTGTTCTTCCCAGAGCCGTTCTGAGTTTCGTGGAGGAGGGTGTGGTATTTATAGTCCGGGAGAGGCACCTCTGTAAATGCGCCCAGTGTTACACGAACATGTGGGGTATGGTATACCATTCTTGTCATATGTGAAGAGTGCAATGCTATAGCAACTCATTCGTATGGATGCGCAATATTTTTTACTTTCGTGTCACGTAAACCGGGTGTATTCGGGTTGACCGCTACCCCATCCGGCGGAACCACAAAGAGTTCACAAGACCAGCACAACAATTTAACCGCAATACTTACCAAAGTACATTGTGTATAGTTCTACTTTAAAAGGCTGAAGCAGTTGATTCGAACATAATAGTTTTCTTTTCGTCGACATGCGTAAAAGTGACTCGGTGCCGGACTGCGACTTAACACCATCGATTCTGAACTCTATACCATTCCCTTACCGCATTTTCAAGGGATACCACATACCAAGATCATATCTGTGTTTGAAAAAAAGCCATCAAGTCAGGACTTATCGGCCTTGAGTCACCACATGCAATCCAGTAGGCAAATCTCCACTTGAAGTTCCCCTCCCGCAAGGGGGAATTTCCAGTTCCAGGAGCACCACCACCGCATGACCTTGAATGAACAACTCGATGTTGCCCGCCGCGAATCTGGAGTTGCCATCAACCTGGATCCGACGCTCTTTTCTGCTGACTAGGTTCTGCTCTCTTAGACACCAGCGTCATATAAAACTCGGGTGCTGCAGCAGGGCCCAGGGGTCTCTTAGTTGGTGCTTCGGTATCGGCGGGCGTGGATGTGAGCGGGAATGGGAAGTATGCCCCTCAACTGGCGGACAAGAGAAGATATCTCCCACCTTGTTTTCGCATGGTGTCCGCTCCATTCATCGGGTTTCGTACCGGGAGTAAATGTGTCTGTCCGTTGTTGTTCCATGGCGGAGTGAAGTCTCGGTTCCGTATTTCTTGGAGGTTCTCAGGTAAACTGCCGGGTCGTGATGACTGGACGAGTATCGACTTGCCGTATTTGAGCTGGAATGCCATCAGCTCGGAGTCCAAGTTTTATTTTTCACTCTGCCGAAAAGACTTAAATTGCTCTTTTCATGGTATCTCTTCGTGAGCCTGTGCCACATTGTATGACTACTGGAACTGGTCGCCAATTATGGGAGCAGCGACAGCATCACCAGGAAAGACCGCGCTGCACCATCAGAGTCAAACAAGGTTGTAAAATTGAGTCTTGCACTTTGTCTTTTCGGACCAGCTGGTATATCACTTGTTCTACTGACCGGGCAAGTTCAACATCAACCTCTACTATATACCAGTAGAGCCAGCCACCTTCATCGTCCTCAACTCCTGCAACGGCGGAATATCCTCCAGCATGCCAACCTCCAAGCGATCCCAGAGTATCCCACAAGTAGGCTTCTCCACCGCCCCAGCCTCAAGCACCCTCGTGGGCGTGATCACCAGGTCGCATATCGTGTCGAACTCCTCGGGTCGCAGCTCCTCGTCCAGGACCTGGCATTCGTGGACCAGCGCCGCCGTCATCGTGTCCCCGCGCACCACCGCCGTCGAGAACAGCAATCCCCATTCCAGGTCGAAGAAGCCATGACCCTTACCGAAGCGGATGCCACGGTGGTTGATGGCGCCGGTGCCCGTGACCATGAAGCCGACGTCGAGCTTCAGCTGGACGATGTCGGCGAGCGAGACGTGGCGGCCGATCTTCTCCATGCCGTCGAGGGTCGAGGCGTACTTGTACAGCGTCTCGTCGATGGTCGCCGGGTCCAGCAGCCAGAAGCCCCTTCGTATGCCGTACGTCGTCATCAGCACCTTGGTGCCGGCCTGCAACGTCTGCTCCCGCAGGTATTCGAGGCAGTTGTCCGGGGTGATGAAGACGGTGCTGCATTCGCGGTAGCTGGCCAGCGACAGCAGCCGGTTGGCCGCCTTCTGCGAGTCCTCGAAGTCGGCGATGAAACTCGAGAAGTCGAAATGGAATCTTGAGTCGGGGTACGCCACCTTCCGCAGCTCCTTCCACACCTTGTCGCGGACTTCGCCCTTGTGCGAGGCATTTCCTCCGGTGAGCGCCATGCTGGTACTCTGCTGTTCCTTTCCTAAATCGTCTTGCGTGCGGCGTCGTCACTGACTATAGAAGTTCGTGCGCTCGCTCATACCGGCTGACCGGTACGACTCCTGACTGGTCATGTTACTGTATCTAAAGATAACCGCGCGTTCGCGTCGGCGTCGGCCTAGTCAGAGACTACCGGATATTTCCTGATAGCAAGCATGAACATGACTAGTTACGGCCTGTCAGTGGTCACGCCCGTCACGTCGAATCCTACCGCTTCGCGACGAAAATGTTCCTGGTCGGGCAGGCCTGCCCCTGTCTAGCACCCGATCGAAGCTGACGAACTGGGAATACCCGGTGCTAAGCAACGCCGGGGTGGCTTATCTGACCTCGGTTTCTCACCAGTGAACGGGGGCGAATAAGAGGGCCGTCGACCCACGGAAATGTCCCTTATCTCTGATGGCGCTCGCGGCCGGCGACTTAGATCGACGTAACGGTGGCTAACAGATTTTTGTCAGGGCGTTGGTTCCCCCCGTGCTTCCGGCCCTTTTCCCACACAGCTGAGCAGCCAAGGCGAATATATAGATAGCCGCATGCGCCAACTGTCGCGTGATTGCTCGTAGAAAGCTTGACTCTGCAGCCAAGCTCTGCCGTGCCGTTGAGGCTTGCCCGTTTGCCGCTCGAATAAGCCTCTTGTTTCCCGATCGATCGTCCCGATTACACGATACGTCCGAAACGAGTGACAAATATGGAAGACTCAGAGAAGGCCAAGATGCCCGTCAGCGCTTCCGCTCCCTCTTCCGATCACACTCACGCGGTTGGCGCCGACGCTGCCCTCTCGGCGCTCCAGAAGGTCGAGCTTCGCGATGCCTCCCACCCGATCCACTGGAGCTGGGTGAAGAAGTGGCCGATCGTAATCGTCTACTGTCTCCTGCAGACCTTCATCACGCTGTCCACCACCACGTTCGTTAGCGCCGAGTTTCTGGTCCAGGAGCAGTATGGGGGCTCGACGCAGGTTGTGGCGCTTGGCCAGAGCATGTTCATTGTCGGGACGGCCATTGGGCCCGCGTTTCTCGGACCTTTGTCGTATGTTTCCCCAGTGCCTCTTCCGAATGCGGAAGAATGAGTTCGTCGCAGTGGCAGCCTTAGAAGTGAAGCTAAGATTTTGACTGCGCAGTGACATCGGCGGTCGCAAATGGGTATACGTCGGATCGATCGCGCTATATGCCATCCTCAACATCGGCACGGCGCTGGCGCTGAACCTGCCGATGTTGATCATCTTCCAGTTCCTCTGCGGCGCCGCCGGCAGCACGGCGCTTTCCAACGTCGCCGGCACCGTCGCCGATCTCTTCGGCGATATGGACGGGGCGGGCCAGCCGATGGCATTGTTTGTCGCGTCGGCCAATATCGGCCCCAGCATCGGCTCGCCTGTGGGAGAGTGGATTGCTGACAACAGCAAGTTGGGCCTGCCGTGGATCTTCTGGATCAAGTGAGTCTCGTACCTGTGTTGTGGGAGATGAGTGGTTCTGACTCCAAACAGCGTCATCATTGGCGGCGCCTTCGCTATTGTCATGTGCTTCGTTCCCGAGACGCTACCTCGGCTGGTCATAAAAGAGGCGGTCGAGAAACACCAGTCCTCTGATCCAGCCGAGGTGGCCATCATGGAGGAGCGGATCGACGTCATCAAGGAGATGCGGTTCATCACATCCATGGCCCTCCGCATTATGGTTACCGAGCCTATTATCATATTTTTGGGTATCTACAACGGATTTGCCTATGGTTTGCTGTTCCTGTACTTGGACGGAGTCTTCGACGTGTTCGTCGACAACAACGGCCTATCGTGAGTCTCACAACACGTCTCGCAACGCCAAATACACGGTGACTGACTAGACATCCAGATATATCGATGCCGATCTGACCTACCTCAACTTCGTCGTCGGCGTGAGCGTCATGTTCGCCTTCATCCCCGTGCAGACGTGGCTCTTCAAGCGCGACCGCAAGAAGCACGGGCACGGCCGTCCCGAGGCCCGGTTCCTGACCTCGCTAGTGACGGTCTGGGGATTCCCCATCTCGCTGCTTTGGTTCGCCTTCACCTGCGACGGCAACACCTCGTTCTGGTCCCCGGTCGTCGCCGGTGCCGTGCTGGGTTTCTGCGACCCGCTGCTGTACCTCGGCATGTTGAACTATATTGCTGATACGTATACCAACGTCGCGGCGTCGGCCATTGCCGCGTTCTTGATTCCGTCCTTCCTTATGGCCGCTGGATGCTGCCATATCGGTGAGTCTTCTTTCTGTATCCGTTGCCGGCTGGTCGTGGCTAACATTGGTGTCAGGTATTGTGATGTTCAACAACCTGGGAGCAAAATGGGCCATGGCGGTATTGGGCTTCATTTCGTTTGGCCTGGTAGCATTGGTGTATGTGATTTACTTCTTTGGTCCCAGAATTCGTTCTTGGTCCAAGTTAGCCAAGAGCAATTAGATAGTCCGAAGACTTGTATATGTAGTAACTTCTTGAATATATATGGTTCATGCTGTGCGGCATCTGTATATTCCATAAGCTAGCTAAATATCTAATGGCATTTTCATCTCGTCTCTGGTCAACCCGATGTCTCATGCGATGACTTCCCCTTCTGAGAATTAGCCGCAAAGACCCTCAAAGACCATCTAGGAGCATTACCTCTTGCCATTAAGACTTGGATATGACAACCAGCCAAGCGGCTGGATCGGTTATCTGCAGTGGAATGCGCCGAGCTTGCTTTGGTGCTTATTCCAATCAATTGCTCCTGGAATGACTGCTCATGCGAGATGTTTATGCAACTCATTATCCCAACCGCCTTATGCACGAGGACATGCAGCCCTTCAATTGGGAGCATTGACTGAAATAGGTAGGTAGATACTGAATGACAGCTTGATGTAACCCAATGCGTATCACCTAGGTGCAAACCGCCTGACTTCTCACAGGGATACAAAGTCACAGTGATATGGAGCCCTCTAGCTAGATCATTCTACGGTTCCTTATTACAAGGGTATTTAAGAAAGAAAACCATGGCTTTATGTAGGGCTCAAAAAAAAAAAAAAGGGAAAGACAGATAACGATAAGATGTACGCGCACAAGAAAAGCAAAAGGTTAAATGACCACCCTGGGGCTCGAACCCAGAATCTCCTGATTACCTGATGTTACAAATCGTAGTCAGACGCCTTACCATTGGGCCAAGCGGCCAAATGAAACACCGTGTTGTACGGCGAAAATTTTGTGAATTAAGTTATCCTAAACGACGGTCACACCTTCCCTTGGATGGCGGCTCCTTCCCCACATTCGTAAGGCTGACGATGCTCGCTGTTTCCTAGGTAGAAAACCTAGTAGGTTATGCGTCAGTCCATTAGCCAGCTAGAACCAGGTTAATCACGGCCTTGGACTCTTCAATGCTTCATGTTTTCCTGTGCACCCGAGCAGCAGAAGGTGGAATGTCAACGAGCTGAAAGCGGGTCACATGACCTACAGCTGCGCCCCCGAGAAAGATGCAGGTGTGCTTCGCCTCATAAAGCCAAGCAGGCGAGAGGGATGGCAGGATGGATGGATCTCATATGTACCAAAAACAGCGCTTCCCAGACCTATTTCTCCGGTCTTCATGCCTCCAGGTACCTTTAGGAAGGCGAATGCCATAGCGTGCGCAATGAGCTCCACGGATTCCAAGGGAAATGCGACGCTCTCGAGAACATGTCAGAACTGCTACCACCTGAAGATCCGGTGTGAGCGGACGCATTTGGAGGGGTCGTGTGATAGGTAAGGCGACAAACCCCCACCACAACTTGCCCTCCATCCCTTGACGGACACCTAAGCTGACCGGCGTTGAAAGATGCCGACGCTTGGGTAAGGAGTGCGTATTCCGCCCAAGTCGAAGACAGTATAACTCACCGAGACGTCCGGGGTAAACAAGCAGTCCCTTTAAGATGTGCCTTTGAACATGAGCTGATTGGAGCGCTGCAGTCGCATAGAGACGTTGGAGAAGAAGATTGAGGAGTTGATGCGAGAGCGCGATTCAACCTCTCCAAACAACAGATCAACCGATTCTGAGCCCGCATCAACAGCAGCATCGGCATCCAAGCAGAAATCCAATGACTTACTGGATGTCAGCATAGGCACTCCGGTGCCAGGACAAGATGGCGATGTCATTGACAGGGGGATCCTCACGCTCGAGCATGCAGGAAGTCTGTTGGGCATATTCAAGACATCCATGACCCATCACTTCCCCTTCGTGATCCTGGCTCCTGAAGTCACAGCCGCTGAACTGAGACATGAGAAGCCCGTTCTCTTTCTCAGCATCCTCTCGGTTGCCGCTTTCCACGATGTCCATCTGCAGAGGAAGCTCGGTACCGTCGTGAAGCAAGGCATCAGCCATAGCATGACAACAGGTAAAATGGTCTCATTCGAGATGCTCCAAGCAGTCCTGGTATTCGTGGCTTGGTAAGTACTGTCATAGGCTTGTCATTGCGAGCGAGCATTGACGTGTTACCTAGGTGCCAGTTTCATCCAAAGCCGCGCCAATACACACAATATCTGCAATTGGCCATCAGCATCGTCGTGGACCTTAGGCTCGATCGGGCACCGATGGTGACCCGGAAGGCGAACGTGGGGTCGTCTCAGCTGGAACCCGATGAGGTGCCAAAGGTACCACGAGAACGGAGCTGTGACGAACAGAGGGCACTTGCCGGGTGCTTCTATCTCTCCTCCACGCAAGTCAAGCCGTTCCCGTGCCATACTGCGAGGACTAACAGTGGGTGGGCAGGGTCTCGAAGTTGCTGCAGAAGCTCAACACGTTCCCCTACACTGACTATCTTGACCAATGCTGCCTCGCACTTTTACACCAGCGGGAGACTCCCACAGACGAGAATCTATATTACATTATCCAGCTACAGCGGATCATAGAGGGCATTGAATATGGCTCACTGCAGCAGAGTCCTCCAGAGACGGCAGCAGCTTTTGTCCATGATGCGCAACTGCAATTGAAATCCTTCCAAGCCAGTCTACCTCGAAATAGTAGCTGTAAGTTACAGAAATTGGACGCAGAAAAACTCTCAGGCCTTTTCGATTGACCTTGACCATAGGCTTGCTTCTGATGCAATACCACACCGCAGAACTCTTCCTCTGCCAAGCAGCCTTCTTCGAGAAGACCATGCCACTCGACGCGACGCTACACTCTGAGCTCCTGGTCACCGGCTTCTCTGCCGCGAAGTCGATGGTTGAATTCATCTTGTCACTGCCAGAGCGCGCCGAGACCGTCTTCAACAACTCGGAGTGGATCCAGATGAGCCTCGCCCTGACGGTGGGAGCCAGGCTCTCAATGGCCTCCAACTACAACCTCCAGCAGTCCCTAGACCTGCCCGACATGATCCGTCGCATGTACCTGCGCTTCGGGACGCTCGTCACGGAACAGCGCGATGCCGAAGGGAACCGCGACATCTTCTACTCGTATGAGCAGCGCTTGCGACGGATACACCAGTGGTTTGAGTGTGCAAGCGCCGGGACGCAGGATGGGACCCTCGAGCCGCAGGCTGTGATATCCCCGCCCATCTCGACCCCCTATCCGCAAGACGCATCTGGCTTACTCACACCCTCCCCACGGTCAATGGCGCCCGTACCGGAAATCAACATCATCCACAGTGCTGGACCAGCACAGGACCTCCCAGGCGGCCCTTCAATGTGGACCAACATGCCCGTGTTGCAGCCCAGCTCGGCCGAAGAGCAGATGGCGGACATGTTTCCGGAACTCGACCACTTCTTCCAGGGCTGGGACTGGTCGCTCCCGATGAATCCGTGAGCTGCAATTCAAGACTCCAAGGCTAAACCCCAATGCGACGTCTGCCATTTGTGCCACCCCTCAAGGGAACCGCCACAGCTTCAGCCGCTCAACCACGCTGTATCCCAAGCCCAGGAAATCGCACAGCGCGACCCAGGTCTGGGCCTGCGCGTCCGACCTCGGCGCATCCACATCCAACTCCAGCAGCTGCCGCGACGCTTCCTCTCGCGCGAAGAAGTCACGCACCGTCTCCGCGTACTCGTTCGCCACCTCTTTCCGCCGCCACGCAGACCGCGTCTGCAGCAGAGCGCCCAGCCAGGGTCCCGGCCGCGAAGATCGGGTTTTGGGCTCGATGGGCAGGATGAATCTGGCGTCGGGATTGCTGCGCGAGATGTTGACGTACTCGGTGCTGAACGCGAGGACAGCGTAGGTGTCGGGGCTCAGGCTGCGGCTGGTCTGGTGGTCGGCGTGCGGCGGGTGCCATTGACTGTAGCCGAGGATGTTGAGGGCCTCGGCTACGGCGCTTCCGCTTCCGCTTCCGGTTGTTGCGGGCGCGCTGGGCATCAAGACGTAGATGGAGGGCGGAGTCGAGACGGAGAGGGAGGCAGAGGCAGAGACGGCGAGGACGAGGCTGGCCATGGAGGCCGGGAGGAGCGTGAACGACTTCATCTTGGCTTGTGTACTGATGATTGCGAAGAAAACTCTAGAGATATAACAATAATGTGTGATCTAAGTGGCTAGGTAGAGATCGAAAGAAGCGAACAAAGAAATCTGCAAAATAAAGAATTAACCAACAGTTTTGAGGAACGAGAGGAGCAGGACCCCTGGCTGGGCATACGTCAAGCTTTATAACCGCCGTGGATGGATGGATGGATGGATTCGTACCAAGGAGCAGAGGAGCTGAAAATCAGGGGTAGCAGCCCAGCCCAGGTCAGCCTGCCTGCCTGTCAGGTAGCGCACACTTGGCGATCGATTTCCCTACAGTAGCGTTTTGACCCTTCTTTTCGTTTACATATTCCGCTTTACAGTGACACATAGCATGAGACATGTGGACCCTTTTATCGATCGCGTTTCTGCAGCGCTGCAGATCGAACACTGCCGGGCACGAAAAGTTGGAAGTTGTTGGCGATCGAATCTTGCGGCAGCCCCGCGTGGGCTAAAACAGCCGCCGTTCGGGACGGTGCCAAGAAAGGGGTCCTGGGCCGCGTTCCTGACTCCTTATCCGTATCCGGATTCCCTCCCTTTGGCGCATTGGCCAATCATTCTCATGAGTCTCTGGACAGCTGGCCGCAATTTGTGGCTTGCTTGGCTGATTCTATTTTTTGCTGCTTACGGCGTAAGGAAGGAACCAAGGTGCGAAGTACGGGGATAGGACTTCGGCATGGGGAATGAGGAATGTAGATTGAGCAGTCTGGCATGCTGGCTCGCTGGCACGATGCGCTCTGCGGACTTTGCGATACGAGGACCCTTCGTACGGACGACTCGACGCGAAGATAGGCATCTAGAGCGATCTTAGCTTTAAGATCTTGAATTGCCGCGAGTTGCCCGTGAGCCTAGACGTCCCGTTTGTCAACTTCTGGCTGACATGACGTTACTAGCGTTCTCGCACAGCCCCAGACGGAACCATGCTGCCGGTCACAATCATTAGCAACATCGCATCTGATTTAGCGCCTTGACAATGGGCGGGGTGTTTTGTTGCATGGCGTCGTATTGCTCAGACGTGTCAAACAGTCAGCCTCCTCGGTCAGAGTACTGTTGATGTTGGATGCGTATGCGAGTCTTTGTTTGACCTTCAGAAATGTTGAAGATGTGGCTTGCTGCCAACTGATACCAGTGACGGGCGCAATCGGCAAAATTCAGCCACCACGTGAACGCTAGCGCCGTTTCTAAAACCCCCATCGGCCCAAATACCGACCCGCACTCTTTCTTCCCTTTCCACACCCCTTTGTCAGCGTCAGCGAAACGGTACTACCAAGCAGCACAGCAAACTCAACCGACTACGAAGCTCTCGCGCCAGTACTATCTGGCCGCCGAAGCACATTTTGCATTTCTCCAGCAAACCCAGGCGCAGAAGCGTTTATCTCCAGCAGAAATGGCCCGTGGCAACCAGCGCGACAAGGCTCGCGAGAAGAACCAAAAGGCCGAAGCCGCGAAGGTGTGTTCAGTTCGATTCAGTGGGAGTAGTGCTGCATTTTGCGAAGTTACCTGCCCTCTGACCCTCTGACCCAAATTTATAGAAGTCGGGAAACCAGATGTCGGGTACCGCGATGCAGAAGAACAAGGAGGATGTGGCCGCCATCATGCGCCAAAAGCAGGCAGCCGGTATGTATCCTCTTTTGTATACAAGGATTGCGCAGTACTGACATCCTCTCAGCGGAGGCGAAGAAGGCGGCTGAGCTGAAGAAGTAGATGCGTGATTCCCACGTCCTGGGGGTTAGCAGGCTGAGTTTGCGGAGTTGTATAGATCGGATGGGTATGGTTTGCAGGCACCTTTACGAATCACGACCATAGGCAAGTAACGACAGTATACGGCCGGCCACTTCTTGCTCTTTTTCTTGGTTGACTGTACTCGAGTCCGCCAACATTGCCGTGGGCTCATTTCCACCAGACCCGTGGTCCAGAATATCACGAACCGCGAGCCCTCCACTTTGGCCGCACATCCTGCGCCTGTCCGATGTTCTTAAGCGGGAAGGCGCTCTATCATACCTGCGACGACAGCACAGCTACCGCCGTAACTAAATCAAGATTGCCGCTAACAGTACAAATGAGGGATCAGTACCCCCTTATCCGCGCTCACGTGGTCTCCGTCAAATGCTCGCTGCATCATCATCGCTTTAAGAGAGACTTCATGGCCACGGTACCTACCTGAGTATCTCGCAGTCACGAAGTCGTGCTCCAGGCTGTCCTATCGGGCCAACAGCTCATGCCCGCGACGCACATCTTCATTGCGGAACTCGATGAGGACGACAATACGGATAAGGCTCTAACCTCTTTAGATCTCCAGAGCCACGTTAAGTTCGAACTCTCAGGAGCCTGCTTTAGTATTGCGCGCTGCGACTTGTAAAGACCAAGTCTGTTTCTTAGGTGCCTTTCCGGAATTATATTCCGTATCTATTCTGCAGTCTGAATTTGCTATGCAAAGGAGTCCAGAACAGTCCTCCTGTATACCATGAAAAAATTTAGAGAACTGAGCTAAATCCCATCATCTCACACTCCCATCATCAATGTGAAAACGGCCGCATAGCAAACTCCGAATCCTCCTCAGGCCGGCCCTCAACAGGCACGCTCTGGAACCGCGGCTCGATATACCACGCCGGGTCGCCTCCAAACTCCTCGTCGCCCTCGCCCGCGCCCTCGATCTTCGAGTGCGTGACGCTGTAGCCGTTGCCGAGCCAGCGCAGCAGGTTTCCACTCCCACCCCTACTCCCACCACCGCCGTTCTCTTCGTGTCTGCTCTCCCACTCAAAGTCCTCCCACCGCGTCGCCCGCAATGCCTCGACGGCATGCAGCGTGCTGCCCGGCCAGAGCCCCGTCACTACACCCCCCTCGGCGTTCTTGTACCAGCTGTTACAAGTGTCCGTATAAACGGTCTTCTTGAAGTACTCCGCGCAATACTCACGCCAATCGCGCACGCGCTCTTCTTTAACAGCCATGGTCGCGTAGTCCTCTTTCTGTAGCTTGCGGATGCACTTGACGATGTAGTCGCCCTCGGCCTCGAGGATGATGGTCAGCGACCCGGAGCCGATGGCCGAGTTGGGCCCCAGCATCATGAAGAGGTTGGGGAAGCCGTCGACGGCGACCGAGAGGTAGGCTTCCGGGTGCGGCGTGAAGCGGGCAGCGAGGGAGAGATTGTTCATGCCGTGGATGGGGAAGGGGGGCGCTTTGTTGGTGTTGAAACCCGTCGCGCAGACGAGGGCGTCGAGGGGGACGTCGCGGCCGGATTGCAGACGCACGCCCGTGGACGTCACGCGCGCGATCGGGTCCGTGACGAAGTCCACGTTGCTCTCCACGAGCGCCTCGAGGTAGCCCGGCCCTGGTGTGGCGCGCCGGCAGCCGACGCCGAAGGTCGGTACCAGGAACTCGGCGATCTCGGGTTTGGGCGCCAGCCGCTCCTGCATCGCTGCTCGGAAGGCGTCGATGGCACCGCGCTGGGCGGCTGAGTCCCGGAATGAGACGGTGTGGATCGTGTTGCCGTCCAGCTCGATGGCCTTGCGGAAGTTATGGAGCTTCTCTGGGTTATTGGCGAACTCTTGGCGTTGCTCGGGCGAGACTGCGTAAGATATGGTCAGGGGCTGAGTGGGTTTGAGTATAGGGAACGGCTAACTTACATTCGAGTTTCTTGGAATCGAGCCCGAGCTTGTGCATCACAACTGTGGCTTAAATCAGTATATGTGAGACCTTCAGAAGTGAGTGATTGGACACTCACTGTCTCCGAACGGATTAGTTATCCAGGTTTTACTCCTGACGAAGCAAGACACTTGTGTGCCTTCAATCTTCTGCAAGTGCGGAACAATCTGTATGGAGCTTGAACCATTTCCAACCACGCCCACCGTCTTGTTCCTGAAGTCGAATCTGTACACCAGTCAGATAAACTCATGGCCAGCAGTACGTGAAGCACGGACTTGTCATTCCACAATGCTGAGTGCATGAGTTCCCCTTGATAGTCCTCCAGACCCGGGATATCTGGCCAAGCCGGATCACTGAGATTGCCTCGAGCGGCGATCAAGACATCCACATCGTCTTCGAAGACTTCACCGGTGTCTATCCGCCGGACTGTCAGGATCCTGCGTATTATCTTAGCCGCATCCTCAGAGGTGACCAGGCGATCCAAGAACGCACCATTTCTTGTTGTCGTCATCCCATCTGCATGCATCGACACTGTGTGAGAGCATGACGAATCTCATCACCCCGTACTTCTCGGCTGTGCCCTGAAGATACGCACATATCTCCTTTTGGGGCGCATAGAAGGCAGACCAGTCAGGGTTGGGGTTGAACGAGTCTCCTCGCAAATTTGAGTTAGTAATTGCTTCATTTAGGTATTTTGCCGAGAAAATGGAGTCGTAATGCGTGTCTCGGGAACAAAGGCGCTTGACACAGGCTAGAAGAGGAAATTCGCGCTCAGGGCATGGCCATATGGGGAAATAGAAGACTCGAAAATGTACATACATTGATACGAATGCGCTGGTATGTCACATGCGCAGCCTGAGTCGATTAGCATGGCGAAAAATAGAACAGAGTGCATGAAGGGGTAGCGTATACCTGGATATCTATTCACCCACCATGTTCCTCCTACGGCCTCATTCTTGTCGTAGATCTTGAAGTCGATGTTCCGCAGCCGTTGCGGTATACGGATTCCCAGGTAGATCCCCGAGTAGCCTGCACCGATCACGCGGACCTTTATGCGGCGATGCCCGTCGAGCGGCGCGTCTTTGAGTGCGAATGGCCTTGGCCCCTTAACCGAGCTCATCGTGACTATATACTCCAACAGAAGGTAATACACGAGTGTTACAACGATATAGAAAAGATGAAGAGAAGTAGCTGCGTCGCACAAGTCTCACCTTGCTCATTGACGACTGCGGCTGTCTGATGTGCGCCTCCTTGCACCCGAACACGCTTCCCCGCATCACCCCAACTGACCACACAAGAAGACGCGGCACTTGATCTCACACCAGACGACTTCGTCTATGATGGCATCTCACTGCGGGGTGTCTGCTGGGGCATCGATGCGGTCGTTCCATTGGACAAAGAAGAACAGCTGGTTTGCTCATCTGGGTATTGACAGAGAAGGCGTAGCTTGCAGTCTCCTCATTGCGGCTCGGATGTAGGCCGCATTGAAGACATATTCAGAAAGCTCATGCCGTAAACCGAGATAGTCGGACGAGGCTTTCACGACTCCATGGGAAACACCTTTTCACCATGCACCCCATTCTCGAGTGTTCAGGGTCGGCCGTAACTTCCAGGGGTTTTCGCAAGGACTCAGGGGTCGACTTGAAGCTCGCTGAAACAGTTTTGAGTTGACACGATATGCGGCAGAGTGGCACTCAGACAATTATCATAAGAGTCGCACCCTCGATACATGTACGAAAATGAATCATCTAGGTGAATATAGCAGCGCTAGGTAGTAGCCTGGCCGTCCCAAAATAGAGACGGCCTGTAGATGGAGAGATATCGACCTCTTGGTCTCTTCGGCAGTCGGTCTCGAGTCAGGCTATCGGCAGGGCGGGCAGTCATGTAAAAGGGCACGGGTTCTTGGCAGATCCTGAGACCTGCCGTTCAAGCCGTGGGCCAATCGACTTTGAGCATCGCGGACCGTGTTCCGTTCAATCGATGTCCTCTGCAAAGGGCGTTGCGGCAGGCGAAGTCTGTGTATCCTTGCTCATATCACCTCCTCAGACATATCCTGAAATGACGATGAGATCAATGACGGTGTGGGCAATTGAGTTTGACTGGCTCCTTATTCAAGGGCGCGTACCGATCTATGAGAATATTTTGAAGTTAAGCTTGTTGATATGTAGCAAAACTTTGAAAGGATCATTGATGCGCGGACTCCAAGATAAGGTTATCGAGTACCTACCTGTCCACGGATCTGGTAGTCGGCGTACCAGCCGCTCGTATCCAGAAGACTGGACGATATCAGGATGACATTTGCGATGCCAAGAGGTTGTGATAAGAACTTCTAATGATACCTAAAATTCTGAAATGAAGCTGCTTTCATGTTTCATTAACATTAACAGAACTGTAGGCGAGATTGATAAGGCGGACTGTGGCGGGCGGCTTGAGTGGCGGGGCTACCTTAAACCCCCACTCGTACTGGCTGAGGTTCTCCACCTGGCTGCGCCTGGGCAGGTACCATCCGCCTGCATGTCGTTGTACTTGTCGCATCCCGCCTGTCCATCCAGCTGCCATCCCACCTCACTCGTCCAATTTCATATCGTCAACTGCAATCTCGGTGCGCTTCTTGTGCCACACAACCACATTCTCCGCGAATGCGCTGTGTCCTACTCTGCTATCTATCTATCTATAATGCTCACTGCTATTCCTAGGGCTTCAACATCCACCTCGTGTCTCCTCCCCGTCCACCAATTGCACCGGCCCGCGCTATCACGAACACCAGCTAGCACTACCACCGGCTCTGGGCCCGAACCTCAAGCACCATCACCAACAACCTTAATTGGCTGTCTTGGCCACGAGGCGACTCGCATAATACCCTTGTCGTTGATTTCACTCCAGCCCCGCGCCCTCCTTCGCCCCATGTCCACAGTCCGCCAGTCCCACGTCCCACGTCCTACCACCATTTTCTAGAGTCCAACGTTACGTTCAGTTTTGCAGGCTGTCAGTGGCTCTCGCCACCTCCCATCGCTGGTGCACCTCTGCCATCTGGACCTCTGGATCTCTGCCTCTACGTATGACTTCGTGCCAGCTAACGGCTTCCCTCGTCTCACCTCGAAGCCGTGTACAGCTCCGACTTGCCTTCCTCTGACGAGCTACCGATAGACGGCATACGACAATCCGTACTCTGACTTCCGCTGTACTCCCTCGTGGTGGGGTCTTGACTGTCCGACTGCCGCCGGTGCTCTACTAGTTTTCATCTGGTCTATCATCGACAGAATCGGCATCCCGTGAAGCCCTCCCTCCCTTGCTGGAACGCGCTCGCACAGCGCCTCCCTAATCCTTGCTAGTCCCTCACACGCTTTCGCTCCCGGGCCGTCGAGTCAGAACTCAGACAAAGTCAGACGAGATAGTCAGACGGTCGGGCTCTCGCCTCTGCTTGTCATCAGCACCGCTCCTCCGGCCCTCCACCCTCTCACCAGCAAGTCAGCAAGTCAGCGAGTCCACCTGCTGCCAGCACGTCCTGTCACGGCGTGGCAGGCTGCTTGCTTCGTTGTTCCACTCACACCAACCAACCCTAGTTCCTGTCCACTTCTCGACACTCAAACATGACCGCCCGACCACCCAACATCCTACCCCAAGATGTCTTCGTAGACCACGACGTCCGACCTGCGTCCCGTACCGTCGATACATCGCATGGCCCTGGCGCACCAACACTGGCCGCCCTGGAGGAACTGAATCGCCGAAATGCACAAGCGAATCACGTAGTACAACTCCATCACGATGACCAACCCCGCCGAGTTTCAATGACCGCGAGACCGCCTCCTCCCCACGGACATATCCAGTTCAAGTCTCATACCACGTCTCCCTCTCCGCCGTCACTAGAGCGCACGTCCGAAGACCTCCCCGCTTTGGTTGACGACGACTCGGCTCACTTCTCGTCGCCATTGCTCGGCAAAGGTCACAACCCCCTTCATGTGACCACCGATATCCCTCGTGCTCCTCGCAAACGAACGGACAGCCTCAACAGCAACCAAGTCGGCCGATCCTCCTCTCGATCAGGTGTGAACTTGCAGCACAAGGCATCATCTTCGAGTCTGAAGCCCGTATCGAGGACTCCGAGCGTAAAGCAGTCCTTCTCTACGAGCTTCGGTTCTGGCACAAGCTCTGCGTACCCAAGTCCGGTCATTTCTGCTATGGGCGGTGTCACACCTCTGCCCTCGCCATTATTGACCAGCGACTCGCCTGGCCCTTGGAAGCGAGTCGGCGCCCGGCGGCCGTCGCATGAGGTAGTTTTGCCCACAGCCATGGCAAATTCGGTCTTTATAACCGCAAGCGGCGAGTCTGTAGCCTCGGCGCTGGCGCATCAGTCCAAGAGAAAGGCATACGTTGGTCTGAACCTAGGGCATGTGTCAGATCAATCTACCGGAAAGAACGAGCACAGCCGCAATAGGAGCATCAGTGAATATATCCCGGACCCCAAGGGCATTCCCAAGCGACAACTTACCGTTTCCTCTGGAAAGGTCGATGGGAGGAACGTGGATGGTTCTGCCGAACAGCGCTTGCGCCGGGAACCTCACCTCTCAGAGGCGCGAGGTATTACTCCGGTAACGAAACCACCTACTCCTCCGCCGAGTGAGTCTTCACATAGCAACGACGGCTCTAGTTTGAAGGAACCTCGCCACGAGTGCTTTCAGGCACATGGGCGAGATGACCAGAAATTAAGGAGATGGCGTGCAATCAAGAAACTCGGGGAAGGTACCTTCAGCAGGGTAATGTTGGCGACTAGCCAGGTCAATACCGACGAAGACGACCCCAAAAACTCAACAGAGTCTGGACCAGATAGTCTACCAACCCCAGTGTCAGCATGCCAACCCGATCGGAAGACTTTGGTTGCGATAAAGGTCTGTGAACATGGTCCGAAAGGAGGAGCGTCCGAAGATAGAATTGAAATGAGCTTGAAGCGCGAACTCGACATCATGCAATCGATAAATCATCCATCCTTGGTTCATCTGAAGGCCTGGAACATTGAACCGACAAGGGCGCTGTTGGTACTCAGCTATTGTCCCGGAGGCGACCTCTTCGACGTTGCGACGGCCTATCGAGACTCTCTGACCGCGCCTTTGCTTCGAAGGATATTCGCTGAGCTGGTGGCGGCTGTGGGCTATCTGCATGAACGTAGGATCGTTCACCGGGACATCAAGCTTGAAAGTATGTTGTCATTTGATTCTCTCAACTCAATTTGTGGTTGGAATGTCATTTGGGGATGACCTTCTGCCTTCCTCTTCCTTCATCGCTAATAGTGCGCAGATGTCATTGTGAATATTCCGCCTTCGGAAATTGCAAACCCCAACCAGGACTGGCTCACTTACCCGTACTCGATCATAACGCTTACAGACTTGGGTCTCTCACGACGTGTAGCCGATGATGAAAAATTGGAAACTCGTTGTGGCTCCGACGACTACGCTGCTCCGGAAGTCATATTAGGACAGCCGTACGATGGTCGTGCCATAGATGCCTGGTCATTGGGCGTGCTACTTTACGCTCTGATCGAATCACGATTGCCATTTGACGCCCCACCCGGCGCCAGCGACGCCCAAAGAATGCGAAGCAGAACTAGTCATCGAATTGCCCGTGTCGAGTGGAGTTGGATCAAATACGCTGGCGAAGATGGGGATCACGATGCCAATGAGGCTTTGTTCGAAGAGGATGGGTTGAAGGGCGCAATGGAAATCACCGAGGGTCTTTTGAAGCGTGCAAGGAGTCGTTGGCCGATGGAGAAGGTGGCCGGGCACGAATGGGTCAGTGGCGGTATTCGAGTGGAGGGTGGCATCAAGTTCAGGGAAGAGGAGGAAGGCGAGGAGGTCTCATGACAATGAATGGCCAGTCTATGGCTTCTCTTCGAGGCGGGAATACGCCGGATGATACTTGGACGCGTTTCGCAGTTCCGAAAGATTTCATGGGGGGCTTTTATATCCCTCTTCGGCGTTTTATACGCTGATCAACGTCGATGTATAACGGGGACGGTTTGGGCCTTTTGCTTCATCGCTGTGTCTCTTTGGACTTCAGTCAGAGCGAGAGATGAACTTTGGTGCGTGGGTTAACAGTGGGACGGAGTATCGCCCGCAAAGGCGTTTTGGGGCTGGGTCTAATGCTTGTACGGCTTAGATATACTTACTTCAGGGCTTCAATTCAGAGCTGTACCACATGTAGTCACGTGGTATTTTATCCGTTCAACTGTCCCCCTCCTTGATCATTTCATAGCGTCCCCCGGCGACCAGCTAACCGTCGGCGATTCTCAAAGACCTCGCGAACGCGTAAAAGCACCAGCAGCAGGGAACCCAAACACACAAGTCCCAGCGGCACCAGCGGCACCACCGCACCGGTCCCGTATCTCGACGCCGTCCCACAGTGTGCAAGGACGATCACTAATCAAGGGAGGCCGCTCACGACTAATGCGAGCATGCAGCCGCCCAGGTACACGACGCCCCATTCGTCGCCCGGTGTCGTCGCGGGCACGAATAACTGCGCCAGGGGGTTGGTTAGTACTTCATCCTTTATACTTGCAGATTATGGTTGGAATTTTGGGATTGGTGGATTAGGTAGTAGAAGCGAGATATCAATAGAATGGAGAGAATGGAAATAGGGGCAAGGGGGGAACGGGCGGACATCAGACAAAGGGGATAGATAGGTGGGATGTGGTGGAGACGCACGGATTGGATGTACTTCTGCACCTCCTGGTCGCCCGGACTCGGCGTGACATACGACTGGAGCTCGTCGCTGTTGTGCGGCCGGACGCGCGGCTGGCCGGGCTGGGTCTGCGCTTCTTGGTCGGTGCGGTGGAGGCGGGAGGGCGTCCGTCGTCGTGTTGGGTCTTGTGGAGGACGAGACTGGGGTTGAGATCTAGGTCTAGGGGGAGCTGGATGCTGGGTTGGGAGGTGGTCATTGTGAAGGGCCTTGGGTTTCGTTCGATGGGGTTGGGTGGATTGGGCGTAGATGGGTGAGGAGTTGGGAGGTGGGTGGTGGTATGGGGTGCTTAGGGGAAGGGGGATGGGGGTATGGGGGTATGTATGGATGTCAAGATTCGCGATGAGGGATGAGGCATACGCCGAGGCTGTATCGTGGTGTCTTAGGCCTGGGCGTTTTACTTCTGCTTTGCTCGATGATCCCTTGCTGGGCTGTGGTTTTGAGACATTCGCATTCCGTGTACCGGGAGGAATATCACGTTAGGCGTGTTCAACCAAGGACACGACAGTATCTCATTTTCAGCCGTATTTTTGGTGATCTTCTAGTATCAAGGGCTTTGGAGAGTTGGAACTTCAAGCAGAGGTATTGTTTGCCAATGTGGAGCTGTCCACCACGCGATGGCTAGGCTTTCAGGAGATCATGTCTAAACCGTCGACGGCAGCGTAACTGACTCAACGTTCTAAGCATTATTCATGAGCTTGCATGATAATAATCATTGATTCTGTATTCAGAGATGTTGCTACCCCCGAACCGTCAATCTTTCTCACTCACTACCCAAAATCGAGACCTCTAGCGCCGTTGAATAGCTCTGCTCATACCAAGCTATACGTCAATCAACACCTTACCCATGGACTAAGGAGATCCAGCACTCTGCGTCTTGAGATGCTCTCTTCGCCCCTGTTCCTTCAGCTTCTCGTCGTCCGGCCTGCTGAGTTCCACCTGAGGCATCATGAAGAAGGCGACCACGAAAGCGAAGGCCGCCAACGAGGCACCCACGAGGAAGATGACTCGGAACGCCTCTCTATATGCCGGAACGAGGACCGCCCGTATCGAGGCTGTCTCGTCCTGGGGGATAGCGGAGAGATAGGCCTGAGGGCTGCTCAGGAGATTGGTCAGTTCTCCACCGCTGAGAGGAAGGGTGGATAGCTTGTTGGCGACGATGTTGTTTCTGTAGACATGTGGGTTAGTCTTGGCTGGCTCGAAGTGGTAGGTAAGTATGCCATCAGGGTGCTCACAGTAGAGTTCCGCAGATGGCCAGGCCCAAGGTCCCTCCGAGGTTACGGACAAAGCTGGGGGCACGCGTTATTGAGAGCAACCTTGATGGACTATAATGTGGCACTTACTTCCGAAACGATGTCACAACAGCCATATCGCGCCGTGCCACGCCCGCTTGCACGGCTATCAAAGCGCTTAGGTAGCAGTCAGTCATCAAGCCCTCAAGGTGTATGATGTGATGTTATGTCACTTACGGCTGCAGGGTATTCCCCACTCCCACACCAATGATGATGCTGTATCCAACTTGTTTTCCGACGCTGGAGTTTTCATCCAGGGTGGACATGAGGCCGAGACCGATGGCCCAGCAGAGCCATCCGAGCAGCACGCATTCCCGGTACCGCCCGACCCGGTGGACTACAAGCCCGGAAAGCGTGCTGCTCAACGTCTGGAGGAGAGTGATTGGGAGGAGCATCGCGCCGGCTTTGGTGGCGGAGTAGCCATAAGCGAGCTGGTAAAATGTTGGGATGTAGTACACTTGAACGACGAAGTTCCTGTTCTGGTGTTAGCATATAGGTCTTCGGACTATGGTGTTGCGTTTTGGGATGAGCATCGAGAAGAAAGCAATGATGGAATGTGAACACTGAACAGTCCATGGTATCTGCGCAAGGGAGTCTTGCACTTACCAGCCGTTGATAGCCATGGTGATGCATGCGCCGTTCACGATCTTGGAGTTGAAGATATGGACTATTATCAGAATGGTTAGAACATTGGGACCCAAGCAGCAGAATTGTATACTTACGTGGCACAAGAGGATATTTCGGGCCTTTCCATTGCCAAAGCACGAATGCGACGGACAGGACGAACCCGATGACCAGGGTCGCGATAACATGCGCAGACTGCCATGGGTACTCCGAGCCTCCCCAATTCAGTCCGAGCAGGAGAACAGTTGTGCCGGCTAAGGCAAGGATGATGCCGATGAAGTCAACTGCTTTCAGTTTCCTGCCAACAGGTTAGACATAGGGGCTTGCTGCTCAGGTGATTGACTTACAGTTTCCAATTGCCTCCGACCTTCTTCAGCGGCATGAAGAACACCACACACAACGTGGTAAGTAGGGTCAGGGGCAAGTTGAGTCGGAATATCCACCGCCACGACTCCCTTGATTGCGATGAGAGAGCACCTCCAATGACGGGTCCAATACCATTGGCGATGGCTACGACCGCTCCCTATTAACACGATGTCAACAATTGAGCGGAGAACGTTAGGATTTTGGGGCTTGACATACCAATATGCCCTGGTACTTCCCCCTTTCGCGCAACGGCACGACATCACTGACGATCAGCTGGGCCACTGTCATCAATCCGCCGCCACCGACACCGGTGAAGGAGCGGAAGACGATGAGCTGGACGACCGACTGCGAAAGAGAAGATGCCAACGAGCCGATGAAGAAGATGGCCAAGCCTATCAGTAGGATGACCTTTCGTGACCAGATATCGGATAGTCGACCATATAGGAGCTGGCCCACTGTCGAAGTACTGAAGCAGGGTGAGCTTCCACGATGCTGTATGTGTGAAGCGGATCGTGAAACTTACATGAAGTAGCCGCTTGCTATCCAGGACACTTGGTTGCTTGCACCTAGTGAGTCACCAACGATGTTTAAGCTGGCCGCCAGTGTCGTCTGGTCTATGAGAGCTAGCAGGTCCACGCTGGCACAGGCGAGGAAGATCTGCTCGCGATTAGTTTCAACTTGCACCCAGTCTCGACGCATGTCTTTCGCCTCACCGTGATGATGGTTCTTTTGGGGACATAGTTGGTCTGCTCGTTGAACTCGTGAACTTCTGGCTTCCCAACGCCGGCGGCGCCGTCAACAGGCTCAACCCCGTTCGAATCGAGACTGATATCCGTCAAGAGTTGCCCCTGGGCAGGGCCGTCTCGTGTTTCTTTCTCCATTGCTGATGTCGTTCGGCGATGCTGTGGTAGGTCGGACTTCTGCACCTCTAGTTTGGTGATGAGAATGAGCAACGTTTGGTATCTGACTGGCCGGTGTATGGAAACGGGGACGAGGTCATGAGATAACCCCCAAGTGAGTTCACGGTCGAGCTGCAATATGCAATGGGATGGTCCAGACTAGCTGACGTATCTGGCCATTAACCTTGATGGCAGCCAAGAAAGATGGTCAGAAACTCTTCCGAGATGTCCCTAGCCCAGTGCAACGCAAACGTTCTCGCGTTTGATCGGTTTGTCAGAATGCAGCACGACAGGAAGGTGCTCATGGTCTTACTATCAGGGAGTGACGAAAACGTGCTTATAGATGATATTCTAAGTGTTGGTAAGTGGTGGTAAGTGGTGGTAAGTGGTGGTAAGTGGTGGTAAGTGGTGGTAAGTGAGGTTGGTAAGTGTTTGTAAGTTTGTTGGTAAGACGTCCACCGACCGAAGACGGTGCCGTTGGACGGAATAAGCTTTCCTGTGTACTAGTGGTAGTGCAGCGGTGTAATGAGTATAACCACGTAGTCCAATCTACGTCTTGCACTCATCGACAAGTACCATCCTCGACTGGAAGGTAGGGAGGAGATACTGCACATCAGCGCCCAGACGGTAGTAGGTGGCGAACCGGGAATGGCATGTACATGCAATGCGACAGCGGCTTACACATGCCGGTGGCACTGGTATAGTGAAGTTCTGCCTCCTTACCGTCGGGCGTTTTGGCATGGGCTTGTTCTGGCCCAGGTGAAATATTCCCGATTTGGTATGTGTAAAGGGGGACCATTGCCAAGCGTGGCCGGTGACACTCATTGGTCGAAAACCGCCTCAATTCTGCGCAGATCCCTGTACGATGTAGTGGAATTGGACCCCATTGGAGACGACGACGGGACATCGCGATTGTTCAAGGCGTTTGATCTGTCATTGATCGTACCGAGGGTACCTTGTGGTCCATATACTTACTGGTCCTTTTCGACGGCACCGCACGCGTGCCATCCGTCTAAGCACGCCGCAAGCGGGCTAACCCGCATGTGAGCCAGTTTGAGGAAACAAGTTGCTCGTCGAGAGAGTTTCGTTCTTGGTGGGGACCCTCGGTGTGGACGCACCTCCATCTATTCAATGATGAAACAAACTCCTTCCCTTGATGACTGGACCGCCCGATGCAGCGATGGGAAGGTGCATGGTGAATCACTCTGTGGTACTGGAGAGTCATCCGGTTCTTTCCTTGAGGCGATGGAGAGCGACCAAGAGATATTGCCAGGATATGTCACACCACCACCACAAGGTTACGGTGTGAGTTCAACAAGGTCCCCAAACGAAGTATGCTTCGAGATATCCCATATATAAAAGCCATACCAAGCATTTTTACCGCTACTCTTCGCAGGCGAACGTACCGAGCACGCGGAGCCGATACCACCCAAGGCGAACAAGGAACCGACAGTCGAAGCGATACACCATCTCGCATTCGACCACCATGGCGGACAACAACTTCCTCAACGTCTACACCGGACCAGACTCGGTTCGAAAATATTTCGACCCGGACTCAGCACCCCCTTTGCCCTTGGTAGAGCTGCCCGAGTGCCTCAACCCGTACCGGCAGGATGGGGTACGAATATACGCTAAGATGATGCCGATTCATCCGGCGAACAACGTCAAGGCTATGCCAGGTAAGCACCAGGACAAGACTAACCTCCGCCGACACATGAGCCTTGCTCACAAAATCTAGCCCTGAACATGCTCGAGAAGAGCGTCATACCCGGCAAGACAGACACCATCATCGAGTACAGCTCCGGCTCGACCGTCATCTCCATGTCCCTGATCTCGCGGGTCTTCTACGGGATCCCGGACGTGCGGGCGTTTCTCTCGAACAAGACCAGCGAGGCCAAGCTCAAGCTGATGCAGTTCTTCGGACTGGACATGTACGTCGTCCGTTGGTAGAGTCATGTTCGTGATGTTTGCGTGCTGAACCCGTGCCATAGCACCCTCTTCGGCGGACCTTCGCAACCGGAGCCGCTCGACCATCGCGGTGGCATACGAGTCGCGCAGAAGATGGCGGAGGAGTCGGAAAACATTGTTAACCCGAATCAGTACGACAACGACGACGTGAGTCAGGATCTGCCATCGCTGTGAACAGGAGCTAACGGGGATGATCAGAACTGGAAGTCGCATATAAGATGGACAGGCCCCCAGATCCTGAAGCAGTTACCGCAAATCAACCTTATCTGCTCCGGCATGGGCACTTCAGGTAAGGACATGAGATCAGACACATGGAGCATGCTCGCTTACACATACCAGGGACCATGACGGGACTGGGCACATACTTCAAGGACGCCAAACCATCCGTCTTCCGCCTAGGGTACGACCATCCATCCCCTTCCCCATCCCCCCTTCCGTTACGCACAAACAAGCTGACAAACCCCCAGCGTCTGCACCGCAGCCGGCGACCGCGTCCCGGGCCCACGTTCCTTCGCCCTGCTCGCGCCCGTCGAGTTCCCGTGGAAAGCGTCCATCGATCACATCGAAGAGGTCGGCTCGCACGACTCGTTCTCGCTGTCGCTCGACCTCACGCGCCAGGGCATCGTCTGCGGGCCGTCGTCGGGCTTCAACCTCAAGGGCCTGTTCCAGTTCATCGAGAAGCGCAAGACGGCGGGCACGCTGGCGGACCTGGCGACGGGCGAGGGCGGGAGTGAGAGCGCCGGCGAGATTCATTGCGTGTTCGTGTGCTGCGACCTGCCGTACCAGTACATCAGCGAGTACTTTGACAAGCTGGGCCCGGAATACTTCCCGCCTATCCATAATGAGGTTTGTACACCTACCCGCCCATCTCATCTTGGACTGCAAGAGAGCAAGAGAGCAAGACCATTCATTCTTGAGGAACGTACTAACCACATCGCAGGCCCTGACCAAAGTCGACCTCTACCGCTACGACGAAGCCTGGGAGCGCGACCCCGCCTCGGCGCTCCCGCACTTCTTCGATATCGGCGACATCCTGCGTCTCGTCTCGCGCATGGGCTTCTCCGACACCATCTCCGTGCAGGACATCCTGACCCCCAAGCCCAACACCTTCATCCTCGACCTCCGACAGCCGACCGACTACGCGCGCTTCCACCTCCCCGGCTCCGCGAACCTGGCCCTCGCCTGTCCCAGGGACCGAAGCCCGTTCTCGGACCCCGAGGTCCTGGCGGCGGTGTGGAAGAGGCTGGATGCGATGTTCGAGGCGCCCGACGCGGAACTCCTGGAGCTGGTCCGCGGACGGCGGGTTCTGGTGCTTTGCTATGATGGCGATTGCTCGCGCGTGGCTACGAGTGTGCTGAGGGCGAAGGGGTTTGAGGCGGACAGTGTGCGTAGGGGGTTCACGGCGCTGGGGCACTTGAATGCGGGCGTTGAGCAGCAGGGAGCGTGCGAAAATGGAGGTGACGTGGCGGAGGAGTTCAAGCCGAAGATGGTGTTTACGGGTGGCGTGGAGGTGATACCGTCGCCGCCGCTTTCGGAGGGCGACGGGCCGGTATAGCCTAGTCGTGCTGTGTCAAGGGGATAGGGCAGCTCGGGGGTCATTTGTGTGCGGTCATGGGCGTTTGTTTACATACCTAAATAGCAGGTTGTCTGGCATGAATTCAGAGCAAAAGTACCTACTTGAAGGAACCGAGAGAGATCCGCAGTGTGCGAAATAACTGACAGAACCCCATCTGCGTTCAAGTCCTTCCATGTTAGCAGCCACTCGACGAAAGAGTCCCCTCACGTCTTCCGGGCCAACGCAATACAGCTAAACCGTAAGTCCTCCCCACCAGCATCCTGCTCCAGCTTGATGACGCGCTTGAACCCTAGCTCCAGTGCCCGCGGGCTCAAAACATCCTCGTCATCGGCCAGCGCGCCCCGATCCATCGGCCCCTTCCTATCACCCTCCAGCTCCCACAGCCTGCCGTCGACCTTGACAAACGCGACAAAGTGCTGCCCATTGTGGCCCTCACTCGTGGGCGCCGTATCGCCAATGCGCTCACACGCCTTGTGCGCCGCCTCAAAGCCCGCGTCATCGTACAGCATCTGCGCGCGTTCCTTCTGGTGCAGCGGGATCGCGGCGCGGCGGATGCGGTCCAGGTCCGAGCCCGGCGCGATGTGCGACGCGGCCGGCCCATTGATGGCGCAGTGCAGGAGGCCGATGGAGCCGCAGGCGTTGCCGATGGTCTGCTTGAACCAGATGACGGGCTCGTCGGGGCCGGCGCCGGCATAGTCATCCATGGATGCGGCCTGGGCGCGGCGGTCGGCGTCCCAGGCTGGCGTCTTCGGCATGATGACTAGGAGGGCCAGGGCGGGGCGGGGGATGAGGGAGAGGAGGGATGGATCGTCGAGCGACCAGACGTCGTGGAAGGCTAGGTCGGGTGAGAGGCCGAGTTTGGACGCTAGCTGGTTCATCACCTCGGGGTTGTTCTCTGGGTTTTTGCGTTAGACACGCTTATTCTGTCTGAGGTGAATGACTGAGATAAGGTAGAAAAGGTGGGAGGATATGGAACGGGTGATTTCATACCCAACATGACCCATTTCTTTGGCTCAGCCATGATGAGTACTGGGGATGCCTCTGGTGACGGTACGTTGGTTACTCTCGGAAATTCAACTGACTGAGATCTTGATCGAACGTGTAGTAGGGGTGGATGAGACGATGGTCAGCTGGTTGTAGTTGATCGTTTGTTTGTGAATCATCTGGATGCAAGGCAGCAGAGTGAGAACGTCACGCCTCACGCGCTGAGACCCTGAGACGAGACCCTGAGACGAGACCCTGAGACGAAACCCTGGCAGTGCAGTCATGTCCCCTGTAGCTCAGGCGCCGTTGCCGCTAAATCGCCGTCTGTCAGCCCTTAAAGAGCGGAGCGTTGCAGCAAGGAGATCCGGGGAAATCGGGAGGCACAGCCATCGTGAGAGGGACCAACCTACAAGTTATCACTCAACTACTCCTAAGCCTAGGAACTCTTACCGATGCAACGGATTGCGGTAGATCGAGGATAAATTTAGATTTCCCAGCCTTTCTTGATTCCCCGACCAACATCGTCTGCCCTTTCGGCACTTTCGGCCTGCGCATCCCCCTCCAGGTGCCGCTATGATCCGGGAGTCCGGGCATGTCTCATGTGAGGAGGCAAGGCAGCACGACGCGCCTAGGTCGCCGACAGTGGCGTGCAGCTGATCTGAACAAGTATAAAATTGATTTCCTTGTATGCCAATCATCCGTGTCGTCTAATCGTGGGTTCATCGGCCTTGAATGATTGCTGTGATCGATTTGGTGAGTATACTAACACGCATATAGGCTCCAGGACACAGGTGTCCGCTTCTCCTGAACATTCGTATTTCATAATACTGAAGGCCAGAGATGCGTCATGTGATCTAATAGTAGACTCAAATATGTTTCATTCAAAGAGTGCTGTGCAGGTATGCCCATATACATTTGAGGGGCCGTTGCCCGGCTCGTTCGTCTCTTCGGTATCGTAGTCAACCATGCTGCCGAGTGTGCTTCAAATAGAAATGCTTCGCCTACCAGATTGAGCCACACACCATCCTTGCTTTTATCATTTTTGACCGAACTCTTGGGAGCTCGTCTCTGCTTGACCGATGACCATGCCTGGAAGTCTGAGTTGGCATGAGCCGCTGTGCACATGCGAGTCGATCCCCGAGCCCCTTACATGCCGAGAGCATGTAACCTGTGTGCCGGGTCAGTGTTGGTGCTCGTAGACCTGGGGGTTTTATGTGATGCATCACCTTCAGTCGGGAGGAACAGGAGCTCATCATGAAGCTTGATGTGTATATAAAGCCCACTGTCTGGCCCATATAGAACAACATTCTACCCATCACTAACAACACCATCATCATCTGCATCATCAAACGCTTTCCTCTCTTCTGTGTCTCTTTCCTCTTTTCCCTAAGTTTCTTTTCTCTTTCCTTTTTTCCTTCCTCTTCCCTCTGTCACAATACCCACTCGGTCTCTACTACAATCTCTTACACAGCATACGCTAAACTCTACCATGCCTTCCTTCGCTTCCTTCGCTATCGCGCTCACCATGGGCATGGGCGCTCTGACTGGTCTCACCGCCGAATGTGCCGATGCCGATGCCCTTACCGTCACGGAGACTTGCACGGAGACTGTCGCTGCCGAGGCACTCACTACCACTGAGACTTGCACCGTCACCGACATGACGACAATGACTGTCTCAAACACGGTCATCGACATGTCTGTAACCACTTCCTACGCCGCCACAGCGACCAAGGTGCTCTTCCTCAACGCCACTGCCAAGGCACTTGCTGTCAACGAAACTATCACCGCCACTGAAACGCTCATCGACCTGTCTACGACCACTTCATACGCTGCCACAGCCACAAAGGTGCTTTTCTTCGACGCTACTGCCAAGGCACTCACTGCCAACGCCACTGGGGGGCGGCGGCGGGCCCGAATTCTTTCGTCACCTCGACGACGCCGTGCCCGGAGTCCTCCGCTTCCTTGGCCGTCCGTGCGCCATCACCGTACATACCCATAGAAAAAAATTCGGTATTCCTCAACGTCAGCGCGGCCGCCGTACCCGAAGTCAAGCAGTGCATACACGTGAATGCCACATGGGTTCCGGTAAACTCAGCGCTCAACATCAACAACTATACTAGCGTTATTGTCGACCCCGAAGTCGTTTGCTACATCAACACAGTCGACACGGCCCAGAACCTGACTCTCGGCTTCCAGTTCCCCTCCCAGACCGTTTTCGTCGGTCCGCCGCGAGGGCTTGACTGGGTTTGCTGTGAGTTCACTTCCTCAGCTGCTTGTCCGGATGCTCCGGCCACAAAACCGGATACCCGGGGATTAGTATCGTGCCTCTTCTGAGCATCAGGCAAAAATGGGCTTGGCTCCTAATGGAAAGGGATATATGGTCGAAGCAGTTGCAGGTGATGGAGCAGTGGCAGGTGGATTGACTGTCCGCGGTTTCGTGTTTCGGTTGGCGTTTTGCATCGGCTAGGTCGTTCAGGAGTACATTCATTTGGAGCATGCGGCAATTGGTTCTGCTCATCATGGTCCGGTTTCTCGGTGGCGTCTTTTTGTCGAAGCATAGCATTAGGTACACTCGTTTTATTTCAAGCTTTGGCTTTGAAGTATTCTGTCTCCCCTGTTGTGGAGGAACTTGCGCTCAGCTCGATAGGTGGTCTGACCCATCGCTGTTGTTGATCATGTTAGTTTGCGTACGCTCCTGGGTCCAGTCTTGGCTGGTTCTCTTGCGATCAAATGCTCAGAATATTTTAAAAAACACAAGAAAAACATGCACGTCGTTTCACGCGTTCGTGTCTCACCAAGAATATACATCCTCAGTCCAGGCCACTCTTCCAGTCCTAGCAAAAGCTCCGTGCACATTCATACCATGGCTCACTTTGAGAACCGCGACCAGAGTCAATGCTCTCTTGGAGTAAGTAGAAGGAGACCTTCCCGCTGGGGCGCGCAAATCCAAGCCCTCCCACCCATCGGCCTCGAGACAGCTATCACCGCGTCCATGACTAGCGAGCAAATCGACGCCTACGCCCTGCATGTACGTATCGAGGAGAAAACCCAGCGCCTCAAAGTGGACGATGCTGTCCCAACTGACCATTATCACAGGTCTGCGTCGCCTGGACCGCAGTACGATGCCTCGGGCCGGGACATCAACACCCGCGAGCGGCGGTGTCGTGAGCGCCTGGAGAGACTTATGTTGAATGACTCGAACACTCAATATTGGATACCCAAAGTTTATGACTTACCCATGAGCGTGCACCGAGTTTGGCAGGTAGCTGTTCGCAGCGCTGGCAGGTGGGAGCGGCGTTGTTAAGAAGGCTCCTAAGCTCAGGGGCAAGATAACTTGATAGCTTGGTAGGAGTGAATACTGTTCGCTGGCAGCTTCAACACATCCGGAATTTCTTCCGTTGCGATAGAAGATCTGCGTAGCGTAGGCCATATGCACTGCCATTCTCGTCACGCGGGGTGCGTGAACAGATGTTCCCTTCAAGAAAGGTAGTGATTTGTTCCAAACAATCTAATGACCCATAAAAAGCACTATCTACGATGACGCCCGAATCTCTCTCGTTGGCGGCAAAGAGGTTACAATCACCGGATCGGGCCGTGGAACTGGTACTGGAGCCGGCATGGCAGGGGCGTTGGCCAGGAAGGGGCCATTGGTCGGAATTAACTACGTGAGCGACTCGAGCGGCCCGCGAGCCAATACAATAGCCGGGCGACTGCGAGCGGAGTGTGATGTTCAAGCTGTAATCAACCAAGCCGACATATCGATCGGAGATATCCAGAAGCTATTATCGCTCCGCCAACGCGTTCGGAGCAATACGTATGGTTCGGGCCGTGGTTTCGCACATGCTGTCCGGAGACGCATTAGCAATATCGGCAGCGCGTATTACAAGCTCATCAACAAAAAGTTCCATTTGGTGCTCGTCTTCCTTGGATCCTTGGATGGGAGTTGTTAATCCTGAAAGGATGGGTGCTAACTGCGCCGTAGATATCTATGGTAGGCATGCGGATCCGACAGGAGCCGAATGCCGATATACAGACTGGCAGGATTGGCTTGAAGCTGCAATATATATAACATGCTATGTGCCGGAGTGGGAAGTCGCCCGAGGGAAGAGTCAGGATCGGGCCCCATTTTGCCTCCCAACCTGCGTGATGTCAGTCTGGAAAAGTTCCTGGATATGGCACTACTATGTCATTGCCACGGCAAATGAAAATCTGAGTACAACAGAGGAAGAGCCACAGCGCATAAGTCTCGGGACACATATTTGCCAAGCCCAACATGCAAAGTATAAAGAATGCCATTAGTTTGCACACATCTTACTCGTACTTCAGCCTCAATAGTCATCCGTGGGCCCTCGATCCTGATACAACTTTGACAATGCATGCACGCCCCCCCCACAATCCTCATCACCCTTGTGGCTCTCGTTATGCTGAAGCCGGTCAATGGCTTTTCAATCTTCGGCTGGAAACCCTGGAGCAAAACCCAAGTCCAAGAAATAGGCAACCCCGTCGACTGGACCTTCGATCTGTACATGGCAGGGAAGGAGAGTCGGACGTGCGAATCGATAATGGCGGGAGATGAGAAGGCAGACTTCAGCCGAAATGGGAAGGGCAATGTGGATGAAATCAAGATCAAGAAGGGTGGTGCCAAGGTAAGGAACACAGCATGAACCCCAGTCTCGTTTTCACATTGCAGTTGAACCGACTCTGACCTGTTCCAGTACCAATTCGCGGCTCTCGGTCTCCCACCGGGCGCCTGGCGATGCGAGATACACACTTTCGACAATGCAGGCCGTAAAGGACATCCATGGGACACGCTAGCAGACATTCACGGGTGTGTTGAGATTGATGGATACACGATCAAGGGGGCCAAGGCCGTCAACTGTCTTGCTGCCGAGAGCAACGACGACGATTGACGGCGGCGGTGGCGGAACGGGGGTCTCGGGCGATGTTCTGGTTAAGGGCAAAGCCTTTTTGTGCCTTTAATTGTTAGTTATTTCTGGTGATTGTTGTAATAACCAGAGCGACGGGCGTTCTCTTCCCTCCTGCGTAGTCTCAGATACTGCTTCGATACAATCCGGACCAGTGAATGCCCGATTATACATCATTCTAGCTAGCCAGAGAGTACCCAAAGCGAAAAACCTCAGCTACTTTCCAGGCTTGCGGATTCGAAGGGGTTTGGGTATCTCTACCCTGTAGTCTCGGTACCACAGACACCGGTCAGGCGAGGCGCGAGAGCTCGCGGCGGCACATCCTAGATACACTGACCCTTGGAGGCATGGGGAAGACGTCGAACAAGTAGAGGCCGAAATATTTGGAGTCATATCAGACGTCAACTACCTCTAGCCAGTAGCTCGCCCATGATCAGTAGTCTTTGGTCGAACTTGAACTTGGACTTCAGCACTATGCAGATATGCTTGAAGACAGAGGCGCTCCGGGGTGCCGATAGGCGAGCTCAGCCGTCAGCCTTCGGAAGAAACAGATTCCACCCACCGTCTTTTGAAGTCCCTGGTAAGATTGTTAAGCCGTCATTTGCGATCTGACGTGGTGAGGTGGCACGGCCAGCCCCTTGCTGGGAGTGAGAACATTGTCGCTAGTGGAACCAGGGCGTCCTCGCCGCTTCCAACATCGATTGCTCGAGTCCATTTAGAGAAGCACCGTGCTTTGTGGTCTTATATTGTCGCGTCGTGTGCCCGAGGTGATTCAGAGCCGAGACGAAGAGTTTTCTCGGGCCAGGTAGATGCCCTGGGTGCAAGCGACTGAAGGATGAAACACAAAGACTGCACTAATCGCGCGTCACAGCCATGGGATCGCGATGTGCTGCATGGGAGGATCTCAGGATCGCTCCGCCAGGAGCTTTCGAGCCTTCGAGAATCGAGGGAACATTGGTGGGAATTTGGTAGTCGCCCGATAAGAAAAGGAGGCGGCGCGTGGTGAATCTGGTGATCTTCGTCGAAGAACAGCTGCTTCAAAGGACCTTGCAGATGTCAACCACGTGGGCGGTGACCTCTTTTGACCATCATATCCGTCCAGTCCCCCTGTCAACCGCGTCTGCGATGTCGCATCCCTAGTGGGTTTTCGTCCGATATCTCGGGTTCTGGCCAGGGTATAAAACGTGGCGGCTCGCACCGCGAATTCTTCCGTCCATATAAGCCAAACAGAAGCCATTATTATTAGCAGCAAACCCGACCAACTGGGTCTTGCAGCATGCGGCTTCGGCTGGGAGAGGAAAGCTGTTTCTTGGCTTTGGCCAATTGGCGTTAGCAGCCGTTTGGTATATATTGGGAGCCGCCTGGCCTGACACGAGCCCGACTAGGGTGCGGGCGCGATGTCACTGCACGAGTCACGGTTGCGGGCAAAATGTGGGCGCGACGGAACTCCGTCTCGCCATCAGGTCCGACTCCTGACTGAAGAGGCCTGATGAAGGTGCCATGGAGACTACTTCACCCAATCGAGCCCGCTCTTCTAGAACTACAGCTAGAACTTCACAACTCCCAGTGTCGTAGCGAAAGCTTCGTGACGGAACCTTGCCAGCGCACTGTCCCCGTCTGTTCGCTGTAGCCCAGGATGCCGATCGCCAGAGAGCCGAGTCAGCGAGGTTTGAACTGGGTGCGATGGAATTCCAGTAAAACCAGCTTGACGTGTGTTCCGCCATCCTTCCCCCATTAGTGTCCGTCGTGCCGTACGCTAACATTGATCTGTATCTTCAGTTCGGTCAAGAGCAACAGCCCGACCGAGATCGTTCACCTGGGAGGTTCCCGAGTGGGCACCCCAACCGAGTCCGAGTCCTCCAGCCCGGAGCAAGTGAAGCAGAAGGAGCGGCCCGTCACGAGGTGGACGTTTCGTGGACCACCGCCAGATCCGCCCGGCCGTGGCCTCACGGGAGCCAACACGGATTCCGTGGTGGACGAAGACGCGACCTCGACATATTCCGACTCGCCCACCGACAACGACAGGCCTACCACCCAATGGTACATCACAGAATGGCGGGGGCCAGGAGACAGAGACACGACCCACGACGAAGCCCCAGACCAGGTCTTGTTGATGGCGTCTCCGGGGCTCAGTCCCTCCCCGCTGAACATCCCGACGGATAAAAAACCGACTTATCCACCGCGTACATCTTCAAGCCCGTCGTCAACTGTCACCTCCCCGATGGCGTCAGCTGTCACCTCCCCGATGGGCTTTTCTCGCTTCCCATCGGGCAACTCTTCACCCACAAGCCTCTCGGCCCCCAAACTCCGCTCGCCGCTCCCTCCGCCATACTCACCATCTTCGCTATATCACTCTATTTTAGCTGAAACACTCCCACCCACAACGGCATCCGAAGGGGAAAAGCGTTCTCGACTCCTGGATCCTGTCCCTGCCCTCCGGCGGACGCAATCGCATGCTGACGTTCAGAAACGCGCTCAATGGAAAGCATTGCCACCAAGGCCGCCGCTGGAAGAAGACGAGGATGGGGAAAGGGAGAAGGAGCCCGAGAGGCAACATATCGGCCGACTAATGAAATTGGACACCAGCGTCGGCGGGAAGAGCTCCAACCCAAGCCCGTATGTGCAAAGCCCGTACGCGGATGGGACGAGAGTATTGCCGCCTCTTATGAGCCCTCCTCCCAACGGACCCCTGCCGGCGGTCACGGAGAGGCAATTGGACGCCAGATCGAGATCGAAATCGCGAGGAAGGTCGGAAAGCAAGCGGTCAGAGAGCAAGCCCCGGTCTGCTTCCGGTGAGGGGAAGAAAGAGAGGAGCCCGCCTAGACAGTCGACAAGACCACCGCAGACACAACAAGGACAGCAAGGGCAACAAGTGGCGCAGCAAGGCCAGAAGCCAAAGTTGACTCCCCAAGAACGGCTATGGCTGCACCGGAACTACAGGGGAGAAGCAACCTTCCTCAAGGCATGGGGCCTCCACATCACCAAAGAGGAGGACCGCGAAGAGGGCATCAAGGTCCTGCGAGAATTAATGGCAGGAGAGGCCAAAGAGGAGAGCAGAGAAGAACGGCGGCAGAATCCGCACTCCAGATCGGATTCGACGCCAGCAACGATGACCTTCTTCACCGCGCCCCCGACGAGGGACGGGGCGGGCCTCGTCGCGATTGCGGAGGAGCGGAACAGTCGCGAGCTGCGGGTCCAACAGACGAAGGAGAGCCTCGGCTACGTCTCCGGCGCGAACGGGGAGCTGTGGAGGGCAGGGAAGAATGTGGATTCCGGGAGGCTCATGATACCTCTTGGAGGCTTTAATACCAAGCACCACTCTCGGACTGAGAGCGAGGGCTCCGTCCTGGGCGCTTATCTGGACATACGCATGAGTCGCCCTTGAGTAGGCCGTTGGGGGTCCTGGAGCATCAGAGATGTATAATGTATTGACGTAATCCTTTCTGTGTAGTATAATCCATACCAGAGCGACACTGTCGCCTGCTGTTCAGAGCTCAATACGAGCGAATAGTTTCTTGGAGCTTAGATCAAGACAAATAGAGGGCGCTGTCAAGATGGCACAGGATGTGCTACCCTTCCTTCTGTTGATCCCCTTGGATGAAGTTGCAAGGTGATGGATTGCAATGTGATGACACTTCTCAGAAGTGCCGTGAGATGAGTCTGCGTCGCGCGGATTGGCGACCGGGTTTCGAGAACCTGCCTTGGCTGCCTGGACCTCTTATTCCTTCGACACGCGTTGTGGTGGTTGGCGCTTGCAAGGCTGACTGCCTCCTAAGCGATGTCATTCCATGCCTACTGCTCATCCGCCTGCCGGTAGCATCGGCATCGTTCCAGCGCTGTGGTTCTCGAGAATGTCGGGCGATCAGCCCGTCAGCCCAGGAAGAACCTCCAACCGCCGTGGATCGTCGTCACCGTCGTAATCCCTGCACGAGGGGCAGAAGGATTCTTGGTAGCCCCTGAACTTCGAAGAAACGGAGACGTACACTAAATTCTGTAAGACCGCCAGGATCGCCGAACCAGGCCATCAATAGCAGCATTGTAAACTGTGGTCAAACATCTCGCGCAGAAGATGCATTAAAATAATCGTGTGTACACTTGAGCTAGCCTTATCGTCCGGCCAAATCGGCAAGATATTCAATAGGGGTCTCGTCATTCCATTCTTCCTTGCTAGTCCCAACTCAAAACCCTATCTGGCTCCAATTATCTAAACATAGAGTCCGACACCCTTGGCGGCGATGTCATCGTCAACAAACGACGAGTATATCTTCCATTTGCCCAATACTCACGTGATTCTCACATCACCACTGCCATGTTGCGATATGCTGTGTTTCAACTTCTATCAAGTCCCAACACCCATGGCGGCCATGTCATCGTCAATAAACACCGATGATATGTTCCATTTGCCCAATTTTAATGGCACGATCGCCACGCTGCGATAATCAGGAGTTCTGGCTCTAAGCCTCAACGGCACAGCAGCCGTGCTTCTATGGCCTTAATCCAACTCCTAAAGGACCACCAAAAAGCACAGAGGCAGTGCGAGGCGAAGCTTCGATTGCTTGGAGGGCCCACTTCGTGATCCTGTACAGCAGGTTTTCCACAGTTCCAAGATCCCTTCAACGGGGCTTTATCAGCTAGGTGCTAATTCTGTTGGCAGTTCGAGTCGAACGGATCCGGAGTCGAACAGTGGGAGTCGAAGCGACCAACAAACCAACCAACCAAAAAACCATGGCGCATTCCTGACGCTTTTGTCTATCACAATGTCCATGATACCTATAATACAAGTGTTGTCATTCACCTGCTTTCCTGGAGAATTCTTGGCATCTTCGTGAGAGTTTCCTATCCTTCATTTCCTATACCATTGTGAGTCTCAGAGACCATCCAGAGACTCTCTGCCAGCCGAAACCATCTTTTCTTGGGTCACCTACATCTCCTTTGACGTACGCCACGACGTATCTGCCACCATGTCGCTGAAGTTTATCCTGCTCAGCTCTTTGAGCATCCTCTCCTTTGTATGCGCCAGCCCTGTACACGCAGCTGGCGCGGTCACGTCACGCTCAACAATACGACCACGTCAGCTTCGGCCCTACTACAAGAGTGCCCACCGCCGTAGTAATGAGACGGAAGCTGTTGCGTCGATCGGCGCCAGCATCACCGTAGACGAGACCGCGGTCGACATTGCCAAGGCCGGTGACTACCCTCGCTTCCTGCGGCTATCCGACGGCAGCATCCTCGCCGCGACCTCGCGAACGGAAAACGGCACGCAGATGATAGCCATCACGAAGAGCACCAACAACGGCACGAGCTTCTCGGAGTTTGGCACAGTCGCAAAGGGAGGAGACGACATGAGCAACGCCGTCCTGCTCCAATTGGACTCTGGCAAGATCCTGTGCGCGTACCGCAACCACGACAAGAACGCCGCCGGCGACTACACGTACTACCGCATCACCGTGTCCTCAAGCGACAACGGCGGCGCGACGTGGGACTTCCTGTCGCAGGCGGCGGAGCAAGCGGCCACCGCAACGAAGAACGGTCTCTGGGAGCCCTTCATGCGCCTCGGCGCCAAGGGCGACGTCCAGGTCACGTACTCGGGCGAGCTGGCGGCCGACAACCAGGAGACGTTCCGCGTGACGTCGACGACGGACGGCAAGGACTGGACGTCGCCGACAAACCTGCACCTGCACAGCACATCGGACAACTGGCGCGACGGGATGCAGTCGATCCTGCCGTTCAAGGACTCCAACGGGACGGACGCGCTCGTCATGGTGCTCGAGTCGCTCCAGACGGACCATTTCCTCATCGACAGCGTGGTCTCGTACGACGACGGCGCGTCGTGTACGACCCCCCGCAGAACAGCGCCGGCTCGCCGCAGGTCGCCAAGATCGGAGACGACATCGCTGTCATCTTCGGCACCGACAAGGACAGCGGCAGCCACTCCGGCGAGTGGCAGTTCGCGGCCGCTTCCGTCATGATCTTCTCGGAGGGACTGGCCACGGGCAAGCTGTCTTGGTCGAAGGAGCTCATCACCATCGGCGAGACGCCTAGCTTCTGGCCCGGGGTGCTGGAAATGGGGAGTGACAGCGTGCTGGCTGCATGCGGTCGTGATGGTGTACCGCAGGGAAAGATGGTCTACCACACGACGGGCTGAGAAGCTCGTCCATGTGGTGGTTGGACCTTCTTGTTTTCGTGTCTCCAAGATGTCTGGGCGGCGACTTTGTTCATTTCATATTTCCTTTAATACCCATTCAGCGATAGCGAATCGACCATCGAGCATCACACTCAAAGAAGCTGCTTTCTTCCACGTCGTAAAGCCTCACCACTTGACACTGATGATTGATGTTTTGTGGTCGCTGACAGCTGAACATTCGACCTGTAAATAAGCATGACCTGCACGGCTTGCATCGGCACCTGGGAGGAGACCATTGCGCGATGTAACCTCACCTGAGCCCTGCTCTTGCTTACACGGTCTTGACTTCGCACCTAGTGTTGGGAAAAGACCATACGCGAGCAAGCTTCTTGTAAGGAGAGTGGACAGTGTATATATTCGTATCTTCTCTCTGACCCATGCTATTTGAGGCATATCAAGGCGGTCAAGCATCACAAGATGGAGCCCTCGAGTGCTAGCAGAGGCTTCTCCCAGCGCCCACCGGTGCTGAAGAACCAGTTCCATCACGATCCAAGTATCCAACGGATGCTCAAACGTGTGTGTCGAGACTGGTTCTATCATACCCCGAACCCGCACTCGCTTAACCAGATCTCTCTTCTCACTCGAGCCGACTCACGTTCTGCACAACTATATGCTGATAACATGCTGACCTCAAACCAGTCTTCGTACCAAGAGACATAGCCCAAACCGCAACGCCAGAAATGGCCCGTCTAGGCGCCGAAGTCCTAGAACCGCAAATCTTCGCCTGGATCACCGACGCCGAGCGAAACCCACCCCACGTCAGCGGCAGCGGCAAGAACGCCTTCGGCTCGCCCAACAGCAGTCCCAACCAGCTCGTGCTCTCCGAGGGCTGGCGCAAGCTGCAAGACTTCGGACTGGAGAAGGGGTTCGCGGCCCAGGGCTACGAGTTTGGTAGGGATGGTTGGGACCAGTACACGCGCGTGGTACAGTACCTGCGCGTGCTGCTGTGGGAGGGCTCGTGCGCGAACACGACGTGTCCGTCCGCGATGGCCGACGGTGCCGCGCGCCTGCTGCTGCGCCATCTTCATCTTGAAAACCAGGAGGATCTCGGCAGCGAACAGCGGAAGGTGTTCCAGAACGCCTATGCCCACCTCACGTCGCGCGACCCGCGCACGGCCTGGACGAGCGCGCAATGGATGACCGAGCGCGGCGGCGGCAGCGACGTGTCGCAGACCGAGACCCTCGCGACCTATTACCCGGCCCCGGCCGAGTCCGACGCACCGCTCTACTGCGATCCCGCTGAGGACGTCCCGCTCGGACCCTGGCGCATAGACGGGTCCAAGTGGTTCTCCAGCGCGACGGACGCGGCCATGACGATCCTGCTCGCACGCACACCCACATCCCCTTCAAAAGGACTCTCGGCGTTCTACGCGCCCACGCGGCGGTACAACCCCTCCCTAACCGTCTCCGCCACGGGGCGGACGGGCGGAATGGAACTCAACGGCGTGAGTATCTCGCGCCTAAAAAACAAGATGGGGACCAAGTCCCTGCCAACGGCGGAGCTAGAACTGCGCGGCATGCGCGCCTGGCTCGTCGGCGAGGAGGGCCAGGGTGTAAAGGAGATCGCCACAATACTAACCATCACGCGGGTCCGAAGTGCCATCTCCGGACTGGGCTACCTGAGCCGCGGGCTCGCCATCGCGCGTGCCTTCGCCGAAGTGCGCGAGGTTGGTGCTGGAAGGGGGAAGCGGGTGAAGCTCACGGAAAGCGCGCTGCACATGCGCACCCTCGCGGACATGACGGTCGAGTACCACGCCATGATGCTGATTGCGTTCTACACGTGCTACGTGATGGGGCTGGAGGAGCATCCCTCGTCGTCGGTTCGGGGGCCGCCGTCGTCGCCTGCGCTGGCGGCCGTGACACCGCCGGCTGAGCTTGTCACGCCGCTGTTGCGGGTGCTGACGCCGGTGCTGAAGGCGTATTGTACGAAGCGGGTCGTGCCGCTGTTGCATGCGTGTATGGAGTCTCTCGGTGGCGTGGGCGTCCTTGAGAATAGCGGGACGGAGTACGTGAACGTCGCGCGCCTGTTTAGAGATGCGTGCGTGCTGAGTATATGGGAGGGCACGACGGATGTTCTGAGTACGGATTTGGTACGCGCGCTGAAGCATCCGAAAGGGGGTCGCGACAGCATCCGGGCTTTGGATCTCATCATACGGAACGGGACGGGGGCGGCTGGGTCAAAGGGTGAGAATATCGTACACGAGTGGGAGAGATTGCGAAAGCATGTAGAAGGGGATACGCAGGATGATCTGTTAGGTGGGGCTCGGGGTGTACTCTGGAAGCTTGCCCAGATCTTGATGGCTGTCATGGCCATCGTGCAGATCAAGAGCGAAGACGACGCGGTGGCAAAAGCGATGTGTGAGCGGTACTTGGTGAGCAACGGATTCATGAGAAGTCACGAGGATGTTGTTGAGCCTCGGTCGGCTCGAAAAGGGTTGGAATTGGATCAAGCCATCGTATTTGGGCACAGCCTAGCAGACGATCGAGCAGCCAAGCTGTGACGCCACGAACCGGCTCAGAGGTGAACCTATCCGGATACCCTAATATCACTGCAGCACGTACCAGTCTGTCTATACATATAGAATACATACAGAACCAACAAAGATCTTTCACCATTGACCCGAAGGAGGTACCCTCTCAAGCCATTTCAGTCGTCGAAGGAAAGTAAGCCCCCTTCGGCATCGACTCCAGCGCCTCCTTATCGATCTCCTCCAGGCGCGGGTAGCCCGACACATTCATCAGGATGTCAAAGTCGGCGAGCAGGGACTTGATGACATGTCTGACGCCCTCCTCGCCGCCAGAGCCCAGCGCGTAGACCCAGAGCCGGCCGATAAAGACGAACTTGGCACCGAGGGCCAGCGCTTTGAAGACGTCGGCGCCGCCGCGGATGCCAGAATCGTACATGATCTGCGGTGTGCTATTGTCAGTGTCCACGAAATAAAGGTTTCAACAAGGGATAGAAATAGGGAGAAGAAACTCACATAAATCTTATCCCCCACCGCATCGGCAATCCTCTCTAGCGCATCCAAGCTCGCCACCGCGCCATCAACCTGGCGCCCGGCATGATTGCTAACCACAATCCCATCTACGCCCATCTCAACCGCCTTGCGCGCATCCTTGACGCTCTGAATGCCCTTGATCGCAAACGGCTTCCCGCCACTGATCCGCTTCCAGTTCTCCATCAGCCACGGCAGGCGGTCCCACGAGAACGCGTGCCCGTGCCAGATATGGCCGTCGATCCACTCGGATCCGACGCGGAATTTGTCCTCGCCCTTCCCTTCGGGGTCGAGGCCCTTCTGCTCGAGCCGCCACCGGAAGGCCGGGTCCTGCAGCGCGAGGTCTCCCGCGCCATGCTCGTGGTAGAAGGCATAGTTGCCGCGCGCGATGTCGTCGTGGCGCCAGCCGAGCTGCCACGTGTCGGTCGTCAGGATCAGGGCCGTGTAGCCGTTGGCCGCGGCGCGCTCGAGCATGCTGAGCGTCACGCTGTCGTCGGGGCTCCAGTAGAGCTGGTAGAAGCGGACGCCCTTGCCGTCTTCGGTCTTGGTCGCGTTATCCTTGTTTCTGGGTCCTTTGCGTGTTTCCCCACCCCCGTCGCCCTTTCTACCTTGACCTTGATATGCTTCGACCCCAACAGCCCCGGCGGGAGCAGGAGCACCCGCCAGCGCATCATTCGCCCTAGCTACATCCTCGACGCTGTAGCTCCCCGCCGAACTCAGACAATACGGCAGGTTCAGCTCCCCGGCGACGCGCGCGGGCGACAGCTCGCCCGTGGGGTGGTAGATGCGGTTGATGCCGATGGGCGCGAACCCGATGGGAGCCGCGACGCGGTGTCCGAAGATTGTGGTCGCTGTGTCGCGTTTGTTGGTGTCGACCAGCATGCGCGGCACGATCTGGTGCCGGTAGAAGGCCTGGCGGTTGGCGTAGTGCGTCCATGAGAGGCCCGCGTTGCAGGAGGCGTAGTGCCTGCGGAATGAGGTCTGGCGTGAATATTGACAATTCCATATCATCCCTCTCTCATTCTGTCTCTTGGACTGTGGAAGGGGGTGAGCAGACTGATAACTCACCATCCGCTTTCCGTGAGCCGGTCTTTGGCGAGTGCTCGTAGCTTGTCCGGGTCTTGGAACGTGGTTAGTCGACCCTGCAGTAAATCAAGCTGAATTCGAATACTAAGATGCACCTACGTGTGTTCAACGGAGGATGTCTGCCTTCGTTAGGTGCCCAGAACAGCTCTCGTTGAAGCAAGCCCCATTGCGGCGTACTGCGCTGGTTGATGTTTGGGTTGTTTGGGTCGCTCATGATGACTCTGACTCCTAACAAGATCTGGTAGCGAACATTCAGAGATTATCTAGATTGGATCTGGTATGCCAAGTGTGCTCATATACAGACGGGATTATCTGGGTGTAATGAACGGAACAAGTGGGCGAATGCCGAATGAATGCCGAATGACATCAAGACTGGATCACACTGGACACGATCGATCAATGGCCGAATAGTATGGCCGAATAATGACATGTGTTGCTCCTGCACAACTCGCACTAATTCCGTTGGCGTATAACCAACCACGCGGGAGCCCGACTTCCCTAGGCACTTTCAAGCGGCCATGGGTGGCCATGATAGTCGTGGTTCTAAAGGGTATTGCAGCTTGCCCGTCCAAGCCCGTTTTATACCCGGGCTTTATGCCATTTTGCCTATGCATTTGTAATGTTGCCAGCGGGGGACAAGTATGATACACACACAGCGGCTGACCATGACCAAAGTCCAAACGCCAATCCCTATGCAATGCAGTAATCGTCACCATTGCGCGTATATAATAGGGGAATGCCGACCTCCGCCAAGTTGGCGGCAGATTAATCCTGGTGAAAGCTTCATTGAACAACACGGTCGTTGTTCTTTCCAACCGTACTAGGGCTGTTGAGAGAATCATCTTCATCGTCTTGCACTCGTCTCCTCACATGGTCCGCATGGTCACCTTCGTCGTCGCTCATCAAACCCTCGAGTTCGAACTCTTCCGCATCCCGGACGGGAACATTTCCATTAAGTCGTGGTCCTAGCCGGCCATTCGCAGCTTCCTTGTTGGGTAGGGCAGGGCCAACGTTCCGGTCGTAGGTGGTGATGAGCATGTTGACCCAGAGGAAAAGGAGCATAGCGAGGGAGTATAGGATCAAGATGTATGCCACGTGATCCATGTCGGAGGAGTCAACCAAATCCATCTGCTCCTCGGTGGCGGCCATGAATAAGAAACCCGAAGCAATCAGCAACTGTTGCAAACGTCAGTATTGTACGGAGTGAAAGTATTCGTGCGTGAAACTTACGAAGATAGGGACGTATTGGAAGCTGTGGGTTACCCTGCCATCCACAGACATGCCATGCCGATCTTTGAGTACGAAAGAAATCTCAATCATCCGAGTGAGGCCAGCAGCCATCAAGGTATACCCAAACATCTTGTGAGTTTCGGCGCTGATCATCAGGGTCTGAGGGTGAGAGCTCATGGCCCAACCGGTAATCAGAAGGACAAAACCAGGGATCAAGTTGCGCTGTGGCCGGCCATCGCGATCCTTACTGAGCCAGACTCCCACCAAGCCCGCAGACCACCAGATAATGCCCATTGTCGTATGTTGCCAATCGTTCCTGACCCATGCCGTACCCCATCGGTGCTCGGTAAAGGTATTGACACAACCCCAGGCGGCGATCATAGCACTGTCAAAGAAATCCTGCGATCGACCAGTGCGCTTGATCCACACCTGTCCAACAAGCAGGACCAGGAGCAGGAGGATGCCGTACACGATGAAGGAACTTCCCATGATGAAATGTGCCAGACATTGTCCGAGGTGGTCGCCGGGCGGCTCGTTGTCTGCGCAGAAACCAAGCGCGGTGAAGCCACCAAAGATCATCTGAGTCCAAGAAAGCACTGGCATGGCTTTGCCAAGGACGCCATGTCCCATAACAACAAAACGTCGGATCTTTCCGTGTACACCCTTCTCCATGTGTAATTTGAGATATATGCCCAGCAGGATTTGTACGAACAGCAGCAAGGACAGAGGGGTTGCGAACATGGAGTGGACATTCGAGTGGAGGAATTCGCGACCACCATGCATGTGGCCCAGGGCGTATCCGAGGATGGCGAGCGCGGTGCCAGCGACCTGGACGGGAACGTGCCATCTGGACCTAACGATCTAGTGGGAGTGTGAAGTTAGCAACGCCGTCTTAACCCACAACTCTGCTGAGGGGTCGCTTACTCCCAGGACCATGCCCAGAGGGAAGATGACGCCCCAGGCAGCCATCTGGACGAAGATGTGAATCCATAATGTCGTGTCCTGTACTCAGCTGGTCAGTTTCCGACTCGTCCGTCACATCGCACCGAGGCTTGCCGTCATGGCTGGGGAGGACATACGATGGGGTCGGCGGAGATCATTTGTCCTTCCTCGATATGCGAAGAGTCGTGATTGTGCGCAGAAGCAATCGGGAGGGCAGCACAGGCGAGCAACGCGGCGTACAGAGACATGGCAGACTTGGGAGCAAACATGGCTCCTCGGTTGATGTTGCCAACCGCCATTGTGGTTCGAGGCGGGCGACGGTGTTTTGTGCTTTCAGCAAAAGTTCCAGGGCCCCAGCAGGGTCTCAAACTCTCAATGTCACCCCTGAAAAGAGGTGTCGCAAGCCAGTGGGGCGAGCAGATAGATTCGGTCTTGGAGACGCGTTACAGTGGCGACGGGAGGCGACGGGAGGCGACGGACTGGGGACACAGAGCAAGTGAATGTCTGTTGCCGGTCGGGTTTTATCAGCAGAGTCGTGGACCAGGAACCAGGACGGAGGAGGATGGTTTTGTTGGCGATGGCTTCGAATGCGAGGAGATGGAAGAGAAGGTCTGGCTGCATCTGCAATTGAGCTGACATGCCGGCATGCATGGGAATTTCAGATCTGGACTGGGTCTCCACGCACCTTGTTGCCGAGCTTCCAGGCGCTGAACTGCACAACGCGTGTCCCGCTGTGGTTCCGGTGTGTAATTCCTAGAAGCACGATCCTTGGCAGAACCACATTTATCTGGCATTGTTCGAGTCTGATTAGCTCGCCCAGGTTTCTGATCTAACGCTAACATGCAACCTGGCTTCCTTCCAGATCGAACCCGTCACGTAAAGCTGATGGTCAAAGCGTTATGTGGCTCTGCCAATGTTCGGGAACACACAGAACTTTCGGTGGGATGTGATTGGTTCTAGAGTCATTATGGATATTTGTGGGGGCTGGCCACATCATCACTCATCAGCGAAGCTTCCAGCCTCTGGTAGTGAATAACAACGCGAGACTACCATATCATATGTGACATGGTGTTAAGCATCAGTATGCATTTGAAAGGCTTGGGGCATGGTAACGGAAGGATCCATCATGGTCGATGGATGAATGACTGATTGACTGACTCTTTCAGCCGAGCTTCACATTACCGTCTCAAAGTTGCTCATCTTCTTTATCAACATTCTGGGGTGCTGGTTCAGGGGTATATATGTCCGCCAGCACCGAGCCAGCCGAGATGATCCGTTTCTCTTTGCTCTGTCATTTCCAATGCGCTCCATGCCCTCTGTATGACGGTCCAGCACTTGTATCCACCTGGTTGGATGCTGAGTCATCAGGTCACGTGTAGATTAGATAAGGAAGGACACCACCATATGTGCTGCAGCCATTCGGGTGCACGCACACCTGGATTCCTTTCCTTCCTCACCTTGTTATTTTGGGAATACAACACCAGATTCCACCAAGACGCCGTAGGCATCGTGACACCCTGGATATCATCTCGGTCTTCCTAGTTCGCTGTATCTAAACAAGCAAAGCCGGCAATTCGATGTGAGCAGCGTGGATATGCTCATAACGATAAGCAGTGTGCAGTCCGAGCTGAAGTCCGCACTACCAGTTGACAAGCAGTCAACTTGGAACTTTCGGGAAGACGAACATCATTAAATCAGGAACGAATGCTCCGAACAACGAGCAGATATATCGAGTCCATCGGAAGTACTCTGGACTGAGGGGGCAAGCCGCCATTTCAGCATGAGACATTTTCAACGGTTGTCTCACTTCCTCGCGGGATTCCAACGCGCCTCCCATCACAGATGGCCTCGCCAGGGTGAAAGTTGGAGGGGAATGTCTGCTGGGTGGAAGAGAGTCTAGCACAATGATCACTGCACGCCAAGCTCTTCGACATTGGTGGTCGAGTGTAACTAGTCCTTTGTCCAGAAGGACTTTTGGATGACGTGCGACTTCGTCTGACGGAGATGTACCGATGACATCAAGCATGGTCCTCAAGCTGAGATTCCGTTCGCCGGCAGCTCCTTTCATGGGTCGTGCTGGCAGCCTGCCAAGACATCAGGCTTGTGCGAATATCAAAGAGCTGCATCGTGCCGAACCGCAGATCAGGATTGCTCTAAGAGCACGCCAAGTGAAAGAGTTCCATCCTTGACTGACATTAGTCACAGTAACTTACCAGATACCCGTTTTGGGTTACAGGCAACTGACGTCCTTCGACCAGTCTTTGTATAGAGGAGTCTTTGAGATCGGTCAAGCTGCCATGGCTTTGTTCGTGATGGTAGATGTCATGGGTCTTTCGCTACGAAATCTCCCTTTGATGCCTTTGCCACTTTTGCCCCCTATATGAACCGATATTGGAGGGGAAACCTTGCCATTGCTTTCTTGCTAACCCGAGGTCTAACACGTCCAAAAGATCAGTACGGAATAGCTCACAAGCAGACTATTCCTCTTAGCGCAAGTCAAATAGAAGGCTGAGAACATCCTCTGTCTAGAAATTTTAACCACTCAACCTCAGACACCATGCTTTCCATCACCTCAACATTCGCCCTCCTCACTTCCCTGGGCGCCGTGACCTTAGCCTCGGCCCAGACGAACTTCGAAGGCGCAAACCTCCAGCCCAACACCAAAGTCGGCGACTATCAGTACCTTGGATGCGCCAATGAAGTCCCAGGGCGTACTCTTACGGCCATCAGCTTTTCGAACGATAGCATGAAGATCGAAGACTGCCAGGCCTACTGCACCAAGAACAACTACCGGCTCTCGGGCGTCGAATACGGACAAGAATGCTACTGCGGGCGGTTCATCGCGATTCCGGCAGCTTTGGGGGCGTACCAGTGCAACATGGGCTGCGGGGGCAACAAGAAGCAGATCTGCGGCGGCTCCAATCGCGTATCCATCTTCAACAACACCAACATCAACGCCGTGGCTGCGGCGCCCAAGCTGACCGGCACGTGGCAGTACCAGTCGTGCTTCATGGAGCCGCAGAACAGCCGCGCGCTGGACATACTCATCAAGGCCGACGACAACATGACCATCGAGATGTGCACGCAGGCCTGCGGCGACGCCAAGTACCCCTACGCCGGCGTCGAGTACGGCCGCGAGTGCTACTGCGGCGCCACGCAGTCGCCCAACCTGCAGGACGCGTCCGACCCGACCTGCTCGATGCAGTGCGATTTTCCGTGCGGCGGCAATGCACAGCAAATTTGCGGCGGCCGTCTCACGATCGGTATCTACAAGAACACTGCCAAGTCAAAGATGAGCCGTGCCGCTGTAATGGGCGCGAGGAAGGGCAGGTTCGTCAAGGTGGTGAAGGAATCCGAGGTCGCGGCAGAGGGACAATAAGGGCTTCCTTCCCCTTGAGGCTGACGGTATCACCTGAGCCGGTAGAGATCCATTAGGTGGAACTCGTCTCTTGTAGGGCTTCTTCTAAAGGTAGATGGAGTCACGCATGGATTGCGGTGTACTTGTTGGAACTGGGGCGCTGTATGGGGCACGGTATGACGTGGTATGGTAAGACACAAAGTGATCTCCTATCTTTACTTTACCTTCTCCTTTGTGGGGTCCTTGTCTACTTATACATAGGTACAGCTACTAGCTGAACTGACAAGAGAATCATTCATCAAGATCAAATGAAAGACATGTTTGAATTGAAGTTTATCGAAATTTATTCATTGCCACGTCAGTTACCATACCATCAAGGCCTCCGATAAACCCGGTCCATCTGCGCGTCTTTAACACTCCTATCGCCATCGCCAGGCCCAATATCTTACTGAAATTCAGGTGCCCGCCACACTGACCTCCCACCACCCTGTTTACCTCGCTTCCCTCCCCAAAATACTCCCTATGCAGTAGGTCTGCATCGCGGGCGTCCATTCTCCAACGTGTTGGCATCGCACGTCAGAAGGTCAACTTGGACACATGTCAAGGCGGCGCCACCTGTAATCCCAAGTATCAGAAAGAGTTCCTCGGTTCATACACGTCATATGGTAGTCAAACTCACAGTTGGCAGATCCAGCCGGCACACACTTGCCCGCTGCTCCGTTGACAGTGCACACGTCCTCCTTCAAGCTCGAGTCCGCCACGCAGCACGCTCCGTCGGCGACGGGCCTGTTGTCGTTCTGCCTCGACTCGATTGCCGCAGCGCTTGTGGTTGCTGCAAGGGCCAGGGCGGCGAACAGAGAGGTGATGGAGAACTGCATTATGGTGGTTTGGAGATGGTTGATGGATGAAAGTCTGTGAGGACGGAGAGAGCAGAGATCGAGGGTATAACTATGTGGAGCTTGAGGTTCGGCGTTGGTGATGGATCATGAGCGAGAAAGCGACAATTTGCAATGACAGCGGTCTTCATATATATACCTACTACTACAGACCGCCGCGCTTGATTGAGCGCATGGTCGAGTCTCACGATGCGCCAAGCTCAATGCAAGCGCCAGACGAGACCGACCCCACGACCCGAAGGCACCGCACTCGTCCCAAACCCGGTTGCAAGGCCTGCTTACCGGCTACTGCTACCAACCAATGAGCATGAGCGATCAGTCGCCAGATGCTGGATGATCCGAGGTAGCAGCAGAGTCGCAAGCTTGATCGAGGGTGTTGGCTCGGATGTTGAGACGAAGGTGGAGTCGATGGGGGGATCGACGACTTCAGACGGCAGGGGGTCAAGCAGGATCGGGTCAAAACCCCCCATAGCCCACATCCAGTATCCTCAATGAACAAGTATCACTCTATCGACATAAATAATAATATATTACAGAGCAAAGCATTTTTCTATCGTTTTATGTAAATGTCATTAACACTACTAGCTTTTTTGGTCCTATTATAAAGCGTAGAAACTTAAAGGTAGCGAAGTCTCACCGTGATACTGAGCGGGCAATCGGTGGTGTGGCTAGTGGCTTGGGGGGGGGGTTATTCCCGATCCTGCTTGGGGTCCGTGATGCCAGATGCCCGGCTGGATTTCGTGACCGTCTCGGAGATGGCTGAAACCCAGCTCGGTACCTAGCGAAGGCCATGTTGGATGGGCTGGGGAGAATCTCGAGGGAGATGGTCAAGTCAGCTAGAGGTAATGCAAATGAGTGATACCTAAGTCATGGTCTACGGGTTGACGGCCGACGAAGACTTCTGACGATGTTGCGTAGGTGGGAAAGGAAGCAAAATAGTAGCGCGCCCCATTTCCTTAGTGGTGTAACTTATATATAGGTATAGTGTTGGATCCATGCGATTCCAACCTTCAAACCATTCATACCGGATCCACATGTATGATTAGATAAGAGATTAGATACCGGATTGTGAGGACACTTAGCCAGACCTGCAAGTCCAGCTAGACCTCCCAATCCAACCATCAGCAACATCATGACCTTGACCCCATACTCGAGTATTATGATTGATTGTTCAAGCCTGTTCCTACATATAGAGATATTTCGTATATAATAGGATATAGGAGGTAAATATATGCTTATAAATTCATGTCATCGTTATCGCGACCTACTAGTATCCTTCAGGTTTATAGACTTATAGTAACTAGCTGTGCTTATTTTTATATATCTAGACAACTAGGTGGTAGAGGACCCCATTATTCACCATCCTGGACACCTGGCCCATCAGCCCATCTCAAGCTATCAACTCCTACCCTTCTGTCCAATTGGCCATCAGCACGCATCACCAAACTTCAATGTGGGATCAACCAGCATGACGGCTTCATCCGTGTAGTCCAGGGATAAACGCCGTTAACTTCAGGCCAATGCCCTGTTGTGGCTTCTCTGTCAAAGACCCGCAAAAGGTGCAAATAATAGAACTCTTTGTTGGAACAGGCTTGAACGATCAATCATAATACTCGAGTATTGGGTCAAGGTCATGATGTTGCTGATGGTTGGATTGGGAAGTCTAGCTGGACCTGCAGGTCTGGCTAAGTGACCTCACAATCTGGTATCTAATCTCTTATCTAATCATACATGTGGGTTCTGTATGGATGGTTTGACTGTGGAATCACATGGATCCAACACTCTTATTGTTAGCACACATTATAATTACGAGAACTATGAACGTTGTTGACGTATGATGCCACTACTCGAATCGAGATATAGAAAGATGTGCTATCCCGGCTAAGCAAGGAAACCTGCGAGGTGGGCGATAACTTGTGAGATTTCAAAGTTTTCTATTGAAGGAGCGAAACCAGGAGTAGTTCCTGAAGGGCAGAAGGCCCTTATATATATGAAGAATACAGAAAGAATGTATGGGAAAAGGACAGTGTGCCCTTTTCCAGCAATCCTAGCGAAAGGACCGATATGGGGTTTTGGTAGGATTGGTGACGTTGAGACCTCAGGGTGAACCAGAACCCCTAGATTCCAACATAACTTACAACTCGTGCAATCTCTCTAAAATATCTTCTGTCCGTTCACCCTCACCCACGAGGTTACCGTCGTGGACATCTTTGCCGCGGACTCCAACCCCACGAGGCCTTCCACAATAATCATGTTCTCCAACAGTGGTGCACTATGCTCACTATTGCTGCTCGCCGGCCAATCATTCGGTAGCCCCTTGTTTCACAGAGATTCTGACCCATCACTCGATTGGCTGTCTCTTTGCGATCAGAAAGCCCCAGAGTACACCCCGCTGGACAAACCTCTGGTTTCATGGTCCGTAAAGGCACCCGAGGACCGTCATCCGAGGGTCTACCTGAAGAAATACTACGATGACCACGACCCCGGCAAGCCTTACGGGCGCAAGGTCGCGAGATGGCTGAGTGAGTTCTACAATCCCAACACCAAGGTCAAGAGCGACCTGGAGTTTAAGCATAAGCCCAACAAGGAGCCCATCAGGAAAGACGCGGCAACCCTAGTCACCATATTCTATCCCCCGGACGATAACAAGGACCAGACCGAATATCTCAATCGGTTCACAATCTTGGCCAACGCACAAGAGCAGATAGTCGTCTATACTACGGAGGGCATGGTAGAGAAGATTAAAAAAATCCGGGACGACGACCATATCATCATACGCACAGACTTCAAGACTGTATGGGACTTCCCAAACAACGCGTACCAGCAGGAGAATTTCGATGGAAAGCAGAAACAATTGTATTGGACCTTCTCGAGGAATCTTCCAAAGTCACGAACGATGGACTGGTTCTACAACCAGCCGCACCGCATGGCGACGTACAACGCCAAGGCTGCTGTCGCGTTCGATGCCATTATGCGCAACGAATGGGGTTCGGACAAGTGGGTGCTTATTGACTTTGGTATATTTCATTCATCTATTTTCAGATTCAATGGCCCGGCAGGAAAGAAATGGGAAGCCTTCACCAAGGTGCTCTTCGACCAAGACAAGCTCGCCAGGTCCATCAAACTCACTGGGAACACTGGGGTGGTGGTCGGTGAGTACACATCCAGACTGGACATAAAGTCAAGGGACTTTACGGACGAATGCTGGACGGACAAGACTCACCAGGGGAACTGTCTCCATTTCGTCGCGAACGTCGTAAGTAAACACTTCACTCCAAGCCCCAAATACCCTTGGACTAGAATGAAACTGACCATTAGCAGGCCGTTGGCAGCACCCTAGGTATGCTAGAGTATGTCACCAAGTTCATGAAGACGGTCGACGATATGGACGCCGCGGGATGGTACGTTGCCAGGGAAGAGTTGGTCATGTCCCCTATGGCGGCGCGGTATCCGAACACTCTGGTCGCTGTACCGGAGTATGATCTCGCTCCAGAGCTATACGGTCCACTGCAGAGACTGCTCAATACCATCAGCAAGATCAAGAAGCAGAACGCAGGGGACGCACGAGCCCATCTTCGATTTGCATCGGATACACTCTCGTGGTCGTCGTACGGCGGGGCCGAGCAGGTGCCTCCTCTCCAGGACCCTTTCACCACGCGCTTTTGCCCCAAGGGCAGCAAATACCAACCAAGACAGCCGAATCTTGAGCAAGGGAAGGGGATTGTGAAGGATGACCCCGAGGCCGTCGAAAAAGAGATGATGGGAGACAGTGACAGCGATTACGGCGTGTAAAACAGCTGAGCCTCATCAAGGAGTAGATCGTCGGTTTACATCAAATAGATGTTCGCTTCACAGCGGATGTACTTCATTAGTACGACTGTTCATGTACGATAACAGCGTCTTATTCCCAGACGCTTGTAGGATAGAAATTGTATCATTAACCCCTTCGCACCTGACCCCAGGCATTGTCATAAGCAGGTCTATGTGAGAGTGAGATGCGAGTACTCAAGCATAATCAAGCGCTGGCGGGTCGAAGCCTAAGATTCTGTGTAAGACTTGGTCGCACGCCAATCCAGCTGCCGTAGTTCAGGGCAGACAAGCAGCGGGATCCTCGCTTTTTGGACACGAGGGAGCAGATCCTCCACACGTAAGAGCAGACAGCCGTATGACTCGACACCGTCATTCATCCCACACGTAGAGAGCCCACGAGACGCCTTCCCCTCGGCGCAAACGGAGCTGTTAGAAACTAAATCACCATAATCTCTCATATGTTCACTGCTTGTCGTTTTGCATCTCGTCCAAGCATATACACATGGCCGCGATAACAGCCATGTCAACGTTCGGTACAATTGACACGTCATAGGTCTGCTGCCCGAAGAGCTCACCCTTGTTAAAAAGCTGGCGCTTGATGGTCGCGACAGGCTGTCCGGTCGTCTCGTCGACGATATTCCCTCCTTTCTTGGACAATTCCCCCTTCATCAGCAGGGAGACCGGCTGCCCTGTCGCTGAGATGAACGTGCAGAGTGACTTGGGAGCACCGACTAAGTAGCGAACGCGATGATCAGCAAGTAGAACCATAATCGCTCGAAATTGTGTCTCGCTGCCCCCCAAGAGCCATGGCGGAGGAAGCGGAAAACGTACTGCTGAACTTGCTCCTCACCTCAAAGATCTGGTTGCCGCTCGGATCTTCAGCATAGAAGGTCTCATGCCACGCGATGAGTTGTTTGCGTATGGTGAACAGCCGGGTCCCATTCGTTTCCATGAAGTGCTTTCGGCCGGACAGCGAGAACATCTCGCCCTTGACCTTGAAGATCGGCCGCTTTTCCGCCGTCCGGATGTCGAAGCTGTCTCCCGAAAGAGACCAGACCTTCTCTTTCAATCTCAATGTCTGCGCTTGGCGCGCGATGTAGGGCTTGAATATGCCTATTGGCGCTTGGTGGTGGTGAGATTGGTCTAACATTGTGATGTCTGCAATTGATGAGCTTGGGATGCTATAGGCATGGAGGAGGAGCTCGAGAGCGTGAGGCACGCTGGCACATCGTCAGGACACGGTCGCGATATATAACGGTCTGATTGACCATAACTGACGCGATGCGTGAACCGGACGTGATGAGAGGGTAAAGTGCGATCAAGAACTGTAGGACTGAAGTGACAATGACAATCCAGCTGCTATCAGCTCCAGCCATGCTGATGATGGACTTGAATCAGCCCCCAGAGGAATTAAAGGATTGCGGCTGACGCCATTGTGAAACACGGTTCGCCAATACCGTAGTAAGATCTCATTGAATCTAGGCGGCGGCTTAAGCATTTGGCGGATTTCGCATCTTATACGATGCTGACACAGTAATCCTACGAAGTGGTAGGCGGCGCCAACATCAGGGTGGTGTCAGATCTAAATGAGGGTTCTCGATTACTACCTGCAGCTCTCGGTACCATTTAAGGCTAATATTTCCCTTATAAATGCGAACGTGAATTTCTGGCTCTCTTTGTGAGAAAATGAAGTATGACATGATACCATCGCCTGGCCTGGACTTCGGTTCTCCCGTCTTGCCGTCAATACCCTATCCTATCATTAATCCCCATGTAGCGTCCAGCACCTCTCAGGAGGCTCATGGGAATGGGCCTCCCCCATATACCTAAAGAACTTCCCTTGCATAATACCAGACACATACGCAGGTCCAATCATGCAATAATTTGAGCCTTTCGGCCGAAGAACATATGGCTGGTCCATTTCAAAGAGAATAGATTGCCAGAAGCACGGAACAAGTGAAGATGTAATGTTAGAATATCAATCACGTGCTCGATCAGGGGTAGCTGCCGTCAGCGACCAGTCTCTGACTTGACAATGGCCAACTCAGGCGCCTGGCATGCGCAACCAGCGGAGCCTGGCTTCAATAACATACTTGTTGCTCTCAATTTGTAGTCAGAATCCCGAGTAACGGGACGAACCTTGCTGTTGACAAGACCATCTGCGAAACGAACATGTCGTAACCCAAGGCGCCCAACGAGCGCCAACCTCTCACCGTTGCTGAGATCGAGCATGAGGCAAAACTCAAGTTACCAAAGAACGTATACGACTTTTACGCTGGCGGTTCCGACCGGGAGAAGCACTGGCCGAAAACACCAGTGCATTCGACAGGTGAGACGGCGCCACCCGGCAGGCCACAACCCGAGCAACCGCTAAGCCGGGATATATATGCAGACTCTATATAAGACCGAGAGTGTTGCGAGACGTCTCAAATGTTGACACGAGCACAGTCTTCTTCGGATGGACGAGCACCCTTCCCATTGGTATTGCGCCCAGCGCGATGCAGAAACTGGCCGGCGGCGATGGCGAGCTCGACGTCGGCCGCGCGGCCGTCAACCTGGGATTGAACTTCACGCTCTCGTCGTAATCAACGACGGCGCTGGAGGACGTGGCTCGAACCCGGCATGTCCACGCGTCCACCCCGCCCGTTTGGATACAGCTCTACCTCTACCAAAAGAACGAGAAGAGCGTGCCCCTGATTCGCAGGGCCGAAGGTGAGAACGACATATTACATGAAACCCAGGGCGGGCAGACCAGCTGATAGTATTCCATGCGAGCAGACGCAGGCTACGAAGCTTTGGTCCTGACGGTGGACACCCCGGTTTTGGGAAACCGTCTGGCGGAGCGACGAGTGCCCGTCGTGCTGCCACCCGGCATAGGTCTGCCCAATCTACCAGGGGGCGCAAAGGCAACAGGAAAGCCCAGCATAAACCGTCGGCTGATGAACGCGGGATCCGCCAATGAGGCTCGGGAGATCATCGAGAGCGCCGAGGGCGGAACGCATAGCTCGAGTCTCACGGTGAGTGGCATGTAGTGACACCCAATCCCTATACCCTCATAGCCACGTTCCACCGCGGAGCAGGCTACTGACTATCGATGCATTAGTGGGAAGGCACCATGGCCTTTCTCCGCCGCACGACGCGCATGAAGGTAATCCTCAAGGGCATAATGACAGGCGAAGATGCCAAGCTCGCAGTACAGCACGGCGCAGACGCCATCATCGTGTCGAACCACGGTGGTCGCCAGCTCGACAGCGCAAGCTCCACGATCGAGGCCCTGCCCGAGATCGTGGAAGCCATGCGGGGTCGGATACCTGTCATATTCGACGGCGGCATCCGCACGGGCTCGGATGTCTTCAAGGCCCTGGCACTCGGGGCCGACTTCGTTCTGGTCGGGCGGCCGGCGCTCTGGGGCCTGGCCTACGCGGGTCGTGAGGGGGTGGAAGTCGTGATGCAGATCCTGGAGCGCGAGCTGAGTCGTACGATGGCTTTGGCCGGAGTTTCTCGAGTGCGGGATATTCGAAGGTCGCATCTAGGTGTTCGATCCGCAGATTCGTTTGGGATAGCAAAGCTGTAGAACGATATGAAACTTGGTAGCCTCTACATGAACGCCCGAGAGGAACCCCCTCCGAGCTGTATGGGGCCACAGGGCAGCAAGCGTATCATCATGGCAGCTTGCTAGGTCCGGTATATGGAAGTCCTTCTTCACGATGAAACCCTTCCTGGGAACATGGTTGCCACCGTTGCTGGGCGCTCTACGATAAAATCCGGCTCTATCAAATTCGATTGACGATCACAGCTCGATTTCCTACTCTGACGGTAGAGATACCGCGCACGGCGTGTCTATAGAGGCGAGGAGTGTGCAATGCTCTCCTTTTCCCCTGTATTGGCTAATTCTCCTCGGCACTACATGCTTAAGGTTCGATCAATGCCATAGATTGACTGCTGGTGACTCCACAACTACTTCTGCTATTGTACGTAAAGGAGCACAATAACTATAAAGCTAGCTAGAACGCATGGTCAGGTATATATAGGGGTCTATCCTGTAGGGCTGCATAGTGCCGTGACAGCCAATCAAGGCTACTTAAGTCCTCCCGTATATCTCTAACCACCAATCATCAACCCTGCTTAAGTCCTCCTCTATTTCTCTATCATAACTGCTCTCGGTCCTTCTCGCCATCCCAAAGTCGAAGAGATAAATCTTGCTCTTGTGAGAAACGATGAGAAAGTTGTCCTTATGGACATCCCGATGTACCCAGCCCTTTTTGTGAAATCGGGTCAAGACGTCTTTGCAGGCTTGCATGTCTTCAGGATCCCAAGACTTTGGGTTGCTTCCACCTTCAATATACTCGATGACGAAACCAACGATGAGCTCCGCGTCATCATCGTCGACGACGATAACCAGAAATCTAGGGGCGATTCCGCTTCCCTCAATGCTCTTATAGACGATGAGCTCCGTTAGAAGCCCGACACGTTTGGTCTTGACAAGCATCTTGGCTTCGGTAATCACTTTCGCTTCGTCGGTTTCCGGTGTGATGGGCTTGGTAACGCCGATGGACAGGTCTGGTGATAGTTGGCTCATCTTGATCTTGGGCTTTTCGCTCCATTCGAATTTCCAATCGGAATCCCTGGTGTCTAGTGGCGATTCGACACTGGTCACACTTCGGCCCTGAAGGCAAGTCAACTAAAGTTCCTGAGGCAGAGGCAACGCTGTGCTGCCTTTATCTCCTTGTCCTTACATAGACCAAGCTCTGGGATGGATTGCTTGCTAATCCGAGAACGCCAATGGCTACTGCCTTGAAGAGTTGCATAGCGTACAGATGCTGGGAAGGTAAAAACATCCTTTCATGGCCTTTAGTTAAATAGTTCCTGACATTATATTTACTTCATGCTTTCCTAGCTGCACCGTAATCGGTACGATTACCAGGGTATCTGGTCACAATTCTATATATATACCACCCCGTCAGAACCCATGCCCAGGTCCTGGTCGCCAATGCACCCTGGCGTTAGCAGCTCAAACTATGTTGCAATACATGTAAATGACTGCTATGGATTTCTCGTCCGAATCACATTTCCAGCTAGTAGCAACATTATGCATTGGCAAGCGATATCCTAGCTTCGGCGTACGAATGAACGCCCCGCTCTTAACCCTACCCATTCGGTAAGTTAGCGCTTTGCGACGCAGAAGTCGATCCGGTCTGATGCCTCTAAGATACCGGTTTGCTCAGAACCACGCCAGGGGGGTCCTTGGTAGACGTATCTCCCCAATCTGCTTCCCAGCCGTTATCAGCCAAATACACTTTCCAATCCGCATCATCGTCCTCCAGGCGCGTCGAGACGTCCGGAATGACGAAGAAGGCCACCAGTGCGCCAAGGACTGCGAAACCCGAGCCGATGAGGAATGCGACTTGGTCGCCTTGGGTTGGGTCGTCGGTGTAAGCGTTGAGAATAGCACTGAAGACCTGTTCCTGTTAGAATGCGGGCTTGTCACAAGGGGACTCTCGACGTACCTTGTCCCGATTGCAGCTCCGGCTTTGGAGAAAGCGGAAACAAGACCCATCATCTGTCCGCGGACCGAGGTCGCGAAAGACTCCGAAGCAGCCAGCACGACCGTACTACGCAAGTGTTAGTACAGGTAGATAAAACCGTGGGAACGGAATTGCACTGACCTTCCGGGCCCGACTTCCCCCAGTGTCAAGAAGACACCATACAGAACGACGAAAAGCGGGAAGATATTATGTATAGGCGTCATAGCACCACCAAGCACGAACCCGAGGATAGCTTGTAGCGTGAAGCCCAAAGCCATAGTCTGGCGGCGACCGGTCTTGTCCGAGAGATAGCCACCGATGAATGGTCCCGGGATATAAAAGCAGTTGATCACCACTCCCCACCCTAGATTCTTGATAAGACTCTCATCAGGGTTGACACGGGAGACGATAGTCGAGCTGAAGATCCCAAACGGGATGGAGATCCAGTTGTACAAGAACCAAGTCGAGGCACAGCCGATCAGCGGGCGGTAATAACGCTTCAGCGCAAGCCAGTACGGAACGCGCTGTTTGCGCATCGACGACTTGCGGTATGCCGTCGAGACGGCCATGCGGAGCCGGAACCAAAAGATGACCAATGGCGGTACGAGACCGAGAGCGAACGACGTCCCGCCAGACTATTTCGTAGCTGGACTCCTTCTGATGGACGCAAAGGAGCAGGAGCAGCGGAAAGACCCCGGCCGAGACGTAGCCGAGTGACGCGGACAGGTCGGCCAGCATGGCGAACATGAAACCCCCGCATCTTTCTGTACTTGTCGCTCTCGTCAGTGGCTTCAGCGGCGCCAGCTCCGCTGACCGGATACTCGCCACCGGCACCCACGCCGGCGATGCCCCGCGCGACGATCATCATCTAGAACATGCCGGTCGGGTCCGAGCCGCTGGCGGCCGTCGACAGGACGATGCCGAGCACGAGGAGCGCGGTCGTGGCGACGGCGCCGGTCTTTCGGCCGATCTTGTCGACTATGATGCCGAAACCTAGCATGCCGATGATCATGCCCACGAGAAAAGCGTTGCTGAGGCGCTGCGAGATCGTGCTTGTGAGCTCGTCCGGGTAGAGCACGGCGAGCAGGAGCGAGATGTTGCCGATGACGGCTGCGTTGCTTTATGATTGTCAGGGGTTGCTCTCATGAAGCTGTGTCGAGTGAACGCTTACTATCCGTCAGACCCAATTGCCAGCCCCGAAAAAAGAATAATGAGCCAGACAGAGGCCTTGCTGTAGTAGGTCTTCTCCGGCTCAGAAGAGCCATTCTCGATATCCGTGTCGACTCGTTGGATCGCCTCATTCTTCTTCTCTGCCACGATGGCGTCAATGGGCGGTTCCGCCATATTTGGACTCTCAGTCTGAGCTGCCATCTTCACTCAGACAACGTATAAACCCCCCGCGAACTGGAAAGGTCGCGCGTGGAAATCTTATGAGCGTTGCCGGATCAGCACGATTATACTCGTTTGGCCATGGATTTGGACGCCGATCGGCAGTTATCAGTACCCCAGACGCCCGCGGTCTTACCCCGACTCTATCATCGGAGCCCGCCGCTCGTCCGGGACTTTCGCCGGGGACATCATCTCGAACTTCCAACCAGCTTCTTTCGTCGAAGTCCAACGCTCGTAAACAGTTGCTTTTGACGTCTGTCAAGTCCAAAGAAGTAGGTAATCCGAGAATATTGAGCTAGAATCTAACGGCGGGGGCATATAAATGGGACAGCCCCATATATGGGACAGTTTTCCCACCAAAATCTCATTATTACGATTCGTATAACTCGGTCAGTATTAACAGCACGATAATATGATTTGAACAAGAATATTTGCCTCTTTTTTCTATTTCTTAAGATATAGCCGCTTAATGTAATCTATGCTGGGTGTAAAGTTATAATAGCACGGAGTTTTGCCCTTACTGTTGGATCCATGCGATTCCAGACTGCAAACCATCTATACCAGGACCCACATGTATGATTAGATAAGATAAGATAGTGGATTGAGAGGGCACTTGGCCAGACCTTCGAGTCCAGCTAGATTCCTCTCAATCCAACCATCAGCAACATCATGACCTTGACCCCATACTCGAGTATTATGATTGATCGTTCAAGCCTGTTCCAACACTTACTAAATTTTACCTTCCGGGCTGCTGTAAGTCGGGTTTTCCCGACCCTTTGGTGGGAACAAGGCATAGCCAGGCTTCTAACAATCACAGCGGCCTAAACTGCTGGTACACCCCTAATAAACCCAAAATCAAAAGAAACACCAAGAAAAGGCGATTTCGAATGCATTACTCACATCATCTAGAGCTTTTATTCCGATAGAGTTATTTGTAAATGCAACTGTAGTCTTTTGGTGTAAAAACTGTCCCATATATGGGGCTGTCCCATTTATATGCCCCCGCCGTTACGGTAGTTGACTGCTTTTAGGATAATTACATTCGTTCGCGCAAACGGTTTCATCGCAAGACGGCATCGGTCGTGTCTCTGCCCTCCCCACTCCTGGGTTCCGCACTGATATCAGAGCAGCGGGCCGGCACATCTGGGGTGTGGCTGTGGCTGTTAGCCGTCCTGCCGTCTGAGCCGGTCAAGCATGCCTCGAGTCTTTGGCCGACCTTCTTCGAGTCTGTCTTGAAGTACTCCCAAGCTTGCAACAGTCGCCATGGCTGAAATCTCAATGAAGCAGCCTCTGATGGTCGAGGAGGGGCAAGAGTCCCGGCAACACGAGCGAGCACCATCGCGGAAGAGGCGCATGGTTAGCTTGCTCAGAAAGCGCTGCCTTGCCATCTGTCAAGTGAGCATCTTGCTATACAGCTGCTTCATAATCTACCAGCTATGGCAATCATACTGGTCTGGCGCCATCCCTGACGTGGCCAAGGTGCAGCAATGCGCGATAAATAGCTTCCACTCCAGCCTCTCATTCCTGGACCCGGCGGTGCCCATTACATCGGATGAGTTCCTCGAGCGGCGGGACCGGCTCGCACAAACTCTGGTGGCATCAGACGTCGATGCATTTGTGCTCGAGCCTGGTTACACATTCCAGTAGGCCAAACCCACCCTCGACTACTCCGTCCCATGGTGCTTACTCGGAATATCAGGTACTATGGCAACATCTCCCAGGTAGACTGGGAGCCCTGGGAGCCCGAAGAACGGCCATTCTTGATAGTCATGCTCCCGCAGACCTCGGATTCCGGAGAAGTTACCGCAAAGACGGCATACCTGGCCCCGTATGTCGAAGAGGGCCGAGTCCGTATGCTCGGCATACCCTCGCGAGAAGCCGAGTTGGAAATTGTCATCTGGGAAGAGCATTGGGACCCGTACGGTACGCTGCTCGAGTCCAGACTCTTCGCCGGTTCCAAGGCCGCGAGAGGAGGGCGCAAGCCGAAGCTCATGGTGGACGAGGAAATCCGGGACTTCATTCCCCGCGGCCTCGCGGCTTCGGGCTTCGATACCGTTGGCTTGAGCCCAGAGGTGGAAATGGTCCGACAGATCAAGAGCCCGGCCGAGGTGGAGCTGCTCCGAGTCGTCAACACGGGCACCGTCGTGGCGGTCCGGGCTATGAGGCCTTGCCTTGTGCCTGGGCTGACTGAGGAGGAGGTGAGGGATATTCTTGATGAGACATTGCTATCTGTGGGCTTTGGTCTCTTCTTCAAAATCGTGCTTTTCGAGGAGGACGGAGCGCTTCCGCATGGAGGCTTCGTCGTGGGCGGTAAGAAGGCGACTGAAGAGACGATGATTGTCATTGACGTGGGGTGAGTCTACCTCCTTGATGCGCTGCGTTTGCGACACGACTCTTAACTACTGCGAACAGAGCACACTACTTGGGATACTCGTCGGATATCTGCCGCAGCTTTTTCATCGACCCTGTACCTAGTCCCCGCCCATCTATCCTTAGGCCACTCACCCGCTTCCTCCATTGGATCCGCGTGCTGCCTCGGGACCCCCACGTGGCTGAGAAGAATCCGGAACTGCATGCCGAAAAGCTGAAGGTCTGGCAAACCGTCCTAGATGCCCAGACTGCCGCTGCTGCTGCGTTCGTGCCGAATGGCACTGCGGCGAGTGTTGACTTAGCTGCTCGCGGTGTCATTGACGATGCCGGTTATGGCGAGGCCTTCACACATCGACTTGGCCACGGCATCGGCATCAAAGGTATGTGTGCCCTACCATCCGACCCCCCGAACCGGCACACCCCCCCAACCGGCACAGCCAAACCCCACAACCACCACCAAAAGTCCCCTTACTCACTTACACGGATTACAGCCCCTTTTGAGGGTATCTAAACGTTCTTTAGATAGTTAGATAGCCCTTTTCTTGGTGTTTAGCTTAATATAGATTATTTAATTGCTGGCCATCAGCATCGGCATTTAACAGCCTCTGTGCCCCGCCCTTAAATGCAAATTTGCTATAGAATTCTCTCTGTGAGCCCCTGTCCCTCATGCACCACAGCATCCTGAAGCCAGCCACGATGCCTCCGCCCACGTATACAGAGGATGATATGGTGGATGCCTACCTAGACGTCACAGATAATGGCATGTCAGTAAGAAAATCCAGCCAAAAATACGGCGTCCCGGCCAGCACGCTGTCAACACGCATAAGGGGGAGAGGGACTAAAACAGAAGCTCACACCACCGAGCAGAGAATTTCTCCCGAGCAAGAAAGCAAGGTAACAGCCTGGATATTACGCCAGGAGACTTTGGGGCTTGCCCCCTCTCATTCAGCCGTCAGGGAAATTGTGGTAGAACTCCTAAAAAGAAAGGGGGATTTCGCACCACTTGGGAATCACTATATGGACAGCTTTAAACGACACAACCCTACCATTCAGACTAAAATCAGCAAGCGAATAGAATCTACTTGGTTTAAGGGGTTTACCCCTAAGTCTGTGAACTGGTTCTTTAACATCTTAGAGGACTACGGCTGGGTGAAGCCAGAAAATACGTACAATGTCGATAAGGGCGGCATCATATTGGGTTTTGGTAACTCTTTCGAGCCCCCTACCCTCACAGTCAACTAACTACCCTTATAGGCATTGATTCCCTAGTTCTGGGAAGTTCTGAGACGAGGAAAGCTTTCCTAAAGAGCCCCCAGGGCCGCTCGTGGACATCTTTCATCGAGACCATTTCAGCTACCGGTAGAGTACTCAAATCAGGCTTGATTTTCAAGGGAAAAGATCTCCAAGCGCAGTGGTTCCTTGAGGAATTCCAGAAGATAGCCGACTGGTATTATATAACGTCGGAAAACGGCTGGACCAGTAACGATATCGCCTGCCAGTGGCTTGAGCACGTTTTTATACCATAAGTGGATGAAATTCGTGGCCAGGAGCAGTGGGAACCAGTCCTTTTGATCCTAGATGGCCATGGTAGCCATACCTCCGTACGTACACCAATTTTTTCTATTTATTTACTGGTTGTTTGATTTATTCTGATTTAAACAGCAACTGACTGTAGAAAGGACGAATTTATGATGCGGTGTTATTTTGCCAACATCTTGCTATGCTTTTTCCCAGCACATACCAGCCATGGAATGCAACCACTGGATAACGGCCCCTATAACGCCCTCAAGTCCTACTACCAGAGATTCCTTACCCAGTTAAATTCTCTGACTGATTCTTCCTTTGTTGACAAGATCAACTTTATCCGCTGTTATAGCAAGGCAAGGGACATAACATTTACACCCAAAAATATCCGCTCGGGCTTCCGAGTGACGGGATGCTACCCAATTAGCCGCAAAAAGTGTCTAGACCATCCAGAAATCCAAGAAGACAAGCGGAAGACCCCCAAGCCGAAAGAACAGGAAGACTCGGAGCTGGAGGACCAACAGACCCCTACCACAAGCCGGCAAATCCGGGATTTCGGGAGGAACCGTTCCCCAGCCACTTGGCTGAAGTTCCGGAAGATCTCCTATGCCTTTGAGAACCAGGAGACGGAGCTGGCCATAAAAGACCAGAAGATCAGGGCCCTGGAGGCTGAACTGGAATGGCTACGGCCCAAGAAGAGGAAAAAGATACCAAATCCCAACCAAAACTTCATGACAATGGTAGAAATACTAGCCCAGGGTGGTGATCCGTTAGTTCCGGTTTCTGTAGAGTCTTTTTTTTTTTTTCAGAATCGGAGGTTGTTCAAGACGAGGGTGAGGAGGACGAGGAGCTTGCGGACGCTGAAGAGGCTGTAGAAGCCCCTGTTGCAGAAGCCCAGATGACTAGATCTGGGCGGTCAATCCGGGCGCCGGCTAGATACGTCGATTGAGCAGCCAAAACACCACAGAATGATAATTTTGCTGACTTTTTTGACCCTATACAGCCTCAAATGCGTGAAAGTGAGTAGGGGGGTCTTTTGGTGGTGGTGGCGGGGTTTGGCTGTGCCGGTAGTGGGGTGTGCCGGTTCGGGGGGTCGGATGGTAACTCTTCTCACCACGACTGTTTTGAGTACTTAGCTTGACAGTGTGCTGATCTCTTTTATAGCCCACGAGTCACCATATCTCAACCAGTGGAACACAAAGTCGATACTTCAGCCCGGAATGGCTTTCACCAATGAGCCTGGGATCTACTTGGAGGGAAGATTTGGGGTTCGCCATGAGGATATCTACCTTGTCAAGGAAGATGGCGAAGCTGAACTGTTGACGGGGCGGAGAGCAGTTGGTCCATACGACCCTTGAGACATTGATGACTTGATAATAATGGCGGTAGTCGGACAAGACCTAGATAATATGCACAGTCGTGACTTCGCACTCAGCTGCTGTAAGGGATTTCTGCTTTCGAGTTTCTTGCCCGGCTGTATCAGTGTCTCAACATAAAGAGGGATCGAAACATGAGCAATTCTTTAAAGCTAGAGAAGCTTCGATTTGGAGATTGCCCAGATGGTCCCCGCGACTCTGCTTTCTAGCTGATACTGGCCATCGGACTGTTGAGACCCGACCGGAAACACTTTTACACGAGACACCACTGCCACCATCCCTCATCGTCAGCGATAGATATCAGATACCATACTCACATCTACAGGTGTCTTCACCTTCAAAGCCACGCTTTAAAAGACAATCCACAATCATTCGGCAGAATCCAAGGCGATGGGCAAGATCCAAAGCTTATTCGCTTATTCCAAATGGAGCGAATGCGGGGAAGGTCAAGGATCAGCCAAGGCGATCCGCAAGATGCATCCACGCGCAGGGTAGTGATAAATACGAATCGTATTCGTACTTAGTATCGTATCTGTCAAATATAAGCACTGACTTGATGTCAGTGTCAATCCCTTTTGCCTAGCGGCTGCATCCAACAATTAAGAGTCTCATCGAATCTACGCAACCGGCAGCAGAAATCCATCGAATACAGGGTCAAATCGAATCTCTAACCCCTTTTCAACCATGAATACGACGCTTCCAATCCAGAGCACCACGGTGCGGTACACCACTCGCAAGGACTTCGTGGCCTGGCAACAGCAGTTTCAGAAGAGGGCAGAAGTATTAGGATTATGGAAACACATCAATCCTGATGCCCCTGATAACTGGCCAGAACCTCCTGAACGCCCTGATATGAACTCGGAGGACTATGCAGCGAAACCGACTCGCAGCGCCACCCAGGGTCCAGTCAAGAAGATCTCTCACCTTACGAGCGAGAGTATGACCGACTACAACCACGATCTGCACCAGTTTCATCTCAAGAACAAGATATATCAACAATTCAGAAACGCTACCAACGACCTTGTCAAGTGAGTGCTTGAAACAGTTGATCCCGCCATTCAATAAACCAAGCTCCATCGCACCCATAACCTCCGTCAGTGGTACAAGACCCTCACCGAAGATGGGGCAATTTACACAAAGAATTTAATGCACGCCGTACAAACGGACTATCGAGCAATAATCTCCACAACCGACACGAAATTAAAGAAAAGAAAGAACAAGGACGTGATAGCCTGGTTCAAAGAGTGGGAAAAGGTTATGGCCAAATCTGTAGCAGTAGACATCCTTAAGGCGAAATCCCCAGCTACTTGGTTTAATGACTTTGTAGCTGCTGCTGCTACAGTCAACCCTACCTGGAGTTCTGAGGCGAGGGTAACCAGAAAGGCTGGAGTCCTTTTGGGCAACATCAGCTACTCGCAGATCGCTTCAGATCTCCAGGAGGACTTGTTAATAACACGTCAGGATACTAACACGTCAAAGGGCTGGAAGGCAGGCTTCTAGCTCTCTATAAAGAACAGGCTGAGGATACGACAGAAATAACCCCTGAAGACGAAACAGACAAGCCCCAAGGCCGCGGAAACACAAGGGGAAATCGCCGTGGAGAAAACAACAACAATAGGGGCAGCCAAGGAGGCTCCAGAAGAGGCTCAAGAGGAGCTTCTGGCAACAAGAGACGACAAGACGACAATCAGAACACTATTCGAGCATGCAGAGCATGTCTCACAAGAGGACACGAACACATGCAATGCTTCTATCTCTTCCCAAACAAGGCACCTGCTGGATAGCACGCAAACAAAGGTGTCCAAAAGCTAGTAAACAGCTCATTACAGAGAGATAATAATATGGCGGAAGAAGTAGCACGAGCAAACAGAAAGCGCGATTGACTCGCAGAAGGGGGCAGAGAGTCTCGAACAGTGCCTAGCAGAGCAAAGAAAGTCGCTGGCGCGTACCTAAACAATAACACGAAGTCCTCTTATTGTGGGTGATAGAAGATCTCCCCATTACCACCAACAAAGCATCCTTTGCCCTCAGAACGCGAATAATCAACTCCTGGACAGCGCGAGCTCCCCTAATAGGCGATGAACACTGTTGGCGCTTCCGATTAGGCCGTCCAGGCCCCGAAGTGATAGCCCAGATCATACAACACCTCTGAGGTGTGAGGATCAAGGGTCTATCTATCGCTTAGTGTGATGGCTGCGGCAAAGCCAAAATCAAGAGACATACACGAAGGCAACCTCGGCGCCCATTCTCTAAACCAGGGAGTATTCTGTCTATTGACTTCACTGACCTTCAAGCGGACTCTGACGGCTATTGGTGTGTTATGTTCATAACCTGCAGGTATTCCGGATACGTCTGGGCCTATTTCCTCAAAAGAAGGCAGGAAGATCACATCATCAGTGCTATCAAGCATATTCTAGGCGTCCTTAAGCAACAATTCCAGCTCGATATTGAGGTCCTGAAAGCAGACAACGCACTGGGCAAGTCAAATGCCATCAAATCGTTCATGAGCGAGAACCACCTTTGATTTGAGCCCTCAGTACCACGAAGCCAAGTACAGAACGGTGCTGCTGAGCGCTCAGGGGGTGTAATCAACGAGAAGGCCCTCGCGATGAGAAGCGGAGCCAAGTTGCCAACATATCTCTGACGATATATATACATGGCCGCGGTGTATCTTCACAACAGAACACTGTCGTGGCAGCATCACTGGAGAACCCCCCACGAGATGTTCTTTCAATATTTGGCGTTCAGAGACGGCCTAGTTGCCCCTGATTGCAGACTGACGTTAGCACACCTGCGAGCGTACGGCTGCAAGATGTTTGCAATGACACCAGAAGCCCAAGAGAAGAAAGATCGCAAAAAGAAGCTAAACCCCAAAGCCTGGGTGGGCTTCCTTGTGGGCTACAGTTCAACGAACATCTATCAGGTTTGGAACCCTCTGACTAACAAGGTCCAAGCTATGCGCGACGTGATAGCAGACGAGGACCAGTTGTTCTCAGGAGACATTCAAGACCTCAAAGACGACCTTCTGCACATCAACAGAGATCAGTTGACATTGCTCCTGAACAGACACGAGGCCCCCAAAAAGGGCCTGGAAGACACTCCAACGATACACAAGGATGAGGATCTCAGCAGAGTAATCCAGGAGCACCAAGGAAGAGAGGAGATGCTTCAGAGTGGGACTAGTACTGTCACGGCGAGCATACTGGGGAGCTGGGACATGGCCTGCAGCAAGCAGCTATTACTCTATTGACGAGAATATCAAGACTAGAGAGGAAAGAAAGAGAGAGAGAGATAGGTACAGCGGGAGGTTGCCCCTTTAAGGGGATCCTCTGGTCAGATCCTTCCCTTATTGGGAAGTATCGGCTTGTCATGTGGGAAGGTCTGTGCAGGCCGTCACACTATGTTACTATAGACTATATTTTAAATAACAATAAAAGTTCTAAATAATGTATAAATAAATAAAGTAATATTATACATATTATGGAAAAGATCGGTTCAGTGGTTCAGGTCATCATGTTGCTTACATTCTGGGTGCAGATCTACCCTTGGGTCTTGGGACCTGTTCAGGTACTAAATACACATACCAACTTCAAAGCAATGCCCAGCCTTTGATCCGGAGGGTAAAGATCCCTTGTCCCAGATACACTAAAGCTCAAAGCCCGCTTCTAGGCTGTTCCTTCCTTTCAGTGCTGCTGTCAGCCTTGTCAGCCTTGTCACCCCTAGAAGCGTGCTACAGCACACCTGTGAGCCACCCGACTGCTTACATATATCAAGACTTTAAGATTAAAACTTTTTGTGAGATTCTAGAAGGGTCACAAGCCTTGGGGGTGTGAGCGGTCGCTGCAAATGTTGTTGTCATTCTCAAGTATGCTCGGCAGTGTGATGGTCTGACCTCCTGGAAGTCTGTCAACCCATCAGGGTGGCCTGTGCGCAGCATCACATGACCTGGCGCACAAGACGTGTGGCCACAACTGTACTAGGCTAGGTAATAGTGGGGCGGATGAAAGGATCATTAATCCCACCAGAATTGGCTGGCGGGTCAGATCCTTCTTTCCCTCCCCACCAAGAGATTTTTACACGTAGGTAGTGCAATCAGGACTTTTATGTCCTTATCCTATTTACGCTTCGTGACAATCTCTTGGTCTCTTTATACGCGTCTAGGAAGACCTTAAACTCCCAGAAGATACCGATACCGAAAAGACACCAATTCACGAACAGACACGACACCAACACCACAATGCCTCGTGGAGAACTTGACCGCCAGCGCATCGCGCAGGCCGCCAAACGAGCCAAACAAGAAGTCCATTTCTCTGATGGGAAGTTCCTTCATCATTACCCCAAAGACCCCAAGAAGGGACAGAGCTTGATCGCTGACACTGATGACCGCGTCCCTGAGGTTTCGGATATTCCTTAACTCTTTGACCGCCGAGTTTTCATGAACTGTGCCAATGATGAGAACTTTGAGCAATACCGTTACCGATTCACGATAAAAGGCTTGTCAGACGAGTTGCACGAGCTTATTGATCATTATGGAGCCTCCTTCGCCAGAGATTCTGGACCAGTCATGCCTTTTGTCCCCCTCACTCATGACTCTCAACAGGAGTGGCCTGACGCGTCAACCGGCATTGAAATCAGCTTTGACGGCTTTGAGAACATGTGCAAGAACAGTCCCAAGGCTCTCTTTCAGGAGATGAAACTTTGCACCTTCGTTGCGATGGGATATAAAGACCTCATCAGAGACTTACACGACGTCCTTAAGACCAACGATCTTAACCTTGCGGTTATTTGCGAGCACGCCATTGCCTTTGCTGATGCTCTGACCAAGACCAATGATACGATTGCCACCCTTCGCAACAAGAACGCTCACAACAATGACAGAGGAGTCCCTGTTCGCTCTGCCAATCGTCTGACAGAGGACCAGCAGCTGACTGAGTAAGTCACTGAGCAAATCAACAATCAATGGAGCAATGTTCTCTAGGAAAAGGAAGAAGTGATACAGGTTCTGCAGAATAAAGTCATTAACATGGCCGGTAAAGAAGGAGCCCCCGACTCGACTCAATCCAGAGGAACTCCTCGTCTCACCCCCAAACAGAAAGATCCTCCCGTTTTCACCAGTGATCCTTCTACCGACAAGGACAAGACCCCTGTGATGTTCGATCAGTGGTTCTTGATCCTTCGAAAGAAGCTCGTGAGCAACACCGACCACTTCCCTTCTGATGACGACAAGACCATGTATATCCTTGCTCATCTGTGCGGCACAGCGTCTTCTCGTTTGATGCCTTTCATCAAACCGGATGACACTACCGGAGAGGCCGTCTTCAAGACTAGCAAGGAGGTTCTGGATCATCTTCACGAGCAGTACAAGGATCTCAACGAACAAGACGTTGCTAAGGAAAAGTTCAACAAACTGGAGATAACAACTGGTATGGAGTTCAAAGACTTTCAACTGGAGTTCGTCAGACTGGCCGGAATGGCCAAGAAGGACAAGTCAACCTGGAAGGAAGAGATGTTCAAACGCCTCCCAGGCCGCCTTAATACCATCTGCCTGGACAAGTACCACGACAAGACGGTCAACTACAACTACCTTTGCACGTACGTCCAGCGACACGACTATCAACAACGCAAGAACTTTGTGGTCTCCCAAATGCGAAAGAACGATGCCCCTCAAGGTCAACAGAACACCAACCCCCCAAAGAACAACGGTGGTGGTGGAGGAGGCAGCCCGTACCCCCCTCGCAATCAGAACCAGAGTCCGAACCCTGCTGGAAGTCAATCTCGTCCTGCCTCTTGAACGGTCGAGCATTACAACCTTCAAGTCCTCGGCACTGCTTCTGATGGCCGCAAAATGTACAAGAAGCCTCAGCTCGAGCAAATCAAGGCTATGATCGCGAAAGGACAGTGCTTCATTTGCCATGAACACGGTCACCGGAGCTCTGAGTGCCCTATTAAAGACGACTTCGAGAAGCAGAATGACGCTCGCATCAACGCCATCTCCGCGAGACTGTTTGATCATTCTATTGGAGGCTCTACTGCTGCTGCCCTGGCTGCCGTGCAGGGAAAAGACTAACCCTGGGACAACCTGACACCCTTCCCAGGGGACCACACTTGATTTCGGCGTTGGGGATTGACGATTGCAGGAAGATACCCTCTGATTTCCTTTCCCAGATTCTAGGGGGAGTTCCTTTGTTACTTGACTGCACAGTAGTCAATAATGGAGTTTCCTTAACAACCCAATGTCTTGCCGACGCAGGTGCAGGTGCATATATTTTGATTAACCTGTCGTTTGCTGCCAAAGTCTCCAAACACCTTCACGCGGAGAAAATCCAAGGATTCGAACCCGCCCCAGTGACTGGGTACGATGGCCAATCTACACAGACGATTGACGTTGCCCTCAGGGCCTATTTTTGCATACAAGGCCGAATGATATACGACGTACCTTTGTTGGTGGTCAACATGAAGCATGATGTAATCGTCGGTAAGAAGTTCTTCAACCGGCATGACGTCCTGGTAGACTCTCCCCAGCAACGTTTATTGTTCCCAGACGAATGGATACCCGACTATCGTGCGTTGCCCGAGATCTCCATGGACTCGGCAGGGTCCTTGCTCAAAGATGTCGCATACGATCAGGATGCAGTCAGACGCGACAAGCTGATGGAGACCGATGATAAACAACGCCGCGCTTCACAACGCAATTCCCGACGCGTACACTTCGGTCCCGTCACGATGATCCTGTCTGACTATCGCGCTCCAACAGTAGAAGAGGTCCCCAAACGTCCCAATCGTTCCAACCATAAAGGAACGGAGACACTCTTGGAAGGAGTCGACCTGAGCTTGATACGCGCTCAAATCGAGCAGCTAAGCCACAATCATCTGACAAAACGCATACCCCTGAGAGACAAGACAACTTAAAATCCACCTTTTACAAAGTTTGTTCCTCCGGCTATCCTTTAGCCCCGACGCAATGACCATCGCAAGGTCCCTACAGCCACGGACCAAATGCACGAACAGCTTGATTACGATTTCCATGACGACGAGTCACGTCAACCCTCACCGACAACACCGTACATACCTGTCCGACATCGTCCTTAGCTATCCATATCCCAACAAGTCCAACATGATGCCCAGGGTCCATATGTAATGAGGCGTGACAGAATCGGATGGTATCGCCACCGCCCCCTCGAGGTAGCTATGGTGGGTTCCGTACTCTTTGATCGAGTCAAAGCTGAAGACGGTACCGAGGCAGGCGTTACCATTCTGTTTGAAATCGATCGCGTTATTGACCATAAGCGAGCGATGCTAGTAGACGATGACAATAATCTTCGACGCCAGGCACATGAGCTGGTACCGAAGCAGCATCACGAGCGCCTGGACGTCTTTAGCAAGTTCTAATTCGACAAGCTCTCTCTTTATCGCCCTGGAGTCGACCACAAGATTGATCTCACCGCCGACCCTGAGAGTTTGGGATATTCTCCGCTATACAAGATGTCTTTGGAAGAGATGGAAGCGTGTCGGAAGTACATTGTCGACAACCTGAAGAAAGGCTTCATCGAGCCGTCGTCCGCTCCATGGGCTGCACCGATTCTGTTTGCTCGGAAGGCTAATGGAAGCCTCTGACTCTGTGTCGACTATCGCAAATTGAATGCTATTACTTAGAAAGATCACTATCTGCTCCCCCTCATTGAGGAAACCATATCTCGACTAGGCTAGGCCAAGATCTTTACCAAGATTGACATCTGTCAGGCCTTTCACAAGATCCAAATTGTCGAAGGTGACGAGGATATCACGAGCTTTCGTACCCGATACGGTGTATACAGATACCAGGTGTTACCCTTTGGTCTTACCAACGGACCATCGACCTTCCAGCGATACATCAACGACACTTTCTGTGGATATCTTGATGAATTCTGCACGGCTTATATCGATGACATACTGATCTTCTCCGATAACGAGAAGGATCACGAAGAACACGTACGCAAGGTCCTTGACCGCCTTCGCGAAGCCGGTCTCCAAACTGACCTAGACAAATGCAAGTTCTATGTTTCTGAGACCAAGTTCCTCAGTTTTATCATTGGTACCAATGGACTCACTTGTGATCCCGATAAGATAGAGGTCGTACACAACTGGGACATCCCGATAGTCAACGGAAAGACGTCACTCAAGGGTGTACGTTCCTTCCTTGGGTTCTGCAACTTCTATCGCAAGTTTATTAAGGATTATGGTCGAATCGCGAAGCCCCTTACCGGACTTACCCGAACTGATCCTGGCCTTGTGTGGACCAGGGGATGCCAAGCCGCTTTTGACGATCTAAAGCAGGCCTTGCTGACGGCCCCAGTACTGAAGCACTTCTCATACGATCACGAGACGCTGGTGGAGACTGACGCCTCTGATGGTATTGCCGCCGGAACGATGTCCCAGCGAGCATTCCCCGATGAGCCGTGGCACCCTGTGGCCTTCTTCTCGGAGACATTGCAGGGAGCGGAGCTCAATTACGGCATACACGACAAGGAACTGCTTGCAGTAATCAAGGCATTGAGAGTCTGGAGAGCCAAATTGATCGGGATACAGACAGATCGCCCATTTACCGTTGTCACCAATCCCTCAGCCTTGGAATACTTCAGCACCAAGCGTATACTCAACCTCTGACAAGCCAACTGGCAAGAACTGGTCTCACAGTATAACTTCGTGATTACTTACAGACCAGGATCACAGAACACCGTAGCTGACGCGCTATCTCGTCCACAGAGCGACATCAAGACCCAGAAACAGGTACGAGACGATCAACGGACAATGACTCTTTTTAAGCCTGTTACGTCAGTATCATACGTCCATGTATGTGATATCCCGATCGCCGCAGTGCGCCATGACCAGCCCCTCGACGGTCATTCCATACAAGCAACAGAGATCTTTGTTCTTGACGATGCCGATCCGCCCGAGTTCTCGGGTATTGCACTGAATGACGAACTGTTGCACGCCAACAAGGAAGATGCGTCTCTTGCCAAGTATCGCAAGAAGGAAGGCGATGGCTCAAGCATCGACTGGACCATGTCTGGAGAGCTCGTACTCTTCTGCGGACGCCTCGCTGTCCCTAACTCGAACAATCTTTACACCCGCGTTGTTGCCAAAGCACACTCGTCTCTGGCGACAGCTCATCCTGGAATCAACAAGACCCGTCAGATGGTCTCCAAACGATATTGGTGGCCGAATCTTAACGGCTTTGTCATTCAATACATTGAGAACTGTACGTGCAAGCCGTTCAAGAACCCTCGCGACAAGACTCCAGGGTTGTTGATGCCTCTCCCGGTCCCGGAAGGGACTTGGCAAGACCTGACGATCGATTTCAAGACCATGCCAAAAGACAAAGATGGATATGACAACTTGTTCGTCGTCATTGATCGATTATCAAAGATCCCGTGGTCTACCCCGTACTTTGACACAGCTACCGCACAGGATGCAGCATGGATGGTTTACAACGGACCTTATCATGTCCTTGGATGGCCCCAGACCTTTACAAGTGACCGCGGTCCTCAATTCATCTCCGCCTTTACTGACGAACTCTCCAAGATTCATGGTACCAAGCTCGAATTCTCTTCAGCAGGTCACAAACAATCCGTTGGCCAAGTGGAGATCATGAACAAGTACATCGACCAGCGGTTACAACCATTCGTAAACCACTTTCAAGACAATTGGGCTAGAGCCATCCCAGCCATGGATGCTGCTCAGGTCTCCTTGCCGCACGAGTCATTGGGCGGCCTCTCGCCTCGTGAAGTATTGACAGGCCGACCGATGAAGATGTCATTCGATTGGGAAGCTCGCACTAAGGTGCTTGCGAAGCTTCCTAAACAAGAACGCCTCACCAGATCCGAAGCTCAGGAGATGGCACGCCAGATCCAGACGTGGGCAGCATATGCCCGTGGTGCCATTAAGAAGGCCCAAGACCGGATGGTTCAATAAGCAAACAAGCATCGTCGCGTGCCCAACTTTGTCGTTGGCAATCGCGTCTATATCATCAAGAAGACAAGGACCATGACGGACCGCCCTAGCGACAAGCTTGACTATCCAATAACTCGTCAGCATTACAGAATTACGCACGAGTCCACCGATTGACCGAACACGTTCAAATTGCGACTGTCTGATCAGTGGCGAGGATTGAAGTGGTTCCACGCTGATCGTCTGCATAAGTACGCGAATGACCCAGTGCCGGGTCAAGCTCCTGACAAACCTGACGGCGCGATCGTTGATCCCAGCCTTGGAAAAGAAGAATAGAAGCTTGCGGGTGTCCTCACCTCACTACTACATTACGGTAAACTCCAGTATCAAGTGCTGTGGAAGGGTTGGGATCCCGATGGAATCTGGTGCCCTGCACAAGATTTCAGGAACTCTGCTACGAAGCTTAAAGAACATCACAACGAATATCCTGATGCTGCTGGTCTACCCACACACCTTGAGCACTGGCTTCAGGCAGCCCAGAACAACGAGTTCGAACCAGAGCATCCTGATGACGACAAGCCAGCGAAAGTCACAAGATCAGGGATGCGTTGTCGCGGTTGACTTCACCACAAACGACAAAAAGCTTGGTGACACTCCTGGCAAAAGGTTTTCGCATTCCCCAACCTCACGTGCCGCAGGTAGTCAATGCGCAATTGCTTCCATCCCGAGAGAAAGGGGGTTCAGTCCAGACTCGAGGCGAGTCTTTTTACGCGCAGGGGATTATGACGGTCTGACCTCCTAAAAGTCTGTCAACCCATCAGGGTGGCCTGTGCGCAGCATCACATAACCTGGCACACAAGACGTGTGGCCACAACTGTACTAGGCTAGGTAATAGTGGGGCAGATGGAAGGATCATTAATCCCACCAGAATTGGCTGGCGGGTCAGATCCTTCTTTCCCTCCCCACCAAGAGATTCTTACACGTAGGTAGTGCAATCAGTACTTTTATGTCCTCATCCTATTTACGCTTCGTGACAGGCAGGGCTAATCTACAGCTAAATACCATACTGCACCATGCCAGGGGGGATCCACTGTTCCCTTGACAGACCCTTAGTGGGTACTGCACCTAAGGGCACCATATCTAAGATCCAACATCTGACACTTTTATAATTAATTAAAACTTATCTCGAAAGACGGCGAAATACGTCGTTAACTATTTTTTCTTCTCTATTAAAAACATATAACTTATATAGAAAAGCCCCATTTTTATGCCCCTGTTTCATACTATTGTATACGGTTTGTATACAATAGTGTGGGTTTGTATCGTATCGTATGACTTAAATACGATACTAAGTATCGTATTTTATTACCCAGTCCAGGCAGACTGGCAGATTCGGTGAACTCCCGAACTTGTCAGATATCTGGGACGGATTCTTATTACTGGCTCGGGCGACAATTAAGCAATGAACAAGATGCAACTAAATCGGAAGCTTGATATAAGCTTAATAGAAGCTCGCAACCTGCCGCCTACTGTTGAATGCACGGATGTTGATGGATTCTATTGATTTTGATTTTTTTTGTTCTGCTCTGCTTCTTTAGCGTACAGAGATTGATCATCTGTCTTCTTGGTGGGTCAGATGCCCTGTGCGTCTCTGCCCCACTGGAGATCTTCCGGTGTCTATTTCCGGCTCCCATTCAACACATTCGTGCTAGTATGTAACACCTACCGCTACCGGTTTGATGTATCTGGGGGCGGACTGACCCCTGAAAGGCCGCTGTCGGGCTAGCCCCTCGCTAGAAGTCTTGCCGAGACTCTCGAGATAGTCTTCCAGGGGACCTTCCCTGTTCTATCTAGCCCCGGACCTTCTTCACCACCCAGCCACCTGGTAAGTTATCGCCTCCCTATCACCATTCGACCATACCTATCGGTGATCAACAATCATCTCGGGTAGCCTACCGGTCGAGCATGTCGGAGGCGCACCTGCCCAATACGAGTATGAAGCCTATATGAAGTCCACCGCAGCTTGCCGAGTGGTCGCTCAGCCTGCTGCGCCGTGCTGTTCCGTATCTCGTTCAAATACCGCCATCGGTCCCCATCCGAGTACACCGTGAACTTGCCTTCGCCCTCGTTTAGCTGCTTGCTACTCGCTTGGGAAGTATCCTTACATAGCAGTCGTAACGTCGCCATGGTTCACTCCGGTCTCATCGCTGGCCTCCTGGCCCTGACCTCGGCAGCACACGCCATCCAAAGAAGTTCCTTGCCAATCAGTGAGCTGAAGAAGCAGGTAGAGTAGCCCTGTTGTTCTTGTTGCGGCATGAATATGGCAAGCTCACACAGCTTTGACAGGTTCGCGGCAGCCAGAGCGGCAGCGTCCGCGCCAGACAAGCCAGTCTCGAAGCCATCTACCCCGAGTACAACCTCTCGACCCCAATCGATTTCTTCCACAACGATACGCTGTACGAGCCTCACTCCAATGGCACTTTCAACCTGCGGTACTGGTACGATGCACAGTTCTACAAGCCAGGCGGCCCGGTCATTGTGCTCGGTGGCGGAGAGACATCCGGCTCCGATAGGCTCCCTTACCTGCAGAAAGGCATCGTCTACCAGCTGGCAAAGGCAACTGGTGGCGTGGGTGTCATCCTAGAACATCGATACTATGGCACGAGCATACCGGTGGACGATTTCAGCGTCGAGAACTTGCGCTTCTTGACCACCGACCAAGCTCTGGCCGACACAGCATACTTCGCCAAGAACGTCATATTCGAAGGGCTCGAGGATTACGATCTCAGTCCCGAAGTAACCCCGTGGATCGCATACGGCGGTTCCTACGCTGGCGCCTTCGTCGCACTCCTGCGAAAATTGTACCCGGACGTGTACTATGGAGCTATTTCATCATCTGGTGTGCCCGAAGCCATCTGGGACTATTGGCGATACTACGAGGCCGCCGCCGTCTACGGGCCGCCCGCCTGCGTCGAAACGACCAAGAAACTGACAAACGTCGTCGACAATATCCTGATTGGAAAGAAGGGCACCGAATACGTGGCGCAGCTCAAAGAAGCGTTCGGGCTGCCTAACGTAACGCACGACGCCGACTTCGCCAGTGTCCTGGGCGGAGGGATTGCTGGTCTTCAGAGCCTTAACTGGGATCCTTCACAGAGCGATGACTCCTTTTTCGTCTTTTGCGGCAATGTATCATCCGATTCGGTCTTGTACCCTGCTACAGAAGCCCTCAGAGATTCAGTTGTGGAGCTTATCACCGTTGGTGGCTACGAGGATGAACTGGACACACTGACGAACCGGATGCTGAATTACATCGGCTATGTCAACATGGCATCTGTCTCTAGCTGTACAGGGGATCAGGACGACTGCTTTTCCACTTACGACGCAGAGTTCTATGCCCAGGACGACATTAGTCAAGACTGGCGGCTATGGCCCTACCAGTATTGCACACAGTGAGTACATGATGACATCGCTGCAAGTATCAATGCTAATAGCATTGCCAGATGGGGTTTTTTGCAGACCGGCAGTGGAGTCCCAGAGGATATACTACCTCTGATATCTCGCACTATCGACCTGGAGTACTCATCCCTGATATGCCGGGACTCATTCAACATCACCGAGCCAGCTGACGTCGACGCCATCAACAAATACGGCGGTTTCAACATCAGCTACCCCCGACTGGCCTTTGTCGACGGCGAATGGGACCCATGGCGCGCGGCAGGCGTGCACGCCCGTGAAATCCCCGCGCGCGAGTCTACCACCGAGGAGCCGTACATTCTAATCGCGAAGGCGGTCCACCACTGGGATGAGAACGGTGTCTTCCCAAACGAGACTTCGGCCGGCTTCCCGCCCGCACCTGTGGCTGATACTCAGGCGCAAGAGGCAGCGTTTGTCAAGGCGTGGGTGGACGAATTCAAGGCACAGCGTACATCGACCGGTAAAGACTAGCAGAGACGCAGGTCGGTAGAGCTGATGCAGGAGTTGCTAACGGACTGTCCAGTTCCCCCCGCCGAGCTGTAAAGTGTTAAAAGTACACTACCTAGACTTAATCATTAAGCCGTAATTGCAACCGCTCGATACGTGCTGCTGCATTCGGCATTTGTCATGTTGTGGGGGCCCTCCATCGTGTCGGTACCGCAATTGTTAAACCAGATGCTAACACTTGCATTAAGAGACCGTGTAATTCTTGGACGCCCACAGATTTTCTCTCGCGACTGTACGATCTCCAAATGCTTGATCTTATTCCCAGGAGACTGCTACAGCGGCATGAAGACTTTCGGAAAGGAGGAGTTATGGAGGCGTGGCGAGCCCACTGGGTCGACTTGCCCGCTGTATTCGGTGTAGAGCCATTCGCTGAACTTGATATCTCCCCTCCATGCACCACGCGTCTTTGAGGAAGCATCAAGATTGTGGAAGCATGCTGTGTTTTGTGGATGTCGGCGTGGACCAGTGTCGGCGCGGTGCTTGTCGCCGCCGTCACCCTTTGGTATACCAGAGTGAAGAGCTACTATAAACAGGATCAGCATATGATCCCACCACATACGGCCATAGGATCAGGAGAACTTGGCATCCCGTCCGCTCTGCCTTAAATAAGCCTGATACCGCCGGATTAGTAGTTGGGTCGGTGACGACCAGCGAATCCCCGGTGTTGTATGTTTTGTCATTTTTTCACTCATTATTGGAAGATTATATGGGCTCCGTGATCTACCGCCCGCTCGCCCGCTCCCCCCCCCCCCCCTTTTTGTTTACGGCGAGAGCGGTGACACACCTCTTCCCATGACCGATATCAGGCCTCCTCCTCATCCTCCTGGGCCTCCTCGCCTTCTTCTGGCTCGTTTTCAGCACCTCCATACCGTACCTCGACGGCAGCAATTGCCTCGATTGGTACAGGCATGTGGAGAAGGGAGAGGTTCGGGATGAGCTCACTACGAAGGCGTGATGCTTTGTGATACACAGGCGAGATCGTCTATAGCGACGCAGTGGTGGAAAATGGACGCACCTCATAAGACGTGGACTTTCCGCGATAGAATCATAATGCAGTTCGTCGGGAGGAAGTGCTGCCCCCCTTCGACGACGAAAACTCTCCGCCCCGACCTGGTGAACGACGAGTAGGAACAACCGAACACTGCAAGTATCGTGCTGGAACGCTGTCACATGGAGTTCTTCTCATCCCCAACGCCAGCATTTTCATCTTCCAATATCGCATCGATACGCATTGCCGGCCAAGTCTGCCGCAGCAGCGTTGCCATGTACCGGATACCCCACTCCTCACAGGTGCGGTGTCAGACACAGACAACGGCCATGCCTCTCGCAAGCGCGGCTTCAAGGCCTAGTTCCCGCACTGCGCCTGTGAGATACAGCACCTGCTCACACCTGTCGACTGAAGGAAGCAGGCCCAGGTTGAATGCGAGTTCTGCTACTCTCGCCACTTCCTCGGGGTGGAAGGCGTTCATGATGGCTACCGCAGTGACGTCCTGATCTGCTTCAAGCTGGCGATTCCCGTCACAAGCTTCCTCAAAGCCAAACGCACCCTCGACAGCATGGTTTTCCGGACAATAGCCGGTACGAAACGCACGATGCGAATCGTCCATCCGGATCTCCCTTGTAGCCCTGGATGACCGCACTCCGCGCGAGGTCCATGCCCAGGACAGAAGCAAGGGCAGCATTGTTCCCGACGGTAAGAACCTCGTCAAACCCCTTGTGACAAGACAGCACCGTGGCAAGACGCGGGACTCGTCTCCCGTCAAGCCGCCACGGCCGCTGCAAGAAGCCCAGTGGTGTCGGAGAAGGCGACGCAGCAAGGGCAGCGTAGAAGCCCGGCGTCGGCGTGATGCTCAGCACGGCGTGGGAGGCCGGGCTGGTATGGGGGGTGGATCTGATGGGCCGGGGAACGTGGTAATCAAATCGCGTGTCTCCATCTCTTTGGGGGAATAGGGATTGGAGGTATACTGAGAGCTGCGCTACCGTTGGGAGACTGTTGGCGTCGATGAGGGGGGCATGATTGTTACGGAGGCCTATCTGACCGGACATTGCATCCAACGTGATGATGAGTTATGAATAACAGTGGCAACTCGTGCTTAAGGAGACACCAATATAGGCAATATTCATTGGAAAGCTGGGCTAGGTCGATGACGTATTGAAGCGCGCTGGGTACGGTATCGCCCTTTAGTCGATGGTGCAGAGCCCCAAAACATCCCTCGTTTGAGGAGATGCTTCAACATCACAAGTGCAAACATACGCACTCATACTCATTCGAGCTTCATATTTGAAAAGAAGTCGTCAACAGGCGATAAGAAGATCGGGAAGAATGTTCGCAAACCGTCGATACAGGGCAAGGCGCTGAGCCGTTTGCAAAAGCCAAGACACAGAAGTCATTCGTCCTCAAGAACAATAGATTGTTGACTAATATAATAGAATAATCGTATTGTTGATTTTGTGTTGAAAGTGTAGGGGGTGGCCATTGGAGGCCCGAGATGAGGGCTTGGATTGAGGAGGTCATTGGAATTCGAGAGGGCCACGGTCGCTGCTGTATGAGAGCACGAAGATGTAGTGATGTGGTGTAGTGCGTGGCCTTACTTGGTGAAACTGACGATGTGAACGAAAGGTTGGGGAACATGGATGGTTTTGTATGGGAGGGCGGCAGGCTCGTGAAGGAGCGTCGCGATGGGCGTGCGGTGGCAGGTGAAGAGGCCCCTGCAACAAGCCACAAAGGTTGTTCTAAATAGCTCCTCAACGCGTAAAACCATGGGCTAGAGCTAGTAGAACCAGTACGACGGCTCCTGAGCTTCGTGTTCTAAGGAGTAGGTGCGTGTCGTGGCGCTTGCCTATCTTACCCCTAAGGTAGACAACCCGCGTAAAGTCACGGTCCACGGGTCGGGATCCTCAAGGAGACATAGAATGCGACAATCTCGGATACTCCAAGGATAGTGAAATTTGATAGACGCTTGATAACGCTCGTGATAGCAGATCCCAACCCGAAATCAGCCGCAGCACATCGTCGTATCGTCAATACCCCCAAGCCCTTTTGCTTGCTGACTTCCGTCGCCAACCACAACCTTCTGAATCATCCAGTCGCACACAAACTTCCCAATACCCGCCCCAATGATGATGGAGATGATGATGTACCCGTTAAAGCCCATCGCTATCAGCATGATGATGTACGCCAGTCCAAAAGCCACGGCGTGAATGACGGAGCGGATGAGCTGCTGCAGCGGCGTAGCTCTGAAAGTGACGGTCTGGGGACCCGGACTCGGCAGGTCTGAACAGCAAGCGTCGTCGCCTGCCGACTTGGAGAGCGCGGTCTGGGCTGCGATATGTTGCTGAAATTGGCGCAGGATGAAGGTGTCGTATTCCTTGCCTACGCGGCGGACGAACTCTAGAACTACCACGAGCAGCATCACGCCGATGCAGGAGGCTGCAAACATGCCATTGTTCGTGATCTGCCACGATTCTGATAGGAAGCCTATCGAATGTCAGTATCGGCTATCGGAGTCTCGAGGGAGGGTATTTCGTTCATACACGCATCAACAACCTTCCAATTCCATAGCATCTGCAGAAATGGTCAGTCTCCGGATCGGATCGACAGCGACTCGTCGGCGCTCACGTGTGACTCGCAGGTCGAGTCGCTCGAACCCATATCCATGTGAGACATCTTTGCGGTAATCCAAAAGGCGGCAGGTCTTTTTTGTATGGATGTGTTTGATGACTGCGCTGGAGTTGCGGCGCTGGAGGAGGCTGAATGCTGGAGTATTCGTGATGTTGGTCGATTTCACAACATGGAAGTTGTCACTCTTATCTCTGTTGCTCTCAACGAAGATTTCGTGACGATCACAGCAAATTTGACACAAGTAAAACGGCCGTAAAGGTTGATTCGACAGGATAAGAGCAAGATTGCGGGAATGGGAACAGGGTATCCGGCCAAAAATAGGGACAAGAGAGTTTGCAAGCGCAAATATAGGTATACCACATGTGTGGACGTATGGGATCGGATCCGCCCTGAGGAAAGGGTTCTTCTCAGGGTCTCGTCTCAGGTGTCTTCCTGATTTCTGACCTTGTTCTTTCTCTGCGGGCACTCTGCGATGGACAGGTGATAAGTCGACTCTTCGGCATGCAGCGGCTGGACGACAGATCGAAACGAAACCGACGACCAAAACACAGAAACATAGGGGAGTGCGGGGAGGCGGGCGGGGAAACAGTGTAACATACCCGGTAGGCCTACCCGACAGACACCCTGATGGGCTGATGGGCAGTGGTGGCCTTGCCTGCAGGACACCCCCAGGACCCCCTGGCGGGTGATGCTTGCCAAGATATAAACCCTTGGAAAACGTGCTCATTTCTTCTCAACCTCCTCAAGCCTCGCCGCTCCTACCCCTCTCATCAGTGACGCCTCGTGCGTCGTCTATCAACCGCGGCTGCTGACTGCATCACCGCACCTCGCAGTCACCACCAGATGTGTGAGAATCGTTCGTTTCGGGTCTTGGCAAACTTTGAGGGGGTGACTGGATACGACATATGAGCAAGTTTCTAATCTACCTGGCCATGATGACCGAGACCAGAGCTCCAGAGATCCATGGAGATGGGGAACCCGGAAGGGTCGACTGGCATAACGGGAAGTCCCATCTGCGTTGAGCCGTGGACCAGCAGGCAGGGACGGACCACACTGACTTGTCGATAATGATAGAAAGGTAATCATATATCGACGAACCGCTGCTAGCTGCGACGCGGGAAAACAATCACCGGTGCCGTTATCAACAAGCTCTACATTTTACGACTTCCCACTCTCTGGGGTGTCCCTTCACGCATCTTGGTTACTGTGTTTGTTCTATATATCTACTCCGAGCAGACTTAACGGTCCACCATGGCGGCACACGAGACGGCGCTTCTGGCTGCTCGCCATATCCAGAACTATAGCGATGCACAGGAGCTGGAACCGCACTGGGGCTACCTCGCCCGCAAGCTCCCGTGTACGAATGATGCCGGCTCATGTGCCTATCTGGATCAGGTCTACGAGTCGCACGACCTGGGAATGCTGTATTCCGGCATCCTCTGGGCAACCATCGGCAGCATCCTATTCCTCTGGGCCATTGGGAGGCGGGCCTTTCCATCAACTCGAGCCGACGGGTTGCTCTACGGAACCGTAGGCGCTGCCAAATCCTCGACAGCGCGGATAAGACGGACAATAGCAACCTACGTACGGATAACATTGCTACCTGAGGCTGTACGTCCCATCTTCGGCCGAACGACGCGACTCCAGGTCCTCATTTTGGCCGTGCTATCAGGATACCTCTTGATATGGAGCTTTGCCGGCATAGCTTACAACACATGGATCACGCCCGTGAAGAACTCACCCGGCTTATACAATACAAGAACGAGTATGGGACCGTGGTCCGATCGCATCGGTATCTTGGCCTATGCCCTCACGCCGCTAGCCATCTTGCTGAGCTGCAGAGAATCAATCCTCTCCGTACTCACAGGAATCCCCTATCAGGGCTTCAACTTCCTTCACCGGTGGCTAGGCTACATTATTGTGATCCAAGGTGCCTTGCATACTATTGCTTGGACTATCATCGAGGTCCGCCTGTACCAACCGCAACCCACCACCGCCCTGGAATGGGCCACCGAGACCTACATGATCTGGGGTATGGGGGCCATGATCCTCTCCCTGCTCCTCTTCGTCCTGAGCACCCCGTGGGCCATCCGCCTCACAGGTTACGAATTCTTCCGAAAGGCCCATTATGTCCTGGCAATGGTGTACGTCGGGGCCTGCTGGGGACACTGGAAGCAACTGAAGTGCTTCCTCCTCCCATCTCTGCTCATCTTCTTCCTCGACCGAGCCATCCGACTTGTGCGGACGGGCCTTATCCACTACCAATACCTACCCAATGGCTCGATGGGTTTCCGAGCCGCCCAGGCCTCACTCACTCACTTTTCCGACCCCGAACATGGCGATGTCGTGAGAATGGACTTCGTCCACCCCCAAAATGCGTGGAAAGTCGGCCAGCATTTCTATATCTGCTTCACCGAGTGCAGCATCTGGCAATCCCACCCTTTCACGCCATTGAACCTACCGGAGATACGAAACGGCCTCGTCTCGCACTCGTACATCTTCCGAGCCAAGAAGGGAGAGACCAAGACAGTCGCCGACCTGGCCTTGAAGAAAGCTTCCGCATCCGACAAGGTGACAACCCCACTCATCCTGACCGGACCATGCGGCGAGTCCATCGTGGAGACCTTGACACCGGATGCGAACGTGCTGTGCGTTGCTGGCGGAACAGGCATTACCTCCGTCCTCCCAGTCTTACTCGGTCTTGTGCAGCAACCAGCGGTGAGGGACCGCAAGATCCAGCTAGTCTGGGCCATTCGGCGAAAGGAAGACATGCATTGGGTTGAGCAGGAAATCAACTCGATATACAAAGCGGCAAAGTCGCACAATGTCGAGGTGCATATCTACGTGACGAGGGAAGCGAGTAGCAGAAGCCCCTCATTACGAGACGATAAGTCAACACAGGGCGAAACGCAAGTAAGGGAGGCTAGCGGCCCTTCCTCTGCCGCGACGTCCATCAAGGGGGTCCACACGCACACGCACACATCGATATACGTCCAGAAGATCGGCGGCGAGGGCTTCGACCGGCATCCGGACCTCAAGAAGCTCGTCAACGAGTTCGTCGAGAGCACAGTGGCGGGACCTACGGGGGTGTACGCCAGCGGACCCTGTGGCATGATCAGTGACCTCCGAAGCATCGTCGCGTCGTGCAACTCGGGCACGAAGGTCTGGAGGGGCAATGAGCGGTTTGATGTCAGCTTGACGTGCGATGATCGGTTGGAGTGGTGATAGATGATAGCGCCTTTGATGAATTATTTAGCGATAATACCATTGATTTTATTTCATGAGCCGCTTCCTGGCCTGGATACGTCTTCTTTACAGCATATCTTGACATGTACATTGGTTCAGTGGGATGGTATGAGGAATGATGTCCATCAAAGCGCACGTAAATTAGGGAGCTTGGTCGAATGTGAGTCGGATGACTTAATACCGCGGAGCCATCCATGTGGCAAGCTACATATAACAGAAATCACACCTCGAGTCTCGCAGACGACGGTCATCTTCATGACAAACTTAAACCCCGGGGACCAAGAAGCCGTCCAATTCCAAGTAACAGTCCAGAGCATCTCACCACATCCGCACTGCCCCAAACATCCCAAACCAGCCTACTCACTCTCATCATCATCCTCCACCTCAATCCCAAGCAAAGCCCACTTCTCCTCCTTAATCGTCGGGAACCTCTCGACCTCCAAACTTGCCTTGCCCCTCGTCTCAACCTCAATATCGACAAGCTGCCGGAAGAACCCCGTGTTGGGCCTGACGTCTGGGCGGGCGCGCACCAGTAGTGCTAGGGCCTCTTTGAGGCTTAGGTTGCACTCGTGGACTAGATAGTAGGCGATTACGGTCGCGGAGCGGGAGACGCCTGCTTCGCAGTGGACTATGATTTTGGGGTCTTTGGGGTCTTCGGTGTGTGTACCCTTGGCGTCCTTGGTGTCCTTGGTGTCCTTGGTGTCCTTGGTACCGAGTGAGGTTGAGGAGGAGCAGCGCATGGCCTCGTTATAATACAAGCCGCGCGCTCGACGACATCCGCGATGGGCGCGCGCTCGATGTCCTCTAGGGCCAGGCGGTGGTACGTTATCGAGGGGTCGCGGGCGTCGTCGTCATCGGCCGGGGCGCAACCAATGGAGAGGATGTGAGTTATTCCGTGCGCGAGGGCCTTTTTGGGCGCGCTAGCGGCGCGGGGACCTGGGTAGAGGTAGGGGAGGATGGGAACGGGCCTTGACAGTGGCTTGTTCTGGTGGCCTTAGGGTTTTTTTCTGGGAAGGAGGCATGGTGGGCGGTCTGGTCGGAGGAGCTGTGTAATGTCTAGTGAGGGGGGTTCGGTGGTGGTGGATTTTGGAACGAGCAGGTGAGGATGGGGGTCTGAGGGTCCAGTTCGGAATCGAAAGGTTTATGTTATTGGGGTTTATGAGAAGGAGTCTTGTCTGGGGTTTGGCGAAGGGGGTAGAGTACATAGGTCATCGTGTACTGATTCATTTGCCGCCTTGAGTGACTGCGAGGCGAGGTGTCACGGAACGAGTTTGCACGGGCTGGGCACACGTGTAGGTGTCAAGAAACGTCTCAGGTATCATGGTGATTCCGGGTGAGTGGACTGTCTGTTTGGCGTTTGAATCCCGGAATGGCTGTGGCGGGAGTCTGGCTGACGACCTTCTCGTGCTTCTGACGGTTTGAATTTTTGCGGGATGGCGTGCGACCACAAAGAAATCTACCGCATGATGCAAATGAGAGAATGGATAGCTTGCGCCCTGACACTGTCTTCAATTTATACGCTCATCGCAGCCTCCTCTCATTCCCTATGCCTCCCGCCTTCGCAGAGCGACCACAGTCAAAGCATTAGGCCACACATCGAACGGCGGATTGCCCGTATGAATCAGAGGCTTTTCGTTGTTGTCGCGACGAAGCACCTCGATGACCGTATCAAACTTCTCTCCGTAGGTCTCGCCACGTGTTTTCCTCTCGCCAGTCGTGGGGTCGATTGACCGCCCCCAGATGAACGCAGTTCTTCATGATGTTGGGAACACTTGTGCTGTACAGGAAGCGGACCACATCGACGACCCCTTCCTCAAGCATCCGGCGCACCTCTATTGGGGCCCGGGCACTATGCCACTGCTTCTCGTGGCTGGTTGCCGGAACGTGGATGGCGATCTCACTTAGTCGTGGGAGCGCTCGTCGAAGCAGTGCCGCAAACGGAGTAGACTGGCTGTTTCTTTGCTTGGACCAGGCAACCTGGTTGCCACGTTCGTCCATAACAAAGACGCCTGCAGTCAGCACCACCGACCGAATGCGCTGGCGCACGGCATCTGGAATCCTCCTCAAGAAAGACGCGGACTCTTGCGACGATAGGTTGAACACGAAGGGGCTGCTCATACAGTGCTCAAGCATCAAGGATGCACTGGCTGCTGGAACACATCGCCTTTGAGTGAGCTTTTGATGGCGGCATGTAGCGCCTCTTGGACGACTATGAGCCTCGGACGGAGTTCGCCGAATATCTGGCGGGAAACCAGTAGAAGAGGTGTGAAGGTTGATAGCCTGTACGCAAGGATCGGGTTCTCGCTCGTTTTCCATTCCGGTACATCCCTTTCTTCGTCGTCGTCATACCACCCATCACGGATGTCTTCATCGTATTCGTCGCCGTCATCTCCCCAGTGATAGGGGTAGGTATCCTCGTCATCTTCGTCTTCGTCTTCATCGTCCCACCGCTTCTCGTGGCGCTTTCTTATCTTCCGACGGTTCACAGGTGGGAAGCAAAGCCCAGTGTCATTGACCTATAACTCATCCGACCACTCTTGGCCACCGGCCAGCTCGAGTTCATGCCGTGCGGTGTGGTGGAAGACAAGACGGGATTCGATGACGTACTGGTAGACCCTGTCACGCACGTTTCTTGGCAGTTCCAGGAGAACGGACCGGCGTTGGGGTTGCTTCATCGTGATTGACGTACATAATATTGACCCAGGATTCAGAAAGATGTCGGGTGTCGGTGATGAGGTGTCACCCCGCCCAAAATGGGGGCCGCTCGAGCTACCGCCTTTTCTAAGCAACCCCGCTAGATTCCTCACGGATCACCGGCTTGGGCACGGACGTTACCTGCTCAGACTCTCCAGTCTCATTGGTTCTAGAATCCCGGGAAGCATGTCTTGTTATGCACGTCATCTTGTCAGACGATAAGGATTCCGGTGTGAAAAAACTTGGCTTGGCGAACTTGTGGTCCGTGAGGTTGCCAGTGGCCACCAGCAAGCTACAGAGTGTCTCTTATACACGAGGTTCCCAGCGAGACGCCCGGACACCTGTGGTTTCAGGTGAACCCAGCTGTCAGCTATCCTGTCGGTTGGGCCGGGAATGCTACCCAAGGTAGAAGGTACTTTTGTACTGTTTCTAGTACCTGAGTGACCTTCTGTATGGGCAAGCGGAACATGTAGAATACAGACCAACACCCTATCGTGACATGGTCCCGTTTTGGAGCCTTGCTGGAAGGCATACACCTCCCTTCTCTGCTCTAGCAGCTTAGTAGGATAACACAACGGGGAGAGCTACTACTGCAATCCGTATGCGTTGTTTTTATTTGGAATTCACATTGACGCCCCCAATACCAAGACATCAGAGGCAGATTGGCTACGACATAGAGGCAGTCAGAGCTACGATATACAGTCAGACAGGCTAAGCAGCCCTGATGTAGGTAGGTTCGGATCCCGGCAATACACAAGCCTCACAACTTACAAGCTGGTATACGGTATACCACGTGTAGTTCAGCACGCCAAGCCCGCTGCGGCTGTCAGCTTGGCTTGCGTGTCTGGCCCAATAACGTTGCAATATTGCTTACCTCGTATTGCTTCGTGCAGGAGATCGGCGCTGCCACCTCCCATAACCGCCGTAGCGCGCAGCCATGGGCTTTTCCAATTCGCGACCGAGAGTCCTCGTGATGTTTTTTTTTATCCTGCTCCAGTTATCTATTTACCTTTTCGTCTGTCTCGTCTGTCTCGCTGTCGTTTTCTCTTTCGTTTGCTTTTTCCTCTGCCTTGTGTACTCTACTCTAATCGTAATACTTGCTCCCTATACCATGCGTCGCCCCATTTCAGCCGCGGTCTTGGCGGCCGCCGGCCTCGTTGGCAATGCACACGGCCAGTGCCAAGAGGTTGTCCCAGGCCAATATACTGGGACTCCCTTCCAAAACAACCTGACATCAACACATGAGCTCTCCGAGATCACCTTCTTCAAGATCAAGGACCCATCAGGTCAACATCTCTGCACAGCCGATGCTGCAGGGGACCTCAGTCTCCTCGCCTATCAGTCGCTCAACACGACCCTAGGACGGCCTGTCAACACCGACATAAAGCGTGCCATAATCGTCATCCACGGCGCGTTAGACGACCCATGGAACTACCACTCAGCCATGATCCAGGCGCTACAGATGGTCACCAACGATGATATCAGCCCGGACACTGTTGCTATAACCGCGCCATACTTCCCGAACGATGGCGACGCAGGTGGTGGCTTCCCTTACGACCCGAGTGGTACTACCCCAGCAGAAAAGTATCCGTCTCCAGCTTTGGCCTGGTACTTTGACAACTGGTCCGGCGGTGCCCATAACCAGTATCCTCCCAACACGAAAACTGTGTCTTCCTTCGACGTACTGGACCAGATCGTTCAGTGGTATGGCAACAAGGCAATGTTCCCCAACATCAACCAAATTATCATTGCCGGCCACTCGATGGGCGGGCAGATGGCGCAACGATATGCCGCTATTGGTAAGACCGGAGCTCAGCTCGGCATCACCACGCCAGTTAGCTACTGGATCGGGGATCCGAACAGCTTCGTGTGGTTCGCGACAGACCGCCCGGAATCCACTGGGAAGTGCGCCGCTTTCGACAACTACCGCGAGGGCTTCACGAACTACAGCGCCTATGGCACGCCGCAGTCTACGGCTATGACGTACAACTCCGCCTTGGTTGCAGCTGGCCGGGATGCCATCCTGGCCAACTTCCAGAGCAGGACCATTGCGTACGCTCGCGCCACCCTGGACAAGGGTGACTACAACAAGGACAACTCGTGTAGCTTCTACACGACGGGTGCGGACCGCAACGAGCGCTTTTTTGAGTTCATAAAGCGCTTCCCTACCACGTGCCCCGACCCCGCCGGCGCCTGCAAGACGGTCGACATCGTCGTCGCCAAGCACGATGCCCCGTCCCTGTTCCAGGCACCGTCCGGCCTGACCCGCCTGTTCTATGACAACTGGGACGGCTCCGGCAACCGCGCCTTCGACTTTGGCTACCCGCGCCACGCCCCCTACGACGACCCCTACCCGGACCCGTCGCAGGCCGGGCAGCCCCTCGTCGACGAGGACAACTCTACCTACGCCGGCGGCAAGACCTTCCGCGGCTGCTTCACCGACGTCGACAAAGCCCAGAGCGTCCCCTCGCTGCCCATCTCGGCATACGTGGGGACGCTGAACTCCAAAACCTACTGCAGCAGCCTTTGCACCCAGCAGGGATACAGCATCGCTGGCGTCAGCTACGAGAACTGCTACTGCGGCAACGCCCTGGGCAGCCAGACCTCTATGGTGGTCGTGACGTCGTGCGAGGGTTCCTGCCCCGCGGGCCCCTCGACTGCTTTCTGTGGTGGGCCCAGTCGGCTGTCCATCTTCTCTAGCATTGACCTGTAAATTGGGGAAGCGCCTGGTAACGAATAATCTGTTGGAAGTTCTATGTAAAACGCATTTTTTTGTATTTTATATCCGTCTAGTGGGCTGCATGGGTATATATTGGCTTGGGTTGATATAGCAACATGTCGTTTCTTGTACTATAACCGTAATGATACATAATGATACTTTTTGGACAGAGGTTTACAGCATCAAGCTGGGAGTATAGGAACTGAACTTACTACCCACGCTGCCAGCCGCCCCTCCCTCTCCCACCCCAAAATCGACATGAACTCACAGCTGCCTTTCAACAATCTCCGTCGTCGATGAAACGGAAAACGCTGAAACCATTACATTCGCCCTTGCGCAATAGCTCGTCTTGGTGTTGAATACTGATGACTTCGCATCCACGGCAGACCGTACAGCATACCGCGTTGCTTGCCCCGGTTATCAGACACATGCTTCTCGACCCCCTCAACACAAGCACGCGCAGCTTTTCTCCACAGCTTCACTTAAGGCGCTGCCTCATCTCGAGTCGCCATAGAAGTCTGCTACGGGGGCGACAGAATGGAGGGGGAAAAACGGAGGCGTAAGCCAAGTCTAAGCCAAGTCCTTGGCGGGGAACACGAAAGATTCTACGTGTACTTCCTACGCTGGGTCTTTCATGACTGGAGTGCCAAGTATTGCGTTAAGATACTGCAGTCACTACCTAGTGCCCGGTGGGAGGAAAAGTGGGAGGGTTCTCGTGGGCGACATCTGCATTCCTGGGCCGGGGCAGGAGGGCATTCCCGCCGATCGCGGACTCTGGCAGATGGATATCTCGGTAAAGGCTTTCAACAATGCCAGAGAACGTGATGCTACGACATGAGCGATGTTCTTTACAGCAGCGGACTCGAAGTTCGAGTTCCTAGGTGTCACCTTGCCAGTAGGGGCGAGGATGGCAATCAATCGTTCTGAGAGTGTGGACGGGTGACGAGCAACGAGCCAGACTCCGAAGACGGCCTTCGTTCAATCCCCATTCATTCATTCAAGCCTCTTCACATACCAGCGTGACCTGGTCGGCATCCTTCAGCCTCAACAGCATCTCCAGGTCGACATCGTTAAGACAGGAATCAACCCGCCCAAGAGCCCCTTCATCGCTCTCCCCCGATTGCTTCTTCGCCGAGATACGGTGTCCTCCAAACAGGCTCGCCAACACAGCCACGCCCTCGACCTCGGCGAACTTCTTACCGGGGCATATCTGCGGGCCTTCACCCCATGGGAAGAAGATACTTTTGCTCGGCTCGGAGAACTGTTCTCTGACCAGCTGGTCAGGTGAAGGTGAAGGGGAGCCGATGGGAGCGGAGTTGGAGATCCATCGCGAGGGCTGCCAAACATTGCCGTCTGACCAGTACTGTGGGTGCACCTGCATCGCTCGAAGGTTTACAGTGAGGTTGACTCCCTCTGGTATGTAAAGAGTGCGATCGCCAATGCGGAGGTGTTGCGTCCCGTTGGACGTGATGGACGGGAGGGCCGGCACCGGCGGGTACAAGCGCAGTGTCTCGTATATGACGGCTCGGCAGCGCTTAAGCTGCGGGAAAAGGTCATTGTAGTCACAGGCCTCTAGGGGCCGATCTCCGGTGACATATGCAATCTCGGAGGCCACCCAGGCTTGGACATCCGGGCGTGAAGCTAGGAGTAGCATCGCGAATGCTAGAGTGTTGGCTGTGGTATCATGGCCAGCGAAGTTGATGACGAACAGGTTGCCGAAGACCTCGTCTGCGGAGAGGCCTTTCTTGGCGCCCCGGAGGTCTGAATCTGATGCAGTAGCGGCGCCCTGATGGGGCATGTTGGCTGCGCGCACGAGGGACGTCATGATGGTGCCAGAACCGGGCTTGCCCTGCTGTAGTGCTGTGGTCTCCTTGTCGAGCATCTCAACCATATGGCGCTCGAAAGCAATCCCAGCATTGCCGATTCTAGCCCACCTTCCTGGCATCATGCGGAGGATACGGAACGGTACCAGCATCAGGAATGATATCATCAAGGACAGTCTGCAAAGAGTCACGGTAGCTCCCGATCTCGTCTGTTGCGGGTTCCGCGGAGCCGCGGAAGTCGTACGATCTTCGGAATCCGGTGGCCGCGAGGACGTTGAGCGAGAGCGTCCGCGTGTCTTTCTGGTAACTCGGAATGCCGGTCGAGCGTGCGCTGGACCATGAGTGCAGCATGCCCTTGGCTTGACGAACGGACTCTTCCCAGACGAACTTCATGATCGTCTCGTTGAATGGAGTGGCCATGACTTTGCGGTGGCGAGGCCAGTCGTCCCATTTGGCAGTTGATATGCAGGGGCCGTAGAGCTCCAAGAGCGCTGTGTTTGATCAGCTAAGTTCTTTCTATCAGGCCAGTAACGGGTCTCATGTACATACCCAACTCTTTGGCAGGTCGCTGGAAATCGCCACGTCGAGTTACAATATCGTGGATAGTGTCGGGATCTGCAAAGTGCATGTTGATGGCTATGGGTGATACCAGCGCCCAGACTGGGCCCAGCTGTACATGAGCCTCTGCCCGCTCGGCGAAGTACCATCCCCGGCGCGAGAAGCGGACGAATCGTGGATAAGATGACCATGAGAAGGGAAGTCCATCGAGAAACTTCCAGACATGAGGCTGGAGGATGATCCAAAAGACGTTGTTGGAATCAATGGGGAGGCGCACGATGGGCACTTTGAGACTGCGAGCTTTGCGCACGTTGGTCTCTAAGCAAGCGATAGACCACGCAATGTAGGCCACAGCGCAGCCGAGAAAGAGGTCCCTAACATGTTGGTATTCTTGGGGGCCGCTTCGATGATACTGCTGAGTGCTCTCGCTCGCAATAAGGCTTGATTTGGGTTGGTTCGTGGAGAGTAGGAAGTAGTGGTGGTAGCGTGGTCGTGTCAAATGCCTGAAGGTTCTTTTCGACTTCATGCGGTTGGGACCTGGGTTGCGGATCACCAACCTACAAAACACTCCCCTGTCGTGTAAGCTGATGTTGGCAGCGTGCAGGTGCCGTGAACAATGTTGTTGTTGTTGTTGTTGTTGTCGTACTACTGCTACAGCTGACAGCTACGCGGAAGGCCTGATCTAGCTATAGGGCACGGACCACGTGACCTCCAACAGCTGACATTCCTGCTGATTGCCGGGCATCAGGCAATTTCGGTTCCGGGGGGACGGTACCGACTGAGAATTGCCGCTACAAGCCTCGTCAGTCTTGTTCTCCCCCCCCAAATACGTGATCGTGACGAATCCGTGGATCACTCGTCAGGAAGAGGCCGCATAATATCCATATCTGCGTTTTCTGGTAGGTCGTACTTGACGAGCTGACGGTGGCACGGGATCTCATAGTCCTAATCTTGACCTCTTGTAAGCCGAGTACCACTTCTTGCTGGTGGACTTACCACGGTTTAGTAACTTAATTTGACCGTGAGTTCAAAGGGCAATATTACTGGAGAGGAAGGATGGAGCGGCATTCATCCGAAAATTAGACTTATTTCCTACACGTAGTTTTATGTTGACTCTGTCGCTGAACCCAAGTACATTTTGCCCCTATTCATAACCCGCCGATCGCACATAGCCGTTCGACCATTGACTGTCAAAGACGAGATCTCATTTGCTACCTCTCATCTGGCTTTGCATAACCCATTCGTCCCCGGGCGGACTGGGAGTTCTTCTCCAGGAACGCAATGATATGTCCAGAAATAACCTCCGGTTGATCTTCCAACGAGAAATGTCCGCAGTCCTGTATGATGTCTAGCTCAGAGCCAGGAATTGCCCCTTTCAGCTTGTGTGCCCAGTCCATGACCTGCCAGGCATCGTCGGCGCCCCATAACAGCTTCACCGGTAGTTTTCCCAGCTCATGAAGGCGGTCTCCGATTTCCATTGTGTGCTTGGGATCGTAATGTCGGACTTGGTGTTGGAACAAGCTGGGCTGGCCAATTGGCCCAGAAATATAATCCAAGAAGGTGTCGAGACTGGAATCAGCGAGTTTCTGCTTGTCGTGAACCGCGGAAAGAAGCCACTCTCTGAAATGTGCGCGGTGTTCCTTGCCGTCTGCCTTGATCAAGGGTTCGAGTCCCTTCTTCATTTGCTCCTTGGTGCGCTTCGACGGGTAGCTGTTTAAGCTCACCACATCGATAAGCGTCAGCGAGCGCACGCGTTCCGGCGAGAAGACCGCGAAGCGTTGGGCAATCCCTCCTCCGATATCGTGCGCTACGATATGCGCTGTCTCCAGGTCCCAGTGGGCGAGTAGCCCTTCAAGGACCGAGACTTGGCCGGAGATGGACGTATCAATGGCCACATCCCACGGCCGCTCCGAAACCCCGTACCCAAGTAGATCGAAGACGTGTGTCTTATAGCCGGCAGCAACCAGACGGGGCACGATGTTGCGCCAGATGAGGGACGACGAAGGAGTCCCGTGCAGTAGGACGACTGGGTCCCCGGCACCGAAGACGCCGTAGGCAATGCGGCTCCCGTTAATCACGACGTTCTCGGTTGATATCGGCTGCATCCTCGCAATGTTTTCACCTAAATTGTCTAATCCTTTCGAAAACCAACGAGGGGTATATTCAGGATAAATACCGCACATCGTCTCGATTTACGATCTATTTTATTTCTAAGCTCTTCGACCGGAAGGGAAGTAGCCCCTCTTTTGATGACAGCAAAAGGGCGCGCTCTTAACCCACATCTCGGGAATCGTGGGGTTACGTGTCTGTCGCCTTTAGCGGTACGCAGCTAAACACGGCATGACCGCGGGCGACTTACTACCAGGCTTCGAATGGGCGCTGAACAGCTGGAATACTATTACGATATCGAGGGCGGCATCTTCATACTCGAAGTCTTGGAGATCTTCCGCCGCTTCCTGTGGTGTTCTTCAGGGTGGAGATGAAATGGGTGCGAAGACACGGCACTGTCAGATATATACTATACTGTTTGGCGATTTCGGTCCTAATATCGATGAAGACTAGTATTGATTCACGCACACATCTCCAGTATCTCCAGCACCTGTTCCTCGCGCTCAATGGGGATTGGGTTCGCCTTGCAGCACGGGTCCTTCAGGCTGTTGACTGCCCACGCCTGGAACTTGTCTCTGCCCACGCCTTTATCCTGCAAGCTGCGCGGCATTCTTAGCCCACGGAAGATGACGTCCAGCGCGTCGCAAGCATCGCTGCTGTCAGGCTTCAAACCTCGACGCTTGAGGACTTCCGCGACTGGAGCCTCGCTCCACATGACGTTCTTCAGTCTCTCCTGCTTCTCGCCGTTCACTTTGGCATTCCACTTCATGACGCTCGGCAGCAGTATACAAGACGTTTCGTCATGCCCAACTCCAAGGGCCCAAGCTGGTGACCAATACCGTGGGACCCTCCAAGCGCGATACCCTTCTTCAGCATAATCATGACCTTGTTCACACCGATCATGCAGTTGAGCCTCGCTTCCTCGTCGGTCCAGTCCTTCCTGGTGATGAGCAGGTTCGGTACGATCAAGTTAAAGCCCTCGATGGCAGCCTGATCCATGTCCTCATCGCGCATGAGTCCTGCAGTACGCCTCTACGCAGTGGTCGATCCCTCGAACGGCGGTCGATAGCCATACCCACTCAGGCGCCGTAATGCTGAGTTTGGGGTCATTGATGATCAATCTGGGACCTAAAAGCAATGGGTGGGTATAGGAGTTAGTGGGTGTCTCGAAAGTCTCGGGGGGCCTCCCAGGGTTCTACGCATCAGTATACTGACCGCAGAAAGGATGTACCATAATTGACTTGAGGTGATCGTCAGGGTATGTGCCACCAGCGTACCACGTGTACTCGCCGCCCGACAGACTCGTTGGGATGCAGATCAAGGCGGCAGTTGGAGATGTCACAGGGATCTCGCTCGACTTCTTGCCGGTTGCATCGCGTGCCGAGCACTTCTTCTCGAACTCCCGGATGCCGTCCACGGAGGTGACATTGTTTACCATGAACAGTAGCATGGCTTTGGCGCCGTCGACTAGGCTACCTCCGCCGATTATAACGAGGCAGTCAGCTTTCTTGGACAGAGCATCCTTGGTTGCCTCGATGACTTCGGCCCAAGGCGTGTGGGGTGCGATGCCCGGCCAAGTGCCGGCGTGTCGGTCACCGAGACCGTTTTCTAGCTTCTTGACTTCGTCGGTGTTTTTCGAGAGCAACGCGGAAGCGATGATGTACGCTCGCTGGGCGTTGTAGGTCTCCTTGATATGGTGTGTGCAAGCAATGTCGAAGGGGACGCCGTATGACACGTACGCAGCATTCTCAAGGTCAGGAAAGGTAGGGAACGCAAGACGGTAGGTCTCGCCCTCAAGCACAGCCATGTTCGGTTATTAGGGGGTAAAAAGACGTAAGTGCGACTCTCATGCGGAACTCTCGAAAGACAAACGCAACGATGGGGGCTCTTACGGGATGAAATACTCTCCCGAGCTTTGGTGCACGATGCTCGAGCTAACAATCAGATGTGTACCCCATCTACAAGCTTACATCTGCCGTCATATGATGACAGGTAGCAAAGATGGTTATGGGTAGCGGTCCCACATGCTGGGTCTGTAGAGGATGCCCGTAAGCCGTAACTGCCATGCTAAACGATAACGAGAAAGTTACCATCGGTATTGCGTAAGATTCTACCTATTACCATTGCAGAGCTGTCCTACAAGGACCTGAAATGTCCCCGGGACCCCGTCACGTGGAACCGCTGACCATTACTATCCTGGACACCTGTACAAATTTCCAGGATGGTAACAGGTAGCGCGGTGTGATACGGGGGGATTACGGTTCCGTATTCTCTCTGTCGAAACATAAAGGGGGTAACGCCCCTGTGCTCCGACGACATCGAGAACATGCTGCGCATGCCGGCCAACTTCCATGATGTAGAACCACCGGCAGGCTTCTATAATTTCTGGTGACAAGTTATACCGAATCTCCAAGGGTCTGCGTACGTCCCTTGTTGATGACCGAAGAGGGTGTTCATTATACGTTGAATAATCGTTCTGGGATAGGCACTGGCAATAACCCAATTGATTAAGCCGGCTCATTACAAGGTGCGTGTTCCTTAATAGACATATAACATTGAGATTTACAGAATAATAGAAGCGTGGACGGAGCTTTGAAGGGCCAGGTGTAACTTAGAGAAACCCCGGGTACATGGAGCCGCCAGGGTGTCATACACTCAGCCCTCATAAGTCTCCGTAATGTTGGAAGAATTCCAGATCACACGTGAGATCTTGGAAATACTGGAATAAGCAAACAGGAATAAGCAGCTCATGGCTATAGAGTCATCTTGGGTGCTTATTCCAGCATGCTTATCCCATTTATGGCAAGTGCACCTTCGCTTGATGGATGAGGAATGTACGGAGACTCATGAGGGTTCAGTGTAGCTTTAGAATTTGCCATTGCAGTCTCATAATCATTCGCTTCCTTAGCTGCAAGGTTGAGGACCTTCATTCCTTTTTAGAACATGAGAAGAATCAAGACACCGAGCCCCATAGTCGAAACATTCGAGGCATACATCAAAATCTCCCTCGTGACAAGAACTACAGCCGTAAGCAGCGGACTTCGGAAAGTCTAATAAACATACGTCGCATATTATCCTTCGGTCCCCATCACCCCAAAGAGTACTGAACGCCCGAAGCTTGGGAAGGCAATCGACACCGCGTAGGGTGAGACCTGTGCGGGCAGCAGCCCCCCTGAGAAGCTCTTCGAGTTGGGTATTGGCGTTTCGCAATGTCCACCAAAGGGGTGTACGCCCAAAGTCATCTTTCGAGTCAATCTGAACGCTTTCGTGCCTTAGCAGCAGTTCCACGGCCTTCCCAGGACCGTGACAGGCTGCCATCGATAAGGGTGTCGAGCCGTAACAATCCCGTGAGTCAACACTGGACGGTGACGGCTGCCTAGAAAGAAACATCTCCAGTTGCGATGTGTTTCCGTGTTGTGCTGCTTCAAACAGTAGCGACCGCCCCATATCATCCTTGCTGTCGATGTCTGCACCATGTGCAAGCAACAAGTTCACCAATTCATCTGATATTCCGTGCCAGTCAAGTTCCCGTTGTGGCCCGCCATTGAAGTGTATACTCTCAATCATGGCACCCTTCTCCAGTAGGAGCTGCGCCATGTCCAGCTGATTATTGATTACTGCATATGCGAGAGGTGTGCGACGATTGTCGTTCTCAGCTTCGGTATCTGCACCATTCTCAATCAGAATCCTCGCTATGTGTGTAGACGTTCTCCTTCCCGTCCTATGCAACGGAGTATGCCCGTATGAGCCTCTGGTCTCGATATCCGCGCCGGCATCAACGAGTGCTTGGACGACTCCCTCCCTCCCATTGACCACTGCCAATGCCAAGGGCGTTAGCTGGTAGTTGTTTCTTGGGTCGATGTCAACACCATTCTCAAGAAGAAGGTGTACTATCGCGTCCTTTCCGTAAGCTGACGCAAATGCTAGTGGGGTATTGCCGTGCACATCGACCGAATTCACGTCGTCATCAGCCAGCTTCGTTTTCATTATCTCTTCAAGCCCAAACATTGCTGCAAGATGAAGCCCAGTGACACCCTTGAACACATGTGCCGCGTTATGTTGCACTAACCAAAGCCTTACCCAGGCTTCTCGGAGTGCCTGGCTCGACGCCTGAACTTGGTTGTGCTTATTGAGCCAAGACAAGATATCTTGATTTGTCGAGCTCGAAGCGTAAAGGGCACTGCAGTATCCAGGATAAGATTATTATCTAAACGTTGCAATGGTTAACCAGCCATGGCCCGAGTCCGATGTTGAATGACTCGTGCCAGGCAGGAAGCCGAATTCAAAGACGCAAAAGAAGGTACAGCGATTGTAGAATTTGGAGTCCACTTACTGATGCCCCCATTGTTGGGCCGCGTAATCGTAGAAGGGGTATGATTCGAGACACTCCTCGTATGCGGCTTGGGTGGCACAGGGCCCACTGGGAAAGGTATCGAAGGAAAGGTAGGTGAGACAGACTTTCACAATCATATCGTTTGCACCAGAGAACCATTTGCTCCACGTCCTCTCGAAGTATTGCTGAGTAGTGTAATGAACTAAGCGGATGATACCGCTTTCGTCGTCGACGGTGACTAGACCGCAGCATACAGTAACGAGGTCGTCTGTATCTGGGAGGTTGTCCTGGTCCAATTCAGGTTCCCCGATTTCCACGGCAAGAGCATGCTGGAGCTCGACAGTAGTGAGTGGCCTTTTCGCACACGCAATCCATGAGAGAACCAATTGGGCAAGCTCAGAATGGTCTCTGACCTGTCCTAATATTCGTTCCATTGCGTCGCTGTAAGCCAGGTGATATACATCAGAGCCTCTTTTCAGCCGAGATAATGCGTTGCGGACTGCTTTAGTCGAGCTTTTGCCAGTCAGCGACTCAACGTAGAGTTGCGCGAGCAGAAACCTATTACGGTTAGTTTGCAAATTTTAACCCATGTCAGGTTCGAACCTACATCCCGTCGACAGCCTGTATGATACTTGTTTTGATTTCGTCTTGGAGATCAGGTTTGCGAGACACGAACTTCGGAAGCTGTGGCATGCGGCCTTCCAGGTACAAACAGACATCGCCATCGCTGGCCCGAATCTCTACCGATGGCGTACCTTCGAAGGCCTTGGTGATTTCCGGGATGAATCTTGAGGTCGCAAAGATGTTAAGCCCTGTTAGTCTTTGGAGATTGAACATCTCGGATAAGAAGCGATCCCTCGAACGGTCAGCTGCGGAGCATTCATCCAATCCATCAACGGCGAGGAAGACTCTAGAGTGTTTTTGTACGACGATTGTAAGGCCTTCCCGTATTTCTCCAAGCGTCGGGGTCGTGCGTTGCTTCTGGTGTTTCACGAATAAATGTCGAACGAACTCCGGCAGAGTAGCGAGGTGTTCGACAAATTGTTCAAGGAGGCTTTTCAGAAGATCATCGACCTTCTGTTCCTCGTGACGTCTGAAGTTGCAGTATATATATGCGACAGCAGTGTTTGGGTCATCTAGAAACCTGTTGCATAAGTCGTCGACGACGATGGATGTAAGGATCGTCTTGCCGGCACCAGGTATTCCTGGGCAAAACAGCGTCTGCTTGTCGCCACTCATCCACGACTGATATTTTGGTTCATCGAGTAACCATTGGCCAGTGCCCGGTTGCTTTCGATTGACATAGTCATTCTGCATCGCGGCATATCCTAAAGGTGAGAGCCAGTCCAGGATGGCTCGCCGTTCCGTGTCAACCTCCTGAGTGATTTGACGCTCATGTAGTCGGTCTACGCCGTCCTTTAGCTGCACGAGCTGGTCCGACTGTTTCTTCGAGGCCTTGTTCACGGCTTCGATAAGCTCGACCAGCTGCCTAGCGCTCTCTTCTCCACGTTCCTTGATGGACTGGATCAGCTTCCGGGAGTTGTTCTCCAGGCTGATCTGCAGAAGACTCTTCTCACGCTCGATAGAGCCGATGATCTTGCCCACTTCACGCTCTGCAAATGGCCACCTCAGAATTGAGAATGCTTTGGCGAGACCATCCTTGGGCTCGAGGCTAGTCTCGAGAGAGCGCATGATGGCCCATAAACGACCCAAAGGTGCGCCAGGCGCCTCGAGAGCCTTGACCGTGTTCGACCATGACTTCCCAGTCTCCGAATCGTCTGACTCGTCCTTCAGCTGTTGTAGAGTATCATCGCATGCTTGTATCTCTCTGCGCAACCGCTGCCGCTCCTTAGTCGAGCCGGATGCCGTGCTGATGTATTGGACAACCTTTGCGGATAGCTGGATGACGGCAACGATGCTCGCTGTGGTGCTGAGAGGATCCATTGGGCATTAGACTCGGATCGGCCCGGCGTCTCTCCTCTTCGTCAGTTGTAGATTCAAAGCAAATGAGCGATGATCCAAGCTGCCACGTCGGAAGACAGTGGTCTAGATAGCCACCCTCCTCTTACGATTGGCTCGCTACGCGCCGCCCCCAAATGCGGGCTGCCTAATGTGAGGGTGGGCGAGCGCAATGCAACAAGAGTGAGGGGCCCTGGTTCATCATAAAGGGTTTCAATGACCGAGGAATGAGATGGTCGCCATCTGGGCAGTTTTCACCACCCAGCTTCGTGTTACACAACATCCGTGTCTGCGCCGCTTCATCCACTAGAAGGCTAAGACGTGTAGATGAGGCATGGTAGGGCAAGGCGACACTTACTCACAAAGAGGGATTCCCATAACTGGAGAAAGATCAGCCCGAGCAAGATTTGGTAGAGGAGCAAGAAACGCTCGCTTCGATAAGTAGTTTCTGAGGGGCAATGGCTGCTCTGAAGCAACAGGTCGACCTCGTCTGAAGAGCCAAGTCGTCGGAGCATTGATCAAGTTCAGGCCACGCCAGTCTCTGAACCGAATATCTCCGTGAACCAGCAGCATTCGATGTTGGCACTGGGAAGGGTAGCCCGCCACGTTCACTGTGGATGAATTGGCAGCCAAAAACTCGCCAAATGGCGTTGAAACCCGAGCCACTATGCAGGAGTATGTTTCATAGCTGACCGTCAGCAGCTGTCAGATGCACAAGTATCGAGGCTCCTGACCGGCCAACGCACCCTCGTCTCCAGTGCCACCAGTCACACATGTCAGCAAGCCTGGGCGCTGACTGCCGAGGAGATTTGCCGCGGGGAGGAGGCAGTCGCGGGCATGCGGTGCGGTCTCGGTGAGCAGGTAGCGCAAGGCTCGACAGAGGACTAGTTGGAGTGTGTGGTATGCCAGCTCGAAAGTCCCCATCGGATCGAGAATCGACTCCATGCTCGTCAAGCATAGTAGTGAGACGGATTACTCCCGGAAGAACAAGTCTGGTTATCCCTCGAAGCACGTCAGGAGCATCATTAATTCATCAAACCCCCATCATACTCGCCGTGCTCATTGCTCGGATGGTTAGAACTTTTGACGTACTTCTTCTGCTACGTAGGATCAGAGAGCGTCGCCATGGATATGAACAGCATCCTGGCAACTGCTGGTGTCTCCCAATGGTGTATGAGATGGACCTGGGCATCGGAATCCACGAGACCAAGCCGGCTGTGATCTGGAGTCCTTCAATCCCGAAGCACGGTCGTAAAAGATCCTAGTCAAGCAGTTCGTAGCCTGCTGTGCAATGTTATACCGCTTGAAGAAGGCGTCGGTGACTGACCTGTACAGACGTGAATTTGCCGACTGGCGATGCGTTCCACGAGCACCACAGAGTTGTTGTTTGACGGTCGTGAGTTCCAAGTTGTGTCCAAATTTGAGTATGCAGCAGAAAGGGCCCGGAAGGATACTCATAGGTGCATATATGCGACAAAACACCATCAGGAATAATTCCGCTCGACCCCGCCAAAATTCCAATTTTCGAGTCCACTGCCATTGATCACCCGCCGTCCATCCCACGATACCACGAAGGAAAGCGAACAACTTCCAACCCTCCACCCGCAAACCCTCCACCCGCAAACCCTCTACACACCTCGATACCCGACTCCCCAAGCAACAGACCCAAAAGAAAATTCAACCCGCCCACCATGCCCTCCGTCAAGAACCCCAACGGCCCCTCCAAGAACCGGCTCGCCGCCCGGCGCGCAACAGCCCGCAGCAAGACGCAGAAGCAGACGGCGCAAGCATCCAAGAACAAGATCGCCAAGGCGGACGCGACGCGCGGGGCGCGCGCGGGCCTGCTGCCCAACAGCGGGCCCCGCGCCGCGCTCAGCTCCAAGAAGCGCCGTAAGCTCGAGCGCAAGATGGGGTATGCGCTGCAGCGCAAGTTTGAGCGGGACGGGGAGGTCTTGATGGAAGGTGCGTAGCTCTGTTTCCATACCATGGGAATCTTTCTTGAGGTATAAGAAAGAAATAGTAGGCTAATGTGGCTTGGACGGTGCAGATGTTCCCGAGGAGACGGACGAGAACGAGACCAAGGAGAAGAAGGCGGGCACCGAGGCTGCGGAGGAGCAGATGGCTGTCGATACCGAGGAGATTTCGTGAGCACGCTCGTCTTACGGGAAAAGGGTGCCTGCCTGCATGTTATACTGCGGGCTACACCTCGCCTCAGAAAGGCATTGGACGGGTGTCCAGAACCACCCAGGCCCCCATCGCGTGTGGGGGGAAGGGAATGCCGCATATGTTCCACCGCACAGTCGTTGAATGTGGGGCCTGCATGAGAGTTTGAATGCCGCCGAGTTGGTCCTACACTACTGGAGTGGGCTTGAAAGTAACAGCCTTCTTGCCGAGCACCAGAATAGTGGAATGGAACATGAAATGAGGCACTGCGGATGAAAGGGATAGCCGCCAGTCGGGTGGAAACTGGGACCCTGTCGCAGAGAGCACACTATACAGCCATGGGGATCTCACAACCATGTTTGGTGCAAGCTCTTCGCATGGTAGGAAAGTGGTCAACCTGGGCCTGTGAGTTAGTGGGCGTACCACGCATCATGAATGAAAAGCCTCTCACGTCAATTTGATGCTCTATATGAGTCTTGCCTCCCAGAGAGAAGTTTCAAGAAAAAAATCTAGGGGTATAATGGCAAAATATACAAACGCTGTTGTCCTTATCCAATGCCCCTTTTTTTTAGAATCCCACACGCTTTCGTCATACATCTGCGCTGTTGTCGACCTTTTCGGCGGTCATGGTATGGTCGTGGACATGTGGCCCGTCACGGGCTCGGGTATCCTCGTGCCTCGCCCGAGCGCTGTATATAGTTCGGTGTAGATGCGCACGGCGCAGGATGCTGCATCAACTTGCTCGCGTAGGAAGCACTATCCAGTCTCGAAACCGCACACGTGGCCAAGCAAACATATGCCGTGGGGTGTCAAACACCGTGATGAACTTTGTAAGTCCAGTACGGCATGCTCGCCCTATCCGAAAAGGTATAAATCAAGCATCGGTTTTCCAATACTTCTCATAATACCCAACTGAGCATCCAAGTCGACCAGGGACGGCGGGCAGTATTTGGGGCTTTCAGCTTGTTCAGGCAGTAGCTCCCGTGATTGCGGTTCTTGCGACCATCACAGTCGCATCGGCAGCCCACCCCGCCAGACATCTCTCCCTTCCAGGTCTCTTTCACACTGTTCAAGGTCTGAGACTCGGGCATCTGGCCTTCAGGCGCGTTGGCAGGGCATTGGTAGTACCAGTCGTGTCTGTATCCAAAGTCGGCAAAGTGATGAACCTGGTGCGGTTCGGCGAGCATGTTCACGGCGAGCGAGTGGACGGCAGCATCACCCCACTGAAGGAAGATGTGTTAGTATGAATATTGCCCAAAAGCCTACATAGGATGGAAGGACGATACGTACCCTCTCGTAGTAGAACCCACCGTCATGCTCCAGCTTCCGGTACAGGTCCTGATAATGCTCATCGCGAAAGAAATCAAGGTCGGCAATCTCAAAGTTACTCCAGTAGTGGCAGAGGTTCCAGCCATCACCGTGGCTGTCCCGATGTGAGAACCAGCTCAAATAATCTCGGAATGGCCACGGAACCCAGGAGGCATCTATGCTCGCCTTCCAGAGGTTGGTGGAGGGGATACTCTGGGCTTCCTTCCAGTCCGCAACCTTCCGGAAGAGACTGGGACACGTGCGCTTCTCCTCCGGGAGCGATATTGTAAAGCCGTAGACCTTGTCATGGCGGGCCATTTCGACGAAGGGATCGTAGGTAATGGAACAGGAGAACTCGACGTCGGGTTCGAGTCGCCAGTACCACTTGTATTTCTTGAGCGCTTCGACCTGATAGAAGTATCTGCATTGCGGTGGGGATTAGCAAAGAGTCCGGTTGACGCGGAAGGGTGATGTTCGACATACCCAGAAAAGAAGCGACACATGTGGTGGTACGTCTCCTTGCCCGCATACAGGATGCCGGCGTCGCCCTGCTTCTTGATGCTCTGGCGCGCATCATTCTGATCGATGTAGCTGGGAAACAGCCAGGCATCCTTCGGGATAAGCTCAAAGCTCGTCAGGGCGCTCGTAGCGGCCTTCAACGTAGCTATGAACTCGTCGCTCCAGGGCTCGTCATTGAGAAACACGATGGGGTATTTGAACCACTGGTTGAACCTCCGCTCGAGGCTCTCGACCGACCGCTTGGCCTTGTCGACTTCCTCGTTGCGCGCCAGCATCACGATGGCGGCATTCTCGCGCGGGCCGTCGGTAACGGGTTCCTGGCATGATGTGTAAAAGGGCGCATCGAGCTCGCGGGCGGGCGTGGGGACGTGGTATTTCGATGCGTGGTGGACGACTTCGACGAAGGCGGCTATGACGACAACCCACAGGAAGGGCGACCTGGGCAGGAAGACGCGTCGGCGCAGGCGTTGTAAGGCGCGACTGAGTACCACCATGTTCCTTTCTTCCAATCAAAATATGTACAGCAACGGCAAGAGCAAACAGCAAACAGCAACTACTACTCACGTCACAAAGGGCAGTGACGAGGTCATGGTGTTCCCGTTGTCTTTTCGGGTTTGCGTCGCTGTGCTCGAGGCTCGAGCTGGCTTGACACAAATTGTGACATCAAACCTCTAACTGCACGCTATCTGGAGCCGTTCAAGGGGATCCCCATGTCGGACTCGTTGCCGGAAAGGGGTAACCTTGTGGGGGCGATCCGTAGGGCCGGGGGGTTTCCCCAGCGCGTACCGGTACCTGGAATATTGGACCGTCTGCCGCCATCTCATCGACGTACCAGTTATGCTCTCATGTTATCACATAGCAAGTTTGGGTTTAAGCTCAAAATTCAGATGTACACGTGGTATTGTCTTGGACTTCTTGCTTCATGAACTCTTTGTACAACATCTTACAAGTTACCAAAGAAAGGGTGTTGCGCTGGATCAGCAAGTAGCGGTACCTGGACTGACCCCTGCAGACAGTTGCGGCATGGCATAGGGCTGCCGCAGCCCACCTGGGCAGGTGGGCGGTGCGATGCGACGCGCAGATTGCGGCGCGACTTGTCTTCGATTTCAGGGATAAACCACCACGCACTACCATAGTAAACCCTCCTGCTCGCCTTCGTCTGAACACGGAAGACACGTCTGCGCTGCATTACACTGCGCCGAATCGAAGGGGCAATTGCAGGAGAACGTGCGGTGGAAGCCCGGCATACCTATCAGACGAACATTGAATCCGAACCTAGATGCACGCACCCGTCGGCGAGCCCCAAACCCTCATGGGGGCTGACTCGTGAGCAATCACTTTTCGTGGAACATCGGATAGGTATCGTCCAACATGACGTCTTTCCGACGGAAACGAAACTTTACTATCCTCACTATCGTCTCTCTTGGGCTCTTCGGCCCCTTCATCCTACCTTCCATAATAAATTTAGGCGCTCGCATACGCCAGACACACCCGTTCTCCTACCAATGGACAGTCCAACAAGACTTTGTGTCGACGAAAGATGAGCTCGACTGTCTTTACGGCCGGCTCCCTCCTTCCACGGCGAGCTCCGACGTCGAGATCGAGCCCATACCGAACCATGTCCACTTCATCTACGGTCTGAGCAACCCCTACGTTAAACCGGGCGCAGGAACCTTCGACTTCCTCTGCTATCTTGCCGTACGGAGTGCCATAGTTGGCATGAAAGCGGACAAGGTCTCCCTTCATTACACCTACCTCGCCGACCCTCCGGCCCCTGAACCGAACACGAGCCCTCTGTCCAATCCCTGGATATACCGGTTGAAAGATGATGTCACGCTCGAATACCATTCGCCCGAGGAGATGGCGGCGCTGAAGAGCTCGCCGGGCGCGACATGGCAGGCGGCGCATATCTCGGACATTCTCCGCCTGAAGCTCCTCCAGGAACAGGGTGGCATCTACCTCGACATGGACGCCTACGGCCTGAGGCCCTTCACCGACCTCCTCAAGTCGCCGCGCGGCATGATCATGGGCCACGAGGGTGGGGATCGCGGGGGGCTCTGCAACGCCATCATGGTGGCGCGACAGAACAGCACCTTCATCGACCGGTGGTTCGGCGAATACAACAACGTCGACCTCTCCAAGGAATGGAACTACCACAGCGTGCGCGTACCGAAGCAGATCCAGCTCGCGCACGCCGACGAGGTATGCGCGCTGCCCCCGTCCAGCTTCTTCTGGCCCACCTGGACCTGGCACCACGTCGAGTGGATGCACCAGCCGCTGAGCGCCGACGAGGCCCGACACTGGGCTGTGGAGATGGAGAAGAACGGCGGTAGTCTGTATGGAGAGCAGCTCGCGTACCACGCATGGAGCCAGATGGCCTGGGACCGCTATCTGAAGAAGCTGACGCCCGAGGTCGTGCGTACCCGTGACACGCGCTTCAACCTCATGGTTCGGGGCTTCCTGCAGGACGACCTTGGTCGGCGAGACCTAAGCGAGGATAAATCTTGCGACGGCCTGTCAACATCGTGCCGTCTCGTCGAATGATATCCTGTGGCATCAACCTCGTCTGGGATGGCAAGGCGTTTGGCATTATCGACTACTAGAGTTCGTTGTTTATTACATACATTACCTTACATTTTGCATTACCGTTGCTATTATAGCGCAAGGATAAATCCACATCCTGATCCGGTCGTGGACACTCTGCTGCGCTGCTTCTTGTCAAGATACCCTCATCTGTTTTTTAGTCTCTTCGAAGATGAAACGGCAATCAGTGCAACCAGAAATACCATGTCTGTCGGACTACAATCATGAATTACCGATCTTTATTGCTCTATGCTTACCAATTTCGCAAGCTCAATCTAGACTTACTCCCCAGGTTCTGGAGGCCACTTCCGTTGCTCTCTTTTGTGATCATGACGGGCAGGATTCCTGGCTCAGGTGTCCCAAAGTCATTCGTGCTCATGGACCATCACTTCTACTAATCTTGTAAACATTATTGTCTTCCAAATACGAAAACTGCCTTCTTACATAACCATATCCACGCCGTCATCCTCATCCTCGCTCATGTCCATAAATGAGCTGGCAGAGCTGTAACCGGGGCTCTCTGGGCCGAATAAGTCGTCGCCATCGTCCTGGTCGCCAGAATCGTCTGCGATGTAAATAGGACTCGTACTGGTGTGATGAGGCCTGCTTGAACTGAACGGTGGATCGGCCGCATTGGACTTGGAGGCGTATGCGCGCATGTTCATGACACCCATACACAGCGCATGTGCCTCCTCCTCTTCGTCCTCCATTACTACCACCTTCCCCTGCTTCTTCCCGGACGCCGCCTTCGGCTTCACCACACTCCGAGCCCGCTTCCTCCCCGTCCCCCCTCCCTCCCCGTCCACCCGCTGCCGCGAAACCTCCCGCGCCCTCTTCTTCCCATCCCAGCCCCAAGCCTTACACACAGCATCGATAGCCCCAAACGTCTGCCTCCGCGCCCCATCCCGCTCGACGCCGTCCCTCAGCAGCTGCTCATAAGCAGTATGCTCATGGCGGACATAAGCGCGCACAGCCAAGACAGCCTTCTCCCCCACCCCCAGCTTCCCCACGCGCCCCACGCGCCGCGCGCCCTTTTTCGTCGTCCAGTCCAGCACCTTGCCCACCTCTTCCTCCGGGACGCGCGGAACCGCCGCGCGGATCGCAGTCTCGAATTCAGCGCGTAGCTTGTCGTCGCGCCTCTGGGTTGCCGCGGCGCGGGTGGAGGCTGTCGCGTTGTGGTCTGCGAGCACGGACTCGTAGACGGCGCGCGGGACGCGGATGCCGACGGGGCGGCGCTTGGCGTTGTGCACGGCGTAGACGGTCTGACCTGCGGCGTGGGTGCGAGCCCGGCAGTGCGATGTTAGGTAGGCGTTGCCTTTGGGGACTTGGATGTAGCGGCCGGGCATGCGGGTGCCGAGGTAGACGGAGGGTTCGTGGGGAGTGCGGGTGGGTGGCATTTCGGCGGTGTTTTTTTGTGTCGTGATTATTGTGAATTTGAGAGGGATGTTTTGATGAGATTGGTAGTTTGGTGAAGAGACACTTAAACAAGCGTGTAATTTTTGTCACAGGTGGTTTGTTAAAGTAGAACGGTTCAGGTTGTGAGTAAATAGAACACTGTTGGAAATGAGTTGTAGTAGCTTGGCCTGGCAGTCGTGTTCTATGCTTCCAGATGTTGCACAATTACCTTGTATCTTGAAACGTTACCTTGACTACTGTTCTTTGAGCAAAGAATCGAAGTGAACAATGGCATCTTATGTCCCAAGTTTTCGTTGACTTGAGGACAACCAATCTCACTACCCTCGAGACAACCAAGAACAATGCAGCGATTGGAACGTACAAGGTTTTGTAAAAGCTTAGCTGACATTCCGATCGCAGTCGATAAAAGCTCGTGAGATAACATATGTACAGATATGAGGCTCGGATACTATCTAGATAACCTCATGCGACGATGATGTATCACACATGGCCCATGAAAGCTTGTGGGTTCTGCGCAAAAAGGGTCCTTACATGGAATTTGCTAACCAATTTCGATGAGAGTACGGTAGAAGGTACCGGAATACAAATTGAAACGGACGAAATGGGCTCCTGGTTGTGATCTTCCGCTATGTTGAGGGATAGGCCTCGAAGTATCATGATGCACGGAGATGAGAGCGTGAGACACGCTTCTGTTACAGCTGATACAGAGAAGTTGTAACAGGAAGAAGAGCAGAGAGTAAAAAATATCTGTGACTCGTTGGGGGTGCAGTCCCACAGTCACTCGACCCCTTCTTATTGTAAGCTGTAAGCCGTGGGCGTAACGACCCCGCTACGATGATTGTTCCTCGATATGAGCATAATCTCGTATTGAATGAAAGCCGAGAATGACGTATAGCGAAGCCGTTGGATCCAGTGCATGGACCCATATGGAGTATTCTGGAACCCCACCAGATATGTTGGAGGTTGGTTACCTGATGAAGGCTGCCTGGCAACCCTTTGTTGCCCCAGGTACCTCACCACTGTAATTTATGTATTTAGATACATCTCGGATGGAATCCTTTCCATCCGACCTGTTAATCAAGCACCACCCAGACAACTGATAGATTACAACAAGACTTGTGATTTATCAGCATCTGGGAAAGCTACCAAAAGTCACAAATAGCTATTTTTGCAGGTAGACCACCACATCCGGTAGCATCTACGCGTCACTTTTGTGTTTCACCTGCGAAAACCAGCCTCATCTCTCACTTTTCACGCGTCTCGACGTGTCACACCCTCAACGACACCCCATCCCTGGCTGTGCTATAGCACACTAGTTGATGATCAACGATACGCTGCAACACTGCAGCACCACTATTTGGAGTGCTATAGCACACTGGTTTGTCACATCCCTGTCTCTATCCCCAATTTTCTTCCCTGTCATCCACAATGCCTCCGAAGAAGACTACCAAGGCTCAGTCAGAGCCACATGATGAATCGGATATCGATTCAGAGGCTGCTGAGCGCCGAGCAGAGATCCGCTGAACAGAGATCATAGAGATCGTTGCGAACCACTTTACAGATCATGATTTTGCTCCGATGCTTGATCAGATCGCTGCTGTGCATTTCAACAGCATTGAGAACAAGATCGAGGCGACTGCTGAAGCACAGCAGATAGCCAACAAAGAGATGATGGACTTAATCGCCGCAATCAAGGAGACTCCAAACCGACTGGAGGCGAAGTTCAACGATCTGAATGGTCGAGTTGACGCGCTCCTCACCTCAAACGGTATTGATCCGAAGAAACTAACTCCTTAAGATGATGCCTTTCCCTTTTCTCGTGTTCCTGCGAATGACTTCAAGAACAAACAATTGGCAAACGGTCGTCTCAACCTCCATCAATTTACACACACCATGGCAACAGAGCCCCCGTCAGAGAGACGAGTCAAGGGAGTCTAGAGCGAGGCAGTGTTATCTTGCGAAGCTGAGTTTCTTCCACCAACTAACAACAAGAACAAAGTCGTGTTGCCGTCCGAACTCAAGCTCATGAGTGCTGATTATACGGTATTTTCTAAGCTTTCAAATATCCAGGATCGCCTCAAGGCTGCCTTGGTGCCATACGACCTCTGGGCACAGCGAGTCTCCATGGAGTTGTCAGATGACTTCGTTCAGGTAGCCCATTTCACGCGATCAGCACCAACTGTCAGGAAGCATCCAGGAGAACAAAGAACCTTCATGTACATATACATGGCCTCCGTGCCTGACTAGTATTGCACCTCTCTGCAGAACAACATACCATTTACCCCCCCCCCCCCCCCCCCCCCCATGGTTCGGCCTTGTGACACCAACGGACTGGGTAACCTTCCTAGTCGCCGTGTTTCAGGTGCTCTCTGATCATAATGCCCTGTACGGCTCTGTGATGGCATTCACTACCCTGCTTCCCTACCAAGACGAGAGTCTCCTCGGTTTTATGAGGCGAATGCGATCCGCCTGGCACCTACTACCGGCTCAGAACCGACACAATACCATGCATCGCAAGCTCGTACTCAACTTGCTTTGCCAACATGCACCCAGTATCTGGATGTCTGTTCAGGACGTCTATATGAACTGGTCCACTGGCGACTTGGTTGATTAAGTGGTTATCCGAGCTGAATCACTCTCCCGAACAGCAATTGAGAAAAAGATATACAGTGAACCAGCCATTTCTGTTTAGTTATAGGGACGATCGGCGCCGTTTTATAACCTCAATATCCCCAAAACCACGGCATCTGGCAAGCCAGTCACCGTAAAGATCGAACAGGGCGACGCCAGAGTGATGAACCAACAGATTATCGCAGACCCTCGCCAGGAGGACAACCAGGTCAATCTGACCAGAGAAGAAGCAGGTTTTCCGGCTTAAGAGACCAATAAGTACAACAATTGCAGTAAAATGCGTCACTAGGCACGAGAGTGCCGCTCTAAAAGCAGTCAGATAACTAGATATTGACCACCTGGTTCTCTGAGGGATCGAAATCTTTGAGATCAGAGCCAGGGTGAGAAGGTCACAATTAGAGGATTTCTGACAAGGGACGACAAGCGAGGTTCGATCACCACTAAGATTCGTAACCAAGTCAACCGCTTGGTGTCGAAGCAAGGCAACAGTTCTCGCCTGTCAACTTCCTCATCATTATCTTCCACGAATAACGCTAAACGAGTGCACTACACTAACAGTTTGGAGCTGATCGGTGGTGACTCTGACAAAGACCGCAGCAAGGGAGAGACTCTTGTTGACAGCGACAACGAGGAACTGGGCTACCTGTTTGCAGCTATGGCTGCGGATCAGGATCGTGAGGGTTGAGAAGGCCGCGCACACTTTGTGGCTGTGTGTGAGGGCTGTGATCCGCCACCGATACCACTGAGACCAATTCGAGAAGGTTTTGGTCAGCACCATCAGGTTTACGTAGCGAGACTGGCACATGAGAAGGATTTCACAGTATTCTTTGATAATGGCTGTTCTGGCTACTATGCAGATAAAGAGATATCAGCACATCTTGATCCGTATCCCTCTCGCAAGCCAACCACAATGAGCGGCGTTGGAAGAACGGGACCCCGAATCACGCAGGATGTGGTGATATTTGTGACGGCCTGCACAGACCTTCCCACATGACAAGCCGATACTTCCCAATAAGGGAAGGATCTGACCAGAGGATCCCCTTAAAGGGGCAACCTCCCGCTGTACCTATATCTCTCTCTCTTCCTTTCCTCTCTAGTCTTGATATTCTCGTCAATAGATTAATAGCTGCTTGCTGCAGGCCATGTCCCAGCTCCTCAGTATGCTCGCCGTGACATTATTATATATAAAAATTTAATAAGTTCTTGTGAGATTCTAGAAGGGTCACAAGCCTTGGTGGTGTAAGCAGTCGCTGCAAATGTTGTTGTCATTCTCAAGTATGCTCGGCAGGGCTAATCTACAGCTAAATACCATACTGCACCATGCCAGGGTGGATCCACTGGTCCCCTAGCAGCCCCCTAGCGGGTACTGTACCTAAGGGCACTATATCTGGGATCCAACATCTAACAGATGTTTAAAAAGCTATTAAAATTCTAGTAAATTTAAGTGCAAATGTGATGGTTGCTACGTCGCTACCATCGGTCATGGTCCTGGGATTACGTGACAGCAAATGACCTCCTGGACGACTAGTTGTCCCAGACCCACTAGGGCTATGTATTATGAGGCGGACGCACTTATCTTGTTGCCCACCAGATTTGGCCGTGCCGCTCAATCTTCTTTTTCCTCTTTAGCCAGAGATAGTTATACGTACATAGTAAACAAGGGCTTCTATGTCCTATTCACGTATACGGAACGTTATAGCAAATATAATAAAACTAGGTATATCTTTTACTATTTAAGTTAAAAATTAAAATTTTAACAAGCGCGCTTTTAAAAGAAGAAGAAAAGAAAAGGTTATATGAATAAAGTAAGAAATATTTTATATACTCCTGCGCGCACGGACCACCACATAATGCCATTAGGTGCCATTAGGTTTGTGGCTTGAGGGTTTCAGCGTTTTCCGCTAGGCTCTTTTGAGGTTAGTGCAATCCAGCCCTGTAGCTCAGCCCCTCGACGTGACGTCGCTGTCATTGTGAGTCGCGAACTCAGCCACACGGACACCCGACAGCCTACCTGGCCGTGCTACCCACGTAGCGCCGCCATGGTAACAACCCAAAACACCACTCACTCAACCGACGAACAACCGACTCCCTGCCGCCTCCTTCGCGAACCCACACCCTAGCAGCGTTCGAGTAATTGCCGTTCTTGCATTTCCCAGCTATCACTATCACGATACGCGCCCTCGAAGTTTGATTCCAGATTGTGACGACCAATAGAGAGACGATTACCACAACACCGCAAACATGTCGTGGGCAGGTATGACACCCACTCAGGCGCCCGCCGGTGAACGACCCACGCTGATCGACCATGACTCCTAGGCTTTAAGAAGAATGTCAACCGCGCGACGACGCAGGTCATGATGAAGACGGGCCATGTTGAGAAGACGAACGATCGCGACTACGAGGTTGAAGAGAGACGGTTCCGCACCATGGAGGCTGCCTCGTTGCGACTCCAGAAGGAAGCCCGAGGATACCTAGATTCGATACGAGGTGAGCCGAGGTACCGACGCAGACGCGCTGTAGACGGCTGTGCTGAGACTACATAGCGATGACCGCGTCGCAAATGCGCATAGCCGAGACGATAGACGCTTTCTATGGTGACGCCGGAGCCAAGGACGGCGTCAGCAGAAGCTACAAGCAGGCGGTTGAAGATCTGGACACCGAGACTATCAAGGCGTTAGATGGGCCTTACCGGTACGCTGCATAATTTCCTGCCCCCATCCGGTCATTGACGTTTTGCAGGACGACAGTATTGGAACCCATCTCTCGGTTCTGCAATTACTTCCCCGATGTGAACGAATGTACGGATACCCCAACACAGATGCGCCCAGTCTCATACTTACGCCATCTCTAGGTATTAAGAAGCGCGGCCATAAACTGCTAGACTACGATGCCCTCCGCGCGAGAGTCAAGAAGCTGGCTGAGAAGCCCGACAAGGACGTGACAAAACTACCCCGCACCGAGAAGGAGATGGACATGGCGAGAGCAGCGTACGAGCAGTTGAACGAGCAGCTCTCGAGCGAGCTGCCGCAGCTGATTGACTTGAGAGTGCCATACCTAGACCCGAGCTTCGAAGCTCTCGTCAAGATCCAACTGCGGTTCTGTGCGGAAGCCTACAGCCGGATGGCCCAAGTCCAACAGTACCTCGATGCCGACACTAGGGAGCAGTACGCGCAGGGACAGCTGGACTCGAGAGTAGAGCAGGTGCTGCAGGAAATCCGGGAGCTCAGCATCAGCGGAACGGTCTAAAAAGGCGCGAACGGCATGTGGTCTCGGGAGTTTACGGGGTGGAGGACGGACGCGGCAACGGCTGGCTTTGGTCTTTCTAGGTTTGCTGCTTGGTGAGTTCCTGAACGAATTACGGATAATGGTAGATACCGCGACGAGGCGAGAGCTTCAATATGATACACCGAGTACATCATACCCCTTTCGTTTTGAAATATCCGTACAAGGTCAGTCTTGTCTATGTCTCGGTGGAGACTCCACTCATAACCGACTCGCGAGTGGGATCACACCTTTCAGAGTCTGGATTGAGAGGCCGCAGACTGAGCCCTATTCAATTCGGGAAGAACAGCACTGCTCTGCTTGAATCGTACCAAGATAGCGTCTGTGTCGTGTGAGGGCCAGGCCATGGGGTAACAGGGATCTTCAGCTGACACGAGCAGCTCCTCGTCCATCTACTCCAGTTTCTTGATCTTGCACTAGGCAGTCACCGTGCCATAAAGCAACATCGCGCCGCTTTTTCTCGACCCGACTCAGGGTGACCCTCGAGTGGATCGCTATATCTCAAACCAATCCAAGCAACGCCCCGAAGACCCTCACCCCATCTTCTCATAAATCCCCCTGTCCTCATCGTGGAAGAAGCGCAATATCGCCGCGGCCACCTTCAAGCCATCGTGCTCCAGATGCGCCGTCTCCTTGGCGCGGTCCGCATGCGCCAGGTCCTGGATGCCGCCGCTCTCGACGCGCATGTCGATCTCGCGACGTACCATCTGTTCGTCGAACGCCAGGTGCGCCTGCGTCGTCAGCACGCGGTCCGCGATGTACACGCCCTGCACCGGTGTGTGCTCGCTCCAGCCCCAGATGTGGACCTTGGCGTCGGGGGGCAACAAATCACCAGCGGATTGGGCCGTCGGCGCCGAATTCACCTGCCCTTGGTGCATCTGGTGCAGGTGCACGCGGCCGCTGGACGTCTTGAAGATCTGCTGGCCGACTGGGGTTAGGTTGATCGGGCTGTGGCCTAGTTCCCAGTCGCCGGCTGGCGAGGGCCCGACTGTGGCGCCGAGAAGGCGGCATATGAGCTGGTGGCCGAAGCAGACACCGCTGAGCTTGCAGTCTGGACGCTGCTTGTACAGATCTGTGGTTCATCGTCAGCTTCTTGTCTTGAATGAGCTAAAGTTGGGAGCAGGTAAGTAGGTAGGTACCTCTCAAGAGATCGAGCAGCTCTATAATCCACGGATTATCCCCCTCGGCATCGAACATGCTGCCCGTGATCAGGACCGAGTGCACGCCCTCGAAGTCCTCGAACTTGGGCACCTTCCCGCCCTTGTCGCGTACCACGAACCGCCGGTCCGTCTCGACGCCCAGTGGCGGATTGTGGCTCTTACCCGCTTCGACGAAGTGCCGGTGCAAGATCTCGCTGTAGGACCCCTTCTCATCGTGCGTCTCTGGGTGCGGGTCGTCGGTCTCGAGCACCATCATCCGGATCTTGGACGTGCCGCCGTTGGACACCGTCCGGTTGATTGCGGAGGGCATTGTGTTGGGTCGTGCTCTTGTTTGTCTCAGACAGGGCGTGGTTGATAGCTTGCGTAAGTAAGATGGCAAGGTTGAGCGTAGAAGACTCATAGTACAGGTCCACCACCACTATGTCTTGTCTTTGGTGCAGGATGCGTAAGAATAGGAGGGTATTCGGTACTCGTCGGAGACCTGTCCTCGACGAGACATTTCAGAGTTTCTTTGTGTTGAAGAAGCTTGCGTATGACGACATGCTCCGACTACGAGGCTCATCGTTCAAGCCATCGAGGTATCATCATCATCATCATCATCATGATCGATGAGTCGGGCCCCGGACTTGGCATGCCCCGGACTCGCCGGACTCACCGCCATCCATCGGTAGTAGCTCCGATATTCGAACCTTCGGGAACCCCGACCTCCAAATCTTCTTTGCCGGATCATCAGATTACACCTACGATTGAAGCGATCCGAATATTCTCATTCCGATTTAAGACTATGTCTTCTCATCATGGGTAATAAACTTTCCATTTTATCCTGGGCGAGAGACGTAACTCCGCTAGTCACACTCTATGCCTCTAGCGTTTATGTTACGGAATGCCAAGATGAAGACCCCTACATCAATGTCATGGACTTCCACGTCATGATGGCCTTGGAGAGCAGTAGTCACAAGCCGTCTTCCAAATCATCGGTAACAGAGTTTCGACCTCGTGATTCCCAGTCCGGGATGCTTGACCTTGAAGCTCTTCCCAAGACCACCTTTTCGATGCGCAGAAAAACAAAGGCGCGTGCGAATGCGGTGCAACTGAATGTCTCGATTGATATCTCCTGATGGTTGGTACTCTTGTCGTTTTGGTCGCCTTGTTGAGGCTTCCTATTGAGTGGTGGGAGTGACACGGTTATCGTGATGGCGTTCGGTTCGGCTCGTTTCGAATGTCGTACGTGTGAAGGTGACGGCTGGATGGTGAGCTGGTTGTCGTTGATAGTGTAAAAGTTGACGGCTGACGGCTCGAGCGGGTCGTCATTGACGTGGTTGGCGGATGGCTGAGTGAACAGGTCGTCTGCTTGAGGTGTATGACGCTCGGAACGTCTCGATTCGAGTGTTTCGCGATAGTTGGCACCTTCGTCGCTTCGGTTGCTTCGAAAGAAGCTTACAATCAAGGGAAAAGCTATGCCGTGTGTATGTGTATAAGTGATGATGCTAAGGTCAGAACTAGCTACTAGGGATGTACGGGAAGTGTCCCTCGTATACTGGACTGGGAACAACACACAATTGGGTGCGAGTTGGAGTAGGGGGGAAGAGCCAGTCGCGGAGCCACAAAGTGAATTATACGGCCACGTCACACGGGAACATTTTGAATGTATCGCAACTGGTCGTGTATTCTATGTGTGTATGTGTGTATGAGAGGGGATTGCTATCTAGAAACGCAAACGCGGAACGCCAAAAATAAAACAAAAACAAAAACACCCCAATTGAACCAAGGCCCTTATATGCCCCTGACTGGATGGACATCAACCCTGCCCCGAAACAATACATGTATCTATGCTACCAGGTGTGGCCCGTCGAATGGTCAAACACACCGCAACAAGCGTCTTATGCCCGGAGGCTTGTATATACAAAGCCTCTACAGTATAGCCACCTGATATATCCAATAGTGGCGATACGAACTCGTGGTATCGATGATCAGTCCGAGTCATAATCACTGCTCTCTTCCCCTGGGTACAGTGTTCGAATCGCTTCGCCATCTCCTTTAGATGGTTTCACATTGACAGGAATGTGCGAGCCATCCGCCTTGACGAGAGCCACCGTGCCAGGCTTAGCGAAGGCGTAGGAATCGTAAAGCATGATGGAATCCCAGTCGAACTTGTCGTCCTCAATCACGTCATTCTGGACGTTGCTGTCAGGAAGGATATGTTCGGCCCAAAACTTGTTGGCCTCAGCGGCCTGCTGGTCCAAGTCTTCACATATCTTGTCCACGTCGACTCCGCGCTCCTTAAGTCGGTCGTAGTCCCCAAGGTTCTGGCAGTTGAGATTTAGCAGGGATGGCCATGCTCTTCTTTGCTGGTGTGTGTGCAACAAGCCGAAGACGTGACCCAGCTCGTGTGCGAAGTTGACAAGGGGGGTGCGCGCGCCGTACGTAGCCGAAAGGTCGAAGTCCAATCTGTTGTCCCCCTTTACATACCCATTGTAAGACAAGATCTTCTTTTCGTTGTTGAGCTTGATTTCCAACATATCTATCTTTCCCCGGTACTTGCTGCACTCTGGCTTTTTGTCATGCACGGGAGCGAACTCCAGCACGGATTCGTCGCCGATGACGTCCCTCCACATTTTCCAGCTCTTCTCTGCCATGTCGAGTATGAGCTCGTGTTCCTTGTTATCGCTGCTGTCTAGACACCACACGACGTCGCCTGGCCAGAGGATGCCGGTTAAATCTGTCATTTTGGTACCCTTAATCATGTAGGCTCTTGACGCTAGAGAAGGACCAGAGAGAGAGTCCGAGTCCGAGTCCGGGTTCGATTTTGAGTCGGGAACGGAGACAGAGCGTGCAAAGACAGCGCACACTGAGAATAGTGCAGCTAGTAGATCGTACTTTAAGACCATGGTGACAGACAAGACGAGAGGCAACCAATAAATTGAGTAAATATATAGCAAAGTCGATGATGCGAGGAGGGTTTTCGAGGTGTTTGTCTCCTGTCGCGGCTTCGAATGGTCTGGCCTGTTGATTCATCTGCTTAATGTTAATGTGACTGGGTGCTAAATTACCTTTATAGCAATGTTATGTGTAGATGAGCGAGAGAGATTGCCACCTTTGGGATCCTTAGTGCGAGACATTTCCCAGCCATTGCCAGCAAGTATATTCGCCCTTTTCCGCTAGACCAGGATAACTGCCCCCGAGCGCTATTTCTAGACCACTCGCCTGCTCCGATATCCGCCAAGGGTGCGCACGGCCGGTCAGCTTGTGTGGAGCTGGTACGCCGTAGGTAGTTATAGGAACAGATCCGTGAACAGATAGTACGAGGGAGCTAGGCTGACGAAGATGACGCGCCAAGGGAAGGAAGGGAAGGAAGGAAAGCAGGCAGAAATCACAAGAAACCTCCCACAACACAATTAACCACCCCACCACCAAAACCTTCTACGTATATGATCTGCTCGTCCATTCTTTCACATTAACATAAACAACATCTATTCCTATATACATCAATCAATTCAGTGTTGCAAGGGCCTTTTTTCTGCTTTTATCATTATTGCGTATCCTTCGCGATCATATGTATTAAGCCTCCGTTGGGGCATGGCAACTGATGTGCGGGCTGTGAAAGGTTTCATGTGATGACTGCCTGGAAGGCTGACGTGAAGGATTGCGGCTCCGCCGAAAGAGAACTTGCCACGCCGTTCGAGCCATAAAGTACGTCATTGCTGAGTTTAGTAGACTGTTGGGAGGGACGAACAAATGCACAAAGTGTTGCCTAGAAAAGGCGATAATCGATACTGACAATGCTTCACGCGGAGACAACGACAAGCAAAGGATTCTCGGCGCTTATTGAGGACAGCGAAACGCTTCCCAGGCGCAATCCTTCTACATCTACCACCAGACCCCAATCATGATGTTGGCATACGTCGGCGTCTCCGCCTCGGTAATCCACAGCCCATTCTCCCGATATGAAAATTAGACGAATAGTTAGGGTGGGGGGGGGGGGCCGGGATCAGACTGCTTATCCAGTCCTGGTGTTGAACCTTGATCGGCGAGAATTCTCGTATCTCAAGCATCTGAACTCACTGCCCAGCCAGTTGGACACTGGGCTGTGATGACACCTAAAGACCACTTGTCGACGGCATTGGTATACGCCAACTCCAGCTCCCAGAATTCCGAAGCCATATAGACATTTGACCAGTATATGTTTGTATTATCCCAGACACGTTACCGCCTTGCCTACGTGGTACGTCCATGGACATAACATCGCCGATACTGACTTGCCGCCTTTGGTGGAACGGCATGCTTCTATAACCTCGAATCTTCCTAGCATCCGGCCCCATCAATCAGACAGCACATCCAAATGTGACCTCATGCAGCCGTCTTCATCACCTGTGTCGTCCAAGGATACACTGTCCTATTCGCAAATGTACGATACCATTTTATTTGTTCATAGAAGCTAGCAAACTTGTCTCAATACTTAGAACTATGCGCAGTAAGAACTTCCGGAAATGCTAGTTGTCTTATTTAGCAAATTGCTCTATCATACGAGTATCAAAGCTGATACGCCGTCTCTCGCGGCGGTCGTCGTGACCTTCATCGGCGTCACTCACTACTTCTTGCGTCGCTGCTCAGCGAGGACGAACTGGACTGCCTCTAGGGCCGTGATCTTGCCGGTGCCGTCGTTGGGGCCTTCCGAGTCGCTGTCCTCCTCGTCCTTCTGCTTGCGGTGGGACTCTTGGCAGCCCGAGCGACGCCTGGCAGATTCTTGTCCTTGTCCTTGTCCTTGTCCTTGGCTGCAGCGGCAGCTTCCTTCAGCGATTCCGCATCCCCGTTGTACCAACAAACTCAAGGTCCTGCATCTATAACCCCTCGAGCTCACTCCGGTTTATCGACACCTATCCCTTCCAACAGAACCATGGCGATCCCTTGCCAGCACCCAGGCTGCGGCCGCAAATACGAACACCATAGTAGCATAGTTAGGCATATGCAGACCAATCATGGTGTTAGCCGAATGCGAGATTAGGCTTGAATTATTACGAGATTGTGTGTCGTGATAGATTGTAGGCTAGTGAATAGTGGGAGAGGAAAATAATGGATCAAGAATTTGCTATGGTTATATAGGTGGATTCTCGCCAGAAGTACAATAGAGGGGAATGAACAATGGCACGTAGCCATTGTTGGATGGACATATTCAAAATGAGATTAGGACCATTGAGTCTGTCCCGACTGGGCCTATTAACATAGCATAGTAAATAGTGTTTCGACAGGCAATGATATAAAAACAAGTTTGCCGGTGTTACGAACCAACAATACCACGGGCCCGTTGGCAGGCCTGAAGGGAAAAGATGACCTGCGAGGGAACCCACTTAGGACGGGGACACAATACGGAACAGCGCAGGGCATCCGGGCACGTGATCCAGGGAGCCAAGATCACGTGACTAGAAGTTGCTCACGTCTGATCACGCGAGTAGCAGTGAGCACACTTCGTCAGTGAGGGAGAGATTGTATATATAAGGATGGACATTTCCTAGCTAGACAGATAGATAGTCTCTATCTTAGTGATCAATCTAAACATCTTAGCCAACCCTAAGGTGGGAGAAATCTCCTGACGACACGAATATTCAGTGATCCCCTGGATCAGACCAAGCCCCAGTACCTAAGTGTCTTCTAGTTAACAGAAGCCTCTATCGTCCTTCGTGTTACCTTACCTCAGAACATAAACCCTATAGAACCCTTTAGCCTTATAGGTTAGACGGCTCGTCACAGCCGTCTTGCTATAAACAAATAAAATAAAAAGTCACATATTATTGAAACTTAGAATATAAAAGATTAAAAAAAAGAAAAGGTTATAGATTTCTCTAATTAAGCCCGGGAGAAGAAATAGTGTGTCCCTACTCCTGCCGTACAGCGCCAGCGAGGCGATTACAGTGCGTATAAGCGGCACGAATAGCGTCATGCCCGATTACTAAGTGGCCCCAGCGAGATACTTGCTTCATACTGCAGATGTGCCTTACAAGTGTAGTGCTTTCATGTTTTCTGTTCTGCTTCACGTCCTACTGGTTTCTTGACGTGATCATCATCTACCATTCTGGAGTCCCTCCGTGCGGTGTACCAGTGCTAAAGAAGAGCACGACGGTGACGGAGATGTGAGCATTCGAGGATAATACGGGCGGCGAATGAGTGTATTCTTTTGTTCGCTAAAAGTAAATAAATAAAACACATACTTGTCGAGGTAACGACTGTAAAGGTCATATGTATGTTCCTATGTACTGTCGTCCAGATTCTGCTACGTGGCACCAAGGTCAGGTTATTTCTCATCCGCTGGTTTATCTATACCCGTACATCTCCGTATTCAGAAAAGCGATTCTGAACTTGTCGTTGTCTGCCTTGATCATCTCATCTGCCCCCTTCTTTTCCTCTGGCAGCAGCTTGGAATTGGCGTAGTCGAGAAGCAATGCCTTGCCATCCTTGTCGATGAGAAACTGGTCCGAGTGCACATCCCCATGGACTAATCCTTTTTCATGTAAGGCGTCAAGCACTTTCCGGCACTTGTCCTCATCGTTCCGAGTCGCCCTGTCCGCTTCAATGTATTGAAGCACAAACGCGACAACCTTTTTGTTCTGCGTGACAAGCGCCAGGAAGTTGGGGGCAATCGATGTGCCTTGGAGCTTTTTGTAGGCGTCTACTTCCGGCTTGAGGCGCTCTGTTGTGCCAGCCTTGACGTACAACATCTTCGAGCCGAGCTTTTGCTCCACGTGCGAATCAGCTGTGACACCATACACTTCCCCTGGTATGACTTCGGCATCTGTGAGCTTTCCCCACTCGATCTTCGGCATGCCGACCCAAACAATCTCATCTTCATCTCTGGGTAGAATTTGGTGGCTCCTAGCGATCGCCGGTACTGATGGTCTGGTCACGGCCCGGGCCTGTTGGTTCCATCAGCGTTAGCATTGGCGTTGCTTCGACTAACGTGGCACAATTTCTACCAAAGACTGACCTCTATTAGGATTTGGAGCGGGCCGTGCATGAAGCCCAACAGGGCCAGGATGGTTGCGCCTCTGCCTTGCATTCTAAACGATTGATAGATTCTTGCTAGTCCGTTCTGTCTCGGCGTTCTTGTCTCTATTCGATGATGATGTTAATGTGTTACCGGTAGTCGGTCTACTCAGTGTCTTCATATGCTACTGCGAGACTTTGAACCCGTTTTATACGAGAAACCATTTGAGAGTTTCTATATATATGTCATGTGACAGCGGCACAGACAGGGGCGGGGCCTCAACTACATCATTATGGTCCATTATTGTTCCAGATGGCAGCGGCACAGAGAGGCACGGGGGTCTCAAGGACATCATTATGGTCGATAATAACGATGCTCCACGCCGAGACAGCAATAAAGTTCCATTCACTAGGTCCCCACTTGGAGGCTCGGTGGAGGATTCTATGGCCTCGGTCAGGATCAGGAATTGCTAAGAAAAGGAAGGATTGTACCTATAAAAAAGTAGTTTTCATAGCACATACTATTTGCGACTTTTTCTGCATCCTTCTTGCCAATGTGCGAGACACTTAAATAGAACAGGAGCTTCTCGGCGCTTACTAACATCGGCGTCTCCGCCCCAACAATCCACAGCCCGTCTCCCGACATGAACATCATATGACGAACAGATAGGGGATGAGATACCATGGGATAAATCCAATCTTGCCTGAGAACGTGGATATCATGTACTCGATGTTATAAATAGCTCTCAGGGATGTTAATGCCTGACTAGCTAGCACCCAACTTACTGCTGGCGGTAACTTGTTGGATTCTGGGCTACGTTAGCCCATCCATAGTCATCCTTCAGGATCAACATCTCCATCTGTAACTCTGTCACATACGTGGCCAATATAAGGCCACGTATCCTTTCCTTTAGTATCTTGGATATATAGGGCCACTCTGGCCGCTCCAGAGTAGCTGGAATTCCTCTCCTTAGATAGAACACTTTGAAATCTCACATAACTACATTTCGCAACCCACATTTGGTTTTGGAAGACGTCCTGACGATATGTATGTACTTTTCGACCACTATATACAAGAAAGTCCCGCCATCTGCTCCTGACTTCAACCCCCAAGATGTCACAGCCAGCCCTACTCAACCCAAATAACAGCACTAAGCCCGTCCTCTTGCTGCTCCGTCCCCGGCGTCGCAACCAACACACTAGCCACCAGGCCCCCCAGCCTGCCCGTCGCCGGGTTCCGACTGATGATCGCCACATTACTGCTCGTCTGCCCTCCGACGGCGACCAGGTCGCCCGCCGCGTTGATCGAGAACGTGCGAGGGAACCAGGCGTGCGCGTTGGTCGCCTCGACCCACGATATCGCCCCCGAGGCCGCGTCGATCGCGTACGTCGCCAGCGAGTCCTGCTCTGCGCCGAACGTCTGGTCCGCGCGGTTGGCCGCGTACAGGAAGTCGCCCGCGACGTGCACCTCGGCAGCCTTGGAGCCGTCGGGGGGTGTGGTGCCGGCGGCGTAGGTGGAGAGGGTCTGCTGCTTGGTGAGGGCGAGGCAGCCGTCGTCCGGGTAGGACACTGCCCAGGCGGAGACGGAGTTGCCGAGCTCGTTGACGGTGTACAGCATCTGGCCGGCTGTCGAGTCGACGCTGGGAGCCCACCAGGCAGCGTGGCGGGGGCCGTCGCCTGGGTCTGCTACGCCGGGGGCGCATGCTGTCAGGTTGCCGGTCGCCGAGTCGATGCTGAAGACGCGGATCAGGTCCGCGCCGAGGTCTGGGACGACGATGAACTTCCCGGTCGGGTCCAACACCGTCGAATGCGGGTGTGGCGCGTTCTGTCGCGGATTCGGGCCTGGCGCGGACATGTTGAACTGCAGCATCTGCAATACCGATGCGCCCTCCGTGAGCGGAAGCTCGTATGTCGTAAGTGTAGACGGGTCACTATGGTCATCGTGAGTCTTGATGTTCCAACACATAGCTGTAGGGCTCATACTATTCGACCGTCGCGAAGAACCAAGCACCATTCTCACCGCCGTAGGGCGTGCCATGGACACTGGCTCCCTTGGTGGCGAGGCTGCCAGTCTGTGTCAAAACGCCGTTGGTGTCAACAGTATACGATGCCAGCAGCCCACTCCCATACCAGCTCTCGTCAACCGAGTACACCGTCTTGCTCTCTGGATCCAGGTGCAACCAAGCAGGCAGCAATCCACAACCAGTAGCCGAGCCTGTGACTGCCAAGGAGCCATTGCTCCCGTAAAGCAACGAGTAGATCTTGCCAGTGTAGTGTGAAGCGAGCAGGTTTGCGCCAAGCACGTGTGCCGACAACCGGAGCGCGGCCGGAACCAAATACCGTAGAGGCGTCATGATGATATTGATATGCTGTCTGCGCAGGGAACGAGCGATCATCTGCAGATAAGAGAAGGAAGAAAAGTGGAAAACAGTACCTTAAGCTATGCGAGCGTGGTTGATTTTGATGCAGCGAGCTGCATAGCAGATCCCATCTGGAAGACATGGCACAACACCCTTGGATGACGGCCTACCCTTCAGCTTGAGGATAATACTACTCAATCTCTCCGCGGGGCAACAGACAGTTACTCCTGTCTTCGCGAGCGAGCTACTACGCTTCGAGCAAAAGCGAGCCTTGGACGTGACTCCGTGAACGCAAAGGGCAATTGCCCGGAAGGGCTGCCCGAATTGTGTGACGTTTCGGACAGGAGGTGTATCTACTCGCGGCAGGGGTTGATGAGGCTAATTGGCCGCCAGCGTGAAATCACCCGCAGCTTTATTAAGGAGCTGGGTCGCGGAGATCTGCTCTGTCTCAGATACCACCCTGAACCTGTACCCCAATATCGGGCAGATACCCCCACACTGCCCCGGACCGACACTCGTCGATCCCGAAGCCGTGGTCGTTGGCACTGCGATACGCCTGAGCGAAGAAGGTGTGTCTCTCACGATGGTGTCAGTCGGCTGTCTGGGTTAGTTACCGTCCCGTGTGACTCCGATGATGCGACTCGACCGTTGAAGCATGGATCTCGACCGCGGAGAAAAGTACAAGGGTTGATTGGATGCAAAGGGAGAGGTGTTGGGCCTCGAGCCACGGCACAATATCAATCGCTGATTAAGGAGTTCTTCCATAGATATAAACTCCGCCTCGTACTGACATTCGGTTGGTTCCGATGCAAGACGACCCTATGACGATCTTCATGGATACGGAGTAGTGGAGGACCGGGTAATTGACTCCGCATAGGCGACTCTCTCAAACTCGACGGAACGTGGCAAGCCATATTGTAGTCATTTACACAATCTCGTCTGCCCTTCAAGGCGTGTTGTCAAGTCGGCGAACTCAGTTTCGAGCAACTGAGAGGTTGGGTCGGATATGCCGCGATATGTAGGCGGGTTTTGTTTGGATGCCTCGTAGCAGGACAGCACCTGGCAAATGAGAGCCTCGTCCCTTGTTACTTGGATCACAACGAGGAGGGTGAACACGGATATCTGCCGACACATGTTATCTGAACGCATATAGTGAATAGTTCTCAACCAAGGCGAGGGGTGTGCCAAGTGTAGCTGATCGCGTCAGCCCTCGCGCGTGACATTTCGTTTGGATAAGCGCCGCGTCCATGACTGCCGACTAAAGTCTTGGCATAAAACCTGGATGCTGAGTGTTCGATCGCCAGAGATTGCGATAAACCGAGATAACCTCTCACGAAGTACCAGGGGCCGGGCCTGCCTGTCCGGGAGATCGTTCCATCGCCACGCCGCTCTTCCGGGAGAGGCTCCTGCGCGCTACGCTGGCCCATGTTGACACGAGACTGGTCAGCAAGCAACTCCCTCGCGTGTCTGAGGCCAAGGCTGCGCTGAAATTAATCATCGGACCATCTTGCCGTATGTCCACTACAGACCGCACATCTGTGCCTTGTTGAGAATGGTTATATGCTCGCAATGAGTGGCTCAGTCATTGAGTTATCGTTCGAGGCTTCGTAATACCTGCGGCCAGCATCACCGGCCAGTAGTTGCGTTTATCCAACGCGGCCTTCAAAGACTCGGCTCACCCCCGGAATTCCTGTTCGAGGGATCGAGAAACCAGGAACTCGAACACCAGACAAGATGCGAACGGCGACCTTCAGCATAGGGTTCCTGGTGGGCTTGGCCCAATCAGCTGCCCTCAACAGACGGGCTGCTCTCGAGGACTGCCTTTCGACGACCAACACTACCATCGATGTCGCCGGATCAGATGATTGGGTTTCCGATGTCAAGCCCTTCAACACGAGGTTGCCGTTCACACCCGAAGTAATCGCTGTCCCAACCACAGTGGAGCAGATCCAAAACGCCATCGCGTGCGGCTCAGAGCTCGAGTACAAGGTAACCCCGAAGAGCGGTGGGCATAGCTATGCTTCGCTCGGTCTTGGAGGCGAAGACGGGCATCTGGTCATCGAGCTCGACCGCATGTTCGCCGTCACGCTTGACAACGAGACGAACGTTGCGACCGTAGAGCCCGGCGCGCGGTTAGGGCATGTCGCTACGGAGCTATACAATCAGGGTGGTCGCGCTATATCTCATGGAACCTGTCCTGGGTGAGTGAATCGCCTTTGCTCCTCGGAACCAAAAGTTGACAAACCAGTGTTGGCATATCAGGTCACGCCCTCCACGGTGGGTATGGCATGGCCTCACACAGTCGAGGTCTGACCCTGGACTGGGTGGCTGGCATGAACGTAGCATTAGCGAACGGCACACTCGTGCATACGTCGGCAACAGAAAACCCAGAACTGTACTGGGGCATGCTCGGGGCCGGATCCAACTTCGGTGTTGTGACATCGTACGAATTCAACACATTTGAGCCTCCGGCGAATCTGACGTGGTTCGTGGCGACCTTGCCCTGGAAGAAGAACAATTCGGTGCAGGCGTTGGAAGCATTGGAAGACTACACCATGAACATCATGCCAGCTGAGTTGAACATGCGTGTATTCGGCACATCAAGCCTGACCCAGTTAGAAGGCGTCTACCAAGGGAACACGACGGACCTCCAAGCTGCGCTGGCACCGCTCTTCAACAAGACCGGGGGCACCATTGGCGCATCGAAAACGACTGACTGGATTGGAAGCCTGGAACACTTTGCGACGATGAGTCTCGACCAGACAATCCCTTACAACCAGGTCAGTAACGTAGCACATGGCGCGACAGGCTGATGCTTACCTGATGATTATAGCAAGAGTACTTTTACAGCATAAGCTTGGAACTCAAGGGTCTGAATGGTACTTCTGCAGAGAACTTTGTCGACTATTGGTTCGACACCGCGAAGAACCAGACCTCGTTCTGGTATTACCAGATGGACCTGCAGGGAGGCGTGAATTCGGGCGTGTGGAAAGTCGACCACGACCTCACGTCGTACGCCCACCGAGACAAGTTGTACATTCTCCAATTCTGGCTCCAGCCAACGAGCGGCGAGATCACCGAGGATGGGTTCAAGTTCATCGACGACTGGGCTTCGACGACCACCGCTCCTCTTGCGCCCGCTGACTGGGGGATGTACGCGAACTATCCAGACACCAGTCTGAACCGGACGACAGCGCAGCAGGTGTACTGGGGCGAAAACCTCTCGAGGTTGCAGGAGCTCAAGGCGCAGTACGATCCGACGGAGCTGTTCTATTATCCCACCTCGCTGGAGCCAGCCGCGGCGACATAGGGCAAGGAGGAGAGGGTAAGATGCCTACCTATGGGGCCACACTGTTGTACATACCTACGAGCTTCTCATTAGCGTGAGCAGATGCCCACCTGGCATCGCCACGAACATTCTAGATTAATCCCAGATACGTAACCGGCTCTCGTAGTCGTCTCTTTCAGTTCGTGAGTCTCGATGGGAGATGTTGCTGTGGTAGCAGCTTGTGGCATGTGTGTTCCGCGTATCGGATTGTGATGTTCGACGAGGACTGCGTGTGATTAAAGCAAGGTTTCTACAACGCATACTGCATCGGTTTCGGTAACGATTCGACCCAGTTGACGAGTTATTGGAGGAAACGCGAATGCCACGAACATTGTGTCCCTTTTGATAATGTCGATAATGTCGATAATGTTGGTTGGTAGCGGAGTCGAAATTGTTAAGGTACCATCCGACGGGGCTAACGCTAGTGGGCCAACAGTTTGAAAAGCAGGTATATAATTGTTCATTTGAGGACAAAGCTTCTAATCAGGGCAGCTTGTTCCAGCTGGATTACAACAGGCGCTTTGGCGGAGTGGTTAACGCGATGCCCTGCTATTACCCAGTAGGGATTATAGTCGGTAGGCATTTCCCTCGGGAGCAAGAGTTCGAATCTCTTAGGCGTCGATATTTCTTTTGCTCTTCAATCTTCCAAATCCCTCGTTCCTTTTGGCGCAGGCGCGGACGCGGGCACGGGTGATGTTGCATGGCCGGCTGATTGAAAAGGTGTTTTGGCAGTCACGATGGTTCAGACCTGCTAAAAATCTCCGCGACTGCCACTTTTGTCAGCGCAAAGTGACCGGCAGCGACCGGCAACACCGCGCGCCACCACCTGCACCCCTGGCACTTTTGACGGTAGCTGTCCACTGAAGTCTCACGTCTTCAACAGCTCATGCAGACCCGTGGACACTGCTGTTCTGCAGAGAACACGTAGAATCGACCTTTTGCGCATTCTGTCCTCGTCAACTGTCAACCACGTGCCAAAATCAGGTCAGCGGCTGAATCCAGAGCTCCGTCGCCACCGGCGTCGCGTCTGTCATTGTTTGAGCAGGATGGCTCGTTTATCGTGACACATCCCCAACTGATCCCACAGCCTTCCGACTCGACATACTGCTTTCATCCCAGATGGCGTCCCTCGCTCGATTCAAAGAGCCATGGATAAAGGCGCTCAATTCCCGACCGGCAGTCCCGTACCGCGACTTACCCGAATATCCTGTCTCCGACCCAGCGTCCTTGGTCTGCACCTCTCGTCCGCTGTCTTTCGAGACGGGTACGGGAGCATCGATCTACACGCGCTCATTACTATCTGCGATCCTCGAGGCGAAGCATGAGGTTATTCTCGTGACTTGCTTCTGGGCTCCATCGACGACCTTGACTGCGCTGAAGGAGACACTGGAGAAACTCGCCGCGTCACGCCGTGAACGCATCCGCAACCAGCTTTCAGCCGGCCCGGGCGAGGAAGCTGTGCCCCCTTTGCGGATAAGGATATGTTTCTCGTCTCGATCCCTACTACAGAAGATATTCCATACGTCTTGCCGAGATGGATATACCTATCCGCCATCCGCATGGCCAACACAACTCGGACTGCCAGACCAGGACACTCTTGAGGCTGGACTCATCGATCTCCGAGTCAAGAGCTTGTTCTTTCTACCCTTTAGCGTGATGCATCCCAAATTTCTGATTGTTGACCGTCGAAAGGCGCGGCTGCCCAGCTGCAATGTCAGTTGGGAACCTTGGTTGGAGGGTTGCGTCGAGCTCGACGGCGCTGCGGTATCCACCCTGTTGAGCTTCTACCAGAGTGTTTGGGACCCGCGTTTGGAGGAAGAACCTGCGATTGAGAGCAATAAGAACCCTCGATCGAACCCTGAAAATCTAAAGCCTTGCAGCTCTGGCAGACTTGGGTTGACCTCAATCCAGAGTCCCGCCACCCGGTTCGTGTCGTTGGGGGCCTCTACAGTACCGACGGTTCTCCTGCCGTCATCCCATCGCCGCAACCCCCAGTTTAGACCTCTGTTCTGGCAGAACTCCCCATCTCCCCCATCGACTCCTCTCAATTGCGCCATCTTACGACTCCTGGACTTGGCCGAGAGGCAAATCTACCTACAGACACCCAATCTGACGTCTGCGACTGTAGTAGACGCATTGCTGGGAGCGTTAGATCGTGGCGTTGATGTCACCATCGTAACCAGCAGAGGTATGATGGTTCTAGAGCAGCTCCTCACGGCTGGGACGACAACTTCATTATGTCTCAAATCATTCATCAAGAAGTACAGCGAGCGCCAGCGCCTCTACGCCCAATCCAGGGATAGACGGGGCAGTGAGGACTCGAATCCTATCATTGATTTGGAAGCGCAACCGCCTCGCTTGGGGTCGCTCAAGATCTCTTACTTCCAGTCCCTCCCCGCCAGCCGAGCCACAAAAACACCAGAGGAGCCAGTGCAGTCGCACCTCAAGCTGACGATTGTCGATGGCCAATACACAGTTCTCGGGTCCGGGAACATGGACCGCGCGAGTTGGTTTACAAGCCAGGAGCTGGGGATACTATTCCAGTCGACAGAGTTTGCGACGGCAGTCAGCGACACTGTTGAAGGGGCTCTCCACGGGAGGCTGCGCCCGCTGTTCAGTTCAGAGGCGTGAAACAAACCAGGTCGAAGTCGCTCGCTCGCTGGATGGTGTCCCGATCGCCCATCACTCGTCTGATCGAAGATCTGGCCCGTCTATTGGGAATCATTTTTAGGCTGCCGAGGTATGCGCATTCCTTCGTTGTCGTGTGCCAAAGCCGTGTGAACAGCCACGAGCAATGCATCATATCTTGGTCGCCTTGCATTCTCGATTGTAGACCGAGCGAACGCGCGATTGAGGGAACTGCGTCGCATGATATACTTTTAGACAATAAGCATAGGCTATCTTTCACCTGTAAGCTTTTTGCAATGTGACCACCCACGAGCGCAGCCGCCACCTTGGAGTTGCACCGAAGGATTCCTAGCTGTCGACCGTGGGCTGGGTATCGCAGGTGGCTTGCTGCCAAGACGGTGCCGAGTCTTGCTTCCACCTTCGGGGCTAGAGCTCTCCGACTCCTCTAGCCCCCCCCCCCCCCCCCCCCCCCCGCCATTTGATTCTAAGCTCGCCGGCGCATGTCATGGTGGTGTTCTTGGACTCTTTGTCGCAGGCTGGGCAGCAGGGGCAGAGAGACCCTTGACCAGTTCTCATGTGCTCAAGACTCAAGAGGATTCGAGCGAGGGTCCTGCATCGCTATCGCAACCCAGCACTGCAAAAGGACCTATCAATTATTCTCGATAATATAGAAACAAGCTCCACCATCACATTCACGCCTCCCGTCCGCATTCATCAACTTGCCCGCCGACCCCTCGCCCCAGGAGCCTGCGAGGGCCCATGACTGATGGCCCTGTACGTACCATCGCGTGGCTGGATTCCGTGTTGAGCTCCATGCATACAAGCTAGGACTATTACTACGGTACTATTGCCACCATTGAGGCCGGGGACTGTTCCTCCCTCAAGTGACCACCATTGCTCGTAACGGGCGACCGACACACCTGGCAGGCGACTGTCTGGTTGGCCACAGAGCATTATAGATGCAACTGCACTCGTGAGACGGTACTTTAGAACGGGAGGATGGCCAGCCTCATCGCCCGATGGTGACCCTGAGGCGCAAGACCTACATGTACAAGCAGCCGTGGGCTTGAAGGAAGCCCTCGGTAAAGCAGACCTCGAATGAACGAACTGACACTCACTGATCAATCACGCATTGAAAAGCCCGTTTTACAGTCGAAGAGATTGGACTTGACGTCATGTCCGACAGAAAGATAGTTGCGCCCAACACAGATTCGTGTAGAACAAGCCCTTTAGCAACCGAACACCACCACATCTGCACCACTGGCACCGCCGATCTCGTCCCGCCAAGTGCAGGCCGTGTCACGGCCTGCATCACCACCACAACGGGAAGACAAATTAGACAATACTCGATCCCCCAGTTCCCCAGGGCCGCTTCTAGGCTCGCAGGCTGCTAATGTGGCCCAGGTCCTGGGATCAGTTCAACCCTGCACCTGCATCTTCTGCAAGCCTGCCCAGCAGCAGCTTCAAGCAGGCAAGTGGATAGCATATTGCATGGGCACCTGTGACTCGTGAGTCTGTGGGCCTATAATAAAGACTGCAACAGCGGAAACCCACGAGGTTATTCCAAATCCGATCCTGCTGTTCATGTTGTTTTCCCTCCTCCCCTCGTCACTGGCCTCCTGAATAGCGGTCTACTGTAAAGGCAAACTTTGCAAGGTGTTCATCGGATGAAGTGCTAGGGATTGACTGATCTGGCCCTTGATTGTGCGCACCACCTCTTGTCACGATCCTCACAATCGCCCACCTCATGGATTCGTGAACCGCGTCTCCTCAACCCTACCTCAAGGCACCATACCGCAGTGTTGGCACTGCGTCGGTTGGTAGTTCCCAGTCGCAAGCCAACCGCAGAATTCCGACCTCACCAAGGCTCTCCACACATATTGTCTGCCGCTCAAGATGTCGACGGGAATCGAATGGGATAGGGCGCCTCCGGGGTACGGCAGCGAGAGCCACTCGCCGGACGCCGAGAAGACGGTGCTCGACCGAGCCGACTCGTTCGCGGTCGGGCGCGCCGACGGCACGCACCGCAAGCTCAAGCCGCGACACATCCAGCTGATCGGCATCGGCGGCACCATCGGCACCGCGCTCTACGTCCAGATCGGCAAGGGCCTGCTCAACGGCGGGCCGGCCAGCCTATCCATCGCCTTCACGCTGTGGTGCACCGTCATCCTGTCCGTGACCATGTGTATGGCCGAGATGGTTACGTACTTACCGATCTCGTCGCCGTTCATCCGCTTCGCCGGCCGCTACGTCGACGAGGCCTTCGGGTTCGCCGCCGGCTGGAATTTCTTTATTTTCGAGGCGGCGCTTGTACCGTTTGAGGTCACGGCCTGCAACCTGATCATCCACTTCTGGAGCGACGCCGTGCCGGCCGGTGTCATCATCGCCATCGTGCTGGTACTCTATGGCTTGATCAACGTGCTAGCCGTCAAGTTCTACGGCGAGACCGAGTTCTGGGCCGCGCTCGGCAAGGTGCTGCTGATCATCGGGCTGATCGTCTTCACCTTCATCGTCATGGTGGGCGGCAACCCGCAGCGCGAGGCGTTCGGCTTCCGGTATTGGGCATGTATAAAAACATCCCTATTTTAGACCCCAAGTCCCCGGGTTTGGAATACGCTTGAACATTCTGCTAACTTTTCGGCAGTAGGTAATTCTGCTAGAGCGATTCCAGAGACATAGGGTACGGTAACTAACGAGGGACATTTTCATACACTAGGTACGAGCCCGGATCGTTCGCCGCATACTACAGCACCGGCCCGCTCGGCCGCTTCCAGGGCTTCTTGCAGTGCTTGATCATGGCTTCCTTTACCATCGCCGGGCCTGACTACGTTTCCATGGCGGCCGGCGAGGCCGTGAACCCGCGCGTCGTCATGCCCAAGGCCTTCAACGCCGTCTTCTACCGCCTGACGGCCTTCTTCATGCTGGGGTCGCTGTGCGTCGGCATCCTGGTCCCCTACGACGACAAGACGCTCAAGGACGCCTTCACCAACGCCGAGCCCGGCGCCGCCGCCTCGCCCTACGTCGTCGCCATGAACCGCATGGGCATCCCCGTGCTGCCGCACATCGTCAACGCCATGGTCCTAACCGCGGCCTTCTCGGCCGGAAACAGCTACGTCTACTGCGCCTCGCGCTCGCTCTACGGCCTCTCCCTCGAGGGCAAGGCCCCCCGCTTCCTGACCAAGTGCACGCGCAACGGCGTGCCCATCTACTGCGTGTCCCTCGTGCTGCTCATCGCCCTGCTCTCCTTCCTGCAGGTCAGCCAGAACGCCGCCGTCGTGCTCGAGTGGTTCGTCGCGCTCGTCACCGCCTCGCAGCTCATCAACTTCAGCGTCATGTGCGTGACGTACCTGTGCTTCTACCGCGCCCTGCGCGCCCAGGGCATCAGCCGCGACGACCTGCCCTACAAGGGCATCCTTCAGCCCTACGCCGCCTGGTACGCGCTCGGAGCGACTTTCGTCATGACTTTTGTTGGCGGGTATACTGTGTTTTTGCCGGGCAACTGGAATGTGCCTGATTTCCTGTTCTCGTGAGTAAATCACCTACCAATAACCCTCTATAACCCTCTCATGCATGCATGCTTCTGGTACATATTCAGGGTCGTGTGGTTCTGAACTAACTGACTTGCAATGCGTCCCAGATACACGATGATCGCTGTGTGCCCAATCCTCTACGTCGGCTGGAAGGTCGTCCACAAGACGCGCATCCGGGCGCCGTACGATGTCGATCTGCATCAGGACCTCGAGGAGGTCGAGGAGTACACGCGGACGTTTGTGGCTGCGCCGCCAAAGTAAGGTTTTTCGCCAACTTTTCTCCTCCCTCCCCATCCCTCCCCTCCCTACCTTTGCTGCTCTGTCACCATCCATCCACCTACCTATACATCATTCCTTCGACCAGACCCCCTAGTTGGCATTGGCACCCGGATAGAAATACATGGCTGACCGATGTGCACAGGAATGCGTTTGAGAAAGGGTTCAACCGGTTCTTCAGCTAAGTGTCTCCAACCTGCGATACTGTGGGCTGTTGTAGGTTCCAGCGGTGATTTATTGTTCTCACATGGCAGACATGTGATAAGCGTTAACACATATCACCGGGGACCTGGCTGGGCGCACATGCCAGTCGGTGTTGAGATCTCGATCGAATAGACAGACATAAACAACAAACACATGATACCTTAGCTCCGACACAGACTCAAGTCCATTTGAAGAACTACGTTGTCCAACTGACTGTGTCTGCGACAGACTGGGTTTTTCGCATCTTCGGGTATTGCAGACGATGTGCGCTGCCAGCAATACACAGGGTTCCATACAGAGATAGTAGGTAGGTACGAAGCCGCGCATTTGAATGTATCGAGTTTGGCCCTTTTCAGGCGCATAGTCGTCGAGTTACCAATCAGACGACGTGTTGATTCAACAAGCTTAGTTCAAGCTGCGGGTTGTAGACTTGGCAGTTGGTAGCCTGAAAGGAAGCAAAAGCCAGCTAAATATATCAACAAGAGCAACCTAATCAGATCGCGTTCTTCTCAGATGGCCGGTACCTTCTGAATATCCCATCGTGCTCCCAGAGCGCTAGCGCACGAATATGGCATCAGATTTATCGGCTTGCGAGCTCCTGACCTTCAAAGATCGGCAGTTCCTTCTCAATATCCTGCCATGTCTTATCGCCATTCACAATGTCCCGGACCGCGGCAATGATCTTCTCCTCCTCTGCGCGGACCTGCTTAGTGGAATCACGATCTCTTAGCGTGATCGTGCCGTCTTCTACTGTCTGGAAGTCAATGGTAATGCCCATGGGCGTGCCCAGCTCGTCGTTTCGGCTATAGCGCTTGCCGATCGTCGCAGACGAGTCATCAACGCGGGCTGAGATCTTGGCGGATCGCAGTTTTTGGGATAGCTTGGTTATGTATGGCCGAAACTTATCGTTCGAAGACAGAGGTACGATGAGCACTTTTGTCGGCGCTGTAGCAGGCGGGAATGATAGAACCTGGGAAATGGTCAGCCTCGGAGAACAGGAAGAGTTGAATCTAGGACTAACACTGCGAGCTTCATCGCCACCCTCGCTTGCTCGGGTCCAGTAGTTGTGCTCACAAAGAGCAAAGAGTATTCTTCCGATGCCAAAGGAAGGCTCGATGACGTTGGGTGTGTAATCCCGAACGTTCTCCGTTCTGGACTTGTACTCCACAGCAAGCAGATCCTTGCCCACGTCCACCTTACCCAGCTCCGGGACGTCAATGGCAGCCTTGCCGGTCTCTTCTATCTCCTTGGCCAGCTTCTCACGCTGCTCTTGTGTGGTGGCCAGAATCACAGCCTCAATGGCCTTGGCATCTTTCTTGAAAGCAGGACCGAACTTCTTCTTCTTGATAACCACATCCCACTCCTGGACAATGCGCGGCTCTTCGAGTCTCTGTCGCACAAGAAGAGGCTTTCCAGTATGTTTGCTGTGGACCGTTAAGTCGTAGGCGCTTCTGTCAGCACAGCCAACACATTCCACCCAGCCAGAGGAGGTTAGAAGTTCTGCGTCCCAGCAATCACACGCGTAGTGAGCCTAGGTAAACAAGTCAGTACAGGTGAGAGCGCCGAGGTATCACCGCGGTGGCTTACCATCTCGTTGGCCTATTCGATGATTAGCCGACTATTTCGTGCAATGGTGGACGTCACGCTGTAACCGTTTGAAGCTTGAGAGTTCAGAGGGAGGGCTTACCATGTGTTGTCGGAATCGAAGCTTGCTCATATCAATGCCGATCTTCTGCATAAAGAGGCTGATGCGGGCCAAAAAGTAGCCGAGCGTCTCGTTGTCCACAACGCCATCCTTCACAGCTTTCCCAATGGTCATCTTCTGGACCGTGGTCTTGCCTGAGAGCTGGGTATCGCGGTGGAGAAGGTCAAGTTCAATGTCCTCAACCTCATAGAACCGGCTGTGCTTTTTGCCGCCCTCAGGGTCCACGACTTTTAAACGAGTCAGTTACACTGCGGTTTGACTCCAGACATATAGGTAAACGGTGCAGCGAAAGAAAGACAAAAACTCACAGTGCTCGATCTCAGCCATCAAGAATTCCCGGACACGGAGCAGACCGGCCCGTGGGGAAATCTCATTTCTGTACGACTTGCCAATGGATGCAGAGGCGAAAGGCATGGCTCCCTGGTTGAACTCGAGAAGCTTGGCAAAGTTGAGGAACTGGCCTTGTGCCGTCTCGGGACGAAGATAGCCAGGCAAATTACTGCTCGGGCCAATCGAGGTTTGGAACATCAGGTTGAATGCGACGGGTGGTGTCGGTTGCAGGCCGCTCTTCGGGACTCTCAGATCGTACTTCTTGATGAGCTCACCCAGCTCTTCGCCGTTGTAGTTGTCGATCTTGGCGAGAATTTCCTCGTATTCCTTGACCACAGCATCGTCGAGCTTGACAGCTTCTTGCTGGTCCTTGGACTTCTTCTTCTCTCTCTTGGCGTCCTTCTTCTTCTCCTCGACTGTCTGACCACGAGCCTCCTTGTCACCCTTCAGCCGCGCCTCAAGCACATCCTCAACGAAGTGGTCGGCTCTGAGGATGTCGCCGAATTTGGGATCTTTGCACATCCAGTCGGCGAATCGGTCGACGTGGCCACTGGTTTTGAAGACCTCGTGGGGGGTCAAGACGCTGCAGTCGACTTCGAGCATATCCTCCTCGACTGTAGTCCATCAGCATCAGCACTGAGCTGCGACCAGTGTGGGAAGAATAGGTGTGTAAGTCGTGAGCGGGGCGCAAAGGTAGACGTACGAACGAAGTGCTTCCTCCATATGTCCAGCAGATTCGACTGTAAGGAGGTACCTGGTGGGCCATAGTCATACAAGCCAGAAACACCCCCATAGATCTACCAATTTGTTCAGTTTCTTTTCTCCTTGGCTCTCGCCAATCGAGGAAGGGCATCGAGGAATATAGGGCCGTACCTCGAAGCTGGGGGTGTAGAACATGCGCCGGCGCATCATGGAATCGAAGGCAGCCCGGTCGAGGGGCTGCCCCTTCAGGGTGGTCGCAGTCGTCGTCATCTCGTCGGTGCTTGTGCCGATCCTGGTCAAGCTCTGGCGCTGTGCGAAGTGCGCACGCAGAAGCGGCGGGGAGGTGTTGAGTCGGCGGTGCTGGAGGGGTTCGAAGAAGCGGACAGACGATGGGGAGGTCGGGGCTCTTCTGTAAAGCAGTTCTGGCAGTCTAGTGCCCGGGAACGAGACTGGGAGAAAAGCACGACAGGTCCACATCAATTGGATGAATAGGTGAGTCAGTCCGTCACCTATGTCGGCCACCTCGCAGCTTCACCCCAATGACCAATGATAGAGAATGTTTGATTTGCGGGAGCATCTGGCAGTTCTTTTGTGCCAGCTGCCACCGCTTCGAGTGTCTGTGCCCGCCCGATGAGGGGCAGGAGGGGCAGGAGGGGTTGGCGGGGTCATCACGTACACCCCTGCCCCTTGGTCTCCAAGAAGCTACACTCCTAGGCTTTTACAACATATTCCAATCGTCCAGCGTTCCAAATCCATTTCCAGCAGTAAGTAAAGTAGTCATGTGCCCCTCTTTCTCGTACCCTGAGCGCCATATACTGTTTCCTCACTAATTGTATGTCTACCGATACTACTTTTGAGCAAGACGTTGCGGTTCGAGGATGCGGAATGCAGCCCATATGTGTTGGTTGCCAACGCCAACTTCACACCAGATCATAACATGTACACCGAATCGGGGCCAGCGTCTCTATGCGTGAGTATGTGGCGCGAAGCGGCACAACATTCGTTGCACTAGGTCTCTACACTTTGGGTTTTCACATGCTCAAGTAGTTTTAGGTTTCTGGTGGGACTTCCTCGTTCTCAACAATAACATTGAAGCGCCACAAGTCACGCTCGGTCAGAACCTGCTGCGTTTAAAAAGATGTCAGATTTCCCCACGGAGGGCTATTTCAATCGATTTATGATAATGCCATCTTCCCATTCACCACCTCGAGATACAACAGCTACACTCGATGATGGCACCGGCCATATTCCTAATACTTGAGCTCTCTCCGGAGCTTCTATTCCAGGTACGCTCCGTCCTGTGCCCTGGCATGTGCAGGGCATGCCTCGACAGGGCAGGACTCCCCGAATACTGCGGAGAGTGGAACGGTAGCCGTTCGGAGACCTTTACCAACCTGAGCCGCCTCTGTCTTGTTTCCAAGGCTTTCTACACGGCAGCACAGCCTATACTATTCCGCTACTTTATGCCCCACCCCGCCAGGTACACTTGTCCCACATAAGTCTCCGTACGCTAGCCCCGATTCAATCTTCTGACGAAAATAACAACGCGATACCCTCATCTTGCGATAAATCATAAAAAAATCAGTTAACCATGGATATCAACAAAATCGGTACGGTTTTGAGCGGCACTCGCCAGCCGAACAGTGAATTCACTTCAGAGGCGTGTGCAAGCATTATCACGGCGCGCACAAAGGGCCGCGGTCGTAGGGATGTCGCACGCGCCTACGGCACAGAACGCGTCGAAACCATCTCTGAGATTTGCTCGCGGGTCAATACCACCAAAACCACGCACACTGCACAATAGAAGGGAATTTCCAGGCTTCTTTCGCATGGGTAAGAACGCCATTTAGTTGATTTGGTTCGGAGGTTTCCTCATAAGAGGCGCTCAAAGCCAAAGCACGCGTCACCTGCCACACAGAGACCATCGTGAGGGCTCTCTGCCGCCATGGCCTCAAGAAATGGCGCGCGGTGAAGCGAATCTCTCTCACAGAGGATGACGCCACGAAATGGCTTATTTGGGCATGAAAATACCGCATATAGTGCGCTCAAAGGGAGCTAATAATGGCCCTCTTCTCAGACAAATGTACCATCCAAAATGATCCTGATAGACCTGGCGAATAGGTCATCCGCCTCTCGAAAAAATGGTACTGCAGGGATCTTATGAACCCACAGAGCTACAGGAGAGCCTGTATGTCAATAATAGTCTGGGGTTTGATATGGTTATATAATGACAAAGGTGGCCTAGGCAAATTAGTCTTCTGTGAAGGAGATCCGGATGTACCATGTAGACAAGTGTCTGCCAGGCGCTATTAACAGGTCTTAAAGAAAGGTCTGTTTCCTTTTTATGAGGCAAGGGACCCTTTTTAATAAAATAATGCTCCTGTGTACATCAAAGGAGGCTTGCCAGAGTGATTAGAGGATCACGGGATCTGGACTATCGACTGGCCTCCTCACAGCCCCGATTTGAACCCTATCGAGCATATTTAGGCAGCTTTAAAAAAAAAAAAAAAAAAAAACCCCTTTATTTTTAAGACCTAAAAAACAATATCGTTTACCAGGCATGGGCTAAAGATATAATCCAAGCTGCATAGTCAGAGTTAGATCCCGACCTCCCGAAGAAGCTCATCAAATCTCTCACTGATCGGATCGCGGCAGTGGTTCGGGCGCGCGGCTGGTACAACCACTACTAAACCGCTATCGAATTCATATTTTGTTATAATTTTCGGCCTTATGATGCCTTCGCAGTTGAGCAGTGAATGTGGTGGTAATGGTGCGTAGAGGGCGCCGTATGGAGACTTGTGTGGGGTTAGTGTACCTCCTCCCAGGAGATCGGCCGAGCTGGGTACCCTTCCTTACTTTGTTGGTCAAGCGTCCGGATTTGGCATCTTCTGTGAGGATTCTCGATATCAAAGACCCTCGCCCTGAAGGATCCATTCCCAACCAGTACCTGAGAGCATCGAGCAGTGCAACGCTGCGCGGCCCTTTGGCACCACTATCTCATGAGCACTTCTTGCAGCGGCAAAAGGACTGTCGCTCTTGGAAGGAAGCGACAAAAGAGCAGTCCGTTACCATCCGACCCCCCGAACCGGCATACCCCCACTACCGGCACAGCCAAACTCCGCCACCACCACCAAAAGACCCCCCTACTCACTTACACGCATTTGAGGCTGTATAAGGTCAAAAAAATCAGCAAAATTATCGTTCTGCGGTGTTTTGGCTGCTCAATCGACGTATCTAGCCGGCGCCCGGATTGACCGCCCGGATCTAGTCATCTGGGCTTCTGTAGCAGGGGCTTCTACAGCCTCTTCAGCGTCCGCAACCTCCTCGTCCTCCTCACCCTCGTCTTCAATAATCTCCGACTCTAAAGAAGAAGAAGAAGACTCTATAGCAACCGGAACTAACGGATCACCACCCTGGGCTAGTATTCCTATCATTATTATGAACTTTTTATTAGGATTTGGAAAAAAAAAAATTTATTGGGCCGTAGCCGTTCCAGTTCAGCCTCCAGGGCCCTGATCTTTTGGTCTTTTATGGCCAGTTACGTCTCCTGGTTCTCAAAGGCATGAGAGATCTTCCGGAACTTCAGCCGAGTGGCTGGGGAACGGTTCTTTCCGAAATCCTGGATTTGCCGGCTCGTGGTAGGGGTCTGTTAGTCCTCCGGCTCCGAGTCCTCCTGTTCTTCCGGCTCGGGGGTCTTCCGCTTGTCTTTTTATATTTCTGGATGGTCTAGACACTTTTTGTGGCTAATTGGATAGCACCCCGTTACTCAGAAGCCCGAACGGATGTTTTTTGACGTAAATGCTATGTTCCTTGCCTTGCTATAATAGCGGATAAAGTTGATCTTATCAACAGGGGAGGAATCAGTCAGAGAATTTAACTGGGTGAGGAATCTCTGGTAGTAAGACTTGAGGGAGTTATAGGGGCCGTTATCTAGTGGTTGCATTCTATGACTAGTGTGTGCTGGGAAAAAGCACAGCAAGATGTTGACAAAATAACACCGCATCATAAATTCATCCTTTTCTATAGTCAGTTGTTATTCAAATCGGCATAAATCAAACAACCAGTGAATAAAATAGAAAAAATTAGTGTACGTACAGAGGTATGGCTACCATGGTCATCTAGGATCAAAAGGACTGGTTCCCACTGCTCCTGGCCACGAGTTTCATCCACTTATGGTATAAAAATGTGCTCAAGCCACTGGCAGGCGATATCGTTACTGGTCCAGCCGTTTTCCGACGTTATATAATACCAGTCGGCTATCTTCTGGAATTCCTCGAGGAACCACTGCGCTTGGAGATCTTTTCCCTTGAAAATCAGGCCTGGTTTGAGCACTCTATCGGTAGCTGAAATGGTCTCAATAAAAGATGTCCACGAGCGGCCCTGAGGGCTCTTTAGGAAAGCTTTCCTCGTCTCAGAACTTCCCAGAATTAGGGAATCACTGCCTATAAGGATAATTAATTAACTATAAAGATAGGGGGCTCAAAAGAGTTACCAAAACCCGACATGATGCCGCCCTTATCGACATTGTATGTATTTTCTGGCTTTATCCAGCCGTAGTCCTCCAAGATATTGAAGAACCAGTTCACAGACTTAGGGGTAAACCCCTTAAACTGAGCGGATTCCATTCGCTTACCAATTTTAGTCTGAATGATAGGGTTGCGTCGTTTAAAGCTGTCCATATAGTGGTTCCCAAGCAGTGCGAAATCCCCCTTTCTTTTTAGGAGTTCTACCATAATTCCCCTGACGGCTGAGTGAGAGGGGGCAAGCCCCAAAGTCTCCTGGCGTAATATCCAGGCTGCTACCTTGCTTTCTTGCTCAGGAGAAATTCTCTGCTCGGTGGTGTGAGCCTCCGTTTTAGTCCCTCTCCCCCTTATGCGTGCTGACAGCGTGCTGGCCGGGACGCCGTATTTTTGGCTGGATTTTCTCACGGACATGCCATTATTTGTGACGTCTAGGTAGGCATCCACCACATCATGCTCTGTATACGTGGGCGGAGGCATTTAAGGGCGGGGCACGGAGGCTGCTAAATGCCGATGCTGATGGCCTAGCAATTAAATAATCTATATTCCGCTAAACCCCAAGAAAAGGGCTATCTAACCATCTAAAGAACGTCTAGTTACCCTCAAAAGGGGCTGTAATCCGTGTAAGTGAGTAAGGGGACTTTTGGTGGTGGTTGTGGGGTTTGGCTGTGCCGGTTGGGGGGGTGTGCCGGTTCGGGGGGTCGGATGGTAGCCCACAATCTTACCAAGGCCAGCCCTTATCAAGAGTTCCCTGCCCATACTGGGGTTTCGACTGGAAGCCCGCAGATTTACAACTCGTGCTGGACGCCGGGGCTGAATTGGGCTTCGATCTAAACCCTTCGCTGCGTCACCACCTTACTTGGACGATTGAGCATCGTCAGCTAGAGCTGGAATCGCTCTTGCCGGTCCTTCTGCTTCTGTGGACACCTAAGTTGACGCACCTATCATTTACGTATAGGGGCTTACGAAATTCGCTCGGCTCACGGAACTGACGGAACTGAACAAGGAGCTACCGGCGCTCAGATCTCTCAAGTTGTCGATAAGCCATGACCCCTATTATCATCACCGGGGGTTTACCTTCATCCATTTCGTGGAATTCCGTGATTTGCAGCCTTTGCTAAGTGTTGCTTTGGGCCTCCGCTGCCTACACCTTAATCGATGCTCGATGGGGAGAAGCGCGACGGAGCTTTCGCTTTCTAGCATCCGAGAACTGTATCTCGAGAACAGCTATTTTACTCGGGGGGGCATCTCACATCTGGTGCGGTGTCGTCCGCAACTAGAGTCCTTCGTGTACCGCGAGGACCCGAACCTACATGGCCACCGACAATACGTTCTCGGACTCTCCCCCGGTGGCCCTGTGGAGAAGCGGGCGTTGCAGCCCGTCGACCTTGTAGCCACAGTCAAACCAGTCCGAGGAAGTCTGAAACACTTTGAAATGGATCTGTACGGTTTCATGGCCCCTTTCGTCCAGCACAAGAAGTTACAACCATGCTGGTGGCGCGACTTCGCAAAGCTCGAGGTTGTGTCAGTTCCTCTGCGTCATCTCGAATGCGAACACGAACTCGGCCCGGTGTACCCTCAGAACTGCCAGTTTCCACAATAATTCTTCGATTTACGTGGATTCGTTCCACCGACTATGGTCGCATTCAAGTACTCCGACCGACGGCTCCCAGAATTTGTTAGGAACGAGGATATCATGAGGGGGCTCTGGATGTTGGCAGTATCATCCTCGTTGGAGTATCCACGACTGAAAAAAGTCGTCGTGGACTGCGGTTTGTTGAGCCGGAGTCACGCAATGGACCAAGTGTGGGACACCTTTCACGGGGCTCATATCAACATGGAGATGGTCTCCCATATGGGGAACAACCCCCGCTGGCTGGAGAAACACATCAAAAGGGGGGCCAAGTTCAGCTGGGCTAGGGATAACTCCCTCACGTGGGACGAATTCGACGAACCTTGCAATCCTCAATGGTGGAGATAAGTTGCAGGATAATAGAGGCAGGGGATGTGACGGCCTGCACAGACCTTCCCACATGACAAGCGGATACTTCCCAATAGGGGAAAGATCTGACCAGAGGATCCCCTTAAAGGGGCAACCTCCCACTGTACCTATCTTTCTCTCTCTCTTCCTTTCCTCTCTAGTCTTGATATTCTCGTCAATAGAGTAATAGCTGCTTGCTGCCGGCCATGTCCCAGCTCCCCAGTACGCTCGCCGTGACAGGGGATGGTTTCCGGCACACCAGGAAAAATTGGTATTGAATCGTCATACATCTCATTGCCGTTCCTGAGGTACCCGCTTGCGTTACATTAGTGGATTCGAATCATGCCGTCTGCTTCGCTCTGCCAGGCCTCCTTTCCGCTCGCCTTCTGCACCATGCAAGCGCTCGAGGCCGGGCAGCGGATAACGCTTATGGCCTTCGGCCAGGGACCAGGCTTGCAGAAAAACGGAACAGTGGCTACCCGTCTCCGATGGAAGCCTAGAACGTACAACGGTACTGGTGTGATTACAGCTACGACGAGGTCGTGGCCTCGCCAGTAGGTGCCAAGCACTCCAGCTTCAAGACGACCGCTCTACACCGTGATAGAGGCGAGGATGGTCGTGGAGTATACGGATCCGACGACGCAACGAGCGAGTATACCTTCTGAGGCGATGAGACGCCGATTTCTTTGATCAAATACGTGGTTGGCGCTTTCACTAGCAACTTGTTTGTGAACGATTATTCTCTTGCGGACCAAGAGAGAGTCCTGCATCTGGGCGAGTTTCTCTACGGCGCCGACCTGGAAGCATTGGCTAAAATATGGCAGAGACGTTGACAGTCCAGGGCAGGCAGAACATCAGCAAAGACAGCGAACTAGCAAGCACACATTATGGCACGGCCACATACGACGTCGTGTACTACAACGTCAGCCGGGGGTAGTTGGCGGTACCTTATATCGAGACAATCGCAACCGCACTCCTGCCCTTAGTTACGGTGCTGATTACACGCAAAGACGGACTGCTCAGGTCGTCTCAGATTGCACTGATGGCACATGGCCTTGATGTACGCGGGATGGAGAATATGGAAAGGGCTGGGCCAGGGGCATCTTCAAAGCACTTGTAACAAGTTGCTGGCGATATCCGAGTTGTATTTGCATAGGATGTAGATGGTAGACCGATATTCATCAAGAATTGAGCAGGCTCGAAGGGTAGATATTTGCAACGAAGGTTGAACGACACATTCTGTTTTTGCTGCGGATTTCTGCAAGAATAGCAGTGGGAATATCGTTTCGAATGAATGGTTGCCGATACCTAGTTCGTATCCGAAGCGTTATATGTTTACGCTTTCTGGTTCTCAGACACAAACATCTTCAAGCATTGTAGGCTTCAGGAGCCATCCCGCTCGCCATTATTACGATGTGCGAAAGCTGCATGATCCTACCGTGGTGGCTACCGATACAATTCTCAGCCACCTGGGCACGAACTTCCGTGCTGCAGTTGCATGGCTTTCAGGCTGGATCCCCCCTTGCGCTGAGTTAAACTTCTGCGGTGAGTAACTTAGTCTTGTAATGGAGTACAAGGAGTTAAGCTAGCAAGCTAACTAACTGCTGCCCAGACACATCCGGACGCTGCGGTACCGTAAGTGCTTGAGGGGAGTGTATGTACAGTGTGAAATACATGTATGGGCTCTGTGAGTATGCCGGTGCCAAACGGAAGAACCATAGTCAATCGCTGGCTGCTTGACAACCTCCAGGTTTGAAAGCTTGTTATTATATCCCCGGCACCGGTTGCCAGCTGATCGGAGTCGATCTGCGGCTATATTAAGCGTAAGTGGAGAATGCTACTATATAAGTTACCAATTCCTTCGTGGGTCCTCTAGTTAAGTAGACCCCTTACAGGCTACAGCTGATCTGCCAGAGGATGCTGACTCCGCCCACACGTACGTCAGCAGACACAGGCGAACTCTAACACTCCTGACGGATTGGCCACATATTATTAGTCTAGGCGGGTAGTACTGCGGGTAAGGCCGTAGGGCGATGCGGTTGACCCAAACCAAGGGGACTGTCACATACTAGCCAGCTCTGGATGCTTGCATAGGCCGTGGGGGATGTCCACTCTCAATCGGCTCCCAACCAGCTTCTAGTCGGAAGGCAGGTAGTTATCCGGGTAGGTTAGTAGGGTTTCGCATCGAGTACCACAAGGCCTCGCGGCCTCAAAGTGGAACCCGGGGGGGACAGGACCCCTAAAAGTATCAGATGGAATCGTGTGGGATTCGGGCCAGTTCAATCCCACAGGCTCCATGAGAACGGCGATCTACTCGGTGGTGACCCAGCCGGGGGTCTCAGCCTGAGCTACTCGTCAATAAATCGAAAGACTTGGCACAGTTCGAAGAGTCGTCCGGCATGAGCACCCCCTTCAACTTCATGCTAAATCCAATATTTGCCCATCAACAACACAACCTGGTCCTCAACCGCCACCCTCACAAGACAGCAGCACTCAGCTCTCCCAGCTCGAACATGAAGTTCTCAACGGGCCTCCCCTTCCTCGCTACCGTTGGGATCGCGGGCGCCGCCGCTCTCCAACGCAGGGGCTCCGAAAGCGCAAAGGACTTGGACGACGATACCAAGTATCTCCAACGCAGGGGCTCCGAAAGCAAAACGGACTTCGACAACGACACCAAGTCCTTGAAATCCCAAGGCCTCTGTCGCATGTACGTCGGCGCAGCCGACCCCTCGTATTCCAGGTTCGAAGACCTGTGCGAGCCGACCTGCGGCGACCTCGTGAAGACCGTAAATGAGACCGGCAAGCTTGCCAGCGTCAGCTGCGTCGGTTCGGGCGGCCAGGGGATCCCCACGGACACCGACTACAACGGGCTGCAGTACCAGATGGGCATCTGCAAGTGCAACCTGCCCATCGTCAACTGGGCCGCCGGCGAGTTCATGGCGGCCCTGCCCGCCATCGGCATGGTCGCCTGTTCCGTGTGGCAGCAGGCTATCGTCTACGGGTTGTCGCTGGCTACGGCTGCCATTCCGCCCAGTGGTCTCATCCAGGCTCTGATCAAGGTCGGTATGACGATCTCAAGTGCTGGCAAAGGCGTTTCTACATTCCAGACCTACGTCGAGCAGCACCTAGCGAAGGGCGACTCTTGCAACCTGAACTTCAAGCATATGTTCGAAATCTTCAGTGGAATTTCGGACCAGACTCTCTCCAACATTGGGACCAACTGAAGAGCTGATGCGATGGACTTGGGCTGGGCTGAAGACCATAACGCGGGTTTCGCATACAGGGACTTGGGCTCGGCGCAAGTTGTGTATTGAGTTCTTATGTTTTTAATACCTTTAGATATCTTGTATTTTCGCGTTATGTTAAAACCATGTACTAAGCGAGTTAACATCGAATTATGATAGTTTTAGTAGAATCGAACTTAATATAGCAATTTGAGTTCAAGGTGACTTGCAATGGCAGGGATTACAAGAAGGTTTACATACAAGCCAGTATCCTTCGGCGGCGCCCAGTCTCTGCGGCGAGGAGGCGCGAGGACCGTGCTCATCTCCGCCGTGATGTTGTTCTCGAGGAGGTCCTGCCGCCCAATACGCTTGCTCACGGCGCGTTTCGGCGCGTTTCAAACTCTGCTCTCGCTGCAAGTTCTCAGATTAGCGGGAAATTTTGCTCCGGTATACCCAAGTTGAGCGACTCGCCGTTCATTAGCCCAAAGACATACGATTTGCCAAGAAAGGTGTGATGCTTTCCATCTGTACGAGGTCGGAGGATATATGGTATTTGACCACAGTACAAGGGTGCTCACAACCTCACGAGACTAACACGCAAGATACCCTCCGACTTCTCCAGATCCTCAATGACCTCCTTAGTGACCGCGCCGTCCACACCCAGAATCATAAGCGCCTCGTCACCATTAGCCTTCCCATTCCCAGCCCCATCACCACCATCACCACCATCCCCTACGATCGTGACCCCTGAAACCAGTCTACTCAGTCCCAACCCCTTGCCGCTCTCACTCTCACGCTCATGCCGCTCACGAGCCGGATCCAAGCTCGCCACCTGCATGAACATAACATTAATCCCGTAGCGACCGAGCACCGTGCCCACGCCGCCGATCTTCCCCGGTTCGTCGTAGTTGTGCAAGATGAGCAAGGTACCCTCAGGCGTGAAGCTGGCGGCGAAGCGATCGAGACGCGCAATGTAGATGTTATTCCCGGAGACGTAACCCTCGATAACCTGACCCTGGCCGTCGCCGTCGAGGGCGCGCAGCGAGACCAGACTCGCGTAAGCCGAGCTCTCGGCGGCGCGGCTCTCGCGCGGAGTGTGCATGTGGACCTCGTTGATGACGACGCCCTTCTGCTTGGCGATGAGGGTCGCGTTGACGATGTTGACGTCGCGCCCACCCGAGTCCGAGATGGCCGACACGAGGCCCTTGACCAGCGCCGCGAACAGCGGTCGCGTGTTCGACACCCCGGCTAGATTCCCCTGGTACGCGAGCTCGAAGCGGCGTCCGCCGACCATGCCGCCTCGTCCGCGGGCGTAGTGTTGCGTATATAGGCCGCCCATGCGCTCGACCAATCGCACGAACGGCTGTAGTTGCCGGTACTCCTCCGGCAGGATCATCGGCGCGTTAACCGCGCTCGTCGGGAGCCCTCCTTGCAGGATCGCTAGAACCTGGGTACAGACGTCCAGTGATACGTTTTCCTGCGCCTCGACGGTCGACGCCCCGAGGTGCGGCGTCGCGACGACCTTCTCGTGGCGGATGAGCGTCGCGGCCGGCGATTCCGGCGCCGGCGGCTCCGCCGTGAACACGTCGAGCCCGGCACCCGCGATCCAGCTCTCGTCGAGCGCCTTCAGCAGCGCCGCCTCGTTGTAGACGCCGCCGCGGGCGACGTTGAGCACGCGCGCCGTGCGCTTCATCTGCTGCAGTTCCGCCTCGCCGAGCAGGTCCAGCGTCGATGCGAGGAGGGGTGTGTGGATCGTTAGGAAGTCCACCACTGGCAGGAGGTCGGCTAGCGAGGGGACCAGCTCGACGCCCGCTTGTCGCGCGATGTCGGCGCTCGCATATGGGTCTACTGCACGGACAGTCACTTTGAGTTAGAGGGTTAGTAAATACTCTCATCCAAGTGATATCATGATGGTGACCCGGAAGTGCTGGGCCCATCTTGCCAGCTCCTTAAATATCAGTGGAAACGGACCCCATTAGAGCCCTTCGGGCCCCTTGAATATCCTTTTTATCGTCCTCCATGGTGGATGTCACGCCCTTGACGAAGAGAGTGAACACCTAAATGCCATATGGCAAGCTTGAGTGGTAGGGGAATCCATTAGGGGACTACTTACTGCCGAGGCCGACGGCCATCCGTGCGACCTTCATACCGACTTTACCCAAGCCAATGATGCCCAGGATCTTGCGCCCAACCTCAACACCAACCAGCTTGCCCCTGTCCCAACGGCCATCCTTGGACCCGCGGTCCGCACGGCCGATATTCCGCGCCGTAGCCAGCAGCAGCGCGATGGTGTGCTCGGCGGCGGCGACGATGTTACCGGCGGGCGAGTTCACGACGATGATGCCCTGCGCCGTGGCCGCGTCTACGTCAATGTTGTCGACGCCGACGCCGGCGCGTGCCACGACGCGCAGCTTCCGGCCCGCTGCCAGCACCGCCGCCGTCACCTTCGTCTCGGACCGCACGATCAGGCCGTGGTATGACGGGATCAGCTCCATGAGCTTCGCTGCCGACACGCTTTGTCGCACGTCTACGACGAAGTCGGCGGAGAGCAGCGCGAGTCCGTCTGTGGACACTTTTTCCGGAACTAATATCCGGGGTTTGGCGGTGCTGGTCGATGAGGGGAAAGCCATATCGCCGGCCCTCTCATCTGGCAGTGTTCCGGGAGCCATTGTGATGTGAATTTAGGATATGAGGTGGGTAAAGATGAATCTGTCAGTTAGTGATACCTATAATGGGGAATGTCTGCCACAATAATCAAGGGAAGAAGGCCAGAGGATGAGATATCAAAGGTGACGTCTCGTTGCTGGCCGTGGCCGCCCAGCTATATTCACCTACCTTACTCCGCACTCCGCAGCGAGACAGAGTATGCGAAAATTTCCGAACTCGCGCATGACAGACACAATGTAACTAGGCTATGCCTGTCAGATGCAGGTAGCCAATGCGGAACCTGGGCAAATTGAAAGGAAGCGCAATGCGGACCAGGTTGTTCTCGGCTGTATAGTCATACAGCGCGCGCGGGGGAGTACCTCCTACTCCTGCGTTGCTGCAGTATGCAGAGCAATGAAGAAGCCAGTCCAGTCAGTCAGTCACCTGAGGAAGCCGGATGGGCTGCAAGGAGTAGTAGACGAAGTAAGGTAGGTAGGTATGCACGTCGTCTTCGAGCTGCGGCCCGATGTCGAGTTGCCACCCCAGCGCCGGTGCATATCGGAAGGAATGTCATATGACAGAACCTGATACGCAATGCTCCCGACTTCTCATATATTTCCAGCCGTGAGGTGGACCCTGAGCGAGCGAGCAAGCGCCCGCGGAATCGAGACGAAAGTGGTATGATGGTATAGCACCACGCGGAAACCCCAAGTCACTACCATCGCTACCCCTCCCTGTTCCGCTGATCCCCCACGATTTGCTAACGCATGTTACATTACCCTACCCCGCTGCGAGAAGCTGCTTTGAGATCTCTTGGCCGTGCCTGGCTGTCAGATGATGGGTTCCAATAAGAGGTGACCGACCATGCGTGCCACGTCTTTATCAGACTCCGTGTTGTGTCTTTGATCTACGCTGAAGAAGGGGCATCACTCGTGACTAGCCCCGTACGTGAGAGAAGCCTGTGTAAATTTCCCAAAATGGCTTGGAAGTGCCCACAGATGTTTGATGTTGAACATGTAGTAGGGTGAACTCCCACGTAACTCAGGCGTTACAGGCAGAATAGCCCACACCGCCCGGGCGCGCTTTAGAAATGCCGGCAGAAACCCAGACCGCCCTCGTGAGTGGCTGAAGCTAGCCTTGATTGTGGCTGTATCGAATATTCAATGTTCCTCCGAGCGCAGATATCACAGGAAAGCTTCATCACGTTCTCTCCGTCGTTCTCAACTCTGCGATCATCGAGGGCTTGAAGAGCCGCCCTGCCAGTTGTGTTGTCACTCGTTCCCCATAGCATGGCAAGTTTTACAATCTGACGGTCCAATGTCCATTCCATTCGCCCCTCGTTTCCTCGTCGTCAGCCTGGGCAATCAGAAACCCTACTACGACACCCTCCACTCCGCCGGCCACTTTGCCCTCGTCGCCGCCCAGAAGACGCTCGCGCCATCGCAACCTCACTTCATGTCTGAGCGATATGGCAGCAAGGCATGCCAGGCCTCGACGGCCGTGCCGTATACAATGGTGCAAAGCCCGACCATGATGAACATCTGCGGGCCCTGGGTAGCGAAGGCATGGAAGGAGATGCTAAACGCCCACCAACTCAAGCCTTCGGAACTGGCCCTTGTCATAGTGCACGACGATCTCGAAATGAAACTCGGCGACGTCAGGATACGGGACTGGAAAGCGAGCCACCGCGGCCACAATGGCGTCAAGAGCACCAATACGAGTTTGAAGCCGACAGATTTCCCGGAGGCGCGCTGGTCTCGCATATCGATTGGGATCGGCCGGCCAGACGAACGAGATCGTACATCGGTGTCCGACTATGTCTTGAAGAGGATGACTTCATTCCAGAGGAGTACCCTCGACACCAAAGTTGGGCCTAAGCTGGTTGGCCGCCTGCGGGAGCTGCACGACGACTGGGAGGAGGAAAACGATAGAGAAACCTCGAACATGTAGGTCATGTTCTACATGCGACCCGGATCAGATGTCCACCTGCTCCTGTGACATAAGAGACAAGCCCTTCGGCAAATGACAGGCAGCGATCCCTTACGAAACGCCGGGAACCCGATTAAACCCTTCCAGGAGACGGCGCACCGTAGTATAGTAGCTCAGGATGCGCGCACGGAATCTTGATATGATCGTACGGCCACCAAGACGTCCAGTTTGAATGTGGGATGGTATACGGCTGTACAGGTCGAAGATCAATACAGTAGTATCAACCGTGTAGCGACCATGGTCTGCCCTTGCTGATGCTACGTGGACAACGCTTTGAACATGATATGGATTTCTTGTGGGCATGTTGATACGTTCAGGAATATGATGACTCTTCCACATCCCCGCTGAACAGCGCCGACACCCGCTCAGTGCGCCACCGAGGTCCATCGCCAAAGCAGATGAATGTCTCAGCCAGCTTCTGCACGAGCAGGCGGACGAGTATCGGGACCTGATCCCTCACAACCGGCAACCCACCGCCGTCGACATTGGACAGTGAACCAGAATCCGCACCGGCATCGCACGACCTCAACGTGTGCTCGAGACGCGAAAACCCGACACTGCCCAGCTGCCGGCGGAGGTGATACTCAACAGCAGAGGGTGACAGCCACTTCGACTGGTCCTCACCGCGCTCAGCATAGTCGGCAGCGACCTGGAGCTGCAGCAGGGCCGCCGAGTCCTCCTCGCCTGCGGCAGCGTTGGGGCCCTCGATGTAGCCTTGCTCGCGATACTCGAGTCGCGCATCGGCCATGGCCTTGATATAGCGGACGTTTTGCAACGGCGGCGAATGCTGAATCAGCTTGCGCAGACGTGCGTCAGCTTCCTTGCCCCTTTGGACTGCATATGCTGGTGGTCGCAGCTGGGCATGGCGGTATGGCAGGGCCAGCTCGCATAGGTTGGCCGTGTAATGGCAGCAGGCCCAGAAGACGCGGCCGGCGAAGCTGTGCCTGCCCTCGCCTAGATACGGGACTATGCCTGCTGGGGGGTTGATGAGCCGCATGAACCGGCTCGCGTCAATCCACACGCTGTAGTCTAGTCGTTGAGCCGGCCCTGTCCACGATGTGTATGCCGAGGTTTCGTTACTGAATGCGACCGCTGATTCCCCTATGCTCGTTGGTCTTCCTGGTTCAACACCACTCGTGACAGGTGTGGACATGGCAATGCTAACATAGGGTCCTGATGACGACGCTGCATGCGTCGTCGAAGAAGCAGCTGCAGTGATGCTGCACGGTGCCCCAATAGTACCTTCTACAACGGTATCTTCATCGGCATCACTGCCACTGACCAGCTCCGGCGCCACCACTCCAGCAGCTTCGGCAGCCCTGATGACCGCTCTGAGCAAGTCATCGCGGTCGCTACGCCGCGCGACCTTGACAATATCCTCGATGGCGGCTTTCAGTTGCTGGTTCTCATCGCGCATCACCTGCGACGCTTGGGATTGACGCTTCCGGAACTGCGCCTGGGAGACTCTGCCGCGCTCGCGGCGGCGCTGGGACTGGGGTCAGCGTTGTCGGTTCCCCTATCCATCCAGCCCTCCGCGTCTCGGTGACGGCATCACTTACCCGGAGCTCCTCTTCGGCGGCTTGGAGTTCCTCCAGTCTTTGTCTGTCCATATTTTCTTCGTAGACGTTTTATATCCTCCATTGGGTCAGCAATTGGAATTTCTCGATGAGGTGAGGTGAGATTACGTGATGGGTAGGGAGTCCTGCTCGCAGATTTGTCAGCCGCTGAACAGCCCACCGGACCAATAACTCTCCGGTCACGTAACCACACGTAGTATCGCACAGGTCGCCGTCGCATCGCCTTCGCGAACATGATCCTGAGGACAAATACGTGCCCTCCTACCACATGAGAATTATTGATGTTTCCAGGCGCGCCACCCCAAACGTTTACCAATCGCGAAGTCTGTCATTCACCGCTGCCCGACACTAGCCCGAGAAAGAGCGCGACAGACATCAGAATCTGCTTCTCTAGCTTCCACATTCCAGTATGCAGTTCGGTCGAAATATCGGGTGTATTGTTGAATCTTACAAGAGTGTCAGGAATCGAGAAAGGCAGCCCCTGTTCCATCATTTGGTCTGTTGTCCTCGTCGTCGCTGGCTTTCGGCCACCGACCTCTTTCCGTTCAATTATTCGCTCAATCCTCAATCTCGTCTTTGGTGTGCGCTGTGGCTCGGGCCAGGGAGTCCGACTCCTCGTATATGTTGACCGGGTGCAATTCAGTCGGGTATGATCTGCCGCGATGAACAACTTGTCAGCAAACAGTCAGCCTGGAGTTCAAGTTCTAACCCTTCCTTCTACTCTTCTCTATACTCACAGAGGCGCCGATTCGAGGAGGAATGCCATGTATCGGTCCACTGAAAAAGTAGCTGGGCTTGCTCTACGACACGCCTAGCTCCAACCTGATGCCAAAAAAACTTCGATTGGGCTCTTACCTACCTGCCAAAGAAGCCCTGAGGTAGCCACTGCTTGAGCAAGGCCCACTGTGCGAGGTTCTAGTCCTGGAAGACAAATACTCCCGTGGGTCTTTCATGATGGCCCATATGGAAGCTTTGTTGCCTGTCTAGAGGGGACGCATGCCAAAGAGAGTAGCAAATGATCGACACTCGATGGAGCTCAGGTCCCAATATGCGGTGCTATGTTCTCTTGGTTCCGTCCCTTCAACGTAGTTTTGGGTGTCCAGGCCAAAGCGAGTCAGCGGAAGCCAACAAAGCATCACAACTCCAGAGATGGCAGTCACGCTAATTTGCTTGCCCCTGACGCCCACCCACTGGTGACTCTTTGCTTGTACTAGTGGTCCCATATGATGTTTGTGCCTCCTCTTCAGCATGAGCCAAGCAATCCACACTGTATACCTGCCTTGAGCGGTTGCTCCTTCCCCATCATGCGGCATAAGTGGCATCCACATAGACTGGCTACAAGGCTGACCGGAGACACACAATTTGTCCATCAAGTGTGTGCCGAGATTTGCTGACAACCAAAGGGTCAGGTCGGCGATGACTACATACATAAGGTACCTGTCATCCCCATGAAGCAAACATTACCCCATCTCTGACGGCCATCGAGCTAGGCCTTTGTTGGATAGATGTGGACTTCATCCTTCCTCTCAACCAAACATCAACACCCATCACACGACCTTCTAATATGCCCTCAGCTTTCGCCAGACCCGTCGTAACTATCACAACAACTGCAACACTGGTTCTGCATCTCGAACGAGTACACCCACATGCACCATTGCGGCCAACCCAGAGCCAGAGTTACGATTCGACTTGTTGCATTCATCGGCTCATCGATAGCACTGGGTACGTATCTCCACACCGCCATGGGCTGCTGCACCTGACCACCAACGAGGACTTGAGAGCATGTGCTGACATCAGTCCAGGAGCCCCACTGCCACTTCTGAGGAGAGAGATAGGGTCGCGCATCAGTTTCTGGTCCTCTGAGAGCCCGACTCGGCTACTAAGATTACTACCTGTAAGGAGCTCACCTAGAACTACGAGAGGTCCGGCTTGTTGTTTATACTAATCATCCTTACTCCAGTCATTCGTCCCACCCAGGCCGAACGCAGCTCCTTATGCCACGTTGCGTCGGCTGGTCCTCATTATTCGCCCGAGACCGCTTCTGGACTATCAAAGTCCTCCTCTTTTCGGTCGTGCTACGACTTGTCGTAGAAATCGGCCCAGAACTTAAGCTCTTTATTCGGATCCTGTCCATCATCGCCTGCACCTACGACATTCTGTGGGCCTTCGGGATCGTAGGAGCGCCCGACACGACAACCGTAGCCGAACAGCTTGACGACCTGGAAGAGTCAGGCGAAGCAGTCTGGAAGCTGGGATTACCTCAAACTCGTACGATGCCGCCGTTTCCCACAAGCACCCCTGTTGTGAAGGGGGGGGGAGTCTACAGATTGTGGATCGGAAGCTTTGTTCCGCTACAAGGTGCAGAGTCGATGGGATGACGTCTAGGAGACCATCCATGTGGCTTATCTGTGTCTGGGAAAGCTGAGAGAACATCATGACTCTGCTGTGAGTACTGTGGCCAGTCCAAGGTTCTTCGGCATGCCTTGCGAGTTTGATTCTTGATTTTTATATTTTTTGGTATCTTTCCTCTCCTTTAGGCTGATTTTCTCGATCATACTGACCGCAAGAACTGCAGTGGAAGCAAGAAGACGCGGCGATGGATTCCAATGTAGGAATCCCGGCGTTGGAGATCGCGATCGCCGACCTTTGCGTGAACATAGTCTCCGCAAACTTCGACCTGCAAGATACGATCAGCAGCCAGTATCAACTAGACCTCTGGCGAAGCAGTCTCCCCGGTCTCATATTCCTGACGAAGCTGGATCTCGCTCTGAAACAAATCAATGACCGGACCAAGGCGTGCAAAGAGCATGTCAAGCAGCAAGAGGATGACGCTTGGCGCCGAGGTCGCAACCGCTGGAATAAACATCGTGGCTACCTCGAGAAGGGTGACTATTCCCAGCCTCCCCCCAGCCTAGCGAAAGGCAATAAATCTCCGCTGTCCTCAGTTTACACCGCACTCGATGAGCCTCGAACCGAACTCACCCACACCGAGGAAACCACCGAAGAGAACACGTTGGAGTTTGAGGGAGCAGGGTCTCTGAGCTGGGAAGATTACGAAAGCCAGGGAAACGCGAGCCACGATCCGATTAAAGCTCATCGTGAGGTACTGAAGCAACAGATTGCGTCTGAACGTCAGAAGTGGGCTTAGGATACGGCTTGACTGTCTGATAAGGAAGCTACGTCCAAGACATGTGGGAGGTCAATGAGCCAACGGTGCGCCTACTTCTTTGTTATCATCTGTGGAAAGTTTAGAAGCTACTCCATTCGAATCGATTCTGGCAAATTGCTGGTTCATCTGTTATTCATCCAATGCAAAAGGGGATTCTACCAGCCTCGGCGAGCTGGCCGTTACGGTACACTAAACCCTCAAATGTCTCCGTACACCACCCATCCAGCAATCAACGGTAAACTTACCGTATCTAGAATAAGCACACCGGAATAAGAATCATAAGCAGCGTAGGAAAACGGAATTGTTTGTCCCAGCATCCTTATTCCAGTGTTCCAACATTTCCTACGGGTGATCTGGGAAGGCCGCTGGCGAGCTGCGGTTGTTTAGTAGCTGGAGAGATCTAGACGAGACCGGCTTGCTGGAGCTGCTCGCTTGAGCATTGATCGTATGTGACAGTACTGATGGCGTCCCATCATGATCCTATGAGTGTCGTTGAAATTAGCGCTGTTGGTTACCCGAATGAGAGGGACGCTGACCCGCTACGGACAAAGAGGTCGGAGTAATGCTGGTCTGCCGAAGCGGCTCTCGGGCAGCTTAATGTGCAGATGTTGCCGTCTTGCCTTGTCCATACTGTCGGGTCTAGAGGGGGAGTGTAGTTGAAATAAGCGTAGACGATTACGCGATTAGGAGATATGCTAGCGCTGCTGCGGACGCTCATTGGCTAGCTGGCTTAGGTGGAGATGGGGAGCGATATGGGGGCAGTTCTCTGTGTTGACCTCGCTATCTCCGTATACATTTCACAAAGCTTGGATGAGGCTGAAATAAGCGTGAACGATTACGCTTTTAGGAATACGTTAGTTTCGCTGCGGACGCTTATTGGCTAGCGAGTGCTGGGTGAAGATGGAGAGCGATGCGGCTCCCGTTCCAAGTGCCGACCTCGCTGTCTTTTCCTACCCATATCATAGATCTGGGATGACGTTGAATTAACGGCGGGGACTTAGATGTGGGACAGCCCCCCATGTGGGACAGTTTCCACACCAAAAGGCCACAATTGCACCCACGGATAACTCTGTCCGAATTAAAGCTATATATAATACAAGTGCATCATTAAAACCGCCTTTTCTTGGAATTTTTAGCAATACTAATTGTTCTCGCGGTATCGTGCAGGCTGGCGGATTGCGCGGCGCGAAGAACGCACCACAATCGGCTCGTTATCTTCATCATCCGGGCTACTACCCTCTTTATCCACATTGATTGATTGATTGTATTTATCGTGGGTGCAGTCCCTCCATAGGGCAAACCACGCCTCCCAGGGCCATTGCATCGCAAGGTTGTAGAGGTGTCAGTCTAGATACATTCAGATCCGTGCACGAGCCTATCCTCGCTGTAGCGGTACCAACCTTGAGTGACCAGATAGTTTTAGTCAATACCCAAGCACGGTTCCGTTAGAAAAACCTCCTGTCCAGTGACAAAGCAACCCAATGAACCTCAATCCTCTGGTGTACACATCGTTCCAGTAGCCGTTCAATATATGTCGCATTGGTGGGTGAAATAGGTGTTTGTTATCTGCTGGCGAGGGAAACCATAAGGGGAAAAATCTCGTAGGAGTGGGTGTTGTGGAGACAAGCTGCTTGGCTATCGGGCTCTGTAATAAGGGGCCTCTCCACTGTCGTGTGCTGGTTGTCGACTCGCACAAGCCGGGCCAGAAGGGGGCCATAGCAGGATTCGAACCCACTTGTTCTCGTCGCCCACCGCACAAACGAGAACACAACCAGGCGCATTTGACTATTGCGCCATACGGCCCCTCTTTATCCACAGCAACACCCTCATCCTCAGAGGGCTCCAATTCCTCCTATTCTTCTGATTCTGACTCCTCAGAGTCCTTAGAGAGAGATCTCTCTGATTCGTCAGTGTTCAGGTTCTGTAAATCAGCCAAAAACCGTCGTTTTTCCTCCTAATGCTCGATTACAGCTCTTCCGGCTGCTGTAGCCTTGATTTGCTCAGCAATAACGTTCCCAACCTTCCATAGCCGTTGATCAGGCTCTTCTTGAGGGGCCTTACGGCGTCGTTTCGGCTGCAATCGGAGTATTTCGTCGTCTTTGGCCTTGATCTGCTCTCTCGCGATCGCCAACTCTACCACCATCTCATCGTATGCCCTGGCAACCGAACGGACTCCTGTTCGCTGCTTCGGGGTCTCTGCCAATGTCACAAGGCCGAACCGTGAGGGGGGGGGGGGGGGGGTAAATAGTATGTTGTTCTGCAGAGAGGTGCAATACTAGTCAGGCACGGAGGCCATGTATATATACATGAAGGTTCTTTGTTCTCCTCGATGCTTCCTGACAGTACTCCCCTCTTCCAAACCTCATTTGTCCGCAAATGAGGCAATTCAAACATTGTAATCAGTGGTATTGTCGCTTTCTGTGGAGTTCTCATCTGAATCCGTGTCCGAATCGTCACTTGACTCTGATTCACTTTCTTCTCTTCTTTTATGCCAATCCCTCTGTTCGAGGGCTTCCTTCTTCCTGTACCACCATGAGGGTCCTGGTTTGGACTTATTCCTCTAGTAAAACTCATACAACACCCAGTGACAGCCTTGAAGGTTGTGAGCTGGATGTCATGAAGCAGTCCCGTCCTTCCACAAGACGTGATACATCAGGCCTTGCTCGCGATCTGTATGGCTGTCAGTGACCTTCTCAAATACCCACTTCCTTTGTAGACGGCTCTTATCATTGAGCACGATGATGAGGTCCTTCTGATCATCCTGAGACTCCTAGTTAATTGCCACCTGGTCCTGCGTGCGTGGTTCTTTAACCGTGCGCAACAGCGAGTGGTGAAACACAGGGAAAATGTCGTTGAATCGGTTGTCAAGCTCGAGGGCGCAGGCGCGCTTGTATGTCCGTGATACTGCAAATGGTCCCAGCCACTTGTCACTCAGCTTCCTCGAAGGTCTCTGAGTGACGATATTTGCGGAGCTGAGCCATACGAGGTCTCCCACGTTGTACACTGGGGCGTCCCCTCGCTTCGTATTTGCGTATTTTTTGTGGTCTTCTTGTGTGCAAGCCATGTTGTGACGGAGCTCTTTGAATAGATCTTTTATGAGTTCAGCGTGCCTGTCAGCCTTGTCCCATTCCCGTGCTTCATCTCTTGACATGTTCGGAGGTCGCGGTGAGGGCGGCTCGATGCTGAGGCGTGGGTTCCAACTGTAATTAGCGAAAAATGGTGAGAACTTCGTGGTGCTGGAGACCGAGTTATTTGAAGCGAACTCCGCGAGGGGCAAGTGATCCACCCAGTCGTCTTGATCGAGCCAGATGTAAATCCTCGGGTATTGCTCAAGTACAGAATTCATGATCTCTGTCTGTCCGTTCAAAGCTGGATGGTACGCTGACGAGAGTTTTAGCCTGGCACCCAGGCGCTTTGCTAGTCGTTGCTGGAACTGTGAGATGAACTGCGTTCCCCTGTCGGACGTGATGAATTTGGGGGCTCTATAGAGAGAGAATACGCGGTGGATGAAGGCATCGACCATCGTGGGTACGTCCAGTTTGTCAACTAGGACAAAATGATGCATCTTTGTCAGACGATCGACTACCACGAAGATGTGCCTGTATGTGATTCCGTAACGTATACACTCTGGTAACCCAGTGATATAGTCGACTGAGATGTTGGCCCATGGCCTGTACGGGACTGTCAGTGAATGCAGCAGGCCTTGAGTACTCTCTTTGAGGCTCTTAGCCCTCCTGCATGTATGACAGGCTGCTACAAAGCCTCCGATCTCCCGGTACATTCCTGGCCACTAGTAGCTTCTCTGGATCAACTCTGTTGTTTTCGCTTTTCCTTGGTGACCACTGGGAGGGAGTGCGTGTGTACGATACTCAATCTGTGGCCGCAGGTGATCGTTCTTCGGAATGAACAGCTTATTGCGGTAAAAGACGCGGCCGTTGCGCAACTCACAGTTACCGAATGGCACTCACATGAACCGTTTCACGGTCTTTGGCCACGATCTCTGTATTAGCAAGGCTCTCACCACCTTTTTTGCTATCGGGTCTGTACTGTATGCCATGTCGATCAGGTCATCGAGGTCTTCGAAGGTGTCCAACACGCACAAGTACTCCTTGTCCTGTTAATCCATACCTGGGGATATCCGTGAAGCTAGGAGAATTGTCTGCTGTCTGGCCGCCACACGAGAGTCCGTGGTGTCGAACTTCGTAGGTGTGTCGTCAGGCCGTCTGCTGAGCGCATCAGGTTTGACAGACTGCTTGTCACTGCAATAGACAATCTGGAAGTTGAACTGGCTGAGGAACTCCGCCCAACGAGCCTGTCTATGCGTCAAAAGTTTGGTCGTCATGAAGTACTGCAAGTTCTTGTGGTCAGTGATGATCTCAAACGGCTCGTCTGTGCCTTAGAGCTCTGGTCGCCACTCTTTAAGTGCCTTGATGATCGCCAGCAGTTCCTTGTCGTATATCTCGTAATTTGCCTCAGCAGGCGTGTATTTGGCCGAATAGAAGCCGATAGGGTGCAAGTCTCCGTCGTCATCATACTGTGAGACCACACCTCCGGCTGCCCAATCCGAGGCATCCGTCTCGACCACCATTCGCCTCGCGGGATGGAAGTACAAGAAGACTGGTGCGAGTGTGAAAGACTCCTTGAAGCTCTGGAATGCTGTCTGGCAATCGCAGGTCTAATCCCACCGTTCTGATGTCTTGAGGCGACCCGTCAGAGGTCTTGTAATTGACAAAGCTGCGGATGAACCGTTGATAGAAGTTTGCAAAGCACAGGAAGCGCTGGAGATCCTTAACATTGCGTGGACTCTCCCAATCAAGCAGCGCGTCAACCTTCTCTGGGTCCATGCCAATGCCGTCTGTAGATATGATGAGGCCGAGGTACTTGGTCTTGGTCGTGTGGAACTCGCACTTCCCAATATCGATGTGCAGATTCGCTGCCCTCAGTGCCTCAAGCACTTTGTGAACGTGTTCCATGTACTCCTTGAGGTTTTTTGAGTATATGAGGATGTTGTCGAGGTAGGCTGACGCAAATTGATTAAGGAACTCGTACAGTGTGTCGTTAATGTAATGCTGGAAGGTTAATGGCGCGTTGCAGAGCCTGAAGGGTGTGACTAAGGTCTCGTAAAGGCCGAATCTCGTCGTGAAGGCCGTCTTCCACTCGTCGCCTTCTGCGATCTGTATCTGGTTGAACGCTACTATGATGTCCAGTTTCAAGAAGATATTAGACGTTAACAACGCGTCAAGCATCTCGCGGATGAGTGGAAGTGGGTACCTATTCTTGATTGTAACGTCGTTGAGGCCGCGATAGTCGACGCAGACTCGTACGCCGCCACCTGGCTTCCGTGCCAGCAGAAGCGGTGCTGCTGATCTCGACTTCGAAGGCCGGATGAACTTCTTTTGCATGTTGTCATCTAGGTATTTCTTCACGACTCGGAGCTCGGATTGGGACATGGGACGCATTTTCAGGTTAGGTATGAACTTGCCGGGTTCGATATTAATGTGATGGTCGTACGAGCGGTGTTCGGGCAGAGTGGTTGCTCCAGAAGGCAGGAAAACGTCAATAAGATCATGGTATTCGGGTGGCAGCTTCTTTTTGATGTCGTTGACCGTGGCAGGCTCCTTGTCCTTGAGGTATCTCTCGATATCCTTGTCCGTGACCCGGTTCAGGAAGTGTTTGTTGAACATGTCGTCCACGAACGCGTTGTACCGAGTGTCCAGCTTCGCTTTGTGTTCTTCTGCCGACCCTTCCGTAGTCAGGATCTGTCGGATGTCGTGTTCGGAGAGTTCTGGGGGCTTGAGTTCTGGGAGGCTGGCTTGCGCGAGTTGCTCGACCGTGATCCGGGATATCGTGACGTTCTTCTGACGGCAAAACCATGCGAAGAGACTGCTAAAGAGATCTTGAGGTCGTCAGGTGAACAGTCGCGGAGGGGTTCAGTTTCAGCGAACTGGACCTTTTTCCTGTGCTGGTTTGGGTTTGGTGCTTTCCTACCGCCTCTGACCTGAACAGGTCGGATATGGAAACAATTGTTCCTGCAGAAGTCAGAACAGAAGGTTATTTCGCATGTCTGCCAGTCAATAGAAGGATTGTGCATCTGGAGCCATGGAAAGCCCAGGATCAGAGGATTCTTGTTGCCCAGTTCCGTTAAGAAGCACAGCAGGGTTTCCAGGTGGCCATCCACCTCCATCGTCACGGCAACGAATTCGGTGACGTTGTTCCTCCGCTTACTATCAGCAAGGCAAAGTTGTTTTGGTTTTGGTAGTTGTAAAATATTAGAATTATGATCTCGCGCAAAAGTAGTGTCCATGAAAGAGAGTGCTGTACACCATGAATCGAGCAAAATGACAATATTCACCTTGCCGCGGCCGCCTTGACGGACGGTTGCACGCAGTAGGAGAGAATTCCCGCCCGTGTTCGCCGATTTGAGGTACAGCACATCCATATCTGGAACCTCTTCGTGGTCAAGGTCCTGGGGGCGACTTTCTTCAGGACCTAACCTTTTGACTCTCCCAAGGGTTGATCGCCATTGCCCTCGTTGCCGTACTGCTGACCGTATCCGTTGTTGTATCCGGGGGTGCTTTCATTGCTCCCTGGCCAGTCATCCGCGTTCCCTCTCTAGCCAATGGCTCTGATCCAAAGGTCCGACGCGTGGCCCTGTCGAAAAGGGTTGGTGTTGTTGCTGCCGCCTCCCTGGAGGTTCCCGCCAGGCGGCGCAGATCCGGGTCTAATCAGGTTGAATCCGCCGCCTCTCGCGGGAGTGGCTGATTGCAGGAGCTGGGGGGCCTAAGGGCAGTTTCGCTTCATGTGTCCCTCTCCTCCGCAGTATAGGCACAGACCCTTCTCGATCCGTTTCTGCCTCTCTTTGGTTGACAAGCGTCGCAGTCTAATGGAATCGAGGTCCATCGGGTCACCTGCTGCTGGCGCTGGGTTCTGCGCTCAGGGTGGGTATTGAGGCGTCTGGTTGTTCTTGTTGTTACTGTCCTTGTTATTGTTCTTGTTGCTGTTATTGTTAAACGGATTGTTGTTTGTGAAGGGGTTCTTGTTGCCAGTGTGGTGTGCGTAGTCGGCAATGTTCTCGGTCAGTGATCGGTAGCATTCCACCCAACCGTCAAAGTCTTTGTTCTGGGGCTTGGGAAACACGCTGATTACCGCCGATTGTAGCTCGTTGTTCACCTTCTTCTTTAGCTTCTCGACCTTCGCCTTGTTGTCAAGACCCAAGTCACCGGCGAGTGCTAGGAACTCAGAAAGGAATAGGTTGAACGCAGTGTTTTTCTGCTTCAAGTCATCCATCTCCCTGCTGGCGTCACCCGATCGGTTGTGCGAGTCGTATGCCCGCTCCAGCCAGTCGAAGAAGGTGTCAACATCCTGCCACTCCCACATCGTTGGGTTGTCAGGGTTGCTGTAGATCTTCGCCAGGTACCCATCAGTGGTCACGCTCACGGTGCTGTTGAGGCGAGAGACTGCGTACAAGATCTTGTTGTATTCGGTGTTGTATTTCCTTGTCTCAACGTTGATCTTCATGGGCGCGCTGCTCAACTAAGCCCTGAACTGTCGACGGCGCTTCTTGTCGTCTTTCTCCTCTCTGTCGAAGAGCGCTGGGTCAGATACCAACGACGAGGGTTCCCTCTTTGGGTTGTTGCTCATGCCCTTGATGCCCTGATTGAAGGCCTGCGTGAGGGTGCCATTGTTCTGCTCGAAGCCCTCGATACGTCCACGAGCAGTGTTCAGCTGGTCTCGCAGTGCCTGGAACTCGCCAGTGCCCGTCGTGACGGTCTGCTAGAGCTGCGCTATCTTCGCCTCCTGAAGACTCAGAGCCTCTTTGAGCGCGTTGAAGATTACTAATGCCTGTGTATTGGCCTGCAAGTTATTGCCAGAATCATTGGAGAGGGCGTTATGAAAGGGGCGAAAGTTACCGGCACAGTTGCGTTCGACGCAAGACTTGAGCACTGTCGGCCAACTACTGCCAAGCAGCTCCTCGATGCTGAGTGTCTCGTCTCCTGACTGTCCGAAGTTGCCGTTTGTGTTGATAGCCATGGTTAGGGAATTCAAGTATAGAACAGTGTGAGGGTCAGGGTCAGGGTCAAGGTGTGTGTTGTTGATCTCGTGGTCTGAATCAGGAGGAGGGGATATTCGCCTCATATGTACAACCGTCGCTACCAACGCCATTACGGCGCGTCTCAGGTTCGCCATTGATTCTGCTGTTGATTCCGAAGGTTCTGACGTTGACTCCGGGTTCATTCCTTGTTTTTCTGTGGTCCTGGGGGTCTGAGAGCGCTTGCGGTGAGGCTGTGATCGTCTTGTGAACAAAGGACTGAACCAGGGCTCGCTTGGCAACGACCCTTCCAACGAGAAGATTCAGGGGACTAAGGCTGAAGTGGCGGTTTGAAAAGCTGAAGCTGAGGTCTGAGAGCGACGTGATATCTGATATATCGACTGAAGCTGAAAACGCGAGGTCTGAGAGCGAGAAATATGCTGTAATAACTGATACCGTGATTGAAGCAGTGGTCTTGAGGTTGTTTATTTGTTAAAGGCAGAACAAACTGTCACAAGGCCGAACCATGGAGGGGG